GCTATTATATCACGGTCTCTTTTATCTAGAGGAAGCTAGTTATATCCTAAGAATAGGTCTACTAATAATATTACCGGTATTCCTAAGAACTCCTCGATAAACTCGTTAGTACCCGGCGGAATATTAGTATCACGAATCGTTACTAAATTAAGCTTTATTACTACTATTATAATACGATATATCCCTATAGTCTTTTTCTTAATAAGAAACTAAGGGTTCCGGTATAAGCTATAGCAGCGCTTAAATACTCCTTTTCTAATACGATCCTAAAGTATACCCTTAACCTTTAACCTTAGGGTAAGAGGGATCTAGAAACTAGGATACTACTAAGCTTTATACTTTATAGTATAGATTCACTATAGATTAAAAACCTTAGGCCGAACCTAGCTTATATCCTACTAATCCTAGGCAAGAACTCCTTCTCTCTTAATAAGTATCTTATATAGCAATTCCCTTTCTTTAGGTAGTAGATTTTTGCCTAATATTAGCTTCTCTTTACGCTTAGGTATTAGCTTAGCTTCCCTTACAAAGTTAGCAATACGGGGGAATAAATATCTATCAAAAGGGGTTCGTATATCTAGAGCCCTAAATCGAGTATAATATTTCCGTATATACGCTTCTTCCTATCCTAAATACCTAGCCGGCATAGATCTATTAGATTCCTAGGCGTTAATCGGTTAAATCTTATTAGTCTTTCTTTTATATAGCGTGTAAGATAGTAGGCCTAATAAAAGAAGATATTTTAGCCGAATAAGGTTATTTAGTAAGCGAGCTTCTTTTAACGTCTCTTCTTCTTTAATTATTACCCTAACTTTAGATAAATCTAGTTCGGTTCCTAGTATCTTGATTTCCTTCTAAGACTTAGCTAGCAACCCTTTATTATCTCCTATCCCTATCGATATTAAAGACCTAGCAAATATACTCTCGATAGAAGTATATTTACCTACTCGTTTAACTCCTTCTAATTAGGGTTAGGCTAGATATCTACGGACCGTGCTACCCTACCCCTATTATTTTCGAAGACCCTAAACGTAAGCTTCCTAGATCGATCCCTATTATAAATCGTGTATAATATAGTGCGATCTAGTTTCTCTATTATCTATATTATCGCTACTTACGTAAATAGCCTTCCTAATAGTAATCCTAGGCTACTATTCTGAATCACGAAAATATTAATACGAATCGTGATATCTCTAATAGAAACCGGTAAGTTCTATATATAACTAATATACCGAACCTCTTCGCTAGAGATAGGAATAACACTAATCTTAGGGTCCTTCCTAATAGGGTATCCTAATCTCCGCGCCTTATTAAGTCCGGTAATATTAATACCCGATCCGGTATTAATAGTAGCTTTGCAAATAACCTTACTAATTACTACCTAAGTTATTAGGAGGTCTAATAAATATATATTAGACTATTTAGGATCTTCTATAGGAATTACTAGTTCTAATTTCCTAATATTATTAATTATTAAGCGTCCTAGATTAGATAAAACCCGCGTTATATCCTTCTTTTATAATAGAGCTAAATTTGCTAGTAGATCCTTAGTAGCACGAAACAGATTATTCCGGAATCGCGGTAAAATCCTTACTATCTTATATAGCTTAATAGGAATTTCTATCTATAAAAAGCAGTCCTTAATATTATCCTCTAGGTCAGCGTTTAATAGTAAGAAGGGGTACTAATACTTCCTAGCCTCTATCCTTCTAGCACTTGCTTCCTAAGGCGTTTCCTACCGCTATATTTAAGACGGTAAGAATCTAGGGCTTTCTAGAACTACCTACGATTCTAGAGGGCGCTCTATTATTATATTATCTTTAATCTCTTCTACACGAGACTAATACCTTCTATTATCACGATAGGGAGTCGAAGCGATATCTCTCTCTCTACGTCGCTTTCAGGTCTCTATATAATTCTCTATCTAAGTAGCTGCTAACGGTATATACTACCTTCCGCTTACCGTAATAAATATAGGGTTCTCGCTGTTATCGTTAGTATTATTAATTACCTTATTCTTTTCCGGAGCCGCTCCGATACGTAGTAAATTTAACCCTACTTATATACCCCGCTTATTATACTACTAGTAAGCAGTACCTTCTTCTTTATCTCTATAAGCTATAAAGTTAATAGGGGTAGTATATCCTATCTTACTATCCTTCTAAGCTTTAAACTAATAGTTAATAAGATCTCTATTAAGCGTTCTAGGAATTATACATAATAGAGGGCCTTCCTAGTCCGTAGTGCTAAGCACTATCTTTCTAGTATCAGCATAATACACTATCCCTTTATTAATATATTCTATTAATATAGGGTACTCCCTAACACGCTAAAAATAAGGCCTATTATAAAAGAAGCAGCTTATAGCGCCTTCTCTTCTAGGCCTAAAGCTATCCCGAGGAATAAACCCTAGATCGTTCCTAGCGTCTATTCGTGCTACTAGGATCTAAATAGTAAGGCTAAGCTCCCTTAGCTATATATTAATTCGCTTAAGACCTTCTTTATCCCTCTTTCTTTTACTAGCGCTATTATTAGATCTAATATCCGGCTATAGGGATACCTACTACTGCTTATCAAGATTAGATTTAGAAGCTTCCTTAATAGAGCTTTCACTACTAAGAGCAATTTATATTATTCTCTTAACACTCTTTTTCTTCTCCTTTTCTTTATTAACAAGCTCTAATAGCTAGTTAAGAGTAAGCGTTTTCTTACTCTTTAAAGGCTATTCTAAATTAATACCTTTATCCTTATAGAGCTTCTTTATTATCTTATATAGTAAGCTACGTATAAACTATTTATATCTCTAATATTCCGATAGAGCGCCTTCGGAAAGTAGGTAATCGGATATAGACTAGAAGGTCGATATATAGTTATCAAGATTATCTTCTATCGTACGCTTTATCTTAATAAGCTCTATAAGCGACGTTCTAGTAAATAGGGTCCGCTTACTATCCTACTACTAATATCTATATTTAATATTCTTCTTAAATACTTCCTAATTACTCTTTTTCTATAACGTGTTAGTAGTTACCTATCTACGTATAATCTTATTATAGTAATTAGGGAACTCGCTAATTATCTCTTTACTAGAGCGAATTCCCGATCGCCGGTATACGCTTTTAAACGTTCTAAGAAAGTCTAATATATCCTTTCTATCGAAGAACAGTATACCCTAAGTATAGGGTATTAGTATTAGATACCTTAGCGGATAACTAGCGTACTAAGGATACCTAAATAGAGAAGGATATAAGGGATAATATAGCTATATTAGATATACACTATTAGGCGGAGGATAAGGATAGGGCTACGGAGGCGGTATAGATCCTAGTTGCGAAATAGTATACTAAGGCTATTCGGGCTAAGGAACCCCCCGAATAGCTTTATTAATCCGATAAGATCTCTTATCTAAAGTCTTAGAGGCCGCTACCGGCTCCCGATATCCTTCGAATATCTAAGCTTCCTATATACTAGGTATAGCGATAGCTGAAGCTTCTTCTATAGTATTATTATTTATTATCTTACTATCGGCAAGTAATCCTATTTTCTTATTTTTAAAGTTTTCTAATAGAGAACGCGAAGATATAATATAATTAAATAACGCTATCGATTCCGATATAACTAATATTAAATCCGAATCTAAATATAAACCTAATAAAGCTAACGAATTAGAGTAGGCTGAATTAATATCCGATATATTATATAGATCTTCTTTTAATATTAACCTTTCTCTATACGTTAAAATCTCTATCTATAAAACTAATACTTTTCGAATACCTTCCTACTTCTAGAGATAGTTAATTATTATTTCTATTAACTACTACTACTAGATACCGTATATTAATCTAATTATACTAGGAAAAACAGCTTCCGAAACGCGGTATACCTCCTCGGGCTATATTCTAATTATACACTAAAGAGCTTTAGCGTTACTTCGGTACTAATTAGAGAGCAAGAGCTTGTATACCCGAGTAAGCTTATTATATATAACTATAGGCATAGCTCTCCGTATCTAATCCTATTATGTCTAATATATCCTAACCGCGTTATCGCTTCTACTAGGCTCTGCTAGCGGTGCGATAGATTATAAATCCTTCAAGAGAAGCCGGTATCGATACAAAGGCGATTTCCGACCCCTTAGTCAGCTTCTTAGGGTCAAGCCGACTACCTACTCCTTTTTAATCCTAAAATATTAATTGTAGGTGTAATAGCTCATATAGCAGTTCTCACTATCATTAATCCTTCAATGCAAGAGGAGCCCCCCTCTAGAACCACTATATAAACCAGGGCGCTCAGCGGCAAGCCTAGGAATACAGGCAGGATGATATAGCCTCAACAAACCAGCATACAAACCACCACACACCACAATAGAGGAAGCCTCCCCTATAGAAAGCAGAAGCAGATAGAGCAAGGAGAGTGTAAGAGTTGATATTTCTCCCTATTGGAGATCTGAAGCTATATCCTGTAAGGACTGTGTACTAGAAAGATATCCTCCAATTAGAGATCCCCCTTTGTAGGCCATTTCCCCACTACACCGGTTACCAGTCTACTTGCCCTTGCCCGTAAGATACCTTGGCGGCTAGGTCTATACAGTGCTTTCATGGATATACAACGGAAAATATCAGGCGGATCAGGTGAATAGGAGTCCGACAATATAGCAAAGGCTAGAAAAGAAATTGATTAAATACTTTCCCCGATAAGCCAATGGCCCATCATAATAGTCCATCATGCTTGACAATCCCTTCGCAGTCAGTACTTCATCTTTCAGTCTTGACTGACATACTGTTTCCAAAGCAAGTCCAAGCCGCCACCTTTGCTTCATTTTATGAATATCAAAACATTTGGATTTATTACCGAAGTTTACCCCTAATTCTTCCTTTATTATCATTCCATAATTTTAACAGAAAAGCCACATGTGAGGATGAAATTTGTACTAGATCCAAATTGATGCAAACTATTAACTATTTTCAATCATGAGAACACCCCTTAGGAAGCAGATTATCCTACTCTGCATACGTCTTCTGAACTCGCCCCTTCTCTCGATCCAAGAACTGAGCAAAGGTTCCTAGAGAGATATTCCACCCCTTCAGCTTTTCCAAATCAACGAATTTTGACATGTCTCGCATCACTAATTGGGCTTCCAGAAGTATATTTTTGGGAGCTTGCTGCTTGACCTCTTGATCGGAAAGATAAACAGCTTGTAGCTTTTTTCCAGTTACTTGCGAAAGTTCCTGCAACACTGAGTCTAGACTCATCATCTCGGATATGAGTTCGATTTCCGTGCGGTCAAATCCGACCGGATCAAACACTGCGGCTGCAGCAAACTTCCCAATGTCGTTAGGATCAACCATCGGCAAAATAGTGTCTCGTGTAAAAGCTGTCATGAAATTTCCAGTTTCGACAAGACCCTGATACATACGTGCCAGGGGGTCCAAGAAATTCGACATGAAATTGCCCGGTCGCAAAATTGACCATGTTTCAAATCCCCCATTCCGTACCTTATTCTCGATAATTTGCTTCTTCAGAACAGCCATGCACACAGGGCTGCGAGGATCCCAATGTTCAAGCTGTTGGGGACTGGAAGTCACCAGTGCACTTGTGTAGATAACATGTCGAACCCCCACAGCTTTGGCGACAGAAAGTATAAGTTCCGCTTGTTCAGATTCTCCGTTTGCGTTGTTTCTGTTCGGGCTCAGGTTGAGGAAAAGAGTTGTGCAGCCGCTCATGCTCTCCCTGAGGATATCCTCGTCATCGAAATCACCTTCTCTGAGTGAGACGTTCTGCAATTTTAAATTAAGAGCAGCAACGGAATTTATATTTCGAGAAATTGCTCGGATTTGTATCTTGTGCACGAGAAGTTGTTGAATGAGGGCTCCCCCCTGGGTGCCCGTCGCACCACAAACGAAGACAACAGGGGAAGACATTTTGTTGTTGTTAGGGAGTGCGGAATTGGATCTTTATTTGAAGGTCTTACTCGTCGGTCCTTTTCCAGATGCGTTGCAGCCTTCTTATATGTGGTGGAAAAAGCTCATTGTTGCTGTATATTTAAATCTTTTCTAGAGCAAATTCACTGATGGCGGAACTCCGTTTTGGAGAACCCCACCTCATAGTACCTTATTGGGTCATGGACTAGCGCTAGTTATTTAGCGTGCGGAGTTCCTCTGGCGGCGCCGCGAAAAACCCACTGTAGCGGTGGATGGAGTTTCGCCCGGTTCTTCCAGTCGGTTCTTTGTAGGCAGCACCATCGCCTCTTTCAAAATCTCACGATGGGATGCAACGGCCCAGCTCCACCGCGACAAAAATCCTGTGAGTCTTGTAAGACAGCGAAACGGCGCTGTGACCTCTCATCTCCGTCCTGCTCTCGGTGTGTGACCAGGAATATACCATGCATCTATCTTGGAAGGCAACCAGCCGGGCATTCCGCGCTTGTCCCCGAATCCATGCCTCCCCCAATCACAGATTTAATAGGCAGCTCTTGGCAGCCATTTTACATCGCAGAGTCCTATACTGCAGATCTCACGCTACCTATGCAACCCGCCCCCGACGATATAGTTGATCAAGTGGACTCTGTGTGGAACCCTAGCGATAGAGTACCTGAAAAATTATCGTTAACCTCGTCGTGTCAATTACCATTGGCGCCAAAATTAGCGCTCACTATGCCACGGACAAGGCAGTCAAGGCCCCTCTCCGATATCATCAGCTCACGACTTCAATTTGCGATTGATGTTCTAAAACGAACACCCAGCATGATGGTCCTTGAAAATCGAACGCCATGGTGCCATCCGCAACTCTATAAGAATTACATGCCGAAAGCTATGCAAGGTACCCTTTTTTCGGCTCAATAAATTCCAAAACTTCCCAGGACTAATCTTTCATCAGATGCCTACGCATGTTGTTCGCTTTATATGTCAAAGAATGAGATCAATGCACCCGTAATAATGTCTCTTTTGGACGCTCGTACCCAGGAGCTTCTTTTATCTCCACAACCTACACATTTTCTCGATCTTCTTGCTCGAACTCATGCCTTAATTCTTTTTCAGATAATGCGCTTGTTCGATGGCGATATTCGCTCTCATACTACAGCGAATGCTCTACTTGGCACGCTTGAATCCACTGTTATGGCTCTTTTCGATTTTACCCATCTTCCCAACATATCCGAATCTTATAACCTCTTGCCTATGGACCCAATATTCGAATTCTGGGAATCTTGGGTTGTGCAAGAGTCTGCACGGCGTACCATTCTTTTGGCGTTTTACTTTATTCAAATATGCAAAGTTCTACACGGCAATGTACCCATGCAGTGTGATGGCAGGCTTGGGCTAGCTCATGCCTGGTATTTATCGTCACATCTGTGGGATGCTCAAAGCGCATTTGATTTTGCAATAGCTTGGGCTGAGAAGCAACATTTCGTTGTGCATGACCTTGACTTTTCGTTTGCACTGGAGAATGCAAACCCTGATGATATGGATCTCTTTGGAAAAATGTTGTTAGTTACTATTTTAGGAATTGATGAGGCAAAGGCATGGTTTTGCCTGAGAGGAGCAGTCATGTAATAAGCAAGTTGAATACTTCTCAAAACAATTACCGACTTCTCAATATATTCACTGTTGATTATAAATAGTTACTTTTATTAATGCAAATCTACATATAAAAAATTATCATGAGACAATAGTACTGGAGAAACTTTTCGTCTATTAGTATTTCTGCTTGCCCAAAGTTATGTGGGCATTTTGATACTTGTATGTGGCTATATGGCCAAAGAATCTGAATGCAGCATGCTAACAATCATTAACATCCGCAGAAACCTGTCGCAATTTGGAAGTATCTACGCCCCCTAAACGCGAATAGGCCAGAGGCGAACTATAACGCCGCAGATGACAGAAGCCTTGTGTCACTACCTTCCAGAAAAGCTAGGACTCTACTTTGACGAGATGGCTGTCTCTTTGTGGGATGAGTTCCAGACATTAGTCACTGCTTCCGGCATCAGACGAGCCCTTGTTGCGAAAGGATGGTCCAAAAAGACTGCTCAACCACGCGCAAGAGAGCAGAATGCCGATTTGCGTGACTACTACTTGCACAACCTATCCGACTTTCAATCGTATCACCTTGTATATGTTGATACATCCGGATGTGATAAACGAGCCAGTTTAAGACGCACGGGTTAGGCACGGCTTAGCAGGACGCCTTTGCAAGTAACCCAGTTTCACCGAGACCAAAGATATAAAATATTACCTGTACATGCTCAGGATAGCATTGTCCTGTTCCGTATTTTCCGTGGCTCAACAGATACTGCCGTATTTGGGGACTTTATTGCGCAGCTTTTCCAGCATTGTGGACGATGGCCGGAGCCTAAATCCGTACTGGTCATGGATAATGCATCATTTCATCACTTAAGAATCGATTGCGCAAATGTGCGCGGAAGCTGGTGTGAAGTTAGTCTATCTGTCGCCTTATTGAAGAGTTTTTTCTGAGCTCAAAAGTTTCATCAAACGTAATTGGACCTATTACGAAAAGGATACCGATCAAGGTTTCGATGTTTTCCTCGGATAGTGTGTCACTATGGTTGGCGCAAGGGAAGAAATTGCTCAGGGCCAATTTCGTCATGCAGGTTTGAAGAGAGAGGTTTTGGAAGGGTCAAGCCATGAGTAATGATGTGAGGAAAGAGAGCGCATTATGAAGTACTGCCAAAATGTTATCAGTATAACACCCTTCGTTTATTGAAAATTTTGAAAGAAGCAACCACCTCTAGCACGCTGATAGACAATCGACCGTGGGGTTTTCAACGTCTGCACCAAAGATATAGTACAGTAGAATTCGAAATTGGATTACCTTTTAACACACGTCTTCTTTCCCCGCGCTCCACCCAAGCTGCGCTAATCCTAATTCACTGGGAAAGTCTCCACTCTCTTTGCTTGGTGTGTCTCTGGCAGATCGAGAAAATTACCGTAATTACTGGTTGCGGGACCGGTGAACGACACCTGCGGAAACTGTTCATGGCCCTACCAGATTTTGCAAATACTGTGAGAACCAGTACAGCTGTCGATAACTCGAAGCGGGCTATTCCTGAAGTGGTGAGACCAGGAGCCGGAACACAAAAGTCATCAGCGGCGCAAAGGTCAGGCCACAGACGGGCCGATAGCCATCCGAGCCCCACCAACTGGATAATGCGCATTTGCCCGCCTGTGTTTGGCTGCCTGGAACCTTCCTGCATGTATGTTCAATTTAGCAGGATTAGGATTTAATAATAGGGAATATACTGTCCACTACATAGCCCATAGTACTCTCGCCCAGACCCTTTCATTTTTACTCCCCTCTTCACGAAATAATCTTCTCCTTCTCTCAGCCTCTGCTGCTTCTCTCTTATTCAAGACCTGCTAGGAACCACAATGTCTGTGTCTCCTCCGCTTTCTTGCACCCCCCACCCCCTGGGTGGTTGAATTATACTCTTTTGTGGACTTTGTCGCATATTGACCCTTTTTCTCTTAGGAATTCTACCGTCCTGCTCCCCGGCACCTATTGGGACCAATATCAGGATATCACCAAATCCAATACCCACCTGAGCGTGGCAGAGAGGTTGTGGGTCACATGGTATGCGTGGGTGCAGAATGATGTCCTGGCCACCGGCATCATGTCTTTCGTCATCCATGAGTTGGTCTACTTCGGCCGCTCTCTTCCGTGGATCTTCATCGATAGCTTGGGTTTCTTCAAGAGATACAAGATTCAAAGTGTAAGTGGCAAGCCTAACACCTGGCACTAGCCGAAATCAACGCAATTCCAGCCGCCATCGAAACTAATATTCCGCTTCAGAGCAAAGTACCTTCATTACGCGAGCAATGGGATTGCGCCAAGTTTGTGCTTCTGAGCCACTTCACCGTTGAACTTCCTCAAATCTGGTATGTTCCTGCCCTCGACGGAGTGGTATTCTACATGATGTTTGCCCCTTGGGCCCGACTGCGTAGTAACGGCTCTTCTAGGCTTTTCCACCCAATGGCCCAGTTCTGCGGTCTATCAACATCAATTCCTTTTCCGTCTCCCTGGATTATGGCATATCAGATTGCAATATTTTTCGTGATGGAGGACACTTGGCACTATTTTATACACCGAGCTCTTCATTGGGGTCCACTCTACAAGGCTATTCACAAAATTCACCACCAGTATTCCGCACCATTTGGTTTGGCCGCTGAATATGCTTCCCCAATTGAAGTGATGATTCTCGGCTTCGGGACCGTCAGCTGCCCGATCCTCTGGTGTGCTTTCACCGGTAACCTGCATATTCTCACTATGTATATCTGGATTGTGTTGCGCTTGTTCCAGGCTATCGATGCCCACAGTGGCTACGAATTTCCTTGCAGTCTTCACCATTTCTTGCCTTTCTGGGCTGGTGCTGATCATCACGACCTCCACCATGAGAAATTCATTGGGAACTACTCAAGCAGCTTCCGCTGGTGGGACTACCTCCTTGACACCGAATACACTCCGGATGCCCTGAAGCGCCGAAGAGGGGAAAAGGTGAAGGCAAAGAAGACACAATGATCTGAGCGTTAGCAGAGACGGTCTGCCTATTTTCTCTTCAATTTGGGCGTTGGCCCTGTCTGAAGCTATTTACCTGATAGATGATAGCCTTTCTTATGCTACTGTTCAAGGGTTGATTTGCCATGACTAGACTTAGCTATTCTTAAAACTAATTGGTCTTCTGAACATCGCTAAACTCATGCCGTAGCTGAGAAATTCATGGCAAAAGTTGAGGCGGCTTGTCTCGATTAATATACGGTTTGTGGCTCTGTGATGAGAACTGACTCTTCGAACAATTTAGAGGAACGTCCATGGCGCGTTTATGAGTGCTAGGACATAATTGGTACTCAGCTACTCCTTGCTCCACTTTGGAGAAGCAAAATCCCCTATCATAGCATTGTGCTACATACTGGCCATTCAACACAATTTCGAGCCGGTAGGGATCAGCATCGTACTAGCTTTATCAATGTCGGTACTTTTTACGTTCGGCACAGGGGAAATGGACATCAACAACGACGACAGCAACTCCATCAATTTGAGACTCATCCAAGCTCTGCCGCTGCTGTCCGCCCCCCGCCGAATATGAACCACGCAAAAATAGACATATAAATAATACCTATAACCTCTTTGTGATCACGACCAAGAATGAGAGGATTCAGTGGGTTCGGCATCTTGAGTATTTGTGTGCACCCAAAGATCTGTGCGTGGAGCAGCATAATCACGCTGCTGGGTATACCGCGATACATTTCTTTTACACAGGGGGCTACGAGACGGTAGCTCGCCTCTTGACGGAGGCACATCAGATCTTGCTATAGAGTACAAGAGTAGCGGTTTAGTCTACCATGCATCAAGTGCTTGGGGTCTTACTGATGAGGACCATTGACCATGGTTGCAGCGAGTTGGAGGCTAAAAGGGAATATGAGTGTGCCTCCGGTGTCAAAATGCCTGTCCAGTCGATAGCTTCAGGCTCTTGTATAAGCGACATTCGCTCAAGTTTAACTCTGAAGAAAAGACCAAAACGACAAGAGCAGCACCATCAAGCGGCACTAATTTGATTAGTAATGATTCAAAGAATTCTATGTAAAACAGAAGAAAACATACAATTCATATAAAAACACTATCTCCAGAATAATCTTTGTGTGAAAGGACCTTCAATGATGGAGCCAATCACGCTGGCTAAAGCCCATACCATCCCGAGAATGCCAAGTATTGAGCGCGTTCTGTATTTCGTACCAGCTCCGACCTCTTATGTCGCTAAGCTTGCCCCAAAGTAAGCTTGATGCTGCATTATCGAAAGCAAATGATGAGCTGATCCAAGTATAGCCATCCCCGGAGACACGCGATTGTTCGGAAGTTGTCGGCAATGCCGTTGTAATGACTGTCAACCAGTAAGCGGGGCCGTGGTTTATCACATGAAACAACTTACCACGTCCAGAGCAGCAAGAAGAAGAACCAACTTTAGGAACAATTAGCTGAATTTTCCGTTTTAATTAAAAAAACAGGGCAGAAACGATAACTGCTCGACTACCTCTGCCGAAACTGCGGTATTGCGGTTGACACGAAGTTGCAGTGGTGGAGTTTCTCTCGCCACCCTCGTCCTTACCTCGCTGCCTCATGGGATTAGATTAGACGAGCGCGTAACTGTTAGGTCTGTTACAGGTGATGTTGACACGCTCCATGATTGGGCTTGTCACAGTCATGTTTTGGCCCGACCATTAGATGTAGTTATAGGATCAGAGGGCTTAGGATCAGAGGGCCTAGGATCAGATGGCTCCAATATCATTAATCGTCGTGTTGAAAGTTGAATACTGCTAGAGATCCCTGTATGGACAGCGACAAACTGAGGGGTTGAAGATAGTTGGTTCAGGAATAAGCTGTGAGGAGCTATCAATCTAAGTTAAATTGCGAACAAATACAAAAAGAGGACCTCAGATAGGAGGCGCGCATCTAACCCATATAGTGTGTGTCAACACTACAATCTCACAACTTGGTAGCGGTATGACATTCAATAGAAAATTGTGGTGTGCAGGCATAGAGCAACGAATAATTCCTATCCTTCAAGCATCACAAAATCATTTGGTATACTCGCATGAAGCCTTCGACACAATCTGCCATTTTCCATCTACCTTTGCCATTGTGATAAAATCCGTGAATGGATTGAAGGTATCCACGTAGTCTATCTCAATCCTAACAACAGCAACCACTGGTGTCATACTAATCACACTCACGTTGTGGGTGAAGTCAGGAACTTTCGGGTAGTTTTCTAGCATCTCATGAAGATGATGCATGTTGGATTCTGTCCATTTCCCAGAGATGTGTGCGTAGACGCTGGCTGTTTCCCGAAAGGCACTGGCGAGAATAGACCAGTCCGAATTTTTCATACCGTCGATATAAATATTGGCCACTGCGTTTACTTCTTCATACTCTCTGGCGGGGATTTGCTTCTCCATGGTAGCGGACACTCTTTATGAACTTTGAGTCAGTGAAGCTCCGGTCTTTATAATATCAAGGTCTGTCGGTGGATACTTATTCCATACCAAAAAAAACTCTTTAATGAGGTAAAGACTCAAATGTACCTGATTCAAAACCAGATACAAAGACAAATTTTTAAAGAAGATAGGATATCGTTCTACTTATCATAGACTTCAGGGCGTTTGTCTTCTGACAATGAAATCTATTGTTCATTTTATTTTCTTTTTTTTGATGTTTTAATGTCTGTCTCGCCTGAATGCAAGGTAGGACAAACACCTACACTGTATTGGTTGTGTAACGTGACGTATCTGGGATAACCAATTTCACCCTAATAATTATCCCAAGAGACTTCTCTCGGGGTGGTGAATCGTGAATTGTGTCACAATAGTTTTAATTAATTATTATTAAGAGTCATATAATTCTACGCTAGTTCCCAAGGATGACAAGTGCCGGAGATCATTGTACTACCGTCTTTGGACGGAAAACATCTTTATTGCATCCTATTACTAGTTTTCCTTAATTATACGCGTTCTACATGCATAACAAGACGCAAATCGTGGGTATAAAAGTCTGATACCCACTTATTTTCCTATCTAAATTTTTGGTTTCAACATATAACTATAAGTTTTCAGGAAAAAATGACTGTTCTTGTGCTTGGCGGACATGGGAAAGCTGCCAATCGTCTTGCCCAGCTCATGGATAACACAAGCATACCATTTATCCTAGCATCTCACACCACTTCACTCACCTGTCCATAAAAAAAGTCTTATTTTGACCTAACAGGTGAGAGCACGCATGTCAATCCTTTTAGCCAAGTATTGACAAGCGAAATAGGTCTTATCTCTGCTGCGTACATTATTACAGGCGAGCGTATCGATATGGCATTTATGATCAGATTCATTGACTTTGCCCGCCCTAAAGGTGTAAAGTGTTAAATATTTATGAGTGCCAGTGTCCTTGAGAAAGGTGACCCGTATATGGGCCAAGTTCACAAGTATCTCGATACCTTGAATGAGGAGCTGGAATGGGCTATATTAAGGCCTACCTGGTTTATAGGTATGTTGCGGAGGTTCTTCAAATTGATCTCTGTCTAATATCTCACTATCCTATTTATTTTGTTCAGAACTGATAGAATAGTAGAAATTTTCCTCGTAGGACCCGCGTTTGGCTAAGAGTTTTGAAGAGCAAAAGTGCCTTTATCCTTCATCGGGGAATGGAAGAGTTCCGTTTGTGTCTACCGACGATATACGTATTTCGAGTTGCATTCCGGTACTTGACAGATAAGAGCATAAGTAATACAGATTATCTAATTTTGTGACCAGAATCAATCTCTTATAACCAGGTTAGCTTGAACGGTTGTTTCGAGAATTCGCTAAAAGTAATAAGCATGTCTGAGATTAGGGCAGCATAGAAGCTCTGTTCTTAGCGCTCATATATTTCGGGCTTTCGGTTCTTGCAATCATTTAGATTATGTAGATAGATGTTCAATCAACGTAAAACATTACTATGGTAACTTACTTGATTTATTGGCCTCTCTTATGATATAATTGATAAAGAGCAGCGTCCATTATATTGTGTCCATCTTTCTCTGTGCATCGATCGAGCGATCTATGGCATATATATGCCTATCTGCTGTTCTGGGATCCACTATCGTCTCACTGCTACTTCCTCACATTGTACATTCCATTCAGATTCCATTGCAGTTGGCTCATTTTCCGACACCTGCAAGCTACATCTGTACTCGTGAGCCCGGATCCCCCATACGAGAGTAGAAGGAGGAATACAATATTGATACGTACCCAGAATTGCTTATCACGGATATCATATCCATGATGTGCTGTATCTGCCTGCAGAAAATTTATTGACTATTGAAGTGGTACAAAATTAATATATATTTTCTTTTCTTGTTCAAGTTCAAAGTAGTCGAGAAATTGCTTTCTCCGTGGTAGACGGAAAACAGGATGGGTTTTGTTCTAGTTTTACTGGAAATATCTATATCTTTTCACCCGTGTTTAAATAATTTAATTTAAATGAAACCTCAAGTTCGATGCTGCATTTGACAAACGCCCTTTTTTCTCTCTCCTCTCAGGAAAATGGCACCGCTCGACAATGCTTCTAATCATACAGAAGCCTGTTTGAGGGCTGTTATGGCTGCTGTTCTTGCTGTCGTGTGCCTAATTATAGGCTCAGATTATATCTATCACAGCCGAACAAGGAATAAAGTTGGAAAGCTTCCGCTCATACATGATGGAACTTGGCTGAGTCCATCCCTGCAATGGAGGCGATCGAGTTTTGATTGGGAAAAAGCACTAGAAATGGCCTACCAGAAGGTAAGAAAATAATGCGTTCTAGCTCACTCACTGTACCCTAGTATAAGAAAATTGAGGTTTTAGAATAGTATATCAAAAAAGGGCGCCCATTTGCCTATACAGATATCTTTGGTGTTGGTACAATGACTGTGCTTCCGCCGCAATGCATCAAAGAATACTGCCACCTACCAAGAGACCAGTGCAGCTTTGCGAAATTGTTAAGTACTGTAAGTCGAATGGAATGATAGTATAAAAATAGGCTAATATTAAATTTTCATAAAAGGAGCTTGCTCTTGAGGGCATTCACGATCTGAGTTGGAAAGTCCCTGTTGACGCCATACATGCAAGTGTTAAGAGCATTCCCATGAGTACGTCAAACTTCGTAGCGTGACAGAAAAAATTATTCGAATAAATAACCGTTTCTATAATTTAGAAAATCTAGGAACCCTCGCTACAACAGAACTGGAAACTATCCTGCCTCAGTTCTTTCCTCGATTGGATAATAACGGTAATAGAAAAGACATATGTCTGAAGCTTTATTGAAAGTTACATCGACTAATTAGTTTTTCAGAATGGTATACAACCAGCGCATTTGAGACGATACTTCATGCTGTTAACGAACTTTGCGCTTCGATCATGTTCCGTCCTGAACTGAGAAAGAACTCTAATCTTATTCAACATCTCGCAATTTATGCAGAACAACTGGAGACCCAAGCCATGGCCCGTCGAAGTTATCCTCGGATCCTACAATCTTTATTCTGGTATATCTTGCCTATATGCCGTGATCTTAGATCATCCAGTGGTGCTGCAAGAAAAATATTAGTACCAGAGATTAAAAGCAAATTCAATAATATTATGGAAAACGGGAATTATGCAAAAAGAGACTCTCCCCTACTAATGGATCTTTTAGTTGATCAAGCAGCAAGAAAAGGCAGCAAAAGGATTGATCGAGCTCAGCAGAAAGAATATGCGGAGCTAATTGCAAATGAAGTTTTATTCTTCTTCTTTGAGTTGGCAGGCCCCATCGCCGTTGTAACGACTAACATGCTTTTCTGTGTCATGCAAGGGCCAGAATATATTGGCCCTTTGAGAAAAGAGTTAGCTACAGCTCTAGATCTCTGTGAAGGCAAATGGGGTTTTGATGTCTTCGAGCATACGCCAAAACTTGAGAGCTTTACCAAAGAGGTCCTCCGGTTCCATGGGCCACTACACCGTGAGTTGATCTTTCTAGCAAATAAAAACTATGCTAATCATCATATATAAAGAAACTGGAAGCCGTCGTGTCATGACCCCTTTATATATTCCATCTTTGGGTCTGACTCTCAAGTCAGGCGACCACATTACTTTACCAGCACATTCAATTCACAGAGATGCTGAATATTATCGTGACCCCAATACATTTGATGCTTACCGCTTTTATGACCCAACTTCGGAGAGCTATGATTCACGGCAAGCAGTTACAACCTCGGAGATATATATGCCTTTTGGCCAAGGATCACAGACCTGTCCTGCACGGCTACTTGGGGTACGATTATCCCAGCTTATCTTTGCTAAGATCCTACAAAACTATGATATAGGGAGCATTGATAAGGGTACAAGTATGCATTGTTATAATTTCAAGTCTTTAATTCCGCGACTGGAGATAAATGTGCGTACTAGATGGCGTCACAAGGAAGACCAAGGGGCTGAGAAAGAATTTCATTTCAATAAGGCAGCGAATATTGTATAAGGATTCCTTCTCAGCTATTTCGGTTTTACATAATAGAGTTATCTGATTACCTCTCTATACAATTATATCTAGTTCTATGCTTTAGTATGAAGTTATTGCTAAAGCCAAATTTGGAGCAAGATGCTAAAGCGCTAAGAATACCTGGCCCGAGGACAAGAAGTTGTTATTTACTCAATTCCCATGTAGACCACGGCATAGTCTGACTTAGCCTCCTAATTTCGGACTCTTGAACCTGAATCTGAATCGTCTGTTTTAACTTTTATTTTCATACCTTCTGATGACTACTTATGCTGACATTATATTTTAGTTACCTCACCCCGAAAACATATAAATTCACCAAAAGCTGTCACAACAAAGATCTTGGATTGGCTTTTTCTCATGACTTCATAGAGTACCTCGGGGTATTATCTATTCAAAGAGACATTTTATTACATTGTGGTACGGTTCGTCGAGTGGTCATACAGGGGAGACTACACAGGAACAGATCTTACACCTATGAAAATGTCTTCACCTGAAAAGGATAAGTCTGAACCTGTAGGACCAGAGCGACAAATCGAGGAAAAGAAGACCTTGCAGGCGCATACGCTCTTTCCTCCGAGAACCCCGATGTACTCTGGCGCTCGCATAACATAAAGAACCATGTAAGTTGTTATAATAGCGATAGGACCTAGCATCTCGAAGTAAAAGGATAGATATCCATTTGCAATTAGCTCTGTATGTTCTTTCCTGTGAGCTTAATCAACCCTTCGCTATCTCTCCTTGCTACCTAGTGTAGGGGGGGATGGCTGACTATGGGGGATCTCTGATTGGAGAATATCTTTGCTAGCACACTCTTTGCAGAATATAGCTGCGCATCTCAGATAGGGAGAGAATCAACATCTTTCGCTGAAGCAGCATCTGTTTCCTCTCTGAGAGGCTTCCTCCCATCGTGGTGTGGTGTGATTTGTTAGCTTGTTCGCTGATCCATCTCATCCTGCCTGCATTCGAAGGCTTGCTTTCAAGCGTCCTGGTTCATTAGTTAACAAGAAATCTTTATCTAGAAGCTCTAGCGGAAAAAGGTTCCTTAGAAGTAGTTCATACAAGCTACCCTTAATATAGCTAAAGGGACCTATCTTATAACCATATTATAAATAGTTAAATCGATAATAATCTTTATACAAGTAGTATAATCATTGCTCCCCAGCGGAATCTTTGGTTTGCCGACGGGCACCTTGGTTCATAAAGTAATCTTCGGGTCGCAAAATGATTATCATCAGCTTTGCTTTCGAGCTACGTGTTTGGAGGAGCCCTTCCAACTTGTCTTGCGGTGATTAAAGCGAATCAGCGTCCGGTGATCATTGAAATTTTTGTTCGGAATTTCTATCCAATCCGAGGAAGCTGAAACTTCACCACAGATTTGTCAATAAGGCTCTCATGAATTCGCCTGAACCACTCTGGCGTGAGTTTTGGGTTCCGGACGTCTTATCGCCTGCCGGTTTGTGGCGACCCGCTGCTTTATCGACTTGTGTGGGTCCGACAAATATTTCCTCTTCGGGCATAGTTTATCGCCCGATGATCTAGCATGATGGGTTGGAGTTCTCCGTCACAACTAGATGGCCAAAAGGTTGGCCAATAATATTGACTGTCGTTGGTTCCTTTCCCTCTGGTTGTTGTCGAAGCTGAACGTTTGTAGATTTTGCTTGGCATTCCTTCGAGCATATATTCCGTGCCTTCCCTCTGTCCAAGTGAGAACCCTCATACCGGAGATGAATATTTACTGTCATCGAATCAATACTCTGCCTTTCTAGTTTCAAGTATCAATTACTCTCATATCATGGGTGACTATAAGCCAGATTCAGCTGCCCCACTATCATGCCCAACCTTGGTGAAGCATGCGCGAAATGACGCAACAGATGGAAATGGTTCTGTGCTGTACCATCAGCTCCGTCAAAAGCCTCTGAATATCGTTGGAGGAAAAGGAAGCTATTTGTTGACTGATGATGGACTCAGGATTCTTGATGCTACCTGTGGAGCAGCTGTCTCCTGTCTTGGACACAGTGACAAGCGCGTGCATGAAGCCATCCTGGAGCAGCTGCAGAAAGTTCCTTACTGCTATTCCCTTTATTTCACCAATAGTGCTGCCGAGAATCTTTCCAAGATATTAGTTGATTCTACTTGCGGCAAAATGTCTCGGGCTTTCATTGTCAGCTCAGGTAAGAATCAAAAGGCCATATATTGACTTTTCACGATGACTCATAAGCATCCATGCCCCTAGGAACCGAAGCAGTTGAGGCTTCTCTCAAAATGGCAGTGCAATATTTCATGGAACTGCCTAATCCCCAGCCTCAAAGAGTTAATTTTATCGCTCGAAAGCAGTCCTATCACGGTAACACCCTTGGGTCACTGTCAGTCGGCCACCATGTTGGTCGTCGAGCCCTTTATGAGAAAGTGCTGGCAAAGAATGTCCATCATGTTTCACAATGTTATCCTTATCGAGAAATGAGAACCGGCGAAGCCATGGAAGATTATATTCAAAGACTTTCTCAAGAACTTGATGACGAGTTCCAGCGGCTAGGTCCAGATACTGTCTGCGCATTTGTAACGGAGACGATGTCGGGGACGGTTCGTACACTTCAATCGGTATTAAGAAAGCTTGCTAACCTTTTGACCAAGACTCTTGGGTGTGTTCCCCCGCTTCCTGGATACCTGAAAGCAATGAAAGATGTTTGTCAGCGCTATGGGGCCCTATTCATTTTGGATGAGGTCATCTGTGGCATGGGTCGTTCAGGAACACTTCACGCTTGGGAGCAGGAGGACGTCGTTCCTGACCTGCAAACCATCGCCAAAGGTCTTGGAGCAGGATATGCTCCAATAGCAGCGCTTCTCGTCAATCGGCATGTTATAGATACTTTAACAAAAGGCAGTGGAGCATTCTCTCATAGCCAAACATATCAAGGGCATCCTGTTTCCTGTGCTGCCGCTTACAGGGTACAGAAGATTATACAAGAAGATAATCTTTTAGCCAATGTTCGTGAGATGGGTCAGTATCTGGGTCAGTTGCTTCACCAAAAGTTTGATGGCAATGACCACGTTGGTGATATAAGGGGCAGAGGGTTGTTTTGGGCTGTTCGTTCCCCCTTGGCCTTTACCTGAACGACACTAATCAATTATAGATTGAGTTTGTCCAAGATAAAGAAAGCAAAAATCCTTACCCTCCATCTAAGGGTATTGCTTGGGCTATTCATGAAACAGGCCTTAAGCCGGAGTATTCAATCTCATTGATGCCAGGCAATGGTGGAGTCGATGGTGTCAATGGAGATCACATTTGCTTTGCTCCCCCTTACAACACGACGCGAGCTGAGATTGAAACTATTGTGGATCGCGCAGTTCAAGTCGTTCGGGCAGTCCTGGGATGATGTAAATGTTTTGCAGTCTCCTAGTTGTATATGACCAGGCCGTTCTTTACTCTGCTGCTCCATAGTTTGTTTTCGAGTGAAAGGTCAGAGACAGCAGATTTTGTCTACTTGTCGCGACTGATCAATATTATAAAGCAAATTTTTCTTACAGGAGAATCGTTTTCTTGTTTATCTCTCATGGAATTGCTACCAAATGGTAGCGAAAAGAGTGGCTATCCGTAGATCATGTAGCTATGTGGGGCTGCAAGGGCTGCGTTATCCGTCTGTCTTATCATGGTATAGGTATCTCGTGATGCATGCCGCTGTATAACCACACAAGATGTACCAGCTTTTTACACTGGGTATGTAAATAAGCCATGTGCAGCTCCGACGGGAGTTAGATCGACTGGTATCCAGCCGGTAGAGATGCCGCCGAAACTATTGAAGTCCAGTGGCCAGCGGTAGGCTCGTACCTTGTTCGTCATATTGTAGCAGACGAGCTCCACAAGCTCATTAGAGAGGGCCACGTGGCCAGGGCGTGATCAAGATAATTTTGTCTTCATCCCTCTAGGCCACAATTTTATATACCGGGATTCCTTCAAAGCAGCGCGTTTCCTTTCAGCCGGCCATTTTGCGTTGTGGTAGTCAGCAGCGAACTCGTTCTGGCACCTCTCCTTGGTCCAGGTCGGTCGCTCAGCCGATTTTGGAGAAGAGCCGGGTTTTTGCCGACTTTTATCCAACTGTCCGACTCCTATCTAGAAGTTCTTACCGTCAGGCCTGATAATTGCAGTCCTGACTTGGTTTCGGTCCTTGTTCGCTGCAAGATTGCGCTCCTTCGCTAGGGATAATGGGGTCGACACGTTATATATCTGTGAGGCAAGAATTGAAATGAGTAGAATAACAAGAGGTGATGGTAAAAGTGAGAGTTAAATATGAGAGTAGTGGCAGCCGGTAAGAGCGAGAGCAAAAATGAGAGTAGATTAGTAGGAGATCAACGCGTGAGAGCAGCATAAAGGGAGGTGGATATATAGATTGAGGGGAGGTATAAACGAAAGTTCTCCTACGCCTTCCAGGTAAATTATGTGCAAGACTGGGTGACCTGGAGCTGATGACTGCGTCATTCTTTCCTCTTACGTATAAATATAGAACTATCGGTCAGAATTTCGCAAAACAATATCAGTATGATACGTGCACCATTTCTTTTTATCAACTAAATTGACAGAATTAAAGGACCAGCAGTCCTTCTTCGTGAGCAATCCGTGAAAATGAGCGAGAAAGGATAAGGCCTGTTAAAAACCTCGTAAGGTTCCATCTGCTAATGAATGAAATATCATTCAATTGAATTTATTGAATTATTTGGAATTTCCTCTTTTCAGAGACAAGCCACCAATACCCACTGCCAAAAAGGAAAGGACGCCTCCCGATCGTTCAGATATCACTATCATGTGACCTGGCTATTACGATAAGCGGGGAAGTTGCGCCATAAGGTTTGTTCCTCTGAAATAATCAGCACGTTATATCATCGATTAAGAAAAGCTGGGACTAGTGGGCCACCGTTCTAGGGGATGACCCTTGAGGAGCGCTTCTCGCGGTCGCGAACTGGTAATAAGACTCTCTCCGAACTGTTCATATGGTGGATGGAGCTAACTAGGTACTGAGCAGGGTGTCTCCCATGTCGCCAAAGGCACCATAAATGTGATGAAAAACGGCCAAGCTGTTCCTTTTGCTCTTTGCGGAATCTAGAATGTCGATATCCGTCTGGGTTCAAATGGGTACGCCAAACCCAACCTTTTTTGTTCAGGCATAGGTCTCGCTATGGACATACCCGGCGCGTAAACGGTGCGGATCTTTGCCGTAGAACCCTATCACTTCTTGGAAATTCCCCGTTTCAATCCGGGGAGGAGGAATCCGCATGGGAATACTGTATGCCTATTTCTATTCCTGCCGCTCATATCGATGACCCATCCTGCTGACTCGGTGACCTGCAGATGTGAGGCTTGTATCATCAAATGTTCCTGCACTAGATGGTCCTGAGAATCCTTATCGACAGTTATCATTCACGGCTTTGTCGTCACCAGTTCTTCTGGAGACTGTTGTGTGTATTGCTACAGAGCACATGCTCAACTTTGGCCTAGGCAATGTATCAACAGCAGCCCAGCATCAACAGAGAATGCTGGGAACCATTGGACAGAATCTTCGAATGATCGAGACGGGAGGCGATTGTGAAACAGAATGCATTGTAACAGCAAACAAACTCGACTACGAGGCATTGCTCACTGCCGTTGTCCTACAGGGTGTGGTGGTGGCCCAGTCGGAAGACGGGGTTTTGGAACCCCATGTCCGATGTGCCTCGTTCCTCATGAGGGCCCTAGATCGCTTTCACCAGATACCACATAGCGCCCTTTCCCGGATGACGGTGCAACGATTTGCCATGGTTGATGTGATGCTAGCCTTCTCGCGGCAACGGCGGCCGTACGCTCCTCGCAGTTTTGTGCTTCATCAGCCTGACTCTGAGCGGTGGGACAACACCGAACCATCTTTCCACAAAATGACCGGGTGTCCTCAGCCGCTGATGTGCTTCTTCGTTCAAATCTCGCATCTTGCATGCGATGTGGATAACGGGTTGGAAAGCCGCGCACCAACTGATGGGATTCTAACCCAAGCACACCGTCTTGAAACCGAGCTTCGTTCCTGGGGCGCTAGGTATACTGGTGTCGCCCCAGGAGCCTGTACACGCCCACCTCTAGATATTCTGACGGAATGTTTCTACTGGACTGCCCATCTCCTACTTGCACGGCGTGTATTTCGAGATCCCACTCGCTCCCCACGGGTTCAACATCTAGCACATACATGTTTCGGGCTCATGAATCAGCTCTCCACTGGCTGCGGACCCGATTCATCTCTACCGCAGCCCTTTTACCTTGCCGCTCGAGAGGCTATCAGCATTGAAGACCGAGTTTGGGTGCGGCAAAAGCATGAATCGATGACAGATTTCTATCGAGAGCAACAACGCAACACCGTGATGCGACTCACTGAAAGGATTTGGGAAATAATGGATCAGGTGCAATCAATTTCTTTGCCGGGGTTGGATTTGGAAACATGCATATCTAAAGCAGAGGAGCAAATCAGGTCTTTAGATCAACAGTCTTGTCAGTTCATTTTTTAGGTTCAATGCATGCATGTATAGGTCACCCTGTATGGTACTGTTTCTAAATAAATAATTATAAATTGGCGGTGATGATTCTCAGTTGCGGGTAGATTATAGATGGAAGATAAGCTTGAATTAATTCAATGGCCATCACACGTGGTGTTCTAAAATCATCCCCCAGCGACCTAGAATTATCGCTGTACAGCGACGATATCTCCAGCCATAGGGTCTTTTCCATTCGCTGCCTGCTCTACTTTACCCACCGCTGTTGACTAGTGCCAAGTTGATGAAAATATGAAGAAAGGGCTCAGCCCTGGGCCCAATGAGGTAGCTGAGCAGAAACAAGGATTTGCACTGTGGCAGCAACACTGGAGAGCCCACCTGCGCTCGGAAGTGTGTGGGCTCAGGGTGTCCACACTCCCACAAACCCTTGATCCCTGGGATGGTATGTGACGGCCGAGATCACAGTGGCACCCTTTTCTGTTCACCATATCTGGGTTCCTCTATACCCCGACTTCACCAACTTCTTGATTTCAAGAAATGCGCACGACTCCCAGCGTCGGCATCGTCAGTCCACTGCCGTTGAAACATCGGATCCTACGGAAGACGCGAAGGCGCACGGGGTCATTAGTGTGACGTGCGCTGCAGCGCAGGGAAGCCAATACCTTTTTGTCGTGGCTGTCTTGGTCCGATCGGGCCAATGGGGTTCAATCGAGAAACGCACGGAACATTTCCTTGACCGGAACTCAGACTGGCCAGGCCCGACCAGTAGGTTGCACCCTGAATTTTGCAGTCCGGGACTGAGCCTGTCCAACACGGAGAGCGTCGGTCTGGAATGACCTGTCATTGCAGCTGAGACCAATCATAGTTATTCTCGCAGCGGGTACCTGGATGCTGTTCTCCCTCTGTCCACAGGCTCGGGGCTCCGTGGGCCCGAGACTCCCTTATGCTCATTGGCCCCATGCACTGGATCAGCCCCTGGAACCGTGGGAGTCCAACGGTGGCGCCCACTGGAGCCCTGGCTGAGGTGTTCTCGAATCAGGGGCAGGCGGTTTTCCAAGGGCCCGGGAAAGGCTCTGCAAGCCTACGTTGCTACGAGCATTACGGGGTACAGTGCCTCACAGACTTGAGAGGGGAACGAACACCCGGAAAGAGACTGTTTATCGCTCGAAATGACAATGCGAATTCGGGAGGGAGTGGACGCGTCGACTGTCACGAGCAGCCGGCGTTTCAGATCCCCGCGGATCTCACGTGGTGGTTGCCGTTCGACGGCATTTGGGGACGATCAAAGCCAGCTATGGATAGACCAGGACAGAGAATGGGTAGCTGGGCAGTCAGGGCAGTCTGGAACGACTCAAGTTGGGGACAAGAACAGGAAGGTTTCTGGTTGCCTCGACGCCACGGCTGGTCATTGCACGATAGCACGGCAAGGTCTCTGGTCCGTCCCCTGGATGGTGTCACAGTGGTCAGTGGTCAAGAGCAGAGTGGGACAAGCCTCTTTTCTGTACCATCCGCTGCTGGGGGTTGTGTAAGGAGAAGACATGCAAAACCCCTCCTCGGCGACGGCGGAGAAGGCTTGTTGCCCCGTCATGATGTGGTTTTGGACATATGCAAGCCGATGCAGGGGCCAAAATCCAGGAGCGGGCTTCCCAGTCAGACCGACGCAGGATGGCCGGTTAGGAGAAACCGGTTAGGAGAATCACGGGGGATCATCTGCGTTCATCGCAGCCCTGGACAGATTAGGGGAGTTCTAGAGGGTTGTTCCCGCTAGACTGCTTAGTCGCCCCCTCCCTTCCCCCCTTCTCCGGTCTCCGGACTGCCGGGCATGAATCGATAGAACCAATGAACCGAAATAGATTAATCGAGGCTAAAGATTCGAGGCGGTCGGAAGCGACGCCCCACGAGGTGCCAATAGAAGCAACTAAGGCTGTTGTTGTTCCCAGTTTGGAACGGGGTTCCTGTTAGTCAGCATCTCCTGATTCCATTCACGCTCGACACTCTCCTCTTTCTTCTTCCTGTGTGTCTTCATTCCCGTTCTCTCCCCCCTCTCCCATTCGTTTCTTTTCGTCCTGCCAGGTCGCTCGTTTCACTCTTTCACGACGACCGTACCGCTCTTTCTGTCCCCTCCCCTTTTCGCTTCCTCGAACGTCTTCCTCTTCGAAGCCGACCGTTCCCTATCCTGTTGATCGATTCAACTTGGATATTGCGATTTCACCAACCTCGACCACTCTCGAACCCCTCTTTGTCGGATTTGATCGGTTGATTATTGGGGACTATCGATTGCCCTTCTATTGGAGCTGCATAGGCCAGCCTTTTTTTATACCCTCCATTCCCACCTCCCCAGGACGCCTCTGTGACGCGCCCTTGACCCAACCACCCCCGTTTTTTTGACGTGGATATCATTCGAACGCGACTTGCATTCGGCCCGATCTCCCTTCGCCAAAACGCTTACATTCATTTGAACTTACCCTCTCGCGCTTGACGCTGCTTCGAGAGAATAGGATTTAAAACACTATCCTGTCATTATCTGTCTGCACCCGCATCTCCACTTGTCGGCCGGATCGTCACGCATCGACTCTTTCTGACGAAACGTTCTATCTACGACGCTCGTCAAACCCTTTCGAAGAAAAATCCAACAACCAAAAAAACTCGCCAGTACATATATCATCTGCTTTTTCGAATTGTTGGCGCGCAATCATGTCTTCATTGTCAGAAACGCCTGATCCCTCGATGGGTGCGGGCCCTGCGACTACTGGCTCCTCTTCGCCTCCAACTTCTACCCCCTCTCCCTCAACCTCGAGCGCGACCACCGCTCCTTCGAGTGCATCTGCGCGTCGGCCGCCTCGTAAGAGCACCTTGACTCAGCAGCAGAAAAACAACAAACGTCAACGAGCCACTCAGGATCAATTGGTTACCCTCGAGCTTGAATTCAACAAGAACCCTACACCTACTGCCGCTACTCGGGAGCGAATCGCTCAGGACATCAACATGACTGAGCGGTCCGTACAAATTTGGTTTCAAAATCGGTAAGGTTCTTTTCGAATTCCTCTTGGAATAATAATAATAATATGAAACAATCCGTTCTAACTGCGCTTAGTCGTGCGAAAATCAAGATGCTCGCTAAGAAGAGCATTGAGACTGGTGAGGGTTGTGACTCGATTCCGGAATCGATGCGTCATTACCTCGCGATGCAATTTGATCCTAGCAAGCCTGGCGCCCGAGATGCTTTTGGGCGATCAAACGGATATGGAGCACCTGGCGGCATGTATGCGAGCGAGCCTAATCCATCTGGGAAAGTCGGTATGTATACAACAAATTCGGTTTGAGTCAATTGTCCGCTGATCAATTTGTGTTAGTTATCTCGCATTTCACTTGTCGTTCCTTGACGATTGGTAGCTGGCGCCGGATTGGCCAGAATGCCATGGACCTGGTTGTTTTCTACTCACCTGATAAGGCCTGCATGACTTACTATATAAATAACGACTCCGCAGGCTACAAGATCGAGTATCCTTTTGCCTATATTAAGAACATCACTCTAGAAACTGGAGATCCGAATCCTGGGCCAAATGGTGCTCCGGTACGACCCGGTGGCTTGGTGGTCGAACTTAACCGCCCACCACTCTTTTACATGGATTCCTCCAACTCCGGGGGGTTCTATCAATGTGGGGATTTCACGGAGGAGCAGCAAGCCAGCCAGATCATGATTCATCACCTGGGAGGCCATCCCAAGGTTCTCAGTGTCCAGCTGGCTAAACTTGTTTCTTTGGAATCCTTCCAGAATCGCCTGGCCTATGGCAACAGCAGCACTTTCGCTGTCCCTGCCGCCCCCGCTGCCATGTCGCCTCCGTTCATCCAACGACCCGCCTCTCAGCCCAATCATTTCGCCCCTGCCGCGTACTTGAATCTCTACCAGGATCACAATCACTTGGGCTTCAACATGCCTGCTGCCCGCGGGCATAAGCGCCAGCGAAGTCGCTCTGTGCCCGTGGCGGTCGACATATCTGTACTGCAGGGTCCCATGTCATCGTTTCCTGTGCCTCAGACACCAGCACCTTACAACCACGCTGATTCTGGTATCTATGCACCGGTCCCGCAGTCGGCCCATGCTCTTCCTACGGATCTACGAATTGACACTGGCGGTTACGGACTGGATTTCCGGACTAATCCGATGTCTGCAACAACTCCTGTATCGCCGTCCGACTTCGCTAGCCCGTCAATGTTCAGCAGTGCTGCCCAGGGCGACTCTACGCCTGTTGCTAGTATGGCACCGCAATTTTCCATCCCTTTCGCCAGTGGGCCTTCGGATACATCGACCGTTGGATCTCACACTGCATCACCGTACTCCGGTGTCAGTCCTGCCGATCCCATGATTGCGAACCACTCCCCACCTCTGTCCAGCATGTCTCACACCTCGTCTGATATGTATGGCTTCTCGCACGATCAACAATCGGCGTTTGTCGATGATGGGCTATCCATGAACGATATGTATTCCAAGCATAACGTCAACTATGCTGTCTCACATGATGCTCCGAGTTTTGAGCTACCAATGCATGGCATGTCTGGCCACGCCTCCCCGGCGTTGGGCGACTATTCCCATGGTATGGTCAATCTAGATGAGATAAATTCGCATGGCCTGCCCTCTGAGTCTTGAGTATCTTGCGCTTGGTTTTTACCTTCCTCTTCTACTCTTTTTCTTTTCTTTTCCCATTTTCTCATGTTTCACGGCCTTTGGAGTGCTTGTGGCGCTTATGTCGATGGGTTCTTGTTTCCATCTCGGAAGATTCCTTATTTCCCACTGTTTTAGGCCATTTTTCTTTGCTCTGAGGCGTTTTGGGCCCCAACCAGACCCCAGGGCATGGCAAATAGTCACCGTGGGCAATTACGCGTCTCGCTGGCGAAGGCCGGGAAAGCAAATCCGGTTGGACTGGTTGCTGTTTCTCTTGATTGCGTGACATATATCCCTTCTGTCTTGTGTGTTGTATTAATACCCTTTCCATTCTGGGGCCGGTCCTGAAGCGTTTTGATTGCTTTTTTGCTTGACTGTTTTTTCACATTCCCAACGGTATTCCCAGATGTTCTGGTTGAATCCTGATTCTCTTTTTTCACATTTTTTTACCTTCTTACACATGTTTATTTTCATACCCTGACCACCCACTTCTTATCTTGTCTTAGATTTGCTGGTTTGGGTCCTCTTTTTACGTGGTTATGCCAAACAGACCGACATTTGGACGGCGATTCTTTGCCCCCTGATTTATATTTTCCTATCTATGTTTTGTGAGTTTTTTTGACTTTAACCGATGGCGATGAGATAAGTCTGATCATAGATCAGACTTGTTCTCCACTCCCATCTTCATGCTTGTCATGCATTTCATCATCATGGTCTTGGAATCGACCTGCTTGCGTGGTCCGTCATGTTGGCACCTGATTATGGTGTCTTATGACCCCCGTTTTAACTCCCTTTTGGCGCTCCTTGTCAGAGTTGAGATATTCTGAGCCAGGGATTAGAGCTTGATGATGATTTGGCTTTCAACGAGTGTGGGAGATTGACGCTAGGCTCCGAATCAATTCCTTTTTTGTCCATCAAGTTCCAGTAGATTTCTAAGACCTGCTTGTGCCTGTAAAATTCATATATCCTGGACCAGTTTTCTCGATGTGAACATAATGATAATCTCCCTCAATAACACGAAGGAGTCTCATCTACCTCGGCGGAAGAATAGCAAGCTGCAATGCTGTGAGACCTTAATCTATACACAAATTATATGCGTCACTAAATGTTGGATACCAAATATCGTACACTTCATGGCTTGAGTCTTCTCACCCGGTCTGACCCAGGAAGGAATCACTGTTCCCAGCCCTTTGGCGCCGGCGCCGTATAACCTTTTTTCTCACGAAGATACTTCTCAATCCACACTTCCATCTTCTCCAAAACATTGCGCTCTGGCTTTCCCCGCTCGCCCGGTTCAAATACCCCCTCTTTGCACCATACACTCCACGACCCCATCATCCCTGCCATAATCACATCCGTACCGAGTCGATCTCCCACGACGGCGATCTCATGCGGCGACTGGATCACCTCGTGCTCGCGGAACCACTGCACCACTTCCTCGCCGCAGAACGGTTTCTTTTCCGTCCCAGTCGGCAGTCGGAACACCGGTATGCGCAGATGCGCGAGTTGCTCTTCCAGCGCGCTGACCTCACCGTCGTAATTCGGGTGGCTGCCGGCGCGGTTGGAAACGATGAGAATGGCGTGTGGGTTGCGCGCCTGGTGGAAAGGAGAAGTGGGCGAGTTCCGGAGCTCATGTAGCTTTTCCAAAATCTTTGGAGGGAAAGTGGTGGTTTTGGGAGGGCAGAGGGTATTGTCTTTGTCGAGGACGAGGGCGCGGATCCTGGGGATTCGTGGTTGCGCGGGTGTGCTGGCTTTCTCGGGAGACTCGGAGGCGCCTGCGCTTCCTTTACCGGCTGTACCGATGAGATGAGGACCGAGATCTTCTGGAAGGTGAGTGAAAGTCGGGATAGTGAGGTGTGGGAGGAATTGGGCCGGTTGTTTGAGGAGTGTTTGTACGGCGTGGTTGAAGCCGCGCAGGTTGGAATTGGGCGAGCCGGCCATTGCTAGCGGTCGTTCAAGAAAGAAGAGGAGGATGTCCGGGAGTTTTGATGTGGGCGCGAATCACTATTGTAGATGCATGAGGCAGGCTATTATGGAACCGCGGCGTGGCCGGTGTGTAGTTGCGATGTCGTTTGGTCGAGGCTTGGGAACCCAGCGTTCTTGTCCCAAAGCGGAAAGGAAGACCTTAGCCGCAAAACTCGCCGTCTCGCGACCTCCGCCAAACCCTCCATCACTGCTATCCACCACCTCACCCCACCAACGCCGCCCTGCTCTAACACCTACGACTCCTTGGACGAGCGGCCGTGTGTGATCGCAACCCAGATATCCTCGTCTTTTGAATTTGATTCCTTTCCGTCACACATTCCCGCGTCAAGATGGGCAAGCTCACTAGCACCATCGGCATCCCGATCAAGCTCCTGAACGAGGCGCAGGTACGTTACATTGGCCCATAATACTGCTTGAGGCATACAATTAGAACAAAATTCGACCTTGAGGGGGGATTTCTTTTCGGCTGCGCTGCCAGACCGCTAATTCCATCTCTGCAGGGCCATGTCGTGACGCTCGAGATCACATCCGGAGTCGTCTACCGAGGGAAGCTGTTGGAAGGTGCGTAAAATAAAACTGCGATCTGGATTCTTTGTCAATGAACTGCGGGGCCATTTCAACTCGCCTTTGTGGCCTATTGGACTTGAATTGCATCAGCAACAGAACTTCCGCTAACTCTTTTCTCCATCTGAACAGCCGAGGACAACATGAATGTCCAGCTTAAGGACATTACCGTTACCGCCCGCGACGGTCGTGTCTCCCATCTCGATCAGGTCTACATTCGGGGAAGCCATGTACGATTCTTCATCGTACCGGACATGCTGCGGTACGTCGAATCGTGATCCCGGATCACTACATCAACCTTCTTTTCAATCTCTTTTCTTCCAAATAAACCAATGCTGACTCTCAATTTTTCAATCAGGAATGCTCCCATGTTCCGCTCACGAGGCCAGCGCGGACGCGGTGTTGGGTTGGCACGTGGCAAGGCCACTGTGCAGCGCGCTCGCGGCCAGCGCGGTAGACCTTGAATACGTAATGCGAATTAGGACGAAAGTGCAGTTTTCAAGACCTGGGAGATTCTAGTGGTTGGCGTTCGTCATTTACATGTGTTTTTTGCTGGTTCTTTCGAGGGGGAAAGTTTCCCTGGCTTCTTTTCGCCTTGCCAGCCTTGAGCTGAAGATACATGGTCGCAGGGCTCTCCTGTTCTTCTCGCTCATGAATGAATACCCGGTATACAAAATTTACCTTGATATTGGAGGAATTGTCTTTGCCTAGACAGGTTTCACAGACACTGGGTTTCAGATGGCATTGTGCTCAACAAAGCTTCAGTTCCGATTTCCCATGATCAGAATATCAAAAACAGGTTCCTATGCCAATTGAATTGACGGGCCCGGACGTAAATTTCCAGTAATATAGTGCTTATAACATATCAATTTGTTTTGCGGAGTGGTAGCGTATTGATAGCGACGCGCTATCAGTAGCCACGCATCTCCGCAACTTTTTCTGTCGATGCGGGGATAAGCTTCCTTCCCCCTTCAACCACACCACGGCCTCAACTTATCCAACGCAGTCTTTCTCCTTATTTTCTTTTATATCCAATCCAAAGCCCAAGAAAAACTCATGACCGTTCTGCCTGGCTACCACCAGTAGCAGATATTTAATCATGGCCTCCTCGCCACCCTCATCAACCCCCCGCAGACCCCTCTAAGCACATCGCCAACCCTCGACGCCTGCTCATTCTCACGCCAACATCCCAATCCCTCTCAACAATACCCCCTCTCCTCCACTCTCTCACCGGGGTACCCGTCCACGACCCCCCGCAACACGAAACCATCCCAGAAACCCCAGCATCTCCGTCCGATCCCTCCTCGCTCGCAGCCCCAGCAACCACAACCTCCTTCGCAGGCTACACAACCCACAGCCCTCTCCGCCTTGCCACAAAATACTACTCTGCCGAAATTCCTCTCTGGGTTGACGAGATACCCCTCGCATCCACCGACGTCGTCGCCTCACAGTGGCGCACCGAGTTTCTCAGCGACGAAGCCGAGATTGTCCGCGATGCTGTCGGCGCGCTCGTCGTGTGTGCTCAAAAACCGGAGTCCAGCACTGCACCCGATGCGCTAGATTCAAATATTGCGCGGCGTCCAGACATCCGCGCACTGCTGGACCTGATGCGGGATGTTGGAGCAGTAAAGGGGCGCATTGATGAGGAGCGCGGCGGCGTTGGTGATGTGCCGGGTGTGTTTGTATTGTTGGGGAGTCGCAAGGCTGGCGTGTCGGTGTCTACGGCTACGGCTCCGTCTCACAGGGATGCAGAGTCAGCGCTGGGTGTGGATCAGGAGGATTTGGGGGATGGTGCGATAGATGTGCCGCTTTCGGTGGCATGGTGGGAGGAGCAGCTGTTTGAGTTGGGGCTGTTTGGGTGGGAGATTATTGAGTGGGATCCGCAGGATCAGGGCAGTGTGAAGACAAGGAATATGTTTGGAGGTTCGTTTTGCTGTGCCATTGGTTCCCGGAGGCTTTGGATTGTAGGATGCTGGGCTAATATGTGTTCACAGAATTGGAAGGCATGCCACGCATCAAGGAAGTGCTGGAAACGCATGACTGGAGTGCGGCAGGTGGGCTGCAGGATCTTGATCCCGAGGCAGATTCTGGATTCGACTTCGATGATGACCTCGAGAAAGAGTTACTTAGTTTCGATAGGTCAATGCATACACGCGGTTTTGGCCAAGAGGTTCAGGAGCTCGAGCGCGAGATGTTTGGACTACGGATGGCTATTGAACGTGGTGGTGAGTTTGGGGACAATGAGGAGGTTGAGGAGGATGAGGATGAAGAGCTCAAGGTTGAGTCTATCGAGGGTTTGATGCTGCGTATGCAAGCTATTAAAGGTATGCTTCACATTTGAACAGAGAATTCGTTGCAATTGGGTACAAATGCTGATACAGATGAAGATATGGGCGCTGAGTTACCGGAGAATGAGCGCAAGAAGTTCGCTGCGAAGGCCGTGCAAAATATCATGCGTGACCTATAGGTATCGTATTCCTAATACTGTTGTGTGCGTGGAATTCTTCTGAGAATGTACATATATCAATAGACATAGCTAAACCCCATTTTACAATTTTATGTTGCAATCAATTCTACGTAGACATCTGCCCATGCTGCATTGACAGTGATTCAAGGTAACTGAGGGTTGGCTTATTCATTTCACTTTTGATGTTCATATAAGAGATTAGGAATGTTTTGTTCTATTGTCTCTGCAGGCATTTCAAATGTGAACTAAAGCCATGCATGATATAAGATTTATACAAATACAAATGTAGGTAGACATTTTCCAATTTATGTCCGACAGCTGACACAGCATCTCACAGGCGTCATGATAAAGCATGCCACTCTATTATCTTCGCCATAGCAAGAAAGCACCATTATTCTGATTTGAAAGCATGCTGATTCACCTAATCAGCGCGCTTCTTGCCGCGAAGAACCTTGCGCCGTTGTGCGATCATGTGCGTGTACAGCACATAGGAACCTATGTCGAGTCAGTACCATAACTTTATTTGCGACCTCGCAAGAGATATGAGTTAAGTAGGTAGACATACCCGGCACATAAATTATGAGAATAGCGATAAGAGCCCAGCGGAACAATGGGTTGATCGCAGCCGCTGGCTCCAGCGCCTTGAAAATGAGCGTGCACTCGCTTGAGATACCGATGGGATAAAGGATGTAGAAAGTGTTGTATCTGTGCACATGCAAAAATAAATATCAGCGACAGCATTACCAAGATGCGGACGGAAAGCTACACAGAACACATGAACTTACCGCAACCAGGTCCACCACGCAGGCACTGTATTTCCTGAGAGCGTGATTGCAAAGAACCCATATCGAATGATCTCGGTGATTCCCCATGCACCCACACAGCCCAGATACGCATAGTCACCCAATTGGGCAACGCCATCAGCGCCGACAATATCACCGGCAAAGGGAAACATGATGCCCCAAACCAGTAGCAGTCGGGACGCAACCTGCATCGCAGTGGTCATGACAGGAGCGCGCACCAGACGCACCAAGCTGTGGAGAACCTCAAGGATGGCAAGTGACTGGGTAGCCAGAAGAAGCGGGTTGAAAGTGAGGCGGAAGACGGTGGGAAGGTGCTTGGTCGGGGCGTAGGTTGGCAGCAGGCTGACCGTGTACACGACGCAGAGGCCCCATGTTGCCAGATTGAGGGTGTTGTAGGTAAAAAGATAGCCCCGTGTCAGGCCTGAGGGGCCTGAGGGACGTGCCGATGGGGTGGAGGACGGCATTCTGGGAGGAAAGGAAGGTGGGTGGTCGAGATACACAGTTGCAGTTGGCAGGTGTGTTGATAGCCAAACTGTCGGGTAGTTTAGAACGGAGTGTGGGGACGTGCCCCCGAGTCAGTGCTCAGCTTCCTTTACGGTAGGCGGTACACATGGACTTAGTCATAACCTGGCAGAATGGGGGCGAGTGTTCTGGAAGCTTCAGGCGGTCAGTGAATTTTTTCTGATTAATGGTGGGGGAAGAGGGGCGTATACTAACTACTTCTTTTTTTGGGCCGACATTTTCCTTCTTTATTCTCCCACCACTTCCAGCCTTGTGTCGTTTACACTAAAAAGCTCCAAGAATCCACAGTCATTTTGACCGAAAAGTCCTTACTTGCCACCATTCTTTCACACCCCTCGTGAATCATCCATTCACAATGTCGGCTGCCGATAAGCCGGAGTCGCAGTTCCAGAACGTTGGAGATCTGGTGGAGCAGAATGAGGACACTGGTGTTATGCAAGTTGAGAGTCTCTGCATGAATTGCCACGAGAATGTATGCCTTATCGCGCATGACCCGCAGGACCTATTTTATATATCAAGCCGATTTCACTAACTTTATCTGATAGGGTACTACTCGCCTACTACTCCTCCGTGTTCCGTTTTTCCGTGACCTTATTCTCGAATCCTTTGAGTGCCCGCACTGCTACTTCAAAAACAACTCCGTGAAGTCTGCTGGACAGAGTAAGTCCAAGAATACAGCCCTCCAGAGGGACAAAAGAAACTGACATTTGTCCCCCCAGTCCAGGAACTAGGAAGCAAATATACTCTTGAGGTGGAGAATGTCGACGATCTCCAACGCCAAGTTATCCGCAGCGATGTTGCCATTTTCAAAATCGAGACTCTGGGTATCGAAATGCCGAAAGAGGGCCAGTTGACAAATGTAGAGGGTCTGGTGCAGCGGATACACGAGTCTCTTTCGGGCGAGCAGCCCCTTCGCAAGGAACATGCCCCTGAAGTTCACGATGCTTTGGAGCCTCTGATCCAGAAATTGAAAGACATTCTGGATGGAACTGGTTTTCCTTTCACCGTCTCCCTCGATGACCCTACCGGCAACTCTTGGATCGCCCCCAACACCTTGGACAAGGGTAACAAATACAAGAGAACCGAATATCCCCGCACCCCAGAACAGAATGAAGAGCTTGGCCTTAGCGCCGAAACTGAGCCATCAACCGCAATTGAGGCCAACCCGGCTACCGGATATGGGGATCCAGACGATCTCGATCTTGTCGACGGAGTCTATACGCTACCTGCACACTGCCCTGGCTGTGCTAAGGATTGTGTGGTCAATATGCAAAAGATCTCTATCCCGCATTTCAAGGAGGTTTTCAGTAAGTTTCTCACAGTGAGATTGGATTGTGTTCTTGATACTAATTCGGAATCTAGTTTGGGCTACTGTCTGCGCCCACTGCGGTTACAAGAGCAACGAAGTTAAGACTGGTGGAGAAATCCCGGAGAAGGGCAAGAAGATCACCTTGTCCGTTGAGAATGAGGTAGACTTGAGTCGCGACGTCCTCAAGTCCAACACCTGCGCCATGTATAGTGAGGAGCTTGAGCTTGAAGGTAAGACCTACCCCTTGTTTTCTGTATATTCTTCCATCCCCGGCAGTAACTAAAGTTGAGTTTCATCAGTGCAATGTGGTACGCTCGGTTCGCGCTTCACAACCATTGAGGGCATTTTGACCGAGATTCGCGATCAGCTGTCCTCTACCATCTATGATATTGAGGATACTACTACTCGTCAAGGCGGTGATAGTATGCCTGAGGCGGAGAAAGGAAAGTGGGCACAGTTCTTTTCGCGTCTCGATAAGGCGATCAGCGGAGAGCTCAAATTTGTGATCACTCTGGTTGATCCGCTGGCCAACAGCTACGTGCAGGACCTCTGTGCCCCTGCCGCCGATCTGCAGTTGAAGGTTGAGGAGTACACTCGTACTGAGGAGGAAGAAGATGATCTTGGCCTCAAGGATATGAAGACTGAGGGGTACGAGGAAGATGCGAAGGATGAGGAAGAGAAAGAGCAGACTGAAGAGAAGTCCGAGGATAAGCAACAGGCGGTGTCCGCTATGGATGACATGCTTGATCAATCCATGGGTAAATAGATACTTAATTTGATGAAAGAAATGTATTCCATGTCAAGTTCTTAGCCTGCTCCCCTTACACACGTACCTGTCATACTTAGTGCTACCTTGTACCTTGCTGCTCCCCCTTTTGTCTTCAGTGGAGTAGTGTATTACCTCCAATAAAGAAGCTCCCACGTGGCATTGTCAGCAATAGCAATTCCAATGTTAAACAAAATGCTATGTGCACTCTCCCCGGCCGCAATCGCATCATCGTTCATATGAGCAATCATGGAACCATCAGACTATCATGGCGATATACGTCCTGACGATCTCAAGAAGTAAAAGGCCATTCATATTCTACCCGCCCCCTGCCTCCGGTGGTGTGTTGGGTGTTGATCTGCCCCAGCCAATGTATAGAAATTTCCAAATCAAGTTCCAGGTTGTATCCACAACCCTAGTCTCCCGGCTTTTAGATTCCTATTGGCCGCGACTTCACCATTCCCTATTGCCTTGTCTACGCTTGTCCGGAGCAACGCCTGTAAATCACCACAGAACTCATGAAGGATTCTGCCCCTCGTAAGTGCCAGGGTCTGATTGCGTTAATTGCCTTTTTTTTGGTTCCATATTCCATCCCGCTTGCATTGTCTGCGACAACAGATCTCCTCGTCTCCGAATCACATACGGCTCAGCCCAGTCAGCGACAGGGTGGGGGTGGGGGGAAGGGGAGGTTTGGTGTAGGTTGATCCGAGGAATAACGGGCGACCCCAGACCGCTCGGTCGGAAGCGGGCAGCTGGGGCAGTACAGTACCACTCCATCAATGTGGAAAGACGGTCAATATTCCTCCGTCTCGTGGGATGATGTATCACCGGCCACTGCACTATCTAATTGCCACTAGCAGGCAAACGTTTCCAGGGCTATCACCTGTCACCTCGTATTGGATGGGTGAAAAAAAAAAGCAAACATAGAGTGGAGTCTTACAGCTATTTTTAGGGGTCGCTTGGGGGAAGCGAAAAAGGAGGGGGGAAACTGGGGAATTGGAGAAGACATTGAAGGCAGAGAAAGGGAAAAAAAAGGGGGCGGAAGCTAGAAACAGGCCCGCTATTCTCAAGTTGGGCAGAACAAGCATCTTCAGCATCACGATGGCGTGTTTGCCAGACGAAATGAGGATTGGCATTGAAGCACAAAGTACAAGGCAATTTTGCCGACGGCGGCATTGGGGGGGGGGGGGGGGGGTCAGCCCGGCTCGAACGAACGAGACGGTAAAAGAGAGCTATAACGAAAGTCATCAAGGCGGGAAAGTATTGGGCGGCGAAACTAAGTGATCATGCCCCCTTGTCATTCGGGGATTCATTGAAAAAAGACATTGAAGCAGGGACCAGCGGGGGTTCTAGGCTAGGCCCATTTTCAAAGATGATGGGTGTACTCGGTTTCTGACCCGCGTGAGATCTCCGGGCAAGAAGTACGGGGCGAAACGAAAGCCTCGGTGTTATATACTTCGCCGAGACCAGACGCTGTGGGATCCTCGGGGGTATGGCACGCATCGAACGAGGAACGTGTCTGGCAAACTCCGACCGTTGCCCCGGTTCGCATGGAACGTCGCAATGAATGTCAAGCAATTTCAATATTTACTCGGGGCGGATGTGAGTTCAAGGAATCTGCAGCCCGCGGTGGACTAGGTGTACACTACTAAGGCGATGACCCCCGTTGTTGCGTCGCACTGATTTCTCACCCTCACCCTCTCTGTGTCCCGGTCCCGCATCGCACGGGCAGATGCTGCCTGACATCATGGAGGGGATGATGCTGCCTTGCATGGCGCTAGACAGAAAATGTCAAAAAAAAGCCCCCCAAAAGACCAAAAAAAACCCCTACTGCCAACCCCGTCTTGAGTACCATATCAACGCAGGAAAGCCAGATCCAACCAGAGCTTGATCTCAGCCCGTTCGGATAACTAGGTGTTTACCGGTCCTAATAGTTCGTGAACGAGTGTGCCCCTCAGAGTGAGTCGACCCGATGAACCCTCTTCCGTCATCGCGACCTCTCGGCACCGAGGGAGCGGAGTCGAGGATGTACAGTAGAAGCAGATCGTGGAGGATCGAACAAACCCCCCCCCCTGTCTTTCTCCACGAAAGCCGATGACATCAGAGGCTGTGACCGCCGGAGAGCAGCTCCGCCGTGATGTCATGGCGCCTGGCACCGCGCCTGATTGGCGGGCCAGTCTCGGGGCCAACCACTTCACACGAAAATCCCAGACGACCGCCCACAGAAACGGGGAATGTGCCCTTGGTATATAAACAAATGGCTCGGTAACGCGCGAACAACCAGCAGTGCCATCGTCTCTGAAGAAGATGGGATTCAATATCGGGTCTGAAAACGCGTCTGATGTCGACCGATAGAGCGGAGGGAGGGCCTCTGTTGCAACTTCACGCCCGAAGGACATTGCTTTTCCCCCCTTTTTTCGCTCTCTCTCGACCAGCGTCATCGGTGACAGCATTATCGTCTGAGCCTAGTCACCCGGTTCCTGGTCCCCCGTCCCCCCTCCATTTCACCTCTCAGATCGCACCAAATCACCCTCGAACCTTGTCCGGATATCAATCACATCTAACAGAGGATCCAGGATCTCATCTCAAGCGGTCAGGTCCTCCGTTCCAGGAAGAATGGGCCTGGCTCTGTCAGAAGACGCTCGAAAGAAAAACAATAATACACATGCAACATGACGCCAGTTGCCGGTAGAATTCCTGGGCGCCGTGTTGTTGCGGCAGTCACGGTCCTCGAGGGCCCAGACCCGTCTGTTCAACTGGGTCACCAACATGTCCTGGGCGCCCAATCCGTTCCGTCCGTTCGATCGTTCGGAAACCCTCCCTGCTACACGAGCCGGTCAATGGGGCTGGTTTCCCGATAGGAGCAAACTGCACAGAGATCAAAGGACGGCGACTAAATCCTTGTCTCACGTCTCGACCTGATGACACCCCTGCTGGTCTGTTCTTTTTCGCCGGTAGCCCCCACCCCTCCCCTCTCCTTCCCTTTTTTTGGCCTTTGGTCAGACATTCTGTCATTCTTGGAGGGAGCAAGAAACCCGGTGGGGGTGACCCGTACTATTGGTAACCGCCCCTCGTCCCTCTTTCGGCATAGCTGCCAACGAGCAGACCCGTTGTTGCCCTCTCGTTCCTTGGCCATACTATCTTCACTCGACCACACGACTAGTAGACGAAGAAAAAATACTTCCCTGGGCCGGGACTGAGGATCAGTTATGGTCCCACGTGTGGGAGCATCGGGCCATCCATGTTCTCTCCCTCTAGGAACATCGCACTGAAAAAGATGACAAGTGACGTCTCCGGGTAACTGGGATCGGCGCTCCGATGATGTCGCTTCGGCGGCTGGAATTAACTGGCTCCCCCCCTCCCCCCCCCCCCTCTCTCCCTGCTGCGAGATCGGTTGACCTTTCCTCGGTCATGATGGCTGTAGATTCCAGGTTACATTTGTCGCCGGGCTAGGCGGGACTCGGACGAACTGGGGTTTTGACTGACGCTCTACCTGTCCCTTTATTATTATTTTTTGGGGGGAGAGAAGTGCATGCCGTTATCTGGCTTTCCTACTTGGGTCGCAGAGCGTAGGGTTAAGATGGATATGTGTGGATCGTGCTTGTGCTTGTGTGCTTCGCAGAGGCACGACAAAAGGAGGAAGAGATGGGCTGTCGATGATTTCAAGGGATGAATTTAGTTCCCAGTGAAGTTGATCGAACAATATCATACTTTGATATATTCATTCCGTGTTCCTCATAGTATTTCTTAGCCTATTTTGTTTTGCCCCCCCCCCCCGTCCTTGAGGTTGTCCTTTACTGGCCGTTCGCGGATAGTAACCGGAGTCCGGATACCCCCAATCCATGACCCAGGTTTTTTTTAGTGTTTTTTTTTAGTCAGGTTGACAGAATCCGGGCCCCCAAGATGATAAAAGGAGAGCGCAAAAATCGGATCTATAGGTGATGGAATCAATTGATGCCCAATATGGGGATGGCTCGAGGAGGCGAAGGTACAACGTGCATCGGTTGGCGGCGAGAAAGGGTGACCGACGTGGAATGGAGCCAAGGCTTAACATTGGGGGGGGGGAAGGGCGGGTTTGAAGAATCTAGATCCGGCGCCTAGATCGAAAGAGAAACCCCAAAAGCCAGCCATTGAAGACGAATCGAAAAGAAATGAAATAAAATCAAATGCGAGAGAACCCAAAAGACCAATCAGAACCAATCAGAATGTGACGTATGAGAACGGCCGGGTGTGATGGTCTGTGTCTCATTGATAGCTTCTGGGGCAGGGAGAACAGCAGCAACATCGGGATCACTCCCATCGTTCATGGATATCCGTTCCGATCAGGAAGATCAGGAAGATCCGCCCGCGCAGGACGACCAGCCCAGGGTCAGACCAGAGGAATAGCAATAACGGGCATGAACTATGAAGATTCTCGGCATCCACGTTGTGGTCCTGTTCTTCCGCCAAAATACCCACCCCGACCCAACGTTCTCCGGCTCCCGTTCTCCGCCCCTCGCTAACTATTTTCTTCGCGGCTTCTTCTCGGTCACTGGGCTCTTTTCCCCTTTCTTCCTTTCATCCTCCCAGCCCAACTCGCTCCTCTCGCACCCTCGCAACACCTCGCGGGCTCGTCCCTGGTCTTGCGTTTCGGCTCCCTTAAACCCACCTCGCCCTTCTTCGACGTGGCCCTTGACACGCAAAGGTGGGATGAACCAGCTCCAATCAACCCCCGTTAAACCCAATCTGCCCCTCCTTTTTTGTGCTTGAACCCGAACATCAACTGGCCTGTGTCCATTCGGTTCTACACGCGATACCCGATTGATGGTCCATCCTCCCTATCCTTTTGCCTGCGATTCTTTCGCGTAAATCCCATCTGACGTTTTCGTTTTCCTTTTTTTCTTTTTGATTCTGTTCTTTTCCCCCCCCTCTCTGTTTCGCTATTTTTTTTTTATTTCAGCGTTCTGCAAACCCCCCCCCCCCCCTTGTCTGCCGATTGCCCCTCTTGCAGTGTGGACCCCCAAGGGCCTCAGGAGCTGGGCTTGCCCTCTCAGCCCCGCCGTGACGCTTGCAGGCCTTTGCGCAGGATTCGACGCCGGAGTATATGCCGACAGGCTAGCTTCGAGCCTCCACTCTGCCACCACCCCTCTACTATCCCACTATCCCACTAGCCCACTAGCCCACTAGCCCACTATCCCTTCCCCTTCTTCTGATCTCTCGGTCTTCTTCCATCCTCGAATTCTTTGCTCTTCCCCCTCGGTCTGTTTCCTCAAACTCTGCCCTCTCGGCTGGCTGCATCCCACAGTAAGCTGCTTGCTATTTACACTCGCCTGCTTTTCCCTGCTCCCCCAAACTAGCGAACAACAACCACTTGACAACACTTTCCCATTCCCCATTCCCCTATCTAAGCCCTCTGAAAGCGCTCTCAGTGACTCTCGATGATGGGGCCTGACACCACGTTCCCATCCACCTATTCTCTGTCAGTTTCAGTCGTGGGCGTGATGGACCTGCATGGGAACGGGACCCTTGACAGCCACCCTGGATCGTGATGGTTCCTGATAGTTCCTGGCGGTCCAGACGCCTGGGCTCACGCGTGATCGATGTATACATGCGCGGGATCATCTGCCTGTCTTTCCATCAAGCACCGTCGAGCACCGCCGTACGACCTGATCTGGCCATAGACTCAGTGGACTCCTGGCCCTTGACCGGATGTTCTCCCCCATGTCTATGTTTTTTTTTTCTGTTTTTCTTTTTTTACTTCATGAACTGGATTTGTAACAGACCGGCATATGAATCTGTCCCCCGCCATGGGATTATAGGCCACCATCCGACCCTTGGCGTCTCGTGAGAGATGACCGAGCATTCCATGGCGGCGGGGGAGGCTTCATCACAGCTGATCTGATTCCCAATAAAACAGCCTGCAACCCCCCCCCCCCCCCCCCATCCTCATCCCCCCAAACGTGACATCGACCCCGCGTTGTGAGCGAACCTCTTGACTAACCCGTCTGTGCCGCAGGTCCCAGTGAGGAAACGATCTGAATCTTCCAGATCACACGTTCGGACTTGAAATCTCAACAGTTGCCGCCCTGTGCAGTGGACTCGGTTGACTCAACGCCTCTCCTGCATCTACTCTGGGGGGCTCTTCTCTCGTGTCTTCTCTTTCTATCTCTCCCTCCCTCCTTCCTTCCTTCCCTCTCTTCTCTTCCTCTTCTCCTCCACCCATCTAATAAAATGGCCCCCACTGTCGCCAAAAAGGCGGAACCCGTACGTATCTCTCCTCGCTGGCAGTGTTCCATGGTGGCACACCCAACTGATCACTGTTTCTAGGCCAAGACCAGCCCCCCTAAGCTGTCCGATGTCGCAGACCTCATTGATGAGAGCACTTTTGAACAGATCTTGGAGATGGACGATGACGATGAGCGTGATTTCAGCAAGGGCATCGTTTACGGCTTCTTCGACCAGGCCAAGGGCACTTTCGAAAACATCGAAGCCGCGCTGTAAGTACCTCCCGTCTCCCCATTGTTGCGGGGCCTGCTTTACCATCTCAAATGAGTGGACCAGAACCGCAACAACACCAACAACCACAGAAGAGAGAGAGAGAGAGATATATATATATATATACAAACGAAAGTGGGAAATAACATGTCTAACCCCTTCCACCTGCAGTGATAGAAGGGACCTGAAGGATCTTTCTCAGCTCGGACACTTCCTGAAGGGTTCGTCAGCAACCCTAGGCCTCAACCACGTCCGGGATGGATGTGAAAAGATTCAGCACTTCGGCAACGGCCTGGATGAGAACGGCAGCGGCAAGTTGTCCAAGGAGACTTGTCTCGCGAACATTGCCAAGACCCTCAAGGACGTGAAGGTGGAGTACGCCAAGGTTGAGAAGTTCCTGTGCCGGTACTACGGCGAAGAACTTACCGAGGAGGAAGAGGAGCCGGTGGAAAAGGAGGAGACGAAGAAGGAGCCCGCGGATGAGGCCAAAGCCGACGTCAAAGAGGAGGAAAAGCCCAAAGCCGAGCCTAAGAAATAGGTGTCGCAGGGTGGCGTGCTTTCTTTTTCTTTTTAGCGACGGATGGAGCATTGCAAATGGCTTTACTTATTTTATTTTCTCTTTTTGTTTTTTATCATTTCCCCCTCCCCTTGTCATGTGTCATGTCTGGTTTCCTGGTTTCTTTGACGTACATACCAATTCCCCTCGCCGCGATCGGACTGCGCCGGACTGGGCACTGCAGTATACAGACAGATTGGATGGGATGGAATCTTCGTTTTATGTGTGCTTTTGCGTTTGCTCTGCCCTTCCTCCTGGAGGGGATTTCTTTGTTGTTCGGGGGCGATTGCCAGCGGGTGATTGATCGTGACAGTGCATGGTTTCCCCCTCTCCGTCGTAGGGGAACCGGGGACTGAAGAAGGCGAGGCTACAGAAGAAACGACAGAGTACCGAGATATGGGAATCCGAGCGCTCCTACGTGGCTATTTTTTGCTTGTCTGTTACTGTCAATGCTGCTGTTGCTCGGGGACGGAAGTCGAATCCAGCTCAGCCAGCCAGAGAACAGCCCAAGAATGAGAGAGGGTTGGAAGAGATTGGGGAGATTCAACTGCTTCCCCAGTTGTCCTATTTTCTTTTCTTTCCGTGGCATGATCCTCATGCTAGTCTCGTGTATTTCCTCAGATAACCCGACGGGGCGGGGCCATCAGCGCCCTCGGAAAGGGTCGTGGGACATGTCACCCTCTTTTCTCCCTTCCTTCACCCCTCAAGTAGCTGTGAGATATTGAAGTTCCCATATACCCTCAGGAAAAACGCCCGCGTAATCCGAGACTAACCTGCACTAGGCCTGGGGGCGATAGAGCTTGTAGCCAACCCTGCTTGCGCGGGCAATAGATTCCCCTCCCCTGAGACGGGCCCATGATCCACAGTTTCCCTTCCCCTCATGCATCTGCGCTGGCGATTGGCGCCCAGGAAAGCTTCCTTCAGCCACCTGCGCGAGCCGGGAAGTCGGTGAGCTTGAATCGACTTCCCTTGGTGGCCCCCGGGGTTGCCCGGAGGAAGGGACGCCACGCGACGATTTAAGCATGATCGGCCCCGTCGATCGTGGAGATCGATCGCGATCGAGAATACTGGTGAGACGCCATAGATACCTCCAATTGACAGCGTCCATCAATGGCCCCGGTTATATACTTCCAGATCCCAAGCCAAAAGAAAGAAAAAAAATTGCCTCCCGCAGATCGTACTGAAAGCATAGTTCACGACGGTGGATCGATTTCCGTTCATCCAGGTTTGCAGCTACCGGGGTCTGAGAGTTATTGAAGCAAAAGTCTCTTCGAAAGCTTGCAACTATCCAGTATACATGTAAACTATACACTATACATGAACACTCCAATCAATCATCGGCACATCGCCATTCCTGTTCTACTCTGTTTACAACTTGGTCCACAGCTTCGACAGTCCAATTATATACTTCCAGCAGCGCGCCACTCGATCGTTGATGAATTCGATTCTCATCATCCTATTGCACAATCCACTACTCGGCCCATCGTCCATCCTGCCATAATGTGCAATCTCCCTGTGATCATCAATCTGCCTCCTTCTACACCTCCTCTGTCCCCTCCGTCGTCTCCGTCACTCTCCACAAGACTCCTCCTGTCCAGTGGCCTTGCAAATTTCAAACCAGGCCACCCGCGATTCCTTTATCCCCGAGCTTCACCGAGGACTCCTGCAGCTTGGCCCGCGCCTGCATCCGCCGTCGCAGGGGGGACGGCCTAGCAGATATGAAAACGAGCCGCGGAAACCTGCATCTTTTGCGCTGGTCGTGGATGGAGACCGTGCGACGCGGCCGGATTGTACTGGTCGACGAGGCGAGGAAGGACGGAGAGAGAGAGAGGAGAAGTCCAACCGACTCACCACGCCGCGCTTTCCGGGCTCGAGTTTAACATATTGGGCTTGCCTTCGGAAGGCGGATATCATTTCTTTTTGTTTTGTTGTTTTTTTTGCCCCTGTTGAACTCCGCGAGCTACCAGACTCTGTACGAGGTGTCGCGAACATGGACCAACAGAGAAAGACCCCTGGATATAATTTGATATCGAGGTATTTGTCAAGCCAACAACCTCAATAACCTAGCGGCCCTGCCGCATCTCTGCAAGGATGGAGAGCAGAGTCCGCCTTTTCCCTCGCTCAACCCCCTTTTTCTCATCCGCGCGGGACAGAACGAAGCACAGGTTGCGGCAGCGCGCAGAATCAGAAACTACACTTAGATGACGTGCCATGGGCCTCAATTCGCCTCGTGCGTGGCCTAGGTCACATCCGCGTTAGCTCTGGAACCAGAAGAGAGGGGGGATGAGGAGTGTGTGTGTGGGTTATGTGTGGACGAGCGAAACAAGCCAGCCGAGCCCACGGGAAGAAAAACAAAACCAAGACGAACGAAACATAGCAGGCACACATCAAAAAAAAAGCCCCGACAGGATGAGGCGATCGCCTGCTCAGCCGGGGAGTAACCGAACGGGGAGGAGGGTGGTTTCTGCGTTACCCTGAGCGCACGGATTCGAAATGCGAAACTTCACGGCAAACCCCCTTTCGTGTTGCCCTCCGTCTGTCCCTGGTCGTCTTGCTCCGACTCTCTGTTTCTTGGAGAATGTCGTCCAGACCCGCTGCAGCCGAGGTCATCCCGTCTCGTCAGCCTTTTCGCCATATATGGTTCCCAGAACACATGGGGGGCCCCCTCTGTGTTTCAGAAGTCCGCCGTGGAATGGCGGGGATGCCCTTCTGTTGCACGGGAAATCTGGTCATTGATGACAGATACCTTGATAGACAGGGACATGTCCAGGGAGCTCGACCTGAGGAGGGCAAGGGGAGATCAGGGGGCGTCGAAGAGCTGGATTACCTCGAACTGGCCACCCACCCAGGTTTTTTGAACTGCGTATCACGAGCCAACGGCGAGTGTGCAGACAGTCTCGTACTTACTGGCTAGGGAGGAATCACCGGTGGATCTCTAGTGCTGGTCATGTCTTTTTCGGCCCTGGGGAGGCGAAATGTGTGGGTCGTGCGTGCAAACGGAGGGTTGGGAATCAAGCTAAGGATCGAGTCAAGCGTATGAGATATACTATCTCCATAAACGAGTGTTTTCTGTCTTGGGATTTCCTATGGCCTTGTCGATATTGTTTTGCCGCTCTCCCCGCAATCAAAGCATGCACGCTTGGACGGTGACGTACGGCTGTTACGGCGGGGATGAGGTTCCGATGCAGACGCACGCAGGCTGGCCGTTGTTCCTATAGTGATTGGAATGGATACTGGACTTGGTGCCGGGAGACGGCCTCATGCGTTGCACGGCAGGGCCAGCGAGTCCTTTGGCTCTCTTTTGTATTCTCTCTCTCTCTCGCATTTTCTTTCGTGTAGTGGCGGGCTGGTACAGATTCAATGTGCTCTCGAGGAAAATTAGGGGTCTTGAGGTGGGCTAGGAAGAAAAAGCGGGAGGTGACTGACCGCAAGATACCCATAGCAGAGTATCTCGACAATAGTAGACGCATCCAAATTCATTACCTGTATGCCGGTCATATCTCGCAGATCAACTTGGCTGGCAGTAGAAATTGCTATAGCCAACCTCCCACGAGCGTGGAAATGTGATTGGTCATGTTGATGGGATATCGTCAAACGAAAGTCTATAGTTTGTTGCGCGTAGGTGTCAGTATTGGAGTCTTGGCTATGCAAATGCAAACGTATCTCACTGATCTATCGAGTTATTACCGAGTCCAGACATACAAACTGATCTCCGCGTCTGCTTTCTACATGCAAGCATACATAAACCTCCACTCCATCTGTCTCGGGTAGCAGACTCGACCTCGGAAGCCCTCGAAATCTTCTTCCACTCTCGTTCACTCGTTCACTGCGCTCAGTCCTCGGCCCCAGCTTGCATCTCTCATGGTATCAAGTTGAGTCGCCTCAAACTCCAGAGTAGACCAATCTCGTTCATGGAAAAAGGGAAGTGTACAACTACGATCCTCTCTATCAGAAAGTTACTCCTCCATCCCGTTTGCTCACCCATTCAGGCCTGGGAACTCTTTCCTTTCCCTATAGGTCGCTCTACTCCCTCAGATTTTCTACCTTGCTTGCCTGGAGCAAAAGGCATCACGCATCTCATATAGTCAAATGCTGAAGTGCTCGAAATACATACAGAAAGGAAACAAATTCTTTTCTATTCTCTCAACACCGAGTCCGTCCTTGATGTAGCCTGGGGTTGGATGACGCCTGGTATGAATGAATGAAGGGGCACATTGTACCACCCAGGCACCGCTAAAGAGCAGCGAATCTTGCAGGCGCATCGACGTGCATACTCCAATTCTGAATAATTCGAATCCCTGAAACGCCAGCAGGCAAGTCTAACCCTGTGGCCCTCCCAGCGCTCAATATCCATAATCCGTATTTGAATTCCCCAATTTATTTTCGTCGCTGACCGGCTTAATAGTTTGATCCATTTTGTTTTTTTTTTTTCCATTTTTTTTATTTCTGTCCTCTTCCTTTCGTTGGTCCACCACCCCTCGGGAATACCCCCTCCCGTCTCCGTGTCTCGGTGTTCGATGCGCCCTTTGAACAACGATTCCGATACTCCTGCAGCATTGTCTCTTTTGTCTTGACTCCTAATCTTCGCGGTGCTCGTGTCCGCTTACCCACTTCGTCGATTGCGTTGGGTCTGGTTGATTTTTCGCCCGAGGTCGTTCGCCGGTCCTGTTTCGTCCCGCTGGAAGAGTCGATCTGATTGCATTTCGCATTCAGCTCCTTGGCATCGGCAGCGGCCTTGTGCAAGCTGTTGAGGAATGAGGGGGTTTGACTAGCAGTCGCCAGGGCAAATTGCCGTTGAAAGTCTTTCTCAACGGGGTCCGACAGGACCTTTGGACTTCAATATAAAAAGCCTCATTTATGTCCGTTGAAGAGTCCGGGAATATCTCTCCACTTCTCGAGGCGAGCATCGATTTGATTTACTTCATTAATCGCTGACTGAGGACGTTTTATACCCCTTTCGACACACATTTATATACATCTAGCGAGCACAACATCGCCGATCACCTTACACAGCCTTCTTCCTTCACAATTCGCCCCGAGCTTCTCCCCCACAAGGCTTACGCCAAGCACATCATGATACCTGTTGGTCCACGAGTCTCAAAGGAGGAATTCATGCAGGCGCTGGGACTGAACCCGCATGATCCACAGCATGAACAATATTACCGGGCCATGCGAGTAAGGGCCATTCTCCCCATCCATTGCATATGTCACGAGAACCCTAGCACAATTCACAAGTCCCCATTTGGACCAATCCTTCCAGGTATCGCGTCGAATTTTCTAATTCGCCTTTCAGGACGAAGCTATTATGGTCTATAACCGCATGAACCAAGACACCTCCCATCTGCTCGACAGCGTGCGCGCAGACCCCAACATGCGTCCTCCGTTCTTCTGGCACCATATCCGCCCGGATCACCAGCGTTGGGCAATCATGGAGATCTGGCAGAACTCAGGGCCGCTGACCCGCCCATTGTTTGATCGTGGCGGTACAAATGGGGAGTACGGGCCCAACTGGGTGGCTGGATGGTTGCTGTACAGCGTGTTTCGCTCGCGGGACGTGAGGAACAATCGCAATCGGCGAAAGGGTGAGAACACTGCGTCCACAGCCGAGGCTGGTAAGAGATACTGTGCAAATATATAGTTGCTTTTCTGGTGAAATCAGGCTGATGGGTGTCCTTCCCGGACTGTTAGATAAGATGGGCAAGCAGATAGACGAGACTGCATTGCCGAGGAAAGGATACTATGATCCCGTGCGGAATGGGACGCTCTAGGTTTGTGTTCGGGATGTGTGGTGGGATCCAAATAGCTTCTAATTCTTTTTCTCTATTGGATTTACTTCATGAAGCCCCGAAATATAAACCCAAGCACTTGCTGGGTATGACAGACAACCTGGGGGGGGGGGGGGGGGAAGATGTGGATGGAGATGTGTAATGCAAGTAATGCAACGGACGCAGGCGCTGTGAAACTTTGGTATCGAACAGAACAGACAAATTCACCAAATTGATATCCTTCGGGAATTCCTCTTTTAATCGTCCTCTTCGCTATCTTTATCCCCATTGCTTTTCTTCCTCTTCTCCCCCCGGTCAGACCGCAAGGCTTCTGTAACTCGCTCATCTTGTTCGTCTGCACGTTCGTCCCATTCTGCATCGTACTCGGCGGCGATAGATTTGATCTCCCGACGCAAAGTCTTTCCTTCGTCAATCAGAGTCTCCCACAGCTGCAGATCAATCTTATGTTGTTGATAGAGTTTCTTCTGACGCGCGCTAACAGTGAAGTCTAGTGCAGACTTGTATGAAATCTCTCGATTGTGGTATAAGAACCACAGATAACCACCCATTAGAGTGGACAAGCTGACCAGGTACGTCACCGGCTCCATCGTATCCCAGCCGAGGTCGGTCTCAAAGGTCAGCTTGTAGACCATGTACCACCAGACAGACAGGATGCCAAAACCACCGATTGCGACACGCTGCGCGCCCCGATGCGCCAGCTCGTCACATTCATGCTTAATCTCGGCGATGCTCTGGATACGCCGCGACAACTTTCGCAGTCGCATGCGCAAAAAGTATGTGCGCTCGTTGAACGACGGCACGGCGACTCGGATTTGGCCGAGTCCTACCGGGGCGCCTTCAATAGTGACGATAAACTCTCGCGCGCGAGCTGCATCACGGATGAAATCCCCAACCTCGGTTGCTTGGGACCATCGAACGAACCTCTCAGGTTCCCCTTCCAGCGGGTCAAGACTGGAGTCGGTCTTGCGAGGATAGCTGTATACTTCTACGTCCTCCTCTCTGGATCGCCGACGCCGCTCCACCGGCTTTCCGGTCTGGTTTGGGTTGGTATTGTTGTGGACTTCATCCATGTCGACGTCATCCTCGATCTTCTTTCGTGGCTTTATTGCGTTGTCTTCGTGCTGGAGAGCGATGAATGAAACGATGGGGGGACGCCTTTCCATTTTGCCCTCGATTGGTGGAAGCTCCGACTGGATCAGTCGTTCTAGGTACGACAGCGGTTGTTGAGGATGAACCAAAATTGCGATAGGCTCAATACCTAGGTATAGCGTCAGCCTGGTTACAGATGAGAAGAGGGGTGGCTAGTATGCATTTCAATACCTTTGTCGCGGCCTCCATTGCCAATTGTGGTCAGCGGTATTATTAGCTTGAATAATCGTGATGGTGTAGTGAGCATTTTTCCTGTGCTTTCACGTCAATTGCCATCCATATGACATCGAAGAGAATGCCTCTCACCCTTGGTCATATGCTCCGACCACTTCTCTGTCTGCGTTTTGGGCGGCGACTTCATATTCCCTTCCTCATCCAGTACCTGCCGCTGGGGCGGTGCATCTTTCTCATCCTCCTTGACTTCAAGCGTTTCTAGTATCTTCTCGGCCTTCTCATTGTCGCCGATTCGCTCGATGTAGTTCGCCTTTCGGAAGAAACGGGCCTGGTTCCGTCTCCGATTGACTTGGTCCCTTGTTGACCAAGCCGCTGTTCTGAAACCATTCGTTGGGAGGGTTCGTCGCGAGCTGAGAAATCTTTGTGGGCATCTGCCTTGGGCAATTGGGCTCGGTTTTCCAGGCAGCGAGGACGTGCCGACTGTCCGCCACCAGAACTGGCTTCTCGCCGTGGGCACGAGGGGAGTACAGCTTCGCGCCGCGGGAAGCATCATTTTGAGCTTTCTGTCTGTTTCCTGTCGATATGGTTGAAATGATCATCAAACTCGGTGGTGGAGGAGGGGGCGCATGGTTGGAAGGGACAACAAAGGGAAAGGTAGGACGCGATCAGCTCATGACGCAAAGGCGTTTCGAGGAGCGGTCGGGAAGGCCAAAGAGCGTAACTGGCCTCGATCAGCAAGCTGGCAGTGTCAATAAGCTTGGCAGACCCCAGGCCCATCGGTCATTGTAGAGTAGTGCACCTAATTCCGTTTCCCTGCTATGACCCAAGCTTAAATCACTGACGTCAGTGTGGCGCTTGATTGTGGCTGAGCTCCATTCTACTGAACTATTTGCTCGGCCAGTATACAGTGCATAGCAGATGTTTTTACTCCCTCTATAGCTCCGTTGACCTTACTACTCTTCCAGATTGCTGCAAATCCGATAGTCAACATGCTGATATGCGACACGCACATGCAAATGCTATGTCTCCCCTCTCACCGCCATTGCCACCACCACTACGAAGACGACCACGACGACGACGGTATAGCATAGTTGAATGAGCTACCTAGAGCTACCTGAGCATAATATATTCGAGCTGCATGGGATTTAAGGGGGCAATCTATGCACTCATAACCAACATCCCGATATAGCACTGCCAATGAATGCTTATACAATAAAGAAAGAAGCTGAATCGAGCAGAGTCGAGGGTTCATTAGGGCTAGCGCAGTTGCTTCACATTGAATCGCCTCCATGGTACCTGCCTGGTTGGCACAGTGTCAGTCATTCCTCGTACCTCAGGCTGCAAATTGAACATTCAATTTTTTACTTTTTACTTTTAAATTCGCTCTGGTGATACTGGAACGTATCCACACCAAGTTTCCCTCGCACCTCACTCCTCCCCGAGCAGTTCCTTTAGGTCACATCCTTAAAATGGCGAGCCAGATACAGTCTCAACCCGACACTGTATGCTCATCCCTCCAAAAGGTTCTCGATCCAGTCGTCTTTTTCCCATGGGGAGGTCTGGCACTGCGTTACCTAGGGATTCAAATCGATTTTGATGTAGGTGGCCGCCTCGATGCTTCGCTATTTTTACTGCTTCGGTTCCTTGATGCGTGAGGCATAAATCCTAACACCCCTTCATCAGACTCATATGATTGCCATCCGCGATGAGGACTACGATATCGCAAACCAGAAACTCAAAGCAGCCGGGTATGCCACGGCGACTCCCGATCGCAGACGCGTCTTCGACTTGATGAACGAGGATCCCACACCCGTCGAAGTGGTGCGGCGTTTCAACGCCGACAACGAGCGCATCGACCTACTCTCCACGATGTTCACCTACCCAGCCGAGGATCCGTCGATTGGAGCCAAGCTGGTTCTCATTCAGAATTCATTCGCCTGTCTGCCTCTGCATGGCTCCCCCTCCACTCCAACCCCCGCCAACCCGGGCCCCAGTGTCGATACAGAAAAGTACGACACACACGGCACCATCATCTACCCTCTGGAACAGGTCTTGCTGGAGAGCTTTGTGCGGGCCGCTATCGATGAGGAGTTCGAGATGGGAAACTCCACGTGGCTGGTGCTCCTGAAGACCTGGATCACAATCATGATTCGCCACCTTCCCGTGGACAAGACAATTCTCGATGACTGTGCCGATCACACGATACCGGATTGGTACAGGGGCCAGTTTGGCCGGATGTTTGATGCAAATGGAGGGGAGGGGTAAGTGATGTGATTAAACAGTGACTGCTGCATGTGGATTGTCAGTCCAGTGCCCTTTTGGGGAGGGGGAGAGGAGGGAGTCGGCCACTATGATGCTAGGAGAGTGTGAGCTTGTGTCAATAATTCACAGAACAATTTTCGTGCAACTGCCCTCACTCCAGATACTATATTATACATCTCACAGATATACGTATGTATAACCGGAAATGTGTCGAAAGTCGCCATACGTCAAAACCCCCTGCTCTGCTCAGTCTCCTATTGGAAATTCCGTGGAAAGACAAGTATACACCTCAGAGTTCGTACTCCATCAGGGATTTCCGACACTAGTTGATGTCGCCGCCTGAAGCAGGTCCAATCATGGTGCAGTGCCACTGCGGGCTATTGGAGATCTCAACCCTCTGATTGGCCCCCAACCCGGAGCTTGTACGCGAAGTATAGATCGGAGCGATGGAACAGAGACCATTTTCATGAATTCCTTAAGCAACTCACAGCTACTAGCAACAATCGCTGGCCTCCATTTCGATGCAAGTATGGCAATTCCATTTCCTCCTTCAGGTCGCCCCAAGCAGGATGTCGAGTGCTCCAGGTCCCCTCTATCCCTGTCTCCCCCCATTCAAGCCACGGTCTCTCACCCTGGCCCGCAAAGGGGAAAAGCGCAATCATCATCTTCATCATCATGAAGCATTAGCAATGCCATAGACCGGCCGCTTTCCCATCTATCAAAGCACATGCAAGAACGAAGCAAGCAAAAAGAGCGGAAAGGGAGGAGGAAGTCCGTAGTCAACCCCTCAGCGATTCCATATCCCCCATTCCTTCCCAAGAAACCATGCAAAATCCAACATTAGAGCCTCGTCATAAGCCATAACGTCGTTAAAGAAAGGAAACGACAAAAAAAAAAAAGAGGTTGCTTGAAGGTTTTTCTGCTTCATCACCCCTCTCGCCGCGAATACGCCAGTGCCCCTACTCCCATGACCTCACCCCCCTCCTCCCCATCCTCCAGCTGCACCCTCCGCTCTGGACTACTCCCGCCGCTCCATGACCCGCCGCTACTACTCACAGACGCGTCCGTGTCGTCATCGCGACTGGCCTTGCGCCCCGTGCCAATCGCCACGGGCATGCCCTGCACCACGCCGCCGTGATCATGACCCGCCGGGTACATCCCGTCGTTGACCGAGAAGTTGCGGCAGATCAAGTACGCACGCATTGCGGCGCTCTCGCGCGCCAGCACCGCCGACGCACACTCGCTATCTGTCTGATACTCGCGATTGTGCACGCGCACTACGCATGTGTACCCGGCTGGTGTGGCGTATGCTTCATAGGTAGGTTCTGGCCAGCGGCGACGCCGGCAAAGGCCTATTTTGGAAGGGAGGAGGAGGTCAGGCCGAGCTAGATAGAGAGAAGCCGGGGGAGGGTGGGAGGTGTGAGGGGGAGAGAAGTATAGCATATAGCCGTACTTTGAGGCTCTTTTTGCAATTGCGACCAATTGGACCAGTCACCGTGCGGCGAAATGCTGGGGGTGGTGATAATGGTTGGGGAGGGCATGGAGGGTGCTGCTGTTGTCTCGGACTTACTGGCCAGGTAGAGCATGTAGTACATCTTTCGGTGCGCGGGTAGGGAATTCTGGAACGGGCAACCGCGAGTCCAGTGGAAACACGCAGCGTCGGGCAAGGCGGGTTTGACCTAGAGCGATCGACTTTGGCGCGAAACAAGTGAGGCGGCTACCCCGACAGCATCGAATGGATTGGCTGATCCTGCGCAACGGGTAGCGGGTAGGGCTGAGGCTGAGGATGAAATGCAGCTCAGGAATGATGGCGGATGGCGATGCCCAACGGAGAGGGTCTTCGTCATACACCAGCAGGTGGGTTTGTTTGTGACGCTTTGCTGGCAAGCGCGAGGAGGGGAAGAAGTTGGGCGTGAACCGTGGGTTTTCTATGTCTGGACCTTGGGCGTTGCCGGACGCCAACAAAGCGACAACGCGGGTCGACCACCGGAAGAGAAACCCCACACTGAGAAAGAAAGAGAGAGGCGTGGGTTAAGGGCGAGAATCAAAAATCAGAACTGACCGAGAGGGGAAAGAGGGAGGTGAAGAGGAGGGCTGGAAAAGGGTTTGAAGAACGCATTGGAAGATGCCACGCCACGCAGAATATACTGCTAATATACTACTAATATACTATACAGAATACACTCCCGTACCACCGACAGCACCGTGTACCAGGCTCTGAGCTCGGCGATCGGAGGCAAAAAAAAAATTCAAATTAATTGAATTGGGAATAAAATACCATCAAGAGACTCAATTGCACCTCTAGAAACAGGTGGGGCATTGCATGGATCCATCCAGGTGAGTTGTCCAGCACTTGCGGATCAATGGGAGAGGCAATGGCCGAGGGATAGAGCATCGAGCGTAGTAGAAGTTGAGAGGGTGGCATAGAAAGATTGGTTGTATACGGGTTGAAAGCTATAGTGGTATAGATGTATAGGAAAGTGTATAGCCGAGTGCATCGTTGAGTGAAGATCAGAAGGGGGGGGGTGGCATATACAGCCCCAGTCCACGTCTGAGGAGGATGCAATGGAGACAGCGCACAACAATCATCGGAAAGGGTAAGAGGGCAGGTCACAGAGAAAAAGAAAAATAAAAATAAATAAAAAAAAACCCAGTGTCGCGGAAGGATCGGACACCGTCATCTCGGCCATTTGGTTGCTGCAGAATACCTGAAGAAGGAAAAGATAGGACACACCTCCACCGGCGACCAAGGCACAGAGCATCGGACAGTCCTCTCAACGAATCTAAATTCCAGTGTTTCTCAAGGCCGATACCCATAGGAGGAAACCATAGAGGGGGGGCAAAACTCTCGGGAAGCCCTGGGACATGGGTCCGGGTCCGGGTATCCGTGATGAGAGAGATGAGAAATGGGGCAAAGTGAAAAACTAGGTCGTATTCGAGATACAGAAGGAATCGGGACGGTCTCATACCTACCGACCATACTCGAAGCATACTCGAAGCCAGAGAACTAGAGAGTCAGACCAGCAGACACTACGCGACACTAAAGTCCGAGAAACTAGCTACGTAAGGACTAGAAGCTGGAAGCTAGAGAGTGATGGTAATCAAGAACCGAGAGGACTAGGTCGAATGTGGCTGGGACCTCGGGAAGTATACAACCCAGCTAGACTTAGCAGAAGTAGAGAGACAAGAGCGAACGGACGAGATCAGGGATGTCCGGGAACACAACGTCCAGGGTTGACGAGGCTCCTTAGAAACATTTTTCCCTCCAAAAATAAAAGTTCGCAATTGCTCGTAGGCGCTCGGTGTGGTTCTGCGTGTTTTCTGAAGGATTCCCCGTTTTGTGAATTTTTTTTTTTCCTTCATTTTCTGCTCCCTGCGAGGATTTTTTTTCGGCGGATTATTTTTAAGGTACTGATGCGCTGGCATGCTTTGCCACTAGAATCAAACCGAATGGAGAGACATACGTCCGGTGTCCTGGAGGAGGAAGAAGAGACTCGAAGAAGTCTTCCCCCGCCTGCAATTCGCCGATCGACAGTAGCCGACAACCCCCCCCCCCCCCTTCCCCCGGAGACTAAAGACACTGTAAGACCGCGAGAAACTGCACGGAGTACATCCACAACCGGGAGAGACCGCGAGGGGCTAAGAGAACATATGAAGGAGAGGGGCCTCTGCAGAAAGTCTTTCGCAGGATTTGGTGAACAATCGCCTGCAGAAACACATCTATTGGGGTTGGATCCCTTGGGATCCCTGGCCACGGTCTCGTTCATCGACGCCAATTTTGAGTTTTGCGCTGGTCCATCGTCTCATTTTCGGTTTGAGGGCCCCGCCGCGAGACGAGGAGGAGGGTGGGGGGGGGGGAGGCGGAGAGGAGACAAGACATTGAAATGGGCTAGTTTGCCGCCTGTGGGATCGCTCTCCTGGAGACGCGCTGCAGGAATCCACCGAAGAGCCGTGGTGATTGGCGCCAAGCGAGGGGAAGAGGGCGCTGGGGCCCGGCCATGTTGTGCAGACCGCGTCTGGGCGATGACACCTTCACCAGCGCAACAACAGAACAGCGGAACAGTTGGCGAAAGGCCCTAGAGGATGCTCGACCACGGGGATATTTGATGGATTTCTGGGTTGACGGGGAGGAGGATTGGAGCAGGGATATGCAGGCCAGGGTCACCCCTCTTTTGGCCCGGAATTGATTCGAGGCCGTTTCATGCCAAAGTTACTCGGCAGGCATTCGGATGCAGTGATGAGTTGGCAACTGCGGTGGGGAGGGCGTTGATTTATCTGCGCCCCGTGTTGCCGCGTCTTGACGACGTTTGCCGGATTGGGCCACCTGCAGCTCGACGTCGGGCTGTCCGCGCGAGATGAGCAAACATGCTGCTTCGTCATGGCGATGATGTTGATCGCAGTTCGGACAGGGTTGGGCCGGGTTGAGAGGTTGAGAGGTTGAGAAAGTCGAGAAGTGGAGTGGCCCGGTATCCGGGAGTCTCAGGGTCGCCGGTCTCGACCTTCGTCGAAGTGAGGTGCACAGAGCCGGGAATACTTCGCAGGGATGTCCCTGGACTGGGTCGAAGAAGAGGTTCAAGATGTCCATACGTCGGACTGGGTGGTGCCCAGGCACCGAGTGCACTTGTCCCACGGGAACTTGGCGCAGATGGTCGGACATAATGTCAACCGGAGTATACTTTGCTTGCATTGTACAGAGTGCACAGAGTGTACAGAAGTGTACAGGATACCTCCGCCGAGGTCTCCCCACAACCCAACTGACTACCATAATTACGATACATAGCCATCGAAGAGACACCAGACCAGAACATATCAGCTCTGAAGAATCACACCGATTCCAACCTAAACCCAACACAGCCTCGGAGTCCGAGGTTGCACTTGTTCGTGCCAGGTCTCGTCCAGCCACCCAGGCCGAGCTGATCCCTTGCGTCGTCGCACGCTCTTGAGATCGACTCGTCAGAGATTATGACCAAAATCACCCGCGTGGCTCCCACGGGATTTAGGGCAAAAGGGGTAAACTATGTCCGGGTTCCACTGGAACGCGAGAGAGAGAGAGAGAGGGGGCGAAAGGCCCCGAAGTAGTTGATAGCTCTGGACAAAACGTGGCAGAACCGGGCCACTTCCGTGTCCCGAGACTCGATTTTCCCCCTCCTCCCCCAAGATCTCCATTTCCTTGTTTTCTTTTTTTGGATGTGAATCTTGCATGTCAGAGTTGCTCCGAGCGGCTGCCGAGTACCTCGTACATTCTCTTGTTCGTAGTGTGCGACTCCATAATCCTATCGACCTTTTGGTCCTCACCCTTTCTGTTCGACCTCACGGGGACACCAGAAATCGCCGTGACATGATATTTTGGGCACCCTGTCTCAAATGACACTGCATCGCGGTCACGCCCCTCCCGGCCCACTAGCTCGCAAAGGGCCGGGCTTCGTACCAGAGCCGCATAGTCTCGGCGGACTGGTGGGGAATCACATAAATTGGGTGAAAGGCAGCCAACCGATCGCTCCTCTCGTACACGATATCCTTGGCCCGATTAGGCGTGGATTTCCACGAAAAGGCGGATGCGAAGGCCTCACTGGCAACCGCGCTAGAGTCCGTGCGATAGTGGTGATGTTGTGTTGCGCTTAAGCCCGCAAGCACGTAGCAGGTATGATAGGAATCCGGGTGCCTGGGTTTCGCGGTCAGCAACAGGCCACGGGGGAGGGGGAAGAGAGAAAAGATAGCGAGAGCGAGAGCGATGGGATCTCAGCTCAGAACGGACACTTACTTGCCAGGCTTGTCACGGAGGCCGCCATTGGCGTTTTGGCAACAGGCGAGAATGTAGCGGTCGAGGCCTTCGCGACTAAACAGATCACCCACCGTGGTCTGGGGAGCACCCGCCGACTGTGGCTTTCCATCCAAGGCAGATTGTAGCAGTGGCCAACACCCGCCGACCCAGTGACTATAGCAGCCATCGACCAATTTATTGGTGCGCCCCGAGAACCCGCCTTCGGGGGCGTACTGTCGAGCAGATAGCCATGACAGCAGCAGGGGTACATTCATGTGTCTTCAAACGGAGTCAGCGGAGACAGAAATTTTGTCAGATTGTGTGAGACATCCTACCGGGGAATCGTCTCTTCTGGCGGTCCCAAAATCGACAGACAAGCCAACGCACAGAAGGCATAGGCGCCGTGTGCCTCGACACCTGGGCTGCCAGATATGCCACCCTCAAAGGTTTGACCTGTTGGAGGTGGGAGAAGCTTGTCAGTGGAGAATTCAGATCATGATGGTAATGGAAGTCTCGGTCGTACATCTGGAAAGATATTCTGCCAGACCATCTGTGAGGGTCTGAAAGCCTGCCTGCCGGGCTTTTTCGGCATCAGGTGGCAGGGCGAGGGGCAGATCAAGCAATGAAATGATGGTCGCCGCGCAGTAAGCACCGCTGCAGATATCTCATAGTTAGCGACACTGGAAAGACCGTGCATGTTCGGGGACCTTCAAGGTTTCTTGCTTACCGGACATCCTCTTCTCCGTTTTCAGTCACGCTAAAACCTCCGTCTGCTTGCTTCAAGCGGCCCAACCATCGCCACCTAGTCTCCGTGATCGTAGCCCTCGTCAGATGCATGCACTAAGGGAAAACCTGTTCCTTCAGAGGGGTAACTCACATTGCGTGGCGATCAACCAATGCAAAGGCATCCTCACCCCCAATGAGTGCAAGCGACAGGACGGTTGCATAGCTTCCGGCAAGGTGCGATGTTTGGCCGTGTCCGCCACCGAAGCCTCCACTGGGATTCTGCATGGGACGCAGGGTGGTAATTACGCTGCAAGAATAGGCTTTAGCTTCCTTCGTTGCGCCATGCTTCTCATTTGTGATCCCTTAAAGAGCCGCCCAAGGTGCCCGAAATGTCCCCGACAACCCAGAAACCATCTTGGGGATAAGCAACTCAGGCCAAAATCCATGGAAAGAAAGATAGCACAAATTCAGACAGAAAGCAACTGTCAAGACGATGGCGGTGGTCGGCAACAACAAAGATTTCCAATCAATCCGGAACAATTTGCCAAAAAGAAGCAAAACAGATGTGATATTGAAATCATCTAGCAGTAGACGGCCATCGAGATAGCAAGGTCCAGACATGAAAAAGAAAGGAAAGGAAGGAAAGCAAACATCTAGAGAAGGCAGACTAAGAGAGAGACTCAACGTACCGTTCACGGAAGCGTGTTGGATCCTCGCCCAAAAGCGTTAATCCAGCTAGGGCCCAGTAGACCATCCATGGCCGGCTCGCATCCATGGCGACGAAGCCAGTGGGATAGTCTTCCAGGGAATCGTAGAGATAGGCGACATGATCGTCACGCTGGAGCGCAGGCACTCCGCATGCATTGAAAGCGCCTTTCTGGCTCGGATGAATGCCTTTCAGAAAAGCCAAACACTTGGCGAGGGTTGCGTCCTGCAGATCGGTGGTCTCCGTCACGAGCGGGTCGCGGATAGGTGGCGGTTGCGTGAACACGGCCGGGATCCCTGGCCGGGGTCGAGGCTCTTGGGGCTCTTGGGGCTCTTGAGTCGTCATCTTCTTTCCTTTTGCGGGCACAGAGGAGGTTGGTGAGGAAGTGGTCTTGCCTGAACGCTTCGTGGTTGACGAGGAGGATATTTTGGTGGGCGCGGTGTTGGTGCTGGCAGCTGGGAATCGAACTTTGCGCCGTCTCCCTGCGACGAGCGGCATGGACGGAGACTATATCGGGTAGCCTGCAATGGATCGGTTTTGGTTGCTGCAAATGTCCACCAAATGGCCACAAAGAACGGGAGATCTGGTTCAGTCCTGTTTGAATTGGCCGAATTGGCGGGTTTCCTTTCATCGAGACCGTCGCGGGACAAGGATTGACGTCTGCCCGTTACGATTGTTCTTCCCCGCCGACCCAACTTTTCCTCTCCAGCGACCACTCACTTCCCTCGCCCGCCTCGACTTTCCTCCACTCGCTTTGTTCCGACTTCCACCAATGGTTCCATCCAAATTACTTGAGTCACTGGCAGGCATTACAGGCATTGCAGATTTCAATGGCAACTGCTCCTGTCAGGGCTACGGTCTGTGGCCTCCTAGGAGAACAAAAGCAAAATAGAAGAACGACAAAAAGCAACCCACATCACAGGTGATTAGACCGTTCTCGTGGGTCGAGATGCATCATCATGCGATGACAGCGTGCAGAAGGGCTATTGAATCCTCCGCGCCTGCATGTCACAGCAGCAAGACACTCCACTATGCCCAAGACTCTCCCTCAGGACCACCAGTCATCTTCCAGGTCAGGTTGAGCCAACCCCTCCAGGGTCGAGTCCCGTCGAGTCCCGTCAATCCCCAGCCAAGCCTCTTGGTCAAGCAGCATCAACCCCAGGACCTGCGATGTGCAGCGATGTGACTCATCCATTCTATACTCCTACTGCTGCACACCACAGTGGCTAGTGACCCGTGCCTCGGGGTGCATGGTCATCAATCATCCACCTTTGCTGCCCTCATCGTGCAGAATGGCTGGTCTCTGTCCCTCCCTTACTGCTGGCTGCAGGTTGTATCTCTGAGCCTGCGAGCGCAATGAACGCAACAAGAACCCCCCAACCATCGTGGCCCGTCCAGGGTCCCGGTTCGCTCCCCCTTGTAATCGACCTATCGAGTTTGTTTGACGCGAGTACTCCCCGAAATGCAAAGGAAAACTGCTTCCCAGGTTCATGGACCAGGCTCCGATGCGATGCAAACGTGACCCGACCTTGTTCGAGCACCCGTTGCCAATAGTTTTGCCCGGTAGATCAGCGTCTCCGCCATATTGGCCCGACCTACCCCCAATCAAGGACGGTCCAAAATCCCTGCCCCTCACGAGTTGACTGCATGGTCCGCCCCCACTCCGTCCATGATCCCATGAGCCCATGCACCCATCAGGAATAGCGCGACTTTCGAGGGATACCCTGGGACGGTACGAAATCACGAGCAGCATGCGTTGCACTCTGCACGGTGATTGGGTCTGATTAGGAAGGACCTCGCTATCATGGCCTCTCACGATCGGGTGTCAGATCGTCCGGGAGCACGGTCCCTACTCCATCCAGCGAAGGACTCTTCCCAAATGTTGAGATTTGTTATTTCCACGCGAAACACGTATGTTTCCTTCTCATCGGTTTTTTTCCCTTTGCGCCCCTCCCCAAAATTTTTGGCCCATTGCCCAATTGCACACTTTGGCCCCGGCTCCCTCATCGTCTTTTGCCTGCTTTGGGTGCTCCACTGATCTTCCGTTCCGACAAGTCTTCCCGTCTCGCCCACGGAAATCGTACGGCTCTGTCCCACGGGTCCCCAATCTTTTGGGGACTGACACTGCACAACAATGGCCGCTACCTTGAATATCCTCCGTACAGATCTGTAAATGAACAGGAGAAGGGATCTTGCCTTGCTCACCCTCGTCATTTCCGCTCCGAATAAAAAAATTTAAGAATCTCATCCCGCCCCCAGACTTACTCTTCGACTGCCAGGCGTCCCGGTCCGCATTCCTCACGATGTTACTCCGATGGTGTAATCCGTGTATTAAACATTAAACAACTAAGACCAAGACGGGCGTCATCATGGTCGGAGCTCGGACGAGTCTGATTCGCCTGTTTCTAGTCTCCGAACGAGGCCCCTCTCACTATTGATCCCCAGTCCACTTTCTATAATCATGAGAAGGTCCCCGTATTCCGGAGTACATACCGCGAGGACCGAAGTAAATTCTGATGGTCATCAAATCGAGGGATCGATAGGATCTCAGGTGATCGGAATGGAATTAAATCGGGCCCTAGGTCCAGTCTTCTGTACACGATGGATGTTCCTAGAGTGAGAAGAAGGACTCCTCAACACCTGTGGTCGCAGATCATGGGACTTGGAGAATCGAGACTCTCCGAGGCTCCTCACTGAACCCCGACCTTGACTTGATCCTCCATGAACAACACAGCGACAGGGCAAGAACCCTCCCAAAAGAAAACCAAGCCTCTCCCCCACTTCACCCAAATTCTCAAGGAATCGCCAGGCCCGCGTGGAAATACGTGCCGGTACCATTGGCGCATCAGCCAGCCTCTCCACCCGGCCTCTCCACCACCACACGATAACTCCCTAGCGCCATCTGGTGCTCACCGCTGCTTTGTCCCCCCCACCGCCTCACTCGCTCGCTCTCTGGGCTGTGCGACTCTCTCTGAAGAAGGCCTTTTCATCCAGGCTGGCCCTTTCCCCCTTCTCTCCCTCACTGCCTCTCAACCACGTTGTTGGCATTCAAAAGAACGCCATGTCAAATGTCGATATATCAAGTGACGGCCTCATCGTCGATTACGATTCTCGAGGCTATCTTCAGCAACCATGGCCCGTAGCCATCGACCAGAACCCCCCGCGCTCCGAGGACGCCCATGATCTGACGCCGCTTCAAACCAGCGGTCACGCCCTCGAACAGTCGGTGGCCCAGGACTCCAGTCTTATGGTGGACTGGCACTTCCATCAACATCTGCAACAAGCCCCTCACCACAATCACCACCACCCCCATCACCATCACCATCACCACGCCCAACTATCTTTTTCGCCCGAGGACCCATCAACTGCGGCCCCTCAATTCACGGCGGCCAGTTATGGCATGGCCATTCAGTCTTCCCCGGTGGATCTGATGGCTACCGGACCCCAAGGCCAGATGAGTGCCGGGTTGCTTGATGGTTCTTATCACCTACCCCTCTCGGCACCCGTGGACCTGGTGCCCTTCACCTATCACGACTTCCAGGCGGATCTGATGGCGTTTCCCAACGGATTGGCCGATGTTTCATACGCTGCCCCCCGCACCAGGTGCTTGAGAGCAGTTCCCCGACGGACACCTATCTCGAAGTCCGTTCTCTCTCGAGTAGCGATAATGGCTGGAGCACGGTGGACCACCGTCGCTCCCTGGACTTTGGTTTCCCCGAGCAGGGCATTTTCGTCAACCCGACCCAAACTTTGCACGACCGCAGTCTTTCCGAGTCCTCTTATTCCACTTCCTACGGTAGTTTCGTGGATCTTGCCAACCCCATCAGTTCCCCCGGCTCAGAATCCCACATGGACCTCCCTTATAACAACCCTGGTGCTACGCTCAGCCTGGCTGGCACATCGCCCACCAGTACGTCCATGGTGCGCCATATTACGGATGACCACCAATCGTCTCCTGGGTCTGGCGCTGGCTCGCGCTCCCCATCTGCAGTCAGCCCGAGTGCAATGGTTCGCCCTATCCCCGTTCCGATCAAGAAGTCGACCTCGCCCAGCCGGTCATCTGGGTCTCACTCCTCTGCGTCTCCTCCAAGCCGGAAACCATCCAGGAAGAGCCCCATCGCGGCCAAGACGTCCGAGACCAAGGTCCGCAAGCAGTCGCAGAACGGTAAGCCCGAGACCGAGAAGCGGGTGGGCAAGCGAAAGGGCCCTCTGAAGCCCGATCAGCGGAAGCAGGCCAGCGAGATCCGGAAGCTTCGCGCTTGCTTGCGCTGCAAATTCCTCAAAAAGACCTGTGACAAAGGCGAGCCTTGCGCTGGTTGCCAGCCTTCGCATGCTCGGTTATGGCAAGTCCCGTGTACCCGTATCGACATCAAGGAAATCGGTTATTTCATGAAGGATTGGAAGGCAGACTATGAGCGTCATATCTCGATGGGCTTCTCCGTTGGTAACATCAAGGGCTTCTCGAGCGATGAGCGCACGCTCTTCATTACCCACGGCTACGGCCAAGTTCTGCCAATCAATGCTCGTGAAGTGTATGTCCGGGACGAGCAGTGTTTCACTATCGACTGGGTCGAGTCCATGCATCGCGAGCCGACGCAGTATGAGGTTGAGACCGCCAAACTCTCCGCAGGAATGGAGGGTATCTCACATGACAAGCTGTCGGATTACCTGGACCGCCATATCGACGGTAACGGCACTTTCGAGAAGTTCGTTGACGACTACTTTGAGGGTACTCCGTTCCTCACCCAAATGCTCAAGACAGCTTTCCGCTATTACTACCGCACCAAGCTGCCCGTTATTCGGAAGGCGCTCAAGCTGATCATCGCCTACAACTTGACCCTGCATGTCACCATGGTCGAGGGTGTCGGTGATGAGGACGCTTTCATGGGCCGAATTCAGGAGCCGGGCTCCAAGTTCCGCGGTAAGACAATGGCCCCAGTCATGATCAACTTCCAGATCAAGTGCGCCATGGCAAGCATGTGGCGTGAACTACAGAAGGATGTGCTGGAAGAGCTGTCGGCGCTGTACTCCAGCGTGTACAGCGGTGAAAAGTTGAAGAACTGGCCCACCATTTTCATCCTAGCTTCTATTCTTTTGGCTGTATGGGAGGAGATGCAATTCGACTCCCACTATCGGACACCGGACCAAGCTGCCGTCGAGAAGTTCTGTACCGACATGGAGACTACCCCGGTTGGCGTCATTGTTGGTTTGTTCCAGGCTATCTCGCAGAAGCTGCCTCCCTTCACTGAGTGGGACTCACAAAAGCACCACCATCTCCTCTACTCGAACACGGATGTCTGCAATACCATGACTGAGGTTCGCCAGCATGTCGAGCAACACGGTAAGTTCTCGCCGAGCCCTCCTTCACAGGGTCTAGTCCTAATTCGAATCTGATTTTGCTGATACTTGCTCTGCAGAGAGCTATCTCCGGAGCCGTACTGGCTCCAAGTTCAACAGCCAGGACTTCGACTGCCTGTCGAACAAATTTGTCTCCCGCCTTGTGATACGCGCCAACTAACGACAATCCGACGATGCGCATGCGCATGATTGACGATGAACGTCTTTTAAACGACCACTGTTTTGCCGACAGCGAGTTAAAATTCCATCAAGCGAATTCTTTTTTGCGTTCCGCCTGCCTTTGTTTTGAACACAGATGCTTTTGTGTTCCTCTATCTTGCCTCCCTTTGCCCTTTTCGCGCCAAGATGACCCGGATGAGAACAAGAAATTATGCAAGTTAGTCGTGACGATGCGCAAGCGCGTCCTCCCGCTCTTTTTTACGATGTTATTCTATCTACGTGACCTTCCCCCTTTCCTCCAATCGGCTCCTAGCGAGCCGATGGCCTCCTCTCTAGCCCGACATGTGTGTGGGTGTGTGTGCGATTTCCTTGTCTTATGCATTGTGGTCCCTGGGGACCGCGCTTTTCATTTCTGTGTCCTTGTCTCCTTGTCTTTTCTCTCTTTATCTTATCTTCCTGTCGAGTTGTGTTTTTTACTCCTTGCCTTTATGGCCACCTTTCTCGCATAGCTTTCTAGCGATGAACGAGGATACGAACGTTATGACTGTGTACGGCCGATTGCTGTTGTGCTGTTTTGGTGTTTTAAAGTTAATTTCTCTCCACCCGGGCAGCGAATCACCCGACTGTCCTTTTTTTTCCCCTTCTATTCGCGTTATTTTCCCAGACCCTTGCCGAGCTGGGGCTCCTCAAGGGGAACCAGGGCTTGGCGGTGTTGGGGAGGAATGCAATGGTAAAAGCATGGGGCCGCAGACGGCCCGATCTTGTTGCATTCTTTGCAGTGGATCCCCTCTCTCTCTTTCACTCCTCGCGTGTTTTGTTGATCCGGAGTGCCGAGGGAAAACGGCGTCCGACAAGGGTGGATCTGTCCCTCTTTGTGGCTTCAGGACTTTTGTCTATATCCTTGATGTTTACTTTTATTTTCTACCCTATTTAGCTCTGGCTTGCAATTGGACCAGTGTTGAAAGTTAACTGGCAAATCTGAATGTTTGTAGGGTCAAGGACTTCGTAGAAGCGATGGGGCCTATACCTATACAACCGCAGAGAGTTAACCATAGACAGGGGAAAGGGATGACAATAATTCGAAAACTTGGTTGACTGTTGACATCCTGTAACTGAGACTCGGACAATTCAAAACAAGGGGAATGATTCAGTGGACTTTCGACCACAATGGGATAGTATCGACAATCCCGAATATATAGATCACTACCTTCTGGGTTCCGGAATAACATAGGTCTTGGGTATATCGAGCATGTTTCTATGATACTTCCAAGGGGTATTGTCAAAATCCAGATCATACTTCCACGGTGGAGCTAATACCGCGATAAACTGTGTCTACTACTGGCTTGCTCATCCACGGTCCCCTGTTCGATAGTAGTGGTGATCGCGATGCCGCAACCGGCCTCACCTGACCCCGGCCCAGCCGCGTCACATGATTTTATTTCCTCGGCCATTGCGGCGCTAATCTGAAAGAGGACACCAGCTAGACCTTATTTGGCTACGAGCGCGTGGCGGCGCTGGTCTGGCGAGTACCCAGGCATGGGTACCTCCGAGCACGCCTCCCAAGGTCCCAATCCGACTCCGTCGATGGCGCTAACGGGCTCCATTCAGGTGATCCCGAGTCCCACCCCCTCTTTTCGCGATAAGCCCCTTCCCACGTCATCGCTCGCTCTCAGAGCAAGGTGAACATCAAGCCACGGGGCAAAGACCGCCTAGATAACCACCCGGGAAAGGGTTTTTTTTCTTCTCTAGAGTGAATTATTTGATAGACCTCATCAAAGTTTTCTTAGCGCAGGAACCCAGCCACCGAATGATAAACCGGGTTTCGCTGGTGGCGTCAACGACCTGTTCCTACTAGGCGTCCCAGGCATCCTTGACTCATCCGGCAAACGGCATTGCCCTGTCAGTCGCCTGCCTTACCAGTCTTTCTAGCAGTTTCGCGGGTTACGCCGTTTTCTGACTAAGGCCTTCGCCCCTTCCCCATCACATACTTAAACCTCACCCCCTCTTCCTCTTCCTCTCTCTCCCCCCAACCTTCTTTCACGCCTATCCGTGACCGCCCGTTCACATCCCCTTCTGTCCCCGGCTGTATCTATCTATCTACTACCCTCAAACTCTGTCACTTTCATCGCTGCATCACCCTCACCATGCAGATCTTCGTTAAGACTCGTGAGTATTCCCTGCACTCTTCGCTTCCCCTCACAGCAGCCCAGCAGCCCGGCTCCTCCAGCCCCCAGCCCCCGGCCCCCAAGTTTGAACCGCGTTCACTATCGCCACCCAGATCGTTCTCAACTGACCCATCTCTTTTAGTCACCGGCAAGACCATCACTCTTGAGGTCGAATCCAGCGACACCATCGACAATGTTAAGGCCAAGATTCAGGATAAGGAGGGCATTCCCCCGGACCAGCAGCGTCTGATCTTCGCTGGAAAGCAGCTCGAGGATGGCCGCACCCTCTCCGACTACAATATCCAGAAGGAGTCCACTCTTCATCTGGTTCTCCGTCTTCGTGGTGGCATGCAGATCTGTATGTTTTTCCGATCTCTCCCCCCTTGTTCCCCTAATCCCATCGTCCAAAGGGCCTGACTAACTGGTGCGCAGTTGTCAAGACTCTAACTGGCAAGACCATCACCTTGGAGGTCGAGTCTAGCGATACCATCGACAATGTCAAGGCCAAAATCCAGGACAAGGAGGGTATTCCTCCTGACCAGCAGCGTCTGATCTTCGCTGGAAAGCAGCTCGAGGATGGCCGCACCCTCTCCGACTACAACATTCAGAAGGAGTCCACTCTTCACTTGGTCCTTCGTCTTCGCGGTGGTATGCAAATCTTTGTTAAGACCTTGACCGGCAAGACCATTACTTTGGAGGTTGAGTCCAGCGATACCATCGACAATGTCAAGGCCAAAATCCAGGACAAGGAGGGTATTCCTCCTGACCAGCAGCGTTTGATTTTCGCCGGCAAGCAGCTTGAGGATGGCCGCACGCTCTCCGACTACAACATTCAGAAGGAATCCACTCTTCACCTGGTGCTCCGTCTTCGTGGTGGTATGCAAATCTTTGTTAAGACCTTGACCGGCAAGACCATTACTTTGGAGGTTGAGTCTAGCGATACCATCGACAACGTGAAGGCCAAAATCCAGGATAAGGAGGGTATCCCTCCCGACCAGCAGCGTCTGATCTTCGCTGGAAAGCAGCTCGAGGATGGCCGCACGCTCTCCGACTACAACATTCAGAAGGAGTCCACTCTTCACCTGGTGCTCCGTCTGCGTGGCGGCCAGTAAACGGTTCTCGATCTTGTTTTGTTGTTACGGTTTCTCCACCTGCGATAGGTTCCCCATGACCTGCATGGCGTTTGGTCGGCTTCGAAGCTAAGGCTTCTTTTCCTGTTCTTTTTTCATCACGGTTTCTCTCACGGGCATTATTTTATTTTCCTCACCTCGAGGGGTGATTTATAGGATACGAATTGAAACTGGCTTAACTTGCCCGTTGCTATTATTTAGTGATTCTCTATCCTTTATATTCCACATCCTAGTAGGAGTACAGTAGCTCTCATCATTTCGCGTGTAAACAGAGAGCAACAAAATGCAACAAAAGAGCGACATTGCCACCGCGACGCATCGACAAAAATTTGGTAAATTGTGGCACTCGATACGCGGCTTGCCTCCGTTGCCACCAGTGCCGTTCCCGTTACCTGCGATCTCTCGGGCCTGGTTCAGCCGGGGATTGCTTACATCATCCATCTTCTTATCGCAATCGGGAGACAAGGGAAACATGAACAACCTCACCATCTCGGGGCTCAACCACACCCACCACACCATGTGAGCTGTCGCCCGGGATGCCCGCTTATTTCTACCACATCAGCTTTGAAGTCTTGCGCAGCCCACGTTCGTCCATATCACCGGCCGCCGCCTCATCTTTGCCCTTAGAATCCGCATGGGAAGCTTTGCTCCCATTTCAGAGGCGGCCCCGCCATTCAAGCTCCAGCCCAGCGGCGGGCAGCTCTCAGAGTAAAGCTCACGACAACTCAGTTTCGACAAAAGATATCACACTTGAACGACGCCCGAAAGTTTCACTCTCATCCTCGATTGAATATACTCCCCCATACAACGCCAGCCGATCCAACTCTTCGTCTCCCTCCATCCCACTTCACCCCTCCACTTCTCCGAACCGCCCATCCGACCTCCAGAACGACGTCCGCTACGGCTCCATCTCCATCGAGTGCATTGACATGGTAGCTCCTGACGAAGGCCCCGCTAATCGGGCCCCCAAGCGCGGGAACACAGGACTCCCCGGAGATCAGGACAACCTTGTCGCTGCAGGCATCGGCACCGATATCCTAGGTGGTCTGCGCACAAAGGGCCAATATATTCCGCTGGACCAGGAACTCAGCGACAGTGTCTGGGGCATTGTCCATCTGTACCGCGACGCCCAGGAAACGCCTTACCTCGCTGGCAACGACGACGACTACCCCACCTACCTTAAAGGCTCCGCCGCTGCCGCGCGGCACCCTAGCGAGCAACAGTCCAGGCCATGGCATCCCCAACAGGGCGCGGGCGCGGGTGCGAGTCATAGGCAGGCACGCGGAAAAGGCTCTGGGGATCCCGCATCATATCCGTTCCCGGTGACGGCATCGTCCTCGGCGCGGAGTGAGGAGGATTGCTCGACGCTGTGTATTTTGGCAGTGCCGTCGTATCTATCACCGTCGGACTTTCTGGGCTTTGTGGGGGAGAGCTCAATGGATGAGATTAGCCATTTTCGCATGATTCGGACGTCTCGTGCGAATCGGTATATGGTTTTGTTGAAGTTTCGCAGCGGAAAGAAGGCAAAGGAATGGCAGAAGGAGTGGAATGGGAAAGTGTTTAATAGCATGGAGGTATGTGTTGTCCGTCTTTTTTTTCTCATCTGCCCCTCGCTAATTGCGGGCTTCTGGGTAGCCGGAAACCTGTCATGTGGTGTTTGTGAAATCAGTTGAAATCCAGGTTGTCGAGCCAGACTCTCCGCCTGCCTTTTCTTCCGCTGATGCTGGCGCGCTTTCACCCTCTCACAAGCATTCCGTATCATCTGCCGGACAAGCGACTCTTTCTTCGAAACCTCTAGCACCGCCTACTCCAGCCCTCATCGAACTCCCGACCTGTCCCGTTTGCCTTGAGCGAATGGACGAGACGACAGGTCTCTTAACAATTATCTGCCAACATGTTTTCCATTGCACATGTCTCCAAAAATGGAAAGGAAGCGGCTGTCCCGTGTGCCGTTATACACAAGATGACTTCCGCAAAGGCGGCATGGCCGCAGACTCCGACGAAGACCCCGCCGAGTGCAGCGTCTGCCACTCTGAGCTGAACCTTTGGGCATGTCTGATCTGCGGGAGCGTTGGGTGCGGCCGCTACGACGGCGCGCACGCCTTTGACCACTGGAAACAGACCGCGCATGCCTTCGCCATGGATCTGACCTCGCAGCGCGTGTGGGACTATGTCGGCGACGCATACGTGCATCGCATTATCCAGAGCAAATCCGACGGCAAGCTCGTCGAGCTGCCGGCCGCCGACAACAGCGCCCTTGACCCGCCCGACTGGGCTGACGCCGTGCCCCGCGAGAAGCTCGAGAACATGAGCGTTGAGTACACCCACCTCCTGACCAGCCAGTTGGAAAGCCAGCGCGCCTACTTCGAGGAGGTCGTCGAACGCGCCGCGGACAAGGCATCGCAGGCCGGTGCCGCCGCGGCCGCCGCAGAAAAAGCCGCCCACACAGCGGCTACCTCGCTGGCAGACCTGCAAGCACGATTTGATGCGCTATCATCGGAGACGATTCCCACGCTGGAGCGGGACCGCACGCGGCTGGAGAAGCGGGCGGAGAAATTCGAGGCGCTGGCGCGCCGGATGGAGAAGGATTACCGGGAAGAGAAGACGATGAACCAGAGTCTGATGGAGAAGCTGGATCATCTTACAGAAGAGAATAGGACGCTGAAGGCGGAAACTGCGGATTTGCAAGAGCAGAATCGCGACTTGACGTTCTTTATTAGCGGTTCTCAGCGCCTACAGGGACAGAGTGAAGACATTGTACAGGGTGTGGTGAGTGTGCCAGAGCCGGAAACTAAGAAGAAAAAGAATAAGGGGAAGGGGAGGAAGTAGACGCCTAGGGTGTACTCGTGCATCTGAAGTCTTGAGTAAGATGAAGGATGGTTGGATAGCTTAGGTTTGGTCAAACTAGACGCTTCGAATTGCATCCACGGCGCTGGGTGTGATGCGTGCTTGCTGTGTATGAATATTATGATTGAATGAGCTACAGATTATTTGGGCGCTTTTGATTCCTCTAGCTTGAGAATCGTGGAGACCATCAAAACTCTTATCTTTGGGAATCTGGGGAATTCGATTCTCTGGGAACTCCTTATGTGCATAACTCAGCCTTATTTCTATCTTCAAGTCTATAAATATAAATGACAAAAAATGCATACTGGATCTATCATTTCAAAAATCACTATAGCCATATAAATAAACACGTCAATGCAATTGTTCATCTTTTAATCTTACAATGCGCTTCCCAGATCTATTGATATAAAACGTACTATACAGCATCTCCTATCCCGCCTCAAACCCCCTTCTTCACAGCCCAGAAATAATTGCCCCAATCTTCTGATCCAGGAACCATCTTCCATCCCAGCCCAGGCACATAAATTGTCCCAACACACTTCCACTGCATCCCCTCCAATGCCCCCGCACCGCCGCGCTGGCCCCCGGAGTCCGCAGCCCGCATCAATCCTTCCTGCATCCACCCCTCCAACTCCCCAGGGTTCACAAACTTACTCCACTCGTGCGTGCCACGCGGTACCACGCCAATCGGCCACGGCGCCTCCGCAATCACCTGGTTCAGCACGAACGACGGCAGGCTGCGCGCGATCGTCGAGCCCAGCAGCCACCCGCCGGGTTTCACGGCGCGCAGACAATTTGCCAGGAAGGCTGCAGGCTTGGTCGTTGTCAAGTCGATGTGCTCCAGCACTTCGAACAGCGTGACCATGTCGAATTGCGGCGTGGGCGTCTCCGCCAGCACGTCTTCCAGCGTCGTGTTCAGGTAGCGGAACGTGCCGCGCTGAAGATGCGTGTGCACAGTTGGATCAAGCCGTGCGTGCTCGCGGGCGACTTGGATCAGAGGAGTTGTGGGGTCAATGGCGGTCATGGAGGCAGCGCGAGTCGGGGTCGGCGCGGGCGCGGACGCATCGAGCGGGATGGTGCGCGCGAGCGATTCGGCGAAGATCCCACCACCGCAGCCGATGTCGAGGTAGTGCAGGTTGGCGGTTGTGGAAGGTGTGTCGGTTGGCGGGGGAGGACTGGAGGCGAGGCAGGAGGCGATGAACTCGTGGCGGAGGGGGTTCATGAGGTGGAGGATGCGGGACGGGCCCATTGGATCCCACCAAGAGCTGGCGAGGGTGGAGAAGTGAGAGAGTTCATCGGGGGAGACAGAGGATGTTGAGTGGTTGCGGGTGGTGGGAGGTGTTCTTCGAGGGAGGTTGGAGGGAGACGGTGAGCTGAAGTATTGTTGGCGTGGTGACCCTATCGCCGATGCGGCGCGGAGAGCGCGGAGAGCGCGAGCCGGGGTGGATCGGGGCCAGAAGGAGATCATGGTGTCGTTTAATGGAAGATTTTTCCCCTGACTTTAGCGGAGAGGGCGTTGATGGGCTTGTTAGCAAGGCTTGGGCCTGCACAGCTGAGCTTTGCGGATAAAGTCCTCAGGGAGTCTGCATGGAATCGGTCAGTAGGATGCGTTGGGAGTCAGGGAGCGTAATTTTTTAAAAACCGACCTTCCAGGAAAAATTCTAATTCATGCTCACGGTAATGGTCGTATTCAGGGTCAATTGGAAGGCGTCGGCGGGGAGAAAGAAAGTTGAAGCTCTCCGCACCTGGATAGTGCTTGGTTTGAGAATCTCCGACACGGAGACAAACACGCCAAGACATGTCGCGGATAAGCCAACCGGGGCACCTGACCAGCTGGTAGTGGGAAGGGTCCTGGTTTACCAATCTTATGCACGAAGATCATACGCATTAAGCAGAAGCTAATCTATTGAATATAGATACTGTGCTTTCCAGCACGCAAGCCCTGTTAGTACCTAACTAAGAACTAGTATATCCATTCACCAAATATGTACAACACATCGTGTGAATTGAGCCCTCCAATCTATATAAACGCCTTTGGTATCATCAAAATAGCCACAGACCCAGCACATATCCTAAAGAGATTGTCAAAACAGCCCAAAATATTGTTAAAAAAAAGCAGGATTTGATCAAGAGAGAAGGCAATCCTGGAAGCCGAGGTCACCGCCTTGAGAAACAGCTGACAAGTGGGGAGGAACTTGCTCGGGCTGATCACCCGCTACTCTTTGAATCTCATGCGAGTCTTGGCCAGCAGTGAGCAGGTCCCAACCATGCTGACCAGCCCAGGAACTCAACTGGTCGGGCGTGGTGGTAGCTAAATCAGGTAAGAAGTTGCCAATCGTGATGGTGCAGTCTAGACCCAGCATAGTCTTGCAACGTTCCAATAGCGCTGGGAACAGGTACGAAGGCGAGCCACGAATCTGCGATAGAGTGTGTAGAATGCCCCAAAGGAGCTCACGGGGATCAATAGTGGATTCGGAAAGCCGGTGGACAGCCTTGGATCCAAGCGACCGGGTTACGTCGGCAACAGATGAGCCCATGTCGAACAGTTTTTGTTCCTAGCCCCCCGTCAATATTGGGTTTGTGATGCTAGGGATAGGGGGGTTTCTGGGCAAACTTACCATTCCAATTCCATGAGCATCCACCGCTCCCTGCGAGGCTGATCCGATCACACTCATCACGGCCTTGCCGACCAAGACCGGGAGGTGGAACGGTAATACGCCGTCATCGCGGGCCCCGGGTTGCGTGGCATGGCTCATGGACAGCTTCCACATCATAGCCTGTAGCCATTGCTGGGTAATTAGAATATCAACTTGTTGGATCTCCAGGACTCCTTCTAGGGAGATTGGTTTGGAAAGACTGGACTGGATGGCCGCTGTAGGTGGACGCTTCAAGAGTCCGTCCCCGCCCCCTGCAGAGACCCAGTCGTAGAGGTTTGCGGTGAGTTTCTCAAAAATATTGATCAAGTTTATGAAACCATATGCCAAGATGGGGTCCTCGGAACAGAGGACCTGTGGTTTGTGAATGGAACTACGGAGCATCACTGGTTTAGATTGCTGCAACGCATAGCCTCTGTCGGTTGAATTCGTTAGAAAGGCTGATAAACCAATGGCAATGACCGCCGGAACGGCATGGCAAGTTACCTCTCTGTAATAAACAACAGCCAAAAGACCCGACGCCTCTCTTCGGCTTCCTCCACCGAGAGCTCTGTGTAACTTGACTCGCGATGCAGACCCAGGGTGAATGCCATTGATGTAGCCTGGCACAGGTAGAACCAAGCATGGCTTTGTTTGTCGAGATTACCATACGACGCAAACAAGAAGAATGAAGTCAAGAGGTTCTCGATACTGATGTCTTCCACAATATCACATTCTTTCCGCGCCCGCACTGCTTCCGAGAGCAGTCTCTCCCCCGAGACCAGGGAATGACCCCCGCCTAGACTTTGGAGTCGGGCCGGGTCTGGTACCGGGTTGGCCCCGTCAAGCTTGAGTTGTATGTGTGTGGCTGCGCAAAGGGACGCTAGAAACGCATATCGCTGAGGAGGGAGTTGTTCCGGTTGTTGACTGTCCAGCCGCAGTTGTTCCCCCCGCACGACGGGCATGATAGGAAACAAGTACTTCAGATAGACGTTGACATGGGCCAAGAGAATCTGAGGGGATAGACGTCGTGCATTGAGAAAGTCTTGGCTCTGCCCACTGGCCGATTCTACAGTGGAATCGGTCGAGTCCGGCGAGGAGACCAGCTCTGGCGGTGGCAGTTGCGAGAGGGTGTCGGAGATATCATGGGATACATACAAGGCATCCGGGACCGCAAAGGCTGGGGAGGTTAGCGAGCTCAAGCGGTAGGATTGGTCGGCAAAAGCATCCTTGTCGTACAATTGTTCTGACGGCGCATCGGTTCGGGACGACAGCGGATGTATGGGAGCCAGGGGATAGAGAGTTCGAAACTTGGGGCCTTTCCGGCGCAGCACATCGCTATAGGAGCAGGAGAGCAGGAGTCGCTGGCATTTGTCGCAGGGCAGCTCGCGCGAGCATTTGATTTTACGCCGGCGACAATTGTCACATGCCTGTTTTAAAGAGGGCTTAGATGGCGGCGATAGATCCATTGCTTTCGGAGTATGGAAAGGAGGAGATGGAGTTCGAGAACAGATCAGGGCCGAGAGGTGGTGCAGAGCATGGTAGATAGTAGATGGTAGATGGTAGATGGTAGATGGTAAAAGGTAAATGGTAGGTTCAAGAAGATTAAAAAAGACAAGCGTTCAAGGACGAAGTCGAGAAGATGCAGATAACAAGATAAAAAGGAAAAAAAAGTATCTGGGGAAGCGCGGGGCCTGCAAGAACAAACCTCCAACCCTCCAACCCCCCGCAAAAGGCCCATGCACGACCCTGAGGCCCCCCCCGATACCCCAGCCTTTGCTCTATTGCTCCAGTGCCCTGCCCTGATACGAGTGTCTATAGTGTCTATCGTGTCTATAGCCTCATGCTGACGATAATGTGGTCTGCACCTGGTCAGATTCGTGCCTGACGTCTACGTGCCTCGACGCCATCGTCCTCGTCCTCGTCTTCGGCACCCCAGACGATACCAAGTATACTTCGGACTCAAACCCCCTCCTCCCCGCCCCAACTCTCCATATCCTCCACCATCCAAATGCCATTTGCTCTTGAGGTCTCAGATGGCACGAGCACCTGCATCCTTCCAGAACCGTCCTGGTCCGACTTCTACAGGATCCAAGATCCGGGATTCAGCATAGACGATGCAGGCCCACGTTCCCCTCTAAGCGAAGGGCCAGCCGGATCCCCTGTCCATCACTTGGCACAGCAAGGGACGACGTAAGACCAGGCTTTGTACCCGGCTGCACGACAGACAGCAACAGGCTCCAGGGGAGTTGGTAGCGGGGCGCTGCGCGATTTTCTCGACCTTGATTAATCCCAGCCGCAGTAGCGCGATCCGCTAGACCATGATGGGCCCGCGACTCCGCAGTCTTCAACGGGTGGCTCCTGGCTCGACACGCTCGCGGGGGGTGGCACCCTAGCCGATCCAATGAGGGTGACCGTCTGGCCGCTCGAGACTTCAGGTTCTGGCCAGTTGGGGGCTAAGATGCCGAGATGGCACTCGCTCGGGAAGCCGAGGGCGAGCAAAAGAGAGGGGGCATCAGAAGCATGAATCTGCCCTCCCTCCATCACACCACCCTTCATCAGCCCATGTGTCGGGAACCGGCGGGTGGGAGGGTCGGAATCGGCCGCTTCACGGGGATCTAGATATCCACTTGTTTTAACCAGAACGGCACCGGAATCGCCGAGATGCCTGCGGGAACCTCCAGAGACTCTCCCCAGCTTTCCCAGAGAACGGCCTCGGGTAATGGTGGGAGGACCGGCGATCCGGGTTCAGAGCGCCCCGGTATTCCATCATCGTCCTAGGCTTTCCATTTCCGGTCCTTCATTTCGGACGTGCCACTAGAATGAAAACACTCACCGGTCGTGTCTATCCCGGGCGAGCCACCGACCGGGGCGAAACTCTCTTCTGGAAGCCTAACTCTGCCTGGGAGGGACGATGCTTCTCAACTCGGGTTCCGCCCAGTGGCTCCGCTTTCCCCGGAGTTTCTTGGTCCTAAAGGGGTAGCGGTCCATGCCAGATCCTGCCAGGTTACAGTCATGGCTGTCCTACATACTTCGTAGACATATTTCCCGAGCCTTGTCGAGCTTCGTACGGGGAGGAACGATCCCTTGGTAACCTCGTATATTCCCAGCGATGATTTCCCCCTCGCCCTTGACCTCCGCTAGAGTAGTGGGCAAGCGAAGGGTTCTATTCGTTATATAATCCAGTTCCCGAAGACCGGTTTCAAAAGATATGCTCGGCAGACTGCCCATGTTTCTAAATACTGTATTCAAATAGTGACAGTGGTAGAAGTAGCGGGAGGGGGGGCGATAGAAAACGAAGGAAAGAGAAGAGACATCAAAATGATTCGCCTGATGCACAAAATATAGCGGTCGAGTAAAAAGCTAATCATAACTGATCGTATTAGCCATCAGCATCGAAAATCTATTTCCCCGTCGCATCCATAGGGTCGGGCATTTATCGGACCAACCACCAATCACCGACCTTGAACAGGCCAAGCATCGATGTACATCGAGATCCTCCCTCAACCGCAGTGGAAACCACTACTGCCCTAAGCTTAGACCAAAGCTACAAGCTCCCTGCGAATTACCGTCATCCTTCTTGGCACAACCAAGAATCATATTTGCCGGCCTCGTGGAGTTGAGAGACGATTCTGGTGGTAGACGCAAGGGCAATGATGAATGATGATGATCGCCCCCCGCATTGCCCAACTCGAGTCTCCAACCCCGCAAAAACATCCGACCACTCACGAAATGCACTGCTCCTGCAGCACCAGCCTACAGGTGGCTGGAAACCACCCGCGAGCCCCTCCCCGCTGTAAACGGAGATTCAACGGAGATTCTACGCTGTTGCGTTGAGCTCCATCGCGGCCCATCAGTCCAATTTCTTCGGCAAAGCTGTGAGTTGTGCTGCAGTGTCACCATCGTTGCTGCCGGGTTGGTCTCCATCGCAAACTATAAGAAGGACCAAGGTAAGACCAGGTCCGACGCGGGAAGCAAAAAATTCCGACCAGCTGAACGCCACCTTTGACACAGTCGAACGGCGGAAAACTCGGTCACAATGGTTGGCTTGAAGGAGCTTTTGGCCGTTGCTGGGCTTATGCCGGTCATCTACGGCGCGAGCTCAACGACTGGGCCAAGCACTGTTGTCACCTCGGCCTATGTGCAATATACCCTTGCAGCCGAAGTCGATGTCGGCGCGAACTTGATCGCCAACATTGACGACCCGGAGGCCATCAATGCGCAGTCCGTTTGTCCTGGGTACAAAGCCTCGAACGTGAAGCATTCGAATAACGGGTTCTCGGCCACCCTGACCTTGGCCGGAGAAGCATGCAATGTCTATGGAACAGATGTGGATTCTTTGGAATTTGCAGTAGATTGGCTAGCTCAGGACAGAGTGAATGTTCATATTACACCCACCTATGTGGATGCGTCCAACAAATCCTGGTACCATCTCTCTGAAGATCTCGTGCCGCGGCCCAAAGCCGGTCGACGGAGTGCAGACCGAGACTTTGAAGTTACATGGACCAATAACCCTACTTTCCAATTCAAGGTGATCCGCAAGGCCACAGGTGATGTGTTATTCGATACCAGTGGCTCGGTCTTGGTGTTTGAGAATCAATTCATTGAGTTCGTCACCGCCCTTCCCAAGGACTACAATCTCTATGGCCTTGGAGAGCATATTCAGCAGCTGCGACTTCTGGAGAATGCAACATTGACCATATATGCAGCAGATCTAGGCGATCCCATTGATTTGTGAGTATATCTCTATTTTGGTGTGAAAATTCGTCTCGTCTCGTGCTGACTTGCTGTTGTTTGAAGGGCTGTATACGGATCCCATCCATTCTATCTGGACACTCGTTACTATGAGGTGGGTCAGGGGAATTCTCATACACTCGTCGGGAGTGACCAAACGGATCATTCCAAGACCTATGTTTCATACTCGCACGGTGTCTATCTACGGAACGCGCATGGCCAAGAGATCATCACGTCCCCCCAAAACCTCACTTGGCGCACCCTGGGTGGTAGTATTGACTTGACTTTCTATTCCGGTCCGTCACAAGCTGAAGTTACCCGTGAATATCAACTTAGCACCGTGGGACTGCCTGCTATGCAACAGTATTTCACATTCGGTTATCACCAGTGCCGTTGGGGTTATCAGAATTGGTCTGTCCTGGAAGACGTTGTCGCTAATTTCCAGAAATTCGAAATACCTCTGGAGAATATTTGGTAAGTCAATACCATTCAGCGAAGGACATGCATAGTTAGAGGTCCTATGCTCACGAGAACTCCAGGAATGATATCGACTACATGCACGGGTACCGTGATTTCGACAATGATCAAAACCGCTATTCCTACTCTGATGGCCAGGAGTTCCTGGACAAGCTGCACAAGAGCGGCCGTCATTATATCCCAATTGTGGATTCAGCTCTTTACATCCCAAATCCCCACAATGAATCCGATGCGTAAGTAGCCAAAACCTTTCTACTACGAACAACAGCGCTCATTCGTGTTCAGTTACGATACATATACTCGTGGTGCCAAGGATGATGTTTTCCTCAAAAATCCGGATGGAAGCACTTATATTGGCGCTGTCTGGCCTGGGTACACAGTCTTCACTGACTGGCACCACCCCAAGGCTGGTGACTTCTGGGCGAACGAGCTCGTGACATGGTATGAAAAGGTTAATTTCGACGGCATCTGGATCGACATGAACGAGGTCTCATCCTTCTGTGTCGGGAGCTGCGGGTCCCACGACCTTACCCTGAACCCGGTCCATCCTCCATTCTCGCTTCCTGGGGAGCCCGGAAACGTTATCTATGACTACCCGGAAGGATTCGACATTTCAAATTCAACCGAGGCTGCCTCGGCGTCCGCAGCATCCTCGAGTCAAGCATCAGCAGCAGCAGCTACTGCGACGGGCTCTACCACTACTACTCCATATCTCCGTACCACACCTACCCCTGGTGTCCGTGATATCAACCACCCACCATACGTGATCAATCATGGTCAGACTGGCCATGACCTTGCCGTACACGCCGTTTCTCCGAACGCAACTCACGTTGATGGGATTCAGGAATACGACGTGCATAACCTGTACGGCTATCAAATTCTCAATGCCACCTACTATGGCCTCCTCAAGGTCTTCCCTGAGAAGCGTCCCTTCATCATTGGTCGATCAACCTTTGCGGGAGCTGGTAAATGGGCCGGCCACTGGGGTGGTGACAACTATTCCAAGTGGGCGTACATGTTCTTCTCCATTCCCCAAGCACTGTCGTTCTCGCTGTTTGGAATTCCCATGTTTGGCGTTGACACCTGCGGTTTCAACGGTAACGCTGACGAGGAGCTCTGTAACCGCTGGATGCAGCTGTCTGCCTTCTTCCCCTTTTACCGTAATCACAATGAGCTTTCCACCATCAGCCAGGAGCCGTACATGTGGGCGTCTGTCATCGAAGCATCCAAGACGGCCATGGCGATCCGTTATGCCATCCTGCCTTACATGTACACTCTATTCCATCAGGCGCACACCACTGGATCAACAGTCATGCGTGCTCTGCCTTGGGAGTTCCCCACCGATCCTTCGCTGGCTGCCGTTGACACCCAATTCCTTCTGGGCCCTTCGATCATGGTTATTCCCGTTCTTGAGCCTCAGGTTGATTATGTCAAAGGTGTCTTCCCAGGCATTAAGAAGGGCGAGGTCTGGTACGACTGGTACACCCAGACTGCTGTCGACACTGATCCTGGTGTCAACACCACTATCTCTGCTCCACTGGGTCACATCCCCGTATTCGTTCGTGGGGGCAGCGTTCTCCCGATGCAGGAGCCTGCCTTGACGACAGCTGCGGCCCGCAACACCCCGTGGTCCCTTCTCACTGCACTTGGTGACAAGGGTATTGCTTCAGGCCAGTTGTACCTTGACGATGGTGAGAGTCTCAACCCCAATGCGACCCTCAACGTCCTCTTCAAGGCTACCAAGTCTAGTCTTAGCGCCCAGGCTCATGGCGATTGGAATGAAAACAATGCCCTTGGCAATGTCACCGTTTTGGGCTTGACCAAGAAGCCAGGTTCTGTGACGCTCAATGGGAAAAAGGTTCCGGCCTCGTCCGTTCAGTACAATGCTACTTCTCAGGTCATGTCACTGCGTAACCTGGATGACCTGACCTCGGATGGAGCATGGAGTCAGAACTGGGTTTTGAAATGGTAAAAAGAAGCAGAATCTACGTAATAGGAAGATATTTTGTTGAGCTTCCCGCGTCTATCAGTATCAGATCATACATCGATCATGTTGAATCGGGACGTTGAATCCGTGAAATAGTTACATAAATCCAGACTTTCCTTAATTCCCGATATTTGCACGATTTTCGGAAATACGGCTTGTGGATTCTGACGATTCCTTCGTTTCTTCAATACTTGCTGGTCCCGTTTCCAAAACGCCCGCGCTCCAACAACGTTGGATTCCCATAGTTCGATTTTAGACTGAATAATGACCAGCTCACCGATTTCCAAATCCTGTGCTCTTCAGTGAGACTTCGTCAGCTTTGTTCCACCCGAGACAGCCGGGGTATGACGTGAATCTTCTTTTTAGTCTCTGAGGTATGGATTGGAGCTTGCAGTGTAGTAGTCATTCTATCAAAACTTATGGACAAGATTTGCGCCTAAATGGAATCCAAAAAATTGAAACAGCCATGTATTTCTACATTTCAGCCATTCTCTCACCAACCAGTTCTACTGTGTACTCTCGGCCAAACATCGCCATCAGGCAAGTGATCGACGCGCCCGCCCCCAAGCCCGACGACCCCCGGACGCCAATCATCGCGCCTCGAGCGCCCGGTGCAACCCTGCAACAGCCCCATGGCGACCCTGAAAATCTCACGCCCTACACGATCCATTAAGCTGATTGCCCAGTCACTTTTGGAGGATAATATCGGGTAGGGTTTCTTTAATTAGTGGCATAGGGGTCTTCCCCCCGCGCAGACAGTACTTGGCACCGCGTCCCCTGGAGCTCGTGTCTCGCCCTTGTGCCAGGACATCGGGATCCGGACGAATAGCAAAGTAGTCTTCAAAGAAAGTCGTGTGGCGTTTTTTCAGCGATCTACACTGTTGTCTTGCTGTTTAGGGATTGGTGTTTTGCCCTTTCTCATCCTTTCTGGTCTCTCAGCCGCTTTCTTCGTACTGAACTTATTTCGCGCGCTCTTCATCCAATCTGTTGCTAGGAAGTTGGCAGGGGACGGGCATTCACTGGAAATTTCAGGCCGATCTTTTCAATGTTGCCATCCGCGCTCTGGATTTTCCCCTGATGCTTGTGTTATTGGGGCAGCCGGTCGGTGGGCAGCCCTGATGTGGCTTTTCCCGGAGCACATGGTAATTGACTTTGGCTAGGTATTTCCCCAGTGAAGGGTCGTGAAGTCTTTCAGTCAAGAACGATTGGTATAAATCGAACGTGTTTCTCGCTAGAGGTATTCTCTATTGCGTCAAGTTCATCAGATAATACATTTCCATAATGTCTGTCTGGCGCTTCTCATGGCTCGCTGGCCTCATCGGCTCAGCGATGGCGGCAACCCCTGCGCAGTGGCGCTCACAGTCAATCTACTTTATGCTGACCGATCGGTTCGCACGAACGGACGGCTCTACAACTGCTAGTTGTGATACTAGTGCCAGAGTAGGTTCCGTTGCTGACGGCTTTTTTCATAATCCATGGCTGAATCTTTCTTAGGAATATTGCGGTGGCACTTGGCAGGGTATTATCAATCAGGCAAGTTTGAAGTTGTCCATCTCTATTTTTAAAAAATATCTCTAAATACCAGAATAGTTGGATTACATCCAGGGAATGGGCTTTACGGCCATCTGGATCACCCCTGTGACTGGCCAACTGACCGAGGACACGGGCGATGGGACAGCATATCATGGTTACTGGCAACAGGACATGTTAGTGTGCATCCCAAAAAAAACTGTTCTCATCATTTTCAACTAATGAAACATAGTTACTCTCTGAATTCCAAATATGGCACGGCAGATGATCTTAAATCGCTGGCTTCAGCCTTGCACGACCGCGGCATGTACCTCATGGTCGATGTTGTGGCTAATCACCTGGTACGTCGACGACTATCAACAATCTATTAGGAGATCAACAAGCTCTCATTCTGAATAAAATATAAAACAGGGCTATGCAGGCGCGGGTAACACTGTCGACTATAGTACTTTCGGCACATTTAACTCGCAAGATTATTTTCACTCTTATTGTGAAGTCACAGACTATAGCAACCAAAGCAATGTGGAAGATTGCTGGCTGGGAGATACCACTGTCTCTTTGCCTGATCTTGATACAGAATCAACCGATGTCCAGAATATTTGGTATGACTGGGTCGGCTCTCTCGTCTCTAACTACTCTAGTAAGCCATTGATAATCTCCACGCACAACCAATTACCTTCCACTAACAAGGGCTTAAAAGTCGATGGCTTGCGTGTTGATACTGTTAAACATGTCCAAAAGGATTTTTGGCCAGGTTATAATAAAGCAGCCGGCGTCTATTGCGTAGGAGAAGTCTTTGATGGCGATGCGGATTATACTTGCCCGTATCAGGAGGTTATGGACGGCCTGCTTAATTACCCCATGTGAGTCTGCGGTTGTTAGGGGGAAATTTGAGCCACTCAAAACGGCTAATATGATTGGAATAGGTACTATCCGCTCCTGAGAGCTTTCCAGTCAACCAGTGGTAGCATCAGTGACCTCTACAACATGATTAACACTGTGAAATCCACTTGCTCCGACTCAACTCTCCTGGGAACCTTTGTGGAAAACCATGATAACCCACGCTTTGCCTCGTATGCTTCACTTTCCCGCTTCATGAAGAACAGCATCGACCTAATCACGCAATCCAGGTACACCGATGACATGTCCCTCGCCAAAAACGTCGCCACATTCACTATCATGGCGGACGGAATCCCAATCATCTATGCAGGCCAGGAGCAACACTACAGTGGCAGCAGCGACCCGGCAAACCGCGAGGCAGTTTGGCTCTCCGGGTATAGCACCGACAGCGATCTTTATAAATTGATCGCCAAAGCAAACTCGATCCGCTCTCATGCTATTAGTCAGAGCTCTGATTATATCACGTACAACAACTATCCAATTTACCAAGATGACACCACCCTGGCCATGCGCAAGGGCTACGACGGTATACAAACAATTACTGTCCTTTCAAACCTCGGCGCGAGTGGGAGCGAGTACACACTGTCCCTTGGTAACACCGGCTACGGAGCGGGTATGACTTTGACGGAGATTATCACTTGTGCTAGTATCACTGTGGATTCGAATGGGAATGTCCCCGTGCCAATGGCGAGCGGTGAGCCAAGGATTGTATACCCAAGCTCGGAGATGACGGGGTCGAGTATTTGCTCGTAGGCCTACATTTCTGCCCTGGCGGTAGTATGTGACTCGCGATCACAATAGTCTGATAGTGGAATTATTAGTTCTTTATTCAATTCCTTTTTTTTGCTCTACATGGAAGTCAGCCAAACGGAGGGGAAAACCAAGTCCAGTGTATGTCAGCGGAAGTCACGCCAAAGTCAGGAGAGAGGACATCGATAATATATATTGTAGATATGGCCTCTGCTGATAGTGTTTATTGTGTATAATAAGACTATAGAGATATGTACGGTGTCTGGCCTGGGTATATCGGACTGAGAAGAGATGAAACTCCACCATAGGTTTTTTTTTATTTGACTACGCTGAAGAAAATGAAGTTGCACCTCGAAGGAACAAATAAAACTGCATTCATTATACCCATTTCCCCGGAGAGTCCCCCAACCTATGCCACCATTAAGCCAACAATTGTAATCCTGTAATCCTGTAATCCTCTAACTCCGAATCATTTGATGCTTGCTCTCAGAGATCAGAAATCGTGAAGCGCCCGTGGCACCAGGCCCACAGGCATCGCACCACCCGTCACAGATGTGGGGTGCTGCTGGAACATTGTCGGTGCAGAAAATGTTGACTGAGTTGGCACATAACTAGGCGGTAGCAGATGGTCAAAGCAACCGAAGCCCTCAACTAGAGTCTCCATAGTACCCGGTACCAGCTGCGTAAGATCTATGTTCCCAGCACGGGGAGGCGGTGCGGCGAAGAGGGCACTCTTAAGCACCTCTGCTCCCGGAGAAGCTTGATCGGCAGAGGCTGCCTCGGAGTAGCGGCGCTGGACTTCCCCTATGATGCAAGCAATCCGGTATGCCAAGTGATCGCTGCTCGGGGCGAGGTGGAGCAGGAAGGCTCGCACCTGGTCGATCAATGGATCTGACGGGTTGTAGTCGCAGAGGGTCAGAGCGGCATAACCGATGATGTAATACACATTATCGATCAGCCCTGGCGCGGCCGAAAAGCGAGTTTGTAGAGACCGGGATATGATCAGCCGTGCATTGCTACAGATTTCTTGGATGAGTCGGTCAGAATCGTGTTGGAGACGCGATGCGGTGCGGTGGAGGAGAAGTTGGCAGAACCAGATGCTGAGTTCAAGAGTGGATTGGCCTTCGTTTGCTGATTTCTTGGTTAGTGTTGTCAGGTGGAAATATCCATAAGGGTATAGAACAACTTACTGAGAAGATGGGCCCATTCCATCTTCCATCGTTCAAGCTCTTCATACTCAGATTCGGCGCACCGAAGACGCTGAATACTACTCTGCAGTCCGAGAGCAATCCGGTATAATTGGATTTCTGCAACGATCCGGCCATCTTCAGAAGTAGCCCTTGGATGGTCTAGAATCCGACCACAGTGGTCAAGATGATACTGTTGCACATTGACCGGGCGCCCGTAGCCGAAGGAAGAGCTGCGTTTTGTCAGAAAGAGCCTATAGCTGGAAGAAGTAGCAAAAGCTTACTGTAAATGTGTGAGACAAAACGTGTTCCAGAGGCGCATCTGGGGGAGCATTCCATCGGTTAAAACACTTTTGAGGGGTAAATTATTGAGGAAATTGAAAGAGATTAATGCATGGTTGATTGAGATCCCGCTCAATAACCAGCCGTCCACGAATCCTTCTTTATGGCCCGATGTAGGGTAGAGACAAAGCAGTGCCAGGGCCTGGAGCAGATCACTTGTCAATGGAGACCTCCGCCAAAGTGCCTTGGTGACTTCATTTTGTACTTGAAGAGAAATTTCATGAATAGTATTTGCAGGCATTCCAGGCAGATATCGGGAAGCCAGCAAACAGGCTGTATTAAAAAGGAGGGTGTCTGTCCGCTGAATGCTGGTAGAAAGATCTATTGAGACCCAAGGGCTGAAATAATCGACAAAGCTAGTGTTTTTGTGAGCCTTTGCATTTTCTCTCTCGTATACACCGTATACAGTGTCACCTTATTAATACTCACAGTTCGATCAGCTTCAGGGAGAGTTTAGCATCTATGATACCCTGGGACACGACGTCACCCAGTAAATCTGCTTCGGCGGAGAATTGGTCTCGGAAACATTCGATTTGCAAATCTCGGATGAATTGGACCGGCTTGAGAGTGAAGGGTGGCATAGGCCAGTTATCACCTGAAGAAGTCGTCTCGTCCACACTTCTGGTGGTATGAGAGTGAGGGCTCCCAGAGACATTAAGAGGCTGATTGACCATTTGCCGCATCAGATGAATCATCTCGCCCATGCCACGCTCCAAGGAAACCAACCGCTCCTCAATGGAGGGGATGGTCGCATTGGCGTCAGACCATGTGGACGCATTATCCTGAAATCGATCCTGTGTTTCCGGTAATTCACAATCGAGCCTTAACAGCAGAAATTAGCTCCTAGGAACCTCATATTGCAAGGATCTTTGGTAATATTCTTTGGGAGATTTCCTTGTGGGGTAACAAACGGGTGGAGTATATCAATGCAATATTTCTCCGCAGACCACTACCGCACGGAATACCGGAGCAACAAGAAGGGAGTCAAGAAAGAATCGATACCTGAGAGAAAGGCAACGGCGGCAGGCATGACCCCGAGGATCTAAGTCGCACCGGGTCTTCAGCTTGCGGCATGTATTGCAAGCGGTCATGGAGCGACGAATGCGCCCTCGAGGACGGGAATCTTGGCCGACCGAGTCAATTCGATGGCCATCGTCCGTAGCAGCAATGCTCTTCGTCTCCCATGACGAGCTATTTACAGGGTCTGTTCTTGTCATATTTCTGAAAGGGGCAGGCTCATTGATGTTGCGTTAGGGACACATTTAGTAATGATCGAGAGGAAGAGAAGCAATAGATTTAGAGAGAAAGGGAGAGGTAGAGGAGATATTATGGATTTGAGGATTGGTTTGGAGGAGGCCAAGAGAAGTAGAAAGAACGAGGGATCAACAATTGGACCCTGGCGAGCCCAGTTTCACGACGACGGAGATCATTAAATGATTTACGCATAGAATGGCCGGGTGGAGAGCGAGGCTTTTAACAGATAGCAGTCCGTGTTGCGCCAGCCAATTGCGACAAGGCGCCGATTCTGACGATATCGACTCCGCCAGCTGCGCAGGTACGTGATCCACTTTGCGGACCTGGGGTAAGTGTGCAAGGCATCCACCAATCTTGATGTTTCGCCACGGCTTCTAGAAAGGCAGCGATGACCGGGCTTTGCTGCACGAGATGAAAGCCAGAGAGGGGGTGATAGTTGCGCATTGGCTCACCTGCTCTGCCCCTGCTCATCGCCCGATGTGAGCCGTCTAGAAACGTTCGGGGCGGGAGGGGTCAGGGTGGCCCCATGTTGGATTCGTGTGGTGAGAACTCCCGCTAGGGTTGAGTAGGCTTAGTACATTTTAGTTCATTAGTTCGTAAGTTTGGAAGTTGATAGGTTCCGAGCAGTCCATTGAGGGCAGCTGGACCAGCGACGGCCATCCTGCTTGATTAAGTTCATTTCGTGTGTGTTTGAGTTGAGCCAGGACCGAGCGGGGAGAGCGGAGCATGGTTTGTCGAAGTGGCTGGCCATGATTGGCATTTTGTACTGGTGGAGACTTCTTTGGACATACTAAATACCCTTTTCCGTACCCTATATTGCTACTGACAGTCGTTTGGGACTTGTTTGAGACCCGTTGGTTCAGGCCGGGGCCCTCCACTCGTTCTAGGGGCCTTACGTTCTAGTGTCGACGTGCTGAGTTGGTCTTATCGCTGATCCTCAGCCTCCTCTGGCCTCTCTTTCTTTTTTTTGGACAGCCATGCTGGCCGTCTCATTCTGACTGGTAGACGTTGCTTATCTAGTGCCTTCTGGATTGTTCTCTCAGGAGGTGGCGGAACTCTCCGAGCTCGTTCATCTGCAAGTTTGGGGAGCTTGGAGCCCGGGAAAAACATCCCTTCAACTCCTTCATCGATTTGCATACTAATCTTAATGACCACGAGTTATCTCCTCCCCCTCTTCTTTGTCATAGCGAGCATGCAAAGTGGGGTTGATATCATATCATGGGCGGGCCATGGATAGGACCGGAAGTGGAGACCCAAAAAGGCTCCGGATGTTTGGCGGTTGGGCGATTTGACGACTTGTCTAGCATGTGCAAGTGGCTCTCTTGGAGATTCTAGTCGGCCCAGTGGCTTTTCCAGGATTAATTCGGGAATAGGACCAGGGGGTTAGAAAAGCAATGCGACACTGTAACTTTTAGACTCGGCTAACGCCGGATCTCTAGCCGGTTAATGCATGGGCCCCTACTAGCCTTATCCGTTAGCGAGCTACGATATCGAGTCGGGCACGACATGGACACCTATCCGCGGCCACTCTGAGAGCACGGTGTCCAGCGCCTGTTGGCTCACACAGAATCGCAAGATCCCTCTTTGATTATGTGGTCTGTTTGAATTGTTGGGGGTTTTGTCCCACCTCGGGTTCCCCGGGGAAATATTGGTTAATTTCTCTGCCTTATCGAGGTCTCGATTTTCCGCCCCAAGTCAGAGCCAAATCTAAACCTAGGATCGTGGATCCCCGGTGGAACTCGAAACGGGCTCGGTTGTCTAGACAAAACGAAAATCAGCTATGAAGCTAAGTCTCTTTTCAATCGCACGCTGCTAAGTGGTTCTTTGGCGAGTCCAAGCAGAAGCATCATCCGAGGTTCATGGTGCCTCTCCACAATCGGCTCCACTTCGTTCCAGTGGTAATATATATTTCCTGCAGACAACTTAGCGCCTTCCAAATTAAGGCCTAGTGTGCTGTCGGTCCTTGAACACGGAAGCTCGATAAAAAGAAGCGGTCAGAAGTCCAAAAAAAAATTAATCCCTCTGATATGCTGGCGGCCGATCTGGGTTTCTTGGCTTCCTTCCTTGGCTTTCCGGGGTAATTCAGTCCTCTGAGGGGAAGCGGAACATGAAGGGGAGGAGAAACAGGGGAGACAAAGAGGAAACTGGCCAGATAGAGAACCGTTAGCAAGTTCGTGGGGAAGTTTAGTGCGCATCCCAGGCGCATGATCCCCTTTGCTGCATGCTACTCCATATTTCCCCATTCTCCCAAGCTCAAAACACTGGTTCTACACATCTAACATGAAGGGGTGATGATCGACTTTTCATGATGGCCATGCCAAGACTGGATGTAATGGCTTGTGTGATGTCAAGCAATGCCTAGCACCCTCGATGTTGCGCCCTCTCCGACGGTCGTTCGTATCCTAGCAAGATTCGCAAAGATTCAAGCTGCAGCCTAGACCTAGTGGCCCACTCGAGGAAAGTGTGGATACGACATGGAAGCTTTAGCCTGGCCACGCCTCCTCCCGCCCGCAAGACCAGGAGGTTTGAAGGAGAACTTTGGAAAATTCCAGGATTCTTACAACAGGGCGCCGAGCGCGCTTATGCGGGCAATCACCCAAGAAAGCTAGATAATGTTACAGCCAAGCTTTAGCTGAAAGTGATCGTACCAATCATAAATGATGATCATAGGCTCGTTCCAATCACGATCTCCTAGAGAGCTTCCCCCATGGTTGAATGATATTATATGCATGGGCAATTTGCCATTGGCGGGATAAGATATTTCCCTTTTCTCTGAATCTGGAGGGAAATCGGTCGTTTAGCAGACGGAGCTTCGCTCATTTACTGCAGGGGTGCTTCCCAGTTCCTAGACCACTTATACTAGGATGACGACATCTCATAGTAGGCTTCGTTATCCCCTGGCTGATATCCTGGTTAGTCGCCGTGAATAACCATTTCACAAAAGTCGTTCATCTTCACAGATAAGACCGTTATGTGCTCCTGCGGGTGACAAGCGGGTCAGTGAGCCGGGCCAAGCCGTCCTGTCTCAGAGATAAGACTTTTGAGTCTCTTTGTATGACACTTTTGAATTCCCAATGCATATTTCTACTTGCAGAAAGCAGCACCTCGCAGATAGTACCCTAAAAGTCGACTGAAATGCATTGCGCTGGCTTACACGAATTATTCCGAAATTTACTCCGAAAGTAAATTGCCTCAGTAGCGACCACACGTCATACGAAATCAAATGATAACTAAGACCCAATCATTCAGGTAGGTTGGACCACCAGATTCATCTATCTCTTTTCTATAAATGACATCTGTAGATTTCTGGTGGCAAGTAGCCTCGGTCGGCGCTACATATTTCTCAGCACAGCTGCACGCTGTGAAAAGAGTAAGATATTACTATCAACGGTTCGAAAAGATGGTTGATATTGAAGAATATTTTTTTTTTGAAAAAAAGGCAATTTATGCTATATTAAGGCCTCCTTTGTTTGGACAAATCCAGCTGCTGTTTCAGGCCTAAGCGATGACTGAAAAGTACAATATGAGACTCGATCTTGCTGTTCAATATCTCGAGACACTTGGCAAGGCAAAAATTCACATCATGGCCTTGGATAAAACACACTAATGCTGGAGTTTGAGATTTAATAGGGAACTAAGGTAAATGGGATCCAAGCAAATTAGTGTGCAAACGTATAGATGGGCATGATCGCAATAATTTGGCCCTTTCAAGAGAAAATGCTATCCATGAACATAATAGAATTGTTCAGCATTCAGTATAGAGCCTATCAAATGGTCACCCTGCTATATTTATTGGCTTTTTATCTAATGCCCTGCATCTTTGGAGCCGCCGGTACCAAATTGCCCAATTTTCCATCTACTAGTTATATAAATGGCATATATAATCAACAGTTTGGAAGTAACTCTTATCCCGTTTTCTTTCTGCCTCATGATAGTAATATCAATAAGTAATTTAGAAGCTCAAGGCTCCAAAGACCTTCTCTGGCTTTTCTTTTGAGGTCATTGCCATCAGACTTTTGTAAATGGCAGTCACAATCCTTTTCAATTCAACATTCAATTCCCTATCTTCACGAGGGCAACATCGAAAGCCGCGGAAAGGGTGTAAAATTTGCATCCAAGATGATATATTTGAAGGTATTTAAACTTATCTTCAGAAATGATTCATAACACAAGCTTACTTTGACTTGTGTGATGACGCAAAACCTGAGAGCTTGAACTGTTCTATTCACTCTGCTCAGTGTGTCTATGATTGGCTAACAAAAGAAATCCCAAAAATGCGGTGACAATCAATCAAAGTGGGACAGGGACAGAGTCTATAGGAAAGAATTATATCAAACTGTAGTTTGTTGAATTAGAGTTTTGAATATCTTGTCTCCTCCTTCTGCCAATACCTCGGCGTACTGAGAGCGTCTTCAACTGAATCATCATACTGATATTCGGGTTTCTACCTTATAATCTTTAACTACAGCACAATTTTCATCTTCACTCTACCTGATCTTAATGGAAGGCGAAAATACCATTTCTTTTGCCAATATGTTTTCCCTTGCGCGAGATTCAAGGTTCCTTTGGCACATAATTTGGTAATAGCTGAAAAGGTGACATATGCTACTGAGTGAGGGGAATTGTAAGCACTGTACTTTGAGATTCGATTATCCCTATGAAACTTACTTACAGCTCATGTCAAAATGACTACCTGAGATGACAGCCGATGATGTCCATGCCAAACTGACTGGGTCAATTCTCATTCGTTTCATCAGCATGGCAAGTGGGCTGATGGAAGGCGATATCCCACTTTTTGAAAGCGAATGTTCAGTTGATTCGCCGACTCTGTTTTGAGGGGTCGACATTATTTTATCACTGCTTCAGAAATGGCAATCCAAAGACTTGCAGGAGCACTCAGAAAGCCACTCTTTTCTAGGTTCGCCTCAAGATCACTAAGCCTATCAAGAAAGCATGTTTCTACTATGACAGAGCGACCTCAGGTCTCCTGCTTTGTTCAAATCAAATCTCAATTGAGAGCCATCCTACAAGCATCCAAAATCAAAATTTTATGATGAATCTCATGATCAGCATGGCATTTCTGTAGCCAAGCCATTTGGCTTCATCCCGTTCACGTTGATCATTCGGTTTGAGAAACGAGTGGTGCTTTTTGGCAATTCTTTAGCTCATTTCATTGCATTTATATATATGTCGATTGAACAGTGAAAAACACGTGGCTCTCGCATAGATGGCCAGAGTATATTCTGCGACACATAAGGACTTGCAGAAGAAAGAGGATCAGTCGTTAATCTAATAGCCGATGAATGAAATTCGAAGATGAGCCACTGCCCAGATGTTGACTTCTACGAGGGGAGGAAGGGGGGGGGGGGGGGGGGGGAGGGCAAAGAAATGAGAGTTGTAATACAACCTTGGTTTGGGAAATTCAGTTAATTGGGGGATATAAAATTATCCATCAAGTCTCATATCAAAGTCAGATCAAAGCCAAAGAATCGAAATCCAAAGCCGCTTGGCCATATCGCTCAACCAGTGAATTAGCCCCTGAAAAGTAGGCATGAGCTCACGCCAGCCGTTATGATGAGCAACACCGCCATGGTCGGTAAGTTCGGCAGCATAGGGGGCTCTGTAGCTAGCCGATACGTCAATTCCCATGGTTACAGAGGCGAGAATGCCGTCTGTCAATTTTTCCCCAAGCATATGGTAGCTGAGAATAGGATTATATTTGCCTCCTCCAGTTGCTTCTTTAAATATGCCATCCTCCGAATTGAGAGTGATGGGGGCAGAGTTTTGCCGGTAAGACTCGGTGGCTTCAACTGCTTCAATCAAACTCTGGTCGAAGAACAACTGGCTGATGTGAGGGATATGGCCTCCAGTCAGAGTGTTATTGGTAAGTACAGTTGCCCCAACGTGAGCGAGGACATGGATATGGGTCGCTCGTCCTTGGTAGTGACCGGGGAAAATAGTCTGGAACTGGGCCGATCCGTCCCTGTCGGTCTTCTGTAGGCCTCTTAGGAAGGTTGAATTAAGATTAGACGCAGGGCTATCGTGATGCTCCAGAACACCGGAATATTTCCCATTTGAGTTGCAGCTCCAAATTTCCCAATATAAATCCTCGATAGGCTCGCAGGTATTGACATCGACGAAATAGCCATCTAGTATCAATGGAATTCCAACCTCTCCATCCGTGATATTCGATCTAATAAATTCGCCACGAACCCAGAATGGTCCGATGGTTGATTCGGGAGTCAGGGCGCAACTAGTTTCTTCGAGAACCGATGAAGATTCGAAGGGGTTCATAGCGCTAGAATTATAAGCGGTCGTCTCTAGGCCGGCATCAAGACGTTGTTGGCGATAAGACTGGAGTAAAGCAGCGCGACGGGTCTCAGCTCGGGCCTGGATCCCACGCTTCTTGAGGTTATCACTGCATCGGGACAGTCTATGATTTGTTTTCTCGGTGAGCTTTCTCAAATCTGCGGCTCGATAAGCGTGGAATTCGTCATATCCGGCAGGATGGGTTGCACAGAGCACTGCAAACCAGATCGCAATAAATAACGGGAATAGACTGGTCAACATAGCTGCGCAACATGTATAGAGAAGATTTGCTTCTCACACATGAAAGATATGGAGGCTCGTTGAAGAGAAAGTGGCATATTCGCGACTTTTGACGAGTTCGAGCTTGCGTATGCAAATGTCCAAAACCGCCCCAAGAGGGGAAATGGTGGGGCCGATGCCAAAGTTCCGAGCAATCAACAGCAGCGATGGAGTTTCAAAAACTTCTAGCATGCTCCATGGCATTAATCGCATTGGTCAATTTGAATAATTGAGCTCAAAAGCGGGGCAATAGTTAGTAAAATGGCGCGTATCGCCGTGCACACTCAAAATACCTAAATATCTAACCATGACCATGGTCGATTTGAAGATGTAACGCATTGAGGCTCATACCTCTTATCTTTATCTCGGAGTCCGAAATTTTACCTCATCTGAGTAGAATTTGTGACTTATTTGAGAGCGTGAGAATATCTAATCGAGACTCCAACTACTTACTAATGCTCTCATCGTTCTCTTCCGATCTTTTATCGCTCTCTTTCTGATAATGATAATAATGGCCAGCTAGTTCGCTCTTTCTAAATATTCGACAGGCCGTCCAACTCGCCCTTGGCAGGGCTTCATTCTTCGCTTCAGACCTAATGTTAAAGCCAGTGCGAGAACTCGATAATCATGGAAGGCTATGGTGAAGAAGCTTGTCATGCGTATGGTGCTGGTATCAAGACTTCCTAGGGCTATGTACCATAACTTGCGGCAGCATAAACATGTGTGGCTTTCTTTGATCTCTTGATACTGCTCTACTCAGACGATTTGATTTCGTATTTGATGATGCTCTAGATTCCCAATTAGATGCTTTGGTGGTTACACTTCACGCAAATCTTTCACCTATATCACCATCTGGACAAACTAGCAGTGGTTCTTCATCGATCACAAATTCTAGTTCATCAGACTCCGACTCGGAACTTGCGTCTTGTATGACTATCACCTCGCTATATCATGTTTATTTTAATTTCTTCGGAGTTACTAGTAGCATTTTACAACTTGATAAAGCATATCTGAAAAGTCGTACATCAGGATTGAACCTTCATATTTCGTTCAATTAAGCTCCACAGGAAGAGGCTCAATCCTTTTATTTTTCTATCATCTTTTTGTTCATTTGCGAAGCTAAGAATACCCTATTTACTTACTGGAGAAACTCCACCCTGGTTATTTTCTCAAGCCATTTATTGACGAATGGCTTGTGATGGGACAAAAGTCAAGAGGACTTAAGGGGAGAAAATTCCCTTGATGGGGGAGGGCCACAGAGAGCCTTGAGAGACCATCAGCTAACCTCATGCTCCAGAACATTGTGGCAACTCGGATCATTAACTGAGGATACAGCTGCGTTCTTTGTCAGATTGATCGTCCAATCAACTGGAAGATGACCAGCTAAAAAAGGTAGCCTGATGTCTCTTAACTGTACAGTTAATTCTTGCGAAAGCGGAAGTCTTCGCCAGAAGAAGGACTATGTAGACAGGAGCATACTTCAAATCGATTGGGATATGTTTGGATGAAATTTCGACTCTTAAGAGTAGGAATCTTTCAGTTCTACTTGAATTTAAAGTCAACAGTGGCGTGAGACTCTAGTGAGCTAAATAATTCAATGGTATTCTCATAAGGGCCGAAACTCAGCATCTGGATTAAACAACACGCATCGGTGCCGATCATTGGTCCCCGCAGGCCAGGGACTATAAACAATTCAATTCTTTCAGACACTTGGGATGCTCCCTAACACGAGTATGAAGTCAACACACAGATTTGTGAGTTATGTATCACAGCAATGTTCTCATTTGAACATTCTCACATGCTCGTATTTGACCTGGGTCTAGTAAAAATGCTCAAATGCCCAAGTCGCATATGATTGACAAAATATGTGGATATTGTGTTATTTCAACCAAGCAAGGTGGTACTGGTAGAAGAGCAAGCCCGATCTAGCTCGAGAGCTTGATGCTCAGACTGATTTAGCCCAATCGATCACCATCAATCATATACTCAAATTTCATACTTATGCACTGTATAACATTTTAATGACAATGTTTTTTGCTTACCTTGATCTCTGATATGGAAAGTTGGATTATAACGTAACAATTTAAACTAGATACAGATTGATGATTCACTATAGCTGGGAATAGAACCTAAAAAATGATATTCAGGATACGAGGGTATGTCACCTATATCACAGAGTACCTGAATCCGGAGTAAGTCACTTCCTGGCAGGCGCCTTAAAGCCTCGTCAAGACCTGTCATAACGCAATTGCCGCCTCTGTTGCGAGATTGTCTTCGCGGCGGGGGACTGCAAACTCGTTGCGACGGCTTAGCGAACTCCAGCATTATATTTTCCGTCTTTTTCCTTCAAAAGATGCCGAATCTGTCTTTCTCCCGGTCTTTTGAACCTCATGGGCTACTTAAAATGCGCTTAAATGGGTCTCTAACCCGTCACCTTACTTCCCCTCTGTACCTCATCTAGCCGCAGGCATCATGCCACCCGCACGGAAAGCCCTGTCTTCTATGCCCAAGATACGCACTTAAAGTCGCCTCCAAAATGAGCTTCTTTGTGTGGATATAGAACTAGAATGAATTGAGGCCGGAACATAGTTGTGTAAGCAGCTATACCAGGTCCATCGGCAGGTTTCCCGTACAGCCCTTTTGGCGGTAATTTGCCGGCCGAATACTGTGAACCTTTCGCAGATATTCGCCATTGGTGCTAAAGCATTCTAATCTCTTTCCTCCTGGTGACTGGCTTTTTTTCCGGCCTAGACTTTTGCCTGTTTTGAAATGTTCTTGCCCTTATCAGCGATTACCAAGATAGGAAATTCCATAGAAGTGGTATTACGTATATTCTAGAAGGGTACCAAAAGAAAGAGTTACCCAGTGCCGCTTGGTTCCATTTCTGTAACGGGGTTCAGCATCCTGGCGCATACCGTGGCAAATGATGATTTGTGGGCTTTCAAGGTTCCACAGGACATGAGGCTGCGGTACATGTTACATGTCTGGGGTGCCATTTTAGGTATAACACAGTTCCAGATAGCGAGTAATCCTGGGAATGTGACACAGTGCCTGCGGAAATGCCGTCAAAATGAAAATACCTACTAGATTGTATATATGATATTGTAGTCCGAGTCATGCATTGATTGGCTGGGTCTTCCATGGGGTCTGGGGTCATCCCTGCAGAACTCTCTATGTCATAATAATGTTGTTCAATGTTGTATACGGAGTTCAGGATAGAAAATGCCGGTAGTTGGGACATTTGCTCGAGAGGGCCACACCACATGTTGACTGCATTGTGGCGCCCATCTCCCGACTTTGCACGGCCGTCAGAATACTTGAAGCATCCCCGAGTATGCACCAATACTTCCCGCATGTGCACATGAGAGATCAACTGCCAACTTTCCCCTCAGGCTCCTTGCCACAGGGTTGTCTCTTTGACCGACCTGCCTGACCGACCTCTTTAATTGCGGATTCTCCAATGCCTTACGTAGTGCAGTGCAGTAGAAATCCCCCCGTTATTGTGATATCAGCCACTGAACCAGAAAGGGAATGCCTCCCGTGTGGAGGACGTGGTCCACAGGCACCCGTTACTACACCCAGGTGGATGTGCCCGATCATTCGGTTGATGGTTCCAGAAGAAAAAAGCGCAATCCGAAAATCTCCGTGCTAATGCGACTCTGGAAAGGCTACTCGGCACTATTGATTTTGCTACGTGTAGAACGGTGGGGCGGGCGATCGTCGCTCCAAAAAGAGGGAGCCCCCGCCACAAGATTCAATAGTGCGATTCCAAAGCTTTGGCACGTTGTTCCTCAATGTCTAAGTACGTCCAAGTACGGAGTACGGGAATTCAAAGGAAGATCGGCCCATTCAGTTAGCATATCCAGCATATGCCTTGCTATTATATGCTTACCGTAGCGCCATACAGCTTGGGATTATGATGTGTGGTGTTGTTTTTGGAAATTTCGTTTCTTTTTCTTATTCATTCTTTTTTAGCCTTTTTGGCTTTTTGCTTTTTGGAATTTGCCCCATCATGCGACCAGGAAGACGCATGGGAGGCAGGGTTGCATCACGAGCAGGACCCAAGATCGGATAGGGATTGGACGAGACAAGGGGTTCGCGACATGTCATGTTTTTCTCCGTGTACTCCGTCGCAAAGCTAAACCTGCGGCGGGCAGCTTATTACGAACTGCTCATGAACGCATCGATCGACGATCGTTCCACGACCTGACATGAGATAGCTCACATTCACCTAGGTGACAGCTCCGAAGCCCAGACCAAAAGCCCCCTTGACGTGATGCTCCTCGCAGCTTCCTCCAGCGGCTGTGACACCCCATCGTGCACAAGGACGTCATGTCTGGATTTCACCGCCATGTGATGCGTCGGGTTCCATCTGCATTGGTGCCTCCGGGAAGCCTGGGGCACGACCAGGGCGTTGCGGCCATGGGATGGCTCTATACTTCTGCTACTCTTAATTGGGTGCTGCTCCAGAGCCACTTTCGCCAGAGCGCGTTAGGATTCTTCTTCCTGGGATCTTCCCTGGTTCCAAGCATCTTTCTTGTCTCCTTTGGGGCATCGGGCTTTCGAGCATGCATAACCGCGCTTTGATGCGGAGATCCTACTGCGATGAATAGATGATCGTGAATAGTCGTTCGGATATACGTCTATCGACGAAATGCCCTTGTTCCCCTTGATGCATGCAAGATGTGTGCTGTACAAAGAACGGAGTGCATGAAATACATGGAGTCGAGAGAGTATGCTTCGTATTTCCCAAATTGGAAAGTCTAAGTTGATTTGATACTTTCTCCAATTTGGAGGCTTCTGTCATTGTCCTAAATCATGCTCCCCTACAATTTGGAATTCTCATTTTCTGGTGCCCAATCTCTCGTTCGGAAATGCTAATTTCTATTTCCTAATGATCCCCGATCGGCGGAAATCCCGACCTTACCGATCGACGTTCGTGCACTTTTTGGTTGATTATATCGGCCATTTTGGCACCATGGAGCCTTTCAGGGGTCTCCTGGCACCTAAATGAAGCACGCTTCTATTTTTTGATTTCTTTTTTGCCTCTCCTCTTTCGTTCTGAATGACCATCCTCCTATTTTGGTCAGGGGCCGCAGCCACAATTGGGCTCGGTGTCAGCTTGTCTCGGGCGAAAAGTGGGCAGAAGGAATCGATGCAAAGTGCGGCTCAGCGTATCACCGTCCCACAAGATGCTCCGGTCAAACCCACTCCAATTCTGGGTGATCAATTTCAGCCTCGTAAGCCTTCGATAGAATGGAGTCGAACGCCCATAGAATCCCACCGAGTATTCTCCATGTGGAAATTTGATCGTCTTCTTTTTTGGGAGCGGAATCCGGAGGATTCGCATGGCTGGCCCAACCCTGGGCCTCCTACTGGGGCCCGAGCTTCATTGGTGACGAACCAGATGGTATTACGAAGCCCAAATGCTTCTGTCCGTCAAAACCTTAACCTCCTCCCCTCCACGTTGGCGTGCCAGACTGGTGGACCAAAGTTCGGGCTGACATCTCCGAAAGCAAAAGGATCTCCGGCCAGCCACATTTGCGGGACCAGAAGAACCAAGTACAAGTACAACAGAGAAAACCCAGGAAAGTGACAGCCATGGGTGCCATGGCCAATCCTCCGAGGGCCTCCTCTCCCGTCAATGGGGAGGAAAATCGGGATGGAGCCTTATAGGGGCTTCGGCAAATGGCTCCTCTGGCATTAACCGCGCGGACGAGCCGGACTTTAAGCGCTGTCAAAAGGGGTAGACCGACCGAGTAGAGTTTGAAATCGACGTCATGTGTCGGGGAGAGAACGGAGGCATCGCGATCGGGTTTTGATTTTTCAGGTCGGCATCTTTGGGTCGTGGTGGGTCTACATGAGTGGCAGGTCGGAGGTGGTTGGGACCGGAACGGACTTGGGTCAGATGGAGAATCGTTAGATGGACTTGAGTAGCAAGTCGCAAGGTGACAGTTCAGGGGAATGCCATGGATCCATGGTCTCTAGATTGGGGCCCAAGAATCGGTCTCAATAATGAGACGCCTCGGCAATCTACGACGGCTGATCCGGGCGGTCCTGTCCCGGCAGAGGATGTCTGGAGTTGATGGGATTCAGGGGGGCCCCAAAAGGTAAGAAAGTTAAGAGGATCGGCTTGCAAGTATTTTCCGACCAGCCCCCATTTTCGAGAACAATGGGATTCATTCAGGGATCCTGGAATTTCTAGCCGGGAAAGCCGAGTTGGTTTTCGTCATCAAAAGCGCCCAAAATCAGGATCTCGTGGGAAGCCCCGATAGCTGAAAAGCCGTCTCCAGCGCTCAGCTCCCAGGGGGGCCGTGAAGATCGTCTATTGGATTGGCCACAAAAAGTGGTTCCGTGCCGCCCAAGCGTAAGGCATGATCCACGTTTCCCGTCATGCGTGCAATATTACGAGATCGTCGAAGTTTCCTAGGCGGGGGATGTACTGTACATCTACTGTGGCATCGAACCTAGGAGTCACAAGAGGAGTCAAATGGCATACGAGACACACAAGGCATACGGAGCTAAGAAGATAGAAGAGTCTGTCATGCAAGGCTTGTAATTGATTTGCAGATAGAAAAAGAACACCTGGAAATGCAATGTCTTGGGTTCTGCTTTCTCCCATCCTGGGGTGATATAGGGCGAGCCAGGTTCGAGAACAGAAGTATAAGAGAAAAAAAAAACCTTCAAAAAACGACCGATGATAAAATTTCCTGTGCCAAACCCAAAGTATCCCAACGTAATCCGCTGCCCATTTGATTCCGGCAACACAAGCCCGCTTGTTAAGAACATCCAGAAAACAAACACAAAACAAAATAGACGAATAGAAGCAAGGGAAAAAAGAGGGTATCAAAAACACGATATCGGGCAGGCAATATCTTGCCGAGTTCGGTGGCAAGAGACCCCATAGAAACAAAACAATCTCGAAACAATTTTCAGAAAGACATAGAAGAGAAAAGTACAAAGGGAAATTAAAAAAAAGCAAAAAAAAAGCAATGAAGCCAAAATGCCAGTCTATGTCCCCTTTGCCGTATACCAAACCCCATGACTCGTAAATGGTGGGAAGAAACCTCCCCAGTCGTAAATCAAATGAACGCTAACGTTTGTTGACGCCGTGTAGTGTATGGAAATTAAGGCCGTAATCAAGAAATCTTAAACCGATGCAGAGGCTCGCTCCGCGACACCAAGGCGGGACTGCTAAAAAGGCCGTGGATAAGAATAGAACCGTATATGCGGACCAGATCGAGGATCCCTTGGATCAAATGGAAGGTCTAATGGCGGGGAGAGGGCAGTTCCTGGTCGATATCGCTAAACGGAGACTGCCGGGAAGAATCGTGGTCGCCACTGCGCATTTGATTACGCAGGGCAGGCAGATGTCGTCGCCGCGCATTAATAAACCAATTGCTGATCTGTGAACCGAAGTGTCAGCATTCGAAAGACTCCAATTTCAATTTCTTGAGATGTTCATACCTGGCTGATAGACAAGCCGGTTCGAGTCATGAACATCTGCTTATCCTCCTCAGTAGGGTAAGGATGGTCGAGATGCTCGTGGAACCAAGCACGCAGAATATCCGTCACGGGTTTGGGCAAATTACCCCGCCGACGCTTGGTCTTGGGATCAATAGGGTCGCCCATAATACCAAAGTTGGCCTGTTGAGGATGCGTCATCATTTGCGCCGAGATCTGTTCCACGTCGCTCGCATACGCCATTGCTGGGGCGCCGTAGGCCGGCTGAGCATGCATCATCGGAGTTCCGTAAGGCTCTGCAGTTCGTCGATCTCCCATCGCTCCCGGCATTGAGCCCGGCTGGCCCGGGTGATAATCCTGTACGGCGAAGGGGTCGGACCGCGGGGCCGCCATCCTGCTATCTGGGTAACCTTGGCGGTCAGGCATAGATCCAAGGTCTCGAATTGGAGGCAGACTCGGACTAGGGCCTCGTGATGTGCTGTCGCTGATTCTCGTAGACAGGTGGTCGCTCATCGGGCGGGATGGATGTTCGCCAGTCCGCGTAGTATATTCACGGGGGTGCTCCCTATAGGTCATTTCTGCAGGCGGGTTTGAAGGGTAGCCGGGAATAGATCTAGGATCGGCGGCCATTTGATGGCCAGATACTGGGCGTTCCTGCGATTGGTGGCGGGAAGTATAGTACGCAGAGGAATCGATTTCATCATGAAGGTGCGGTGGAAGGAGCTATAGATCGGGGAATTTGTGAGCGGGTGTCCAGCAGTGCATCAACCTAATTGGTTTTGAACCCACCTCGCGAAATGATGGGAGCGTCTGCGTGTGGCTAGCCGGTGCCCTGTTTGCGTAGGAAGTGGCCATTTCGGTATCTTCGTCCAACCCACGGGACCGTGACATAGACGAAACGGATGGTAGGTAGAGAAGGAGGGTAAGACAGGTATAGGAACTAGAAAAATCAAGATAACGCGCAGATTGGGCCAAAACTATGGGAGTCACACGCGATGTTAGAGCTCGAAGTTTCGTCGATGGTATGATGTATTGGAAGTCTGCTCAAGATCGAATCCCGACAAGGTCCAGAAAGTATGGAGAGGAGGAACAAAAGGTATGGAGGGGGAGGTGGACGAAGAGAGTAAAGTAGGATGGGGCGATTCTCAAGGCAACTCACCTGGGAAACTGGGCTGATTTTACGTTGACATGGCAGAGAGGCCAAGGTTATGCAAGGTTGGGGAATGAGAGCGGGAGGAGATGGAAATGCGGTTTTTGGTCCTCGAAATAATGCAGGGCCCTGTACATTTAAAACAATAATAATCAAAAAAGGGAAATTTGAATTTCAAAAAACGGAATTCGAAAATCGAAAATGAAATACCAAAAAAAAAAAAAAAGACATCCGACGCAAGACCCGGCTGTTACATGTCCATGGAACAGGAAGAACAGGGGGGAGGGGGGGAAGCCCAGAAAAATGACGATCGTGGGAGAGAGTGGATACTGGGAGCCACAAACTACGGAGCACCAACACTGCTCCGTGTCCTCAAGGCATGCAGAGCGGAGAAGAGGGGTGAAAATCAAGAACCCTATGGAGCACCCTTAAGGTTGTCCTTGACAGATAGCGCCAAGGATCACTCTGGTTCCTGTCAAGCTGGAATAGTGTGTCTTGCTAGCGCCAGGATCTATCAGGTGGCGGGCCATCAAGAACTCCTCCCTCCCCCCCGGTTCCGCGCTATTTTCTTCTTTGGATTTTATTAGTACATTAGTTAATTAGTTAATTAGTTGGGGAGGGGGGTGGAAGGTTGGACCAAGACGGTTTACCGGATCAGATGGACAGGATCCTCGATGGAAAAGAGAATAAAAAAAAGTAGAACAAAAAAAGTAAAATAAAGTCTTAGGGTGTTTCCTTTTTTTAATCCATATCCACAGGCGCCCAACTTGGAATCAAGATGATTTTTGTTCGACGTATAGTATACCAAGTCCTCCGTCCTCCGTCCTCCGGTCTCCGGTCTCCAGATAGGTCAGTAAATGGGGGCAAAGTAGTAGGCGCAGTGTATCTGAAGATCCCCCCTCTCTTGCCCTCTCAGCCACGGCACATGAAATCCGATCTCAGAAAATCCAGAAACCCAAATCCATTGAATAATCTGACATCAGTATGGAGTAGACATGCTTATTTAGCAAATTGATGACAGTCAGCAATCAAGACAGTACAGATAGTACCCTAGAAGATGGGTAAATATCGGAAAAGTCCGCCCGAGTCTTTTGAGGGGGAGGGCTTTCAAAAGGATCCATAATCAATTTATTCTTGGGACAGATCGAAGAATGGAACAAGACTAGGCGACTCCGACAGGTGTTGTCGATGCATACCGACAAACTTTGGAGGGGGGAAGAGGGGAGTCAGAGGGGGGAGGATGCCGGGAGCAACAGCCGCAGCGAACATGGGTGAGGAAGGGGGAGTGAGAGAGAGGTTTGTGAGGCGACTCAGGCAGGGAGGACTCCGAAAGTGGAGTGTGGCATTCTGCCATTCACGATGTACCTGAGTCAAGCTGAAGTTAATTAATTCAAATACTTGAACCAGACATAGATTGCTTTTTTAGTGGGGCAACCATCCCCGAGGGCGGCAGCATGGTCATGGTCATGGGCATGCTATAAACTGGCTGTCAGCATTTGGTTTGAACGTGGAGCGTGAAACCGAGAAACCGAAGTGGACGCAAAGGATCTTCCAGATGCCATAATTTGACCATGGCTGGAACACGACAGAGTCCAACTACCTAAACTTACACTTGTGCTTGTACGGTAAAAGTAAAAAGTCACTCCCCACCCAGATCACAAATGTGGGAGTGGATCGCCAGCCCAGAAAGCGGTCTCCGAGCCCAAGGGAAAGATCGCCGGGCTGTCCCTCGCTGGGCTCGGGGGTCCACATCGTCGGTGGTGTCAGAAGGGCCACGCTGGGCTGCGACTGGCTACCAGCCGGATCGAGAAGCGTCCCGAGGAGCTTATCCCGGATGGTGGGTTGAGGGGAACAAGGACACCAGACCCAATGTTTGTTCCGCAGGAGAACTGGGCGGTCCATTGTACATGGGGCTAACCGATCGCATCTTGTACCTCGTTGCGATGAAACTAGTCGAGCCAATCGTGCTGCTCGCCTCTCTTTCCCCCCCTCCCCTCGGTCCCCCGGGATGGAGCAGACGGAAATCCACTATGTCGGTGCTGGATTCTCTGGGGAAGGCGAACGAGAAGCCAGACGCCAGGACGAGTAAAAGGCGGGAGGAATCAGGCCCCAGAATGACGGGCACCTCGGCTCGATTCCAGTTGGGTGGCCTCTGATCGGAGACCACGGAGATCGATCGACCAAAGAGCGACCACGACAGGGAGCAGAGGGGCTGGTAGTATCCATGGTGTGGTGGCCTTGGCACATCGATGCCTACCAGGACAGGGATAGGCCGATCTTCTCGTAGGGGTTCTTCAATGAACTCCACTTGCCAGATGAACCAGCGGCGTGGCCAGCTCGGATCCACGCCGCGGTCGCGCTCCGTACGTCAGATCACCCACACGAAGAATCCGCCGACTCCATTCATGACGCGACGCCGTGTGATGGCGCTAGAAGTTTTTCTTCTTCGCCTCCCTCACGATGGTTGGCTCAACATGGAAGGGGGTGACAGTGATGCTGCGTTGAGCGAGGTGGGCTTGATGGGGGGGGTTGTTGAGGAGCGTAACAGTGTCCATGAGCACACTGGTGCATATGATATCTCATGTTCTTGAGTCTCAGGCTCCGCTAGGGGGACAAAGAAGGGGGGGCGAGGCCGGATGTGGCTGGATATACGGAGTAGTTGGAGTATAATCGGATGGAGTTGGATGAAGTTGGAGTGCCGTCCTCTGTACTACGAAACATGCGGTGGGAGCCAAGTTCCGTTCAAACTTCCCAGTTTCTAGACATTCCTATGTTTCTTCTACATGAAAGCGGGCCCTATTTACACAAATAATATAACGCAGTGTTGGAAAGTCTACAGCACAGATTGGCCAGGAGAGGTTTCGGGATTTGGATTTCCCCCCCCCCCCCCCCCCCTCCCTGATTAACTATGGAGAATGGATGACTATGGCACGGAGTACGGAATACAGATGTATGCCTCGATGTGACATGGCTCTCTGACAGTGGTGTTCCTACTGCTCTAGCGTCGCGTTTTTTTTTTCCTTTTTTTTCTTACTCCCGCGATCGGCCCTCATACAATCGATCAACCGTGCCATGCGGCTCGCGTATCGCGTACATCTACCTTCCGTGCGCTGGCGTCGTTCAGCTCTTGACACTAGTCACTAGGCACTTTAGTTTCCTGAATCCCTTTCATGCTGGCTCCGGCATCACAGACCCACTTGATGTGGGTCAGCTTTTCAGGCGACGTGACCGAAATATCGAATTATAGTCAGCGAAAGGACAGTCCTCAATCCGTGGAAGAACAAACTAATTCCTGCCTCGGAAAAGGTAACCATTCGCTTGGTTCTTCCTCCCAGAACAGTCTTTCTTACTCTGTGTGCCGCCATCTTCTACGTTGGCGAGGACAAGGCTTTCAAAGGATGTACTAGATCCACTACAACTACCACAACATAGCCACCAAGAAAGCTGTGTGAGCACAGAAATGCAGCTGGCTGTGTGAACCCCACGAAGCCTGACTCCAATCAGGCTCAATACTCCCGAACAATGGGGTTACCCACCTACCTAGCTTAGTATAGAAGCGCGAGTCCATTCCCCTCTCTCTCAAATGCCCCCAACCTTCGCCTACTCTTCATTGGTGATGTTCCTGGTCGGGTGCCAGATAGTGCCAACATTGATTTTGCTTGCCATCCTTCAGACCGAACTATAGATAGTCCAAGTACGGGGCTGCTCATCATGCACACTGGTCCAGGGCACTGCCGCAGTGATCTGGCCCTCAACGCATCACTCTGAACCCGGTCAACTCCACGAATATGACATTCGCAATGTTTCTCTTTCGGTACCAAGGAGGGTAGCTGATCGCGGATCGTATTCTAATTTTTTGATGATGGTGGACAGTCGATCCTACCACAGTCAGTAGTTGCATCAATCACTCCAGGATTTCAAAAGCACTAGCAAACGTCACGGGCGGCCTCCGCATGAGACGCTCACCAGGTATCATCTCTCCCTGGTCCAATTTAGATCCGCTGTAATCACTAGATCTAAGATCAAGGTTTGTCTGACCCATCCGAAAACGCAGAATAATTATATAGTAGCTACCATTTCGCTAAAGATGGCAGTCAACCCCGGAGCTTAGGGAACTCACTCGGTCGCTTAGGACGCCACACACGCGATCAGTGTCAAGCAGTGGCTAATGTGCTTGCGATCCACCCATCAGAATTGCTCGGCCCTCCTTTCCTAGCGCTTTTCTTTTCTTTTGTTTCCCTCTTTGTCGGAGCCACTGCGGATGCCGATGGGGAATTGGGGATCCAGCCTCGTGGAAGCTTTGGTTCTGGATCTGGATCGGTCGGTGTCTACATGGTTCGCCCGTCATCCAAGGGTGACAGATCCTAGGCAACAGATGGGGCGTTTGTGACGGGAAACCCAGTCAAACTTGAATCCCCTTGCAATCTACCATGATCTGATTCCATTTATATCTTGTTTTGTCTTTCTTTTTGTCATGGGATTTGAAATTCAATAAGATGAAATCACGATCTCTCGCTTTTGACAAACATACAGACGCTCAATCGGGAAAAAGGAAAAAAAAATGCATGGTCCCCAAAAAAAGTAAAAGAAAAGAAAAGAAAGAGAAACCACCGGCGCCCAAAACTCTCCTGCGGGCTTTCCCCCTGCCCCCCGGGCACGAGAAAAAATTGATAATAATTGAAACTTAGGCGAGATCGTCATAGCATGCCCATTCGCGAGATCCGAGATCGTGCATAAAATGGAGAAGGGATGCAGATCATCGGATCTTGCACCAGGGATTGACGCGGCCCATCATGATCGGGGATTCGCCTCTCAGGACCCGGAGAATGGACAGCGGAAATATTACTCCAGAGCCATGGGATTCAACACGTCGCGCAATGCGCCATGCAGGAATTTGTCATCGTGCGACCTGGGTTCCCGGTACTTGGGTATGGGCGATCGGCATTTCCTCATTTTTAGGGGTGCTAGGCGTCCGCACTGCCATCATAGAATAGTAGGACGGCAGTGGGGGTAGAAATTAAAGAAGGTATAATAAACTTAGATTAATAAACATCAAAGAAAAAGAACCTTAATTCATTCCCCATTAACTGTCAATTATTACTCAGAAATCAGATAGGTAAGAGTCGATCCTCACGAGCCCAGTGCGCGTGTAGGAAAAAACCACTATGATCGCCAACCACAATACTACATAGGAAAATTTCCCCCTTTGTCTAGATCTTGCTAATACCCTCGCCTCGTCAATAGTTTGTCCCAATACCTCAATTTCTGAGTTCCCACTACCATGGATGTGATTTCAGGTTCTAGTGAGGCGAGGTTGAAATCTGAGCTGCATCAGTCGCCTAGTAAATATCAGTTCGGAATGTGAGGGATGGCGCCGCCCACGCAGGGCATCCAGTGAGATGTAAGGAATGCCGGGTTGGCCGAACGGGATTCGGCTGTCGCCTGTCACCTTTCTTTTTGAGCTAGGTTCTTTTGGTTTGCGTCCCAGCCTCCTGGTTTCTGGGAAACACATCCGCCGATGTCTTCGTCCAAGATGAATCTTGTAAACGGGTAAACACCCATTTCCCTGTGCAAGGTCCACACACCCACTTTGCCCGACAGACCATTAATACTGGATTAGTAAAGTCGTAAATTCTCGAGGGACAACAGTATTTGCCGAGGTTGTGACGGTTCAATTGTCCGAAAACCCTCGACGCTCCTTCCATGATCCCTGTCACTTTTCTAGGAAGCCAAGGTTCCTAGTCACCGTCACAGCACGGCCCAACGTGCCTGCATCCCTGTGGCAGGTGTTCGGCTCAATATAAGGCATGGTATGTAGTACCATCTCAGAATAGTTGTTTCAGCTGAACGATAGGTTACGAAGGGCCAATGCAAGGGCCCGAGTTGACACAGCATACCGGGGCCTTGGGTGTCTCACCAAGGCACATGCTATCGTTTGATTTCACATCGACACACCTACCAAGCAAACAAGTCACTTCACATGTTTGTAACCTGGTTGTCCATGTTCGCTAATTGATATCACCGTGTAACAGAATCGTGTTCTCAACAATGACGGTCTTATTGTACAGTATCATTTAGTTACTGGATGAGAAACATGACTCGCATCGATATGCCTTGTCTTTCCATTTAGTTGCTTGCAACAGTTTTATCCAAAGTAGAAATTTTGCTTATTGCTTATTGCTATCCGCAATGATCTTAACCATTAATATTATACACCTAGAGCTATAGTCGATTGCGTTGCCTTGGGTTTCGCATAGATAATGCACCAGGTCCACCAAAGGAAAGGAATCAAAGCAAACATACATCACCTTCTCTAATTGTCTTCGAATATCATTTGATCACTTCTTTTGTTCGAGGAGTGATATCGCTAAATATCGAGAAGTGACATATAGAAGAACAGAAAAGAATAAAATCCCTTCCAATCTACTGGCGCCCTAAGAGTAAGGCCAGCTCGTTAAAAAAGCAGAGAAAAGAATCAAGTAAGGGTCTTTTGAAGGCTTGAGCCAGGACTCATCAAGAATACTGTATATCAGGAGGCAACATCTTGATCATTTGACACGAATGCCATATGTTTGAATTGGCGATTTAGCCTGACACGCCAGTAGATCTTAGTCTCAATTTCCGAATTACAGTTACAATCAAAGATTTTTCAAAATAGATATAGGAAAATATTATCCTCGCTCATGTATCGATGGCATAAATAACAAAGCGAATTTGGAAAAATAATCCTTGATACTACCTCAAGATGTATTGAAATCAGCAGACAAGCCGGGTTGATAAATCACTACAATATCTTCTAGTTTGCACCTAACATGCACGTAGTTCTTGGACTTACCTGTTCCATGATTAACGGAAGCAAGGATATACTGAACAACAAGATTGAAGCACATACTAAGAACTATGAGGAAGAGACATCAAATCCAACCTCCACCTAGATGCCTTCAAATCATCCAGAATATCTCAATTCAATCAAAAACCTCTGGATAAACTTGTTGATTGCACTAAGTTGCACGAACTCACACGCGTAACCTGTTACCATAGCTGTTTGCTACTTCAACTGACTCCGATCTCAGGGCAGACCAGGTATCCCAGTCTCGACTAATGGCCTGGTTTCTCTGTATTGGAGTGGCATTTCAACCAATGATGGACCTTTTGGGCCCAGCCACCGGTTCGAGTGCCGATATGAAAAACAAATCTCAAAAAGCAATGCTGCATCACTTGGCCCCGACCAGCCTACAACTAAATCAAGGTGCTGGACCAAGTTTGTCAGTTTGATGTATACATTAGTCATAATAGTGGCAGTATAGTAATTTTTCTGTATGATTTTCCTCGTCTGTTTGCTGGTAGGATTTGCTCATGGTAACCTGGTGCCGTGGAAGTCACAGGGTCGTCTCAATATTCCTAGAGAGGCCAAATAACAACTTCCATTTGCGAATCTGAGCTCCTTTTAAAAATTAAATCATTGGATCTTCATTTATTTTCTGGTAGCATACATGAAACATATTGCCAAAGGTCCTTCGACATTCTATTTTTCTGCGTTCCATCCCCTAATCTCATGTCTATTCGGCCTTACCAAGCTCGGCAGACCGATTAGTCGCAGCGCTTACAGCCTTGTTGACAATCTCCTTGAAGCCAAGTGCCTCAAAGGTCTGTAGGGCGGCGTATGTGGTACCATTGGGACTGGTGACGTTCTTGCGGAGCTGGCCAGGCTCATCGGATGACTCGACAAGCATTTTTCCGGCACCGAGGCATGTTTGCGTAGCCAGACGAGTAGCTTGTTCCTGAGACAGGCCCAGGGCAGTGGCACTTGCAACAAGGTGTTCCACCATGGCGAAGAAATACGCCGGGCCAGATCCTGGTGAAGCGCGAATGTGAGCCCTTCGTTTTCGCCTTGAGATCAAATCTTCGGGTCGCAATTACTCACCAGACAGACCAGTCACAACGTCGAGAAGATCCTCCTTGTCCACCCACTCGGTAGCCTTGCTAACGCTACTCAGAAGAGCGTTCACAAGCTCCTTCTCGGCGGCGGTCACATCAGCGCCGGCAAAGGCACCAGAGGCACCTTCACCCACGAGCGCGGGGGTGTTAGGCATCACACGAACAACATGTGGCGTGCGGCCATCGCTTGTTCGGGACCATTGCTGCAAACTGTTGAGAGTGATGCCAGCAGCGATGCTTACAACGACAGGCAAAGTTGCGCGCTGCGACCAGGAGGCACCGAGCTCTTCACACACGCCCTTGGTAACCTGAGGCTTAACAGCTATGATGACGATATCGGCATTCGCACTGGCCTCCGTGTTGGCGGTTGTAGTCTGCACACCCACGGCGGCGAGTTTCTCCCGGTTAACGTCCCAGGGCTCTGACACATAGATGTTCTGCTTGTTGACGCCCTTGTTCACCAGGCCGCCGATGATGGCGGAGGCCATGTTGCCTCCGCCGATGAAGGCCAGTTTGCTGTCTTGAAGGGAAGGCATCGTCGCAATGGGTTCTGTGGTTGATGTTGGTCAAGTGCTCGACGCTGTTGAATCCCCCACTTTCTTGGCTTATCGTTGGTGGGGCACGCGCGAAAAGTGCCAGACCGCCCGATGTCGGCTCAGATAAAGGCAAGAGCACGGCAAGAGACAAGCTTGCCGCGGAGCAGGGAGGTAATTGGGTCAGATAGGGAGATAATTGAGAATTTCTGGGGAAATACGGATCTTTACGATGTACTTTATGGGGGTTCAGAGAGCTTATACGTGACTCATTGCTGCCAATGAAAGTATTGATCAAACCGGCCCGGTCTAACCGGTAGTCATGGATGCGGAGAAGCTCCTCTTTTCGCGGGGTCCGTGAAATAATAAACCCCATCCAGTATTCACAAACAAAAGGAAAACTTGCTTAATCTCATCACAATTGATTCTAGCGGCACGGAAACTGAGCCATTCACAGCGCCACACTGGGAGGCTTAAGAGGCGTGAAATAGTCCCCTCTGATGAAGGTTTCAGCACCTCAATGTTTGGGAACCCAACTTTAGGATTTCAATATGATCGAAATGAGTAGATACGACCTTCGTTAAGATTGAAATCACTTTGTATAATTCTCCATGTGTCGTTCATTCCAGAATAGCCCCCTTCGAATGATATCAAGCCCCCTAAACCAACCAAAATTTCTTTCACTGCTTTAAACTTCTTCAAAAACCGGAAGCTCTGCTCAAAATAAGAAATTTGAGGTTTACAAGCTATATATCGTTGGGTTAAGCAACTTCCCACCTTTTTTCACCATTTCAGGTCTGGCAGATTTGATCTGGGAAATAATGACGTCTATTGGAAGGAACTCCACTGGTGGAAATTTCATAACTGGACAAGCAAAAACTGCAATGCCATATCCTGCCCTATCTTGAAAAGGGATCCAAGGGAATGAGCATTCACCTTAGTTTACCAAGGCAAGATAATAGCGGCCCCCACCGCCATTGCGGCCGCTGAAACACCCAGAACAGCACCCAGTCCCTCCCAGGTCGATGCTCCGGGACTGAGTCTTCTAGCAGCATTAGAGGTAGCTGCAGAAGTGTCATGAGACGCGGTACCAGTCGAATCAGCCGCTCCTGTTCTAGCTCCTGTTCCTGTGGTAGTTGACTGAAGATCGGTCTGGTGGTGTACAAGCGTGATCATAGGAACATAGGAAATAGCTGCTACTACTTCCTCGTCCACACCCTCGAGGCTAGCATCTGCGGGAAAGGTTTCAATGACAGTCGAGGTGAAAGACGATGTGGTGATAGGTGTTTGCCAGATCCGTGTTTTTGTGGTATGCTCATAGGTCACCAGCTTGGTTGTCTCTATATAATCGTAACTGTCATCGGTGTATACATAGCAGGCTGAACTGGGCTTGTAATCTGAAACCACAGAGTAACAGCCACCGAGACTGGCGCCCGTCATTCCACTGAAGTAATGATAAGCCATTGGAGTGTTCTTTTCCAACCGTCGAATATCGTATCAAGGGAAAACGCATACCTGGGACAGCAGAGAGCCATGGTCTCGCTAGGTTCTAGGATACCGGCCAGTAGAGTTGCTGGTTCCTCATAGTAAGGGATAGGTTCAAGCGATGCAACAGAAGTCACGTATCCCGACGAAGTAGCGGGCTTATTGCCATCACGGGCAGCCAGGCCTATCGTCTCCCATCCAGAAGGGCAGTAAAGACCTGGAGAGTAGTAGGCTCCTATTCCTTGCCATTTGTCATCTTGGTACGACCAGGTGGGTGTTGCTGTGGCAGTGGGGACACAGTCCCAATTATCATCGTAGTCGAGGTATGTGGAACACTGCACGGAGTCTTGTAGGTGCGGGAAGCCGTCACTCACATAGCCGAGCCAGATCCTGTCTGTTGCGGAGCAGCTCGCTGGTGGTGTATAAGTCGTTGTTACGGGGCCATAGTTTGCAAAGGTCCAAGCACCATGGTAGACTGAAGCTGTGGCACTAGGCATCGTTGTGATTTCCCGTCACGTCCACGGAGTAGATAGTGAGTTCAAAGAAATCGGGAGAGGAGCAAGGTATGATGATGGAATCTTTGGATTCTCGGGAGGGGAAAGGGAGTTCATTCCTTATTAAGTACAGGCTTTTCAATGCCTATGGCTTAAAATCAGACACCCAACGGATTCTTTCGAAAATCCTTGGGACATTACAATGAGGCTTAAAGCGCTTGGCTTTCCGGTGGGCAATGTCTCCGCTTGCTAATAAAACTATGGAAATGCCGCCCAGGCCGGCTTGGCAGGGACCAAATCCAGCATTGGACCCTAGGCTAGGGCTTAGTCCGGTTAGTAATGTCTCTCAGGGTCGCAGGATGGGATCAAATGGTTTATTTAGCCCCAGACTATAGGCTTGCCGAGAACGCCTAAGAGAATCAAGCGAGATGACGGTGGACATACAACAGTAGTCGCCATTGGGTTCTTGAGGCTTCTTTTCTGTGTCCAGTAGGAGGGCTTGGGTTAGTTTGACTCTTTTTATCGGACCTATCGGATTACCGATGTGTTTGTTATTGGATGCGCAGATTCTGGTGTATGAAGAGAATTGGGAATCTACGGTCACCAAATTACATGATCTGGGACTGCAAAGAACTTTTGTTTACCGAAGCTGGACCTTGAGACGAGTGGATTTATGCCGCGGAATTTTCTTATTTTTACAAAAGAAATTCTGTGATTGTATAATTATTTCCGGCATTCGCTGGCTGGCGAATAAACAGAAATGAAACATCTCGAGGGAAAAATACATAATTATACATAGAGGGGCTTGAAATAGTTAGTTACTCTTCTAGTTCTCTCCAGTGTGCCAACAAGAATTTACCAGGCAGTCTTTTCTTCGTCTCTGCCAGTGAACAAACACGAGGAGAACTGACAAAAAGACAAAAAGTTATGACAAGAGTGGGATTCGAACCCACGCCCCGAAATCGAGACACGGAAGTTTGGATCAGGTAAGCCTGAACCGTGCGCCATAGACCAACTCGGCCATCTTGCCAGTTTGAGTGATGGTCAGGGCACAGAAAGGCTATATGATCTAGAATAAGTTTAGACCGGAAAGAAAATGCGAAATCTAGATCTATATCCATCTGCAGATCTTATTTTGCCCTCACTCTGATGTGATACGTGGAATTGTGTGTAATGGAATATATATCCGGCTTCATAATCGATGTTTCATTCCTCATGTGTGTTTTTTTTCTCAAACAATATGGAATCGTTAGATGGGTTTTGCTATCGTCGGCAACGGAAATATATAGTACGGCCGGTGCATGTGGTTCCTGGGCGAGAACGTAGTTCATGTCAAGCCACACAAACCCCAGACAATTTGAAGTCCCCCAGCAAAGTGATAAGTCTCACCGAAGCCTCAATTCAATTTATTTACAAATGTCAATAAATACAGTCATGGGATACAAGTCCAAGGAAAGGCAATGAAAATCCACACAACTAAAGCCCGCACAACAGTACGTACGTAGTTTCATGGTATTATACAAGAGCCTTATACAAGAACCAATGAAGAAGATTCACATGTCTCAATATTTTAACTTTCTAAATCTAACACGAGAGAAATCGAAGAAAGATAGAATAAAGAAATATCAGTCCCCCCACCCCATATCAGAGCCAAGAAAAAATGCCAGCTCAAATCAAAAGACCTGAAACCTAAAACCTAAAACCGCAACTGTGCAAGACCAAAACGGGAACATAACCAAATACCACAAACAAAGCGAAATGAACCAATAAAAGAGCCGGCCCGCTAAGATACGCCGAATAATATGTAAAAAAAAGAGACAGCGAAAGGGCTTGCTAGGCACATTCGCTGACATGTTCAAGACAACCAAATAATCCCAGGATAGGATCAACCGGGAAATGGAGAAGATGCAAATCGTGACAATGCAGCCGGGTCAATAATATGTACAATCAAAGATGTCGGTGAAGTCAAAAGGTGTGTTTTGAAGGGTTGCAAGCCAGGGGTGAGAAGGCCAGGTATGGATGCATTGTCCAAACCCCGGCAAACGCGCAGGTTGCAAATAATTGGGTTACCAAGTTTCCTGGAGTCAAGTCAGCCACTGGATTGTTCAAATAGGCCCAAAATCGGACTAAAACAGAAGAACGTCGGTAACACCTACAGCGATATACTGGCCTGCCTCCTTCTTACGTTGCCAGAAAAGCTCTGCTTCCGTGGCATTCAGGTTACCCTTGGCCATGGCAACTTCAACAAGGGCGGCCTCGACACCCTCGCCCATGCCTTTGCCACTCCCGCAAACAAAGACACGGCCATCAAGAGCATTGATAACATACCAAACCAGGTCGGCCTGGTGCCGTACCTCCTCCTGGACGTAGCGGCTCTCACCACGGCGGCTTTGCACAACGGTGCGAACTTTGTCTTCGTGGACACCCCATTCACCGCTATAGAGCTCATCAAGCAAGGAGTCACGCACGCCCTGAAGCACCCAGACCTTGTTGGCGCAGTTGGCAGACTGTAGACGGCGCTGAACGAATCCGCGGAATGGAGCGATGCCCACGCCGGCGCCGATGAGAAGCATCGGTCCATCGGAAGCGAACCGTTTGGCTAGAGGGTTAGCCATCAGGCCGCGGAACATTGGAATGTGGATATCGTGTTTTTCGCCAGCAGCCTCGGCGGCAATGGCGCGCCGCGCGAGTTGCTCCAGGTAGCCAGAGCTCACACCGGTCCGGGAGCCGCCGCGCCAGTCGTCAGACTCGGCGACTGAGACAGCGACCTCGACCAGGCGACGGCATTCGGTGCCCTTGAATTGGCAGGAGATGAGAGGATCTTGGGAAAGAGAGTAGAAGCGAGGCATGAGGGTGTTAAGCACGGAGAGTAAGTGATCGAGTGGGGGTTGAGAAGACGGGAAGGCGTGGAGAAGCTGAGAAAGGCTGATGTGAGAGTCGGTCCGGAGATCGCAGAAGGCACCTTGACCCTGGGCGGAGGAGAGGTATTCGAGGACTTTCTTCTCATTTAGCTCGGTGGTGTATTCGGCCAACAGACGGAAGAGAGGCTTGGTCGGAGGGTAGCTCTGGATGTCTGAGCACCAGCTCAAGACCTCACGCCGGGTAGTGATCAATTCGCGCGGTTTGTCGTCGCCCCAAATGGTCGGCCAGCGGCCCTTGGTCGTGCGCATAAGAACCTTCTTATCTCGCATTGACTTGGGCACACCAAGCAAATCGAGGATATCTTCGACCTCTTCATCTTTGTTCTTGGGACACACGCCAATGGCTCCACCGACGACAAAATCCACCATTCCACTCTCGGCGGGGTAATTGGTGACGTCGATGTCGAAGTGATAGGTGCGCTTCTCGGCGCCATTCTTAGTCAACTCTCGGGCATGATGAAGGGGAGCGCGATAAACCTCATAAGGAGGATGCGGTTGCACAAATTGCGGGGGATGATCCGCGGGGCCAAGCTGAACACTGGCGGCGTATGCGGGGGCCGACGAGAACCATACCGTCTTCTCCGGCAGCGGGGCCATGTTGGACAGCGTGCTGTCCAGGGTGAGAAGATCTAGATTCAAGCCGAGGCTCTCGAATGCCTTGTTCGCCGGAGCAGCGATCGAATTGAAGCCCGAGATAGGCCCATCGAGCGCCTGCAATTGCTGTCCACGGCAACAGCCGCCGCCGCAGCACATCGATTGGATCTTCTGCGTACCACCCGTCCCGACATTCTCCAACACTCTCCGCATGTCCTCCGAATTCCGAGAGATGAGGATTGTCGAGGCCCGGCGCTGACGGCCACTGGGCTTCTGGGTCGATTCTTCATCGCTCTGGGGAGGAGTGATAGGGGTGGAAGCAGAATCGTCGCTAGCCGAGTCGGTATCTTGGGAGACGGCCAAGCCATTGAAGTTGATATCGGTCACCGAGAGAGACCGTACGCCGCGCGGCTCTTCTGGGATCGGATTGTCGGGGTGAGAGGTAGAGGAGACGGGGATCTCGAAGAAGGTGCCCTTGCGGGGGCGAGACCCAGCAGAGGCGACGGTGGCCGACGGCATGACTGGATCAACGGCGTGCACTGTGCGTGAGGGGAGTGGTAGGTAAGCTTCTCCGGATCACCAAAGGAATGGAGTAGGTGAGCAGGGTTTTCTTTCCCACGTACCCATGGGGGAAAAGGAAAGTGTTCGCCGGAGAGGATACCGGGGACCAGTGGAGGTGGAGGGAGGGGTGTCGGGTGGTGCCGCGACGAGGGAAGTTTGGGGGGAGGCGAAGACGATACGAGAAAAAATGACAAGAATCGGGGTCTTTCGTCCTTTAAGGTTTCAATCGAGCCAGACAAGTGGGCTCAGGCTGGAGCGCATCGACCCGAGGAATAGAAAAGGAGGAACAGCTGAGAAACGTTCAAAATGGAATAATCAGATCGAGAGATCCCAAACGGTCGGAGGAATTTCAATGGCAAAAATGAAAATTACCCGGGCTCTGTGGAGTCGGTTTCAATTTCAAGAGGTGGAAGTGTACGCCAGATTCGGGATTTATCTGATTTTGCCACTGGATTTCACATTCTTCGTCACCGGGTAAAGTTGGTTACCCCCGGGGTCCATTACCTCTTTTCCACCCTGAACCCTACTGCAAAATTACGTATGCGGACCGGGCGGATCGGATAGGGATCCCTTCATGGGGGAAGAGCGAGGGCAGGATTTAACTACTGGATATGGTGCTGACCCGGGATGGGGGAAATCGTATCCATTTGCCCCCAGATCGACGGTGCATTTGTGGCTAGCAAATGGGGGAGGACTTGATTGTACTCAGGACTCGAGCGAACTCCACGGAGTATAGTACACACGTACACCCACAATACCTGTACTGCGATCTTGCCGAGGTCGGTCCCGGTCGGATCTGACCTGAACCGCACCCGCGGCATCGCGGGTTGGGGCCGCTCCTTCTTCACCGTATTCTGTGCCTCACGAGGAGCAGGCGACGCAGGGACCTTCAGGGGAGATTTCACTTGATACCAAACAAATAGAGCAAGGGAAAAAAAATAGAAAAACAAAACCAAAAAAAAGACAAGCCCTCAATCCCCCAAAAAAGAAGGTGAATTCTGGAGTGGGCCGACACCGGATCGTGTGAGGCATCGGCCAATCTGATCTGTACGATACGATACGATACGGTACCCGGTCGCGAGTCTGCGTAACGTCAGCCGCGTTATCAATCAATCAGATAGCGCCAGTGACACGCCGGGTGGTACATTGGACCAGCTTCTTTCACCCCCTCATTTGTTGGGGTGTTGGGGGCTTGGGCAACGATACTGGGATTTATTGTGACTCGCTTATGATGTCTCTTTAATTATTAATTAGTGCTCCATTCTCCTTGCGTCTTGAGAAACCAGGACGAGAGAAAGACGACACCAGTCTAGCCGAGCCTCCCCCGAACGGAGGACAGAATGGAATCCGCCGGCCCACTTTCCGACCAGCCGGTCACCACCTGCTCGATCGACAGGTCGTGGTGTCCCTACTGCTTGGCTCTCGGGACATGGGCGAACAAGTCCCCGCCATTCGAGAGCGTCCGAGTGGGTTGGCGAGGGCCGTTAGGACGCCGTCGCAAGCCAGTGGGTCATTCTAGAACGATATAACTCCCCCCATTCTATCCACCCCCTGAATTCGATGGAGCCAATAAAGAAAAAAAGGGAAATGGAGATCATTCGGTTTTTTTTGGGGCTAGAGGAGCTCCTCTCATTGGGTGGGGTGCTCACTGGAGGTGATTGGAGGCCTTAGACAGCGGTTGGCTGTTGATTGATCCCCCGGGGCTGGGAGTTTCGGGGTTCCAAATAGGTAAGTTAAGGGGGAAGGGGGTTAAGGAGGTTGAAGCTAATATCGGGAAACCAACCTGGATCAGCTTGTGACAATGTTCCCGCCCCAGAGCGCGTCCAATGGCGGGTCCAAGTTTCATCTGATAACTTAAAATCCGGGCTTTGGGAGAACAAGGAAAGTTCCCGACACTCCTTCAAGTAACAGGCCCCGTGAGCTGATAACGTCATTTTACAGGGATTCTACGGAATGTCCAGGTATGACAAGGTCGGAAAGGTGAAACAAGTCCGGTCAGAAGAAGTGGTGGAGCAAGGAAGATTCTTTGCCTGTTTGAGTCCTAGAAAACACGATCTAAGATAATGGACTTGCGGCAGCCAGAACTAGAAGATCTCAGTGAACCAAAGTTGATAGGTACATTGCAAGGCGAAGGTCACATCATAACATGAACACATTAATAGGAAACAAAAGAAGGTTAAATAAATACAGCAAAAAATAAGAAGAATTGCTCGGTCGGGCATCAGTAAACAAATGCCCACAAGAGCATCACCAAAGCTAGAATGCCCCTTCTCTCTTCACAAGAGCCACAGGGGGAACGAAATGGTGCCGCCCCCGGGCCCAATAATAGATCGACGCCGATCCAATGACGCCAGCGTACATGGCCACACTCCAGTTCATCGTCCCGAGCGTTACTGGGGTCGACACTGGGAAGAAGGCGAAAATGAACAGCGGCAGCAAGAAGGCCAAAGCTCCGACATTGACCGCCAGGCCAAACCGGCCCAGTGTCCAGCGGTGGTGAGGCAGTGGATCCCCCCGGAGCCGCTTGAGCAAGACGCAGCCAATAGACACTATATACGCCGACAACAGCGAAGTTATCGTTAGCGAGATCACGGCATTCAGAGCAACTTTGGAGCCGATATTGATCATGGACAGCAAGACCGTGACAAAGAGCGACACCATCACGGCATTGAGAGGGATATTCCACTCCGGTGTAACCTGTCAGCGGAGTTAGCCAGGTGAGTTTGAAAGGGCGGCCAGAATGGTGATCTTCATCTTACATATGCGAAAAACGAGGAGAATGGTACGCCATTGTCCCGTGCAAAGGACCAAAGCTGCCGTGATGCAGTGGCCACCTCGGTGATGGTGCTGGCGGTTAAAGTGACTACCAAAACGGAAGTCATCGCATTGGTGGCTGCCAGATTACCAGTCGTGTTGTAGAATATCTGGATGAATGGGAATCCCGTAGGACTGGCAAGGATAGGGTCGATCTCTCCCAAGGTGAAGCATAACGTCACCAGCATGATAAATCCAAGTACGCCGTTGACCGCAACGGAAGACATCATAGCCTTGGGCAATGTTTCCGATGCATCTTTGATCTCCTCCGCTGCGTTTTGTTAGCCATCAGTCGTCTCTTCGAAAAACACGGCCGACCTACACATGTGAACCGAGCAGTCATATCCCAGCATCGATGTGATAGTGGTCGAAAGCCCGACCAACGTAGCCGTGCCGGCACTGTCCCACCCACCACCATTATTAAAAGTGGTGAAGACGGCATGGGCATTGTTACGTGGTGCCAGGACCCACAGTGGAATGATGATCGCGAAAAGACCAATAACGTGGATTATCAGGATAAGGCCTTCGACGAACGGCAGATTCTTGGCAAGAAACGTATTAAATAGAATGGAAAACGTTGAAATGGCAATGACCAGCAAAGTCCCATGCCATCGCTGGAAATTGTATTCGGGATGATTCAAGACAATCAAGCCTTGGATAATGGTTCCGGCTAGATAAGCAATCGAGACGATCGCACATTGCCAACCCATCGCAGAAAGCCATCCTGGAAAATGATAAGTCTTCTTGCTAGCTTATGGTACTATAATGATACCGATTGTACTGGCTGTGCACCTACCTGTGATATAGCTAAGGTACTTTTGACTAATTCGCGGCGCAAATTCTGATACCCAGTGATATTGCCCACCGGCAGTGGGTGCCCTAATGCCTCATTGAATCAGCATTGATCAAGAATGACCGGGAATGAGAGGGGTTGTCCTTTCAACCTACATCGAAGCCATTTCAGCGATGCTTGCATAGACCAATGTGAAGCCCAAGCAAACACCAAGGAATCCCCATAGTAGACCAGCAGTTCCGCCATCAGTCAATCCCGCCGCCAAGAACCTGTCCCTCAGGGTCAGCCTTCCAGTAACCGATCTAGTGCGAGAACAGGAGCACAAACGTTAAAATGACCTCCCAGGTAGAGATCAATGTGCACCCAAACCCCACAATGGAAATAAACCGAAAGTTTCGCTTCAAGATGTCAGAAGATGCTTGATAGAATCCCAGTCGACCAACCTACTCGAAGAACTTGGACTCGTCCTAGCGCGCTCATATCCCGCTGATCAGCTACTGTCCCCATGTACCTTGGCGCAACAAAGCCCTTCTGTGGATATTCCACCAAGTCATCTGTCTCGTTCCATGTCACCTGGGTGTCATTCCTGGATCTGTGGAATATAGTCATGCTCGCGAACACCCGGCATGAAATATTGAGTCTAGTAATAATTTCCAAGAAAACTCCAAATGACCATCAAAAGTGCGGAGCTTGCCACGCAGCGGATGCAAATAACAAGTCGCGTGGTTACTGCATGCGACAGAATGCGATAAACTTGCTGCTCGGGGCAATATAAGTAGGTAGAACAAGACACGAAAGCACGCGAGAGAGACCAAAGCTCTATAAGCACCCCAGCGTAGCCAAAAGAAGAAGGTCACAGGAGAAGAGAACCCCAGATAGCGGGTATCAATAATACTGGGCGCCGGGCGTCACGGTGCAGGATCTCTAGCATGGAAATCGATGTGGGAACAAGGCATGGCAAAGAGAAAATTCTCGTGCGTGAGCCATGTGGGAATTACTCCCAAGCCCCAAACAGGGAGCTCTGAATGACACATACCATGTTTGATCGAGGGAGTGTTACAATGGCTACGGAGCTCGGGCCTGCTGAAAATCTGGTCTCGGATGTTTACAGTGCTCCTTGACTTCTAGCTGGGGTCTTAGTGGCCATCCCTTGAGTTTGAAACTTGGGCCATTGAAGAATGAGTAATGAAGCTATCGGCACCTTGCATGCCAAGGGGGTTGAGGACGGAGTACAGGGGTCTCCTTGCCAGCAGGCAACTACGATTGAAACCCGTCATTGAAAAATGGCCATGTTAAAGTTCTCGTCGCTCGATTTGCTCTGCTTTGTGTGCCTCGACCGCTGCCGAGTTACGTTCAACACAGGTGCATTGCACCCGAGCGAGATAAAACTCGAGAAGGATTATTGTAGCGTGCCCGATGGCCATCGGCAGATCCTTGCCGAGCTCCGATGTGATGCATCAAAAAAGGCTAGTGCCCCTACCCTCAATCCCTGTGCCAATCCACAGCTCATCCCTTGATCTTATGCCCCAACATCCAACCTGCCCAGTCGGTTTCACACTGTAATTGTCCAAGTCGACGACATATGGCGGCTGGATGCGCTGTCCCTCGCATGTTTGACCGATAAAGACAACAGGTGATGAACAGAGCCCTATCGGGTCGCTGCCAACGGGATCCACAAGGCATACCAAGACCCCATGAGGATCGACATCCAATGCAAGAATGGCAGCGGCCCGGTGAATCGAATACATGACTGGTTCATCAGTAACCTGGACGTGAGGGGAAGACACTAGCTAATCCTCAATACCACAGTTCTATGATATCAGAGATTTTAGCTGCGCAAACTACCGCTTATACATAATATTGCGTTGCGTGGGGCTTCTCATTCTCTTGAACGAAGGGCGGGCTCAAAAATAATCCCGCCACGTAAACTTACCTTCCCGTGCCACGGAACTGTTCGATCCGGAGCTTGAAGCTTGAGTATCGGCCTGAACCTGACCCCGGGTCTAATCCTATCAACCCTGGACTCGGACCCGCCGATGATTGTGGCATCTTCGGCTGGCGGCACATGCTCTTCCAGCAATCGTTGAATAGTAGCTTGTCCCGATTGTTATCGTGGCCTGCTTCTTCTTATTTTATTTTGTCTTTCCTTTTTGCTGCGCGTTCTGGTGACTGCTGTATATACTTCGGCCAAGCCTTCCTTTTCCCATTGGGAGGTCTTTTGCCTTCGGCATCTATGGCCGCTGTCTACCAAGCGCTTTTGTCATAAAATCCAATTAACTCTCGCATGGATTTGACTTTCCTGTCATAGATGATCACATTCGTCTAAGATTCCGAATTTCCTGCCATGGGCCCTTATGTGCCCCCAGGCCAGTCCCCGCCATTTGAGGTGGTTGACGAGTACCATCATGGGGCATGGATCATCATTACTGTTGCACTGGGACTGGTGGTCTCAGTGGTCTGTTTTTTGATTCGGCTTTATGTTCGCCTCATGCTGATACCTCCTTTTGCGCGGGATGACTTTGTTTTGCTGGGCGCCACGGTAAGCTTCAAAGAGTCAATGGTTGCAAAGGGAACTACGTAGATCGGGACATAACTGACACGTATTTGTGTTCGTGTAGATTGTGGCAGGAGTACAATCGACTCTCATATTTTATGCCTGTTCGCTCGGATTTGGAACCTCCATGATCTTCCTGGATGATACTCGACTCAATCAGATCCAGACAGTAAGTCTCTTGTCTCCTAGGACTGTTCATTGCAGAAGCTAATCAATTAGTTGATCGCAATAAGTGATACTATCGCTTTAATCATTCTTTTTCTTTCTAAAGGTTGTGTCCTCGCCATTTACCTCCGTCTCACACCTCAAAAACCGCACAACCGAGCCTCATGGGCTACCTTAGCCCTATGCACGGCCTGGCTTATTCCAGCTGTACTTATACTATTGGTAAATTGTGAGCTCAACAAGCCTTGGAGAACTCAAGGAGGCGAATGCAAGAATTTGGTATGAGCACCGTGAATAGTTGACATCAAGGCACGGCTTCGATGATTGAACTGGAGCGCTCACCTCACTCAATTTATTTAGTTTAAACGATGGCAGTTTATCGGCGCGGTCGATATAATCACCGAGATTATTATATTTGCGTTAGCTGTCATTCTGCTAAAGGGTCTTTTCATGTCGGTCAGGCGCAAACTCGCCATTGGATTCGCCTTTATCTTTCGATTCCCGTGAGTGCTTTTTGTTAATACATTGGATCAACCAGACTCTCAGTCCAGGGAGAATTCAAAGAAGAGTTAGCTTACAAGTATACTTTACTTGCCAGTCTTATTTTGTTTGCCATCTTACACATATCAAATCTCAACTCAGCGCTCAATGATGCAGATGTCACTCTCGCAGCCGTCGAGCCTACACTCTGGCTTCAAGTTGAGGTACACTATGCCCTCGTCGCATGCAGCGTATTCTGTCTTCGACCATTCATGGCTGCTGTCAGCACGAACTATGGAACAGCCGGCGACTCGAGTCTGGAAAGCAGCACGTCGCGGTCCCGGGGCACAGAAGGAAGCTCAAAGTCCGGATCTAATTCTAATTCTGCCTCTGGGTCCAACTCGGCATCAAGATCAAGGTCTCTTTCCCGAGTTCAGAGAAAGCGTACTGGAGCATCATCCAGATCTAAAAGCAGAAGCAGAATACCTCGCTCGTTATCCAAGGAACACCTGTGTCAGGGTGAACATGCACGCAATCTCGCCGAGAGCCGAGAAGCAAATGGACAGAAAAAGAAACAATCTATACCCCAGCTTCCCGAAACTCGGAACAACCCGGTGCGAACTCCTGTTCGTCGATCTATGTTTCCGATAAGCGAGCCGAGCAAGCAAACCTCTGGAAAGACCAACAAGGGAAAAGAGGGGCACCGTGAGCAGGCGTCTACGCCTTCTTTGTTAGATATTGATGATGCTATTGAGCTTATGCCTCAATTGCATCGGCAGCATGCACGGCAGGAGACTCATTGTACCCTTGACGAAGAAGACCCAGATAAAATGGTAATTCGCAAGGAAGTGCAGTATTCAATTCAATATGAGTACGGCGAGTCGCGTCGGAAGGGGCGGGAGACCTCGAAGACAAGCTCAACCGATGCAGTTGCTTATGTATAGCTAGTGAACTTGGATATTTAATCTGATCATTGAAACAGCGAGGCGATCAAAATGCTGCGTACGGGTGGTGCCTTTATCTTCGAGGTAACGCCTACTCCGTGAGACATTATATTTACTTGCTGCCAGATCAGGATGCAGAATTATCCATATGATGATAGTGCAAGACCTGTCCGATAGAGTTGTGATTGTACGTGCGCATCCTGATCTCGACTGAATGCTCCATTCGTCTGTGAACGCAGTGAATTCAGGTCGGCTATGAGCAGTATTAAGTCATCAGTAAAGAATAGTGCAAAGGAAAAATAAACCGTTGGACCTTGTTCGGTAAATACTTGTATATGGGTAACCCCAGCTCTATGAAAACACTCTAGAACGCCTCCGGACCATGTACCGATTTAAAATCTCAACCCAAATAACGCCTCTCAAAAAGTCATAAGAGAAATTCTTGGTTTAGCCTCTTTCACAAACCCAGACGGTCTCTTGAATGGATGGGCCTCCGTATTTCTGAAAATTTATTAGTCTGGAAACCGCATGACTTGAACGCCGTGACAGACATCACTTACAGCACGTACTCATCTAAGCTGATATGCTCAGGCTTAGAAAATATGAGGTAAAGATATTTGAGCGTCTCGGCAAGCCAAAAGCTTTCCATCTTGTTACTCAGCTCCGGCATAGGATTGCGCACATCTTCAATAGCAGAGTGGCCATATTTGGTGCGCGTCACCTTATCAATATTTTGGAACATGCGCCAGGCAGTATCCTGAAGTGATTTATCACCGGTGATCCGATACATGATGAATATAGACTCGAGAGCCTCCGGTCTATCTCCGTTAATAGAAGTATTAGTATAAATTTCGATAAATGAGTTCCGTAAGGTCTTACCGAAGCTTGTAGGAGGCATCCTGGATATCAATAACACCAGGAGGATATCCTTCTGCTTCGATTTTTGCCCGTGCTCTGTCAAGGTGCTCCTGTGAATGGATTGGTTGGCGGAGCACGCCCTCGTACCATTTGCCTTCATCCCAAGGACAATGTTCCATGTCCTTGCATGGAACCACTTCCAGGGCTTCCGGCATGATCCCTGTTGGCATCACATCATAGGACCAGATACAGCCATCTGTCAATCCACGAGCAATCTCAAGATCTTCGGTGCGATTAAAAATCTTCGCAGCAATGCCGACTGTGCCTCCTAGGAAACACGCTAGATGTTCCGGGCGGTACTCAGCATGCCGCAGATCCCCACCTGTATTCACACGGCCTTGCAGAGGGAACAGGATCAGCTTGTCCTCCTCTGGTGTCATTGCCCTGAATAGGAGATTTTTTTTGAAGGACTCGATCGCAGCATTGTACATGTTCTGATACTGATCCGTCTGGCCGCCAAGGAGAATGTGTTCCTTCGGCAAGTACTCGTAGGTGGAATCGGCACAACCGCCCATTGCAAACCAGGATTGACCAAAATCCAAAGTATGAGCATTCAAAAATGTTGGCCAGAGCCCGGGCAACTTTGTACGCGATTGGCCTCGTTCTAGCTCATTTGTAATCCGCTGGACGGCATCAAAATACTTTGGATCATTGGTCAGTTGAGAGAGACGAGTGAACTCCATGCTAAGAGAACCTATTTCTGCCAAGATTGTGCGCTCAGCTGGCTCAATTTCTTCACCCTGAGCTGATCTAGAGTAATGTTAGTAGTCTTGAACAGGGTCGCGTCTTTGGTGCCTTGGGGTCGGAAGACCTACTTCGTCCACTGCCAACGCATCTGAGGCATTCGGTTGTGTGTATCAAATGCATTGTATATCATCTCGCCGAGCTCTACCGCTTTCTTCAGGAGGATTGGATGTTTTCCATCACTTAGGTCATAGGCAGACAAGAAACCGCCCATATACCGGATAATGATTTCAAAAACATTCACAAATCTGCTCCCTGTGGCGGTAAAATCTATGTCCTCCAAGGCATTCAAGGCAACCTCAAGCTCGTCGTCGAGACCCATGATGATTAATGCATCCAAAGAATCAACTAGAGTAGCGCCCCACCCGCTAAACGAGTCCTCAAACCCACCAGTTTGGGGTGAAACCTCATCACGGGTCCATGCATGCTCTTTATACCCGTTCCATGCGTGCATGAATGCTTGCTTGACAGCTGCTTGCTTCTTGGTGCGTTGTTTGCGCTCGCTTCTTGACTCGCGTGGAAAGTCATGTTGGATGCGGGGCAGTGGAGTTGGTGAGGCCGGTAAAGGGATGTATGAGCTGACGGGATATCTCTCGGTTATCCCGTTCAGGTGGATAGTGTCCTGCGCGATTGAAGTACTTTTTACAGGGACTGGTTGACGGTTCTTTCGGTTGGATGCATGAAGGCGACTGAGTGGGAAGAAAACTAGAAAAAGATATGTGAAAATCAGGAAAAGAAGCGTAGTTCTTAGGGAGCGTCTATTGCGATTCGAGACCATCCTGATGGTCAGTTCGCAAGGAGTAGACAGAGGAAAAAAAAGATAATAAAAGAGAAGGAAAGACGGAGTTGTCAAGGGAAAGAGAGTTCGAGATGAGGAAGTCAGGAATGGACAAGCTATGCAAAGCTCACAGAAAACGAAATCAATCGAAAGAACGGAATGGATACATAAACAGCAAGCTCTCGTGTTTCATGAAGAGCTCTGCCATTTCTGAGCAGAGTCTTTCAGAGAGATGGTTGAACAGCCAGGGATGACAGGATCAGAAAGCAGGCGCATCCATGTGGAAGAAATCCCCTGGGTGGAACAGCGGGAGGTGGGTGTTTTGTCTGGCGTTTTTTCGAATTTCGAATTTCAGCCTAGATTCTCAATATGAGCAGGGCCCATTATTGATCGCCAGGAAAGTCTGATAGCTTTGACACGCGTCCATGGGGAGAGCTGGGTATGAGACACCATGGAAGACCAATGATTGGCGAGATTCGGTATGCAAAAGGGGCCGCAATGTGGCATCTCATCGGGCGGACAAATGATGTATGGTTTTTCTTCAGTAAGGGAACTGGAGCGGGCGCCAGGGTCCAACAGGTATTCCTAATAGCAGTTCTAGGCCTGCCAGGCGTTCGGGGAGCTCCGCAGTCCCCCTGGATTGGTGTTGACTTGTACTGCGGGCGTCCCGTCTAGAGCGGCTACGGATCCACTGCGCCCCTATTTTTTTGCCCCGATCGGGCTAGAGGGGCTATTGAGGGGCCAGAGGCCAGACGATCTGGCCCAAATTGCCTTGATGGAAGCTAATCCGAAGTTGATCATTGTGGCGGAGTTGGTGGTAATGGTACTGGTATCAAGCGCGGAGAACTCGGTACAGGGGCTGGAGGTGTCTTTCCAAGGTGATGCCCCAGGGCCAGGATTCTATTGAAAGTTCCGAGTCGGCTGAGAGGAATCAGTCAAGACTGGAGTATTTAAAAATTGAACCCGTAACCACTGAAATGCAAGTTTAACCGAAACCTCACGGCCACCATCGAATCAACCCACATTCAAAAAAATGTCACATCCAACATCGACATTGCATCCTTTCCGATGGCAAGCAGGGACACCGTAATAGTGGAATGCTCCGAAAACTTCCCTATTTTGTCTCTACCGTAGAGTCACGCCTATATAGAACCTCCAGCATGACGAAAAGAAAGTTCCAATTGAAATCTCAAATTCAGTAGCATACAATTTGGGCCTTGTTCGAGATTTATGACATATCGAACAGCTTTTCCACAAGCTCAAAGGTTGTTGAAAACCTCTAGGGCGATTTATTGAGAAGATTTCTTGAGGAAATACCAATCTAGCATGGTTAGTTTGGTTAGTTTGGTTGCTTTTAGAAAACAACATAAATATGCCACTATATAGACCACATAATACCTGGCGGCCACCGCTTTTGTGAGGTGCTCAGAGGCTCAGGGATCAAATCAAGTGAAGTCATGTGTATGATGACTAATACTCAGTGATCGTTTAATGTATATCACTAGCAGTGTCTCCGCCCACCCACACCGCTTCGCGTTGTGGGTGTGCCACACACAGATGCATAACCACACACAGATGCATAATCTTTCCTATTTCCCCTATCTACTACTGCATCCCACTAGTATCTATATAGAAACCCTGCCTGTTCTGACGTGCTTCCTCTGCTCTATCTAACGATGCCTGGCTTTCCTGTGTAGGTTCTGGTGGTGGTGATGTTCCATATGTTTTCTTCCACTGCTTCCTCACCCGCTTCCGCTCTATATCCGCTTCCTTCTCCTTTCTTTTAGCAATAGAACGATTTGCATCTCTAATAGAGAGGACCCCTGTTTTGCTAAGCGGCGTTTTAACCTGGCGCTTGGTGATTGGGCGCTGTAGTGGTTGTTGAGCTTCCCTAATCTTGCGAATAGTATCATTCGCTAGATTTAGGTTCTCTATAGCAATCTTGTTATGATGAAACACACGATCAAGATTACGTTGCTGCCTTGGTGTAAGATCCTCTTGATATCTAGCAATCTTCCTTTGATTCTTTTCTAGATCCTGTATAGATCTAGGCGGCGATTGGTCGATACTAGAAGAAGATATAGGTGGTGGTGAAGGTGTTGTATAAAGCGTTGAATGAAGCGGTTGTAGATCTGGCGCTATAAGATCTTGACACTCTTGGATAGGAAGGCTATTAATAACCTTGCTACTATCGACTGGATATATCCCACGATCTTTGAACGATTCACGAATGATTCGCTGGCTAAACGCTCTATTCCGAATATCACCGATTATTCGAAGGAACTCGGATCTCCCGATAGGGCTTCCACCCTAAAACGCGTGATCGTTATTCGCTAAGCGGAAGTGTTGCTTATAGCTTAGAAACGGCTTACCGTCAAGCGGCTGGCAAAGATGTGTAGTATGTGGTAGGAATCCTATTAGTAGGATATCGTTCTTTTCGCAAAGGTGTAGAAATTCGAATGTAAGATGCGAGCCGTGACCGTCGAATATTAGGATACGTTTTTCACCTAATTTCGTACGGTCGTATGTTGATTCTATAAAGAATCGAAGCTATTGAACTGCTATATCGTCGGTTATCCAACCGTTAGGCGATGTAGTGATAGTAGTTCTTAGTGGTAGGTCGTCTGTTTGATTAAACCAAGATTCTATAAAGATCCCGTTGCCTTTGAAAATAAACCAAGGCTCTATCTGCCACCCGTCGGCAGCGATACACTCGATAGACGTGATATTTTCGCCTTGGTCTGGCTGAGGAAGATCTACTACCTTTCCTACTACTACTACTAGTAGTAGTAGTAGTAGTAGTAGTAGTAGTAGTAGTAGTAGTAGTAGTAGTAGTAGATATAACGTTTCTAGATCTTCCTTCGCCTGGTTGAAAGCCGCATTTATCAAAGTTATAGACTAAGCGTGGTGGTGTAGTCTTCTTGATCGTTTGGGCTAGTAGATCGTACCAATGCTGTAGTGCCGCTGGATCCTCTGCTAGAATTCGCTTCGACTCCTTCGTATACTGCTTAGTAGGCCCTAATTGAAGATGTTTAGGAAGCCTATTAATAAAGCGATACGCCCACATCTTGCTAATCGGCGGCTTGCCGACGCGTTGGCATACACGATTCGCCCACGCTTCTAGTATCCTAGGAGTGATAGGCATATAGCAATCGTTCATATATTGAATCCAGCGAATCAAGGCTTCTTCTTGATAGGGTTCTAGGGCCTGTTTAGCATTGCGTTTAGCTGTATTAGGCCCTGTTCCCTTTTTAACACGGCGATAGAGAGTGCTTTGATTAACGCCAAATTCACGTGCTAAACGCGCGATATTCGGCTTCTCCTCTCGTGATGCAGCTAGGCAGGCCTCAGCCATACGAGATTCATCAAATTTAGGCATATTTAGATAGTGGTGTTGGATAGAGAAGCAAAAAATAGGGTGATAGGAAAGATTATGCATCTGTGTGTGGTTATGCATCTGTGTGTGGCACACCCACAACGCGAAGCGGTGTGGGTGGGCGGAGACACTGCTAGTGAGCCGAACACCCTACCACATAGTACATTTTGAAAACACTTTTTTTCCACCACAACACTAGATATCAATTCATTATATTTAGAATTACATTGACTAATATTATGTTATATATTACTATATCTAGAACATCGAGAAATACGCCTAGTAGTAGACTCAGCGCCGTTAGTAGGCTGCTGAGCAAGCTCTACAGTATCGTTTTGAATAGCTTCAACGCTTGCTGGTAACGTTGAAACTGAGGATATAGATTCGCCGACCGTTAAACCTTGCTGCCTAGATATCTGCTGCCTTGACCGTGTGAGTTTTTAACGCTTCTTCCTGTTAAATTGCCGTAAATATTTAGCCTCCTGCGCTAGAAGCGCTCCGTTATATATCGCTAATCGGCATACTTTGATTAATTGATCTAGCGCTCGCTTAGTAGGGCTTCCTTCAATTATTATATACAGCGGGAGCGAGAAGCCTATTGCTGATATAGATTCAATAGCTGTTACCTACTCCTGATTCCCTAGTTGTAGAAAGGGCTTCCGACTGTGGAAATCCTTTCGTGTAACGATTCTAGTAGTAGATATTAGGCCTATAGCAAAGCCTGTTTTGTCAAATTTATAGATATTGTTTGATTAGATCCCGTTTTTGTTGATAACTATTTCAATAAGCCTAAACTACACGCGTAGGCTTGCTAGGTCTTCGTTTTGGGCACATTGATAGTTGTAGCGTTTAGAGAAGCGTGTGTAAAGCTCTAGTCCACGCCTAATATATCGTGTTACTTAATTGACACCTATAGTAGGTGTAGTATCACCGCGTACTGCTAGTAAAAGATTCGCTATATCCTGAATATGCGTAGGCCTAGGGGAAGCGCTACGCGTATCTAGCGATAGGATCCACTTTCAAAGGGGATTCTCTTCTTATGCCAATTTTAGGCGCAGTGGTTGTGTATCCTAGCGATTAGGCTTGCCATTAAGCCTATCGCCTAGTTTTGATCGAGGCACATTGTATAGCCCTGCTGCTTGCCCGATTGAGCTTGCTGAGCTATTCTCAATAGCTTCAATAGCGAGTAGTACTCTATCCTCCTTGTCTGGCGATTTTGAGCGTTTTCAGAAAGTTTTGGTGACATGGTGTGTGGTGGAAGATAGTAGGCGACGCGTGGGAAGCGTGTTTTTTTGATAAGGTGGCGACTCACTAAGGATTACGTTATGTTGCTGGGACCCAAAGTGTCGGGCACCCTCTAATATAGAGTTACAACTACGTCAAAATTATGAAATACACCATCGGGCTTTATTGCACGGATGATGCGCCATCGTAGACTCATGGTATAGCCCACAGCGTGCCTTCAGAGCAACCGGCACTGTGGTCAAGTCCGACTGCCAATGACTACTTCATCGAGACTCGTTCCTTTCAGAATTTCGAACTAAACCTGGACTACTCTTACTAGTATGATAGTTGTAATAAATCCACCATGCAAGAAGCATTGAAGTTGACTGGTTGCTCTTGGACAAACACTGAAGGGGCATTACGCCTACGGTACTGTCCCCACTTATTATTTGTTGAAATTTTGAGAATACCATTTCCCCTCATTTCTGAGGCTTCGTGGTAAAATAAAATCCCCCGCAAGATCGTTCAATAAATTCAGGAAGGAAAACGGAGAACATTAAGCCAAGCGGACCGGAATTTAAAATTCAAGACCAGAAGGAAATCGTATGCGAAAGCATCTATCTGCATCGTATACGGCCTCTGCGGTATATTATCTAAATGTGAAAATACATGATTTCCCATAGCCTTGCTACATAAAAATGACGACCTTATGATTTCTGTGATTTTTGCATCAGACATCTTTAACAAAATCATAGATGTCTTGTCACGCGGGAACTCTCCTCGACCCACCTCCTTAGACTAGGCACGGTTTGTCAGCATTTTCATACTGTAATCCAAACGCCTGCTTCTGACAGCCTAACGCATAAATTGGAAAAGCGCTCTTGAAACCTGGTCGACATCTCGGTATTGTTCGGTCCTATGAAGATTTAAGTAGAGCTTGCGCTTTTTCAAGGCCATTCGTCGCAGATGCAAGAGCGGGGATGGCTTCTCGTAAATCACTTCATACGGAGTCTCCTTCTGTAGGATTGATGCTGGCGCGCACAGCTTCAGCTACATGTATCACGGTAGGGTAGTGACCAGATGACATAAGTTTCAGTTATTTCCATTCTCTGGTCATTTAAAATCTGAATTTTCCGAAGGGGGATCACCTGGGGGATGGTGAGGTGGACCCGGAGGCTGTTTTGGAGCACCTGGAGGGCCAGGAGGGCCACCGGGAGGGCGAGGAAAGGCCTTTGGAGGTGGATGAAAGGGCGGCATAGCAGTATAAGATAATTTTGGGATCGTCACGGACTTATTCTGGAACTCCTGCAAAATTTCATCTGTTACTCCTTCCATATCACAGAGCTCCTTGCGCTCTGGCAGTCGTTCCGCAGGAACCCAGCTACCGTGGATGCCGAGTCGTAGCCGGAAAGGGAGCTCGATCATGGCAATGGGGCCTTCGGCGAGCTTGGCGGTATCCAGGATGAGAATGGAGGTAATAAATTTGTCTTGTCGGCAAGCCATAGTTATGACATATCCATCAGATTCCGGCGCTGGGACCCAAAAATTATGTTAGTTTATGTATGCTTGTATCGAGCTGAGACGCAGAGGAAGAGATCTTGGGCGAAGTACTGACCATCTGGGCTTCTAGGGATAAATGCGACCTCTTCGAGGACTGTAGAGGGACCGGCGCACCAATGTGTATATTCGCCAGTGGCCAAGTCGCAACGAGAAATTGAATTCCACGCGCCACCTGTTGATGGCTCGCCCGAGAGGGTGGCATGGTGACACATGAAGACGTTGTTGTATTGCTTGGTGAGATAGCGATCATCGACCTTTGGCATCTCCCCGGCAAGATCAATCAGCTTTGTAGGCTTCACCGTGGTGTCTGCGGCGTTAGGATCCAGCTTAAATCTGACGTATCCGCCGTGCATATCCTGAAGTGGTGTCTGAGGAGGGATGGGGGGCTTCCCAATAGGCGGGAAGAACCAGAACTATTCAGTTGTCGGCCTTGAGGTTAGCGCACGGGATCCCGATGGGGAATAGATCCAGGCCTTTTATGCCAAATTAGTGTATAGGATCGAACCGTCTAGATAGACACATCCGTCTTCTCCATCGAAAGCATTACCGGTATGCCCAAGGAAGGCGCTCTTGGTGGAGAACCACCAAACATCTTCTGGCTTTGGGTTCCGACGCGGTAGAATACCTAGCATCAGCGGCTTTTCTTCATCCCAGGCAAAATGATGGTGCCCCTTTTCCAAAAGATCCAATGGAACAATCGCCAAGGGAGGAAGCACGAAGACAATCCATTTATCGGTTGCGGCCATATCGTGCATCATGCCCGCAAAGGGAGCACTAATCCAACATTCCTCGAGCTTATTCCCGTTCTTATCGAAGAGGTAATAGACAATATCGGTCGTTGAATCTCCCTTAGCCTCGTAGCCCATAGTGATCATCTCCCCGGTCGCATGATCGATTTTGGGATGAGCCGTGTGCGTTTTCGAGCTGAAATGGCCGTGAAAGTCATATGGGCCTGACAGGCAAGATTAGAATTCTTTTTGAAAAATTGAACAGAGCCTGATTGAAGAAGCTGAGCAAAGCATGGTAGATATGGTACCTTTTGTGGCTAAAGTGTCCGGGTTGAGCGCATAAGGAAGCGAATCCTCTTTAAGCGCTAACAGTTGATTCTCAAAGTAGATAATATGGGTGTTGGCTGTGGAATGGATCTTGTGCTTCACGCGGGGATCATCGGTATAGCGGTTACGGTATTTTCCAAAGACCGCTTGGCGAGCAGCTCTTTCAATGACGAATCTCTCCGTGCGAACATAGCGTTGTTTGAAATCGGCGTGGCCGTCCTGAATGCGTACGGCATCAATGCAGCCATCGCCATTGGCAAATGTGTCATCTTCATACAACGGCGCCCATGCAAAATCTGGCATACATCGATAGAAGGTTCCGTCGATTTCAGGGGGTTTTTGCCTCGAATGATACAGTTGTAGACTTCTGCTTCAAAGCGGCACGGGTCGTCCGCGATGGTGCTGAAAGGGTGCTTGGGAAGGCGAACCTCCTTTGACACCGGTAGCGTTTTGTCAAATTCGGAAATATCCATCATGAGGCGAATGAAGTTGAGTTGTTCCCGAAGAAGAGAAATGCAGAGTTGCACAAATGAAAGCTCCTGCAGCGAAGAGGTACTAGAGGTACTATATAACAGATATTTCAACCGTCATTGGCGCGGGGATTCCCTCCTAGGACGGCATGGGCTATTCTCTTAACGGAGTTTCGGAGAAGGTATCCGCCAAATTTTCGACCACCAAGAACCATAGAGAATTTGGGCGACTCTTGTCCCGCTGACGCAGCGGGCTATTAGCTTAGCGGAAGAGGGTTGGGATTGGGTTGATACCACACGTCCGATTGGACCGATTGGAGCACGAGGGCGTTTGGACCCCCAAAGTCAACCCCTTCGAGTTAGTTAAACGTAGTCAAACATAGTCAAATATGAGCCAGAGACGCGTGTGCGGGGGTGCGCCCAACGATTCCCCAGATCCCCCTCCCCCACAGCATTCGTTTCCTGTCCGGCCCTATCGGAGCAAATAAGTCTGCTCCGGGCGAGCGAGAAATTCGACCGGAAACCGGAGCATACCAGGATCCCTTCGAAGACCCGCCTCCTTCCCTTTGAACCGCGTGAACAGCTGTGATGGTTTAGCCCTGAAGGAAAGCAAGGAGTGATGGGCATTGTATTTTTGGTGTAACACCACTGACAGAGAATGCGAGAGTGAGCAATTGAGGTCCAAGCTGGGCGAGGCGAGCTTATATCTAGATGCATCCATAGGGGCCTAAATAAGTTCCATAATCGTGTAAAGCGTGGAAAATGATTTCCGCATGGGACCTTGATTGCGGGGAAGCCAACAGTTCCGAGGCATGTTACTCCGGCACACTAAGGGCATCTACTACTGATGTCTGCCTTGAACCATTGTTTACGCTTTGAGTTATAAAAAGGCTTCGAATCTGGAAGTAAATATTAAATACTTCAAAATTGACTATGTGTTAATAAGAGAAACTCTTGAGAGAAATCCAAGTGCGAGAAGGCCAGCCATATATACACCCCGGAAGCTCTCTGTGCTCCTCACCTGCGCCGGGGAACTGCCCGGAGGGCTCACAATTTTCTTCTTCCTATCGGAGGTATACCAATCAATGAGTCCACACGCCTATTACAGTAGATTATGTAAGTACTCCTTCTCGTGTTCATTCTATCTGAAGTACCTAAAGGTGTCAATCGTGAAGTGGACATAAATTGATCGGACCCGAATACTAAATACCGCGGCGGAGGATAGCATGTTCGGGCAAATTTTTCTGTCTGAAAGAGACCCTGAGTAGAAACTAAGCGATGACAAGTTTGTGTAATGTAAAAAGTATCCTGTGATAACTACTTGATGATTCAAAAGGCATAGTAGCACTGAAAGATTTATTGTGTGAATTAAATACAAGAATTCTCTCAAGTGACACGGGTTCCCATTTCTCAATGACCTCCGAATCTTGCTGATGCGGATGGGTCATGAATGGATATGGTCTTGGCCACTAAAAACTCCCGCAGCCCATATTTTCCGTTGTTCCGGCCCCAGCCACTTCCCTTCGTGCCTCCGATGGGTGCGTTGGCTTCATCATACTCGGTGATGGTGCCAATATGAACCTGACCGCACTCAACTTGGCGAGCTACCTTTAAGGCTGCAAAGATATCTCGACTGTGAACCGCGGCATTCAATCCATACTTGCTGGAATTTGCGAGCGCGATAGCCTCATCCGCATTCTCAACGACATAAATAACTGCGGATGGACCGAAAGTTTCTTCACTGAAGATTTGGTCTTCAGGTTTGACGCCAGTGAGAATGGCCGGTGCCAATGAAGCTTCTGTGCTGTCGCGAAACTCATGATTACCAACAACATAAGACGCGCCATTTTTCACAGCGACATCAACTAGAGACTTAGCTCGCTGGGCGCTAACTGCAGTGACGGCGGAGCCTGCTCCATCGGGATAATTTTTCTTCACGTATTCAGCCAAAGCCAGGGAAAAACCCTCTGCGATATCTCGCACAACGATGATACGATCGGTGGACATGCATATCTGGCCATGGTGCAAGAAGGCCCCCTTAGCACATAAGGCAGCTGCATGCTCAATATCTGCGTCTTTAAGCACAATCGCAGGAGCTTTGCCACCTAGTTCCATAAGTACTGGCTTGAGGTATTTCGACGCCAGCTGGCCGATAATGCTTCCAACAGTAGCACTTCCAGTGAAAGCGACTTTGGAAATGCCCGTGTGGGAAATTAACGCTTCGGTGATTTGTTGAGAATCCTTTCGACGAGCTTGTAGGGTGTTGATACAGCCGAGAGGTAGGCCAGCATCTTCAAACGCTCGTACAATGGAATGATGAACGCCCGGACAAAGTTCCGAAGCCTTGAAGGTGACAGTACAGCCTGCCGCAAGCGGCGCGGCGAGAGCACGACTGGAGAGGATCATACTGGCGTTCCAAGGTGCAATGACCAGGACTGGTCCAACCGGCTCTTTGAAAACCATGCAAAATGCCCCCGGACCTTGCGGTGCGGGGAGCTCACCGGTACATTCTTGAGATATGTTTGACGCAATTTCTCGAAGACCCGCACAAGAAAGGTTGACATTGAAGCGGGCCCACTCCTCCTGGCACGACGTCTCGCGAATCTGCATTGCCACAAATGCTTCTTCCCGACTTTGAATTATGTCGGCAACTTTCAGCAGAAGATCGCGACGCGCTGTATAAAGTGTGGCCTTCCATTTTTGGAAGGCTTGGCGAGATGATTCTGCAGCATTGCGAGCGATGTCTACTGTGGCTCCTTGTGCTAGATGAACCTCCGCACCTGTAGCCGCAGATTGGACGCTAATCAGGCGGGATTCATCGACCGGAAGTGCCTTGCCCTCGATCACGATTGGGATGACATATCGACCATCTTGGGTCTTCGCAGAGCCTATCGTGGAGTGCAGGTCCTCACTTGTAATGTCGGTTGTGCTAGAGAACGCCATGGTTTGATGGTAGAATTTCGATTACCTCGCTCTCGAACCAGATATCACACGATATTATAGGTTGTTTCGGACTTAAAGCCCAAGTATTTGAGAGTGAGGGAAGGTCGAGATTTCCAGTCAAAGCCAAAAGGAACGATCGCGATGCACGGCAACCAAGGCCACGGAGTCAGAGTGTGAAGCTGAAAGGGCCACCGACTCTCCGCGGAGCTAGCCGGCCGGATGAGATTCTTTCCACAGTTCGGGAACGAGGTCACAATGCCCAGCAAATCCACGCTCTTCTGTACGTGTCATGGAACTGTATTCATCGGACTCCGCGACTGGTCCTTGCTCCGCGAAAACTGCCTCGGAGTTCTGGTCCGATATCCGACGCATTACGTGGAGTTGACCTTCGGGACAGCGTGCTTCAGCCACGTAACACCAAAAGTTCCACCAGCCCGTTCCAAATTTGAGAAAGGGATCGAAGAGTCTGATCACTTCAACCCGGAGTATTGGGGTTCTTCCGGCAACTCCAGCTTCGCGGAGAACGCGAGGATGATTCCAGGACAGCTGTCCTTTTCGGGTAAATTTCAGTTTCTCTTAATGAACACCAACCGGGAAGACATCTATGCTCAACATTCGACCAGCAGAAGGCAAAATAGTATAATAAGGAGACAAACAGGAGCGACGATGATTCATTATCCAGCTCATGAGTGCTTAGGTCCATATGAGTAAGAGGAATGACGGGCGTCAACGGCCCCCCTAAGGCTTGTTTAAGCATTATACAAACATTTGATATGTGTATGGCTCCGGGTAGAAGCATCATCTGAATGATGTTTCTTGTAGTCCGATTCTGTTTCCTCTTAGCTTTGAGGCTTGTATCTCGAATTTTGTTTAACGTACTGATTTACTTCGACCGGAACTATATTCAACCATACGGAAGTCAGGTTCATCGTTCCGACTTCCCCCACGTGGAGAAGACTGCAATAATTCGGAATACCCCAACGGATAGACCTTGAGTCTCACAGAAGTTCCTTCCCTATGAAGAATAAAATCCACAGATTCTTGTTGTTGTCGGTATTTTGTATCATCGAAGATTGGTCAAAAATTTACAATTCAATCGTTCCTGCAACCAAGTCATTTCACAATGCCGCTTGGTATCTTGGATGTCAATGAGGACCATATTCCAGGGACCGTTGTTTTGTTGGACCAAGATAATGAGTCCTCTGATCATCTCAAGTATACTACGGTGAAGGTATGTATATCTTCGACACTTCGATTTCTCTCCCGGATTAATGAACGAAACAATGAAACAGGGCACTCGCATAATTCTCGTCCCCCAGCCTTCAAATGACCCAAACGAATCATTGGTAACCTGTTATCCTCGACAGACTAAAGCTCAGCGTTGCTGACCAAAGACAGAACTGGCCAGAATGGAAAAAAAGTATTGTCTTTTTTGTGATCTTTGTCAACAATATAATTTTCGGAGCTGTTCCTGCTCCACTGTTTGCTGCATCGCTCACCCAAGTTGCGGAATCCCTGAATGTATCTTTGGCAAAAGTGACAGCACTTTCGGGATATATGCTTCTAGTCGCCTCTGTCTTAGGGTATATGGTTCAGTCATTACATATGTACATGGCCTCGGATTATTGACCACGTTTCTAGGCCCATTGTGTCGGCCCTCGCCTATAAATTTGGCAAACGCCCACAGTTTGTCTTCGCATCTGTCGCGGGAGTCATAGGCACCGCTCTTTGTGTTGCAAGTGGACAAAGGTATAATGCTTTTCTTGTTGGGCGTATACTGCAAGCCTTTGGAATGACTGCATTTGAAAGTCTTTCATTGGCTGTTCTAGGTGATCTGTAAGCTTCCTGGATAATTAGAACCAAGTTGGCATTCCGAATCTGTGCTTATGCATATTTCAGCTTTTACGTCCACGAGCGAGGTATTCGTGCAGGTATGATAGTTTTGACCCTGCTATGTATGCCTGGTGTGGTATCGGTCGTCAGCGGGCCAATCACAAATAATTATGGATGGAGGTATATGTTCATCATTTATCTCCCATTTACGATTGTTGCTTCCTTTGCGACCTTTTTTCTCGTGCCTGAGACGCAATACATTTCGGGACTACCCGAGCAGCCAAATGCGCATGAGTTATCTGTTTTTAATTCAAAATTTGTGACAGAGGAGTATATTGAATTCGTGCCACCCGCGGCTTCGAGCAGGGAACCACAGCCAGATATGCTCTATGCCAAAAAGTCGTATCTACAGAGCTTAGCATTGACAAGTGGTCGATACCCGGGATCTCTTATTAAATTATTAATGGCACCTCTTATAATACTACTTAATCCGGCAGTGGTCTGGGCAAGTCTCCATCAACTTACAAGTGTACTTGAATTTGAATCTAATATTTGTTTTGTCGAAATAGTCTCTCCTTACAAGCGCAGTACCTGTTGTAAGTTGCATCGATTAAGCAAAGACCCACAAATTAAGAATATTGATAGTCGCTATTTGGATCAATGTCATTTATTCTCGCTCAGATCTGGTCTGCAGCTCCTTACAACCTCAGTGCCGCATATAACGGCTTCTTCTATGTTGGAGGTAAGCTTGAACAAGATGCTTCAAAGGTTTACAATAGTTGCTGACCTAAACAAGCAATAATTGGCGGCTTAGTTACAGGACTTGTTGGAGGTAAGATTTGCGATATGATTTCCGACTCGCTCACGGAACGCAATCGAGGAACTTTCGAACCCGAATTTCGCATACCTGTCCAAATTATTGGATCTCTGTTCTGTGGACTTGGATTCTTCATATTTATGTGGGACATGAACCATCCAACTCCTCACGGATATTACTTGGGATCCGTCTGTCATGGATTCACTGCTGCTGGGGTAACGTTGACAGCGACATCTTCCTCTTTATATATGATGTGGGTTTGGTCTCAAGCTAAAACTAAGAAGATGACGTAGCTCACATATTTTCAGTGATGCTTTTCGATCTCAAGCTACCGAGGTTTTCATTTTGAACATGTCAACCAAAAACCTACTTTTCTATGGGATTTCCAGTTTCATCAATGACTGGGCTACTCAGGATGGCGGAGGGGAAGTCTTCAAAGTCTGGGGAATAATTTGCTTATGTGTATTGACTCTCAACATTCCCATGTGTAAGAAATCACGAATACTAATCCGTCATCATATGCTAAGTGAGAAATAGATGTTTTTGGCAAAGTGAATCGCAAGTTCGTGATGAGATTGAAATTTATCCACAACTTCACAGGATATTAAGGACTATCTTTGCCACTCACGATAGGTAGTCTCTAGGTATCTCAATAATAGCGTTTCCAGTACTAGAATATCTGATTCCCAAGTATGACCAAAGCGTAAAAGCTCATCAGTTTGACCTTCCTGTATGGGTTTAATTTGAAAATTTTTTTGCAGTAATGGATAGAAATTAGATAGCTTTCCCCATGAAAAATGCTAGGAGTCATTCCTGGAAATTGGTAATCAACCCCTTCTATCGCTTAGTTACAGATGCTGCATCGCATTTGAAAGCATTTTTATCAATTTGACGCTACACACGAAACTGCATCGAATTCTCTAGTGCCTTTGGAACCAGTGGGAGCTGAACTGACTCAGGACTAGAGTGATCGATCCCCATGGCCGATCACAAATTATTAATGCCGGGATCCGGATGACAGCTCGCTCTCACAACACCACTTTCCAAAAGCACCTTTTGCTTCAACATACCCAGGCACAGCGGTTTTGAGATGTCGACCATTCGTAAATCGTGTGCGGATTATACTACTTCCAACCGCAGATGTCTCACTCAAAGACCAAAATACCCTCGGAAAATCTTGAATGTGTCTTTGATCTTGAACCTCTCGCCGCACTGCCTACGAAGTCAGAAAAATTATATGCATTCGGCTTCAGCCCATCAAATTGGAGTTCTCTAGATGGCTGTATAATGAAGAGGCTCAAGCTGCGATCTGCATGCATCGATCCTTCAATCTGCGTTCCAGGCCACGGAAATGCTCTTGAGATCACAAGACTTGGATTTGATACAGTTCCAGAGCTTTTAGGAGATAATAAGCCTGCATTGTTGTACCTATAAATCAAAGATTATTGGTGTATATAACCACATGGCGGATCTTGCGAGGAGAGAGGTGAAGGGAGTAGGTTTTGAAAGCTCCAGAGCCTGATTCAAATTGATATCAAAACGGTGTCGGCAAAGGAAGCCCTCAAAGCTCTTCTTGCCTTCGCTGGGCACGCCTTTCATTGTTAGTCAATGCTATAGGTAGACAATGCATTTTGTTCGAACACTTTAATTCTTGGGGCGTCGTTATCCGCTTGAAGTGCTATTGTATCAATACGCCAATAGGCAAATGCAATTATTGCGTGAATATAGGGCGCTGTAGTTAGTATAAGTTTTTTTCTATACCTTAAGAGGGTAGCTAGTCCGGCCTAAGTAGGATTGTCGAATGCAGCCTTTAAAATTGATTCTTAAAAAGGATTAATTAGTCAGGATAGGTTAATTCAGATATTATAAGATTATATAAAAAGGTAGAGTTATAGAAAAGACGTATACTTTGCTGTAATGGTACTACGCTAACAGGTAGTACCCTTACACTACTAGCATTTGTGAAGGTATAAGTAGAACAAAGGTCAAAATTGGTATAGAACTCTGATGATTAATTAGTATCATGAACGCTAACACCTTACTTTTATATAAAACGGGCTTTATCCGGGGCCCGATGTTGGGCCCTGAGGATGTCTACCGGGAGCTCGATATTCCGTAATATTCCAGCGTAGGAAAACAGAGATTTACAGCGATTTAACAAGAAGCGTGAAAAGCATTCACGTTCAAATCGCTAGATATTGAACCAGGGCGCTCTACGGCAAGCCTGAGAATGCAGGCAGGATGAGATAGGTCGTCGAACAGACCAACAAACCACCACACACCACGATAGAGGAAGCCTCCCAAAAGGGAAAGCAGAAGCAGATGAAGCGAAGAGAGTGTGAAAGTTTATTCTCTCCCTATCGGAGATGCTAAGCTATATCCTGTAAAGACTGTGTACTAGAAAGATACCCTCCAATCAGAGATCTTCCTAGTGTTGGCCATTTCCCCACTGCATTATCTAGCTAGCAATGTTTTACGCTCAGCGAATCTAAATATCTAGATTCAACGTTACCAGCGCATATTGAAGCTGTTCAAAACGATGCTATAGAGCTTGCTCAACAGCCTACTATAGGCGCTGAGCCTAGTACTAGGCGTGTTTTTCGGTGTTCTAGATGTGGTAATATAGGGCATAGGATTAATCAATGGGCTAGGAAAGCTGGGATTCAATGGAACGAGATACTCTCTGATAATGTCTTCAATGACTGAACTATCTGAGTGTGTAGACGGGGGAATGTTGAATATTCCCTGCCTCGCTGTCTAGCGTGTCACGGCACTGTATTCCGAGCCTACCCGGGATAGCATACAAAACACGCAGTAAATCGAGTATCCCTGTAACAATCTGACGCACACTGGGATGAGTGGGTCTTAGCCGTATTAGGCAGTCTTCCATCTCGTCAGGATCATCTTTACACATACCAAATTCCTACATTACCAAATAGAGTATAGTTTCCTGTCTTCTCCTATCCGTAGTAGAACTATTCTAAGTCCCCATTCTAATATATCTACTTTAATAAAAAAATGGCTCTAATTAGTACTAATGGTAGGAGTTCCTTAAGTTTCTAGAATGTACTTTCGTATATAATTATCTATTAAAAGAGGCGAAACTTCTCTGTCGATGAGCAGGAGAGAAGTTGGCTTTGAAAGATTTGGTGGTATCTATGAAATCAATGTTCAATAACTGCGAAATAAAAACCGAAGACATGCCTATCATTTTCTAATATGCATAAGCCGTCTACCGGAGATGCAATCAGTTAGCTACGAGGAAGCTGAGTAAACTACCAGCAGCTAGTCCTCCAACAAGCATCATGCTCATGAAGCCTCCAGCAGCTTCTCGTTCATCAGGAGAAACCCAATGGCTGGCACCCATCATACAACTTGATGCCAGATATCCGTTGGTCACACCAAAAAAGAATTGCACGATAAAAAGATAGAAGAAATCACTCTGCACCACGGCTCCTTCGCCACGGATATTGCAAAGCAAGTATAGAGGAACGAACCCAACGCGACCAATGGCGAGTAGATAGGCTAGACCCGGTCGATGAGCGAGGGATGCCTTTGGGCTCGCTACTGCGATTCTCCCACATAGATCACCCACGTTCCATACGAGGAATGCCAAAGGGATAAAAACAGCGGGTTCATAAATTCGAGATCCTCCGGGATAGTTGACCGATTGGATCACCGAGGTGTACACCGGGAACAAGACCATTGTGATGAGGAAGCAGCCGAAGACCGAGAGCGCCAAAAACCGGAGCTTTCTGTATAGTGTCCACAAGCTCACAGCTTTATCGTGAGTTGGGTTAATGAGAGCTGTATCTTCATCCTCCTCTGAGTATTTCGGCTTTAAAATAGGCTGCTTCCGTAGCAAATAAAGAAATGCTAGTAGCGTGAGGACCGAAACACCTGTAGCTGTAAGAAAATATACGAAGGCCGACTTGGACGAGCTTTGCGGTCTGCGCTGGCTGTCATCATCGTTATCACCACTGTGATCCGACAATGCCAAGACAGAAACAATCTGGACAATGCAAGGAAGCACACCAGCCACACCCTGTCCGCCCATAATGGCTTGTGTATACTCCTCTCTACCGAAGCCTGAAACAAATGCAAAGACGCCATTTTGAATGAGGCCGGTTGCAAAGCTTGCCCCGAACACCATAACCATCAAGAAACCAAAATAGGCCCGCACAGATATGCTTTCCAAAATGACAGTTGAAAAAGCCAAGAGAGTAAAGACGAAGCAGTTCACCAGCAACGAGAGTATGATGCGCCACGAGTATGAAGCGTCTTTTTGAACCCGTGCAAGAACGTAAACGGTTCCGAGATTAGTGACAGTTGAGACTGAGAGTATTGAAGGTTGATAGTGCTTCGCAGTCCACTCGTTCGATTCAAATCGACTGTGAAAGTACGGGGCGGCGGCTAAAAACATGTTCCTAAAGGACGATCACGATGTTAGACCACAGTACGCCCTTTTTGCGCAATCTTTGACTGGAATCAAAGAAAAGATCTTGACTTAACGTACCATGCCCATAGCATAGCCACGCCCAGGAGGAAGAAAACGGTATACTCCAGCATGGAAAAGGGGCGTTGCTCTTCATTCTCCGCTTCGGTACGGCCGTGCTCTGCTGAAGCCGCCAGCGGCTCATACTCTGCGGGCCGAGCGAGGAGCTTGCGCAAACGTTCCATGGTCAATAAATAGTACTCCTACCTTCTTAAGACCGAATGAGACCCAAAACCGGAGGAGATACGCTCCTGGAGAGCCGCGATGATTCGAAGCTCCTCAGGTGATGTTGAAGTCCGGCTGATTCAGCAACAAACGAAGGCTGTGGGTGGATGATCTGATCTGCATGACTAATTCTGCTGCGGAGAACGCGAACTAAGGAATCAAAGTATTCCAGGGTCCGCTTTCGAGATACTGAACAGAAGGGTTTAAATGTGTTATATTCGGGGATTGTACAATATATCTGTAGCTCCATTGGATTCTATCACCGAAAAAATAATAATCAAACAATGTAAATGTGTATGAGAAGAGAGGGAATCCCAAAGTGGTGATGTGTGCAAAAGCCCCAAAGTATTATGTGTGAGACAAGGGGTCATGGGGGTGCAAGAATAGTCCCGATTCTAATCTTTTTTGCGGGATTTTGCATCATCCCCTTCATAATCTTCTTCCAAGTACTGCTCCTGCTCCTGCTCCTGCTCCTTCTGAAGCTTATAAAGCTCCTCTGGTTCAACGACCCGCGTGGGCGGCGCAGGGACAGGATCTCCTCCACTCATCTGCCACTCCATAAGCTTGGTGAAAGCTCCATCGGGTCGGCTGCTGAGATCTTCATAGCTGCCCTGTTCGGCAACCGTGCCATCGGGACCGAGAACGATGATGGTGTCGGATCGCTTAATCGTAGAAAGGCGATGGGCGATGCTGATTGTAGTGTTGTTACCGCGGAGAAGAGCGGCTAAAGCACTGTTGACGAGAGTCTCCGACTCTGCATCAAGGGCAGACGTGGCTTCATCGAGAATCAAAATATCAGGTTCTTTGATTAAAGCACGAGCAATCGCAATGCGTTGTTTCTGTCCACCAGACAATTGCGCTCCTCGGGCTCCCACATGGGTGTCGAGACCATCGGGCTATCCTCTCAGTTAGTACTGTACCAAAAAGAGGAACGATTGAAGCACTCACGAAGTCACTGATGAATTGGCAGTTCGCCTTACGCGCCGCAGCAATGATCTCGGATCTGGTAGCATGAGGCCGGCCATAAGAAATGTTCTCTGCGATGGTGCCAGAGAACAGGACGGGTTCCTGTGCCACGACTCCGATCTTTCTACGGAGGGACTTTGCATTCATGCCGCTGATGTCTTTTCCATCAATTAAAACTCGGCCTTCGGTGGGGTTGTAGAACCGGAGAAGGATAGATGCAATGGTAGATTTTCCACCTCCAGAAGGTCCAACAATGGCAACATTAGTCCCCTGGGGAATCTCAAAGTCCAGACCCTTGAAGATTGTCACAGCGGGACGAGTTGGATAGCTAAAAGTGACGTTCTCAAAGCGAATCGGCCCACGAGCAGACTCAACCTTGAGACCTTTCGTTGGGTGGATAGTTGGCTGGCGATCTTGCAACTCAAAAAGTCGGCTGGCAGCACCGACACCTTTCATGAGCTCCGAGTAAAAACTTGAGAGACCGAACATGCTGGAACCAGCATAAGCAGTGTACATCAAGAATGACGTCAATTCTCCAATGCTGATCGCTCCTGACTGAACCATACCGCCTCCGACATAGAGCAGAGACAAAATTGTCATATTACCCATCAAACCCGTCTGAATGAGTTCAAGTCAGCAAAAATGAGATCGATCAAAATAGATGAACACAAACTAACCGAGCTGAAGAATGTCGCACTAATCAAAGACTCTCTTTTCCCAAGGTTGAAGATCTTGCGAACCTGCGTATTGTATCGATTGACTTCCAAAATTTCACCTGCAAAGGACTGGCTAGTCTTCACATTACCCAGGCGTTCCTCAGCTATCTTCGTTAGAGAACCCAAGTTCTTTTGTATCTTACGACTGAGATTTCTGATGGCTCGTCCGTACAGAAGAGCGCCGAGACCGATAGGTGGAAGCAACAGAGCCAAGATACTCGAGAGTTTGAGACTGGTGTAGGCCATCAGACCAAAACCGGCGGCGCCACTAACACCAGCACGAAGCCCATCAGACAAGTTCTGTGTAATGCTCTTACCCACAATGATTGTGTCAGAGCTAAGCCGTGAGATCAAATCGCCGACCCGGTTGGCATCAAAGAACTCGGCATCTTGGACAAACGTCTGGCGAAAGAGCTTGGAGCGCAGTCTAGCAACAATGCGCTCACCCACAATTCGGAGGATGATGATACGTCCGTAGTTGGCAGCAGCACCCACAAGAAGAACGCCGCCGAGAGCTGTGTAGAACATTGGCATACTCAGCCCGAAGAGCTGGTTACCTTCTTCGGTGATGCCCTTGGTGGCTGTGTCCATGATCTTGCCAATAGAGAAGGGAATCGACATAGTGATGGACGAGGAAATCAGCAAGAAGAAGAATGCGAAACCAAGCGCCTTTGCTTCAGGTCGTGCAATCTTGAAGAGTCGCCAAATTTCAGCGAAACCGGACTTCTTGCCAGAGGCTCCATCCTTGGCCAACTTAGCACGAAGGTTTACCTGCGCAGCTTGAGCAGCGCGCTCCGACAATTCGAACCCTTTGTCTTCTGCTTCTTCTTCTCCTTCCTTTTCCGGAACCTGACGGGGGCTGGTCTGGGCGGTATTCGATGGCTGAGGAGGAGTATTTGCTTGAAGCAGGCGAGTTGAAGATGATACAAGGCGTGCTTGGGATACGAAGCGAGATCCAAGTGGATTGTAGCAGGGAGTACTCTGACGAAGCGAGAATGGAACCTCGGCTGGTCGGGGAAATCCAGGGAAAGTGTCGCGAAGAGCTCTGGAGGTAGTTGAATATAGTTGGAAAGTACCAATATACTCGCTAGGCCTAGAGAACGATCGGGTTGTCTGTGGAAACAGCTCACGGAGCACAGCGCTCTGCGGTCTCAAAAGCGGCCGAGGGCTGACGCCCGGAGCCCAGGCCGGTAGTCGGACACCGCGCATCTTCGGGATTGGAGGGGGCGCTCAATGGATGGGGATCTGGGAAACGGATCACCGGAAGAAAGCAAAGACGGCCATTATATCATAAACCGAAAAGAGCGCAGCCGCACGGTTCACGACAGTGTAGTTCAGTTCCCCCAAAGCATGTGGAGATGCGAGATCGCAGCCCCCGTTCTCCGTCGGCAAAACGAGGGCAGGTTCTGCCGGGGTCTACCGCCCATCGAAGGTTACCGAGTGCTTTCGATGCGTTTGTTTGAAGCAACTGGCCCGAAATCGTTTTTGATACTAGTATCTGAGTCCGGACTTTGAGGGACTTGGTCTGGAAGTCCAGGTACTGATACCTTCCTGAGTGGTCTGCCTCAGACCGCAATCCGTACCATATCGCAATCTCAGCTGCTACCCCGCCTCACCTCATCATCTCAATTTGCGCATCCAGTAACAATGGTACTCGACTACAGCAAGTGGGATGCCCTCGAGCTCTCCGATGACTCAGATATTGAGGTGCACCCCAATGTTGACAAACGATCATTTATTCGAGCCAAGCAGGCTCAGATCCACCAGCAACGAGAGCAGCGTCGCCATGATATCCTAACACTGAAGTATGAGCGCATTATCAACGACGGACTACTCTCGCGCATCGACAAGCTTCTTGACTCATTGAAAAAGCATGAGGATTCTTCTGCCCCCCCGGAGCAATTCATCTTTCAGACTATTATGGAATTCGCCAGCAACCCGGCGGATGATCAAGCCCCGCCACCTCCCGAGGGCGTCCATACCCACGAAAAGGAACAACCTAAATACTCGCAAATGATGAGCGCTTTAGTGGACCAAGTGAAAAAGGAGCTTGGTGACTGCAAGCTCGATAATCTTTTCAAGGCATACACCGAAGGTGTGCAGGAACACAAGGATAAGGTGCAGGGACTGCAGAAGGAATTGTTGACAAAATTGGCTCAGTTGGAAAAGGAAGAGAGCCGGAAGATCACAAGTGACCAGTTGCATGAAGGATTCAATACTTCTCATGTCGCGAAAGCAGAGGAGAAGAGCAAAGCGGCTGCACCAGCTAAGCAGACCGAGGTTGAGTTGCTTAACCCTGGAGCGGAAAGTCAATCCTCGGCATCCAACGCTGAGAATTATGACGATGATGACGATCCCGCAAACATTGAGATCAGCCCACTGGCCAAGCGCTTTGCGAAGCTCAAGCCGAATGACTATAGCGCCTACCTACAGTTCATATCTGAGTATCCATCAATTGTGGCAGAGAAGGAGACTGACGGCCTTCTTGTTGAGGCCTTCAACTGCCAGCTGAAGGGTGACGAAGCATTTGCTCGCCAATGTGTCCACCAAGGCTTGCTGCTGCAGTACTGCCGCTCACTTGGACCCGATGGTATCAAGCTATTTTTCAGCCGGTATGGAATTTTGCATCTATGTCCCACAAGCTCAACTGACAATTTCTTTCCATAGTATCACCACCAAGGATCACCGCGCCTCAACCTTGTTCAACAACGATGTCAAAGACACCTACAACCGGATCAAAACTCGCGCAGCTGAGCTTGCTAAAGACAACTCTGCATCGAATGATCCTGCCGGTGTTGAACAGATCCAGCTGCACGCTGTTGACCCTAATACGAAAATTACCATCAATCTGCCCGGAGCTAACAGTGAGGATCCGATTGAGATTGAAGCACGCAAGATATTTGATGCCTTCCCTTTGGATCTTCAGAAGGCACTGGCATCTGAGTCTCTGGATGAGGTCAACAAGGTTCTTGGTAACATGTCCGTTGAGGACGCCGAAGTGATTGTTGAGCAACTCGGCAATGGCGGCATGCTCAGCCTGGAGGAGGGCATCATCGACGGAACCACAGAAGAAGGCCAGAAGAAACTCGCTGAGCTCGAGGCTGAGGGTAAAGAGGAGGTTGGCAAGCACGGTGGCGACGTAACAGAGCTCGATTAATGTCCAAAAAAAGAAATCAAATCAAATCGGGTGTACGGCAATGATAGCATTGATATGTGCTCTTTTTATATAGGGCCAGGTTTCCATCTATACTTCAACGGTTTTGATACCCGTAATGTGCCATCTAAAAATTCATATAGGGACTAGTGAATGGGATTCCTTGGTATTAACGATGCCATCAATCTGAAATACTTAAATTACACAAATCCCCCTGGAGACGTCGCTGCATGGAGTGAAAAATAAAAAGAAAAGAGAAAAGAAAACGGACCGCCCTTCTAACCTGGCGACCGACGCATGATTCTGAAAGTCAATGAGTAGCTGAGTAGGGAATGCTTCGCTGATTGTCATGTAAACGATAACTTCCCGTAACCCCCACAACTTTGACCTCTCTGAAGATCCAAATGTCTCCAAACTCAAGCAATCTAGATACCGCTAGCACCCGGGGCCTCTTGGTCTTTCCGGAGATCGATCAACAATTCACGGAATCGTTCCTTGCCAGAGCCACTTGCACCACCCGTGGGGCCCTTGCCCGAAACATCAACCAGCTTGGCAATTCGCTCCCAGCTGGTGCCACCAGCCGAGGTATCCTCGCGATTAGCAAGGAACTGTTCAGCCTCAGAGCGGGTCTGAGTGCGGTGTTTGTCCGACTTATTGTTGTAGGAAACATAAAAGTCGTCAATGTCCTCGCGGGCCTTCTTGGTGGTAGCTTCCTTCTTCTCGTTAGAAACTTCCGCGCGACGGGAAATTTCAGAGTCTCGCTTTTCACGCCATTCACTAAAAACAACTTGACGTTAGTAAGGTTATGGGGGGAGGGTGAAGGGGGAATGGGCAAGTTGTAAAGGAAATGCGCGTGCTAAATTGTAAGCATCATGTTTGCTTGACTCACCGAACAGCTTCGGGCTCTTCTTCAGGCTCTTGAGTGCTGGTATAACCAGTAGCAGGGAAAGGGGAACCTGTTCCGGTGATTGTACCGCCAGGGGCGACTCTCTAAACGGACACACTATGGTCAGCGCAACCCTAATGATCAACTATATCACCAAGGCAATCCATACCTCATTCTGCGTTTGGGTTTCCATTGAAGGGAAGGAAGACTCGAATTGTCCAATCTCCTCCGCGGGTGTGTCGTTGCTTCCGCCGCCAAGCAGGTCGGCACCAGTGTCTAGATCATCATTGCCGGCAACGTGGTCCTGGGGGGTCGCAAATTGGTCGGCATCTTCTCCGAGTGCGGCACGTTCGCGAGCGAGGAAGTCATCTTCTGTTGCACCGTTGTTCTCAACGACCTCAGTTTGACCTAATGACAGTGTTGGAGTGAGCGTGCGGATCTCATAAAGTGGGTGGAGCGTACCTTCAGAGAAGTCCTCCAGAGAAGGGAAGCGGTCAGCCATGCTGTGTATTAGGCAGGGATGTGATTGAAGTCGTGATCAATAGTCCAAATTGAAGTCCCCAAGGGGTCGGAGGAATGATCGGAGAGGTGATGAGAGCTAAGTGTAGTAATAGGTAGTTGACAGTTGTTGCCGGCGAGACGCTCGGAGCACCGTATACTGCCGGCCTAAAGCGGTGAGCAGCTTGCTGTTTCAACTGATGAGGGAGGACAACTTCACTTTATCTTGCACTGGACAGCTCAAAAACCTAATCTTTGGGTCATTATCTCCAAGGGCTGGGTCGGAGATCTGGCTTTGAAATCCACTTTTCTCTATTTGCCCAACGCCCTTATCAACAGGTCCCAATTGCTTTGACTTGCTTTGCAATCCCTCATCGGACTATTCACTTGCGACACTCACCCCTCCACTCTGTTTCCCAAACACCATCTTGTATTTGCCGTGGTCTTTGGTATTCCATCCGTCATGGCCTATACAGATGACTCTGTCAAGGCAAAGCTCTCAGCTCTGAATGAGTCTCAAGAGAGTATTGTCACGGTTGCACAATGGGTCATGTTCCACCGGTGCGTAAACATCCACACCACAAGCTACTTTGAAGACAACACTGACACGGATGACTTCTGACCAAACAGGCGTCATGCTGATCGAACTGCACAAATTTGGCTTCAGAAGATTCGCGACTCAGCTCCCCCCAAACGGCTCAATCTGATCTACCTAGCAAATGGTACTGCACATCCCTAAGCACTTGGGTTTGACCCTCGTCCTCTAACTATATTACAGAAGTTGCCCAGCAGTCGAAGGCTCGACAAAAAGAGGACTTCATCATCGCTTTCTCGCCGGTTTGTGACCCCATCCATAAGTAGCTTGTATGGCGCATAGCTTATTTTGTTAGATCATTGCGGAGGCCACTGCCACAGCCTACAAAGGCGCGTCGAGCGATATTCAGTTGAAACTCCGACGGGTGTTGGAAGTTTGGAGACAGCGCAATGTATTTGAGGGACCGATTTTGGATGCTGTCGATGCGCGTGTGAACGGTACGCCTGCAATACACCCAATCCTTTCGACGTACTCTGCGCAAAACATTGACAATACCTTTTTATTTCCTAGAGATTGACAAGACTCGATCGACGACGAAGAAGCAGCCTCTCGGCGGCTCCTTTTTTAAAGATAGCTCCGCAGGAGCAACTCCGTCCGAACTCCAGCCACTCGTTCCCCTCCAAGTTGCCCTTACCAAAGTTGCCATGAGCTCCAACACCTCATCTACTACTGCGAATACCGAATATGAAAAGTTGAATAGCCCAGAGGCTCCCAAGCTCACCCCTCCCGTGCACGCCGCGCGCCTTGGTGCATTATTAAAAGCACTTGCCCACGCTGAGAGCTCTGTGTCCGAGGTAATCAAGTCTCGACGCGCTCTGATCGACGGCCTTGAGAAGTTCCTTGCCACAAACCGCTCCGAACTTAAAAAGGAAGAGTCTCTTGTGGCACATTTTACAAGCAAGAAGGACGAAACGGATGCAAAGAGGCGGGAGGTCGAGGAGGCAATTATGCGAGGCTATCCTACGGATGAGGGCTCCGGAATGGCGCAAGGCGGCAGTGAAGGCGATTTTCCTCGTCCGGAGGTTGAGGCATTGACCCCTCCCCCCGTAGAGGCCATCACGCCTGTTGGTTCACCTAAGCCCTTGCAAACTCAGGGCCAGATGACTCATGGCCCCTTCACCGAAGATACCGAGATGCCTCTCCCCGAGGGATTCACACTCCCCGGCCTCGAGCAGTCTGACAATGGAATTGCATTTCCCGACGCAGCTAGCCTTTCACCGGGTGGCGGTAATGACTTCGATCTAGGTGCAAATGGAGCGGGAGCGAAGAGGCGCAAAACAACTCACGAGGACGAGGATTATGCACAATTCGCAAGCGGGGATCTAGACGCTGATGTAGCGGAGATGATTGCGCAGGAAGGAAGAATGTGAACATGTCTATTCTTTTTGTGCTTCTGTTCAGCCATGTACTTCCTCTCGATCTACCTTGTATCAAGCTGCACTCGTCATTTTCGTCGGTCGGGACCTCAATTACTGCTAATAAACACGATGTAACTCTACCTAGGAAGCTAATTGCATTCTGGATTACGCTGTTTTGAAACAGTAGACAATGCATTTTACTGCCGCATGTATAAGCTGTTGAGTCCGGGCGAATGATTTTATTCTCTCCCGTATGTATTAACTATTTGCAAACCATCCATACAAGAGAATTATCGGAATATATCTGGGTCCATCCAACGATCTCGGGCAAACCGACTTGATGAAGGGCGTCTCCGCTCTCGATCGACAATCGCCAGCACAGATCGAATATTGCTCGAAGATTCTTCCTCGGCCTGTGGTGATGGGGAACTGTTACGTTTTGGTTTCACCACCAGAACAATAATCAGTCCGAATACTACCAGGACTAGTAATAGCATGATTTTGCGCTTAGTGGTGCGCCGTTGGTAATTTGTAGCCTGGTGATTGTGGAGTCAGTACTTGACATGGATGGTATACAATAGCTATGTGCCATAGCACAACAGGGTTATAACGTACTACTTTTAACTCTTTTTCTGCAGATTTGACCTCGGTGCCCATCCGTTCGACGTTATAGTCGATGCGGTCTAGCATTGTACCCTGATCAATGATCATTGTTTGTAATTCGCGGAATATGTCTGAGAGCTCGATAATTCCCTTTGCAATATCGTTGATCTCACGTTCTCGTTGCGCGATAGCTACGTCGTTCTGGCCGGTAGCTCGTTGTTGTGTTTGCATCAACATTGTCTGTGAGAAGGACTTGTCTACTTCCGATTCCATTAAGGAGGGATCTGTGTATGGATTCTGGATCGGAGTGGGGACGCGATCAATTGGCGTTGAGAATCCTTCTAGGTCTCGAAGCTCTGTGGAACGCGGACAGTTAGCTTGCTTGCTTAGAATGAAAGCGGGGCAGAACGGTTGAACAAAGGATAACTCAAAGGGAAAATGCTGCCATACTTCTCAAGTAAGTGCTCTGTTTCTTGCGGAACCGAGCGCTTGCTTCCTGGACCCTGGACGCAAGCGAGATTTGTATATTCTTCGCCATGGTCTCTTCGCCATTGCTGACGCCGCCCACCTGCTTCGCCTCGCGCACCATCATCTCAATCCGTTGGATAGCCTTCTGGCAGTCGTGAAAGCTCCGGGTGATCTCTTGTGTCAAACGTTCGATTACGCCCTCGTCTTGTCGTCGGAGATCCTCGTCGCCGAAGCCGGGGAGTAGGTGCTTGTGGTGCAACTTATCCAGCTGAGCGGACTTCTGCGCGATACTCGCCAGTAGCTCCGAGACCTCCTCCTGGACGTCTACCCAGCGTGGAGGCAACAAGTCCATCTCAATCACCATGTCTCCATCTTCCTCAAACCCGCCGGATTCGGAGATCAGTCGCCGGCTTTCCTCCGGCTGAGAGGGCGTGTCGAAGCCATTGGACGCACCGAAACGTGGCTTTTTTGCGGGGTGATGTGTAAAGGACTGGCGGTAGGATATGTAACTGGTGAAAGGCGCAATGCGTCAGTAGCTTCTTGTTGACGATTTCCAGTATGGCCGCTCGAGCTGATAAGGGAAAGGTAGTGCATACAGGTTGGTGCGATCCCGCCACATCGCGGCCCAGGGTGAGAGAATGAAGAGATATGCGCGTGCGGTTTTATCGAGAAAGGGCTGCGACAGGTGCAGTTTTCATGATCCGCCGGTCTCGCGGATATGTCGAGTCGGGAATGTAGCTCGGCGAGTCTGGGGGTGTTGTCGGATTCAAGTGACGACCGGCGGAGTAGGATCGGGAAGCTCTCTCCACTGCGCAGGGGGTTGAGGTACGGTAATCATCCGGTAATTATGCCTGTGTCCCCGCACCATCAACGGTAATTTTTGTATAGATCCTCAACACGCCTGGTCCTTGATATTGAACCAGGTCGATTCGTAGGAATGATTTTCTACCGGGCTTGCATTGAATATTCAGAAATCACTTGCTGTCAGTCATGGGTTTTTAACACAGCACCCAAAAAAAAATTCCAGTCGGCCCTATCTATCCCAATACTCCTATTACTATGAACAAGGCTGATAAGTTAAGCTAGAGATCTGCTTGGGAAAAGAATCCTAGGCAAGACTATTAGTTCTAGAGGGTTTCTGATTTATCCTTACTATCAAACTGAAACTGAACATAGTTTTTTGAATATCGACTGTAGTCCTAACTACTACCTCTACCCCTTACTCTCTACCCGGTAAGATAAGAATATACACGAGATAGATAAATGTTACCTTGAAGTAAATAGATTGTGGGAATTCCATGTAATTAAACGCTTCTATATTAACTATAAAGACTTTTCTATTAGTCACCATTATAGCAAAATTGTAGATGCTTCTACACTGGGAGACTAGGCCAGTCGCTATAGAGTCTTAGTTAAACTTATAACTCTTTCTTAAGACCTTATACCAAAGGGAAAGATTCTATAATATTGGAATCCGCATGTCAACTACTCACGTGGCAATACAATAACGTTAAAAACACATCACCTAGATCACCGATCGAGGTGATTCTAGTGGTAGAAGTATATACTGTAGAACTTCGACCCACACTTAAGCCGGGTTGGGGTTTAGGTCGATACCTTGGGGTTCTGCGGAAGTCTAGTAGGGTCGTGAGTCGATGTCACCAAAAGACCGCAGGCGGGTTGAGAAGCTCGATGAGAGCCGCCATGGCGAGGGCAGGCTAGCGATAAAGATGTCTACGAGTAGCAGATGAGAAAGAGATATGACACACCAAGAGATGGGGAGGTAAGCCCCGCTCAGTAGGACTGTGAGGGTAGATTGGGTGTTATGTCTGCGAATGTTCATCCCTCTCGATGTTCTGGCGCTTATACAACTCTCTGTCACTTATAACGTGGGAATTTTAAAAACTCTTGTCTTAATTTGAAGTCAATACTAGCTGCGGGGGAAACCCTCGCAGCGCCCTTATGACTGCTGTCGGCAACACAAGACCCGCGCGCCTCAATGTACGGATATAGATGTGTGCAATACACCTCCAAATTCCTGAATCCGCCAATGCGCTACACATTGGAAGGTCAGGCTGAACTGTGGCTGAATTAACTTCTTGAAGATCGAAAGTGATTCATGGGTGTTATCGCTAATATTTCAGATGGAGGCTAGCTGATATGTGATAGGTTCATAAGAGGTTGAATTCTTCTAAGGTCAGGCTATTCCTGAGTTGCTGATAAGGGGTCGTTGTCCCGTGATAATCACGTGAGGTAACCTACACACATCACTAGCGGCCCGATGATATTCTCTTTTAGCTCAACTCGGAGGGCCAGCATGGCGATTACGCGACCGAGAGTGAAAACTGTCGATCATCCAGTCACTATTCTCACCCTAGTCGCGCGATGCTACACTAGCGCTCGTCCTAATCCCATTTGGATGACCCGAACTCGAGTTTTGGCCATAGATTAGCCATGCGCCAGAAACTCAGAGGTTGTGCTCTCATCTGCTCGACTCATTTCTAGATACCTTGAAGTTGTCATTCTCCGGCATACATGGCTATCTATTTTAGAGAGCTGGACTGCCGACTTAGGCGAAAATTTCGAGATCATGCAGGTTGCAAATTCGACGATAACGATATCTCTCTATTTTTTGACCTTTTTAATCGAGTCATCATGTTATAATTCTTCCTTCATTGCACGGAAAGGCTTATATTTCGGTTGATCGTCAGACCCAAACAACATACTATTGGCTTACTCGTGATACACTCAACTACAGTATTTGGCTGTTTCATTGGTTTCCTGCTGCACGAAATCTTATATTTATGCAGTCCGACGTTACACATTTTACGCTCATCAAGTTACTCCTGTAGAGAAATACTGCGTATATCGCCTTCGTAGTATAAAAACTTCTAAGCGGTCTTGATCAAATTTTGTTTCAATCATTAGAACTTTTCTCTTACAGCAATATGTTCTCTATCAAGCTTCCAGAAGGATTTATCGTGCAGCATGAAGCGATCGACTCTCTTAGCAATTTGATTTGGGTGACTGCGATTGCCGCATTTCTGGTATTTCTCCTTGACTATGCCGCTCTTCTACGAGACATATGGCCAGTTAAAGGCTTTACGGCCGCAGTTAGTGATTCTCCATGGAAAGGGCGGTTCAGGAGATGCGATAGTAGCGTGGAGCTAGAGAGATTTTTTAATGAGTCGTACAGAACGGTAAGTTCTTGAGCTCTTCTGAATCTCAATTGAACCAGGTAGGACATATGGAAGATTCTGACCGGTTTCGCATAGTGCACAAAGAAGGGAAAGCCCTTCATATTTCCGTCCAGTATTAACAAGTGGCAGCTGCTTCTTCCAAAAGAAGTCAGCAAGGAATGGGTTAACTTACCTCTAGACCAATGCAGCTTCGCTGGATACATAAACACAGTATGATTTAATCATTTTTTCATGTAGTGGGCAGGTGGCCTAAGCTAACTATGTTTATCTTAGGAGTTCTCTTTGCATCCAAAATTTGAAAAGTCTCACGCCGAAATTATCCAAGCGTGTAACAAGGAAGAAATTCTCGGTGAATATAGTGAAAATCCTCTTTTCGATGAGCAATGTTAACTCTAGGTAGATAAACTATTCTCCCTCGCGGTAGATGAAATCTCGGACATTCTGCCGACAGAGTTATCATCAGTCAATTCAAAAGGTCAGTGGACTTACTGCTTTCAGAACCCCAGTTTCCTGGCGACTCTAATGGCCTATTAGAATGGGTGTTGTTTGATCCTTACGATATTTGCTTCAATCTTTATATGCAGCTTAGCATCTCTAGCGTTCTAGATCCTGATACTGCTCGAGCTCCGGATTCTGTGCAGCGAATTAAAGATCATGTTCTCAACATTGAAGCTGTCATCAGCGTTAAAGAAAATTGGCCGAAAGCTTTATATCCTCTTATGTGGAGACTATCACAAACATGTCGCAAATGGCGCTCTAATATGGATATCTTGGTGCAACAAGAAGCGCCTGAAATCCGACGGCAGATTAGCATTCTACGAGAAGGTGGAAAAGTATCTGATCGTCCATCATTTCGAACTATGTTTATCAAGAGATCCCTCCAAAATGGGTTTGTCCCCCAGAATGAAGAGCCTACCGACTCGCATGTCAGATCCTTGGCCTTACAAACCTTATTTTATATTTTCGAATACTGGGGTCCTACACATGTATTTTTGTACATTATGTTAACTCGTGTCGCTGATAACCCAGGATATCAGCAGATCTTGCGAGACGAGATTGAAACATCATTCAAGCTTACGGGCTCGTGGAAGGTCGGTTTTCTAGCCCACACCCCCCGGCTAGAAAGTTTTACACGCGAGATATTTCGTCTTTATTCGAGTGAGCTTTACACAACAAGACGCGAGGTTCTGAAACCAGTCTATATCAAATCTCTGGGTATAACACTCCAACCAGGAACGTGGCTCGGAACCCCATGTAGAGCTGTTCACCTGGATGACGAATTCTATCAGGATGCAGCCACTTTCGATCCAGAACGTTTCTACGATCCTATTAGCAATAAGGTGACTATGAAGGCCACTACTACGTCAAATATTTATCTTCCCTTTGGCTCGGGATCTGCTCTCTGTCCCGGTCGCTTTATTGGCGTCCAGACACTTCAGTTTATTCTAGCTTATTTCATCATGAACTATGAATTACGAAGTCCCAAGGAGGGCCAAAAGGATCTCAAGAACGAGAAAATTGAAGCAGGACAGCTGACGGTGAATACGGACGTCAAAATTCATATTCGGAAACGGGCTTTGCAATCATAGTTTGATGAAAGAGGATTTAGTGGCTTGTGGCTTTCAGTCAAGATTCAGGTGCACAAACTGATCCAAAATGTATTTGATATATATTATGCTTAATAAGTGGAGGGTATTATAATTCTGGGTTTTCATGAAATTTGAATGCCTTTGCTTAAATTTCAAAGAAGGGCGGCGGAAAGAATTGGGGTCTCTAATCACTGAACTCTCTTTTGATGATATTCAAACCCACATCATCCGTGTTCTATCTAACCACGGGAACAGTTGATCAGGAAGTCAGTGAACTGCAAGTTTATTCATTGAGGGTAGGCACCAATGCTATTCAACCGTCGAAGACCGCCTGCCAAAGTAGCGGAAAGAAGGAGTTGGCCGAGGAGGAAATCAAGACTCACTTTCCTGTACCTAAATTACGGCAATCGTCATGCATATAGGATTTGGCGCGGATAAAGTGTGAAGACTTTATTACAACCCGGGTAAAAGAATTTCCCTATCTTATATGGCAGGGGAAATCGAATCATCGCTTTTTCCCGAGGAAACGGACTCCATCATTGATACCAACGCGAGTGCAGACATTAAAGCTACAACTATCCATTCCTTCACTTCAGCAAGATGGCACACAATCGCTGAAGCCACCAAAATTAGCCAGAATACTTATGATAAAGGCAAAATAAGTGATCGTGCAAGGTACTTTTGCTCCTTTGTCTTCCAGAGAGGCCGGGAAGTAACGGACTTGAAGATCGCTAAACAATCAGGGATGAGGGAAGAAATTGAGATGAAATTGATAGCTCAAATCTTCGGATGATAGGCGCATATACGTATTCCAGGATGTTCAATCCTTCAAGATTTTCGAAGAAATAGCAGATACGTTTCCTGAAACGTTGGTTGATGATGACATCCCATTTCGGATAGACTCTCACTTGATCCTCGTCCACCCATTTCGCTAATGACCCCAAGCGGTTATTGATGAAGCCAAAGATAGTTAGTTAGTAGTCAAACAATCAATACTCTTGTTGGCTCAGCCTTGTATTGGTTCAGATCCTATGACAATCACAGCAGCGGTTGGAGTGAGCTTTCTCAAAAAGACGTACGAGCCACTCTTTGGGCAGGGACTCCCAGTCATACAAAAGCATTTAAATAAACTTTGGCCCTCTGATTCTTTTTATATTATTCAAACATCTTTACTCGTATCATTCCAATTATGTACGTGTCTCGTCCAGATGTTTTTATCCTTATTGTAGACCTCTCTACATTTGGGGTTTAGACCCATATACACCCATGAGAACATGAGAACACCGTGCCAAGACCTTGGACTAGGTTTGGGTTGCGTTCAATGTTTTGAGTGAGGGGCCCTTGACCGGTGGTCCAACCTCATGCATCACAGAATGTAGAGGTCTACTATAGTATACTCGCACAGGAGACTTCCTAAGGTTCTCCCCAGTCACGCCTCTATTAGCTCTATACTCAATTGGTCTATCCAGGCACCCAAAGGTCCGGCCTACAAAAATATTTTCCAAGGTTCCTGCACAAATGATTGAAATCTGCATCACATCAATTGATTTATCCGAATCAGATTACATGTGTAAGAAATGATGCCCTAGATGCTGCAACATTATATAAGCCCCCACTGATTGAGCCACATGTCAAACCACTCCCCTCTGACAGCGCCAGTACCCTGAAGACAAGGAAGCCGCTTCTCACTTAGAGTAGTGTCCAAGACGAGAGGAGATTCGTCAGAATGAATCAGCAAATTTTCATAGAAGTCAAGGAGGGCCAGTCCAGGAAGAGAAGATCTCAGTTCTCCATGCCCTTGATCAGCTTGGCCTCCTAAACACTCCACCCACTCTCGCAGGGAAACAACCCTTAGCGGCTTGATTGTTCCCAGTCGCGCTGCCAAAAGTGAAGCAAATTTTGAATATGAAATTCGGTGCGGATTAATCAGATGGTAGTATCTCGAAGGAGATGAACGATCCACTGTCCCTTTGGCATGCCGCATATCACACAGGAGGTCCACCAGCGCATCTGCAACGGTATCGACTGGTATCCAATCAATCTCATCTGCAGATCCGAGATGATTTGGGATACATCCGAGCTCCATGGACGTGAATAATAGTATGGGAAACCAATCCCGGCGTGGCCAGAACTGCCCAAGGCTTTGCGTGTCTTTTTTTATGGGACCAGAAACCTGGCCTAACCGGCAGATGGTGGTAGGTATATTGTTTGATTCACTTGCTTTGTCAAGTAGTAAGCTCGCAATGAGTTTGCTTTTTCCATATCCCAATGTTGCTGACCCGGGCGATTTAATCTTCTCCTCGGGGACCGGCCCACAGGACTGCCAACCCTTGACGGTAGCTACCGAAGAAAGAAAGACAATCTGAGCGCTGTGATATGTATCACAAGCAAATTGAATCGGGTTGCTGACACCTTTGATATTGGGCTCAAAGTAATTAAGAGGTCTGTTGAAGTTGACAGGCCAAACTAGTTAACCACCTCTCGACGATCACTGAGCGTAAGCCCATGCTGACATTTACCAGTGAGCCTGAACCGGAGCCGGAGGCTGAGCGCCCTCATCACAGAAGCGACAGCCCCAGACAGGAAAGCGCCACCTGGCGGACAAAGTCCTATGTCCTGAGCCTGGGTGCTCTGAGACAAGTCTGGCAGGCAGACTGGATGAAAAGGATCAACAAACCGACAATCAAACCACCACATACGAAGCTGGAGAACGGCCTCCCAAAAGGAAACAGATGCTGTTTGAGTGTTAAGAGTGTATAGAGGCTGTATTCCTCTCTATCTGAGACGTGAGGCTATATTGGTCACGACAGTATGCTAGGGAATCATCATCCAACCAGAATCCACCTCTCGTAGGCTGTCTCCCCTTCACAGTATATGTAGCTGCATCTACAGTAGTGTGAATCCACAGTATGATATCATTCGAACCGAGGTTTCTCGCAGTCGAATCCCATACATAGCCTGAAGATCCCTCCTTGGATCGACGTCTATTCTGTCTGCGATCTCCTAAGATGACAAACCATCGCGAGGCTGTACTTGTTCCGTTTCTAATCTTAGGAGCTGCACACACGAGATACGGGGCTGCCAAGAGATGGGCCTTGAATCACGAAATGAGATCATCGCACGTCGACTGGCCCAATAGTCGTGTTCCTTAATCTCAAAGGAGTGAATGGATTCAAACAGGAATTACGAACAATAGCGCAATGATCATGGGGCCAGAAATTGTACAAAAAAGTACTCTACCAGTTCATGGTCCATCCACGGATGGAGCCGCAGGGCAGTGCACCCTCCGCCAACCAACCACTAGCATGTCCACGAACCACAGCCAAGAAAGAGGGGGGTTGCGCCCGAGGTTTCCGATATTGTGAGTGCCCCCGTCCCTGCTGCACTTCCCTATTTTGCTAATCGTCCCAAAGTATGGCACGTACCCTGGACCCATCACGGTGGCCCACTGCCATCCGCTTCATCCACTCTTCTCCTCTCCGGGGACCCACGGACCGCAGGGCTCAGCAGACCCTGCTGCATGCCGGGCACCGGGCACGCTTGACCTCCCCGGTCTCTTCGTCTGGTTGACGAGAAGCTTGTGTGATTCATCCGCAAGGCTTAGCTACCTGGCTTTCTAACGTGCTTCTAGCATGCCCTCCACGGTGCGCCTATCACGATCATACGGACCACGATTGGTTCCCAGGCCTCCGAAGAGGTCGCAATCATCCACGGCTTCAAACTCCCCGAACCCTCGTTGGCATCCGAGTTATGTTGTTAAGTCCGTGACGTTTTGGGGCCAATCCAACTCTCCGCAGTAGCAATTCTAATCCATATCGACATCGAGTTTATAAATCTCCATCAAGATCCCCTCTCCACCCCGGAATCATTGACTCTTCCTCCACATCTTTTTGGATGTATCATCCAGTTTATTTCCTTGCTCAATCCTAATCTCATAATCCAACCATGGGTGTACTTAGGGACGAGAAGTCCAATGAGGCATTCATCACCCCCGCTGGGGCGAAAAGTGATGATGATAAACAAGCTACCCCAGAGAGACCACCCTCCTACACCATGCCAGAGAGAGCTCTTCAACTGCCCACCTTAAACCTCACGGAACTGACAACGAAGCCCACAGAAAGCACGGTCTCTCGCGACCAGTGTGTCGCGCATCTCAAATTCCTGGCTGTCTTGGCTGATCTGCGGGACTACATTTCCAACATCGATGGCTTGTTCGGACTCTTCAACTCCGATGCTGATCAGTATCCCGACTCACTTAATGAGGCCCGGGCTCGGATTTGCGAGAAGCGTTGGGCCGTGTATACGGCCCGCGCAGTCGACCGCTACTCCAAGTGGTGGACGGTCTGTCTACCAAGGTCGCAAGGACACGCAACTTTGTCAACTATAGCGATGCCCGATTATGAAACAATCATTGATTGTGAAACCCAAATTCTATGGAGTGTGGATAACATGCCTCCGCTTGGTGAGTGCCGGTCATAGGTGCCCCTAATGGACGAGAAGGCACAAGACTTACTTGGATTCCAGATATCCTGATGGTATGGCACTCACATATGTTGAACCCACGGGATTTTCTTGAGGACTGTATCCGATCTGGCAGAATGAGTACTTGGAGGACCGGATTCCCATTCGCCGCAGTAAATTCCTGCATCAACGACCGCACCTTAGAGTATGACGTCAGCGAAAAGACCCGGTTGCTATTTGAAAAACAGCTGAAACTAAAATGGGATAATCTTGAAGACCCGCCAAGCAAGGATGTCAAATGCCCACGCTGCCGCAGAGCAAACCCGGTGGTCTGGACGGAGGGAGGAATTGGCGAGTCGGTCAAGGAGGCTTACAAGGATAGCACTGGCTATGCTGATCGCTCATTCGAAACAACCTGTCAAGGGTGCTCATACCCCATCGATCATAATAGATTGCGGGTAGCAAAGTTCCGCAGCGATCTCATCCATCTGCTGGAGGATAAACGGCCAATGCCGGGTGGACTCTATACTCTCAACGGCATCCCAGAGGGCAGCCTTAAGAAGGGAAATATATTGCCACATCACTATATGATGTTCCCAAGTCGGTTTATCGAGGCTGCGGGGTCGGCCTTGCTGGCCTTTACTGATCCTCGGGTAGACTGGTGCAAGAATATCGATGATCTCCGCAAGGAGCTGGAGATGAAGCTACGCGACAAAGCTGTCCTTAAGGCTGCGCATGATGGGTTCAATGGTCGTTTTCGGCCTGGCGAGAAAGTACACTTCCGCCGCATGATGTCCCACTACTGGGAGAACTTCAGTCCGTTCGCACTTGACCTCGTCGGCGCGGTGATTAGACAGGGAACTTTCGTCCAGAAGATGGATAACATCGATTGGCTACACTCACCCACGGTCCTCGAAACTGCGGACCGCCTGGTTAAAAAATACAGCGTCTTCATGGAGATCATGCTTGACAACCCGAGGAGCATGGCTGTGCCCACTCTAGATGTTGACCTAGCCTGGCACACACATCAGCTCCAGCCTCGGAGGTACTACTTATACAGCACGCGGCCCACATCCAACGGGGTCCGCCAGTTTATCGACCACGACGACAAGGTCGATGAGAACAAGCTCTCCGAGGGCTTCGAGTGGACCAGCAAGATGTACCGCCGTTACACCAACGGTGGCATCTACAGCGAGTGTACCTGCTGGTACTGTGAAGCAACCCGCGCCCCCGATCTGTACGACCGCGTGTTCAGCATCGGCTCGTCCTCGCGTGCTCGCACCAATGCAGACTCTCTGCACGACCGCGCAGACATCTCGTCCGATCCAGACAAGAATCCGCATATCTCCGCGCACAATGCTGTTCACCCTGTCTCCCTGGCCGCCGAGGACCCGCGTCTTGGCCAGCTCCAGCGCATTCGCCTGCACCAGAACTACGAGAAGGCGGTCCGCCGGGCAGAGAAGCGTGGCCAGTCCCGTGACGCGAAGCATAGTAAGAACGGCGGCTATGAGCCTTACTACTACACCCCTCTTGTCTGGGGCTATCCAGTATTCGTGCCCTACTACGGCCCATACATGTGTGACCCGGGCATTAGTTCGGGAGCATATGCCTGCAACCCAAGCTGTATGAATGTGGTTGCCGGTGCTGTCGGGAACTGCTGCTCAGGGACCTGTGGGGGAGGCGTGGCTGCAGGCTCCTGTGGCGGCGCAGGGGCTGGGGGCTGCGCTGGGGGTGGTGCCGCTTGTGGAGCTGCTGGAGGTAGCTGTGGAGGAGGAGGGGGGGGGATGTGGTGGAGGCGGCGGCGGTGGCGGCTGCGGTGGTAAGTGATACCTTCTGATTATATCTTTTCACTATCAAGGTGGATGCTAATGATGGTTTCAATTATAGGCGGTGGTGGCTGTTAGTCCCCTTGTTCAACGAGGCTAACGTGATAGTACAACTGCTTTAATGCTGGATATCTGAGAATCGTGCCCTGCTTGATATGAATTATTTCTTTGCTATTTGCCTTTTTAGCTACAGACCCCCAAGTAATACCAGTTGCTAATATTTAAGTTCTTCAATCACTTAATCTTACGCAAATAACGCTTTAATTTTTGTATTACTAGGCTAGCCATTCCCTAGCACAATGTAGGGATTCAAACTACAAGGGCTTTTTATAAAAAATTCATAAGATCGATGATCGAGGATGTAAATCGCTGACCACAGTGTGGAGTACATAAGAAAATGAATATTGGAATCGAAAGTAGACCTGGAATAAAAAGAAATGCCTAGAATTCGTTGCACGACGTAACTGATAGATAACTCTATCATCTCGAATGATACGAAAAGCATCTAATATGAACGAGGGTATCACTATCTCCAGGATAAGAGACATGCATGATAACGCTACATGACGATGCACTTGTTTCGACGCTTGCGACTCCGTTCCCGGATGGTATGTTCGTTCCAATCTTCGATACGCCTTCGCCACTCCTCGGTTGCGGGCGGCGGAAGACTATTTGGCTCTGTCGACACCCGTCGGCGAAATGACCTCTGTCGTGCTGGTATCTGGTCCTCGTCTTCTGCGGCGAGATCTAGGGCATTGCCGTGGGGCTGCGGTATGTGGAGGAGGTTTGGAGATGAAACAGAATAGGAAAGGTAGTTCTCGCCGAGGATGGTTGCGCTCAAGGTTTGTGGGGCGCCTTGCTCAGCAGGATGAAGGGCTAATATGGGGAGGGGTGAAGGAAGGGTAAGATACTCGGTAGCGACTGGGATTGGTGCGGCTGTTGTATTTGAGCGAACAGGCCAGTTATGGTTTCTTTGGGTTGGAGGTTGGGTGGTGATGATATCTGGCGGGATGGGTGGTACTTGAGGAATACCGGCGTTCTGACTATAGCTTTGTATTTGAGCTGGTTCTGCGGTGGCACCTGCTGAGGATCCCCTTCGACCCCGACCACGTCTGCTACTAAGCGTTCCTAGCCTCTGTAGAATGAGGGATTGCGGGCGGGGACGCTCTGAAGTGGTATCTCGCGCAGCACGAGCAGTCTGGGCGCGTTGAACTGGTTGAGCAGATCCGTTGTTGGAGTTTTGCGCGTTTGCCGAAGGCCTTGAAAGAAGAGACTGTTGCAAATGTACGGGTAAAGGTTGATCAGCCTCCCGGGTGTATGGGGGAGGCGGAGGCACCCAATTATCTGCATCGCTTTCGTGCGGTATCTGACGTCGACTCGGGGTGTTGCGATATCGTGGATCATACCGACCTCGCGTCGATGCCGCCGCTGTTGCCGCTCGATTCAGGGTATCTTGAGAACGGGGTTGAGTATTATCGTACGGAATATCAGGAACTTCCCCGCGGTTAAGTCCATTTGGAGAAGCAGGGGCTATGAGACTGTTGCGACGAATAATTGGAAGAGCCGTTTGACTCGTTGACCGCGGGGATCCGCGATACGGGATCCGTGTCGATGGACGATGGGCAGATGCCGCCAATGTTGTTGGATCAGTATCATTGCGATGCAAGCGGGTTCGTCTCCTTTCCAGCTCTACTTCGGTGTCCAATGAGGAGTCGGGCTCAGCTAATATCTTCGGTGCTGTCTCGCCAACTTCAAGGTCAATTTCGATTTCCTCGCCAATGGTCGCTGTTCTCTCGAAGTCCAAAATGAGAAGTCTGCCACCATCAACCGGAATGTCTTCTTCGCCAAGCGCTTGAGGACGAACACCACCAGGGGCTGCTGCAACAAGACGACGACGTGGCTTGACTGATTGAGGTAATCGAACCCAGCGAGCAGCAGTGATTCCATGCATGTCGGTCACTGGACGACCCCGGATAAGAACTTTTTCGGGCTGCTGTACAATCTTTTCAAGCTGTGCACGGTTGTCGCGAGGTCCTGTTCGCCCTTCAGAATGATGGTCACCACACAGACTGGTGCCACGGTTCTCGGAGCCAGGGACCTGGTTGGAGGTTTCTACATCGAGACGGGCTGGGACCCCATAGACCCATACCTGAGAGTCCTGGAAACCGAGGGCCAATAGCTCACCAGCGTTATCTGTCGAGGGTTGCATGATGGGCGGGGTTTCTCGAAGTTCATCCGGCACAAAGGGGCTGGCAAAGTATACACCGCCAGCGTCGATGTTGTCGATTTTGATTGTTCGAAATGCCCCGAGCTGACTATCATATGCCAAAATCCAACTGTCATCCGCATCCTCATGACCATTGATTAGGCAGGCATGAGTGAATCCAGTGGCTATTTCGGGGAAGAGAATCTGCGTTGTCCACATCCGCATTTGCAGCTCCTGTGGTGACACATCGATCCCAATCTCAGTGTAAAATGGAGCTGTAATAGACACAATACCTTCCTGTCCAAAGTCAACCGGCGATCCAAGAAGCATGGTACCATCGGAGGTGAATGAGAGTGCATCCACACGAGGACATCGCGCTGCTCGGCGTTCCGTTGCCAGAACTTCCTCTCCAACCGCATGCACTTCAATGCAATCATCAAACGACAAGGCGAGAACACTTCCCGTAGGAGAAAATGTGAGGTCTCGCGGGGCATCGTTTAGGGAGATGGTCTGGATACGCGTGATCTCCTCTTCAGAGAGCCGGTAGATATTGACTTTGTGGGTAGAGGACAGGACCGCAAGGAGAGCACCATCATCCTGGATAGTGGCACCCAAGGGGCGGCGGCGGGTTTGCAGTTCATACTTTACAGACACTGGCTCCATGGTCACATCGAGCACAACTATCCGAGATGAGCTGATACAGAGAACCATGCGACCGTTGGCTGAGAAGGCAAAGCGAAACACTTCACCCTGGGGGAAAGCGGTAGACGAGCTCATCGAACTGGACATTAATCGCACAAGTGTACGGCGCGGTCGCATGAATACATCAAATGCATTACGCCGGATTTCCTCCAAGAATTGGCGTTTGAGGTCGGGCAGGCTGTCGGCCTCGCTCGGCGCGGGGTTTGCCCCTCTCGTCCAGGTAAACGACGGGCATCGCGATAAGTGGTAGGCATATAACGCTGGGGACTCGGAAATGCGCCTCCATTTGCAATTCAGTAGGGCCAGCGATGCGAAGGCGTTGGCATCCACGGAATAAAGAATGCTAGGCGGGGAGTCAGGGTCCACGGTCACCGCATAACGGGGCGCGGGGAAGATGCCACGCATGCCAAAGGGAACACTTACTGCTCAATGACATTGGCGGGCAGCCGATTAAAGGCGCCCGTCTCTCGAGGTATCGAGACCTCCTCCTCCATGATCACCAGCGTCCGACATGCGGAATTGACGCTGGGACCCGAGTTGGAGATGCCCTTGAAGAGTGGCTGTGCTTCCCAACCTCCTTCATGACGCCGTCGCGTCGATCGCCGATATAAATAGACTAGGCACGTGGTGCTGACTCAGTCTCCCCGCATCCAGTTTAGTCCCGTTTTTCTTTCGCGGGCACTTCCTCCGGTTTCTCGGGTCCCGCGAATCTCTGCAATGTTCAGCAGCAGGAACGGCCTCAATGGCATCGGCAGCATGAAAGCATGAAATCGACAGCAGGACATCATGAAGTATAATTCGCCTTGACCCACGGTTGTACTAAACTCGCTCCCCGAACGTCCTCGATGCCCGTCGCATTCGGCCGGGTCGTACCCCTCACTCTGACCAACTGAGATCGGCCGACTCCGAAAACTCCCCGGGAACTTTTCCCCAGACCGTTTCCCCATTCCCCTCCTTGTCGGCACCTCGTTCTCGGGTTTGCGCATCATGTCGCCTGCAACCCTCCAAGTCAATTCGTCCTCGAAGCTGCCGTCGCCCGGGTTCAACGCTGGTGCGCGTCCCTACCGCTCGCATAAGGTCCGCGCCTGTGATCTCTGTCGCAAGCGCAAATCCCGATGCACCGTTGATATTCCCGGCCAGTCCTGCTTGTTGTGTCGCGTGCAGGGTGCCGACTGTCACTACCAGGAGGAGCCGAACCCTGATGCATCAGTGTTGAGCACAACGGAGGCCAAGCCATGGTCGGGACCGCCGCCGGTAGAGACCGTCTCCGGTCAAAAACGCAAGCGCAGTCCAGATGGGCTCCCCAACTCTCGTCAGTCCACCAATGGCCCCAGTCCACAAGGGACAGTTTCGTCGTCTGGCCGCCGTGGCAGCGACGCGCGGCGGAAAGACTATGATGATCCGCATAATGAGTCAGTCCTCATCGTTGGGCCGATGGTGGCAGAGGATGCACAGATCATCGAGCAACACATGCCCCCTGAGCGGTCGAGCTTGTCTGAAGAACCTAAGAGCCACCCATATAATACTTACTCAAGTGATCCTCGAAAACCGGTCCTTTATACCACCATTACCAGGCGGCGAAAGGGCATGCGCCGTGGTGTCCCACCGGGTGAGAACCAGAAAGAGATCTTGGAGCAAATTCTAGGACCATTCAAACATGACCTTGTGAGGCTGTAAGCAATACACCAAGGTATCTTTGTGAACCATGACCTCATTTACTAACTGGCTTCGTTTTCAGCTTTATCGACCGATTCAACGTCGCGTTCCCTATTTTTGATGGCGAGCAATTCTGGGAGTCCTATATCACCGACGGTCTAGAAGACCCCCCTGCCTCACTGCTTTGCCAGGTTTATTCAATGTCCCTTGTGTATTGGAAGCATACCCCAAAGCTTGCAGCACATCCAAAGCCCGATGTACGCTATGCTGTCAACATGACCGTAGCTGCACTGCATGAAGAGTTTTCCGCGCCTGGCTTGTCAACCATCAGCGCTGCATTGATTGACCTGACGGGTAGACCAATCTTTTCCATGACTGGAAATGCCATCAGCTGTGGTCGTATGTTGTCTTTGGCGAATTGCCTAGGCTTGAACCGCGACCCGAGCCATTGGAAGCTCTCACAGCACGAGAAAGACCAGCGCATCCGACTCTGGTGGGGGGTTGTTATTCATGATCGATGGTGAGTCACCTTGCACAACCCTCACCAGCCAATGATTATTTTTAACTTGTTCCACAGGGGAAGCTTCGGTCACGGTGTTCCGCCTCAGATTGCCAAAACCCAATACGATGTACCCTTACCTACTGTGGACGGATTAGTGCCTTTCAACCTTCGCACTCCCGAGCGTGTCAAAGCTGCTCATTGCCACATCTTCCTTTGCAAACTCACCGAGATTCTTGGTGAACTCCTACCTCTAGTCTACGGCTTGCAGGCAAAGCTAGCACGCGAAAGCTCAAAGAAATTGAGACAAATTCGGACAGACCTGGATCTCTGGGAAGATTCTCTTCCTGACTGGCTCAGAGCGCCAGTTCCCAGTCGTGGCGAACAGATATGTGCATCAAGCAGTCTACAGCTTGCCTTCTTAGCTCTCAAAATGCTCGTCAGTCGAGTAGAATTGAATGTAAGAGCCTTTTTGCAAATTTTGAGGAAATCGCCACAGGAAATCATTTGTACTAATAATTATTCTACAGGAGGTCAATAATGCCGAGACTGACAATCCAGAGGCTCGTCGGTATTTTCAGACAGAATGCCGCAGATCAGCAGAGGAGATCGTGCGCTTCATTTCCTCTCTTCGAAAGGATAATTTTAAGGAGTTCTGGCTGCCTTGTAAGTTGAACACTCGCCATACCTTAAAACCCCGACGCCATTCTGACAATTTCCAAAAGATAGCGCTTTTCACTTGACGTCCACGGCTACCTTGCTAGTCCGTTGCGCTCTTGAAACAACCGACAGCGAAGTTGCAAGGTCTTGCCTCGCCAATGTTGAGACCCTCCGCTCTGTGCTCCGACGTGTACGCGAGGAAGAAGACTGGGATGTCGCTGACATGTGCTTGGACCACTGCGACCGTATCATGAACAGGCTTCCTGGCACAGGTGCTACAATCGACCAAGCCATGAACGCTGCAATGGCAGACAATGGGCTGGTCAACCCAGCCGCAATATCACTCCCTGAGACTCAAACCAACAATGATATTGTAGACGATATGATGTCCATTTCCAATACGTTTGGCACGATGGACGGCTTCCCCTTCGATATGACAGGTATCTGGGACGTCTCTGTGTTCCAGGATGTCAATCTCACCTGATAACTAAACTCATTTGAACCTGGTTTATTGATATTCCTTTCTCGGCTACTTTTATGGAATTCAAGGCGTGTATGTTAAGGTCAGAATGATGGACATTTACTTAACCTCGTTTGTGTATATACCCAGGGGCCAAGGGCAACCCCTACGTGCAGATAAAGATAATCCAGTCTATCAGTCTCAAGTCTCTTTCATATTAAAGCATCTGACCAAATTTTGTACATAGAGAATCAAGAAACAAGAGAATCGGACACCAAACGCTATTTTACAATCATTCCGGAAATGAGTGCGCAGACCGAATCCAGGAAACCCATCTAATGACCTGCCCCTTGCCCGCAAATGAATTAACACCAATGATGATGAGTTGGGAGGTGAAAATAAAATGAACCAAGATCCAACAAGTGTTGCAAGATCCCTTGAAGTATCAAGCGATAATCACATTGGGTTTTTACTCCTTGCCACCGGCACCGAACATGCCAGTGAAAGAGCCCTTCATGCTCTTCATCTGCTCCTGGCGAGCCTTCTCCTCCTCTGCAGCCATTTCAGCCAGCCATTTCTCGCCGTTCTCGCGGATCTCACGCTCGATCAGCTCGTAATTCTTCTGGCCACGCTCACGGATTTGGTCCCAGAGCATCTTGCCCTGGGCCAGACCGTCTGAGGGTGACTGCTCGCCGTCCAGGGTTCGGCTCGACTTCAGACCGAGTGCAGAGGCAAAGCTACCAATGCTGACGGAAGGCTTCTTCTTGTTCTCTTCAGCGAGCTCCTTCTCGAAGCGCTCGCGCATAGCCTTCTCACGTTTAGAGAACTCGACCGGGATTGAGCTGCCCTCGAAGGACTTCAGCACGGGACGGACATCCTCAACGCCCATACCAGCGAGGTACTCCAGGAAGGGAATGAGAGCAACCAAGGTCTTGTCCTTGGGGTCGCCAGTCCACTTCTCCAGCACGACGGCGTTCTCGGGCTGCAGGCGAGCATGTTCCTCCTTGGTATCGATCAGGATCACCTTCGACAGGTCACGGTTCAGGTAGGACAGATCCTAGTGTGATTATCGGTCAGACAAAAGAACCCTGGAAAACAGATCATGGATATTCCTCATACCTTAATGTATTCACCATCCTTGTAACGGGTAGCCTCACGGAATAGAGGCCAGCGGATGATACGGTAAGGGTCAAGTTTGCGAAGGACCTGGTCAGCCATCATGCTGGGAACACTGGTGAAAAGAACCAGCTCATAGTACTGGTTGAGGTAGCGGAGGAAGTAGTCGACGCCGGGGCGCTTGGCCACACGCCATCCGTGCTCGCGGCTCCATTCACTGTGAACAAGTAGGTCCTCCAGACTGAGGACCAGGGTGTAGGGTTGGCGCACGTTAGGATCCTCGTCGGGGAGGAGCTTGGGGAAGGCGGGATCCTTGTAGTAGCTAGTCAGGTCATTCATACGAGCCTTGATGCGACCCCACCACAGACCAAAGCCCCAGCCAGATGGTGTCTCGGTGTGAGCACGCTCTTCCTCATCGGTTTCCCAGTTCCGGCCTAGGTAGCCCATGCCAGCAACACCGGCAGCCAGCATCAATGCATACATGACATTGGCCATGCGGGCCTTGCGGCGATCCAGGGAGGTCTCATAGCCACCCTTTGGGATGTCACCACCACGGCCATTATCTTCGCTGTAGTCCTCAGATTGAGTGGGATCCTCTGTCAGGTTCAATGGTCCACCCTTCTTCATGCGGCCTTCCAGCTCAGCGGCGAGTGTGGACGGGATACCCTGAGTCAAGTCGGGGAGGGGCTTATTGGGAATCTGCTCCGATTCGGGCTACATCGGACCATGATTAGACTGGGAATTCGTAATTTGGGATTGATGGTATGTATAAGGGAGTAAAGGTGGCTCACAGTGGTGGCAGAATCGCTTTCGGGCGTAGCCTGGGCGTTGGACTCAGACTGCTCTGCAGCCTGCTGGTCCTTCTGTGACTTTTCGGTAGCCTGAGACTGCTGAGCCTTGGGCTCCTTGGCCTGCAATGACTCGGGCAGCTTATACGGGGCGTTGTCCTTGCCTTTAGCATACCACCGTGGCCGCTGCGCGGACAGGGCGGAGACCCGGACGGTCGAGGCGAGGACGTTGCGCCTCGCAAGAGGCAGAACGGCACGGCTCAGCATGACGGGAAGATATGATTTAGAGAAAGACGGGAAACAGTGCACTCATGCCTTGCACTGCAGCGGGTTCACGTCCTCGGCTCCGGGACGAGTTTCCCGTAGAAAAGTCGGCGCGCGGTCCATGCGGCGGCGTACACGCACCTATTGCGCAGTTTCTATTTATCGCGCGCGATTCAACTTTCGCCTCGTTTCTTTTCTTTTCTCCATTATGAAAGTTGTACCCAGCAAATTTGACCCTTCAAGCACTTGCTATGCATGCCGGGTTGTAACTACCTGGGGAGACGAAGGAAGATCTCTTCTTAATCCCACTTCCAAGAGCCGCAGCGAAGGCCTCCTGTGAAGCTGCAGCTCCGTTCGTGGGTAACATTTTTTCTCTCTTTTTAGCTGGAATTTCCCGGTCCTCAAAAGGGTTTACCAGATCCAGTGTCGAGTATTGAGCGATGCTTGTCCTCCTTTAATGCCAAAGAATGCGAACAACCATGGTTTCCGTGTCCAAAATCTAGTCCCGTGCCGCGTACTTGCTTATAGATCCTTTTTTTTCTCGCCGCAACTTCGACCTTGGAACCTTTCCACTATGCGCCCCAAAAAGCGTCACGGCCACCTCGCCGTCGAATTTCTCGAGCAGGAGGAAATACCGGAGCCAGAGCCAGCGCCCGTACTTCGAGCAGGGTCTTTTCGATTTCTCGACCTCCCGTCTGAGATACGGCTGCGAATCTATCACTTCGTCCTGTTCACTCCGACGCGGAGGAGCGCTTTGAAAAACAATGCAGGCAGTGTCGGTGCCTCGGCGAAGAAAAGCAAACCAGTAGCGCCCACCTCTCACCGAATTGCCCTGTTCCTCGTCTCGCATCGTATCCACGATGAAGCCAGTCATTTTTTCTATTCGACCCAAATTTTCCGACTCTTTCCCGTCCAGGATTTCTCGCGAATGCCGACCGTTCGCCAACTCCCCCGTCGCCACCGTTCCTCGATCACCACGATTGAGCTGATCTTGGGGAATAGCTGGACGGCACCCCCGCGGTCATGGATGGTGAATCAGGGCCTAGGCCTCCATGACATGGTACTTACTCGCACGCTGAAGGTTTTCATAGAATGTGATCCCTCACAGCCGGTCTTCGAGGGCTTTCGCATCTCCAAGGAGTACTATACCGAGTTCGCTGGGCGGCTGATGCGGCAGATCCTGGAACGGCTGCCTGGTCTGGTCCAGGTGGAATTCGACGGATACCCATCGGTGCTCAAAGCCGGCTCTCTTATGAGCCGGCTGCTGCAAGAAACGCGAGATGCGCAGAAAAAAATTCTTTGGGGCCCGGAGAGAGGCTGGACGGACAGCGAGGATGACCATGTCGAACCAGAACCTCAACTGCCCGACGCTGCCATTGATGGCCTGCGTGCTCATCGTCCTGCTTGCGATGTAGATGTCGAGGCCTTGGCCGGTTCGCTTCAGACTGTGCATTTGGAAAGCGAGTCTCTGCAGGTGGCCTCTTGAAAGATTTTGATGTTGGATGCGATATGATTTTAGACCTTTTCGAATACATGGCGCGGCGTTTGGTAGATTCTTGTGTTACATATACATACTCATTTTAGAATGCTGAGCACATTTATATATATCATACTTTACTTGACTAGTGGCAATATTTCAAGTCGTTTCTTGAGCTCCTTGTCTAGTAGCGATTTATGCTCTTGCCTACAAGCGCGGCTTGCCCAGAAATCATAGTATTTACTTCCTAGACTTGCTGCCTGTATCGAATCTATTCAGCCTGCCAGAGAATTGCCTCATTTCGACTAGATGTCTACTAAATATTAGATGAAAGGTTGGCATATGGGCGTCTCCCGTACGATGAGCTATATCATTTCATGGGAGAGATCGAAATTTCGTGATTAGACTGTGTCTTGTAGGGTTCATGCGTCTTTTAACTCTCTAAAGCTCCTCGTCCACCTCCATGGAGGCGCCGTTAGCACCGTCCTTGGACCCCGCCTGCCGAGCCACAGAAGCTTCCTTATCGATCATCTGCCTAGAAACGGCAACAATGTTGTCCTCGATCAACTGCTGGCTTACGTCCTCAATGTCTGTGGGTTGATGTTAGAGTTAACGTGTATGCTATAAGGCAGCAGGGATATATGGCAAAAACATACGCTTCTTAGGATCAACCTTGCCCACATATCTCGTCTTGAGTTGTTCCTTGGTCAATTCGGTCTCCTCCTTCACCCGCTTCTCGTAGCCCTCGGCAAGGCTAACAAGCTGCTTCATCTGGTCCACGTTATGCTGGCCTTCCTCATGGAAGTCGTTCATCTGCAGAGCCTCTGTCCATACATGCTTGTGCAAGTTCATCAGCATGTTCTCCTCCAGGCCAGTCTTTCGGTAATTGATCGCAATGCTATAGTAGTGGCGGTTGAGGCCGTGAATGAGGGCCTGAATCGAGGGTTTGTTGAGGTGACCCAAGTTAGACGTTGTTTGCCGGGGTTCCTGGCCCATGACAACAGTCTGGGGTTGAATGAGACGGAAAGCATCGATCACGACCTTGCCCTTCACTGATTGAATAGGATCAACGACAACAGCGACGGCACGGGGGGTAAGCTGCTCGAATGATTGCTGGGTATTGATATCGACGGAGGACAGCCAACAGCCGAAACCGGGATGAGAGTGATACCATCCAACAACAGTCTCGGGTCTATTTTAAGGCCGAAGGCATAATTAGAATGGCACTCAGGCAACCAAAGAAGGAATGACTGTGTGATGGTAGCTTACCGTCCAGTTTGCCGCAGCATCTCCATCATCTTGGTCTGGAAAACAGGGTCCACAGCTTCAACACTGACACCGGTGCCACTCTGGGGCATGGCAAAGACGTCCACAACACGAACTGTATATTCATCGATAAACTCTCCCAGCATAAGGCCCATGACTTCCATGGGCACGCCAGCGCGGCCGTGCCGCAACATCTTCAACAGAGCCAGAGATGAAATGTGAACGGTTTCGGAGTTATCGATCAGGTGGGGGGAGTCCTATAACATAGCTCCATTAACTGTTTGTTCTTTGGCTAATGTGATACTATCCATGTAGCTTATAATTGCAAGCACGGCAGCTACCAGTGAGCCAAATACAAAGTGCCACTGGGAACAGCACAGGAATAACTTACACCACCCGGAGCAGCACTTCCCATTCCCATGCCCTGGGCGGCTTGCAGCATTCGATTAAGACGGTCCATGATGGCGCGAAGCAACTAGAGCAGTTGCAGAGAAGGAGGGATATGAGTGATCAGCTCCCGAATTGGAAGCTCCCGGCGGGCTGATTTGCCTCAAGTGTATCAAATTCTTTCCAGTTAGGCAACAAGCAGAATCGAGAGCAATGTCACCCAAAATCAAAGGATGCGTTAAATGGTGTTGGAAGGCAACAGGGAGTGTTTGCGTGGTGTTGGTGATGAACCATTCGGCCCGGAGCTTGACTGACGAAGGCGGTGTGTTTCTGCCCGACTTGGCTCTCCTTCCCACGCGGCGATCGACTCCCTCAAGCCTCCCGTCTTTGCCTACGGCGCCATGAGCATGTCTGAAGTGGCCCACTGCACTGTTTAACCCCGTTATTTGTCTCTCCACGGGTGTTTTCTGGTACACAGGACCTTCTGCCCTTTTGTATCCCGAGACTTTGGCTTCCATTGTCTCCCTTACTCCACATACTTCTTGTCCTCCACATCTTCTCAATTGACATCTCCCGCTACCTGCTGGCGCTCTTGGTCGAATATACCTTCATCAAAAGCGCAAGATGGCAGCGGAGCCTCTATCCAATGGCGTTGGCGCCAACAACAAAAAGGTTGCATATTTCTATGACTCCGATGTGGGTAATTATGCCTATGTCTCAGGCCATCCCATGAAGCCTCATCGCATACGCATGACGCACAGCTTGGTCATGAACTATGGCCTTTACAAAAAGATGGAGATCTATGTGAGTTCCAAAGTTTGGATCCAAACTGAAAAAAGAGCAGCATTGCTGACGCGCAAGCATTCAGCGTGCCAAACCCGCTTCGAAATATGAGATGACCCAATTCCACACAGATGAATACATTGATTTCCTCTCGAAAGTGACGCCGGACAACATGGACCAATTTTCGAAGGAGCAAAGCCGATACAATGTGGGTGATGACTGTCCTGTTTTCGACGGCTTGTTCGAATTCTGCGGGATCAGTGCAGGTGGTAGCATGGAAGGCGCCGCGCGGTTGAATCGCAACAAGTGCGACGTTGCTGTCAACTGGGCCGGTGGTCTTCACCACGCGAAGAAGAGCGAAGCTAGTGGTTTCTGCTACGTAAATGGTAAGATATGAAGCCCGTTCTCGAGTAAACGATTTGGCTTGCCTAACCGCCGACTCCAGATATTGTTCTCGGTATCCTCGAACTGCTGCGATTTAAGCAGCGAGTCCTCTATGTTGATATTGATGTTCACCATGGTGACGGTGTTGAGGAGGCGTTCTACACCACAGATCGCGTCATGACTGTTTCATTCCACAAGTACGGCGAATATTTCCCAGGTACCGGTGAACTTCGTGACATTGGTGTTGGCTCCGGCAAGTACTATGCCGTCAATTTCCCTCTCCGTGACGGTATCAACGATGTCTCCTACAAGAGTATTTTCGAGCCTGTGATTAAGAGCGTGATGGAATGGTATCGCCCCGAGGCCGTCGTCCTGCAGTGTGGAGGTGACAGTTTGTCCGGCGATCGTTTGGGTTGCTTCAACCTCAGTATGCGCGGCCATGCCAACTGTGTGAACTTCATTAAGAGCTTCGACTTGCCGACTTTAATCCTTGGTGGCGGTGGTTACACCATGCGGAACGTCGCACGCACATGGGCGTATGAAACAGGTATCCTGGTTGGAGACAGTCTAGGATCAGAGCTCCCCTACAACGATTACTACGAGGTATGGTTTCCGAAACGAATATAATGAGTCTCGTTACTGAGTTGAGCTACTAGTATTTTGCGCCCGACTACGAGCTTGATGTCCGCCCTTCGAACATGGATAATGCCAACACAAAAGACTATCTGGACAAGATTCGCAACCAAGTTGTGGAAAACCTCAAGCGAACAGCATTTGCGCCATCTGTACAGATGACCGATGTGCCGCGCAACCCGATCCTAGATGGTATGGATGACGAGGCCGATGATGTTCTCGATGACCTGGATGAAGATGAGAACAAGGACAAGCGATTTACTCAACGCCGCTTCGATCAGTACGTGGAGAAGCCTGGCGAGCTCAGCGATAGCGAAGATGAAGAGGAAAATGCCGCCAATGGTGTTCGTCGTCAGCCTGGTGCTGTTCGCCGCCGAAATCAAGTTAACTACCGGAATCTCGACCCCGCTGATTCGGGGCTCGACAGCGGCATGGCTACACCGCAGGATGCTTCATCCGTTGCCGACAATGATATTGATACCGGCTTAGATACTAAAATGGCCGATGCTCCACGAACAGAGCCTGATGCGCCTGCTGGTGGTGCCGCTTCGAACGGCCAGGATACCCCTATCACCGATGCAGACGCAATGCTGGTTGAGAATGAGGGAAAGAGTACTTCTGCCGCTGTGTCTCAACGAACCTCTCCTCGTCCGCAAGATGAGGATACAACCATGGAAGATGCCGCTCCGGTGGCCGAGACCGACAACGGTGCTAGTGATACAGCAGATGAGAAAAAACCGGTTATTTCTCTCGCTTCCGAAGACGCTTCTAAGTTTGAATCTTCACCAACTCGTTCATCTAAAGACCCTGCTGCCGCAGCGGAAAAGGAGGCCGAGGGCTCTGTACAGGAGCCCGCCCTTGCAAGCGATTCCGAGGTGGCCAAACCGGCAGCAACCGAGTCAGCCGATGAGCCTACCAAGGAGGAGGAATAGATTGGCTGATACAAGACATCAATATTGGATCTGGCGCAACGGACAATGGGCAGAAAGGTGTTATCGGTTTGTCAACATGCTCGCATCTTGTTCGGCCTCGGGGGATGTCATGTCTCTCTGCTTGGAGAAACGGCAAGAAAAAGGCTGTTTCGTCTCGCGAGAGTCTCATCTATCTCACGTTTCCCTGGCTGGACACAATCAGGCAGATCTTAAAGGGTCCTATCCGAAACCCCGGAGTACATCGCATCGTTTTATGGCTGGAAAGGAATCGGTTTTGTCCCTTCAATAATATCTGTACTTTTTTCATTCTTTATTCTTTACGATTGATTTATATCAGCGAAATCAAAGAAAGATTTATCATAATTTGTTCGGATTTTCCTCTAAAGTGAGCATTCCAGACGACCGTCATAGTTATCGATTCATTTGCTCGCATGAGCGGGTTAATACCCATGTATAACATGGACATGACGACTGGCTCTTAATCTTCGGACCCAGCCCTCCAAAAGCGTAAAGACGCATTTAAAAAAAAAAAAAAAGATACGATTAGTTGCTACTGTAGTTACGCACTGGGAAACCCATCTGTCACAGTACATTGAGAGGAAGACACTATTGATTGGATGTGTTGATGTAGCACGTGACCAAACAGATTCGAGGTTGGGACGTGTTGCGGCCTGATGACAGAATGAACATGCCCAGGCATCAATGTCTTAAAGTGGACTAGCGCTAGGGCAACCAAAGCGGCCAATCGTGGTGGCGCCAAGATTTTGCGCATCCACTGGGCACTAAGCGAGAAGACAGCACTGTGGACGATTCTTCGACTCCCGACCTGACCTTCTGTCGCCAACCCTTTTTCGCCTACCTCGACAACCTCGAAAATCAGCCACCATGTCTGCGCGAGGGTAAGTCTTAATACCCTATAATCGATTCAAAACACCAAAAGAGCCTGTCCGAAATGAAAATTGGGTGAAAATTCTCGACAATTCGACCTACAATTTCACTTGGAAATCCAACATCTCGAGATGGAGGAACGGACGACGACAAATTCGAGTACACACCACCGGATACAAGGAATAGAAATGCTAATGTTTATTTTCATTACAGACGTGCCAGTGCCGCCGGCAACAAGCTGAAGATGACTCTCGGTCTGCCTGTGTACGTACCACCTTGAAGAATTTCCCACAGCCGTGTTCCTCGTCCAGTGAAATCGCTTCGATACCACGCCAATTGCCAATCGCCACGGGTCGATATGTTCTCGTCAATCACTTGCAAGCACTTGGGAGAGCGCCATTGGAATTTGGGGGACCTCGACGAAAATGGCATTGGCGGGGGAGAATATCGAAGTCGATCTGGATTGGGCGTGAAGCTATACGGCAACGGGGAACTGATACACTACGGAATCAACACGAAACGATGCTAACGGTTATTTTTTTTGTGGAATAGTGGCGCCGTGATGAACTGCTGCGACAACTCCGGTGCCCGCAACCTGTACATCATCTCCGTCACTGGTATCGGTGCCCGCCTGAACCGTCTGCCCGCTGCCGGTGTCGGTGACATGGTCATGGCCACCGTCAAGAAGGGAAAGCCCGAGCTCCGCAAGAAGGTCATGCCCGCCGTTGTCGTCCGCCAGAGCAAGCCCTGGCGCCGCCCCGACGGTATCTACCTTTACTTCGAGGACAACGCTGGTGTTGTAAGTGGACACCCCTCTTCCCCACGCTGAGATATGCAGCTATGTGCCACGGTTGTGTCAATTTTCCGGAATGTCTCGGATTGACGGGATGGATCTCTGGCTCACCGCATTTACTCTCACACATTCCCTCCGCATTCTGACTAGTTACTAATCTTATTTTCTTCGCTACAGATCGTCAACGCTAAGGGTGAGATGAAGGGTTCCGCCATCACCGGCCCTGTCGGTAAGGAGGCTGCTGAGCTTTGGCCCCGTATTGCCTCCAACTCCGGTGTCGTCATGTAAAGAGAAGAAGCCCGAATAAAACAACAAAAATTCAACGATACCAAACCTGACTCCTTGGGACCTGGGAAAACGGGGTGCATACGAGGCATATTGTGGAGAAAAAGGATAGGGAAGGTCCATTTGACGAATTCCACCTGTGATATTTCGAGCCGGTTTTCCTCCCCCTTAACTTGTTTTTTTCTCTTCGAATACTGGCGACGAGAGGAAGTATACCTTTAAAAAATACTACCTTTTCATGACAGCTGCATTAGCTTTCTAGTCGTTGGCCCGGCTTCTTGTATGTGGAATATGGCCGCATCTTGTTTAGGCTTCCTGGTCCTGTTTCTCTCTCGGTCTTTGATGCCTTCGTACCCCATCTAAGCGGATTGATGAGATCTAACATGATCATTGCTCGACCTCCTGGCCGGCCTTGTAGCTGTATATCACGTCGGATGGGGATGGATGTGTTCGGTGGTCTAAGCAGATCCTCTGTAGCCATTCCCCACAGAGTAGGACTTCGATACAACATCACGTTCATAGTTACTGTATCTACGGGTGCCAATCTAGTAAAAGAGCTTGCTACAATGTACTACTTTCACTGAATGGTCATTTAATCTGGGCTAAAGATTCATTTTATTTGCAACCCTTAGATTCTAGTCAACCCCGTAATGGTACAAGAAATGCAAATATACAACATGCTTCGTCAAGTCTATCCAAGATCTCATTTATTTCCTCCGAGCTTTCGACAACGTGACTCCCGTCAACGTCGGCCTAAGTTCCTCTTCCTCCTCCCCCCTTTCCTGCTTCTTTTGCTTCTCCTGCAAGTCCAGCCGCACTGAACTTTGACCTTCTCCAACCGCAGCGAACCCAGCAACAACCCAAAATAATCCAACAAGGACCGTCACCAAAATGCTGACATGCACTGCCCACCAAACATGCTGCACGCCCGCCGGACACATAACAATCTCATAGTCCCACTCGCCCAGCTGCGCATCAAACCAGACGGAAAGAAGCCCGGCATTGCCCCCGAACTCGCCCATCATTGACCGCAGCGTCACCTCGCGGATCGAAGGCGTCCCACTCGCATCTGCCTCGCGCCCACCATACCGTCTCGCTGCCCAGCTCCAGCTCTGCCCGGCCTCAGCATCCCCATGCTCCCGGTCGATATAATGCACCGCGTCGCAGCCCACATGGTCATGGCCCGTGAGAATCAGGCCCTTCCGTCCGCGTCCACCCACAGGCGCATCCTCGTTCCCGCTCATCCCAAAGATCCCCTGCAGCACGCCCGTCGCGCTGATATGGTCGCTGAGATGGTTCTGCTCGCGTAGCCCGCCCGTGCGCCACCGTGGCTCCGCGTCCGTATCGTCTGCATCGTGGAACGTGAAGTACGGCCCGTCCGCGCACACCCCGTCTGCCTTGTGCAGTGGCAGGTGCGTCAACAGCAGCGTGAACACCGACGCGTCCTCCACTGGGTACAGCCGGCTAATCAGTGAGTTCAGGTATGCATACCCGTCCGTCTGCAACGCCTCCGACAGCGCTGGAGTGTCGAGCACCAGCGTGTTCAGGTTGATCAGATGAAGTGTCGGCGCGGCCACCGACGTGTTGTCCACTGGATGCGCGAACCGCACGTCCCAGTTGGCGCGCCCGAACTCGCGCTCGAACCGTGCCATCCGCGCGGGGCTCACGTCACCGGCGTATCCGATGTCGTGGTTGCCCGCGACGTTGATGATGCGCCGCGGCCACACCGGGTCAGCGCTGGCGCCCAGCGGCTCAAGGGGTTGTTTGTGGCCTGGGGCGCTGGGGCGGGTAGTCTCGTCGTTGACGCGGATGCCGTCGCGGAAGACACGAGTCCAGTAGCGCTCGCTGCGGTGGGCGAACTCGGCGTCGTCGATCCACTGGCTGCCCAGAAGGTCGCCCAGCACAGTGGTATGCGTGGGGCGCGTCCACCAAAACAGCGTGCGGTAAATATGCGCCAAGTAGTAGTCATTGCCGAGGAGGTCGAGCTGTTTCTGAGTGGCACGCAGCGAGCGCGGAATATCTTCGACGAAAAGGGCGTGGGCGCTGCTTTTGATCGTGTCCAGCACGGCTTGGTCGAGTAGGGCGTGAGGGAATGATGTCGAGGCCGAGGCCGAGGTGAGAGCTTCTTGGACGGCGCGCCAGTGGGTACGGATTCGGGGGATGAGCTTCCAGTCTGGCAGTGGGAGCGAGCTGTCACCCTCGAGTTGAGGGTCGGCGAGAACTAGCAGTCTGAATATGGCGGAACCGTTGTCCGTTGGTGTGGCCGGGGCTGCTCCGAGATGTTGGAGGAAGGTGTGGACAGCAGCATTTTGTTTGAGTTGGCCGAGGAAGGATGAATTGTCTGTGTTGGTCTCGTGTGTCTGTGGCAGAGGGAATGCGCAGCCATTGAGGACTGGGTAGAGGTATAGGTAGATAGAGGCCGTAAGGGTGAGGGGGAAGAGGAGCGCGAAGATGCCGCCCAGCAGCCTGCGGAAGGACATGGGAATCACGGAGATCTAGAACGATTAAAAATTCTTAACCGAACATAATATACAGCATAGTGGATATAAAACACGGGCGGAGGAGAGGGCTGAGTCCGGGGTTGTGGTTTGGAATTTTTTAAGGGTGAACAACAAAGAGTCGAGGCTCACCTCCGCGGGCCGCAATACCGCATATGCGGGAACGACGCTAGACGATGCGGGATTGCATGACAATCCTCGGGTTCAGCCCAGGCCACTTGTATGTAAAGCCCGCGTAATTGGCTTGTTTCTGGGATAGGAGAAGAGAGCCAGGGACTTTTCTTATTCCAGGATTATCCAAAAAGCTGACAAAGTAAATACTACAGCTACTCTTGACTCGGTTTGTGTACCTAAGGTACACCAGTCGGCATTTATATATAACCACGCGCCACAATTTCACAACAGAGGCATAAAAGAGTTTGAAATCAGAATGTCTACTACTTGTATTGGAACAATCAAACCTCCAAAGCTAGAAGCCAGATTAATTCAAGCTATCTACAAACGCTCATCCAACATTACGCTCATGGTAGATAGAAGAAGGTTCAGGGTAGATAGAGCCACGATCGCGTCCATATATCACCCACAAATTCGAACCAACCACAGGAGCCAATTAATATCAAAGTCGTGAGATCAGGAATCACAACAAAGAGCCTGCACAACCCCTTCATGTCCACGTGCCTGAAATAAGGAATCGGCCGGAGCCATAAAAGAATGGAACAGAAGTCGGAGAGCGAGGGGTATATCACATCAAACGCCAAACAGTTGGGGAAGGGATAGAGGATAATTTAACGCATAGCTAGAAAGGGGGAATAGAGAGAAGAAAAAAAAAATATGAAGAGGAAACAAGAGAAAGAAACCGCAGAAACCAAGATGGGTTCGCGGAAATCCACGATTGAATGGCAAAAAGTGGTATACGGGCCATGGAAGCAATGATGGAAGAGCATCCAAGATGGGGTTACTTAGATTCGCTCTTAGCCAGCGGGTCTGGAAGGAGAGAGGGGTGTCCGACATCAATCTCGCCGAGAGGATTTGACACATTGTGGTTGGTGGTGGCTGGAGCGCTCTCTGGCTCATTTTCGTGGAGATCAACCTTAGCATCCACAAAGGAGTTGCCCTCCGAGGAAGCTGCTTTGGTTAGATTTAGACCATCGATCCGCAGCCCATGATCGTCTTCCTCTTCCTCAATCAGCCGCTCGGGACCAGCGCTGGCGGGAAGGTTCATCAGCGCGGGAGGTCGCTGATTCATCAGGCGAGCCTGCTTGAGGCTGATCGTCTTCTGCTTGTTCGTTGTCTCGACAACCTGAAGTGGGTCCCGCTCAATGGTTGCTTTCATCAGGGCGGCCATCCAAAGGCGACCCTCTTTGACGTTGTCGACTTGGAAATAGTGGGTGGTCGGCTTGGTAAACTGGACCGTGCGCGAATTGTTCATCTTCGGCGGGACCAACTTGAAGAAGAATGGTCCACTGTTGTCTTTGCTGGTGAGCGAGGAAAGCACAGCAGGTGTGGTGAGTTTGAGGTTTCCTGCGTTCTCGGTCGTGTTGGCATTGGCAGGCAAAGCGGTAGCACCGGTGACGGTTGCATGCAAAGCGATGATTGGGTCGTTGTCCGCCCGTAGTACACGATGAGCAGTAATGTCGATCAAGCCTCGTTCTTCAGTGTCATCCTCAGCATAATAGTAGGACAAGCGACGACCCCGTAGCACAAACAAACGAGGCTTCCAGGTGGTCATCAGATTCGATGATCGTTTCTTCATCCATCCACTGTATTCACAGCCATCAATTTGCTCCTTAGGCGGTTTCTTCTCTAGGCCTCGAGTATAGGCGCTCGTGTCCTTCTTGGACTTGACCGTTCGGGGGCGGATCATGAACCCAGGCGCTTCAGTGGCCTTGCCCGATCCATCGGTGCTATGGCGCTCCGAGCTCTTGGACGTTGCCGAGGGCGTGGTGGAGCCAGTGCGAGCGGACATCGGGTCATAATCCCGCGGTGATACAGGGGCAGAATTGTCGTTGCTGCCCTTGCCGACCACGTCAGAAATGGCACGAAGACCAACCGCGCGGCGGACCTTGGATCCCGCACCACCCATCTTAGGCAGCTGGAAGTGCAGGGGTGATGAGCGAGCCGAATTCTCGGAATCGCCTTTAGTCCTTATCAGTGGCCCAAAGCTGGCGAAGAAACCAGGTTTGCCTTCGGGATTGGAGGATTGCGAGTCATTCCCGCTGCGTTGGGAAACGCGCGTACTCATACTCCTAAAACGATTCTTAGGTGGGGTCCCGTGGTAAACTTGGGCAGCGGGCGAGACATGAGTGATGGCATCACGCATGGAGTCAACGCTGCCGATACGAGACTGGCGCTTGCCAGCCGAGTTGACTCTGTGAGCATCTTCGGCGTAGCTGGACTTCCGCGAATGGGCAATACTACCATCACCGATGGAAGTCGTCCGTTTCTGTAGAACGCGACGGGGTCGGCGGGAATCCACCTCAGTTCCAGAGAAGTAGCCTCGATCAAGGTCGTCATGCTGCTCAGGAGTATTAGGCTCTGACTCCGAGGCCTGCGGTCCGCGATAACCACGAAGACCCTCCGATGTGGTGCCCAAAGAAGTTCCCGGGCGCATTGGAAGAGGTTGGATCCCGCTGTTAAGAGTCCAGGCCCGGTCGAAAGATGGCTTTTTCTGGTGAATACCATTGAGAGATGAATCAGGCAGACCGCGGTGAGTAGTGTCAATAGACGAGTGCCGCCGCGAATGATTAAACTCGCGAATCGAGGCAGCGGAGACTCGTCTCGGGGAATCGTGACTGAATGGGGGAGTATTCGGCGTCATCGGGGAGCTATTATTGCTAGCGAGTCTAGGGTGTTGGCCAGGCACAGCAGAGATTCGAGGTGTATAGCCCGCGCCCGTCTTTTCGGACACAGTGGGAATGCGAGGTAGGAAAGGCCCGGTGTGACCCGCCCGAGATAAGGATCGTTCTTCAGTAGGGCCAGCGAAGCTGGCGATGGATCCCCGTACAGGCGTCTGCTGCTGCTGTGGCTTGATGCCTTTCACTTCTTCCTGGAAGGCCTTCACCTTGTGCCATGTCTTGAGTCGCTTACCCATCACGCCAAAGTCGAACTCCTTCATGAAAATGAAATCCTGATCCATGTCGAGCAGAACATCGCCGGTGATTTCCTGCTCTTCGAAAATGTCACAGTGCGCGGAATCGACGCCAAGACTACGCATATGTCTGGCCGTCTCGATTTGGTTCCATCGTCGCACCTCAGATTCATTCAATGACGTGCTTTCTTCCTCGTCAGTCTCATGGCCATTGATGTAAGACAAGCGATGGCTGATATGGCTGCTATATTCACTGCCTGAATCATTGATTGTCTTTGCTTCTTGGGTGGATACGCTGTGGCGAGGCGTATTCATATCAGTGATGTGCTCATCAATGACGCTCAAGGTCTCATTCATCACTGGGCTTTCTTCCCCATTGGCATGGCTATCGATGGAGCGGCGGAAGGTCTGCTGGATATCCGCTGCGAGGCTTGAGCGCGGCAATGGCGACGAGGCAGACCGGTGCTGTGATGATGGTGAACCGATTTGGGCTTGCACATCCGACGTGCTCGTGTGGCGCGATGCCTGGGGAGTTGTCTGCTCGCTGCCGGCCGATGCAAATGACGATTCAACGGGTGTGGTGGGTTCCATCTGCGATGGCGACTCGGTCTTTTCGGAGGCGATTATCGCCTGGGGTGCGGGGTCGGTTTTGAGGTTGGTCAAATAACTGGGAAGTGCATGGCTAATGGGAATCTCGTGGGCGTGCGCTTTCCTGGTGAAGCCTTTCAGGAGGTGGGCGCATGTCAGCAGGAGCTTCTAGAAGCGACATGGTGACATCGGGAGGCGCATACCTGCTGGGAAAAGACCCTTTTGGCCGGTTCCGGGATGTTCACCCAGCCACCATCCATCTTGAAATTCTTCATCCATTTCCTCCAGCAGGATCACATCGCCGCGCTTCATTTTCAATTCATCTTCGCCGCGTGGTGAGTGGTCATCTATGATCGGTTAGGGGCATTATCGACAGGCTTGTGGGGGAGGCTGTGAAGGGGGGGAAGAGAGAGGGACGGGCGCGCCGCGCGGGTCAGTACTTACGGCAAACCCAGAGATAGTTGCCGCGCTGGACGTTCTGGGGTGGCGCCGGCGACGCCTGCATGCTGGCGGCCATTTCGCAATGCGGTTTTCCAAATGACCAGTTCCTCCGATCGTTGTGGAAGAAACAAGCCGAAGCCGAGGCCGACGCGCGAAGGTTATTGGGAGAGGGGGGGGAGGGTTGGTGGTCAGCAGTCAAGCGCAGGACATGGGGGCCGACAACCCTTTCGGGGAGGGAGGGAGCAGTTGGAAAGGAGGCCGACAACAAAAGATTAACCGCCGGCCGTTTGGAATCTCGCGATGGTCGAGATATGTGAATTCGGGGGAAAGGGGAGGGAATGCAGAAGTGGCCAGGAATCTAGCGCGCACGCGCGAGTCGAGCGTCAGGGCTTAGGTCATTAGCTCGCGGGGTTCGGAGGGCAGCGCTAACCTGAAAGTAGACCGGAGCTTCTACCCAGAAAACGATGGAAGATCTCCAGGGGATGGGGAGGCGTGGCAGAGGTCGGCACGATCGACTACCATGCCACTGGGGCTGCTGGAGTCCGGCGCAGTTTTCAGGAATCTGATGTGGAATGGGACCAGAAGCGCCGAGGGAGTAGGGAGTCGGAATCGTGGGCGGTGGCAGTAGTTTCCGCCACACACTTTCCCAGGCTCAGGCACAGACCGCGCAGAGGCGATGAATAATGGGGGGCTAGAGGAGGGGGCGATTTGCGCGAGGACCGAGCGGAGGAGAGATTTGGGGATCGAGGAAGTTGTGGGTTCAGGGAGAAAAAAAGCGAAATTGGGTCTCGTCCAACGGAAGTGACGTGTGCGGCCGTCAAGGGTTCCCGAGGGTTTTTTTGGGCAAAGGCGTGGGTCATCCGTGGTCCTGCAGTTCAGGCCTTTTGCGTCCTTCGTGCAAGGACGGATTGAAAAGGCGGGCGGCTGAGGTGGCACGGCCGAGAATATGAAAAAAAAGACGAGACGGAGGGAGAGAGAGAGAGAGAGAGAGGGGGGGGGAGGAGTGAAGCTGATGTTGAGAGGGGAAAAGACAGGAACTACTGATTTTGCCGACAGATCGTGAGTGACCGTGAGATGGATATACAGTCCCATCGGCGCCTACGATCCAATCCTGGCCATACATCGACTGATAACAGATGTCTGAAAACTGGCGATTCTGATGGACGGATGGATGCGTCTCGATGAATGCGGCCATCAGGGGAACGCGAACTACGGTGATCCCCGACAGACGATCTATCGACTTCGGCGCCTCGGAGCAGGAGGTAGCAAGGCGTACGGAGAACGGAGGACATGGACGATATGAGGATCTTGATGGGTGATGGATAATCAGACTTGTGGTGGGTCGGCCAATGCCATTCATGTTCTCTCGCATCTCGTTTTTGTTTTGTTTCGTCCCCTAGGATACTTGTTTTTGGTGCTGCATCAGCTTCGGGCGAGTTGGATTTAAGGTAGACTTTGGTCTAAGCGCCCGGCACGGCCGATCCAAGCATAAGCATGATGGTGGACCAGCGTCCCCGAGGGTCCTGGAGTTGCCGGTGAGGGCTGGTGCGGACTCGTGGTTGTACAAGAATACAATGGTGCAATGGCACGATCGGTACAATCTATATATAACTCCAGAAATCCAGAAATCCAGAATCGAAGAATCCGATCCGACGAGAACGATGGGTCGAGCGTCGGAAACGGTCCAGGCCAGATCACATGACCATCACATAAGCATAAACCTAAAGTGGTCACATAATCATGTCTAGTTCAACGTTTCTCTACTTTAATACTAGAACCTGGGGAGCAAGCTTAAACGAGTTTCCATCCACGATGACCAATAGATAGCCACCTTTACCCACCTTTGATCAAACAACTGATTGACCTGGCTACTCTGCACTGGCTAGGTCGATGAAAAATTCACCGGTACTTTTCTGGCAAGGGGGATTGGTGTGGTAGTCACAATGCTTGTCGTTCTCTCTCACTAGTGCGATCAGCTAGCGCCTGAGGCTGCCAAGACGGGCCCCGACAGCCAATCAAAATGTGAAACCGAGAGCTTGGACATCCATCTTTTCCTTCCTACTTCCCGAGTACAACAGGGATCAAAACGCAGCCCGGTCCTCTAGTCAATCCAGAAATCCTATCGTAGAGTATCCATGGCCTCCCAATCCGAATGGCCATCATAGTCCTGTTATGGCCCTCCTGTCATCTAGTGTGTGCATACAGCTATACATCATGTGCACTGGATGAGCCGACTGCATATGCATGCGCGCGCGGCTCCATCACGCCTCTAAATGTAGAGGCTTTACGGGTCTTTTGGCCTCTTTCCCTCCACTGTTGCTTTAAGTCTGGTACTTTCTGTTCAAGATCCCTTGAGCCCTTTTCTTTCCCAGAAGTCCGTGGTTTGGCCGAAAGTCCCTTTTTTTTTCTTTTTTCTTTTTTTCTCCCATTCTCCCATCCCATTACTCTTGGCTGTTCAGTTTTCAGATCGGAGTAAATAAGCAACAAAGAAATCCCCGAAACGAAATAAGAAAAACTCTCCGCAACGAAGAAAAACGCCAGGGAAACTATAGTCTGATCTTGCATCGCCACAGACCACGCGAGACAAGCTGAGGGGAACCGTCCATAGGCCATGGGCGAATTGGTCGTCTGGGACTTCGTCTGGGGATTTTTTATTCGTGACTTTGTGGTGCGCAAACAGTGGGAGAGCCCCCGTCCACCCCCTCTGAGCCTCCAAATCTCCCAACCTATTATCCCTGTCCAACCTCTTCTTCTTCACCTTCACCTTCTCTCTCCCCTTGTGAAGACACGTTCTTTAGCGCTCTGGGACGATGACGCCAGCTCTCCAAGCCCACCCCCGAGCCCCGCGATCCCGAGCGGCTTCGGATCATATTGAAAGTTCCAACTCTACTGCCAATCTATTTATTGGCGGGACTCGCCGGACGTGGATGCCATCTTCCTCGCAACTACAGACCGGGCCCCAGCTGGGCACGCGAGCTATGTGTCCTCCAAACTCAATCCGATCTGCCGGAAGAGATCCTTCTCAGGAACCGCGCCCGTTGCCCCCCACCGACACCACCGACACCACAGAATCCACAGAATCCACAGAACCCACAGAATCCACAGGACCCACACTCTCTACACCCGCATCGCATTCTTTGCAGCCTTCGCACCCTCACCAGCCCATACAACCTTCAGAACCTACAGGTCCTGTCTTGACCTCTCCCGAACTCCTCGATGAACCGATCCAAACCCCCGTTGCACCACAGCACCTTCTCCCAGTGACATCTACCAACAAGCCAGACCCACCAATCGCCGCCCTGCCATCACCCGTCCTAAGTACAGCTTCTCACCCAAGCCCGGTTCCTTTCCGCCGTCCACCCGTTCCTGTTCCCGTTGTGGCTACGGTGACGGCGACGGCATCCCCGGTCTCTAACGGTCCCATAACTGTATCCTCGCCAAAGAGCCATGAAAATAACGGCGGCCCCGGGGAACGGACGATTCAGCTGCCAACACCGATGACCCCGGGGCAATTCGTCCACACAAGTCCATTGATGACCACGGCGCACTCAAATCACCGCTCAAATGTATACACACCCGACAAAGCTGATAGGCAAAATCCGGGACCTGTGTCTGTGACTGCGGCGGGCCTTGCCCAACACCTGTCCCGCTCTTCCCCCCAGAGTGACAGTCCAATCGCGTCGGAGACCACATTGTTACCGGTCAATACCTCGATACCCGCCCAGGAGACCAGGAATGGTACGCACCCTCAGTTGTCTTCTCAGGAGGTGATCCCACAGCCAAGTAAAGAAACATGGGATGGATGGAAATCCCGACTGGACCAAATTCGAGCCCAAACAGAGAAATGGCCCCGAAACGGGATCCTGTTTCCTAGAATTTCCTTGCTGATGGATGCTTGTATTTGCCAAGATAGCGTCTACTTGGTGTTACACCAGCTCTACTGTCAAATGTCAGTGGATGAAGCGTCGCCGTCACCGGCACCGTTGTCTGGCATGTCGTTCTTCCAGGACGGCGATTGCCAGCGGGGACTTCGAATGTTACAAGTTCTACTGGAAAAAAACCAAATGCTATCGATAACCATATTGCAAATCTTTAGTCAGTTCCCTCAGCCCCTAGAGTCTTCTACGCAAGAGCCGTGGTACCAAGCGAAAGCGTATGAGGTGAAGCGTTGCCTTCGACGACTTGGAAGGGGCGTGTATATCACCAACGGGTTCCGCTCGGAGATCACACAGCGTGGCTTTCCACCGTTGGTACACGAACTGCAACAAGAGTATGAAGTGTCGTCGCCTGTGCTCCTGAGTGTGTATTTTGCCTCCATCTGTCGAGGTATATACGATCACAGCACATACCTGCCAAGATTGGTTCAATTGTTTCAGAGGAACCTATTCATATCGACGCAACCGGACCAACGAGAGCTGCAGAGGTTGGTAGAGGAATATCGAAAGATACCAATGCTGGCTCACGAGCCGCAACCGCATCCCTCGGCGGCCCCGAAGCCTCTGGGTCCACCTCAAGGCCCGAGCACCCACCCGGCAGTGCAGGCTCATATGTCCCTCTCTCTGTCGCCCACCGACGAACAACATGCCCTGGCAAGTCCCGTACGACATCCTCAAGGGGCCCGACCACCGGTTTCGAACCAGACCCTCAACGCCCCACCAAATATTTCTGTTAATCTCCAGACTACGCTGCCAGTGGCTCAGCATTTGGAACCTACTTCACAGCTACAGCAGCCCGCAGGGAAGCCGTTGCCACGGGGACATTGTGGCCAGAAGCCACAAGGGAACCAATTTATCTTTTATCAGCATTCACCCGAAGCACAGGCGCAGTCATCACCTGCACAATCTGTACCAGTGCAAGCCCCGACACATCCTCACCAGCCAATTTCTCCGCAATTTTCGCGACTTCAGGAACTTCCGAATGGACGCGTATACTTGGCCCACCCGAGTCAGGCCAGCCCGGGCCAACGGATTGAGATGACTTATCCATCCATGCAGTCTTCACCAACAGGCCCTACCCTTATGACAAGCCAAGTGGCACAGTTTCAGCAGGCATCTCAGCAATCGAGGCCCGCTGTTCCTCAGATCCCAAGCCTGTGGGCGGCAAACCAGGTGGCCCCACGATCCCGAAATAGACTGCCAGAAGAAGAACAAGCTTTGCGGGGACAACCGATCTCTGCACCACATGTTCAAGTTCTTCAAACCCAGAATGCCCACCCCTCTTTGGCTGGCACTCCGTTGCTTCCACCCTCTGGCTATAAAATGCCGCAAACTGTGCACCCAGTTCCAATGCGACTTGGCCTGCACCTGGCTGATCTTCGTGATCCATTCAAGAAGCTGATGAAACGATTGGATAATGGAACAATGGTGGATACTGAGTTGTACCAATATCTTGGTGGGCATATGTTGACCCCGACTTTTATTGATCCAGACACTTTCAGCTATAGCTGGAATTTTCGTCTGAATTCTCAGGACTGCCAGCGATTTCCACGATATGTAGAGACAGACAAAGGAAAACGTGCGGAGCGAACATATCAGGGAGGCTGTCGAGTACTCCGTTTGCGGTCCATCGCCTTAAATCCATCCGAGGAAGGCAATCAGCAGCGTCTGTGGCCAACCACAAACACTACCTGGCCTAGTGTGTTCTATGTGTTTGTCAACGATACTGAATTGTTCGTGCGCCGCAAAGTCTACAATGGAAAAGACCTTCCCCTGGATATCACCAATTATCTCCACGAGGGTGATAACAAAATCACAATACATCTTCTTCTTGGCCCTGGTGAGTGTCGCAAGTTTCATTACGTCTTCGGCATCGAAGTCATGGAAATTGCTTCGCTTGAGGATGTCCGTGCTCTGATGCACACCGTTCCCGCCAGCGAAACACGCAAGAATATCCAGAAACGACTTAATCCAACTATCGACGGCGATGATCTTGCTCTCGTCACGGACAGCATAAATGTCAGCATTCTCGACCCTTTCACAGCGCAGACATTTATCATTCCCGTGCGCTCCGCCCACTGTGATCACCTGGAGTGTTTCGACCTCGAGACCTTCCTCGAGACGCGCAAATCTAAATCGGGTCCGGCCCCGATGAACGAGAACTGGCGGTGCCCGATCTGCAATGCCGATGCTCGTCCTCAATCTCTCATTGAAGACCGTTTTTTCACTGAAATGCGTGACGAGCTTGTGAGTTCCGGTCGACTGGCTGGTGCATCAGCTATCCAGATCCGCGCCGATGGGTCTTGGTCACTCGCGGTTGTTAGGGACGAGTCTACTTGCAGCCCGACTCTGAGATCCTCCTCTACCTCCACAACAGGGAAACGCAAGGCGACAGAACCCCCTGATGACGTGCAGGTGTTGCCACGCAAGGCTACAGAGCCTTTCCCGGTGATCCGAACAACCGAGACGATTGTCATCGAGATTGACTAACAATCTGTTTCGAATCTCAATGCTCAAGAGAGAGTCTCAGATTTATATGGTGACCTGTGCGAACCTGCCTCGTCCCTCTTCTTCCTATGAAGGGGGAACTGGCTCATGTACCTCTCTCTTTGTGCTTGAAAATCCTTTGCTTCTTTTTTACACTGTGTGCATTGCGAATTTTAAGATACCCCCTTTCTCTTGTTGAATTAGCAGACTGGTCATGATATGTCTTTATGATGGGTGATTCTTTGTTTTGTTGTCTTATTTCTTGCTTGGTTCCCGCTGCTGCGCTCATACGTGTTGTGTGCAATATCTTACCACACCTGGATAGACACTTAAAGACACCAATGTCAGAAGATAATACCCTTTTATCGGTACCCCTGGCAGCCGTCTACTGCCTCAAACCATATTCAAAAATGTGCTTGTCTGATACCATCAGTGTTGGCTATCACCTGGGAAGTATGAAACTATACATTCGTAAACACGCTCTATAATCTCCATGTACTAACTACTACACAAGTGTACATGAGCTCAATTTGCCATGAGGTCTATGGTATACTTTGAGATTCTATATGTTTATCCACACTTGTTAACCTGGGCCCCCAACGAGGCCCCCGGACCCCCCGGACCAGATATAAAAGCCAAAAAAACGCACAAGCATGCTCATTTAGTGAAAAAATCCAACGGACCCCCTCCTCCACGGCTTTCGACATTAGATCGTACAAGATGGATATATTTAGGAACTCCTGCACTCCGGACCGCTCCTCTGGACCGCTCCTCTGGCGCACGCCGGGCAGGCTGGAGGACGAGATGGAGTCCATTCACTTGCGCACCCGCCGCACATGGCTGACCAGGTTCTCGATGACGCCCTCGAACGCCTCCTTCTCGCCGACCAGCCCGTCCCGTCGCTTGAGCCAGTACTCCAGCACCGCGCTTGCGCGTAGCGTGACCTGCTCCAGCTCGGTGACGTGCTGTTTCAGCTCGTCGTCGGTCAGACCGCTCAGGGCAGCGTCGGTGGTTGCGCACAGGCGCCGCACGGACGAGAGGTCGAGTTCCGGCGCTGGAGCTGTGCCCCGCCGACCCGTTTTCGAGCGAGCAGAGGCCTGGCCTGGCGGCAGAGAGTCGGGATGCGAGGCGTCGCCTTTAGGAGGTGGATTGCGGGTTGGGGTTTTGGAACCCGCGGCGTCGAGATCGATGGAGGGGAGGATGAGCTTGTTCTGTTTGGAGGCGGGGAGAATTTCGTCTAGGTCGACAGGGACGCCGAGTGAGACGAGGAAGAGCCGGCGGATGCGGGACTTGACCCAGTTCTGGGGTTGGAGGGGAGGTGGGGCGACGAGTTGGGACCAGAGAGAGAGGGAGCGCTCGGTGCTGAATATGGCGGAGGAGTCAGGAATGGATTCAACGGGAGGGAGGGAGTTGAGGTCGGTGGAGGAGGGGAGGAGAGTGTCGAGGGTGTCTTGGAGGGCGCTGAGGAGTTCGGAGGTGGATTTGAAGTTGTCGAAGTCTATAAGAGAGGGCTGCAGAGGGGCTATTTGTTAGTCTCTGAGGCAAGATAGGAGACTGGAGCTGGCTTTGCGAGGACTCACCACTGAGACTGGAGATGGAGGTTGCTGAGGAGTGATGCTTCTTTTGGGTTCGGGGTCAGTAACCTCGGGCTCTTGGAAGCCGTCGTCGAAGTCTCCGAAATCATCGTCGCCCATGTCATCTTGCTCCTCAACAAACTCGTCAAAGTCATCTCCAAAGCCTTGATCGTCTTGCTCAGCTTGGTCTCCACCCTCAAATGTATCGTTTTGTGGCGCAGGTTGTTGTAAAGTGTCGCTGGCACTGATAACGGAAGGGCTGTCTCGTATAGATTCCACTGAATCGGGTAATGCGTCACTTGGCGATCTTTGATGAGCACATGGTCGTGATGGTAGCTCTTCGTCAGCGGGAATTGTGTCCACACGCGAAAGACGCGTCTCAGGAATGGATTGATTTGACAAATTGCTGTCTGGGGACGCTCGATCCGCAGATGGTGATGGCAGGGGACTGTCTGAGTCGGAGGCTTTTGTTATTATATCAGGCACAGCATCTGCTTGGCGCTTCTCAAATGCTTCTGTTCCTGGTACCTCGCCATGGCTAGGCGAGGCTGGGTCTATCTTTTCGACTTGTGTCCGGGGAATTGGTGAGCCGCCAGGTGTGGAGGATCGGTCCTGCGACCCCGCCGGCGAAGAATCTCTACTGCGTGAGCCTTCTGGAACAAGCGCGATTTCATCAGGTACTGCATCTTGCTTCCGCTGCTGATATGCCACGGTACCTGGCACTTCGCCGTGCTGTGGGTCGTTGTCCACTCGCTCTACACGAGTTCGTGGGACAGGGGAAGCAGTGCGCACAGAGCGTGGGCTTGTTTGTCGATGAGCACGGCCTTCGCTGGCATCTGAAAAGTGGTCCTCGTCGCTATCGGATGCTATATTTGCAGGGTCACACAATTAAATCTGGCGGACTGTGACGTAGGGGTTTCTGGAAAAACATACCACTGTCCCCAGCTCCAGCATCCTCCCTCTCGGTGGTCTTGGTGGGAGGTTCCAGGTGTGTAGTCGGATCGGGCAGCGCCTCCGACATGGTTGCGGGGCAAATTAGAAAGTGAACATGAGAGAGAGGGAAGCGCGAGGTGAAAAAGGTGGAAAAAAACAGGTATGCAAGTCGTGTGTAGAGTGACGACGTTGTTACCTGCAATCGATTCGAGTCCAGAACAACGGTAGCCTCAGGCAGCAAAGGCTTGTATGCCTGGGGAATGTGGCGTCGACGAGTCCTTAACTTGCTCAAACTCCTGCCGATTTATTGTTACTCCATCCTTTTTTTCGAGCTCTTTGTCACTTCCCCCTCTCGGGCTTGAATCTTCCATACGCCCCAGAGATCGCATCGCCTCGTCGGATACGAGACCTACTTTGCAGGATTCACCGTCCTTGCATCGGTCGCCGGTCGTTTCGTTCTCTGCTTTTTCATCCAAGCTTGCCGGTCCGCCTGATCACAACAACACATCGCCATGACGTTCACCTTCGGCGCCCCGGCTTCCAGCGCTCCCTCGAGTGGAAGCCTTTTTGGAACATCTGGTAATGCATTTGGCTCCAACCAGAATGCCGCAAAGCCTGCATCTGGCGGTCTTTTTGGCAATGTAGGAGCTTCAGCTTCATCCACGAGCGGAACTGCTTCTCCCCTGTTTGGCGCGACCCCTGGAGCTGGTCAGAGCCCTTCCTTATTCGGTGGTGCTGGCAATGCTACTTCGTCATCAACCGCCACTCCTGGTTCCGGCTTTTCATTCGGTAGTCAGACTCAAAACGCCGGTGGTGCTTTGTTCGGCAGCGGTGCCTCGACCCCCAACAAGACCACAGAGTCGAATACACCTGCACAGACCGCTAGTAGCGGAGCATTTGGCGCTGGAAAGACGGGCGGAAGTCTATTTGGATCTGGCGCACCATCCACCACTCCTGCTCCGGCTGCAGGCTCTTTGTTTGGCAATACTTCAACTACGCCGGCTGGTCCCCCGCCGGGATCAAAGCCAGCCGCGGGCCTTTTTGGAGGGCTGAGTGCTGCTTCTTCCACTACCCCGGCGTCTGCTGCTGCGCCTACCTCAACTACTCCGACTACCGCGCAACCACAGACCTCAGGAGGTCTATTCGGGGCTGGTGCCCCGTCTACCGCTTCAAAGCCTTTGTTTGGAGGATCAGCGACCCCTGCGGCGCCTGCGGGCGGTCTCTTTGGAAATCCAGCAAAGCCAGCTGAAACAAGTACACCCGCTACAACCGCAGCCAGTGCTCCTAAGCCTCTGTTCGGAGCTGGCGCCCCGGCCATGGGCGGAGCGGCCCCCGCTCAAACACCTTCATTATTTAACAAGGCGCCTCCCGCCGGCGGTGATTCGTCCGCCCCCAAACCTACATTCCCTGCCCTCGGCGGAGCTCCTTCTACTACTCCAGCCAGCTCAGCAGCATCCACGGCTACTCCTCAAAAGTCACTTTTCCCTACTCTGGGGGGCGCTGCCACATCCTCAGCTGCCCCTTCATCTGCACCAACCACGGCTAGCGGCGGAAGCTCATTGTTTCCATCCCTTGGTGCTAATAGTTCAACCGCGACCTCTACTCCGGCGACAACAACTACGGCAGCTGCGCCAGCTACCACATCCGCCACCCAGCCTGCGAGTAGTGGTTTTTTTAAACCCTCTGGTGCCACACCTGCGGCTACCACTGCTTCGGCTCCTGCTGGCCAAACCACAGCGGCCACGATAGCTCCGGCAACAACCGCAACCGCTGCTGGTGGCGCTTCCACCCTCGGTCAATCGACGGCTGGCCCTGCACCCCCCGCTCAGTCCCGCCTGAAAAACAAGACTATGGATGAGATCATCACGAGATGGGCTACCGATTTAACTAAATATCAGAAGGATTTCCGCGAACAGGCAGAGAAGGTCGCTGAATGGGATCGAATGCTGGTGGAGAATAGCACCAAAGTTCAGAAGCTGTATGGTAGTACTGTCGATGCCGAGAGAGCAACGCAAGAGGTTGAACGCCAATTAGCCTCTGTGGAGGGTCAACAAGAGGAACTGAGCTCGTGGCTTGATCGCTATGAACGGGAGGTCGACGAAATGGTTACGAAGCAGGTGGGCCCTGGCGAGTCCCTTCAGGGACCGGATCAGGAACGTGAGAGAACGTAAGTGCGATCTTTATGTTTTTGCTCAGACTTGATTATGTGTATTAACAAATCTCTAGGTACAAACTGGCTGAAAAGCTGTCGGAGCGGCTGGATGAGATGGGCAAAGATCTTACCAGTATGATCGAAGAAGTAAATGGAGCTTCTGCGACCCTCAGCAAGACAAATCGGGCGGACGAGCCAGTAAGTAGACTTTCGATACCTTCTTCATCGAGAAAATGACAGATATGCTGACGAGCTGTACAGATCTCGCAAATCGTCCGCATTCTCAACTCGCACCTATCCCAGCTGCAAGTTATCGACCAAGGCACATCCGAACTGCAGTCCAAGGTTGCTGCCGCCCAAAAGGCCGGCCAGTCAATCTCTTCCCGTCTTGGATACGGCTATGCTAGTCCTGGCATGGGCGGAGGCAATGCCGCCGATGATTTCTATCGGTCCTACATGGGTAGACGTTAGACGGATGATTCGATGGGTGTGTTAATGATCTTTTTCTTCTTTCTCCTAATCGCGGGTTGTCGATTTCCAAGCATCTCAATGGGAAAACATTGTTATTCTAGTTAGATCTCTCCATGCGAGTTATCATGTATTACTTGTCTTGCTCCTCTTCGACGGCTTTGTTGTATATCTTCGGCTTGGGGTGTCTTGGCCAGGTTCTGCTTTGCCTGTGGAGGTTTTGAGGGCGCAATTGCAAAGAAAATTAAGATAGGAATGGTTGAATTACATGCTTTGTGCTCCTGAATTCTCTGAAACTTTTCTGGCCAACTCAATCTAAAGAGAAAACCGAAGATATTTTTGTGCGATTCTATACCGGGCGAGGTTCTGCTGGTGGAATGGCCAGCACCGATGAAACGGCTGCCTCTCGTTCTAATTGCTACCTGGGCAGCGCGAGCTAAGTTTGTTTTCCAAGCACAAGATCAAGATCATGATATTAATGTTTGAGGAGCCCTATAGATTATCTGTCAAGGCCGTTATGCATCCACAAGATCAATTTGGCGAAGCCAAGGCAGCCGTTTCGGGGAAGCAGCTTCCTTGTCCATGATCAAATATATTCGTCCAAAACATGATAAAGATAATTTTATGAATGACGATCACAATGGGATAACATTGATATTTTCCCTCAGGGGCGAAAAACACCCAGATTCACACGGGTTGAATAGATCGACAAATGGAGTAGATCTGCGGAAGGTACACCGTGTGCGGCTATCAGCGCCACCAGCTGCTACAAGTGGCTCATTAGGGCTTTCAGTAAGGCATGCATTAGGACAAGAATAAAATAGACGGCTGAGCCTCATTTTGCCTTCTCATTCATACCTTCCTAGGTCAAATAGCATCGTGAGAGACCTAGAGTCTGCTCAGTTGCTCAGCGACGGGGATCCTGATGAGGCCAGGCCCGATGAGTCAGCCATCTCCAGGTCCAATCGCTTACATCATCCCTCATGCCGGCCGCGGCAGGCACCTTCCCAGCTGCATCCTCCATCAAAGCTGCTATTCTCATAAGCAGCTTGCTGATTCAGTTCCCTGTGGCCTCTCACGCTCTCTATTTGGAATTGAATATCCTATACCCTCAACAGTTAGGCTGCCGCTTTCTGCGTATCACTGCAGACAAGCCTGTACACGACCTCAGCATCACGGCAACGACCGGACAGGTGGACCAGCCTTCTTTGTTGCATGGTTGGGTTCTAAAGCACCTCACCTGTTCCCGATCACTTTCACTGCAGACATGACAGGTTCCGATCGAACCCCGATCAAGCGCCGCTCTTCCACACAGCACTATCAGACCTTCGATACCCCGCCGCCCAAATCGCGTGGGCGACCTAATTCCGGACAATCGGAGTCCTCAGCCGATGCTTCGAACGATCATTACCATGGCGATACTGACAGTCCTGGTACACAATCTCCACTGCCAAAAAAGCAAATGGCAGTGCTCGCGATGATCGCCTTGGCTGAGCAAACTGCACTCAACTCTATTAGTCCTTATCTTCCTGATATGGCTTCGACCTTTCCCGAGGTGGAATCGAGTCAAGTGGGTGTATATGTGGGGACCATCGCGTCAGCATTTGCGCTGGCACAGTTTGCAACAAACTACTTCTGGGGGTGGCTGTCAGATCGAATTGGGCGCAAACCAGTGATCCTTCTCGGTACTTTCCTGACCGCTGTATGTTTTGTTGCATTCGGCTTCTGCAAGACCCTCTGGCAGGCTATTGCGGTGCAAGCATTGATGGGTGTGGTCAATGGTAACCAAGGACTGGTGTCTACCTGTCTGGGTGAAATTACCGACCGGACCAACCAGTCCCAGGCGTTTACCTACCTACCTGTTTTATACGGCATCGGAGGTATAACAGGTCCACTTCTCGGTGGTCTTCTGGTCTTCGAGCACAATCCATTCACTGGCAAGAAAAGCCGATACCCGTATCTGGCGCCAAATGTGCTCTCCGCTGTCATTCTTTTGGTGGACTTCGTTCTGACATTCATATTTCTGGAGGAAAGCTTGGAAGATGCCGACACACTTCCTAGGATCGGTCGAAAGGTTCGCAGTCTGTTCACGTGGCTATGGCAATTCACTGGTTTCTCAAGCCACCCGACATATGTCCGGCTTCCACAAGCAGTGCCGTATCCCCGTGGTGGTCGCAATCCTGTTGACGGTGAGGAGCATGACAGTGACCTGGATTCGGCTTCGGAAATCTCGAGCCAACCAGACAACCATGCTGAAGAGCTGACCTGGGATGAGATTTTCACACGGGATACAATCCTGCTCCTTCTGACCTATCTGATTTTTGCGTTTTGTAATGTCTCTTTCAACTCACTCTTTCCTATTTTTGCCCAGGCCAAACCCCCTGTCGGTCGTCATCTCACACCATCTGAGATTGGCTTATCTCAGGGATTTGCTGGGGCAGTCACTATTATCTTTCAGATCTGTATCTTTAACCGGCTGCGTGACAAAATGGGTAATAGATGGTCCTACCGTGCCGGTCTCTTTGGATTTGTGATCTCATTTCTCCTCATGCCCTTCGTTGGGTACAAGAGCAATGCAAAGGAAGGGCTTACTGCAAAATCGGCTCTTATGGCCGTGGAGCTATGCTTTGTGTTGCTTGTCAAGACCGTCGCTTCTGTCGGTGGGTTGACTAGTGCTTTGCTATTGGTGAGTCTCCCTTTCTTCACACTCCAAAACCAAGAGATTATACCCATAGCATTCGAACCTGACTTTATACCCAGGTGACCAATTCTGCCCCGAATCACGCTGTCCTAGGTGCTCTGAATGGACTGGCCCAGACACTTTCTGCTGCTGGACGCACCGTGGGTCCTTTCTTGTCAGGTGGTCTTTTCTCCTTGACATCCAAAATCCAGCCCAAGGGAGAAGCGATCGCTTTTGGTGTTTTTGGGGCTGTCTCTTTCATCGGCTTCCTTCTGAGCTTCGGTATCCGTGGCCGTTCTCTTGAGGCTGACGGCTGGGCTTCCGACAGCGACGATGCGAACTATAAGTCGGACGATGAGGAACCTAATGGTTCTTGATACCTCAACCAGTGACATGAGAAAATTTTGATACGATTTGATGATTCTATGCTTCCTTTGAGCCTTTTCCTTTTGCATTTGAAATATTCATTAACCAACTCCTCATTGACGGGACTGGAGAAGCATTCTTAGCTGAGCGTGTCGATTAAGTGGTGCCCCCCTCTTTTTTACTTCCTATTTTTCTTCATCCTGCGATCATAGACAGATTTCTTGTGGGCGGCTGTGGGTGGCTGTATCAAATCACTGTATAATCATTGCATGGAAAAGACTACTAGTAGTAGTAATCGTAGAAAATTAGTAGATCTTCCTTAATTAGACTGGGGTGAGAACATCACTACTATCGAATATATCGCTGCCGACGAATAGTAGACATAATCCTAGTTTATCTTCTTTCTTCAAAAGGAAACAGCGTTTTATAGACACTTACTTCAATAAAACAGAGAATCTATCACCAAAACTACTGTCAATATAGTAGGATACGGTATCGGCTAGGAAAGCTGAGATCCAATGGAACGAGATGCTCAATATAGTGATGTCTTAGATGACTTAACTATCTATGTGTGTAGACGGGGGAATGTTGAATATCCTTTGCCTCGCAGTCTAGCGTGTTACGGCGCTGTATTCCGAGTCGACCCGAGATACTATACAAAACATATAGGGAATCGAGTATCCCTGTAACAATCTAACGCACACGGGGAGAAGTGGGTCTTAGCGGTATTTTGAAGTGTCCTATCTCGATAACTACTTTTACAACATCATTAAACGGTTGAATAACCGATGAAATAGCATTTCAATAGATAGCTTCGATTATTTGTAGAATGAATATACGATCGTGTAAAATCTAGCGAAAAACGAAGCCCAGCATTCGACAGATGTAATTTCTATCTTACCTTCGATGCCTTATAACTCTGCGATGAGAACGACATCCTACTCGTAGGTTTCCTACCATATACATCTTATCTTTGCCAACCGCTTGATTGTGAACTATACCCAAGCTACAAGCAAAATTTCTGCTTAGTGGATAACGATTGTACGTATTATTATGTTATCGATAATCTTCCCACCTTAGACTACGAAGATTTTATGGCTCCAGAACTAAAATGACTATATTCAACATCTTCGCCATCACCACCAAAAGGAAAATTTCATTCTAGTATCGACCAATCGCTGCCTAGATCTATCCAGGATCTAGAGAAGAATCAAAGAAATAAAACCAGATATCAGTAAGAAGATCTTCCACCAAGGCAGTAACGTAATCTTAATCGATTATTTTATCATAGCAAGATTGTTATGGAGGACCTGAATATAGAAAACGATATAATTCGCAAGATTGAGGAAGTTTAACAACCACTACAACGCCCAATCGCTAGGCGTCAAGTTTAATTAACATTTTGGAAAACAGGGGGTATCTTCACCAGGGGTCCTGGTCGGTCGATTGTCAAGATAGCTGCTAAGGAAGCTGATACCGAGCGGAAGCGGGTCAGGAAGCAGTGGAAGAAAGCATATAGGAGGTCCCCACCACCAGATCATACACAGATTCAAGATATGACACTGGAAATAGCAGAGAAAGCTTATCAGGAAGCTGATATTTTTTATAGATTCGGTTGGCATGCGTTGATAGATAAGGGAGAAATGGCAAATTAGTGTGTGGTTGCTAATTAGTGTGGCGCACCCACAACCCAGAGGGAGGGGGGTTGGTGTAAGGCACTCATAGTTCTTAACCCAAAATGGAGTCTATGCATTATTACTGTGTTGAAAAGGGAGTTGGAATTCTAAACGAAACGTCAAAATTGCGGAAACTTGAGGAGCCAGAAAAATATGGTGCTTACAGCTCTAATAGAACATCGAGAATGTAATATTATGTGAAATTGGGCAGAGCTTTGCATTTCTAGAATGAATTTTACTTAAAATGATCACATAATATCAAGCGATGTAACCTTTATTTGGGAAAGGCAGAGAAATGACAAAGAGAAGATGAGAAAGAATTCATGGATTACTAGTATTCATGAGCTCTCAATTCAGGAACCAGAGAAAAGCAGAAAGGAAAGAGAGAATATCAATTTGTGACGAGACACTATCTTCATATCAGATCAGCGATGGTGTGAATTGCTATTATTACCAGACCTCGGGGTTGAACATTTCCAGCTGGGTGTTTGCATGGACGGCTAGCCAAAATATCTTCAAAAACCACGCCAGGGATTTTGGCACACTTGGCCTACCCAGATCCATCTGGTGGCTGAGGCGGAAAGCCGTGGCCCACCAGGATTCCTTCCCCAGGCCGAAGGAAAGGAAATGGAAAGACTTTAATTATTTTTTTAAAAAGAATATCAGTATGTGCAGTGCGAGTAAATCTTAAGAAATCAGAAAACAAGAAAAGACTCACGACCATTGATGATTGCGTCTATGATTTCTTCAGGGATAACCCTCCAATCGCTTAAGTTATCCACAAGACACAGAATTCCCGCCTGAGGAACATAGAAATTTCAGTTAGAATTATTGCTTGGAAAAAGACTGGGACGCAATGAAATCTGACCTTATGAGGTTGGGTCAGATCTTGAATGATTTGAAGGACTCCTCCGATCAAATTAAGTTCCATGTATGCACCGGACTCTCCAGAATTTTTGGTAGAATACCCCGAGACGGACACTTGTAAAGGAGTATCAGCCCCCTTCCCGAGAGCAGATGTGAGGATATGCGTCAGCTCATGAGCAATGATTATGATAAGTGCTGCCAATAATGCTCTGAAAGAGTAGCTGTTAGTATCTCTTTGTGCATTCAACAGCATGCGTTCAACCAGCTCCAAAGAATAATTAGCTTCGTAACAAAATCCTAGAGAATTGACTTAACTAACATCTCCGTTAAGATATATCTTCCCTCGTTGAAAATCATAAGGCCCCTGTTTCCTGTTGATCTTGCCTAGACTATCTTCCATACGACCAGTCTTGTCAATCACAAGTTCTGGGAAATTAGGTAGATTGACCTGCCCAAGAACCTGCAAAAGTTTGCCCAGAAATGCGTTGACCCAGTTCCAGGCTTCTTTTAGCCGATCTCGCTCGACTGCGCTCTTGAACTTCCTATCTTGTCCTTGTTTATAACGATCAAAGCGATAGGCTACGTCAGCAAGTACATCTCTAGTACGTTCATGATTGATAATTCCACATCCACGATTGGCTGCAAATGAAACATATTTATACTCAAGAGAGTCTACTGGATATGGTTCAAATGGTCCATGTTTTGTTTTGCGGCAAGTAATATGCCATCGAAGCTTGTTGTTACTTGCCATCTTGTTATGGCACGAAAAATTCGGAGCTCTCTCCTAGTTAGACTGCAATCTGGTTGTCGGATGGCGTCATTGAGAATGCACGTTGCTAAGATTTCTCAAGCCCTATCCGAGTTCACCACCGAATGTATTTAAGAAATAGTATCCCTGTCAAAGATAAAATGGCTAGTATCGACCCGTTTTCAATCCAAGTAGCGCCGTTCTTTGAGCCATACTCGAGGTGACCTAAGAGAGGTCTAAACCAATAGACTGTTTCTCTTGCCACTTGAAGCAGAAAATTTAGCATCAAACTCGACATGCGTCTATTTTGCGTGATTTATAATTGAATTTCTGTCAACGCTGAGATTAATGAGACTTCTAGAATGATACACGAGAGACAATATGGACAAATGAAGCATGGTGACAACGTCAAAGCGGGTTAATGACCATATAAAACAAAATCACATAGGATCCACGGTCTACATTAGATCATTCGAGAGAAAAAATGACACTAGATCATTAGACGAATAAAAATTACCTTAGACCGTTAGAGAGACAAAAAAAGAGTCAGAAGTACTAAAATTAAAAGGTGCGTAGGGTGGGCCTTCGTTTGGCAGAGGGAATCGGGGGTGTTCTGGACCGAGTTATAAGGCCGATGTTTAGAAGACCAACATAAATACTCCCAGGCGTGCTAAGAGGAGTCATGAATAATTTGAGAAATAGAGAAATAAAGATATAATCAGAAGATGCAGTTGGCCTAAAATTACATTTTACTCGGAAAACGAGTTATAAATAGCGCATTTACTAGGGTGTTTTGGGGTGCATCGCCCACTACTGTCACCCGTTAGTGAAATGCGTTATATAATGAAGGTGGCTTAACGTATTTCACTAGTCAGTGGCCCACACTAGTGAGTGGCCCGCCCCATCCGAAACGCGCTTCCCACGCGTCACCTACTATCTTCCACCACACACCATGCCACCAAAACGTTCTGAAAAACGTTCAAAATCACCAGGTAGGGAGGGGAGGATCCTACTAGCAATTGCGGCTAGTCAAAAAGATTCATCTCTATCTATTCGCCAAGCAGCAGCTATTTATAACGTGCCACGCTCTACACTTCGCCATCGAATCAACGGAATGCCAAATCGCGAGGATACACGATCACCACGTCTTAAAATGATATAAGAAGAAGAGGATTCGCTTTGCCAGTGGATACTATCGCTTGATACGCGTGGTGCTTCCCCTAGGCCTTCGCATATTAAAGATATAGCAAATCTTCTACTAGCAACGCGTGGTGATAAACAGCCTTCTTCTATTGGAACTAATTGGGTAACACGCTATATTCAACGTCGACCAGAGCTTTGCACACGATTCTCTAGGCGCTACGACTATCAACGTGCACAAAACGAAGATCCTACTAGCCTACGCGCGTGGTTTAGGCTAGTAGAGCGTACGATTAATGAAAACGGGATCCTTCCTAACGATATCTATAACTTTGATGAAACAGGCTTTGCAATAGGCTTGATATCTACTACTAGAATCGTTACACGGAAGGATCTATACGGTCGGAAGCCTCTACTACAACCTGGAAATCGGGAGTAGGTAACAGCAATTGAATCTATATCGGCAACCGGCTACTCGCTTCCGCCGTGTATAGTATTTAAAGGGAAGGTTTATATTGCTAGCTGGTTTGATAACCTTCCTAGCGACTGGCGATTCGAAATATCACCGAACGGTTGGACTACCGATGATATAGGCCTACGCTGGCTAGAAAAGCTCTTTATTCCAGCAACTACTAGTCGTACGCAAGGCAAATATCGCTTGTTAATATTAGACGGTCATGGAAGCTATCTAACACCACAATTCGACCAAATCTGCCAGCAAAATAACGTTATACCACTCTGTATGCCGCCGTATTCGTCACATCTTCTACAGCCGCTAGATATAGGATGTTTTGCTATCCTAAAGCGCTCATACGGTCGCTTAATCGAGGCCCAAGCTCGCCTAGGATATAACCATATCGACAAGCTCGACTTCCTAGAATCCTATACCCTAGCACGCCAGGAAGCCTTCCTACCTAGCACTATACAATCAAGCTTTGATAAGACTCGGTCGGCATCTAGTGGAACTAGGCCGGCGCTGGCGAAGCTTGATTGTATAGTGCTAGGTAGGAAGGCTTCCTGGCGTGCTAGGGTATAGGATTCTAGGAAGTCGAGCTTGTCGATATGGTTATATCCTAGGCGAGCTTGGGCCTCGATTAAGCGACCGTATGAGCGCTTTAGGATAGCAAAATATCCTATATCTAGCGGCTGTAGAAGATATAACGAATGCGTCGGTATACAGAGTGGTATAACGTTATTTTGCTGGCAGATTTAGTCGAATTATAGTGTTAGATAGCTTCTATGACCGTCTAATATTAATAACCGATATTTACCTTGCGTACGACTAGTAGTCGCTGGAATAAAGAGCTTTTCTAGCTAGCGTAGGCCTATATCGTCGGTAGTCTAACCGTGGTGATACTTCGATTCGCTAGTCTTTCGGTAGGTTATCAAACTAGCTAGTAATATAAACCTTCCCTTCGAATACTATACACAGCGGAAGCGAGTAGCCGGTTGCCGATATAGATTCAATTGCTGTTACCTACTCCCGATTTCTAGGTTGTAGTAGAGGCTTCCGACCGTATAGATCCTTCCGTGTAACGATTCTAGTAGTAGATATTAAGCCTATTGCAAAGCCTGTTTCATCAAAGTTATAGATATCGTTAGGAAGGATCCCGTTTTCATGAATCGTACGCTCTACTAGCCTAAACCACGCGCGTAGGCTAGTAGGATCTTCGTTTTGTACACGTTGATAGTCGTAGCGCCTAGAGAATCGTGTGCAAAGCTCTAGTCGACGTTTAATATAGCGTGTTACCTAGTTAACACCTATATTAGGAGGTAGGAGAGAAGGGAAGATATCACCACGCGCTACTAGTAGAAGATTTGCTATATCTTTAATATGCGAAGGCCTAGGGGAAGCACCACGCGTATCAAGCGATAGTATCCACTGGCAAAGCGAATCCTCTTCCTCTTGTGTCAGTTTATAACTAGTAGAGCGTAAATCAACAATCGAGGCTATCCCTGCGCGTCGTCGGCGAAGCGTTGCTTCTGGCACGCTATATATAGCTGCTGCTTTGCGAATTGATAGATTTGTGTCATTTTTGATAGCTTCAATTGCTAATAGAATTCGGCCTTCCTGTTCAACTGATTTTAAGCGCTTTTCAGAACGTTTTAGTGGCATGGTGTGTGGTGGAAGATAGTAGGTGGCGCGTGGGAAGCGCGTTTTAGATGGGGTGCGTCGCCGGCTAGTGTGCGTCACGGGATAGTGAAATACGTTATTGAATCTATCCTAATACTGGTCGGCCAAATGGCTGCCAGTGAAATACGATAAACGATCAATCAATCAATCAATCTGTAATTCTATTAAACCAATGCAGCCTAACTCGCAGCGTAATGGTTATGTAGGGGCTTCCTCCGGCGGAAGCAAGAGCTATCCCAACGCCAACCCAAGCAGATAGAACGCTTGATACAAAGGAAAATGGCCATATAAAATAAGTCCAGAAACAGACCAGAAACCCGTAATTTAACGTCCGCAAGTAGTCAGCGCCCTCGAATCCCCCTCAGTTCAACCGGCATCTCGGTTGCATGCAGCATACGGCACCACATTGTCATGCTGCTAGGTCCCTATCTCTTCGCTTTCCCGTCTTAGATCGCCTTATTCCAGCAAGCTAGCAGGAGATAAATCTCTTGCTTTGTTCGATTCCGTTCGCCAGTTGTATGATTGCATCTCGTTTCTCGGTAAGTATTGGAGATCTTGTTCCCCACACCCAGCGTCTTCACCACGCTGTCCCTGCCTTTATTCAGTTGCTGGGTGGGCCTAAATGATATCTGTGATATTTGGTAGATCAAGTTTTTAGCCTTGATATAGTACTTCACACTATTTTAATGTTGACCATTTCACTGTTGATTTGACAATGATATTTTCCGCCATCCGGGTGAAGGGGAATATTCTGAATATTGCAGAAATGCTTCGTCAACCTCGGGAGTTTGTCACCAATGCGGCTCATTCATGCGTGGGCAAAACCATAATATGACCAATTGTCGATTATTGGACTTGTTAATATTTCTCTAGAGGTCTGTCTTCTTTGTTCTTGCCAGCCAAATGCTTGCAGCGATGAAAAAAGGAGACAATCGATTGGCGCGACAGGAGCATTGTGTTGTAAATTGAGATGGTTCGTAATGCCCTCTACCATCCAAGGAAGAGTTTGTCCGACTTTGGTCCGACTTTGGTCAGAAGCAACGGAAGAAATCGTACACGACCACCGGGTAAATCGTGGATAAGTGTGAAAAAAATGCTCTAAGTAGTCCTGGGGACCTAGCTTGAAGCCTGAAGCCCGAAGCCTGAAGCCCGAAGCCTCGTAGCTGATAGACAAGCCATTACATCAATCAAGGTACAAGCAATCTCAAAAAGCTTTTCTATCTGTAAAATTTAATGTCAGGTATTTTATTATAGAATTTGAAACCTGCAAAACATACTAAACCAATTACATGTGTTTCCATGCTTTGTCTGGATAATTTCTAGATGCAAGACAAAGGTCTTGAGCGATGAGTAGTGGATACCGGAAAATAATACATTCATGGGTTGAAGTTGTGGACAAAAAACTTGCTGTAGTAGAGATTTGCGACACCTTGAATCAAAGCCATTGCTGGAAGACTCGTAAGTCGGCCATGAGGATGTCTGGCAAATCAATGTCTGGCGGAACAGCGTTTCGAATGGGTTCTTCAAGAGTGATCAGTTTGCATGTGAACCATTCCATTGATCTAGAAAACTCTCATCAAAGTGTCGATATAGATTCACTAGACAGCGGAACCCCAGAAGGTTTGGATTGGACAGGTCATCATCGAGTTTGGGGCTATGGAGGCTAATTCGGAGGGTGATAGGTCCATAACCTTGAATTACATGAGCTCTTTGGAATATTGTTAGACTTCACATGGAAATACAGGTACTTGACTAGAAAGCTAATCTTTGCGTACCTTTCCGAAACCAAAAGCAGCCAAAATAATTTACCGTCGAGTGACAAGTTCTCATCGTCTGATGGAGCTGAAGTCTGACTGTCAGGGACCCCAGAAGTAGAAAGAGTTTTAGCCTCTCTATGAAAGTAATATTCATTTCTTTGGTTTCTCAAGCCGATATGACATCCGTAAAGAAGAAAAGAGATGATAATACTCTGCTGAATTGGGGACGTGACTGGATCGAGATGCCTTCCAGCTTCAGTCGCCTCGTCAGCTAGCGCCTGTTTATACTGCGGTCGAGAACTGTCCTGACCGTGGCTGGCGGTATATTGCGTTGCACTAGCACAGTTGCCGGTCTGTGCGACTACAAACGCGCAGGACGCAGTGACCAGGCAGTAGGAATGAAGAGAATCTGGAGCGGAGTCCACCTGTTCCTGGAGCTTCTCGGGATGCAGAATCAGTACCCTCGCATACACGAAAAGAAGTACTCGGCACACGATTGCACCAGTGGCTTATTTATTAAACTCGGGCTTCTTGAAAACGGGCATGAAATGGTCGGCTTTGGCGACCGAGGATTTCTTGCTCTGACATAGATATTGGCAGACGGAGACAGTGGATGAGATGAGACGTGTGCAGCACTAGCTCCATCGGGATTATTTTCTGGTTGGTCAGCTCTTAGTTCACTCAGGATGTTGGGTGTTCTACCCTGCCGGCCCTTCCGTTGACGTTTTAACAACGAGCGGCACTAGGCCCGCCGAGTGACACTGACTGTAAGGGCGCGCTGTATCACATCGTACTTTCCTTCGCCAACAAGCATCACAGGCTTCTTTGATCATGGGTGTCTCCGGCATCTGGCCTCTGGCGGAAAAGAAAAGGTAGAACAGTCATAGCCACGGCAACGGAGAGAGAGCGGACCAAAGCCGAGCCAAGGTGGGAGGGCCGGCAAAGAAGTTTTGCTAAACTTGGTGCAAGGATACTCGATATTTACAATCTACGGCGCATCGTTGAACCCAAAGTTGATTAATCTTGAACCATTTGCAATTGATGGGTTGCAATCGTTGAAATAACTAGACAAGGCTCGATTTGCTCACGATTTGCTCAAGATTCGCCGACGGGGAGACTCGCCATAACGGAATTTCCCAGACTCTTCTTGAACATGGCTCCGTTTGGTTCAATCTTTGCGACAAGCATATGAATACTGGCAGAATCAACCAGATAACATATGCTGGGAGATAAATGCAACAGCCATTCTGTGCGCGCAGCTAGCTATCTTCTCTTTCCTGAAGACAAATGCTAGATTCTAGATTAGGTCGACTGCTTTGCTGTATTCTCTGCTATATATTCTTTCCATTCCTTCTGTGACTTGAAATGGTTTCGGCCATTGATTCTGTAGTCCACACCAGCATTCACTCGCCAACGATCCTGTGTTCCCTTTCTCTCCTGGCAACATCTCGGGATTGCTAGTACCTTCTTTCCAATAAAGTCAGTTGGGTCTACCGCAAACAAAAGCCCTTCGCTTGCGTAGGCCCCATTATCGTTCTCGATCTCAATAATATTGATCTGTAACACTTCCGGATTAGGATCATTAGGTGGAACAAAATGGTCAAATGTCACGCCATAATAATCAATCACTCTAATTAGATCAGTTAGTCGAGTATATATCTAGTTTTCCTCTAGTGATAAATTCAAAAGAGATATATCATAACTTACGGTTCTGGATACTTCTCGGACACCCAACCCAAGTACTCGTCGCGCACCACTAAGTCACCCGGAATATCTGGAAGAACATCGTGTCCGTAGACTGTCTGGTAAGTCAATCGAGCTAGCTCCGGACCTGCTTGCTGAGGGAACGGTTCGTTCCCAAATTCAGGACGCCAGACAGTATGAGGGAGAAGCTTTTCTATAGCGATTGTTGGGCCTTCGATTTGAATCCTGAGCGGCTTATCCGACGGTGGAAAATGGTAACATCTGGCCGGTGCGAAAATGCATGGAGGGATGAAAAGGGGGAGAGCCATCTGAATGAGTATGAACTTCGATTATATTGGTCTTTTTGCTGTGTCTGAAATTGGCCAGGGGCATGAAGAAGCCGCAAGAGATCTTTAGAGGATTGATTGAAAGTAAGTGTCATTTTACCACAAACCGATATTGGAAGGGCTGGGGGCAGTGTAAGGCACTAATAGCAGGTAACGTGGGGGCCATCGCCACATAACTTTATCTAATGGGTTGATATTCTGCTACTGTCCTTTGTTGGTTGAGGGGCGGCTGGAGCTCCAGCACTTACAGGCAAAGCGTGCTTTCTGGCGCTCTATGAATCCTTACTGCTTGGCTAAGGGATGTTGCTGATACAATCTTGATATCTTTGATCACTAGTAGGATTAATCTTTCCTACCTGGCGATCCTGAGTGTTTTCAGAGCTCTTTGGGGAAAGTATGGGGTAGAAGATGTGATGTGTGGAAACGCTTTTGGTGATGGGATGCTAATTTGATGGGGTGCATAGCTCGTTTGTGGAATACGTCAAGTGGTTCTTTTTCTTGTTGAGTCAACTGTTAATGCAGAGCCAACTAGTGTTGGGGAGAAACAGCCTGCAATAGACTGTTCCTGGTTGGGCGATGTTTTTCTAGTACACTGTCGTTACTGATGTAGTCACACATCTCAGATAGGAGAAATATGCAGTCTACACACTCTTTTACTAAACGGACTGGTTGCCTTTTCGGGAGGCTTTCCTCTGTGGTGTGTGGTAAGTTTTGTTGTTGGTTCGTAGGTCCTTCTCTTCCAGTCAGCATGCCAGACTTACCGCTGAACGACCTAATTCGCTAGTTATGTAGATAACAGGCCCACAATTGTTGATCTATAACTAGTGGACCTAGCAGACACTCCACCCGTATAGTTCTCTCTCGATTTGATCTAAATTTGATCAGCAAAGTCATTTCTAGCTGATTTCATCACAAACTATCTGACATTACGCTTCCTGGCTGGCTATCTATGCACTGGGTTGGATGACGAGATATTCGACTAGCCAACAGATGAGGTCACCGGCAAGGAATAATTATTATAGCGGCTATGTCCCTGCAGAAAATCCTTGGTTAGTGCACGAGACATCAGGGAACACACCACTAAATAGCTGGCGACCCCTGGTCATGTTGTGCCCATCGGTGTTTCATTGAATGTTATATTCCCGTAGTTGTTAGTAGATTGTCATGAAGTGGTGCCTTTCGCTTGCTTTATTGACTGTCTCTAACCAGCAACCATTTCCCATAACAAATAGGTTTCATCCATTATTAGGACGAAGAACGATTCATTACCATTACTTTCACCGCACCGGCATCTATTCACATTTAAGGCGCCCCCTTTCTAGTTATGTGGTGTTTGCCAACTCATTGATCTCCATCTATAAATCCGCTCTACAAAGCCTACCTACTTGCTTACTGGTTATAATTTGTCATTCAGGCCCCAGATCGATCAAGATAGAATGGTCTGCTAGATCCACTCATAGAAAATTTTCTAGTTTCGGGCCCATTACCCCGGCTCATTACCCATATGTTGGAAAATTGCGCGCGTTAGATGAAACCCTCAAAAATACAATGATTCTAAATCTAGGTCCAATGATCAAGGATGCCAACCAAACGAAGCAACAACCTGCCATGCTCGAACAGTATATAATCCTCTTCAGAGTACCCTCATCAGTTCCATTTCCAACTTCCATTTCAATTTCCAACCGAGTCTTCTGCTCTTTCATCAATCACTAAATTTTCTGCCCTTTTCTATTACCAGCCCTGTCAATCAAACGCTGTACGTCCATGATTCACCCATCTATTCTATTTGCCTCGATATAAACTTCACCGGACTACTAACCTTGATGCAGAACATGTGTACCGTATATACTGACTACTGGGAATGCGGCCATAAGCATGGGACACGTCATCATGCCTGTTCGCGCCGTGGTCGTTGTGGGCCCGCCGACTACAGGGATGGGTCTATAATTCCTGGCAACTGTGGTGCAAAAAGTTGTATGACCCCTCCCTCTGATAGATCTCGGCGTTCTCGCTACTGAGTCGATCTACCACCTCCCGATTGGGACATTCAAACCCTTTCATCAACTCAATTGCTTTGATAACTTCACTTTCATTCTGTCTTGAGACCACAGAGCTCTAAGATCAGCATTTGGAATGTTTCATCATATAATGACGAGGCGTTTTTCGATCTCTTTCCTGCCTGCCCTGTCGCCACACGAATTGCAACTTGGTATCCTTTTGCTGCAGTTTATGTACTGATCATATTTGTGGAATCGAATAGACTCAAGGATTGGACTTTTCCTACAGGATAGCTTATATATCTTTCCTCAGCCTTTAGATCCTATGAAGTTCATTCAGAAACCCACTTTTTAACAAACAAGGTCCTCTGTATTCTTCTATTATCTGTCCTATAATCCTGCGACTTGTCTCCTATTCCCTGATTGAAGCTTACTATATTATGCTCTCCAGTATTTCTAGGGATATTATCAATCTACTGAAGCGGAAGTACCGAGTTTTATCTCTACTGGTATAATTTCACTACTAATATGTATTACAAATAAAGGAATATTTTCTCTACTAACTGGTTTTTGTAAATTATCTATTTTCTCTCTAGTCATCACCTACTTACATTCTGATAAACTTTCAATAACTAGTACCCACACTGCTAGTAGAACCGTGACCCCGTGACCCGCGCACGCGCAACCACAACCCGGAAGGGTTGGGGGGCGGTTTAAGGCATTAATAGCTTCCGTCACACACCACGCCATCAAAACGCTCTGAAAACGCTCAAAATCGCCAGATATGGAGGTTAGGATACTAATCGCTATCAAAATTATTCAAAATTGCTCTTGTGAGTCTATACATACTATCGCAGCGCGTTATAATACACCACGTTCAACGCTACGCGATCGGGTTAATAGCAATATTTAGCCGATGGCAGAGCAAATTCCTTTCGATATATCACGAACGTCGCCCACGCTACACAGAGTCAATCAAGTTCGGCAAGGTTCATCATTGCGTCAGATTTAATTACTATCACAAGTTTCGTTCTCTAGAATTGCCAAGGTTGCCACTAACGGTCCCCCCAAAGGGGAGTTTCGGTTCTTTAATCTGTAAAGTAAATTTGTTCGCGATGTGATTTGAGGGAAGATATTTATCTTTGATCTTAGCCTAGGAAGTAGTCCTGTTAGAACATTTGCAGCTGGCGGAAAGGACCTAGGCATTAGATTTCAGGGCGTATGACAGAGTATCAATTATTTGAGCTACATGATTTCTGGCGGGTAAGGCTTTCCCGTCCCGGCCGCCGCCACCTTCGTTTCTGCATCAAGTTTATAGAGTTTTGAATTCACATAGCAGTTGGAAAGGACCAATCTAAAGAGTTAAATTATAGAAATTGTTTCATGCATAAAGACTCTCAAAGTCCATGAAGCAAAAAAAACCATCAGGGCCTCTATGGGTTGATGAATTCCTTCTCAATACATGATTTCCACTCCTCTATGAACCGCTCAACAAACTGATGCTCATAAAAGGCCTCATTATAGTTTTGAGAGATGTGTAACTCCCCATCACGAGTCCAAACGAAAGTAAGCAGGCCCTTCTTGATAGTTTGGACGTCGAGCCACCAGTTTTCAATTTCCAATGTGTACCTCGAGCCCTCGAACCGAGCCCGAAGATTATCATCGACGATTCCAAATGGACTAAACTGTAGGCGAGCCGATAAAGGATCTTGATTAGCAATCTCTATCGGCGGAGCTACCATACTTGCATATAACTGGGCAATTGAGGGCATGGAGCGAAAATGATCCCGAATGTCTTTAGCGAAATGAGATTGTAGAGCCTTGGAAATAGAAGCAAAATCCTTTTCATCATTCAGATTGAAGCCGTGTAGTCGGGCTGTATGGTATAGGCCCGCGGAACCCTCAGCACCATTCCAAGGGGCAGGAAGGTATTTCCGAACATTAAAGATATTGAAGTATATCATGCGACCGTCCAAAGGAGCTGAATTTTGTGAGGCTGTTAGTAACACAGCTGATTGCAATGCAGTTGAGACCGTCAGACCCCGCGTTTTGGCCCCAGAAACGATAAGCTGGGTCTCTTCTTTGGAGAATTTGCGGCTAGTACGGTATGTTTCTCCTGGGATTATATCGGATTTTGCTTCCTTGAATGATGCAATCTGAGGGCCATTGAGAGCGAAGGACAGAACATCCTGGGTTGCCTGCTTCACATCTTCTGTGACCTCGAAGTTTGGAGCAAGCAGCTCATCCATGGTAGGCGCGATGCGGGATATTTCAGATCCATCAAAGACAACCTCTTGAGGGCTCGCGGATAAAATTGACAGGTAAGCATCTTGGATCAGCATTATGCCTATCGCATCTGTCCGCCAATGTGACGCGCGAAATAGGAGCTCTCGCGATGCGGGTACATAGTGAAGTTTGAAAAGAGACGTTGGAGGTAAAACGCGTTGCAGCTTACTAGCATCCAGATCACCTTCCGAATGCACAATGAACGTCTTCTGTAGCCACTGCTCCAAGGCTTCAGAGGTCGGAACTGTGTACTGCAAGTTCTCCCTTTTCTCGTCGGCAACTGCTGCGATACGAGGATGCAAGTGCCGGAGGGCTATCCAGGCGCCTCTCAAGTCAACGATTTCAGGTTTGATACTGAGCTTGACGACGCTGCCGACAATCCAGTCCTCCTTTGAGGAAGCTGCCCCAGTTGAAGCAACAGTCAGATGGAATTTTTCGAGCGTGTCGAAGGGCCGCTCATATACGCCCGTTCTCGTTTCCTCGAGAGCCATTTTGTCGTCTTGCAATTGGAAATCTTGAAAGATTATGTGACTGGGTATGAAGAAGAGTGTTCACTTAAAGATCTATTAGCGCCAAGGGAATTGCGATCAAGGCGGCAAATTATACCGTGCATTAGGTTTATATAATAGGTATCAGTGCGGCTGATAGAATAGACACGCTTGGCCATGGGCCAACTTCGCCCCAATATGGCCCATTGGTTGCCTTTTTCGGAAGCACGACGAAATTGGCCCCCATTCCCAAGTTCAGCTCTACGGTTCACTGGCGGGAGGATGGGGGCGGATTGCGTACTATCAACGTGAAGTGTTGGAGTCCCGCAGGTACAGTCCATGTTTCAAACAGATTCACGCTTTGGGCCACGATCTAAAGATCCCTAGGGATCCATCCACAATCTCCACTTATAGCTCAAAATCCCTCTTGTAATCAGGATTTCATCCTCATTGCATCTAGGCATGACATGCGTTCTCGGCCCTTCTGCAGTTTTAAAAAGGAACGAAAAGAAAGGACGGACTTGCACAAGGTTAAATCGTAGGCTTACTTATAATTTTTTCGAAAGTATCGAGCAATCAAAGAGCCGCCTCATTCGTTATATCTCAGTGCATCATGTCGATGTCACAAACAAGCATTTTCGCCCCGGTTACAAGTTCTATTGGAAAATGATAATTTCGCTAGTTGTTTCACATTTTGCGCGTCATGCCGTTTTCCCAAGTGCGCGTGCGCTACTCTTTATCGCCTGTTTCTATGCCTGAAAATGATAACTAGATGTTTTTCGTATTATTCAGCTCCGATGTGTCCGTGGGCCATGCATTTTACTAGCTGAGGGAGGGGAGAAAATTAGCGTCTGGCTTTGCAGAATTGGCACAAAAACCTCGCACAAAACTCTAAATCTGCAAAAGATTGGTTTTGTTCTTTCCCTCTTCTGGAAAGAAAGGGTGTTTATGTAGAGGTGGGTCAAGGCCCGTGGAATGCCGCTAAAAGTTAGCATGTAGATGGCCAAGAATTTTGCCCGGAATGGAAGGAAGTGCGATCTCCATGTATATATCAATTGGATCAAGTTACTAGGAAATATCATGCTTTAATCGGATTTGGGGATAATTTTCAGCGGCTTTATAAACACAAATATAGGAGAGTTCTCTCCCACCCAGGCTCTAATCGGCTGTGCTTTGAACTGGTCTCCGAAAGCTCGAATATCTTCTCTTCATGTGCACCATGGGGGTCTTTGATGACAGAACAATTCCCACACCCAACAGCCTTCCCAATGTTCGAGCAGATGCTCAGCGCGTTTTTGAGGTCCTCCAATCCGGCGGAGTGGTTATCCTACCGACCGAAGTCGGATATGGATTTATGGCCACCTCAACAGAAGCTATCGACCGAGCTTTTGCCGCGAAGCGACGTCGACCAGGCCACTCCCAGGGTCTTTACGGGACGCATGAGTTACATCAAAAACTTCACGTATTAGATGACCGGCGGTTTGAAATGACACGCGTGCTAGTCGAAGATCTGGATATGAGCCTCATGGCCGTTGCGCCCTGCAATCAAGACCATCATCTCCTCCAAGCGTTATCCCCAGAAACTAGGTCTAAGGTCATAAAAGACGACACTATTGCGATGTTCATCAGTACAAGCTCGCTAATCAGAGAGGTCTGCCGTTTGAATGCTACTTCGGGCCAACTCATGGTTGGGTCCAGCGCGAACGTGTCAGGCGGTGGGCAGAAGTTCCGTGTCGAGGACATTGAGGATGAAGTCAAGGAAGCAGCGGATTTGATTGTCGACTACGGCCTGCAGCGATATCATATATATGGACGGGCCTCACTCATTATGGATTTCGGCCAGATGAAGGTTTTACGAATGGGTTCGTGTTATGAACTATTCCGCGAGCGTATGCGGAAATTTTGGGGGTGGAGTTGCCCAAAGACCCTGATTACAACACTGATCGTGACTGAAATCGCTGTTGAAGATTGACTACCGACTCCCTGTCTGACGAAATTGCTCCAAATATTTGCAATCGTTCGGTATGATGCTTAGTCTTTCATAACTTCATCGGTTGATGTAATATCAATTGTACCACCGAAATTATAACTTTGATATTTTGCTGAAGCCAAGTTGCCGACAGGGGTTCAGGAAATTCATGAGTTTGCTATTTAATATTTGATGTCTGAAAGAGACACAAGAGGCACCACTTTTCATTCCAATCTTCAATGACCAAAAAAAAAGTTAACGCATAGACATCATCAACCATTCGTAAGAGTCTACTCCGCATAGATCCGCTGCTCGGATATCAGGGTGACGTTCCCGCTGTCCGTCATGTTGACGTTTCGCTCAACTAGAACTCCAGAATGCGATTTAAATGACGCTACTGCCGTATTTCACTTCTGCTACGTTAGTGTCAGTCCGACAACACGAGGATAATTTTACAAATTCATTCTTGTTTCTCACCGATTTTGGAAAATGGCTTCGAAGGTAGTGGGCGGCCTACACAAAGCACAGGAGGCAGTACAGCGAGCCAGCTCGAAAGAAAAGAAGATAGTGGATCTAGAGAATGACACAGCAAATATCAACTCCAAGCAGCCTCTGACTACTGACCATGGCGTTCGGGTCGAAAATACAGACCAGTGGTTGCGAGTGGTTGACGACAAACATACAGGTCCATCTTTACTAGAGGATCAGCTAGCACGGGAAAAGGTATTGTACAATCAAAACCTCGAAATCCAAAGAATATTTCATGTTGAATCTTTGACAGATCACCCGATTCGATCATGAACGTATTCCCGAAAGGGTGGTTCATGCCCGGGGCACTGGAGCCTTCGGCAATTTCAAGCTGCACAAGAGCATCGAGCAGCTCTCGTGCGCGAATGTCCTCACAGACACTACCAGAAACACACCGGTATTTGTGCGTTTCTCAACAGTACAGGGAAGCAGAGGAAGCGCAGATACAGTCAGGGATGTTCGGGGATTTGCTGTTAAGTTCTACACGGACGAAGGGATCTGGGATCTTGTGGGAAATAATATTCCCGTTTTTTTTATCCAGGATGCTGTGAAATTTCCAGACTTTGGTACGTGTATAGCCCTGCCCTGCTATGCTTCGATCTGAAATAAGCTCTGATCTCGGCCTCAGTTCATGCGGTGAAGCCGGAACCTCACAACGAAGTGCCCCAGGGTCAATCTGCCCATAATAATTTCTGGGACTTTGTCTATCTGCATTCTGAGGCCACGCATATGGTAATGTGGGCAATGTCGGACCGGGCGATTCCACGATCCTTCCGAATGATGCAAGGCTTCGGAGTCAACACATTTGTTCTCGTCAACAAAGCCGGTAAACGGCACTTTGTTAAATTTCACTGGATACCACATCTTGGTGTGCATTCTCTGGTTTGGGACGAGAGTCTTAAAATAGCCGGACAGGATCCCGATTTTCATCGCAAAGATCTGATGGAAGCTATCAACAACAAAATCTACCCGAAATGGGACTTTGCAATCCAAGTGATTCCAGAGGAACAGCAAGACGCGTTCGACTTTGACGTTCTCGACGCAACCAAAATTTGGCCAGAGGACCTTGTTCCTCTGCAGGTCATCGGCGAGATGGAACTCAACCGGAACGTCGATGAATTCTTCCCCCAAACGGAACAAGTAGCATTCTGCACGAGCCATATAGTCCCCGGAATCGACTTCTCCGACGATCCACTTTTGCAAGGCCGGAACTTTTCCTACTTCGACACGCAGATCAGCCGCCTTGGGCCAAATTGGGAGGAGCTGCCAATCAATAGGCCCGTGTGTCCAGTACTCAACCACAATCGCGATGGGAAAATGCGACACCGTATCACGCAGGGCACAGTGAACTACTGGCCAAATCGGTTCGAGAACTGCCCCCCGACGAATGCAACCGGTGACGGCGGAGGGTTCCAAACCTATCCGGAGACTGTCCGAGGCACGAAACGGCGTGCTCTGAGCGCTAAGTTCGGCGACCATATAAGCCAGGCACAGCTCTTCTATAACTCGCTTGCCGATCACGAGAAATTGCACGTGCGCAAGGCACTTGGGTTCGAATTAGACCATTGCGATGACCCTATGGTATACACGCGTGTTGCCGGCCACCAGCTCGCAGAAATCGATCTGGCACTGGCACAGGCAGTCGCCGAGCTCGTAGGCGCCCCGGTGCCAGAGCGTGCGTTGAGCACGAATATTGGAAAACAGGCGCCTCGGCTTTCGCAGACTGAGTTCATGCCCATCAGGCCGACTATAGCAAGCCGACATGTGGCGATTCTCATCGGCGATGGGTTCGACGCTGTGGCTTACGCCGGTTTGGTGGCTGCCGTGAAGGCTGCCAAGGGCCTGCCGGTCATTGTTGGCACGAGACGAAATCGCATCTATGCAGACGGAGAGATGCCAAGTGGAAAAGGAACGGGAGGTGGCATTATTCCAGACCATCAGTTCGACGGAGTACGATCGACATTGTTCGATGCTACCTTCGTCCCTGGCGGTCCACACATCAAAGAACTGGCCCAGAACAGCCAGGTTGAACACTGGATTGCAGAGTCCTTTGGACATCTAAAAGCTTTAGGAGCCACTGGGGAAGCCGTCGAGCTTGTCAAAAACTCTCTCGAGGCTGTCAAAGAGTTACAGGTTGCGTCATCATCGGAACCGGTGGAGTGGTATGGCGTTGTCACTGCTGGGGGTATACAGAAGCCCGAGAGCTTCAAGGAAACGGCTAATATCGTTCGAGAGGCGAAGGACTTCGTTGGAATGTTTTTTTTCCAGATTGCGCAACATCGAAATTATCAACGGGAGTTGGCCGGGCTGGCATCAGCCGTGGCATTTTAGCATAAAACGCTTTTAGGTTACTGCAATTCAATGGGGTTTATTTCTGAATTATGTTTTAGAAAAATAAATTGACTGTTGCTTATTCATGAGGCGAGTTCCGCACATAGGTCATGAAATACAGAATACATACGTCTGTCAAGCTGAGACAGACCATATTTGATCTTTCCAGAAATAGCTTACAGTCGATATATTAAGAATAGGAGAGATAAAGGTCCGAGGTTCTCGAAGCAATTGTTGTATTCTTGATCAAAATCAGAAGATCTATCAAACAAAGAAGCCTTTTTTTTAGGACAACGAGCTCAAATGAACAGTCTGTACAAGTGGAAGACGAGGGTATATAGGTCAAGGAGCGTGATGAAATGGTTTCGTGAAGGGCAAAAGAAACCCCCAAAAAGGCAAACGCAAAACAATATCCAAATCCAATATGCATATGTGTATGGAAACATGCCAGAAGAAAACGTTCGAATATGTCATGAATCGCTCAATTAGTGGAAATGATGGGAAAAGGAGAAACAAATACAAGAGACTGATCGAAATGGTGCTTAGGCCCAGCGCCAACCGGAGTCCTGGGAGCCTTTGCGCTTCATGACGGACCGGAGCAAACTGTCTTTGCCGCGGGGTGCGAATGGGTTGCGCTCAGTTTTTCGGCGCTGTTGTTGGAGGAGCTCCACAGCGGCGTCCACGTCAATGCCCTCTCCAGTATCTGTGATCTTCAGGGCCCATTTGACGTCGTCTGCGTTGAACCCGAGTTCGTGTACCATTTTGTTGATGGCCCGGTCGACTGGGTCTTGTACCTGGGGGCGAAAATTGGGAGGTGCCAGCGCAGATTGGGGCGGTGGGCTGCGCGTGAATGGAATGAAGGATTCGGGATATTGTAAAGGAGGAGGAGTGCGATTCGGAGTGCGAGGACTAGCGTACACGGTCGAGGCGGATGTAGGGTCATATGTCAGAGCGGGAACGGAGGGAACGGGTGGAACGGGTGGAACGGGTGGAACGGGTGGGACCGGCGTCGCGTTTCGTGTGAGAGTGCCATCTAGATTGTGGAGGATGGTGCTAAACTCAGACATGGGCCGTTCGTCGGCGAAGGTGGTTTTCAACTTGCGAATATCCCCAGAGCGCATGCGGCGGATGCGCAGTTCATCTTGGAACTGTTTTCTGCGCTCGCTGGTTTCCACGCTCGATTTGGATCGGTCGCGCCGGCTCCCGTTGGATGCCAGGACAACTCGCTCTCTAGCTTCGTAGACGCGCGCAATGGCCTCCTTGAAGAATGACGATCGACTGGTCCCTGTTTCGGTCAGCTCCCACCTGGTCAGTCCGGCTGACTTGGCCCTGCTGAAGGTCGCGGCTGTAGCCTCGGCGGGGCAAAGGGAGCTGAGAGTCAAGACGGCTGAGAGGCCAAGGCTAAGAATCCATGAAGTCCACTCCTCTGAAAAGATCGTTAGTAAACAGTTCTTGGACATCGAAATTTTCAAAGTCGCTCACCGAGCACGGCCTCTTCGCGCCCCGAGTCGCCTTCCTGGACATTCATTCCATCATAAATACCCACCTTTCGAGCCTCCCTGCACTGTCCGTGCAATGGCTGCAACAGCACTCCCAGGCAGGTCCAAATCTCAGTCATATCGTACAGTTGCTTCGGGGAAAGTCCCTGGGAGCCGTTTCCACGGGCGAACCCCTCCGGAGGTTCGAACAAAACATCGGTGATGCCAAAGGGGTGGCACATGGTGGAGGAAGCCGTATTCAAGCTCCTCGCCTTGGAACCACCCTTCAACCAATCGATCTGACCCTCCAGATCATTTTCGCGACCCTTCCCGCTGCCGAAAATGCGACAGAAAGTCCAGACACGCCAGAAAGCAGCGTCAACTTCCTCAGCGCGAGTAATATCCACGCCAGAAAGACCTTTAACCGTGTCACGGCGTAAAAACGGAGTACACCGAATCAGGATCATTGATTTGAGCTGCGCCAGGGTGTAAATGTCCCGGGCGTACCGGTCGAGGTACAACGTCGGGGTATATTCCGGGACCTGCGCATCCGGCTGGAGGAGCGGCAGCCAGTCGATGTCCCATGGCGGGCTCATCTCGCGCAGTTCCCATGCAGGTGGAGACATTTTGAAGAGGGTGTTTTTCATCAGGGGTAGCTCGCGCCGCTTGAAGATGCGATAGAAGCGTTTATTGACCAGGACAAAATTAAAGAGGTCATCCAGTGAGCCAATCCGCTCCATGATCAACATGATCAAATGATCCCCCATCTCGATGGGGAAATCCAGATTGGTATAGACATAGTTGGCTGGGAACTCGGTCGCGGTCGGCGACGCGGGCGTGGCGGCGAGCTCATAGATCTGCTCGGGCGGCAGCTGGACGCTGCTGGCGCGGGCGGTCGAAATGAGCGAGAGGCGTTTTTTGGCACACGAGACGAAGATTTTCTCGTCACTTGGAGGCGTGATGCGCAGCGCCATGCTGGACTCTTTGGCATTACTGCCCCCCGAGTCTGCGGGGTGGTCAGAGTATTTTGGAGATTGTGGTAGCGTGGGGCGGGTGGCGACGGATCCCGCGGCGACTCCCGTCTGGTCCTGAGTGTCCGAGAGCGTGCAGAACTGGTCTGGTTTGACGGTTAGATCATGGGTTTGAAGACGAGGAAGTTGCAGCAGCAGTTCCCGCTTGGAGACCGCCCAATCGAGGTCCCAGTCCAGCGTAGGATCGGAGTGTGACGACGACACGCGCGGCAGGCCGACGGGCAGCTCGTTGGACGTCGGTGGGTCCAACGAGGTTTCTGACCACGAACTCGTCACATCCGCACGGGTCTCCACTCGGCCAGCGCCTGAAGGACTTGCAGGCCGTGCAGGACCTAAAGGACCTGAAGGACCTGAGGGACCTGACGGACCTGACGGACCTGAGCCCCGCTTGAATGGAGTCGCCAACAACGGCCTTGTTGCCTGCTTGACTGCGGCCCCCTCTTCCCGGAATTGGCGCTTGGTCCCTTTGGTTGTCTGGGTCCGTTTGAGCATACTCGGTCGCGCAGACTTCTCAGGCTCTCCGTATGTCGACATCCCCGGGTAACCGATTGTGTCGGTCTTGCTGTTCTTGTCCTTGATTAATGATCGCGATCGAGAGCTGCGCACCCCTGGTAGGTGCTGTAATTGGGAGTGCGGCGTGGTGGATGGGAGGGGCGGCGCCGGGCGCGTAGCCACCAAATCACCGTGATGCCGACTGTTCTGGACGGGCCCGTCGCGAACCAGCAGCGCTTGTTGCTTCATGGTCGGTTCGCGGGTGAGGTCCGCCAACGTATATTCAAGTTCCTCTGCAGCCTGCGATAAAGTAGGCAGCGGGCGAGGATGCGGATGAGAGTGCGGTGGTTGACTCTTTATCTCGACGACCCATTCTGGACGACGGCCCCCTGGAGGCTGTGATGGCGCCTCGCCCCCACACTCCTGGCACTTTGGGTCGGATGGGCTTTGAGACATGAGCGCTCTCTGCAAATCGGCCCGGCAACCAGAAGTATGGCGCAAGGTTGAATCCTTTGCGGCATGGAGGAAGTTATAGCGACGGATCTCCAAGGGACTGGGCTCCGTGACGGGTTCGAGTGGGAGGGGTTTATTCTTGAGCTCACTCAATGATCCTTTGGTCGCCAACCATTTTGGTCGTCTGGGTTGGATCCACGCAGGCACCTGCAGCAGAGGAGACCGGGATGCCACTGGTGACGCTCGCGATGGACAGGAAGATAAGACATCATCGAAGACGCCCGCGGCCCCCGGTGACGGGATCGAATAGGCGTCGACCTCCGCATACGGAGGTCGCTCCTCACTCCAGGTCCATTCAGTGTCTACGCTCGTGATCGAGGTGCGACGACTGTAACACGACGACACACAGTCGAACATCTCCTCAAGCCCAGAGCTAGGTGAGGAGTGCGTCGTCGGCACCGGGCCGTTATCAATCCTGCTCGCATTGTTCCCAGCATCCACCGAATGTTGATATAGATTTTGTACCCGCTTCTCGAGCTCACTCTCAAAGATCGAGCAACTGGACGGGGGGTTCTCCGGCCCTCTGCAACTGAGGATCCAATCGAGAAATTCGTAGATAGTTCGGGGAAGAATCGCCGCAGCGCAGAACCGGAGCGGGTTGGAGGCCGATCGTCGGATAATGGCGAGATATCAGACTCCTCGTCGGAGTCATATGGGGTGTCGAGATAGATGATCGTCTGCAATGACTCTTGTGGGGACACCGACCGAGTCGATTCACGGAACTCTAGTGAGCTCCTGACGAGATCCATATTGGACGAGTCCTTATCCTTAGTATGTTTATCTGATGCTCCAGATGGTTTGGGAAGAGTCCAGGATACTGTGGGTTCACTTGCAGTCTGCAGCGACGACGCAGCCCCAAATGGCTTCATCCACGTTGGGTCCTTTTGCAGGTCTTTATGCCTCCTGGGTTCGGCAATACTGGTCGCACGCACACCTGTATGCACAGGATGAGTTGCATATATCTCGTCGCTCTTGATACGAGGCTGGAAAAAACCATCCTTCAACTTGCGTGGGGAGGAGATATGATGGCCCTTTTTGTGCTTGTACCTCTTCTGATTCGTAGAACTCCGGCGTGCTCGAATGAGCGGGAAAGTGCGAGGCGAGACCATCGGGAATTCTTTTGCTTTGGCCTACGTTTTAGTGACCAGGCATTGTTCGACCAAGTCTTTGTCTGGATCTAGTTTTAGTCTGTTGGGATCTCTTTCACAAGGGCAGACATGGCCATCGAGACTATAGCTCGGGTCCGTACTATTGGACGTACCACAGAATCGACGACTCGGCTGACTCCTGCGGAGTCTCGGGGAGGCTGCTTGCGACGTTGACAGGGGGTGAATATTCCTTGTCTTCCACTTGCGGTGGCGACGTCTGCTGCAGAGACAAAGAGGAGCCGTGGCCGGGATGCAGTCGCGGCACCCTTCGATGCTGCCAGCAAGATAGAATGGCAGTGACCGTCAACCAATCCACAGGCAAAATGGGAGAGGTACTCAAGACGGAAGATTAGATTGAGAGTGTTGAAAGCCGTAGAGTATCTAGAAGAGGAGTGTTATAGGATCGACTTCGCAAGAAGCTGGAGACGCCCTTGCTGGATGGGACGACTACTTAAAGAGGTCTCAGTGTTTCCCATCTGCGAAGATTTCCTTTCTGCGACTACTGGGCCTTCTCGGCCTGTTGGGAACAAAATAAGCAATAGGTCATGATGAATATCTAAATCCGTCAAGATGTACTACATCGTGTACGGGTGGATCGCCCACGCTGCAGGCCTCCACCATGCGACCTTGCCCAGTTTGTACAGTGTCCTAAGTGAACGTGCTATTTCTATATTACGGACACGAGAATGGGAGCTAAGGTAGAAGTGCAAACCGGAAATGGAATTGGAAACGGGCAGCCAGAGAGCGGTTGAGTCTATACACGGAGCAAGAACGCCAAGAACCCGGTTCTACGGGGCGTCAAGCCCCAAATGCCACATCCAGCCATTCAGAGCGGTGCCCTAGCACAAATAACCTAGATTGAGAAGAACTAGGTCCTCAAAATCTCTACAAACTGGAAATCCACCCGCATCGAGCCACTGTACGGGCCATATCCATAGATATTATTCAACCAGGCCCGTATTTTGGGCCTCGTACTTGCCTCGTACTCCGAAGCCTCTTCTTCCCACATTCGACGATCGGCGCCCGGTCTCGTCCCGGATGATCGGCAAACACGAACACTGAGGAAACGCAAACCCCAAAAATAACCAGGCGAACACGAGCCACCCGCCACGCGGAAGAAGGCTTGTCAGTTGATCCTGTCCTGGGCACGATGACGAGGAACTACGAACAGACTAGGCGATCGTCGTCAAGTCCTTTCTTTATTAGACCCTCGCCTACGGATCTCAATACGTGAAGAGTTAGTTTCTAATTCGGTCATTGTACCGTGGTGTCCACTAGACCCCAGAAAATACCTCGGAAAAAGCAGCTTGTACGCAGGGTTCGAGCTTGTCAGCCACCCTTATCCATGACAATCATAGTCAGTGCAACGGATTTGATGGCCTCGATTTTTCTAAAGGCGGGCACTGTATCTCGCTGGGATCTATCTCAGCCTGCAAGAGAGTGCCCATCATAGCCCTTCGTGCGTAGGAGATCTCAGTTCTGTGGGCAATGGCATGCATAATACGCCCCGATGCAGCCCTTGCGCTTACTCAGATCGGTGTCACCACATCGTTCACTAACCAACCAACTGACACGAGCATTGCAAATTCCTTCTGCGAGACTGGTGATGCATGCACTCCTATTGCAGCTGGCTAACAATGACTCTTGGGGGCAACTAGTGCTCTCTGACCTTGGATGTTTGCCGCCCCCGCAGGGGCGGCAAATCCATGCATCTGTCTGGGTGTTCTGCGCTATTGCCGATGCCTGCTTATTGAAGAGTGAGTTTGACCCCATAGGGCGATAGATATGGTGTTCTCAATCTGAACTTATTGAATTTGGAGGATCGAACCATTGCTCATCGACCGGCAACATAGTCAAGCTAAATTTTGAAGCAACGCACCCTACGCCCAGACTACTATGCCATGAACACGAGGCACTCGTTCTTTACTCCTTGCCCTCCACCTTCTGGAATCAAAGATTATCCCGTTCGGGATGTCAGACTGATGTTGGTTCTGAGAACACAGATGCAAGGTCATATATTTCACAGCTCTCTGTTTCCATAGTCTCCCAAGCAGGTAGAATATTTCCCCCCAAACAGATCAAGTTCCCGAATGCGCGTTTTTAGAAGCAAATAAATTCCATATCATGATCCCGCCTTCCTGTGTTTCATCCCTTGATTCTGCCAAAGTGGGAGGAGACGATATCTCAATCAAATACCAATTTCTATAAAGTGCATCTGTCACTTGAGAGATCCGTGAGGGGCCAAGGTCCTCCTTCTGGGTACAAAATAGTGTTTCTCCCCTCTCCCTCCCCAAATTTATTAAACCTCATTTTCTATCTTTCTCCAGTTTGTCATGTCCTGCGGTTTGACACTCGGAGTTCTGCACGATCGTCCAACCTGTTAGACCTGGGCCGATGTAATAGTTTACCCCGCCATCAAACTGAGATACACGGCCCAGAGGACACCAAAAAGGCTGCCGACAAGCAGTCGCTGGCTAGCGGGCACAACCGTGAAATTAAGGATCGACACAAATGGCCACAGCTTCAACCCCGCAGTGATGATGGGCCAGAACTCCTAATAGCGTATAGTTTTGTCAATTAAATGTTGTGTTACTTATCATGAATCCCCTTGAGGAACCGACGGATGGCACTCCAATGAGAAAGAGCCCGCCATTCACTTAGCCGGACTATAGTTGGAGTGCCAGCGTTTCGGGGTTTGGGATGCTGGACTCTGACAATCACAACCCACTCACCTGTCGGATCTGGTCTCGAATAAGGCCCAGGCTCTGCCCACGGAGCAGGCCCATCGCTGTGATGAATACCACGGCATTCCAGGCCCCTCCAATCAACTGATCAATGACCACTTTGATGATCGTGTTGGTGATGTCGAGGGCTGGCGCTTCCGCATCCGATGCTTTGCCGCTATTTTCCACCTTTTTCTCTGACGCAGCGTTGGCTGCTTTCTTTCCTGGGAATAGTGCTTCCAAAGTTTGGAGCCAAAGGAAAGCGAGAGGTGAGAGAATGAAGGCGCAGGTGGTGAACTGCATAAGCGCCTGAACGTCCAACTCGAATGGCACCTATTTATTCGTTAGTATATGAATCCACAAGTCATCATGGCTCCTATAGACCCCTGATTTCATGTGCTCCTGAGTCTTCATTGCATCATAATCCTCTAACCCTTGTTGGGTTGTTGGAAATGCGCGTAGCGCTGTGAAGTAGCCGCGAAACTACAGACGTCATAGTCCCAGAATAACAGCCTATGGCAAATATGGACTTCATAACCAAGATGGGTAGGATGAAGCAGGATATGAGGGCGCGTGAACTCACTCCACTTCGATTTGCTTTAATGGCCTGCGCCAGGACATTTGAACCGGCGTTGATTGCGGCCGCCTGGAGGGTGGCCTTGGCGATAGTGGGGACCGACATGGCCAACTCTTTCACCTTGCAGCGCAGTTGGGACGATCACAGTTAACACGAGTCTCTCAACCCAGAGAAGAATCCTTCTGCCGATAAACCCCGAAAAGCCTGCTCTTGCTATTGCTAATGTTGGAGCCGATTCTACTGACGGTCAGATCAGCTTCCAGTGATTCACCATCCAGTCAGGACCTCGAGAGGAGGGGGCAGGGCGCCAAACTAACCGCAAATGTCAATATTCCGCGGGCGAGGCCGATAGAATTCTAATTTTATCACGAAGACCCGCTAGGATTTCTGACATTGACTCGAGTCAGCGGGGTTGTAAAGGTCAAAACAATCAGATTTGACGAAAAAAATTTGGGACATGATAGGAAATATATGCTACTTCCGATAAAACATGTTTGCTTCTTACTACCCAGCGCTGAACGCAGGCCACAGTTCGCAGATCCCGTTAATATTTCCTCAATAGATGGGTTTTACACATGACTATTGTTTGTCTATGCTTTTTGGTGTAACACGCGGCCTCGTGAGTATTCCCCGCAAATAGGTATGTAATTCGATGGTCTTCCGCTGCCTAATTATTGGCAGTTTAATAATCTTCCATAAAATGTCATTCTGTTTGTGTATTTGCGTGCTATTTTTGGTAATAACCTGCCAAAAGCAGCCCAAGATGGGCGCATTGCTGCTTATTTACGTCCTGCCTTCCTTCAAGCCACTACCACATTCGCTCACATTCTTGATCCTATTGTGCCATGGAAGGGATATGATTCTTCATTCCATGTACAACCAATTTTCTTTTCGAGAGGTAATAGCCCGATTTGTGTTCGCCAGAGCCACATCGGATTTCCCTTTGAAGCAGGTTAAATTGAGCATCTCCAATCCCTGTTTTTCTTATTTGACAATTTGAATACTATCATTTTCACATTCTTCCAACAGAGATCCCTGGAATATAGAAGTGCGATTGGCCTTGTGGACAGAGTCTGCTGATGAACTTTACGGCGATAGAATTCCCCAGCCTCGAACCAGTAGCATGGGAGATATCGTAACGATGATAGGAAGTAGTGCAGATGGCCATGGTTGATAATCTTTATTTTCAACTTTCTGTCCGGAAAAAGAAGTCCTTGAGTCTCTTACAGAGCTTATATTACGTATATTTAAGGCCATAATGAGGCAAGTTCGAAGAATACAATCAACGTTATTAGCACATTCAAAGATACCTTTTCGGTACAGCTATTGTGAGACAACATTTTTAAAATTGGATTAAATTACTTGAAGTTCCTACACTGGAACTTCTTAAAACTCTTGCTTACTTGACTCCCGCACCAAATTCATCGGACATATGTATTTTCTAACCTGCATGACTCTTGTGCGACTTTTAGGCTGAAAATACTAGGTTATATGGTATATCAGGTCTTTCTATCACTTCATACAACGTGCAAAGTTTCAAGGTAGTAGCTGATAAATCTCGCACCACTGGGCAGGCCTTTCTACGAACGCACTACCCATCTTGTCAAAAAACTCCAGCCTCATCAGATTTCCATATATTTAAATAAAAGAAACGCCAGCCCAGCAATTGTCTCAATATTCACAAGGGGTTGCATGATTCATGAACGTTTGATTGATACGCCACAATATAATCGAACCCCAACGTCGTGGGCTGCCTTATCCCATATCTTCATCTTACAGAACTTCATGATGGATTCAATACTGACTGCAGATTTGTTGGTCTTATGAGGTTTCATAAAGCCAACATTCAACCGCTCTTCCTTGATATCTCTTCTCCTTTGCTTGTCTTTGGGTGAACAATGGTAAGAGAAAAATCCTTTTCATTTTATTATCGGGCTTTGGATCTTATATATATTCAGGCGGACAGAGTGGCTTAGAAAGCTGACATGTAATGAGTTCAGCCTTTTTATATGGACGGTATGATTCTGGCTAATTGGCTTGAACTAAAAATAATATCATCGCCATCCCTAAAAATATGGAACAGCCTTTGAAACCTGTAGGCTGAGAAGTACGCAAGAAAAGTTATGGATTTATGATCGAATTGAACCAGACCTATTTACCGCAATCAGTGCAATTTCTCTCTGAAAGTGAATCTGTAGCTGTTGAGAGCCCTAGATCAACATTCTGAGGCTTTTGTCGCGAAGAGATGGACAATCGATATTAGGCTAACATCATCAAAGCAAATGCATTTCTATTTACAATAGAATCTGGTATATCATTGTCATTCACTCCTGTGCTGAAGTACCAAGAAAGAAGTCCAGCCTTGCGAATCAATCAAAGGCGTCTCTGCTTCTCCACGTAGTATGTAAAATCGGGTCATAATCTATTCTTCTCTTATTAGAAGCTATAACTCTCGTTTAATTTCTTATTAAATAATCTTATTATCGCTGTCGGTGTTTCTAATAAAGGGCTTCGGCTTTGCAAGTCATTTAGTGCGTCATTTCTTTTCTTGGACAGAGTTGCTGCGAAGGTTCTTGGTGTCAAGGCAGATTCTATAATTATCTCTAGGTGAATGACGTCTTTACCCTTTATATCCTATATAAATACTGTAGCTTCGATCCAAGCCAGGGGAATGATAGACAGTGTTCTCCGAATATCATCTTATAAAACCGGTCAACGCTACTATTTCATCATTTGAGCCCTTGAATTTGACAGGACATTTCTTTGAAAATCTTGTATTTTGTTTTCCATCTTCTATCATACGAATCGAGGTAGACGTGAGCATCAATCTCACAGCCTAAGTCGTCCCTAGCGCTATTCTATTATCAAACTTCATTAGCCATGGGACAACCAAGACGGCTGGCTATTGACCCATGGGCGGTTCTGGGAATTGGGGAAAATGAAGGGAAACTTGAGGCAAAGGAAGTCATCAGTGCATATAAAAAGCGAGAAAATGACCTTCAAGGTGATTTAGAGGCAGGTGCATACAAAAGCCGGCAAAAGAGATATGATTTCGACTTGGACATACTAAAAGCTTCCAAGAATGTGCTCCTTGCCTCCAATCAAAGGACATTCAGAGCTCACTGGGAAAAGGTTATGGAGGGAAAGAGTGACGCACTCCAAGGACTATCAAAAGCAGTCATAAGTGACTTTAATAAGCTGTTCCCAGCTCAGAGACCGCCATTTCCGATTCGATACAAGGACCCCCCTCGAGAGGGAGCGGTGGGCAGCGAGAGCCCTGCGGGTGATATGAACCCATTGGACGCCAAATCCAGGGACAGAGAAAGGAGAAGAAAAGAGGAAGGAACAACCTATTCACAAGCAAATCCTGCAGGTGCTCACTATGACGCCCGACCCCCTGAGCCAAAAGAACCACCAAGCGCTCCTCCGCCAGAGGAACCACCAAGACAACCGGGAGACTTTCCTCCCGGAAAGAAAGTGGTGAAGGTCAGTATTATCGAAGAGGGAGATAAGCATCGTGTTCGGCGATGGTATGGAGAAGGAGAGAAAGAGTACGTATCAGACAGTGTTGACAAGATTGAGAAGGGACTGGAGGAGGACGAGGACGGAGACCTAGTGGTGATCAAGAGGTATCTCTCGCGTAAGCGTAAGGACACTGGTCGTCGGGTCACCCTTGTCGAGAAAGAGGCCGCATTTACTCTCACGAGAATTGAAGGAGATAGAGAAAAGGAGATCTTGAGGAAAGCCAAGGTAATTGGAACCATTATGGTGGGCCGAGACTCCGTTCCATATTCTCAGGTGCTCTTGCCCCGGGACCGCAGTGGGAAGCCATTTAACAAGGAAAAAGTGGTGAACCCAGAAACTCGGGAGACCAAGATAACTTACTCTTGGGAACTAGATCATAACATACTATATCAATTCCAGAAGATCCGATCCGAGAAAAATGACAGGCATGAGGCTCCCCCCTCGGGCAATCCCGCATCGGCCTCACCCACGAGCTAGTGTGCCACCGTCAGCAAGGCCCTCTGCTACGCAGCGTCCTTTAAATCCATCTCAGATGAATCCCTTTGATCGAAATCATCCTATCCACAATACACCGCAGCAGGTTTATCGGCAGGATCCTAATGAGATGAACCCTTTTGATCCGAATCATCCTATTCATAACCAAGCGCGGCGGATAAGAGGGTCTCAGCCTGGACGCAGCAGATGGGCGTATTTTGAGTATTAGACAACGCAGACTACAAGGATCCAAAGATTGATGGATTTTTAGAATACTTGCTATCGGATATAGGAGTAATCAATCAATTGATCAACATCCTGATTTCCGATCTAGATTTCTGACTAGTTCATTGGGGCAATTCTGTGTGGGTCAATAGTTCTCTCTTTGGAATTGAGCAACTTCGAATTTTTAAAGTCAGATGCTTGTCACGCTCGGCCAATCTGGAGATCCTACACTTTGAGACTGTATTGACGATGGTGTATGGCATGTAGATTTCCGCTCCGAGCCAAGCATAGCGTCAACCTTCCTTTGAGGTACTATTTTCTGCTCTTATTCGAACTGGGCTTGTAGAACAAGCGATATACTTCCTGGAGAGTCCCCGTTTCTAATGGAGGTCTAAATAGAGAGTCCTTACTAGCTTATCTGAAGATTGATTTGCCGGTAAACGATTCCGTCAAGTACTATGGGAAATAATATTTCTTATATGCATCAGGCTATAAGCTAAGTGCACATGCTACATACTACCCTGTATCGTCTTCATAATGAAAAATCAAGATCAGAACTAATTTCTCACCGTTTCCAACCTACCATTCCAGTTTCCCAGGTGCACCAGATCCTGCACAATCGATCTCTTTGCACACTAATCTCAATTAATACAATTCGGGCAGTTGATAGTGGTCTCACTTACGTTGCTCCGCTTGCTGGAATAGAGAACTTCCTTTTGGTTGATGCATGGCTGGAAATATTAGGCCTCCAGTTTTTTTCTCCAGTGTTGAATGCCCTTGCAAGCAATCCACGACTTGACGTGTGATTGGGGAAATTTGAGTGTCGATATCAAAAATCGATAGAAAGTGATTCTCAGTATCGCGCACAAGATCTTGCATGACATTATCAAGAGCCGTGGTCAGAGTATCCTTAGTCTCTTCTAAGTTGCGGGAGCCGTCGAATAGATCATATCGGACTTGAGTTATTGTCTCAGACACAGGCAAGAAGGACAAGGCAATCCAGAAATCTGAATCTGCAAATGAATATAACAAGGTGGCAGGAAACAGAGAGCAGGAGGCATGGCTGCTATTACTTGACAATGCACGGACAACCTTAGTGAATAGAGAAGGAGTAGTAACTTTGGACATGCGTTCCTCTAGCTGGGTAGTGATATTTGTGTGATGGTTAGGAATAGCTAGATTCGCATTAGTATTCTCGGGATAAATCAACGTGTTTCAACCGGAGTCCTCGTACTTGTCATTTTCCAATTGAAGTTCCCTGACAAAGTTTTTCCAGTGACCCACTCTGATTTCTTTCCTGGACAAGCGGCATGGACAAAGTCGTTCAAAGCTGAGATTTTACTATCATCCAAGGTGGGACAACTTCCAGCATTAAGATTAACAAATACATATCCGAAATCAGTGACATGGGTGTGGATTTCGAAAAGTCCATTCTCGGATTTGTCAAATCCAGGCACATCATCAAACTGAGGTGCTTTGACCAGTCTCCCGGTTGTGTCATAGCTCCAGCCATGATATCGACAGCCAAGTACTGTAGACGCACCCGTCTCCTTCTTGGTTATCGAATAAGCTCGGTGGCGACAAATGTTGTGGAATGCACGAATCTGGTTATCCTTGCCCCGAATTAAGAAGATCGAGAACCCAGCGATATTAAAGGACTGGTAAGCACCAGACTTGCTGAATTGTGTACTGTGAGCAAGATACAACCATGACTATAATTATTAGTCTCTCTGATAAAATAAAATTCTTCTCCTGCAAGTCTTACTTTGCTAAACAGGCCCCGTCTCTCCAGCTCAAAAATCTCCTTGCTAGACCACCATCCCTCTGGAACCTCAGGCTCCTTGGAAACATTCAATGCTGATGAGGACCTTTCATTTGGTGTCAATGGACAATCATCTGTGAGTTTGAATGTCCTCTTCGACCGGAAAATGTGTGGCCAAGCTTGGGTTGCTAGAAATACAGCAGTGAGAAGAGCCACAATTGCCGACCCGGGTGACAAAAGAAAATAAGCATTTTGGAGTTCCATGCCAAGAGGTTCTGGTTATGATTTCAAATTAATGAGTCTCAATTAATCTCAACAGCTTCCATTTCCATTTTGTCAAGGCCATACGAACTGATATACCTCGAAATCCGGAGGTCCGAGTACTCATTCTCCACATTATACAGTTTATCGGAGGTACCGCGTGGAGCGCCCCCTCTCCACTAGGCGATTTCCCAATTAAGTTGCAATTTCCAGCTATCGGGCTATTCTGCACCACCGATAGCTCAGTGATGCTTGGATCTCGGGCCGCGAAGGGGTGTTGCAGAGATTATCTTTCTTGTACAACTAATCAGAAAAGTAAAGTGGAGTGTTGGAGAAACATCTATCCCAATAACGAGAGAATATGAGAACCAATTTGGGAGCTATATCTCAGCAAAAGAACAAAATCTTTTATTCCCGTCGCTCCAAATATTCCCAATGCTACCCTATTATCCAACTAAGCTGGCATCTGCACTAAAGAAGGGGTAACTTGTTCCTCCAGCTCTGTTTCTTCCTTGCTTGGAACTCCCCGGTCGAATGCATGCTGCTCACAGACCATTTGGAAAACTCTCTGTTGATAGTCTAGGACTGTTAGTGAGGAATATGTTCCCTTCTCCATTGGTGGCCAAACTTACAAGAGACTCCGTTCTCCTTCTCAGGATTCAGTATTCCTTCGTGATAGACACCTTTGGCCAAATTATCTTGGGCTTTCTCGCATAACTCGTAATCTTCCATAGCTACCTGGCGCACAAACTTGAAGTACTCTTCAAATTTCTCGCCATCAGCCAGGTGATAGTAGTCGAATTCCATGCGAGTCACATGAGGATCCGCTGTGGGACAAACCCGGAAAGAAGACATGCCCCCGCCGTAGACGTTGAGGGTGCAATTGGGGAAGAAATAGAGAAAAAGGCCATCGTCAGGCTTCTTGGGATCGGCTATATGTTGCGAGAAGTTATGTCTATTTCGCACGGTATAGAAAGTGGGTGGATAGTAAATGGAAAATGAGGGATGGGTATACTGGCAGTGTAAGCACTCTTGATACCCATCCACCCTATATTGACAAATAGTCAACAAACTGATATTTTCAAGAAAATGCCACGGGTCAATAAGGGATTCGATTCCTCATACATAGTCTTCCAGTTAAAGCGGCCTTCATAGCGGATGCTGCGGCGGTATGGCAGTCTAGTGAAATCGACCTTGCCCAGCAGCTCCTCGAGCTCTGGGAAGAACTCATGGAAGCTAGGTGCATCATCTGTAATGGTCGAGAAAAGCAACCCAGTTGGAGTAACATGGCAGCGTAGCTCTTGATTCTGGGAAACGTCAGCGACAGTTTTCTGATCCTAGCGCCTTCGGGCAGTGAAATACAGTCTTTGCGCTGAAAACCTTCAGCTCCTCTGGGCCCGGGTTCAAACCCTCTCCAAAGGTACGAATTGCATAGATGGGTTGCTGAGCAATCTCATAGTCGATATGCTCTCCGACTTTCTGGAATCTGGTTACCGGACCCAACAAGTACCAGGACTGATTAACTGTTAGCGATGCTATCCGTTCGTTAGACTCAGCTCTACGTACCTTGAAAAAAACCGCCCGCCGTTCCATCTTGTAAAGTGGCTCATTGCAGTACCAGGATGCTGGGAGGGTTCGAGTGAGCTCGGCCATAATGAAGCGATAACGATTAGCTGGAATCTTCAAAGCTTTTTAGAGACTGAAATCGATGTTTGCTGAAAAATACCGATGGTGAGGCTACTTATATCTTCTATTGCTTCTGTGGTCTTTGATTTTTTTTCCTGTTGAGTACTTCAGAACCTTAATCTATTCCCAGCTATCGGACAACGCTGGACTTTGTGAGCCTTGTGTCATCTGGTCGATCTGGTGGGTGCACGGTTTATCGTTTCCTGAAGGAGTTATCGAATCCCTCGAGGCCACGGCAGATGGTTCTGGCCACTCCTGCCCACCGTCTGAGGTTGGCCGACATCTTTCAGAGTCCTAGAAGCGCAAGCTTACAGCAAAAGGTTGGCACATGGAGATAACAACTCCATATTTTAATATGATAGGTGTTAGTGGAATTAATGCTTTGAGTAATGGGTGATCTATAGGACACCACTGAACTACGTTCTGCTGGCACGGAAAGAAGGCTCTTGTTGCCTGAAGAACACGGCCAAACGCATTGGGCGGCTCCTTTCTAATCTTCAATATCTTGAATGGCATTCATCTCAGTACCCGGCGCAATTTAATAGAACGTCATCGATTTCTTGTTTAATCTCCTATTCATGTTACTTTGTGATCCCTGCCCATCGCGAGACGCGATATTATTGGAACATCTGACAGGAGACGCGATCATAGATCGGGAAAGACAGAATCCTCGTGGGCATGTAATTGCATTCTCCAAAGTGCAATGGTCAATTTCAGAATTTGGGATATCATTTATCTACAGATCCATATAACTCTCGGTCCAGATGGATGTGTGGCAATGAGAATCGGGGCAGCCGCAACTCACCAGTTCGCTATGTCAGAGGCGTAAGATTTGCTGCTGCCTGCCTGAAGCGTCGTCAGAGCAGGCAGAGGTGGCAACCCTCTAAGGAAAACAGGAAGCGACAGCCGAAAAAAAAGATATCAAATCAAATTCAGACAGCACGAAGAAGTTTTAAACTCCAAACCCGCCATCAAGCAACAAAGCCAGCCAAGCGGAGCTCAAAAGAGGGGATTGGGATCGGCTTTATCTTATCGCTGATCATTACGTCGTCCGTCATCGCTCTCCATCTTCAACCTCCAACCCTCATCTCAGCACCATGGCGGGCCCCGTCGAATACACCCCTTCCTCGTCACCTCTGTCACCGACAGCATCGTTCTACGATGTCAGCGACGATGACGAGGACGAGTACAACACTATCGCCCACGCCCGGTCAGGCCGTGGGGTGAAGCTGCTGTATTCCAAAAGCAAGGTATACTCGCCCGGTCTTCTCTGCAAGTTGCAAAACTCACTCATATCCAAGGTTTATGTCCATCCTACGCCATCTGCCAAAGACAACATTGCTGGCTTCATCGCCCTCATTCAACAGAAGCACCCACCAACCTCCAGCCCTCCTCCCGCCGTCAACTCTAATCCTAGCGATGTCTCTTCCTACCTCCTAGCATGGATCCCCGAATCATCATTAGGTGATGCTTACAGCACCTACGTGAAAGTTGACTTGTCCGATGATTCACCCTCCCCCCGACAACGATACCTAGTACCGCCGCTTCCGACCACCACAACCCATCGAGATCCGATCGGCCTCTACTCATTCGCAGTTCCTGTCTCAGAAATCTATTCTCTTCTAGTGCGACCTCCGAGTCTCGGTTGGTGGTTTGGAAGTTTGGTTATCAATACGCGTGCAGGCGACAGCTTTCCGGCATTGTTCTTCCACGATAGCGAGTGCGAATCGACGATATTACAGAAGAAGAAACGCGTTAAAGAAAGCTTCGATCCGTTTGATAATGATGGAGGTCTGTTCTGGGGTGGAGATGAGGTTCTACGCTGGCTGAGAAACTACGTCGAAGTCCATCGTTCTGCAGTTGACAGGAACGTTTACCTGATCAACCCATCTGAGGAGGATCAGCTCTCCTTCGGCCGTTCAGTAGCTGCTGGGGATGGATCGTTACCCAAGACTCAACACGACGCTACCGCTTCCGGTCCCAGTGCGGCTGGAAGGGATGCTAGCATGGACCCTTTCATGAAAACTTTAAAAGAGACTCGGTGGAAGGTGCTGGAGCAACTGAGCAAGATCACAACATTTACAAGGCGAACGGCCAACGAGATCGCCGACAACCCACGGATTCCACCACAGGTCCGACGTCTGATGAAGAATCCAGAGATTCAAACCTTGCAGGATGAATTTGATAGCGCCCGGCTTTATCTGGCTAGGTGGGCCATGAGTATTGCCGAACAAAGCGAAAAAGAACGGAAGCAGCGGATATTTACCGCCCAGGATATGCTTGAGTCTGAGAATAGTGCAGTTGGGGACTTCGAAATTCTGGAACTTGAAACAGGAAATCTAGCTCTTCAAGAACGGCGTCGGATCGTCACACTTTCAGAGTGGAAAGGGTTTTTTGACTCGACTTCGGGAAGGTTGCAGCTGACCGTGGAAGAAGTTAAGGAGCGTATCTTTCACGGAGGCTTGGATCCAAATGACGGGGCTCGGAAAGAAGCATGGCTCTTCCTGCTGGGGATATTTCCGTGGGAGAGCAGTCATGAGGAACGCCAGGCAATCATGAACTCAAAGCGAGATGAGTATATTCGCTTGAAGGCAGGTTGGTGGGAACGAATGGTGGAGGGAAACTCCACCACGGAGGAGTATGAGCACTGGAAAGATCAAAAGAATCGAATAGGTTGGAAGCCTTTGAGTTCTTGTCCCTTTACTTTATCTTACTGACTGCAAATACAGAGAAGGACGTTCACCGTACTGACCGCACCATTCCTCTTTTTGCTGGAGAGGATATTCCTCATCCTGACCCTGACTCCCCGTTTGCCGATACGGGGACCAATGTGCATCTCGAGCAAATGAAGGACATGCTATTGACATACAACGAGTACAACCCTGACTTGGGCTACGTTCAAGGAATGAGTGACCTTCTTGCCCCGCTTTATGCAGTCATGCAAGATGATGCTGTGGCCTTTTGGGCATTTGTAGGCTTCATGGATCGAATGGTGAGTTTTGAAATCTTCAATCTTAAGCACTCGGCTTACCAGGAATAATGAATGGCACTCTAGGAACGCAACTTCCTCAGAGATCAGTCTGGCATGCGTTCTCAACTCCTTGCTCTTGACCACCTAGTACAACTCATGGATCCACAACTCTATCTCCATCTTCAATCAGCGGATAGTACTAATTTCTTTTTCTTCTTTCGCATGCTATTGGTTTGGTACAAGCGCGAGTTTGAATGGGGAGATGTTCTTCGTCTATGGGAGACATTATGGACAGACTACTTCTCGAGTAGTTTCCATCTATTTATCGCCCTCGCCATCTTGGAGAAGCATCGTGACGTCATAATGGATCATCTGAAGCATTTTGACGAAGTACTGAAATACAGTGAGTTACATTCGTCTTCATTTCCATATTCGAACTATTTTGCTGATGCGTGCCGGACTTAGTCAATGAACTTTCCAACACTATGGACATTGTGCCTATTTTGACACGGGCTGAGTCGCTCTTCCACAGGTTTGAACGCTCTGTTCAAGCAATTGACAAGAAGGACAACTTTCCAGCTCCAACTGCCATACAACGCCGACCGACAAGCACCAGTCCAGATCCATCAGGAAAGGGCAAATCGCCCCAGCAGCGCACTGTTGGATCCAGTAGCGGTGTCAAGCCTCCAACTGCTCTTCAACAGGCGATTGATAAAGATAAGCCAAAAGTGATCTCACCCGAACTACGAGAGCTACTCCGAAAGGATATTCCTTGGAGACGGCAACAAACTTCGTAGTGGTGGACATTACACATCACCATTGCCCCGGGGAGGTTGCTAGAAACTGACTGAGAAGAGTCCAGCTGTCTTTTTTCATCATTTCATAGTCATGAATTGCTCTTGTATATCATTCCGCTCATTGTCATTTAATTTCGTTGGAAAGGGGGGGCTGGGTTGGAATAGCGGGAATCAATTTCGGAGTTGCGGAGGTTCGGATTTACTTCACATCGAGGTAGCAATTTCTCAATCATTGCATAGTGGACACTCACAATACAAGAATTACATGCTATCTGCTGGGCACCTTCAAATATTTGTCTCTGTTGATCCAACATCTCGACCATCCTAGAATCTCAATTGATGGTTGCTGATTGAAGCAAGTACGGAGCCAATGCCAGGATAATGGCGATCTATAAGTGGTTTTAGATCTCAAAGAACGGCCGATCGTCCTACAACTCGTGCGTTCGACTTCTCAACTATAGACACTTTTAAAATATCCTCTTCAAAACACACACCATGGGTGTCATTAAATCCTTCTTCGTGAGATTAAACTCAATTCGTGGATTCGAAGAGGCACAAGCCTCCAACTAAACAACCGCCATCATCTCCAACCACCACTATCGTTCTTTATTCATAATTCTCATCCATATCTTTCACCTTTCCTTCACATATCAACGTCTCATTAACTCACGCCCACACTACGAGGGAAAAGTCCCTCTCGCCCTGCCCCTATGTCCCCTATATACATTAGCCGACATAAGAAATAAAATGTTTCTATGCTATTGTGTGATGTAATTTCTCGGAGTGTGACGGCGCATGAACTATTTACCAGAGGATAGCTCAAGGAGTCTAGTGGAGGATTCGGAATTTCCTCGGATAATCTACCTGAATATTTTATTGTTCAGGATGTATACTGATTTGTAGCTCTCTGGTGGTCATTATTCTTTATTTGGCATGACAGAGGTACAAATGCCTGTATAATTTCCTTATTAGAGCACTAGCATCCTGCTGTCCCTATTCGCATTTCACTCCGATTGTCTCACCCATTTGCTTACGAACGCATAATTACCATTCAATATGTGTCAATTCCTTTTTCTACTCAGAGAATTACTGGTTTCAAGGTGATGAGTAGGTGTAGGAAGAGATGTGCAAAGTGGGCCTAGGAGGAAATAACCAGGGGCGTCTCTATTGCTTAGCCCTTTGCTAGCATGTTTCAAATTCTCACTGGTGGAAAATCAAGTTCACCACCCACATCCCGACACAGAGAGAACTCGATCCGAAAGTCCTAGTGAGCCATTATCTGCGCCAAAAGCTTATTTTCTGATACTTCATGGCTGACTTGTTTCCGGCTTCTTCTCCAAATCCGGGTCTAAGCCTTATTAACTCATAGTTTGCCGCGTCAACGGATGAAATGGCGCCCGTCATCCGCTGAAAAAATCCGCAACAGCATCATCATCAGTTTTACGTGACCAATGACTTCTATTCTGACAGCATCATAGGTGGATTAAGTCGAGCTCGGGGGGGGGGTGGGGGGGGGGGAGGTTACTGATAATGCCACAATACTGTATGGGGCCACTATCCAGATCAGGATGCGAAAGCCTTAATAACACAGTATCTTCGGACGTCCTTCATTGATTTTGTTTCAGGTCAATATAATTGACGGTATAAAAGACACCTGGTACCCTCAATTTGGCCCATACAGAAAGCCAACTTTTCCAAACTACCTTCTATCTTTCTTCTACTGAAATCCCAGTGATCAATCATGAGATTCATTACCCTTGTTTCTTTTGCAGCCTCAGTTCTGGCGGCCAGTCGCACCACACCTCCAACTGGATCTATCGTTGTGGCCAAGTCAGGCGGTGATTACTCGACAGTACGAGGGAAAAGATCAATTTTATGACGGTCACTTCGAAAGCTTACTATTCAATAGATTAGCGAGGCAATTTCTGCCTTGGATACCGACACGTCTGATAGCCAGATCATTTTCATCGAGGAAGGCACCTACGAAGAGCAGGTGTATATTCCCAAATTATCGGGGAAGCTGATCATCTATGGACAAACTGAAGAGTAGGTTTTCTTAAAGTCACGCAGTGACAGCAAGCTAACCGCACTTATAGCGACACTACCTACTCCTCGAACACCGTCACCATTACCTACGATCTGAGCTTGGCAGATGCCAGTGATGATGACGAAACTGGTAAGAATCGCATAACTATGTGTATAGATAGCTGACTCACTAGAAAACTAGCCACCTTGAGAAACTATGCTGCTAAGAGCAGCATCTACAATATCAATGTGAAAAATACCTATGGCGAGGGTCACCAAGCTCTGGCTCTCAGTGCATACAACACTGAGCAGGGTTATTATGGATGTCAATTTACCGGATTTCAAGGTACTCTTTTCCTTTCCGGCCTTCATCCAGTAACTCTTGGCTAACCAGACAGATACTGTTCTGGCCGAAACTGGCTACCAGGTGTACGGGAAATGCTACATCGAAGGCGCGATTGACTTCATCTTCGGTCAGACCGGCAATGCCTGGTTTGACACTTGTCAAATCGGTGTCTTGAAATACTCGGAGGGCACTATCACTGCGCAAGGGCGCCCTTCTAGCTCTGATGATGGATACTACGTTCTCAATGAGTGTACTGTCGAAGCTGCGTCGGGGGAGGACGTGACCGAGGGAACGTACTACCTTGGTCGGCCCTGGACTGAGTACGCGCGCGTGGTCTTCCAGAATACGTACCTAAGCGACGTTATCAACTCAGCGGGCTGGATCGAGTGGTCAAGCAGCGAACCCAATACAGAGGATGTTCTCTTCGGCGAGTATGACAACTCCGGCGATGGGGCTGAAGGCAGCCGGGCCAGCTTCGCTTCCACTCTCTCTGCCGCAATCACCATCACGGACATTCTAGGCAGTGATTACGAAGACTGGGTCGACACTAACTACCTTTCTTAATACCCAGTTTCTATGTTCTTCTCAAAGTGGTGAATCATTCTGCAGGTTGAGAGGGGTTCTTGTTTGACTATCTAAATAAAAATATGCACTACGCACTATTGAATTTCTACGCAAAACTACCCTACACCCAATTCTAGAGATACGGGCCTTCATTTTTGCAGACTAACTGCACTCTTAATATTGACAACCTCAATATTCTTACAATCAACTCACTTCAAGAGAGCTACCTCCAGTCGTCTTATGAACTTTCCCCGTTATTGCAAGAGCCAAAAATGACAGTTCTCATTCCTAGAATTGTTGTTTCAATATATTGGAAATTGTTGAGGTCCCATTTCCTCAATTCTAATTGAGCAAGGAGAGTCTTTTAGTGACCCGTGTTCTCGGATTGGGAGCGTTTTTGGGTCACGCGGTCTTCCGGAAAGTCTTGTCAGTATGAAATCACACGCGGTGTTCCCATCTCCTCCTGTCTTGAAGGAAAGGAGATTCTTATTTAGGCTTTGCTCTCTTCGAAGTCAGCAAGTAAGTCACCTCCCCGAGTTCTTCCTTGGAAGATCTTCGGCTCGGTATGTTTGTCTATACATTCGCCATTCTATGTGGAGTCTATCACTATTAGCAGCCTGGCGCTATTTCCTCGACGAGGTAAGAGGAGTTGGGTAGATACTGAGATCCAAAGATTAATCATGTACAAATAGTACGAGACGCAGATTGTCAATTGATCTCCTCTTATCTACATATCATTCGGCTTTTGAAGAGCACAACCGCGTGAGTGGTACTATATATTTCAACAACCAGGCTTGTATAATACTCAACAGTGTTATCACTTCGGAAAGAGAAGAGGCGCTGATGGATGTAGCTGTCCTTCACTACAGATTAATGAGCTTTTCTTTCGTATTCCTGACTCTTCCCTTTTAATTTCTTATCTCTTTGAAAAATTAAATATTCTATGTTCGTTGTGCCACCAATCCGAGACACCGTGATCAAGTTTGTGATGCCCCGCAGGGAGAGCTGACTCAGCGGACCCCCCACGGGCCCGATAAGCTCCGCTGATTCGCAAGGTGGAGCAAATTTTCTCCTCCTGTTGTCAACCAGAAGCCTGATACCGCAATAATCACAGTTCAACATGGGAAACGTAAGCGAAACAATCTCCAAAGATGGATGTGCAAGGCTGCAAGGTGCCCTTGCACTCGATCTGGGAGAATTTCAGCTGACTGGCAGGCGGAATTGACCTTTATCTTTACAGGGAGCCAAGGCCCAGATGAAGCGCGATCGCGGCGCAAAGGATACCAAAGTCGCCAAATCGCAAACCAAATCTGTACGTCTGTCGTCGCTGTTTGCAACCGATTAACTTCTGACACCCATATCCATCTAGAATGAGAAGGCCATGAACATCCAGTGCAAGGTCTGCTTGCAGACCTTCCTGCAGACTACCAAGGCTCCTGCGTATGTTTCCACAATTCCTACCAGCTTTTCTCTTCTGGTTAACTTGACTGACATGCCATGCTGGGGTCACTACAGTCTTCAGGAGCATGCCTCCAACAAGCACAAGAAGGGTCTCCCTGACTGCTTTCCTTCTGTCACTGTCTAAGGTGGCCGGGTACGATTGCGGACTACTGTCGAGCTGGCTTCCAGACTTCGGCCATCGCGTGAATATCAACAGGACCACATACCTTGATAATCTGTAGCCTGAAGCTCGTGGCATTCCGCTGTTTCCAATTAGTCGTTTAATATAATTAGTTCCGTTTAAGCGAGAAGAATATCACTCTGTTCTCACCTCCCTCGTCTCAGTAGTCTTAGTCCTTACGCGCGAAGGTGGCAAAGTATGGCAAATTTTTGGCGTAGCCGAGCGCATACTTATAAGAATCCGCCGCCAGATTCCACGCGCACCGTGGCGCAATTTTTTTTAGACAATGCCTCAACTGTATCGATCTCAAGTAAAAATGATCTATTAAGATATATTGGTTGAAATCTCGACAGGTTGTCGAGCACGAGAACTTGGGAATGTTATGTACAACCGCAAAGAGCCCCCCAAAATTACCCGGGAAGTGAGGATATCAAGTGCCAAAACCAACAAGTCAAAAAGCAACAATGAGCCAATTTCTTTCGCCACGCTGATGCAAATGTTGTAAATAGAAAAAAGAAATGAAAAAAATGAGTGAGCCAGAGAATAGTAAATAGGGCCAAGGACCTGATATGAGATCACGCCAGGGCTGAGAAGATGGTTCAAGTTAGGACGAGATGCCAGAAGTATGGCATTGCATGACCCCTTTATCTGTGGTTGCCCAGTCCCCTCAGCGATACTCGTCTGCTTGAACTGACAGACCGAATATCGCTGATGCTTCGTACTTTGGGGACGGGGCGGTGATCGTGGCTGGGAGCATCGTGCTGCTCGCCATTCTCGCTTCCGGGGCCAGTACTAAGGGCGAAGGGCGAAGGGTTGAACGAACTGGATCGTCGCGTCTGCTGAAGGACATCTTCGACCCAGGCTTCACCTTCGGGACTCATTGAGATCTGGCGTGAGCGGGGCTTCGGACCAGCTAGGCCCAGAGGAGTGGAGTGGGAATCGGAAGCCAGATGCGGGATCGTAGAGATGGCTGGCACATGGGTATCGCCTACGGAGTAGCTAGAAGAAATGGAGAGGCGTCGCCTACTCAATGGAGGTACTGCCTGGGACGGCGAGGGAAGCAAGGACCCGGTGGTGACGGATCTGGGGACCATTGCATCAGACGCATTGGAGCCACGCCGTGTCTTGCGGACAGTGAGCGCCGAACCTGGACGTGCGCTCATGGCCGATGGAGGTCGAGATGGGGTTGCTCTGCCCGATGTGATATGAGACGAGACGGCAGGGGTCAACATGGTTCCGGGGGATGAATAGCCCGGTGATGAACGAGACGCAAGGCCTTTCACTTCCACTCTCGGTGTCTCTGATACTTTGCGGCGACCGTGGTGAATTACATACTCACGCAAGTACTCACCAAGATCTGCCCAGCCTCCACCTACTCGAACCATCACGCGTTGACCATCTTCGCCGACGGTCCGTACAAAGAGCTTTGTTGGCACTGCTTGTCCACCATGGTGCAGGTGATACAGTTTGACGCAACTGTCCTCGGTCTTGTGCGCATGAGACAGCCGCCGTCGAGCAGCAGGCATGAGTGTCAAAGAGGGAGCAGGCGTCATACTGCGAGATAAGGGAAGATTTGGAGGTTCAGATGATTGCCTCTCTCGCGGTTTCTGATCCATGGAAGAAGATGAGGATGATGTGTCAGCCTCGTTATTAGGGTCAACGAGATGAATGCGGCCAGGAAGGGTGCTGAGAATGGAGTTGATCTTCTCATCAAGCTGATCCCTTGGCCTCCTGTATTGCTTGTTTGGCGAGGCTGCGCGGGACTCGAACAACTCGGACTCGTCTTCCTCGACATACGTGAGCTCCTGTTTCCTGACACCTAGGCTCTCGAGACTGGGATGAGCGGTCAGACGTTTTCGTAACTGGAGAGATTTCGGTTGTTCTTGGTGCTTGAGTGCACGCTGTGCAGTATTTAGGCCAAATGTCTTAAGATTGCGATCCATCGTGCTTTGCGGCTGTCCTCCGGCTTTCAAATCCGAGGCAGACTTGCCGCGGACAAGCCTAGGACGACTAGAAGTTCGCAAAGGTACTTTGGGAGTTGATGCAGTGGCAGAATCGCCAGATGATTTCGGTACAAGAGAGGATTTGAATTCTGGCGGAAATCCAACTTCGGTTTCAGTATGCACTTCCAGATCCAGATCAAACTTGTCGTTGATGAAACGCTCTAGTGGAAGGCTGACAGAGCGGTTTGGCTGAAATTCTGTTCGCGCTGGGTTATTGAGACGCAGAAGTCGGTCTTCTCGTAACATATGATCACCGTGGGATGGAACGGAAACGGGCTGAGAGAGTTTCGGACCAGAGGGAGTCACAGGGGGTGGCCACTTGATTCACCGGTTTTGAAGGCCGGTATCTCAGGGCTTGAAATGAGAGACGAGTTGTCTGACAGCAGAGAGCCAACAGATCCTGTAGATGATCGCCGATGATGGTGAATATGCGAAGTCTTATCGAGATCTAGCTTTCCAGGTCGCCCTTTGGAAAGTTTTATGGGGCTCTGCAAGGGCTTTCGAGAAGAGGTTGGAGGCTCAGGACCCTTCTCCTCCGCTTTCCTTATGGTCACAGGCGTAGGATCGGGTTCCATGTGATTCGACTTCCTGAAATCCGATGGAATGGAAGGGCAGATTTCGGCTGCCTCATGGACAAGATTAGGACTCGTCTTTGTTGCAGACTCAGTACTGACAACAGGGCTGGTAACCTGGAGCGGTGGATCATGATTCGCCACTGAATGGCCTTTAGCTGGTGTCTGGGAGAGACAGTCATTCTGATCATTTGCAGATGTAGCCGGATTGATGACGCCAGATGATGGGATACGTTGGTCTCCCTGAGCATTTGAAGCGATAGTCTGCGTCTTGCCGCTCAAAGCAGACATCGTATCGCTTTCTTTTGGAGTATAGAGCGTGGAACTCGTGACTGGATCCTGTTCGTCGAGGAAAGATGGCGAGGAAGATGCGTCCCTGGAGGATACATTATCAAGACCCGGCTTTTCAAGAGACTCTTGACCAGCTATTTCGTGAACAGTGATCATTTCTGCAGCCGGTACCATTTCATTTACAGCTGGAGATGAAACCGATGGTTCAGAGTTCTGGGTAATGGGAGCTTTAGAGTCGACATATTCATCCCGTATATTGTTGAGTTCTGAGGAAATGCCGGTGTGCTCTCGATGCTTGTCAAGCTTGTCAACCGAAGTCGATGATGCTGGGGGTTCCTTAGCCTGGAATTCGACGCTAGTCTGGACAAAGGGGTCATCCTCTGCATTGTGTTCTGCCAAGACCATGGGTTTTGACGAAGGATCCCTAGTTGAGGATGACCGGGGCCGTTCTTGTTTATAGGAAGGTGGGGGGATATTTTCTTTATTCTCGATCACTGGCATAGCATGTGGCAGTGACCCTGTTGCAGAGGATTGTTCCGAGACCACAGCCTCTTGAGCAAGCAAGGAGTCAGTGTGTGTTGGCGTCTGTACATCCTCTACAACAAGAGTATTAAACTGCAGTTGAGATAAGGGTCGTGAATCTTCGATCCGATGAGGCTGCTCCGAATAACCAGGGCCCTGAACGCATTGGGGACTGCTGGAAGTGTGCGTGTCAAAGCCCTTCTCCGTTGCATGCGTACGAGAATCCACTGTTTTTACGACCTCCTCAACGCTGCCAATGGCCGAACTTTGGAGATCATGCTCGGTCTCTTCCTCGATAGTCTCCATCTGTGGCTCAGGCGTAACCTCGGTGGCCGCTTGAGGTAAAGCTGGCACATTATCGATTGCCTCAGAAGGAACTTCAGGTTGAAGCAGGCCGCTTTCCGATAATACCGGTTGCTTGGATTGTTCTTTCACTGGCAGCCATTCTGCACGGAGTTGATATCGTTCAGACTCAACCACCCAAGCGGCAAAGTCGGATTCAATGCTTTCCAAATCATCGATCCAACTTTCCGGCAGCGAGTCCAGACGGCCTTCCAACGCGTCCAGTGCACGATCCATCCGCCTTCCCACAGTAACAACGGCAGTTTCGAGTTTAACATGCTCAGCACGTAAATAAGAGCCGGGCAGGATGGTATTGATGCTCTGGGAAGGATATGATGACCGTAATTCACGGAATGAGGAATTGAGTGAGGCTCGGGTAGAGCTTAACTCTCTCAACAAGCCTGGTATTTGGCGCAAAACAAGAAGACGAACATCCCAGGTGATTAGGAGACTATTCAGCCGCGAGAGCAACGGCAAGGCGCGTAGGATGGTGGCGGTGACGATGGCCGTAAAGTCACTGAGCTGCACATAGCTGAGTGGCGGGGGCACGGACACGGTACTGGTGGAGGAGGAAGGGCGAGACCGGGATGGAATGTGGGCACTGAGAACGTGTTCTTTTAGCTCATCCACGTTTAAATTATCCATTCCGTCGCGTATTTCGTCAATCCTCTTCTCATATTCCTCAACAAGGGTTGCTGGTAGACTCCCATAGAATTCCGGCTCTCCATGGCTGCCCGGGAGTAATGGAAGGTCCGACTCCGCAGTATTGTATCTCAACGATGACTCGACCGGCGGTATGAACCCTTTCCCAGCCTTTGCTTCGTTTTGTTTTGGCCAGGTCCACGATTGCACCTCCTTATACCAGATATCCAAGTTCTGGGCGGCTATTGCAGCTCGGATTCCGAGGGCGCGTTCGGCCGGCGAGACTTGGGATATGCTTTGAGACAAGACATTATGGGAGAAGTTGCCGTTCGAGGGAACCGCCTCGGTGGAGGTTAGGGCGTGTAGGGTGGACTCAGGCGATAGATTGCTGAGCAAGGGGTCGATTTTCTGATATAAGGAGTTCTGGTTTCGTTCCGGGGACGTCGAACGTGAGTTTTGTCGAGAATGAATGGGGGAGAGGCGGATTGACGGCCGAGAGGGGCTTATTCGACTTGTTGCCATTCCGAATCGCAGGCTTCACAGCCCCAAATCGGCTTTACAAAGAGACTCAGAGCGCGTCCACTAGCTCGTCTGGCATGGGAATGCTGGAGGTCGGCACAATACAGCAAGCGAACGGGGAGAGCCCTGTCGAGGCCGCATGCTGGGGCACTTTTCTGGAGTAAAGTGACAGCGCGAAGGAGGACAGCAGTCTGTCTCTTTCCCCGGTTGATGCGGATCGCAGGCGAGCGATGAGCGAGAGACAAAAGGTTGGCAGTCAGGAATATGGAATAGAAGAGATACGAGGATCCAAGAAAAGCGAGTGTGTAGCGGTAGAGGGGGGTGGAAGGAGGAGCGAGGGGAAGAGGCGCTGGAAAGAACCTGCTCTCTAGGTTTTAGTTTCGTGTCGGAAATAATTGACGATCGAAGTTCTTTGGAGACGGTGGAGCCAAAAGGGGGCACGGATGGAGTGGACCTGGCGCTTCCGCCGATCCGCGACGCTATTTGGTTCGCGAATATTCCGGGGCGCGCGTCAAGATCGGGTTTGATTTGATGTGGCCTGCATTGTGCCACCGAGGGTCAATTAATTGCCAGACCATTCGGCAATGGCTAGTGTGGTGCGACAAGCCTGCTTCTTCTACAGCATCTCCGGGCTATACCATCTTCGGTAGTGTGTTGACTAGCGAGGCTGTGTACGCTGGAGGAGAGACTACGCAACATGCCAACGTCACCAACAAATCAAGCACCATTGTGGGCCAAGGACAGCAATATCACCTGTGAGCAGATTCCATCACATTGAAACTATCAAAGCTCCTGAGTTTGTTGCTGAATTATTCCGTGTAGAGTCATCATGCGGTCATCGTGGCGTTTGTCGGACAAATGGTCCAAGACATCGTCAGTCCAGCAAGCGCCCGTCAAAATGAAAGCCTTGCTCATACCTCCGATCAAAGCATCAATCTAACAAGAAATCATGTCTACTGGTTTTCGTTACCGCCCTGAAATCCTGGAGAATATCCCAGCAGAGCGAACCCGCTGTCTCAAACAATATGAAGACTGGTTCACGGTTGAGACACCCAAGCTCAAGGAAATCACAGAGCACTTCGTCAAGGAACTAGAAAGGGGCCTTACAAAAGAAGGCGGTAATATTGTTAGTGTTTTCGGTGGAATGAGTGTTTATTGGCGCAAACGCTAATTCCAGATGCTTCGTATTCTGCTCCCAACAGCCCATGAATGTCACTTGGGTAATGAGGTGGCCCAATGGCCATGAAGAAGGGCGGGTTCTGACCATCGATATGGGTGGCACGAACCTGCGTATTTGTGATGTATCTTTGTCTACAGGAAGGAGAGATTTTGAGCAAATTCAGAGGAAGTACAAACTCCCGAAAGAGGTCAAGACAGGGACCGGCGAGCAACTTTGGGATTTCATTGCCGATCAGTTACAATCCTTCCTCCATGAACATCACAGCGGAGGCCAGGGCGCCGACGATCTGCCGTTGGCTTTCACATTCTCGTTTCCGGTCGATCAAAAGAACATCAGAAGTGGTGTTCTTCAGCGCTGGACCAAGAACTTCGACGTCTCAGGGGTGGAGGGCCATGATGTCGTACCCCAACTCGAAGCGGCCTTCCGGAGAAAGGTAAGCATCATCAGCCACCCAGAGTCAATGCTTGGTGTCTCACTCGTCCAGCAAATTGCAGTGAAAATTGTCGCATTGATTAATGACACCACTGGCACGCTCATCGCCTCACACTATCGTGATCCACATATCAAGGTTGGAAGTATCTTCAGTACCGGCACCAATGCTGCATATATGGAAGAATGCCGGCTAGTGCCGAAGCTAGAGGGCCTGGGCCTTCCCGAAGATGCGAAAGTGATCATTAACACCGAGTACGGTGCATTTGACAACGACCGAAAAGTTTTGCCCTTGACCCCATTCGACCATCAAATTGACCGAGAGTCAGTTCAGCCGGGGACACAGATATATGAGAAGATGGTTGCCGGGCTCTATATTGGAGAAATGCTGCGATTAGTACTCGTCAAACTACACGAAGACGGGCATCTGTTCAAGGGTCAGGATATCACGCGTCTTCGACATGAAAATACGTTAGATGCCACATTCCTCTCTATCGGCGAAATGGATATTTCCGACACTCTGGATGAGATGAAAGAAGAATTTGAGGAGAATCTGAGTCTTTCCCCAGAGCTGAATGATCTCAAGATATGTCGGTATCTCATTGGCTTGATTGCAACTCGTGCAGCGCGACTATATGCCTGTGGGATTGCAGCCATCTGCAAGAAAAACAAGATCAAGAAATGCCATGTCGGGGTGGATGGTTCCGTTTTCAATAAGTATAGTGGGTTCAAGGCCCGAGCCTCTCAGGCTCTGCGCGAGATCTTCGGATGGCCGCCCAGCGAACTAGATTTGATCGCGCTCAACGCGTCCGAGGATGGCTCGGGGGTTGGAGCCGCTCTTTCCGCTGCATTGGCGCTGGGGTGTCATGGAAAGAATTCCAAGGTCGAAGCTCCTCCCAATGTTTCCTAGGTTTGATTGGGTTAAGAATTCATAGATACATAGAGAAGGCCCAGGGAAATAGGAAATGAAGTCGAGAACTTCTGCACGTGAACTAAGTGGTTCGCGTCGACTGATAAGGAGCGATAACGATCATGATAAGAGCCGTGCTCCGCAATCAACAATTCCATCTCTCCTCCATCACCCATTCATCCACTCTTCAATAGATACAATGCGGTTTCGTACCCAATTAAAAAATACTAGAACCTTTTCCAGTCAGTTTCATTCCTTCAAGAATATGATTCATTCTAATTTACCTAGAATTAACTGCTTCCCTTTCATCTCTGGGCAAAGTGTGCTGGATGCGCCTGGAGCACAATGTCGTCCGCTTCACCGTCATTCCAGACCAAGGGACCCAGGTTTGGGCGCAGATACCAGTTGTATGCGTCAAATAGCCTCTCCGTGAGACTCTGGGAGCCAAAATCGCTAACACGGGTCCAAGGACACGATATTCGAGGAATCTTCATACCAACTCGAATCGAACTCAGGCGCCATCAATGTCGAAATTAATATCAGCCTCTTGAACCGTGCTCTACGCTCAACATTTGGCTCATCATCCGCACAGTTGCGACTGACCAAAAAGGATAAAATGCCTCTCCTCGCACTAACGGTGCTGACAACAGAGTGGACTGAAGGCAATATGGCTCTTGCTACCAATGAAGCCACAGATCAAGATCCCACATCGGGCCTGGCAGGCCAGACTGGTGTGGTTGGGGACCGACGAGCCCGAGAACGGGAGACGTGGATCACACAAGAAGTTCCTATCAAGATCCTACATGAAGACGTTGTGGAGAACCTTCACGAGCCTCACTGTCCCGACCCGGATGTCCATATTATCCTGCCCAACCTGATGCAGTTAAAAAGCATTTCGGATCGCTTTACCAGGCTAGCATCGACTGACAGCAAAAGCCGACAGCCTGGCATCGTCGTCGCAGATGTATCAAGCTCAAGTGCTGGAGCCACAGCGCTTTCTACCAACTCTGCGCCAAAGCTGGAATTATCGGCAAATATGCACGGCAAATTAAGATTGGCTATTGCAACGGATGAGTTGCGTATTGAGAGCGTGTGGTCTGAACTGGTCAATCCACCGCTGGATCCTGCCCATATGACGCAAGACAAGTACTCGCAATTACCCAGCGAGCGGAGGCGCGAAGCGGGTGGTGATGATGAGGCTGGATGGGCAAAGGTTAGGATTGATGGCAAAGACTGGGGCCGTGTGTTGAGCGTCGGAAGACTTAGTCCTAAGGTGGTTGCATGTAAGTTGATTCATCTTCAGCGTTGGGTACATAACATTGGATGAGCGGACCTTTTGCTGATAGAAGAATTTTCTTTCTCTTTTTGTGGAACAGGTTTTATCAACGAAACAGCTCTGGTTCTGTATGTCTATCTACCGGGAAGTTGGAATGGTGAAGAATCCTGCTTAACTGTAAGTCAAGTACCTCTGCCGTCAAAAAGAACAATCTAATCGAAATGGTGTCAACCTTGCCAGTATTACATCAACTCTTTCACAACGTGATGGTCTAGCCTCATTTCATTTGTGCCAGGTATATAAGGATGCCTACACAACTGCCTTGAGAAGTTGGTGAAGAAGACTTTGTGCATTGCCAGAAATCGTTAATAAGACATCCTTGTGGCGAACAGGCCACATGAAAAGAAACAATAGAATTCACAAAAGTGAGACACAAAAGGCAGAAACAATTGCAGTCCAACACTGCTGAGGGGATGGTGTGATATACATGAAACAAAGAGAACCATCTCCCTCGCATTCGCAGACCAAGAAGTTCGCAGCAAAGAAAAGCAAATACGCAAACTATGTGCAATGCTTTGCAATGTAGAGCTCAGTGTGCGAGAACGCCATAGAAGGGGGATGTGTCTGCCCCATAGCGAGGCAGATGCAAGATGCTGGGGGAGAAGAACAAATCTTGACAACAGGGAGTCTATTATAGGGGGCAATAGTGGGGGTAAGGGGAAGCAAAAACCATGGGAATAAAAAACATCAAAGACAAGGCATTAGAGGCATAATTAAACAAATGGAACCAGAGAAAAGGAAAAGAAACAAAAGAAAATCCAACCAGTTACTTGTAACTGATCAGAATGTCAATGCTTGGCACAAATAATGTAGGATTCTCAGATTACTTGGCCATAACATCCACATACCGACCCTTCTTTTTGCCCTTGACAGTGTTGCCCTTTCGTGCGGCAGGGGCACCGAGAAGATCATCGATAGAGCTGGCATGGGTTAGGGAAGATGGAGGACGCGGGGGCAACCCAGATGAGCTACCAGGAGGTGTCGGGACAGCTGCGCCAGTTGAAACGGACCGGGGCATGGGGGGAGGTACTCCAATACCGGAAAATGCTGGGCTGGATGAGAGAGGCGGTGGCATATCACTTGAGGAAGACGGAGGTCGACTACCTGCACTGGACATTGGAGGTCCAGAGGGAGGAGGCAGGCTGCCAGAGCTGGCAGCTCGGCTGGGTAGAGTGGACCCTCTTGGAGGGGGTGGTGTGGCCCGGGCAGGGGTAGCAGAGTTGGGATCCTTCTTATTGACCCATTTCTTCAGGTCCTGATCATAATAAAAGGAGTTCTTCTCGCCGAGCTTAGCCCTGATAGGGCCACCACCTGTGTTCTCAGCTTCCTTCTTGGCGCCTCCAAACCACCCGCCAAACCAACCCTTCTTCGTCGACTGCTGAGCATCTCTCTTGGCTGCAGGAAAAAGTTAGTGGTGAATCTAGAGAGCTTGTGGCTAAAGAAATACGTACCATCTTCTTCAGCGGCCTTGCGAAAAGCCTCGTCAGCCTTGCGATCGTTCTCGGACTTCTGGGATTTCTGGATTGCAGCAGCTCGAGCCGCAAGATCATCATCGTCGTCATCATCCATAAATGACTTCTTCTTTGGCTGTGGTTCCTCCTCCATCGCAGACGGTTCCTCTGTTTGTTCTGGAGCGATGCTCATGTTGTGCGCATAGGATGGCGGCTCGTATGCTTGTGCGGCGGGCGGAGGCATATATGAAGGCGGATTCTCCGACTGCGGCATACCAGGCGGGCCTTGATAGTAAGGCGAACCGGCGACAGCAGATTCCTGTGCAGGTGGTTGGTAGAATAGGCCATTCAGCGCAGGTTGGCTTCCCGGGGCCCCTTCGGCAGGGGATTGGGTAGTCAGATCCTCTTCAACGGGTGCAAGAGGCATATAGGACGACTGGGGCGGCGTAGGCTGATAACCAATGGTTCCAGGCGACCCATACACAGTTGCCCCTCCCTGGAATGCGTGGTTATCAACTAGAGGGGAAGCATGCTCCTGTGAGCTGCGGCGTTGTCCAAACGGCATGCTGCTAATGGAAGCAGATCTCTGAGAATCCATGGAAGATCTTCCACGGAATTGTTCAGGCGAAGCATTTAGAGCATGCTGGTTGGGAAGATATCTTGAGGATCCTCCAGTCTGGGCGGGAATTGGCTGGGCGCCTGCTCCAGGGTAGGAGCCGTACAAGTCCGACACCGATGGGGAACGGCTGATAGTCGGGGTTCCTGCAACATTGGCAAAGGGTCCAAAGTCTGCAGTCTCACCAGCCTTTCCAGAGCCCGTCGATGCCGCATCACTATCGTCGCCTGCAACGAAACTGTTGAAACGAGCCCACATGGATCCAGACACCTTCTCCATACTGGGTTTGGAGATCCAGGAAGAGCCACCATCAGAGGTAGTTTGTCGAAGTCGAGCAGAGAGCTCATCAACCTCGACAAACAAGTGCTGGTGATGATAAGGAGAAGGCCGCGTGGATGCTTTTAGAGCAGCTGCAACACTATCGCAATAGTACTGAGCCTCAGTCTTCCGTCCATGATCAGCAAGCATCTTGGCATAAAGCAATTTGAACGCGAGCAGATACGGTAAAGTGGCTACGGGAGAGTTGCCCAGAACAGAGGTCGCAAATTCATAGATCTCGGTCAAAAGAATGGAATCCTCATCCATCAAAGAGCAAGGGAACCGTTGATGATCAGCGCCAAGGAGCACAATGTTTGCTTGGGGGTCATCGGCTCCCCCGAAGATGGCACCTCGGGAGAAGATGAAACAAATATGGGCGGCCTCAACACGGCCATAGGATGCCAGTAGGCGGCCAAGTGCCAGAAGAGCTTGATGATCCTCTGAGCTGCGATTATTCAACACCAACCCTAGAGTGTCTTTCCAACTGTCCAAGCCCTGTAGAGCATTCTTTGTTGCACCATGGCCATCAGACTTGCTGATCAGTTGATGACCTGCCCGCGCAGAAGGCGGAACAAGTTCATCCACACATTCCTCAGCATTTCCACCGAAAATCTCGTAAAGCGCCGCAAGCGATTCGGTGTTCGCGGAGGTGGATCTAATCTCACGTCGTACAAACTCTTGAACAACTTGCTTCCAGACCGATTTGTCCATAGTTGAGGCAAGAACCATAGCATGTCCCCAGAGACGACGGTCAACTGCACCCCAGACAGCCTTTTCACGATCACCCTGCACAAGACTGCTGCGAAGTTCTTCCATCCAGCCAGCATCACTCCCATCTGCTTGAGCTGTTATGTTCAGAGGCATGAAGCCCGTTGAGGTTCCATAAAGGTTTGAAACAGCGCCATCTGACTCGGGTTCTGAAGCCTGCGGGAAAAAGACTTGGCGGAGAGCGGCTTGGGTAGCATCAGAGCCCTCTAGAACACCGTCATTTTCGACTAAAATTCTAGTGACCTTCCAAAGTAAAATCTTTTCTTCGTGACGTTTCTGCGCATCAGGATGATACTGGTCAAATCCGGGAGGCAACTCGTTTTCAAAAGCAGCAATCTTGCTCGAAAGCCAAGCCATTACATCCTTCTTCTTGGCCTTGTTTTTCAGGGGTCCAGGGTGTTGTACAATGGTATCGACAGGGGGTAGCCATTGGCTGAGCTGTGAGAACTTGGGCTCACCGGGGCTAGGTTTAATCAATGGGGCCGCTTGACCAACAGCATACCGTGGAATGTGGTGAGGAAAGCAAGAGACAACTGCACCGCCAAACCCAAATTTGAAAATAGGAGCGCCCTTCCACCGTTCGAGAGGGTCATGTTCCTGACCATCAATAGGCGCGATAAAGTTGAGATGCTGGGAAAGAGCTCGAGCCCGACTTTGCACAGACGGCTGGCCGGGAGCATAAGGATTTGTGGTCTTAGTGGGAGAACCTTGGCCATGCACAGAAGCCGGTCGAGGAAGGGTCGAGATCGGCGGGACAGAAGCACGGGGGCTTACCATCTGCTGGCCGGGAGAGGACGTCTGAGACCGACGCAGGGGTGCAGGTTGCTGTTCAATCGCTTGGGAAGAAATTGGTACAGCAGCCGTTGGCACCGGAGCCGCTTGGTCATTATTTGGTGCAATACGATTCGTAAATTCGTTGACGTACTCTGGAGGTGCATACCGATTCTTGGGGGGCTGCGGCATCTGTTGCTGGGCAGTTGACGCGCTTGCACCATCCAAAGTAGCAGGTAAAGTAGCAGGGTGAGGAGCATAAGGAGACCCCTGATCAATGCTTGGTCGTTGGGCGCGAGGGGGTGAGAGATCCACCGAAGGTTGTAGCGATGGCGGTTGAGAGCGCTGCGCTTCCTCTGGTTGATATGAAACCTTTTCATGATATGCCAAAGGACTCGAAGTACGAGGTTGGAATGGCAATGAATTTGCTTGCCCCGGAACAGTCAAGGGCTGAGAAGCATAGCGATTACGAACCACAGATGGTCCGGCGCCAGGAGGTGCGGGAGAATATCTGGGTTGCGTGGGCGGTTTTCCTGGTGCCTGCAAGCCTGGTGGCTTGGGGGAATATCTGGAGGCAGCACTAGGTCCAGCGGGTGCACTAGAAGCCAAACTAGAAGGAGCTGCATATGGATCCAATCTTTCTGGGGGATGTAGCAAAGACTGTACAGGAGTAGGTTCGGTTGCACCTGCAACTGGCACAGCAGCAGCATATGGATTCTTGGGAGCGGCAGCAAGCGACGGCCCAGCGGTTGGTGCAGCTACACTGGGATTAGGAGAATATCGCCCTGAGCTAGTCGGTCGAGGCTTTGGCGGGGACAACGGAAGCTCTTCATAAAAGTTCTTAGGAGCAGGTGGTGGAACTGAGGCCGCCACGGGAGGAGCAACAGAGACGCCACCTTGCGGTGGCATGCCGCTGTTTGGAACTGGAGGAGGGGGCATACTAGTCACTGCTGGAGGGACAGGTCTGTGGGTAGCCATAGGTCGTCGGGGTCTCGAAAGATCATCTGGAAGGTCATAGGGAGATTTGTAACCTTCTTTGGACCGTTCAGCGAAGCTTTCTCCTCTATTGGCCACGGGGTTAATTGGCTGTTGCGAGAAATAAGGAGGACCTGTCGCACTCGCAGCCGGCGGTACGCCTGGGATAGGAATGCCTCCAATCAAGTCGGCAGTCGTTGGCTGATGCGGTATATACATTCCAGGAACAGGGCGAGGCGCAGTTTGACTCTGAGGGGTCTCAAACGGACTATGAAGGCCCGAAGGTACATCTCTATCTGTAGGTGCAATTGGACTCTGCGGAACATATCGCTGGGTAGCTGGCTGGGATTGGGCAGGGTTGATAAGTTCGTCTTCAAGAAGCATATCATCGTCATCCAAGTCCAGCGCAGCTTCCCAACGAGCAGCTAGATCGTCTTCCATTGTATCACTGAGCTCTGCTTCCCAGCGTGCAGCAATATCATCCTCCGAAGGCACGGTGTCCTCGGCAGGCACTTGAGATTCCGGACCTTCCGAGGCTCCGGAATTTGCAGCCTTGAGAACATCCTCAAGCTGAGCAGCCACTGATATATCACTAGTCGGCGAAGCAATATCGAAGCCCACAGATCCCATCACTTGGGATGTACTCTTGCGAGTCAGGTGGATTGGAGGATCCGTGCTCACTTCCGACTTTTGAACGGAGTTGAAAAAGTCTTCTGCATCGTCATCGTCATCGTCGTTTACAAAAGGATGACCTGATGCAGTCTCCTGCTGAACTTCGCGGACAGTTGTTGTATCAGATTCTTCCAATAACGGAACGCCTTCCTCAAACCTGGATTCTGTCTCTGGGGGGCCGAAGATGGGTTTGGTTTGGGTCTTGAGCTGGTTGAAGAAATCGTCACCATCTGAATCCACATCATCTTGCATTTGATCACCCCAGGCACTAGCTCCATTCGTGTTCATCTCAATTGAGGGCACTTCTGCCCCTGTTTGTTCGATTCCAACTAATTGAACAGAGGCTTCGACGTTCGGCTCCTTATGCCCTTCTTGATGGTCCATATCGGAGGAGCTCCGCGCTTGATCGGTGTGAGTTCTAGCAATTGTTGTGAACGGGTCCACAGAAATGTCTTCGGAGTTGCTGTGCGGAAATACCAACTGGGGTGGATGTTCCACAATGTCCATCGCAGATAATTGTTTTTCTGAAGCGGGCTCGGTATAATTGACATGAATAGTTTTATCATCTGCAGATTTTGTTCCATCAGAAGCAGGCTGGTCTTCTTTCGTAGCCAAAGCGTGCCCGGTGTCGTTCTCTGGTTGTGTCGGTTGAGCCACAGCAGCATCGACATGAGAGACTGCTTGATAAGCCTGCTGCCCCGCTTCTTCTATATTCAACTCCATATCATTGTCTTGGATCGGTGACTCGGCAGTGGATGACAGGTCCTCGGGCGGAGCGGCTTCTGTATCACCAGCAGGTAGGCTTGTAATGTCAGTCGCAGGTTCGTGAGAGGCAAACATTTGTTCCACTGGGGCCACCGGAGGTAGATCGACATCCGGCTGTGCAGTGTTGCTGAGTTCTTGGGCTGGTTCCCATCCATTTTGGGCAATTTCATCGTTTTGCAGCGGTTCTTTCGGGTTCTGTTCGGCAGAGTGATTCGCGGCCACCACATCGGGGTTCGTGGTATTCTGAGTCGGAGGCGCATCGACCGTGGGAACATCGACATTTAGATCTCCAGTATCGAGCGCGATTGTCTCGTGCGGCATGTCCCATGCAGAGAAATCTTCATCACTGAGCGATGATTTCAAATTTTGGGGATGGCTCTCTTGGGGGCTAGCAGCGGCCAAGAGGTCCGCCAACCCACCATCAGGGATAGAGGTATTCGAAGAGTGCTGATCCTCTGGCCAAGACGCTGGATTCCAGTGTTGGTCGCCCGGTTGCTGCGGTTGCTGCGCCATCGCGGGCATATGGTCCTCGACTATGAAGTCGATTCGGGAGTTCCGAAGCAACCTGACACGTCTCCAGTGACGTTCGGGGTCAACAATCCTAACAGACCAACTTCGAGAGCGTCTTCAGTGATCCATTAAACAGCGCGGGTGAAGAAAGAAAAGGCGAATTAGATTAAAAGGAGTAATTAAGAATGCATCAAGTGGCCACGGGCAAAAATAGCGTCGCCTCGAATAGCGGTTGAATACCCTGAACCGCGACGGCCCCCCAGATTGGGCGATTGGACCCGATTCGATGATGCAGGCTGACTCAGCCACCTGGAAAGGAAATGGACAAACATTCTTCCGAAAAGACACCGTTGCCTGTGCATAAGCTCCATAATCTCACATTTTATACATGATGAGGTCAGCAATCAGCATAATTGACCTCATGTGATTGCGCGGCGTCGCGGCCTCCGCCAGGCAGTCACAACTTCTTGCAGATGGTTGCAGATCATTGATTTCCCTACCGCGAAATTTTCGGGAATCATACAGAGTGGCTGCCTTCAGACCGGCTCTTTCACCCGGGCTTCTGCCATCTTTGTTCTTCCTCGCTCCCATTATGCTTCCACAGAGCTTCAGTACTACGGTATCAAGAATCTGAGATATGATCCTTAATTGGACGATTGAGCCAGAAAGCATATTGCTGGCTCATAGCTCCTAAGCAAATCCGTTAATTTCGCAATCCGTATCACTGAACAGCATGTCTTCCTCCCACGACTACATACACCCCCTTCAGCGACCCGATGATCCTGGCGATACCTCCGGCTCTGATGACGACGACCTGGACCTCGAGGAGCTTGACCCCAATTCACCGCCGCCGCAAACCTCTCGAGAATCCCGCGATTACTCTGGAAGATCGCGCAACTATGGACCTGGTATCGCCCTTCGGAATCTACGTGTAGGTGGCGGGAATCGGTGGAAACGCCTCTCGTCGGGAGAAGGGGAAGCACAGGAGGACACACATGCGCTACTTGAGAATCATGGCGATGACGGGCTACGGAGGTCGCATGGTAGCTCGAGGAACTTAGCGGAGGATGATGCGCCATTGCTTGATCGTCGAAGTTCGACTCGGCTGCTCGGAGACGATGAGCCATCTCAAAAAGGCGGCCGATTACGCTTGCCAAGTTTCAGAAGCCCTGGTTTCTTGCAAAGAGCATCAAATCGACTAAGACACAACCGTGAGGATCACACAGCTAAGCCACCGCGAGATGTGTTAGTCGGGCAACAGCAGCCAACTAAATACCCACCAAACATCGTGTCCAATGCGAAATACACCCCCTGGAGCTTCCTGCCACGCACGCTGTATAACGAATTCTCCTTCTTCTTCAATATCTACTTCCTCCTGGTTGCCTTGTCGCAGATCATTCCTATCTTACGGATCGGCTACATGTCTTCATACATTGCACCATTGGCATGTGTGGTCTCCATCTCTTTAGGGAAAGAGGCCCTCGACGACATTGGACGCCGACGTCGCGACGCCGAGTCAAACGCTGAAGAATTCACGATCGTCTCTCTTGAAAAATCAACCGCCATAGAAAAAACAAAGAAATCTCGGGACCTCAAGGTGGGGGATGTCCTGAAGGTCCGCAAAAACCAACGACTGCCGGCCGATGTCGTGATTCTCAAAAGCATCTCCAATGATTCTGGTTCTGATCGCCCGTATTCTATCGATGATGTCATCCCTGGCAGTTCTGCGGAACCAGCTGGTCTCCTTGGCCCTGGTCTGGAGCCCCCAGATGCTGCTAGTGAAAGTCCGCCGGCCACTGTCGATTCGTCTTCTAGTGATACTTTCATTCGAACGGACCAGCTGGATGGAGAAACAGACTGGAAGCTTCGTCTACCCTCCGTTTTATCTCAGAGTCTTCCTTTGAATGATCTTTCTCGGCTTAAGATCACCGCCAGCCCCCTGACAAGCGAGTCAATGAGTTCGTTGGTACAATTGAATTGAGTGCCCCTATGGGCTTTTATGATGCCCACGTCGACAAGTCGGCCTCTTTACAAACTCCAAGCAGAGAGCCAGGGGATGGTGAAAGTTGCAATATGAACTCTGCACCTCTGACAATCGACAACACTGCCTGGGCAAACACTGTCCTCGCTTCAAACACCATCACGTACGCCGCCATCATATACACCGGATCGCAGACTCGAGCTGCACTTTCAACATCAGCTTCGCGATCAAAAGTGGGGCTCCTAGAATATGAGATCAACAATCTCACAAAAATCTTATGTGCTTTGACCCTCGCCTTGTCAATTGTCCTTGTTGCCCTGCGAGGTTTTGAACCGACCAATGACAAGGAGTGGTATGTCTCGATTATGATTTACCTCATTCTTTTTTCGACTATCATTCCCATGAGTCTTCGGGTCAATTTAGATATGGCCAAAACTGTTTACGGTCGATTCATCCAGCGCGATAAGGATATTCCGGATACAGTGGTCCGAACAAGTACGATCCCTGAAGATTTGGGTCGAATTGAATACCTTCTATCTGACAAAACCGGCACTTTGACTCAAAATGGTAAGTATCGTGCAATGTTCACCCACCCCTTTTCTTAAACTGATTTCGAGTTACTAACGGCTATCCAGAGATGGAATTGAAAAAGATTCATGTTGGCACTGTGTCTTATGCGAATGAGGCAATGGATGAAGTATCATCATTCATTCGTCAAGGCTTTGCTGGAAACAGCTTGACAACTCCGTCAACTGTATTCGGCACTCAATCTGGGCAAGCTGCCGCTCCACGGACAAGAAGAGAGATTGGCTCTCGTGTCCGTGACATCATCCTTGCCCTTGCCCTCTGCCACAATGTCACGCCAACAAACGAGGAGGAGGATGGACGGAAGGTGACCAGCTATCAAGCCTCCTCGCCGGATGAGATTGCCATTGTTCAGTACACCGAGGAAGTAGGACTGAAGTTGTCATACCGAGACCGCCAAAGCGTGATCCTTGAATCCACTGACTCCAAGCAAGTCGTCGTTCGCGTGCGCATTCTTGACATCTTTCCCTTCACGTCCGATAGCAAGCGAATGGGTATCATTGTCCAATTCGAGCAAGATGGCAATTCCTTGGAGACCAACACCGAGCCTGAGATCTGGTTCTACCAGAAGGGTGCGGATACAGTCATGTCATCAATCGTTGCGGCAAATGACTGGCTTGATGAAGAAACGGCAAACATGGCGCGGGAAGGTTTGCGAACCCTTGTGATCGGACGGAAGCGCCTTTCTCTGCAACAGTATCAAGAATTTGCTGCCAAGTACAAACAGGCATCCCTCTCTCTTCAGAGTCGAGACCTTGGAATGGCCAAGGTTGTGAGTGAATATCTTGAACACGACCTGGAACTTCTTGGCGTGACTGGTGTGGAGGATCGTCTCCAGCGAGATGTCAAATCGTCTCTTGAGTTGATGCGCAATGCCGGAATCAAGATTTGGATGTTGACTGGCGACAAGGTAGAAACAGCACGGTGTGTTGCCATTTCAGCAAAATTGGTTTCTCGAGGACAGTACATCCATACCGTTTCCAAGGTGACCGACAAATCTGCCGCTCAAGAGGCGCTAGACTTTCTGCGCAATAAGACTGACTGCTGCTTGTTAATTGATGGCGAGTCCCTCGGCCTGATGCTTTCTGAATTCCGAACTGCTTTTGTCTCTGTGGCGGTACTCTTACCTGCTGTCATTGCGTGCCGATGTTCTCCAACGCAGAAAGCTGAGGTGGCTGACTTGATTCGGAAACACACGAAAAAGCGTGTGTGCTGTATTGGCGACGGCGGCAACGATGTTTCCATGATTCAGGCCGCCGATGTTGGCATTGGTATTGTGGGCAAAGAGGGTCGCCAGGCCTCCCTGGCGGCCGATTTCAGTATCACCCAGTTCCACCATCTGACCAAACTTCTCGTTTGGCACGGCCGCAACTCGTATAAGCGCTCCGCCAAGCTTGCGCAGTTCATTATGCATCGTGGACTCATCATCAGTGTGTGCCAAACTATGTACAGCATCGCAGGTCACTTCGATCCAAAAGGCCTGTTCATCAACTGGCTCATGATCGGCTACGCCACTGTCTACACGAATGCGCCCGTCTTCTCACTCGTTTTTGATCGAGATGTTGATGAGCGCCTTGCCAACCTCTACCCAGAATTGTACAAAGAACTCAAGACCGGCAAGAGTTTGAGTTATCGCTCATTCTTCACTTGGGTGCTTATCTCGGTCTACCAGGGCGCCGTCATCCAGGGCTTGTCTCAGGTTCTTTTGCAAACCATCACTGGCCCACGCTTGATCAGTATCTCCTTCACAGCTCTGGTTCTCAATGAACTCGGCATGGTGGGTATTGCAATCACGACTTGGCATCCTGTAATGATTGTCTGTCTACTCGGCACCGCCCTCTTGTACGCAGGCAGTGTTCCATTCCTCGGAGACTACTTCAATCTGCACTACGTGATCACGCTTGACTGGCTCTGGCGTGTGGTGGTAGTGCTTGCTGTTTCCTTGCTTCCTGTTTGGGCTGGCAAACTGATCAAGCAGTCCTGGAGCCCCCCGAGCTACCGCAAGGTGCGCGGATGATCTCGCTCATGCGATGATACGGACGTTATCTTGGCTATTTCTTTCACTTTACCCTTTCTTTTTACTACCGTCTTCTTTTTCCTTGGCTCTTTCCTTACTTTCTACAGCTCTGATTTGCTGTAGCTATTGTATATTCATCACCCCCCCCATAGCATCTTGTTTCGCAGAGCGTACAAAGGCGTTTAGAAGCGTAAACTTTGGTTTCGATTTCGATCGGTGTCTTGAATTATACTACCATACAGTCATATCCTCTATTCCAAAATGTGGCACACATACACACACAGCTTAGGTTTTCATTGCCCAAGAAGAGTAATATTATCGAATAACATTGTAGTATCGATTGGTTGGTTCGGGCCCCAGCCAACCCTTCCTCGCTCTCAACATAAGCGTTCTTGGCGGTGGGGCGGTGGATATAACCACGCTCAAGCCACACCCACGCCTTCGAACTAAGCTCTAACTCCTGACTGATGAAACGTCTCCAAAGAGAAACAATTGAGGTGCTATCTGACATTTATCGACCGAGAGTCATCCACTGTGGCCCTCAGTTAGAGTTTCCAGACAAGTCTCTCTCTTTCCTGAGATACGAGTTTCCTAGATACTTCGGCCGCTGACGCCCATCCTGGGGCCAAATCTATTCTCGCTGCACCGCAAGACCCGTGGTTGGCCTGACTGCCCTCGTCAGTGAGCGCCCAAGCATCGTTCACTGTGAGCACTCGAGGCCTGAGTTTCAGACTTATATCAGGTTTCACCTGAACCTTACCTTGGCCGCTAAGCAAGCCTGGCAAAATACTCTTGCCGTGCACAGCATGCAACCTGGTACGTCGTGCGGAGAGACAAGCGCGCCTACTGGACAGTGCTCCAGGCCGGCTATAGAGAGTTGCAGTCCTCTCATAAACCCCAATCGCCCGGCGCTGGCTCCTGCTTCGATTTTCTCCTCGTCTTCTATCATGTGGGGAGACCTTTCACCATGACCAAAACTACGGATTTCGGCCCTCTGATAATCCTGTTCGTCCCACCAAAAAGCTGCTCGACTGCATCATGGGTTGCGCGCACTAATGGGTCGACATTGCTGCGCTGGGGTGCAGCTTGTACAGCTGGGAGTGTCGGGTTTGACTCGGATTGCTTTCCTGACGGGTGGTCCGGGTCTAACAGCTCCAACATTCTCAATAAAGCCTTCAACCCAGGGTGGGGGTGTCCGGATGGGTATGCGCCCTAGCGAAATGCGACTGATATCTCAAAGACAGGCGCATTTCCTTTCACTGGACATGTGTCGAGTCTGGCTAGTGATGAGGTTGCGGTCTTGTGCTGTCCTTCGTAAGCACACCCTTCACAGAAAGTAGGAAAAGGAACAGATATGGAGAAGGTGCGGATGCAGAGAGAACAACGGAGTCTCGAAATCAAATGGGTCAAAGAATCAAGCAACTAACCTGCAAATCTTTTTTTTTACAGTAACTGGTCCGGATGGAATGGCCAATACTGTACCAGCGGCCGATACAATCTCCCCGCGCACAGCTATCTCACCACCACCAAGAGTACCTGCACCACAACCTCGGTGTCCGCCTACCAGGTAATAATGGCCTCGACGGCGGCGGTGGCGGTGATGCCACTCTTGAAGCCTCGCCCATTTTTCTAATTCATAAGGTCGGTGCGACGTACAGTTGGCCAACCTCCAGTTCCACCGGCGGCTCTGCGGCAGGCTCATCGAACGGCGGTCTCACTACAGGCGCCAAGATCGCCATTGGCGTGTGCATTCCCGTTGGCGTTATAATCATCGCCGCCATCGTATTCATATGGTGGCACCGACACAGGCGAATCCAGAAGACAGAGGCTGCGCCCGCATTCTCTCAGAACTCTCAGCCTCCAGCTGATTTGTATACAGGAAAACTGGTGTTGAATACAGAGGCAGGAATCAACCCGTATGAGAAACAGGAGTTGGATGCAGGTAATGAAATTGTGCCTGGTAAACCTGACGCGCCAGCGAAGCTTCCGGCCGGGCAAGTACCCTCGACTCCCGTGGCAGAATTAGCCACGGCGATCAAAAAAAGTCCGGATACACCGCAGGCTGAAGTTCCTGGCGAGGAACAGTTGATTGATCTGGCTTCTTCGAAGGGGAAGGCGGATATTGATGGAGTAGAAAATGGAGAGAAATCAAGCCCGGGCAGAACTGGGCAAGACATATGAATGGAAGGAATGCAAATAAGGAGAAGAAAGTATTGTGACGACGATGGTCATGGTCAAAAATAATCAGTGCGTGTTGAAGTCACAAAGATAGATGTCGAGAAGTCTTTTGGAGTTTGGGGAGGGGGATATTTGGCTGTATATCCTGGCTCTATGGATCTATATTTGCATAGCAATTGGAGTTGACATTCAAATGGCAACATGAACTTGAGAGTAGGGAGTCGTTTTGGTTTAGTAGATATTCAAAATTGTATGTACGTCAAAAGTGGGGTATATATTGTAGCGCATCATATAAAGTCACATATGCTCATCCTGAGACATGTAGCGTGTTAGGCAAAAGAAATATATCATTAGACCCAAAACATCAGAGATTAAAGAAACCAAGGCCAAGGTCCCTTATTTAACTCATTTGATAGAATCCATCATACTCAAGTCATTTAATTGTAAGGCTCGGGCGAGAACACCTTTCGGAACCGCAGGCGCGACAAATCCTTGATCACCTGCGAAGTCTGCTTCAGGTTCTGCTTCACAATCACGGAAGTAGGCTTCGAGAAAAGCTCGTCGATCTCCTCGAGAGACTTGTTCTTGGTCTCGGGCATGAAGATGATCTGGTAGAACCAGCCGAGAACGGCAATGCCACCGTAGAATCCGAGAGTAAGACCGATGCGGGTCATCGAGTTCATCATACCGGTGAAATTATAGGTGACGATGAACGAGCATAAGAATAGGTTTGCATCGGCGGTAGTCATGCCATAGTGGCGCAGGTAGGTCGGGAACACCTCAGATGGCACAACCCATGTCAGGCAGGCATAGGAACCGAAGAATCCCATGTAGAGAATGATACCAGTCATGTAAAGGCCCTCAGCTGCGGCAGGGTACTTGTTGTAATCGATGGTATAGCCCGCGCCGACGAGGACCAGGCCGATGAAGAAACCGGGAAGCATGGCATTGGCCCAGTAGCGGCGGCCGAAGCGCTCCATATACATGACGGCAGGGATGGTTCCGATGAGGATCGAGCCACCGCCCACCAGCGACATGAATACGGAGGTCTTGTCATCAAAGCCAATGTTCTTCATCAATGTGGACATGTAGTACATGATGGCATTAACACCAGTGAACTGGCCGAGGAAGATCATGATGTTGGCGTAGATGATAGCACGACGGGCACGGGGCTCAGTGAAGAAGTCCATCCAGGCGTACTTCTTGGTTTTAGCCTGCTCCTCTGACTCGGCAGTGACGGCCTGGCGCATACCCAAGAACTCGTCTTTTGCGGCGAAGTCGTTGAAGCCACGGATGCGCTTCCAGACAGCGTAGGCAGCAATCTCGTTGCCTTTGTGCATCAAGTAACGTGGGCTTTCGGGAAGGAAAAGCATGCCGATGAACAGGATGGTCGAAAAGACGAGCGATGAACCCAGGATGTAACGCCAATTGCCAGGGACGTCGACGAAAATGGCTGCGACTGCGTAGCCGAGGACTTCTCCCAGCGCAATGTTAAGCTGGTAGAGTGAGACGAGATTACCGCGGACTTTGCTAGGAACTAGACGCGAGAATGCTTGTTAGTGCTGCAAGATGGGGGTGGAAAAAAAATATATATGAAGACTCACCACACTCAGCGACATAGATTGGCACTGTACCACCCTCCAGACCGACACCCATGCCCAGAACGAAACGTCCCGCAAACATCATTCCGAAATTAATCGCACCAGCCTCCAGACCGGCACCAATGGTGTACAGAATACAAGAGATAATAATGGACATGCGACGACCAAGGTACTCGTTCGACGGAGAAAGGATCAAAGCACCAGCAACGGCACCGAGAGGCATGCCGGCGTTAACCAAGCTTGCCTGGGAGTCGGACAGGTTCAAGTCTCCGGGAAGATAAAGGTTAGCACCGGAGATGAGAGACTGATCCAGACCGGAGAGCAAGCCACCCATAGAGGCAAAAGCCACCAGAATGTAGGTGAACACAGCTGGGTTGGAGAATCTAATATTGAACTTGGACTGAGGAAGAGCCTGCAGCTGTTCCTCAAGTTGCTGGATCTCCGAGTCCATCGCCGCCTCATTCAGCTCGTTTTCAAGCTTCTGATCCTGCACGTCGTCGATCTCCAAGGCGCCAGCTTCCTTGTGGGCGTCGTGGGGCGCCTCGGCATCTTTGATGTCGGACATGGTCGGAAGACCGTCGCAGGCAAGACGACTATATATACTAGAGAGGGAAGATAGTATATCGATATAAGAAAAGAGATAAGAAAATGCTCTCTGTATGGAGGCCCCGAGTGGGAAATCAACCTGGAAGCAAGAAAAACGAGAAAATTTCAGGGAAGATCAGGATGCAGGAGGGGGAGGGAGAAATCAGGACTATTTGAGGCCGATCTTCAGACCACACCACCCGGGCAGACTACGCAAACATGGGTAAATGACAACCGGAAATTCGCTTTGGCGAGCAAAGCCTGACGCAAAGCAGAGACAGGAGTGGAGAAAAACCGGCGAAATTCATCTTCTCCCCCTCCAAAAATCGAAAAATCAAAAAGTCTAAAATCCCAGCCGGGGAACTCACATCTGGAGTATGGCGCTCCGTCTTTCGACTCCAGAAAGTGTGGAGAAGGACCCAGCCGGCCAACAGAGCCAACCGGAGAACCGGGCATCACCCGCAGGCCGAACCGATAAAAATGAGGAGAAGAAGGGGAGGCGAAAACGCGGGTGCTCACCGGGCATCCTAGAGTGACATAGCGTCTCCTTGGAGTATGCATCGTATCTGGTCGAGATTCCAGAATGTGGAGGAGGCAAGCCTGGGGAATTCGAGGGGCTTGATCGGGCATTTGAACGAATCGCAGCAGCGCAGATGTTTAAACTAGTCTGGCATCCCAGGAACAGAGTGGCAATGGCCCGCCCACCACAGCCTGTTTTGGTTCTCTTCAAGCTCCTATCCTGTCGGGATCTCACTTTTGAAAAAATCCCGGCTTCCCGTGCCCTCGTGTGCAGGGTTCGGCATGCAAAGTGGGTATTTCTCGTACGGTAGAAGACGTGGCCGAGTCCATGGGCCGATGGCCGGCTAGCAATATTCGGGGGCCCGCATGCCGAAAAAGAACCGGGCTCATCATGGTGGGAATTGCTTCGGACACTCTCCGGTTTGGGCGACGGGTAGCCCATGCCAGTCAAGACTATGAGATGACATTACGCAGCCGCAACGCAAGGTTGGGGGAACCCCATGGGACTCCAGCACTGGTCGGCGACACTTCGGCGAAAAGCACCCTCCACCTGGCGCTCAGGGACACCCGCAATGGAACCACAATCGGGTCAGCGATTGGATCTGTGGAAACCGAATCCCGCATTTCCCAACATGGGCAGAGCAACAGTGGACAGTAGAGGCCACCCATGGCACAAACACGGGATCGGGTGCTCGATGGTATAGTTTGGGTTGATCTTTCGCCCCAGCAGTCTCGGGGCGTTGAGAGCCTGCGGGATTTTCCCGTACTCTCACAAGCCGAGGGCGTCATTCGCCGGAAGGTAAAGCTTGGAGGTGGGTGGTGGCTTGGCCAAGCGGATCCAAGGAAGTTTAGTTCGTCGCAAGGGGAAAAAGTCGGAGCTCAAAACGGGGTGCAAGGAATGGACATCCCACGCGATGAGGTCCAATCATAGACCAAATTGGCCTCGTTTACCATGGCTCAGGAAACTAGATGTTGGGGGTGGCTCTCGTTGGAGATATGTTCCATGTCGAATATTGAAAGTGAGGGCGTCGAGTTCTGAGAAAGATTAGTTTGAGTCAGGTGATGCTATATACCTCTTGTGACCTCGATAGCCTGGGCCCAGCACAGGTCCAGAGCCCTCTAGCTCTCTGGTTCGTGCTTTTGTTCCCGGTGTTTATTTTCGACGACATGTGTGTCATTAGTAGGTGGCTAAACATTTCCCCTGCCATTTTTTGGTTTTAATAAACCGAAGCAACGATACCGACGTCTCAGAATAGTATTCTCATTCTGTTAGATATTGTCATACAGATGGCCAAAAATTCAACTGTGAAAACAGCAGGAACAACTGAAAGTTTCCCAGGCGCATTAAGGCATTGTAAAAAGCCCCTTGTGGGGGTAACAAACACCTATTGGTCAGCGGTACCTATTAATGACTCTGGCCAGACAATATATATATTGTGTTTTCTGACTGGCAAGAGGTAGTTCATCAGATAAGAAGAAGCGGCTCACACACCAGAAATCCTAGAAAAACACCCTACGTTCAACTTGCTGTCTCTCGGAAATACCTTTTCTCATTATTTGGTTTAAGGTATATTGTTATGTACAACTGTAGGTTCAAAAAAGTCCATTTCAATCAAGACGTCAAAAACTCCCAGCGCCATGCTCACGGCAATGCGATCACTTCAATGCATGTTCCTTGCCGATACTCACCACTGTCTCCCCGAGGAACCTACCGGCTTCCTCACACTAGGATCGATATTCGGGCTTGGAGACCGTCCGCCATGCAGCCTGGCGCGTAGCCGCTCCTGCGCAGACCCACCCCCAGCTCTCTCCTGGCTTGGGCGAGGAGACTGTGTAGTTTGGTATGATCCAGCTCGCTGGCTGGGCAAGGGCCGGGCACCAGCCGGGTGCATTGATCCGGATGGAACGGGCGAGTGAGAGTGTGCATGGGTAAGCGGTGGCGGCGGAGAAGTTGCTGGGCCGGGTGGTGCGCTCTGAGCGGGCGTGAGTGCCGGCATGCTGCTGCCCCCTCGGCCACGGCGAAGACTTGTTGTCTGTGGCGGGGGCGTCGATGATCCAGAGTCACCCCAGAGGTCACCAAGTCCGCCGCCCCGACCATAGCCGGCGGCTATGGGGGCTTGACCATGTTGCCCGGATGATGCCGTCGCAATGACACGGGTAGGCTGGGATGCTGCGGGGGCTTTGGGATCGGGAGGAAGCCAGGGAGGAAAAGAGCGACCCTTCTCGGTATAGTATGCTCGAAGGGCGTTGGAGATGTGCGAGCAGTCTTCATTATCTGGATCGTCCCCCTCATCGCCTAGGGTGATTGCGCGGCGAAGGCTGTTGAGTCGAGAGCCAAGAACATTGGAAATAGAGGATGACGAGGTGAGGGAAGACAGATATGAGCTCATTGCGACTGCGGGAGTTGTGACAGTTGTGTTGGTAAGTAAGGCCAGGCCGTAGAGAACAGCTTCGATGTGGGGTGGAGTGGATGCGGAGCTGCAACCCTGCAAAAATCCAGCAGTGTCAATGCGGAGCTTGGCGGTGGCTGATAGAGGCTTGAGGTCGGCTCGATATCACAACGGAAGATGATTAGATTTATGTTACCACAAAAGAGCCGGCTCTCGCGGGTGAACAGCGAAAGGATAAAAGGTCGCTTGCTAGAACAGAGTGGCGGGAGGTCACGGCACGTGATCTTATAGAGGCGTTTCAGAAGAATGGCGGGCAATTAATCTGCGGCGGTAACTATGAAAACCGAGCCTGTAGGAAGACAAAAAGGACATGAAGTGGTATTCGAGACCCGTATTGACATATATGTATAGAGCAATATGGGAATGCAATAACAGGGTATGATGCCCGATCACAGCTGACAAGAGAATAGGAAAATAAATGACAAAAATCGACCACAACGCCATGCAAGATCAAGTGAACTTTTCCCAAACCAATCAATGACAAGCTCATGCCATGAGATGCTCCTTGCCAGCATCCTCGGTCTCGTACTCGATCTCGACACGAGGGCCCTTCTTCCGCGGTTTCGCCTGAGGAGCAGGGTGCTTGCGCTTCGCCCCGGGCTTGGGCTTCTCGTCCTCGCTGGGGGCCTCGCTGTCCTCATCCTCGTCGCTCTCCTCGTCGCTCTCCTCATCGTAGTCATCACTCGAGTCGGCGGAGTCGCCACCCAGCCAATCCTCAATATCCTCCAGGTCTTCCTCATCCTCCAGGTCGCTGACATACTCAACCTCACCAACACCTTCCTCCTCATCCTCGATTTCTTCTCCGTCGTCCATATCCTCATCACGCTCACCCTCACCAGCACGCTCCAGACCACGGAGGACCTTCTTCCAGATACCCTCCTCCACGTTCAGTGGGCGGTCACCGTAGGCACCGCTGCGCAGACGCTCAATCAGTTCGCGCTCAATGGCACGTTCAACCTTTGCAGCAGATTCAGCCTTGCGCTCGCGGGTCGCCTCACGACGGCGAATTTTGGGTGCCAGCTTGGGCACGATCTTCTCGCCGAGGCGATCCTCCTCCTTGGCAATGTTCTTCATCCTGATGTTCACCTGCGTCAGGCGAGTGAGACGCTGTTTGCACTTGTGAACCAGGAATTTCGGCCAATAGATCATCCGCTCGTCGAGCTGCTCCAGAGCCTTGGCATAGTTGGAGGACAGGCGCACCCGTTCCCACCACTTGCTCGGCATGTGGGCTCGTTCGATAGTCTTCATGTACAGATACATCGCGCCAGTTTCGGGGTCGGAGCGTACTGTTGCGTACCGCGAATTGGCGAGTGGGCAGGACTGCCGATTGCACAGACCGGTAACGTTGTATTCATTGCGACAGAAATTTTGCCCTTTTGTGGTTCTGCGGCGCAGAAAAAAATTTTCTGGTTAGCTTAGTTGCAATCTAAGTTGCGGCTTGATACTGGGCCCAGTGATTGTCGATATTCTGGTGGAATCGTGGTGCAGAAAATTTAGAAGACACTCACTTGAGCTTATAGGAGCAAAATTGCTGGTTAATAACCTGCCAGACAATTTCGTCGGACATGATGGGCAAGGAATGTGTTGATGTTCGGTGCTGAAGAAGCGTTGCCCAGGTGTTGATCCAGAGAAAAAAAAAAGTAGTAGTCACGTGAGCGTGCTTATCGATAGGCGCACCGTGAATAGTCGAGCCGTACGCCGAATAAGAACGCCAAGTATTATGCATACTATATAGTACTTCTTCAAGGCCACAAGGAAATGGCGAAGCTGACTGAGGTTATACGATTATTTGCAATTCATATATCTGGGTACTGTAGCATCTATACTATGCTGACCAGCCCTCCTGGATCGAACCGTCCCACTCCGTCCCGTTCACAACATGATTGCTGAAGTCTGTCTCTTCGTCGGGCATTTCTTCAGCGAAACCCCAGCCCATCGATTCTAATTCGCGGACGAAGAAATCACGCTCTTCTTCCATCATGGATGCGCCTTCCGGACCGCCCATCACGTCCTTGTATTGACGTAGATGCCACCAGTGCGTCAGCCCACGAAGAGCCTGCTCAAGGGGTAGGGCTTCTTCAACTTCAGCATCAACGTCTGAACCAGCGAGCCAGTCGTCACGCAGCTCTGGTCGACAGTATAGGTAAATAGCCGTGATGACACGCATGTTACTTTGGCGCCATTTGCGACCGCAGTACGGGACCTGCGATTTGAAGAGTTTGAGAGTGTAGAAGCGGAGGTGGGGGTCCGGGATTTTGAGTCCCTTTCGGAGGATTGTGCTTGATTTGTATTGCACAAGAAGGAGGCAGCGGTGGGCCTTATCGCGTGTAATCTTCTGCATAATGTGAAGATAGTTGATTGCGGAGAAGAAATTGCGGAATGAAAAGATCGTAATGGGCTCCTTGGGGAGAGGGGCGGTTGGATAGCCTAGTTCGTCGACCTCCGGACGAGTTGGACAATCGAGAATGTCTGCGATGGAATCCTCAGAAGAAAGACCATGTACAGAATCAGGATTGGGACGATGGCGTGAGATTGGCGGTGGGACAGCTTCGTCCTCGCTTTCCGTGTCTCCAGCTGCGTCGTCCGCCCTAGCAGGAAACTCCGAATGTTGACTGCAGAAGTTGAAAAATCTATTCGACATTAATACCCACAACATCTGGATCAAGATTGACCTGCTCACGATAGATCTTTGCGGTCATTATTCTGTGCCACAGCCTGGTCCACATCCTGATGGGCGAACATCTTCAAGATCAATGGCAAATAATTCGAATCAAGGAGTAGCTGCGTCATATATTCAAATTTAAGAACATCTTCAAATATTAGCACTAATATAAGCAAAATGCGCACGAAAAAGGCTCACGAGATCTTTTGAACCACTTCAGTAGGAGAAGTAAAGTTCCAGATACGGCTTTACCAGTGATTTCCCTTAGTCGAACATTGTCGAGCTCATCGATGGAGGTATCAGGAAAGAAATCTGCTGAGGCCCCATTGAGGCCGTGGCCGTTACTGTTTATGATTAGTCTTAGTATTAAAGGATAAGGATAGTGAAAGTAGCCACCTGATGACGCTTTGGGCGCTTTGACCAAGAGCGCTCTGGGAATTTGCCTGGTTAACCACGGCACTGACGTTTGTCAAAATGATCTTCAGGAAAACGATGGTGATCGACTGTAGGTGCGCCAAAGTATGGGTCTATATGGGGAAGGAATTCTCGAGTTAGAATGAAAAGTAAAATGAGAGAACAGAATCAAACTTACATAAAACTCTTCAATGGAATCCAGCCGTCGTTGCACATCCGCATCATCCGTTTCTCGTACAGGCGTCTTTGGTTGGGATGAGCCCGTGCTGTCTGACAAATGCAAATTTTTGAAAGTTTCAGTTGTGTCATCAAGAGGCGAAAAATCAGGCACCGGCTGGACTTCAAAGTTCCAACCCCGGTCGTACTTCATAAAATTCTCGCGTTCGTCCCATAATTGCTGCATTGCGCGGGTCATCTTCACATGAGTAGAGAAAAGCTTTCCAGCTTCGATGATTGATGCGGGGACATCGCTGCCCTCCCATCGTTTCCCAACCAGGATATCCTGTCGTTCCGTAGTGCCTTTCCCACCAATATTATTGCTCGTACCATCTAAAGGGGGATACATCAGCGGGAAATTTTGGTTTGTCTGGTAATTTTGTTTCTTGCCAGCCTTTCCCCCTGGTCCAATTGGAGTTGGCGGTGGAGATGGTGCTGGCGTTGCAATGTGAACTGCCTGTTGGAGAATAGACCCGTTTCCACCGGCAATCGAGGGGCCAACTCCGCAGAAAAGACCACTGGAAGAATTTGCCCTACTGGGATGTTGTGGAAGGGGCGGTAGAATCGAATTGTTCTCGAGCTCAAGTGGAACAATAGGAGGAGGCGGATTGTAGGCGGGATATTTGGAAGTAATTTCCTGGCGGAAAAGGTGATAATCGAGGGGTTTAGCAGTCAGGAACGGTGTTCTGCGATTCGCAGTATCATCTTCGGAGACGAGACCTGGTTCCAAAACCTCCTTCGCTCTCTTTAATTGATCGGTGCCACCAAATACAAGGAGAATCGACTTCCACAGAAGAAGAATAATTCTAGTTAGAGGTATGTTGGCGGACTCGTCCCATCTCAGCCGCGCAATAATCTCAACAATGGTGACCAGCAAATTCGGTCTTGACTGGGCAAGTGCATCGCGAATTGAGGTATTTTGGGGATTCTGAGTCTCTTGTCTGCGGCCAACTTCGATGGTGAAGTAGAGTAGAGTAAGGACTAAGTTGGCTTCGCGCTCCGGCACAGATATATCACCGGGGCTAAGTCGCTCAAACTCAATCCCATCTGGATCGGATCCTAGTGAGAATCGATTCTTATCAAATAATTGATCCAATCTTGCAACCAGGAGTGGAATTCCCGAGCATTCTTGGACAAGTGACACGTTCTGCACAATCCACGCAATCTGTAGCGACTTTGATTGGGGTGTTTCCGCCGTTTCCTGGGAACTTGGGCTTGAGTGATAGTGCGATGCAACCCGCCCTGCCGTGATACCCCATACACCAGTCACGGCATAGCAGATATTCTCAAGCGCCTCCAGACGTACAGAAACATCAGCATGTTGGAGGTGCTCCAGTGCTCGAACGACGAAGTCTCGGCGTAGGCCCTCAGAAGTTTCTATCCATGTCGGTTCACTGGACTCGGGGGTATGTTGCTTGCAGAAGGTGGCCCATTGTCGATCAAAGGTTGACTTCATGCCCATCAACATAACACGGTCGAACTCGTTGTACTGGAACCATTCTTCCAGTTCATCTGGGAATGGCTGGGAATCTGCATATTCAAACGCATATGCCGGCTGTTCCACCTTGGGCATCTCTTGCACTAATTTCCGAAGCTGGGCTAGGCTCAGGGAGTCCGACGGTCGCTCTGCATTCTGCTGGACTGGGGCGGGAGGGGGGTTGTAACGGCGGAGGAGGTGCGGACCCATCTCGTCGCAATTCAGGCCGTCGATAGACTTTCTCGGGCTCGCTCGTAGTGGATGTCGTTATCTGTGTCGCAGTAGAGGCCTGCTCTTGTCGCAAACCCTCAGCGACCTCCTCCATTAATTGGTCGTCGGGCAGAGGGGAGATATCGGTGCCGGTCTGATCAACTTCGTCTGCTTTGACAATATAGTGCTCCGATGCGGCGTCATCGGCGACTGGCGAGGGGATACTCATCTTGTTGGCTTTCAAAAGGGATTGCTGTTACAAAAACACTTGGATGCGAATCGTGATGACAATGAGGGGATGAGAGGGATCTCTGGTCTCATCAGCGTGAACATCAGGGTGAACGAGAATAATGTAGGGAGGAAACGAGTCCCGGGTTCACACTGGCCTCGAGTAGCTGGATCATCTCGCAGCCTGGGCCATTGTGTGGTGAAGCGATTTCCAGCCCGGTGGACTGGTGGTGATTTGACACTGCTTGATAACCATCACGTGATCTACGCGTACCGCCGATCAGGTCAACCATGGATCTCGACTCAGTCGCCGACTGAATCAATCATACATCAGGTACCCAACCCCACACTCATACAACCTGAAACGAAAATGTTAAGATATTATTTTTGAGTTTATTTACTTAAATAACGACACAATGATACGGGTTGCGCTGATGTACCCTTGAAAACTTGCTTCAGTCTGTCTTGCGCACTTCACTGCGTCGTTGCTTCAATTTCCGTTCTTCCCATCGTTGCCAACCGGCCTCGACTAGGTCTTCACTTACCAGTAGATCTCGGACACGTAAGAGACGCGAGACCGTCAATTCGGTCGCCCAGTCAATCCATCCCAAGCGCCGAAGAAGGCCGGTGACTACGAACCACCCAAAGGCACATACAAGTCCCGCGCCGCAGCCTGCCAGTACCTGTCTTGGGGTATGGTAGCTCAGATAGACACGACTGGCAGAAACTGCAACTGCACTGGCGCACAGCCCCACCGTCAACGCCGCTCGTAGGAAGAAATCACAGTAGGGATAGGAGCCGGCGTAGGCTGGGGAGTGTCGAAACACCAGGAAAAGGGTCAGGTAGACCGCGAAAAAGGTCATAAATTGGGCATGAGACGACGGCATTCCGTAGCCCTTGCCAAACATTTCTGCCGGTCGATTTTGAATCAGTACAACCGGCGAGTGTGCTGCGGGGGCGAAAAAGGACAAGGCTGGAGGAATTGGGCATCCAACTCACCCTTCGGCCGCTCTTCCTTGATGATTCTTTTCAGCACGAAATTCAATGCTTCACAGCCCAGTTGTCCCGCAAACATCAATATGACCTCCATTTCTCTCGATGCCCATACCAGTGTCGCATATGAGACGCATAGCGCTTGTGGGACGAGGGCTAGCCATGCTGATGCAAAGGACAGCGTATCCTCGGGATTCTGATCGGCGCGTCAGAACTAAGAAAGTGGGCACAAGAAGCAAACCAACCCGGCACTTACATAATGAACATGCGTCAAAGACAGCGAGGCTAGAGGGGTGTCACCCATGGTGACAATGTGGGCTGGTCAGGGGAGGTTCTCGAAAGCACAGCGAGTTGTGACGGAGGTATAGGTGCCGGGCCGATAAGATAGGGATTCTTTGCTAATCGTCGAAGGCGGGAAACCCTCGGGTTCTTCTTGGCATCGGACCAAATACCAACACACGGTTCCCAATGCTATCCTAATATCCGCAGAGAGTTCGATTTATTTCTTTTAGAAATCAAGGCGGTATATCAACTGGACTCCAATACCGAGTGGTGGTTTATGTATAATGCTGGTAGAGTCAATCTGTCTTCCAACCCTTAATGCAATTACTACACTCACTGTATGACTGGACGATGGACAGCCTGGGAAGAACTCTGCTAGCCTTGAGTTGGCCGAATCTACTAATCTAGAGGTTAATTTAATTTACCGCAGCCCGTTTTGCCTTCCTCCTATGTCTTCCTGGTATCACTGGGAATGGAAAATCTAAATCTTGCAGGTGGAACGCGAACTGGACGTGAACTATATACGCTTAGATAATCACCGACGATGTGGCGGCGGAAAAGCAAAAGCGGCGCGGCGGAGGGGAAGCGGTGCCTCGATGACACAAAAATATTCCCATCAGGCACCAAAGTGTCTCGATTTCTTCCTCCTCCTTTTCCTTCCTTCTCTCTCTTCACCTTGGCCCCTGCCTCCCCATCACTGTCACCTCACTGACTGAATTCAAACCATGACGCTGCCCTTGTCCTTCTATACCCCCATCCTGTTACATCATTCCATAGACCCCTCTCCAGCCCAGTGGGCTCGCCTACACCGAGCGCGAATAGTCCGCACCAGAGTACCGTGATCTCCGGTTGGTGCTTGCCACAGACCAGGGTGCTCAAATTTGCAACACTGATTGAAATACTTCTCTTACAGGCCAGAATTTCTCCATTTCTGCCCGATCGCCACACGGTGGTGACGAAAATCGAACACTCGCTGTTTTTCATAGCTTTCCTGTATGCTACCCTTCTGCCACGGCAAGCCATGGTCGTCACCTCTTAAACCCCAGCGGAATTCAATCCCTGGCATTTTGCCGATACAATACGAGCACAATCCCCAAGGCCTTCCTTTCCTGACATTGTGTCCAAAGACAAGGCTGGTTCCAGGATGTCCGAATCCCCATCCGAAGATGACCGCTCCGTCGAGTTGTCCTCCATCGCCGCCATCTTCCCAGAAATCAAGATCGACCCCGACCATTGGTTCAATGCTACGCTAGATCTCCCCGTAAACCTTCCATCGCCGACTCAAGTCTGTTTCCAGCAGCCGCTCGATGTGGGAACATCCGCGGTGCTCACCCCTCCAACTTCCATTGATGGCTCCAAGGCTGATCTGGACCTGCCGCCCGTTCGCGATATTCATGTACTATCACACTTACCTCCATTGAACCTGAAGATCCAGTTACCCGATGGATACCCCTCCGAGAAACCTCCAATTGTCCAGCTCACCACCCATCCGTTATGGTTGCCACCCTCAGTCCTGACAAAGCTGACCCAGGACTGCAATCGCTTGTGGGAGGAGTGTGGACATGACATGGTCGTTTTTACTTATATCGATCACCTTCAACAACTCGCTGAGTCGGCATTCGGAATCCAAGACGGTTCTGGCGCAGAGTTATGTCTATCTCGAGACCTGAAAATTGCTCTACTTGATTTCAACAGCAAAGCTGAACGCGAGAAGTTCGAGCAAGAAACTTTCGAGTGCGGCGTCTGTTTAGAACCAAAGAAAGGCTCTATATGCCATCGCTTGTTGCGGTGCTCCCATGTTTTCTGTATTCCCTGTCTTCAAGACTTCTATAACACCTGCATATCCGAAGGCGATGTGGACAGTGTGAAATGTCTATCTCCAGACTGTGGACGAAGCCAAAGCCCAGTACTGCCGCCCAACGATGAGGCTCAGACTCCTCGTCACAAAAAACGAGACCGAACTCTCGGACCCAGCGAGCTTCTCCAGATTCCACTGGCCACGGAAACTGTGCAGCGATACGTGCTCCTCAAACGCAAGAAGAAAATTGAATCCGATAAAACTACTGTTTATTGCCCCCGACAGTGGTGTCAAGGAGCTGCTCGATCAAAACGACACCCCAAGCCTACTGATCCAATGGCAGATGATGCCGATTCTGACGACGGTGAAGAAACCTCCCTTGCCCCTACTAGGGTAAATGAGGAACTTCCCCCAGTCGCAGAAAGAGTGGCCATTTGCGAAGAGTGCAATTATGCATTTTGCAGTGTCTGTCGGAAGGGCTGGCACGGAGAACTAATTCGCTGCCTCCCGCAACGCAAGGTCGACGAGCTGACGGCTGAAGAGAAAGCAACCGAAGAATATCTTCGACTATACACTTCCCAGTGTCCTACATGCAGTGTACCCTGTCAGAAGCGCATGGGTTGTAACCATATGCGTTGCTTCCAATGTGACACCCATTTTTGTTACCTCTGCTCTGCCTGGCTGTCACCACAGAACCCCTACAGCCATTTCAATGAAGGATCTAGCACATGTTTCAACAAGCTATGGGATCTTGAAGGGGGCGATGGACTCAACCCTGAGGGTGCCGAGGCCCTTCATCAAATCCCCGACGCCCTCTTGATCTTCGATGACGATGACAACGCCCGCCCCCATGATGCAGGTAGCGACAATGAAAGCACAGACTGGAGCGAAGATGACGAAGATGAGGACCGTCCAGTGTGGGATTTCGACTTCAGTGATGATGAACATGAACGCCATCACCGTCCGCCGCCGCCAGCTCCTTTCCCGCCTCATGTCCACCGGGCAGGTCGCGGACTCGGGGCAAACAACCCGGCCATCGACGCCGCTGTTCGTGCAGCAATGGAGCGCGAAGTGCAGGCTCGTGCTATGATAGAGATACGTAACCGGAACCGCCCGGCGCCCCATGTTGGTCAGGATCAGGTCCGCAATGCTGCAGCGCAAGATCCCCCGCGGGGAATGATCGGGCTACAACGCTTCCTGGAACTCGTTCGGAACGACCGTGAAGATGAATGGGACAGTGACGAATTGGAGGATTTCTAGAGCTGTCTGCCGTTGCCATCCAATTATATTGATGAATGGATGGTTGAACATATGATGATAACTTTTGCATTGCATTGAAATTCGGTTAGGCGATGTTATTATGAGCTATGATTTTACATGAGTTTGATGAATGCTAGCATGATGAATATATTTTAGTAGATTCCTCTATTTCCTTCACTTCGTGTTTAAGCAGAGCATTGGTAATGCCAAGCTTGATTTTCTCGTATTTTTTTCCTTTGTTGAGGTTGTCCAAAACATTTTCTTGTTTCAATATCAGTGTTCGAGTTGCCTCAATCTCTTTCCTTATATTCCCATTTTTTAGTGACCATCAAATATATGCCCCAGATGACAGGCAGGTAAGTTGATGTCTTCTAGTCGTGAAGATCCTCAGCATAGAAGTGAGGGGAGGGTCTACAATCTGCAAATTGGGAATATTGTAACGATCTTATTGATACAATGGGCTCAGCCTAAATTGCCGGCAGGATTCTAAGACTAGGATATATTAAGCATCGATCGCTCGTGGGGACATTCGACCGGCATCGATTAAGCTTTCTGCAAAATTCAATCCTTCCAGTCATGCCAAAACTCGTAGCTCATTACTGTATGGTCGCAGTAGAGCAGAAGTAATCGATAGTGGCGAGATGCGTGCCAGCCATGCCAGCGTTCCTTGGGACGATATGTTTGTGAGGCACACGCATGGAGTTCAGGGAGTGTGTAATCCCAGTGCTCGTCATCTAGTTCTGCGCTTTGAGGATGATCCCCTGGTATGGAGGAGTTGGACTCTGAGTCTGACTCGGCTGTAGATATGGAAGGATTTTCGTTCTTGGTACGGCTCGATCTGGGATCGGGTTCTCGCTGGTCAAAGTGATTAGGAATTGTCGTTGTAGCAGGAGAGGTGGATAGAATCGAGGATTCGAAGGCGGGAGATGGTATAGAAGATGGGGGTTCATCATTTTCGGTATTGATAATACGGTAGTTGAACTTGATCCAATCGGCGGGATCGACATCCCTCGGGATGCATGGGACGTCTGGCGGGACTTCATATCCTGGCATAGGGCTGACAGCCATACCAAGAAGTGGTATGATGGGCCGTTCGGCATCACGCTCTTGTGTATAGAAAGGGACGATCCAATCGAGGCGAAATGCGTATCCGATATTTTCTTGCCAAGTAAGACAAATTATCGCAACGCGGCCTTTTTGCGAAGCGGCTACCACGAGACCAAGTTCGGAAATGTATTTGACCATATTAAAACGGTCACATGCAGAGCTTATCTCGAGGTCAAAGGAGACTCGTTGAAATAACGGTGTTCTGCAAAGAAGATGATAATCGGAGTCCATTGGATATGGTGCCATGCTAATATGATGCTCAGAGAAATGGATGACAGGGAAGAAAGCAGGGTCTTTTTTTGCTGGAGATTAGAGATGTGCAATTAGTAATGTATTTAAGAATTGTCATGTTTGAATTGTAGCTCTTACGATGGACAGGCCTAGTCTTGAAAGTTTTGAGAGTCGGATCAGAACCCGTTTCATAGTCATAGTGATAGCCTGGGTGCAGACAGGGTGATACAAGATAGTGTTTGTTCTCTTCTTCGAAAATTTTTGACATGGATCGCTTCACTCGTACAATTCGGTTTGATTCTTCGCTTTCGTCATGCTCAGATCCGAAACTGTTCTCAGATTCGGATTGGGATATCTGCGGTGCAGCAGAGGAATGAGTTTCTTGGATATCGAGATAATCCTTCTCCGAGGTTGTAAGAGAATGAGATTCAAGACAGCAGTCCGATGAAAAAACATCATCTGGCAAATCACTAGTCGCTGAATCCCTGTTGCGAGGACTAGTCGAGGTGGAATAGCCAAAGACAAATATCTGGGATGCGTCCGAAACATTCTCGATCCCTCTTGACACATCTAGGATTGTACGGCTGCCAATAAGGAGAGATCTAGGTTGGCAGCCGCAAGCTTCTTCCTTTGAACCGTAGCGTTTGAATGTGCGTGGATCCAATGGGATCACCGTCCAGCCTCTCTGCGGAGGGTTATTCATTGGATGACCAGGATAGTATACCCTTGTTGGTCCTAGATCATCCCAGATCCTCCAAATGATAACTCGATTGCTGATATCCGTACTGACCATCCACATGCCGTTCGCATCCAGATCGAAGTTGGCAAACGATATATGGGGGATATTGTCAAAATGGCCTCTGTATGTTAATCGTAAATTCCGAGATCGATGATGGTACGGCATTAGCTTCTGTAGATCTTTTAATTGCTTCACATGGTTGATAGACACCCAAGTATTATCTGACGAGTTTTGACCTGATGGACCCATGTTCAGAGTAGTCGAGTCTGTTTCATAGGACGGATCATCGTTATCACCGGACTTCGACTCTACCAGAGCAAATGCATAAACCGTGATCTGGCCAGTGTTTGCACTAACAGCAATTAGGCGAGCAAACTTATGAGTAGCTAATCCCCAAGCACTCATTCCGACATTTTCCACGAAGAATGGGTTCACTTCAGAGCCATCGAAGGGTCGTTTAAAGTTCGCCTCCGCGCAGCGCTTGACCGCGGAGTATATGGCCTCCACATGATAGCCACAAACATTGCCAGAGTCAGTTGCTAGTAAGAGAACTTCATCACGGCCCAAGTCATCGACAAGGATGTTGTTGATAGTATGGGGGTTTAATCGGTCAATGTAACCAGCGGCGCGGGGGTTCTGCATCAATGGTTTAATGACCATCTCCGCTTGGGATCCCAGTAGTTGGAAGGGCCCAGAAGGTATCCAGACATATATATCGCATCCATTTGCTGTGAATAAGATGTTCCGCCGCTGAGAAGAGGCCGCCTAAATTTACACTGGTCAGTCGACCTATCATTTATTCGCACGAGGAAGCTTCTAACCAAATTGCTGCGCCAAGTAGCCACCGGAGGGCCTGGGACATCGTTTTTACTTCCATTTCCATCAGTATATTTCTTTCAAGCCCTCAAAGGCGCGCAAACCTACAATGAGAACTATCTTGGTCAGTTGAACTCCCTCACGTGAGATATGCAAGGGCACAGTGGCTCACTCTTTGGTCTTCTTGTTCGACATTCAAAGCTTGAATTTGAGACTGGCGATAAGCAAGGCTAAGGGAGACCTCTGGGTCTAAGCCGACTTGGCTGGAGGTAGTCATTTCCTAAGGCTAAGGGAGCTTGTCTCCAGCGGCCGACTGTGAGCAGTCGTATTTCCACAGATGTGCGCGGTGGGAGTCGGGGAGGGATAAGGAGAGGAAAGAAGGGGAAGAGAGTATTGTTGTCATTGCAGAAAAAAATTCACAAGAGGCAGAATGAAGACAAGAATCAAAAGTGTTCGTACAAAAGGACATGATCAAGTCAAAACATGAAGGGTCATTATCGTTGACAGCGGGGATCGGATGTGGAGCAGCCGATGATGAAATCCATGACCTCACCGCCTTCCTCCGCAGTCTCTCATTATCTCGAACTTCAAAGCGCCAAAGCTCTCACTTTTGCTTCACGACCGACCCAATCATGGACCTGGTAGCAGGAGTACGCAAGGAAGGCAGCCGGTAGACTTATCTCTCATTGATGATCATTGGTACATCCAACTAATTTTCCCCTCTAGCGGCGGCCGCGGCGAGTTCAAATGGTCAGATGTCAAAGACTCGTCCCATCGCGAAAATTATCTGGGTCATTCAGTGATGGCTCCAGTTGGACGGTGGCAACAGGGCCGTGATCTCCAATGGTATGCCAAGGGTGATGAGGATGAAGAAGAACGCGCTCGTAAACAAAAGGAGGAGTTGTCACGCGTCAAGGAAGCCGAAGAGGAGGCAATGGCTCTTGCGTTGGGGTTGCCTATACCACCGAAAGCCGACGCAAATGCGAATCTGACTCCTCTCGGGGGTGGTGACAAGACAAAGGAGATAAGAGAAGATATGGCTCGGGCAAAAGACTCAGAGACCCGAAGAAGTCGCAGACATCGGCGTGATCGCAGCCGTAGCCCACGCCGGGAGAAACGAAGTGATCGCAGTGAGGATCGAGGACGAGACCGAGATCGCAGGTACCACGGACACCATAATGACCAAAATGGGGATCGAGATCACCGTCACCGCAGCCATCGACACCGGTCTCGTGACCGGGGTCGACGGAAGCGATCCAAGTCGCGCTCCCGAGATCGTGATCACCATGATAACGATCACCGACTACGACGAGTTGAGCGCAGCTATTCTCCGGCAGAACGTCGACGTGATCTTCAGCGCCGTAGAGATCGACAGGAACATGACCTCCGGCGTTAAGAAGCAAATTTATACCCACTGATTTAGTTCCATTACATCTACATTATCCAAGTCAAAGGCCGGAAAATCGACCCATCTCGGCAAATTTATGAATGAACTTGATTTTCTTTCTTCGGGTCGGGTTTGCCAGTCAAGGAAGCTATGCCGCAGTATTTCAAATAGGACATCCTCTGAAACCCACATGGTATAGTTCCAACTAAATATGGAGTAATTGCCTTGGTGCACACAAAGAGCAAAGCTCTTACTCGCTATCTAATCTATGCAGCAAATTTAATTTACATCCTATGACCGTCACCTCACAGCTCATCGTGGGCAGTTTTTGCGTCCTTGTGTAGATCAGGCATAGACATCATGTTCACCACCATACTGGTCCAGCCGGTAAAGTGCTGATTGCGTTGTCCATTGCCCGTTTCGGGATTATACTGCTCCCAGGCAAACCCTGTTTTCTTCCATTCCCGAAACACGATCTTGACCAAATTCTCTCGCAGATCGGAGTACATGTTTCTAGCTTGTTCCTGATGGGGACCGCCGACGGTAGCGATATCCTGGAAAGGGACATGTCAGCGTCAAAAGACCGGAGATAATCTCAAAGAGAAAAGCACTTACGTGAAGATTCTTCAACACCAAGTAGTTGATTGGCATCCAAACCGGGCTTCGCCAATAGTTCTCTTCGGTGCCATAAAACTCGTCCTTCTTGCTGAGGCTGCGAATACCATAATCGCTCCATAGCTCCTCGGGGTCACTGATCAGGTCCAAAATAGCCTTAAGGCGAGGACTGTCAGGGCTCAACATGCCAGTTAGGAAAGGGAAGATTGAGATATAGCCCTTGTGGCAGACGTGCACACTTTCCTCGAACGCATCTATTGTTGCGTCACAGAATGTCTGCGCGGTTTCATCCCAATGTAGGTCATCAATGTTGCGTGAAATGGCAGTCTCGTAGTACGCGAACTCCTCAGCATCTTCTTCCTCACCCAGGGCTTGCGCAATACGCCGCATTGTGCGGGTCATCATACCCATCCAACTAATGAGGTCCACATGCAGCTCACCTGGGTGTGGCGGCTGGGCTCTGGGATAGTCATCGAGACCCGAAGTCAGAACATGCTGGACAGAGCGTCCACGCCAGCGATAAGCTTCCTTAGTAGAGAAGGCCTCACGATCGTACGACTTGATATCGCCACGCTGGGTGCTGCGGTACCAAAAATAATGCTTCTTCATCAGAGGGTAGAATGAGCGGAGGTAGGCATCCGAAAGTTCGGGGTTCTTGAGAGTAGCGGAGCGCAGGGCTTCGGCCACATCACCATTATCCAGTGTATCCGATTGAATGCTCTTGTTGCTCTTTGCCTTGTCCATGAATGCTTCAAGTGCCATGAACAGGGTGGGCGGGTTAGCATAATGAGGGTACTGAACAGTAAACTCCGGTGGAACTTTGCTACGAGCTTCTTGTCCCAATATTTGTTCACGGGCAATCCACCCATCTTCATCCATCAAATGGAACCAACTCTTGATTATCTCAAGCCTGGGAACGCGGGTCAGCTAGAAATCAACAATCGAAAACAGCAGCAGTACATACGCAAGGTCAGAATCATATTCCATAACGGGCATCAGGTGAAAGCCTTCATCCCAAAGGAAGCCTCTAGGGAAGAAAGGACGAGAGGGAACACATGTGAAAAGGTCCTTGGGTCCCTCAAAGACTGGTTGAGCCGCCGCGCGAGCCTCTGCAGTCTCCTCCCAAAAGCCTTCATTCTCCTCATCATAAGCAGGAGAAGCCGATCGATCAACGACGTCATCGCCGTGGAAGTATCCAATGCCTCCAATCAGGTTGGAAAGCATAGCTTTGGAAAATTCCGAATACTCCGCTGAATCAAAGGGGGCTTTCGGGGCAAGCACCTCATTGAATCTTGCAGAAAATGACAGTAGAGCATCATCAAGCTCTTTGGTGATCATTTCCGCTAGTTGAAAAATGGATCAACATCATGATAGGTTTTGTCTTCAAGGGAGTAATACTTACAGGTCAGAGGCTCCGGAGCGGAGCCGGAAGAGAATAGAACATCGAACTAGCATCGATTAGCCAAACTTTTTTCTTTTACCGAGGAATGCATTCGAATCTATACCTCAAAGGCACCAGTGAAAATCTTTTGGACAAGATGAACATTGCCACTTCCAGGAGCGTGCTTGATGGTAAATAGCTGTGCTGGGGGTGGGGGGTCATCTGTTCCAAATTCTTTGATCGTTTTTTCGACTTCGCTCTTCATCTGAGTGAATAAAATTCCTGGTTTGTAATTAGTTTTAGGGAAAGAAGAGGCTGGTTTGGCAAAACACACCTTTGGCTTGCCAAAGATGTTGCTGTGGCATGGTCGCACTCGACACAAGACCCTGGCCCAGGGGCTTCTCCTCATAGCTAGAATGATCATGCTTAAAGTACTCATTGCTATCCGGGCCAGATTTTACATCAATGGTGAAGTCTCCAAGCTCAGAAGAGTAGCCATTGAATCTCATATCACCCTCGATAGGAGAGCTTGTTGACACAGTGGTTTCATCAACGTCCAATTGGCCCAGGCCTTCAAGAGTTGTATAAAAGACCATTGAAATTGGCTGATCAGGACTTCCATCCTCACGAGGAACTCCCTTCACCCGGAATCCCCAGCTGCCTCCGTGCTGACCACCAGGCACCTTAATGAAATCAATTGTAAGGTCGAGATTATTGCCGGCATCGTGGATTGTCTCGCGGCCGCCCTTTCGAACATCGTACTGATCCCAGCCGTATCCCGCCATGCCTTCATTTTGCTCGCAGGTGTGTCTAAAATCTTCACTCGAATGTCAGCAAGCAACCAGGGGACAGAAATGCGGTGTAGAGTGGAGGAGGTTGATACTCTGTTGCGCAGTAGCAAAATCATCGACCTTAGCCCACATCAAGCCTGCAGTCAGACTGTTCGCGATCCGCGGCCGCACTCCAAAGTAGAGGTTTGGCTTGTAGGGACCCCATAGGAGCGACTCGTTGTTGGCGCGCGCGGCCTCTTTGATCAAGACGGAGACATCGTTGGGGTCTTGGCTAGCAATTATCCCAGTCGCGTATAAAAGCGATGTTAGGATAAAGTAAATCCTGAAATGATGCATCATTGGCTGCATCATTCAAAGGAGAGACATTGGATAGTTGTCAAATTCAAGTGAGCGGAGCTGCTCTTCACTCCGCAATTACGTGGCCCGAGCTCCGGCGGCGTGTAGGGCCCGCGGACAGTTGCGTCAAAAGTTTTTACTCCCCACCGATTTACTGATAGAATAAAGTGACCATTCCGCGGCCAATTCAATGTTTACATGTCCCATACGGCCAATTCTGTGTACGTGGAGGTCTAAAAATATGTTGTGATTATAGACAGGCTATATAGATGTTGGAGTACGTATATTCAAAATTGGTCGCGCGGATCCAACGAACCAATCTTTGCGCTTTTGGCCTGTCCATCAAAGACAAACTCACTCATGAGCTTTCCGGTTCCGGGTCCATTCTGGATGCCCCAGCAGGTATGGCCAGCGGCAAGATAAAGACCCTTTGTATGGGTATGGCCAATCAATGGCCCTCCTCCATGGGCACAATTGGGCAGATAGCAGGCTTGTCGCGTCCGGATTTTCCCATCTCGAAGTTCATCCGAGATACTCCCGACTTGGTCAATGATCTCCTGGCAACGTTCCTGATCAACCTCGACTTCAGCAGAGGTATTTGGTAATGGAATATTCTTGTCACCGTCACCGCAAGCGTAAACGGTATCGTCTGGGCGAGCGTAGATCTCCGGTGCAGCGACAGTGGGCCGCGACTTCTTTGCGGGATTGAAGTTGGCAGGGATTTCTATGTTTGTGAAAAGAGCATAAGCGCTGACAGGCCTCGTAGGTTCGATCACTACACTGTGTGCACGCATTGCGGCAATGGGAGCTTCTGGGAGAATGGTCTTGGTCCAAGGACCGGCAGCCACAATCACGTCGGTAGCAGCAAGAGTGCGTGACTCGCCAGAAGCTTTGTCGGTATATGTCACTGACTGGACAGTATCGTTCGGACGAGATATATCCGTAACTTGTCCGAGTATGATCTCTGCGCCCTTTTCTTCTGCCAGCCTGGCCATTGACATTGTAAATAGATGCGGGTGCACCTGGGCGGTCTCGCCTGGCCCACCCATACTTTCGTAAGCTCTCAAGAGATTGGGCTCAATCCAATCCAGATCCAAGGGGATTTTGGCTGACTTGAGCTTAGAAACTGCAGCTGCGCTACGCTTCTGCAAAGATTCGCCCTCCGCTTTCGCTTCACTCTTCTCGGAGAGTGCGCGGCCTTTGACGACAAGTTGACCGCAGTTTGTTTCTCGATATCCCCATCGAGTCTTACCATCATGTTCTTTTGCCAATTTTGCATGGAGTGAGAAGCTAAGGTCCACGATGTTGCTTGGATAAGCCCATTGCGCTAGAAGCCCGCCCGCTTTGCCAGATGCTCCGCCAGCAATATCGGAGGCTTCAAGAAGGGTCACTTTATGGCGGACAGGGTCGTAAGAGGGATGGCGCGTCAAAAAGTATGCAGAGCAGCATCCAATGATTCCGCCGCCTGAGATTAGAAATTCATGGTTAGTTGCTCTGTTTCCAGGACGAGTTGTGCGGGGTACAACGCGCGCAAACCGGAGGATCTGTACTCACCGATAACGACAATCTCGCGGCGATCCTGATCGGATGGCATTTTTATTGCCTGCGCGAACCTGGATCTCAGTAACCGTGTTGAAGCCACGTCTTGAAGGTGGGAATGAACAAGGAGGGGAGATTCTGTGCTGGCCAGTTTTATCTACGTCACTACGCGGGACTGGGGTATATCTAGTCATGTGCTGCGGGCTCCAACACAATATCCATCCAGGTTTATAACACGGTATTACCAGTTACTTTTTTAGGTTCAATCGCTTGAGGGTCCATGGATATCATGGCATTGATAAAGTCACAGAATTTTATCGTAAAAATATGAGTACAAACCGGGGATACCATGCTCCGCGAAATGCAAGTCTTGCTGAACCGAATAAAAGATAGATGAGCTATTTCCCCCAAAGATATAGTGCATGAATAAGATCCCCGTGTGAAGAAATCACCTGGACGGACTAAGTGGTCGGTTGAAACCGCCTGTGCGGTTCATGTACTGTCTGTATTCGGTTTTCTTCTCCTTCCGCACGCCGTAAATTTCATTGCCAGGCACCTTCGTGTTTTTGGTGCTCCGGAAACTGGCGAACCCCATGCTTTTACGCATCATTGCTTCCATTTCATCTTCATCGGCGTCTTCTTTGAAGTCGATATCCATGTCGTCCATAGAGCGACCGTGGCCAGATGTGCCATTCGCCTGCCGCCCGTCCCCTCGAGAACGAATGTCTTTGCGATCGGAGCGACGGTCCCCTTTGTCGTTGCGCGATGGTGGAGATCGAGACCTTGACCGAGTATTTGCACCATTTCGAGCCGGAGATCGTGAGCGGTCACGGAATTTGTCGCTCCTAGCCGCATATCCTGTATTGAGATTGGAGGTTAGCGAAATGCGCCTGGTTAGTAGCGTTGGGTGATAATGATTTATACCAACCTCGTCGGTCATGTCCACGGTCTCTGCTGGTGCTTCTCTTCCGGTCCCTTGCGCCACGTCCATCTCTATCCATGTCCCTTCGGTCTCGGTCTCGATCACGGTGATCTCGAGACCAGCTCCGTTCACGCCTTCTATCCTTCCGATCTCGGGATCGCGAACGGTAACGATCATCTCGAGCGCCATCTCGCCGTTCCTCTCGAGGGGCTGGTGAGCGCCTCCGGTCAGGCTCTGGTCCTGACTCAGCCGAACGAGTTCTAGAGTCATTCATATCCCACATTGCACTGCTATCGGCCCGCCGGGCACGTTTTGCAGGGGGTTCTGCCATGCTGGTTGCCCGAGAGAGACGGGATGTGTCGCGCAAAGCGTTTGTGGTGGGCGGCAGCAATAAGCTCGCGCGAGGATTGGGCTCAAAATTCGTCAGATTCAATTGCTAGAGATGAATGAAATGGTATTAAGAGGTATTAGAAAAAAGCATCATTAGGGGAAAAAAGTCTGAGGATTGGGAGGTGTCGCGCCGTCAGGGCCGACAAGCCGGGGAACGCAGCTGGTGGAAGAGAAGTTTATTCGGCCGCCCAAGCCAACCATTTGCGCAAATGCTCTACCATGAACTTCCTGATGAGCTCGATCATTTGCCTTTGCTTAGAAGAGTTCAGGCCGAAAGTTAATTTTGCCAGTCTTTAGCTGGAAAACTTATCTTCTGTTCAAAATATATGAGATTTGACTTTTTAATTTTTTTTTCTAAGAATCTTGGTTCTCCCTAGGCTCATGTACTGTGACCTCAACGACTATATGAGGCCGGGCTCATACAGTCTTCTTGCCCCGAGCAATCAAGGCAACTTTTAATTCAGGATCCCCATTTTTTGGTGTTAAGTAGGAGCCCCTTGGAAGAAAGACTGGTTGTAGATCATCTATATCTGTAAATATCCAAGGAAAGCTTTCTTTGGGTGTATCTGCTATCCAGACAGAGACCTGGTATCTTTGATCTCTCCTCTTTGACATTTAGGTCCTAATTGTAGTATCGATGCTACTACGTTGAGTGCTTTCGTGCAATTTTCTACGAATTCCTATAGATTTGGACTTCCTCGGCCTCGAATATTTCTTAGAAGCCAATCCTCTGCTTTTTCCTTGCTCCTAATTTTCTCTTCGTTAGCCTCAGCAGCCTAGGAACATAATCAACCCAATTTCAGAATACCATTTATCTTTGTTCTCATAATGGGATAAAATTATAGGTCTATGGGCGGGTTTATAGAGATGAGGGCTTAGCAGAATGCTAGTCTTCTAGTTCCCAATTTTAATAAGAGATTTAATGCCTCATTTTTGAATTCTTTTATGATTATGTACAGATTTTGATATTCATTTCAAGTCCATAAGATTGGAATCAAGATTTACTGTGCAAATACTCTCCAATATATGAAAACAATGTTGACTTTTGCTTGGATGAGGCTGCGGCTCTTCTGCGAGAGGCTCTTCTCGAGATCGATTTGTGTACTCTATTCTCCGTTCTGTGCTCCGAGAGAGTCAGTGCATTGATAAAACTTTGAGATTGGACATAATCATATGCATTCGTCCTGTTGCTTCTTCCTGTTTGATCAAGATGCTTGTTGTCGATTAATGTGATATTACGGGTCAGTCCACTCATTCCAGCTTTTTTTTTTTTTTAAAAAAAAAAAAAAAAAAAAAAAAAAAGAAAGAAACAAAAAGGAACAAGTGAATTGCTCATTGCTTTCGTCAAGCCCAAGAACAAGACTTCTTTGAAAGGGTTTAGCTTCGGCGTTGTTTGTTTCGGCAATCAGAGTTGAGGGTTGAGTCGAATATGTATGGACATATCTTCGGCCATACATGCATTGAGTAGCTCTTATGAAAGATCTCCTAGGACCAAAACCTCGCTATTTATCCCTTAACAAAGGCCTAGTACTTGGATATCTCAAATTACAGCCACCCAAATTCGTGGCCTATTAATCGCAAAAAGCTATCGAGTGGATGGGAGAGCTAGAATTCACAGCAAATAGCCCGGGTGAGTCGTCGAGCCGTGGAGGCGGCGAAATTTTTGCAAAGGCGGACGACCCCACATCGCACCAGCCTCGTCTTCCTTAAAGCGGCCAGCCAGATCCAACTTAGGATAAGACTGTGTACAATGGCTCCCAGCAATCTCTCTCACAGGAGGACGCACAATCTGCTTCTGATCTCGAAGTTGTTGAGCTTGAGAGATACGGCGTCACCGCTCACGCTGCTCCAAGACTCGCTTGAGCAACCCGCCACACCCCTCATCAAGGAGTATATTCGACGAGCGAAGGTGATTGCAATGCGCTACCATTTTTGAGCCGTGCCACTATAGGCTCTTGTTTGAAATGAATAATATTGACGTCTTCACAGCTTTCCAAAGTCCATATTACCCTAGTTGCGTTCGAAACTCTGAAGCGGCCGGATGGAGTCGATGCGTTTGTATCAGCTCGTCGAAAGAGCCCGGCAGACATCATCAAAGAAGTAACGGCTGCTAGTCCATCTGCCACGACGACCAGCTCATCGCGACGTGAGTCCTCTATTCAGTTTACCAACTCAATCTAGCTTGGTAATCATGCTGATTGAATCATAGGTCGCCTCATCATCATTGATGCTATCAATCCTCTTCTGAGCTCAAGAAGGCTAGACCCAGGTTTTCATTTGCCTTCATTCCTAAGCTCGTTCATAGCTCCAGTTGGCCCTGCAATGGCGACGGCCGAAGCTGCGCTCGTTGTGACATTTCATCAAGATGTCCCGGGACTCGCTCCCCAGAATCCCTATTCACCATCGCCACTATCCGTACTAATATACCTTGCAACAAGTATTATCACAGTCCACTCATTCTCACATATTTTGGCACAAAAGGCCGCCCGCGACCGCAGTCTTGTTGCCCCTGTTTTTGGACTCGAAGAAGAACAAGATGGGGTTCTTGTGGGCCGGCTAGATAAGCTTTCTGGCACCGGTGTTGCGGAAGGAATTGTCCTTGAGCTTGAACATCGGCGCAAAAGTGGACGTGGCGTTTTGGAGTGGTATCTTCTTCCTCCCGCATCGCGGTATTCACCTCAGCATGTGAAGGAGGTGGTGACTCTTCTTGATGATAATCCGCTCTACAATCCTCCCATGGAAATAGGCACCAATCTTGATGACGAGGAACCAAAATCCACGTTTGAGCTTGGTCTTACTGAAAGGCAGCGAAGGGATAGAGAGGGAGTTGTCCTTCCTTACTTTGATGCCCAGAATGGAAATGGTCCCGGCGAAGGAGGCCGAATTCTCTACGATATGGGCGAGGAAGACGATTTTGATGAAGAAGAGGATGAAATCTAGATGTTGTCGATTCAAATCCTGACAGGGTATCTCACAGGGAGCTCCTGTGTGCACATTTCTGCATTCTAGAGCTGAGTGGATTGTGTCCTGCAACCACCGGGAGGTATTAACTATGCATACATTCATACAAGAAGGGATGTGCGAAGAGATAGGAAATCGCCAGCGCTCAGAAGAATCGCCACCAAAGCAAAATGAGCACAACAAACCCGACGCCGGCGAAAGGCCCGTACTGCGACTTGGTCAGTGACTGAATTGACTGGATCTCGGAGCAATCATCTCACCTGCTTCACCAACAATTCCCAATTGATGCGCACTGCAGCCTTCCGGTACTTCTTGCTGTCTTCTCGCAGACGACCAGAAAGCTCGCCCATGCGCTCCAGGCTGTCTCCACGGTACAGGAGGTCCTCAATATTCTTGGTCATGACCTTGGTGACATCACGCAGCTCGTCGTTCAATTTGTCCAGGTTTTGGGAGGCTCGGCTGTCTTGATACAACTTCTTTGTGCGCTGGATAAAGGTATCAAACTCGACAAAGGCATAGGGGCGGAGGTTTGGGGAGAGGTATTGGGATTGGGAGTAGGTGGTGGTGAATTCGGAAGCCAGATCAGCGAGATAGGTGAAAGCAAGCTTGCGTGGGTAGGAGCGATCGCAGATACAGAGGAAGCAGACATCATCCTGGACCGTGTAGCTATCATTTGGTTAGAACATCTCAATCCCATTATTTTCTGGAGAGATTCCACTCCGACTTACTGGAGGTTATATTGGCCCGATTCAATGCTGGCCTGGGGTGCGGAGTTGCGATTCAAGCGGCGAAATATCATCTTAGCCTGTCCTTTGATCTCTGACAGTTCAGACTCGGCCTGAAAGGATCCATTAGCTTCAACACAGTGTTATCACAGCACCCTTTTTACCTGCTCATCGTCCACTGAAGCTGCCAGCATGAGGCCTGTTTGCACCAAAGATTAGCCCTGAAGGAAACTGACTTCACTCTGTGACTCTCACATACCATCCAGCCTTGCAATCTGCGTTGATCTAACCATCCTGCCGTCTGACGATCTGGATGGTAGTACCGGAATCCCTCTTGTTCAATTCACGAATACACGATCAACTGGCCAGAATGGCCCGCCGGGGATGGGCGGTCAGACGCGGCAGAATCGCTCGTGGATCGGGGTGAGCTTCGTTGATCGGCTTTGGTTGAACTGGACTGATCCCCACAATTATGCCATAGACAAGCTACAACATGCTCTGCTGATGGGGCCATACGTCTATCCTCTGCTATGATGTCTTCAGAGTGTTCTCCAGCAGACAACCCAGCGAAACGGCCCTCAAGGAGAGGGATCCGGGGAAAGTGGAGCGAAGAGCAACTGTTGACAAGTGAGAAATCGATTCTTATCGACGCAGACTTGGTGGTACGCTCTCGTTTGATTTATCCTTGAATTTAAGTTTATTTGTACGTATGGACTGACAGCATGTTGCTTGGTGGAATATATATAGAAGCTTCTCGCCAAACCGGAATCTTGGAATATCCTAGAAGAAGAGGAGAAACGCGAGATACTAGCTCTCCTCCCCGCAGATATCCACCCTGATGCCGAGCTCCTGTCCGACGCGCCGGACGCAAATATCCCACCACTTCCAGAGTCCTTTGTCCGGTATTCCAATAATTGGCGCGATGGAATCCGACAATTCCAGTTAGACCTTCAGCACGGCCATTATGATCCTGAATGGCTGCGCCAGGCGGAGATGGCCAGGCGAGCGCGAGAGAACGGCGACTTCGACAATTTCAAGGAACGCGAGTTTGAGCAATTTTGGGGTCAAAAACAGAAGACCACTGATCGTGATGCTGCCGGTGAAAGTGCCAAAGTAAAACTCACGCAACTCACCGAGGCGGGCGTATTTTTGCCCGGCGATACCTGGAGATTCACCTATGTTTTTGGTAAAGGAGCTGAACGCATCATCATCGACAAGGAAGTACGGGTATGTTCAAATGGAGTACTGACTTCGAATTGTCTATTTACTGATCATTATCAGGTGCTTGAGATCAATGGCTCAGACCTAACCTTCGTGATTCCTCCTGGTCAACAAGTCTTTCTTTCCGGTAATGGCTTTAAAATCCCCCCAGAATTGCCCGAAACACCGGCAACTCAAGAATCGACGTATCTAAAGGGGGCTACAGAGTCGAAAACGGTCCTGGAGGCGACCCCGGCTGAAGGAATTGTGAACCGCGAGATAAACAACGATCTACCAGAAACGACCACGAAGCCAAGAACGGAGTACTCAAACATCAGCAATAGTAGCGTTCAAGTTGTGATTGTCAGTTCCCAAAATGGATCACAACCTGCAGGTGAAGGGCATAAACGCTCGCTACCTCAAACCATTCCAGAGCCCCCGGCGAAACGGAAGCGGGGACGCCCTCGCAAACACCCGATTGTTGAAACGAATCCGGGACTTGGCGAGAAGCAAACCGAGGAACAGGGCAGCACCAAAGCATCTCCTTTTCCCTCCGACAAAGAGACGCCTTCAGTCGCAATAATGAATTCTGCGTCTGTGGCACCTGATCATCTGCCTCCTACGAACGAAGGAAGCGCGAGAGCTACCACATCTATCGAATCACCAAGTACTACCGAATACTCGAAAGCGATTGAAGAATTACAGCCTACAGACTCCCCAGCACCTGAAGCAACTGTGGACGATGGTCCCCTATTATCTCGATCCACCGCTGGCGGGTCGGACGAGATCATCCTTCAACATATTTCCTCGCCCATGGTCCTTGTCCACCAAATCCTGAAAATTGATGGCCGCCGGCCTAACAGTCGCACTGCCAACTCCTGGAAAGAGCTTCGGTGCTACCGCAAGAACCAGGATATAGGCAGCCTATTCGATATCAGGCAGGCCTGGTATCTCAAACAAAGCAAGAAATGAACGGATTCAATCATGCCTGGGAACAACATGTTGTTCCAGAACGCCACCTGGGGCATAGTGGACAGTGTGTTATACCTACATCTCTCGGGGTGTGTACGTCAATGAACTCGTTTTTCATAGATCAGAAAATCTTCATTCATTTAGATATTCGTAAACCTATCAAAGGAAAAGGGTCAACGGTATATCTTCTCAAATGATAAAGTATTGAACCAGAGGGTCAGCGACTACGAGTGGAAGACTGTAACAGCTTTCGGGTATCAGGTACACCGTTTCTAACTTGCTGCCTTGGCGCATAACTATTTAGTTTGGCCACATCAGTACGTAGCGGAATATATTACCAGAAAAATCACGCAATTTCATTTCCTGAAATCCTCTCAGCAGCTCGTACTATATCAGCATAAGCTCTCGAAGCTCTTTGATTGTGGACTTTTCACAGACCTAAGCTCGTAGGTTAGGTCACTTCCTTAAGCCCCTCGACGATTTAATGCAACTTGGAGAACTTACATAGCGTTTTGACCAACAAGCACATACGTCGCAAGGATTTCCAACATGTTGAATACGGCGATTCAGATGTCTATCCTGAGTTTTGCTAGCGATAGCTATTGCTTATTCGACTGAAATTGGCTGGGTCATGTGGATCGCACACCTGTAGTTTGTGGAGTTCTTTATGAAAATGACAATATGACAATTGACTGTCTCGGATTCAAAGGTAAAACAGGCTTAACGGGTTTAGTCATGACTCAGGACCTGAAAATGTGAGTGCTTGAAGCCAGACCCTTCGTTCACCCGGGTTAATACAAAGAAGCTCATCTCTGTTTCAACCCCTCCCTCTGGGCCCCTATTTATAGTCTTTTCGGAGCAACAATCAAATTGTACTATGATTTTTGATTGGCTATAGCTCGGCTTCCTTCAGTCTATAAGAGGGTGAATAGAGTATAAGCAAGGGTCCCTACGTTGGCCGGTATAGTATTCACACAGGGTGCACTGTAAGCTGTTCTAATTTTGTTTGACCTGGACTACCTACACAGACGTGGCGCCACACATGGACTGGTAGAAACATACTGTTTGCCCGGGTCTCTCGAATCACTTCAGTTTTTGATTGTCTAGGTGGTTTGATGGGTTCGGTGGTCTTGGCCTCTGGTCTGACCACCAGTATGAGGGGGCATTCTTAAGGCCGAGTTCAATCTGCCGTCTTTTACGGTGATGTTGATCGAAGAATGCTATACTCTCATGGAAACAATGACCCGGGTTTGACGTATGAGGAACCACATCATGCTATATGGATGTGGAAGCCCAAACCTTTAGAAAGGTGTTTGGTTCATCGTGCCCATAGGATTCACAGGTTCGGCATCAGCTGCTACATCCACAGCGAAGCTAGCTTGTATAAAGTCCTCAAGCTCCTCGCTCACAGTTTTCAACTTCTCTTTGACACTGGCCACACCTTCCTGTCCGACGATGTGGCGTGACGGGGGATTTTCGTGTCCGCCAATAGATGTGATGGCGTAGACGGTTTCAGAGACGAGGACTTCGAGGTGTGCTGAGCTTAGCGGCGGATGCATGGAGACAACACCAGGGACAGAAAATGGACCATTTTCGATGGAGCTGACTCGGGAGGTTTCATCGTGATCGTTTGTTCTCTTTGCTGACGTATTGCCCGATACGCCTTCAGAAGCAGCGCCAGGAAGCCGCGGTACTAGATGATTCAGGATACCACGAAACAGTGGTGCATTATTATTTTGAGGAGAGTAGGCAGGAAATATAGGAGGGACGCTGGTCACCAGATTTGTTAGGATGCCAATCTCGATGCTGCACTGGAAGATTGTGAGCTTGACATTGAAAGGCGCAATTTCGTATGCCAAGCTCTGCCACGAGTCAGAGATGAATTTGAACCGACGATCATGAACAGAAATATCTCACATCACAGAAACCCTCAAGAGCCCAGCCCGCTGCACAGTACATTCCAAGGCCGGGTGTACCAATATGTGCCGCTAGAGGATGTTAGATGCGCCGTCACCGAAGCACGAATCTTCCAGGGCAGCTTACTGATTCCAGACAAAATCATAATATGACCATTAGATTCTCTTCTCATATGTGGCAATGCAGCTTTGATTATGTTGAGCGGCCCAAAATAATTGACTTCAAATTGATCCCGGACGAGGTTCAAGGTTTGCTGCGAGGCAGACAGCTCTTCGACAGTTCCGATTAGAGCTGATAGTTTAATTAGTTAAGTGGACTAAATCCCTTTCGATGCAACCGCTGGAGCCTAAAGTACCTTGACTGGTGCAGCATAAAAGGATATCCACTCGACCGAAGGCAGCTACTGCTTCTGCAAAGACTGCCTGACATTCGCCCATCATCCTATGTCGAAGATACACATTAACCGGAGGATTTTTGGCATGAAATGGACGCAGGGATTGGTACTGGACCAATTTGAATATCTTGCAGGTAGGGGTAGGTGGTTATGCACACCTGATGTCCAAGGGAACTGCCTTAATTCGCTGGTCCCATCCTTCGTCCTGATGCTCTTTCACTTCACAAAGAAAAGCCTCGAACCCTTCACGACGGCGTTCATCGCGATCTAAAACCGAGTGTGCCAGACCAAGAAGGGCATAATCGCCATGCGCAAGCACCTGTCGCGCGACCGAGATGCCGATGGGCGAATCCCCCGCAGTAATCAGCCATACTCGCGGCTCATTATGCGACGGAAAATGCGCATGCGAATCGGGGTAGGAATAATTATCCATGGAGGATCAGCGCCAGGGTTTCAGCGCGATACCCATTGCGCGACCAAGAGGTATCGGCGACAAGCGCTGGGGGCAAGAGAGGATAGGGAGAGAGTAGCAGAGGAGCTTTCTCCGGACAATTGCGGAGTTCAAGTTGTAAGTTGGAGGGGGAACCGACTAGAATGCCAAGGCCCGCGTTTTTGCGCGCCCCCGCCTCCCCCTAAGTTTCCTTAGGCTAACGGGTTACGGGCTGGACCAAAGAGTTAATAACCCGCCACTGGCCGCGCTGGCCTCTCATTTCTTTTTCTCCTGTCATCTCCCATCATCGCATCATGCCTGAACAGCGGCAACGCAGAGAGGAGGAGAGCCACGTATGTTGTTGTTGTTGTTGCTCTGGGGGTGGGGAAGCTTGTCACCCTTTTTAGCTGACTGAAGATCATCTAGTCCGGCTTCAAGGGTGCGCTTCAAGGCCTCGGTATTTTCCTACTGGCACAGTTCGTTATCGGTCAATTCTTCAACAACAAGCAGAATGCCTCTCCTAGCAGTCAGCCAGGCGGTATCCCGGCTTTTGAGGATCGTCCCGACCCCAGTCAAGTCACAGAATACAGCGCGATCCCGGATCTCATCACTCCTATTTGGCCTTCCGATAGCTCGATCGATATCTCCGTCTATGTCGCGCCGTCCATCGTGGTTCCATCGTTCAAGTCCAAGGATAGTATCCTGGTGATGCAGGAGAAGAACTTTACTTTGGGCAATTATAGTGACACTCGCGAGATCGACACCATCATCAAGGTCCCAAAGCAGGTCCAGCAGAATGGCACACTCTTCGCCCACTTCTTCCTTGCCCGTACCGGACACCAGCTGGATCCTGCTGCAAAAGACTACAATACTGCCGAAGCCTACCATTTCCTGCGTCCTTTGAATCAGTATCTTGCCAAGAAGAAGGCCAAGAAACTCAAGAATCTCCTGGCTAATCCTGAGGAAGCGGAAGGGGAGGAGGAGGATGATACGCCGAATGTCTCAACTGCTTCCTATTACCATCCCAATTTCACCCTCTCGATGATTCCAGATTCTGGATCGCAGCGATTCTCTCAGATGCACCCGGCCGTTCGTCAGTACGTGCAGCTGGAGCGCACCGGGGCCCGGGATCTCTCTGGCAAGAACGGCTGGTACTACCCGATTGCATTCCTGAACACCTTCTGGCAATTGAAGACCCATATGACTGAATTGAACTCTACCGTCGAAACCGTGCCGCTCCGCATCACACTCAACAACTTGGCCAATTGGAAATTTAGCATTATTAGTAGCATCGATGAGGGATCGAAGCAAAGTGCGCGCCAGGCCGCATATGGCAACCCTGTCCCTGGCGGTGGTGATGGTACTGAATGGGAGATGGTCAAGGAAATTCTGCTGGATACCAACGTCTATCTGCTGAGCACCACTGCTGTGGTTACCGTCTTGCACATGATCTTCGAGACCTTGGCATTCAAGAACGATATTGTAAGTGAATGGATTTTGTTTACTTCAAACTTCATCAAGGGGCATGGCTGATTAAGACTCTCTAGTCTCACTGGCGCAAAAAGAAGGATGTAGTTGGCACCTCGGTCCGAACTATCCTGGCCAACGTCTTCATGCAAAGCGTCATCTTCCTCTATCTCATGGACAACAGTGACAACACCTCCTGGATGATTCTAGCCAGTCAAGGCTTCGGTATTTTGCTCGAAGCTTGGAAGATCACCAAGACTGTTGATGTTCGCCTGCGTCCGCCGCCTGCCAACTCCTTCTACTCGTTCCTACCCTATGTCATTGTCTTCGAAGACAAGCACAAGCTCAGCGAGACTGAGAAGCAGACCAAGGAATATGATGAGATTGCATTTCGCTATCTGTACATCGTTGCTGTGCCTTTGCTCCTCGCCTATGCCGGATACAGCCTTATGTACAACACTCATAAATCATGGTACTCTTACATCATTCAGACTCTGGTGGGCAGTGTTTACGCCTATGGCTTCCTTATGATGGTCCCCAGTCTGTATATCAACTACCGCCTGAAGGTCAGTTTTTTATTTAATCTCTCTTTGCGAGGGAGAGAGAAAGTAGCTAACGTGATCAATCTAGTCCGTTGCCCACATGCCCGGCAAGGCGATGGCGTACAAATTTCTGAACACCTTCATTGATGACCTCTTTGCATTCACCGTTAAGATGCCGTGGCTGCATCGCCTGGCCACCCTGCGTGATGATGTTATCTTCTTCATCTGGCTCTACCAGAGCTACAAGTACAAGGTTGACTTTAAGCGTGTCAACGAATTCGGCCAGGGAGGTGACAGCGATGAGGAAGGTGAGGAGGTTCCTGCCGTGGCTGATTCGGAGAAGAAGAAGAAGGAGGAGGAGGAGGAAACAGTGGCTTCTCAGACATCCGCCAATGTCAGCTCGAAGTCCACTCGTAAGCGGAAATGAGCAAACTTTCTCCTACAAGACAGCCCCGTGAAGTCTTCACGAGGACCTGGAGTTTACTCGCACATTGAAGCTTTACATGAAGCCATATTTCATTTATTATGACTCCTCAGTGCTGACTTGGTCGTGTGTCATGTTTGATGTTGGGAAGTTGTTCAGTTTCCTCTGGGTTCTTGGATTAGCATTGTCCGTTTAGACTATTCAGATTGATTATCTCTATTATATATTGAGGCAAACTCAAATATTAGATTAAACAGACTCTATCTTAGAGAAAGTAATCTCGTTCAAATGTAATCTTCAACTTAGATGGACCTTGGTATACCTTTGACGGATTTGGCGGTACCTTGTTGATAATTGCCCGATTGGGTTTAAGCCGACTTCTCCGCGCGCCCACGTTCTACTTTGCTATGCGCTCACGAACATCTTTCAATCCGAACATCGTCAAATTTTCGTTCCCCTGCGGTCCAGATCAGCCAAATTTAGCTATTATCAGTCCCGATATTTTGCTACTCTTATCTTTTTGTTTAAGGCGCGTTGGTGGCGCGCATATTGACGCGTCTGGGTGACGAACATGATTACATGACCGCCGAATAGGCACGATTGAACCAATATTTTGCTTGAAGGCAACCGGGACTAACAAGAAAATATTTTGAAAATGGCCCCCGATTCAGGTACCTTCTTTGAAGCTTCATTCGTGATGCTAATTTCTTAAATCGATCACTGATTGTTCAAAAGGAACCAATCAACCCAGCGGCCTGCTGGACGCAATTGAGCACCTGGAAGCCGGTATGATAATGCGCAAAGACTGAGATAATGAGAGAAAAGATACTAATGACTATGATAGTTGCATTTATTCCCGTGAAGCAAAGGTACACAGACGCTGGGCAGCTTGTTAAGACAATTGCGTCAGACGCGTACGAGAACGGCATTCCGCAAGTCGTCTTAGGCCGCTTGCTCAAGATTCTGACCGTAAAGAATCATCTTGACCAAGGTTCTGTGACAACCCTAGTCAAAAATCTGTACCCGCAAGAAAGAATCGCGTCTAAATATGTCACCCAAGTTGTGTGCTGTTTGGGTCCCAGCAAGTCCAAACCGAGCCCGGCGACGCAGGCTTTGCTTGTGCGCTGGCTGATCCTTGCTTACCACTTACTTGAGGACGGAAGCCATATTGGTAAATTATATGCGGTGCTTTTTAATCATCTAGATATGATCAGCCTACGCAAGCAGCTATGCCACCTGCTTTCTCTGACGACGCGCAGAAAACATGTGAAACCTTTTCGCATCCAGGCACTGATGGAGATAATTCAAAACGCAGGTGGGGAGGAAAAGGAAGCCATGAGCCTGCTCAAGATCTTCAAGAACTACTACCCGGAGATCGTCCTTGGCGATGTTGGAAGTTCAAGGAGAATGGCTCTTTTTTTCAAGCACCCTGATCCTGAATGGTCAAGTCATGCGAACCTACTGCAAAGCCAGAACATGGAAAGAGCGCACATGGCCCACAAGTCAAATTTTCAAGTTATTTCCCGAGGTGGCGTCAAGCGAAGCAGAGTGGAGGTGGTTATCCCGGTTCTACAGACTTCTCGCGTCTCGGATAAGCATACGTCCCTGGAAGAGATCCGTGACATGGAGCACTTCGTGGATAAACTTGACAAAATTGAGCTTCCGAATCAGATTATTTCGACTCTTGGCAATGCGACCGCACAGAAGTATCTCCACCTCGTTCAATCGGAATCAGCGAATCACCGTTTGGATGAGTGGCTCAGAGGCTTTTTGGAAGATAGGTTGGAACAAATCCGTGAAGACAACGACGAGGAACCAGACACGCTGTCTTATGTTTTAAGTTTCATTGAGCAATACGCCTCGTTCACCAAGGTAAGGTTCCTCGATCAATTCCTAGCTTTTAAGCACCTAATGTAATTTAGGATCTTCTGCCCTCGGTTCGTGCCTTCCTGGAGTCATACCTAAAGGTTTGGAACGGTTCCAACAATCGGCATCAGATTCTACGTCTTCTTCAATACCTCCCCATCGAGCCATATGGGTCTCTCCGCGAGACATTTTTTTCTTTTCTAGAATCTACAATCTTGGATGGCACAGTGGAATCTCGAACGGCTTTGCTTGAATTTTATTCTACATTGATCAGCGAATGGAGCATCAAACTCAGAGCCAAAACACCAACTTCCGAGCTGGGGGAATGCGTTCCCTTGACTGAAATCATCCAGCATGCGGAGCTTCTCGCATCCACGCTTCAAGTGTTCATACCACCACAGGATGATAGTGACAAGAAATCCAAGCCAATCGTCTTATCTATCCTTCGATTCTACAAGTATCTATCAGGGGTTTTGTCCCATGCATCTCAGAACGCCGCCATTCGTTTGACAGTCCCCCTCGCCCCGACAGTGTATACAATCGCATTCACACCAAGTGTCTCGGCAATATCAGCCTTGAATTCGATACTGGCGGATTATAAATCATCATTCGAGGCTTCACTCACGTCTGAGATTGTGAAGCCTCCGAATCCTTCAGAGCCTCTATATCCTACAGCTCTCGTGAGCCAATTCAACGGCTATGTTATGGACATGTGCAATCTTGTATGGCGCAATCGTGCACTGAACACGGAAGACCCAAATGCACAGGGTTGTGTCATACCATCATCGAGCATCATCGCATTTACAAATTATGTTCGCGATGTGAATGAGGCCGCTCGGCACTATGACCGCGAGAGCGCATTCCATGTCATCTTGCCTTCTGCCTTTTCCTTAAGCCATAATGTCGCATTCGCCAATCTTTCTGCAGCTTGCTTTGCGGAGCTTGAAGAGAATCAAAATATTCCGGATCATCGCCCGAGGCTTAGGAAGCCAGTGACTCAGAAAGCTTTGCAGGCTTTAGAGAAAGATGGAGGTGCCAAAACCACTTGGCAGGAGTATCGAGTACATATGCTAGATTGGCTGGATACGGTCGGTAGCCGTGGCACAGGTGATCTGATGAGAAGTACTATGAAAGCGTTACGCAAAGAATAAATGCCATGGGAAATTGACAATAGACATGAGTAATTTTTTTTCAATCGGCTCCTTCAAGTAACGCCATGATATATGGTATCTTTAAAAATATGGTACAGTGTGAATTGATCTGTTTCAAAGCCGTTCGAATATCAACCGGAGAGACATCTCAGAATTTCTCGGAGGAGTTGAGATAAATATCCTGTACGCTGGGATCATCGCGCAGGGCCCCGAGGAGATCCTCCAGAGCCTTGACATGAAGTTCATCCTGGACGTCAACCATGGTCTCTTGATTAGGATCCCAGAAGATCTCCCGCTCTTCAATTGTCAGCCCAGAAAGCTTGGAAAATGTCTCACCCACATTCTTCGTCTCCGATGGGTCGGTGAAAACCACCAGACGGCCCTTGTCATCAGTCGTGATATCCGTTGCGCCAGCTTCAATGGCTTGATCCAGGTAGTCATCCATGTTCAGGCCTTGTTGTTCCATAATAACCCTTCCCTTCTTTTCAAAGAGGAACGTAGTGGGCGTTACTGTTCCTCCACCGTTCTTAATCAAGTACCGAACGTCTTGGAGCACACGCGCCTTTTGATCGGTCTGACATTCGACGACCGCGGCCACGCCACCCGGCAGCATTGCCTCAATTGTCAGCGATTCGAGTGTCTGGCCTGTTACACTGAGCCCCTGCCCCCGTAAGAGGGCGGCTTCAATAATGGCTTTGGGTATTGAGGCTCGTTTTGCGTTTGACAGGGCGAGGGTTAGACGAGGATTGAACTTCGGGTCGGGACCCCATACTATCGCAGAATCAATGATCAGTAGCTGGAGGACATATTAATGGTGACTGGTGACATACATTGCGTTGCGCTGCTGATTTCCTTGCTCATAACCTGACGGTCTTTGCTTTTGGCTTTGTCGTTCTTCGCCTTGTCATGTTTAATCGTGGACCACTTGCTATGTCCTGACAGCCGCAAGGATGAGGTATGAAAGCTCAGACATGACCTGCAGATGAAGTTCACACGGGGCTGGCGCAACAGCCGTGGTATTTGAAGAGCCATGGTCTCCGATCTTTTTTGCGCATCTTCTGGGGCGCCCTCGGTGCCTGTATACATTCCACGTGCGGCCCGACAGTTTATCCGATCTCCGCGGACGGTGAGAACACGCGATAAGGAGAGCATCGTGGTCATCCTATTGTCGTTTCAATTCTTTTACATTCTAATGGGGATTTAATTATCCTCTACTTCGACACCAAATGTCTGCCTCCGAAGCTGCCTCCGCACCCACGTCTCCCGAAAATGCGGCTCCGGAGTTGGATATTCCCAAGCTTCATGCACTCCCCTCCGAACAACAAGACCTGTACTTGCTCACCTTCACCTCCGACCTCGTCCAGTACATATCCAGTCTCGGTAACGCACAGGTTTCGTCTCAGCAAAAATCCTTGAAAAAGGAATTGTTCAAGATCCTGACCCTCTCCTCTCCAACTCTCACTCGGGTTCTCCGCAATAATCTCGGACGATGCTTTGGCGCCATTCTATTGAAGGGGGATCGTGGGATCCTCTTCGAAACGATCACGGACTTGCTTGGGATACTGAATGCGAGCAAAAGCGAAGCTGAGCTGAAAACCAAATTTGCTGCGGCGCATTGCCTCGGCGAGGTGTTTGCGTCGGCGGGCGATAGTGCCTTTATGCAGTCCAACATAGCTACAACAGGTATGCTGAAGCTACTCAAGTCTGCAAGCAACCATACTGGTTTGCGTGGCGTGATATTTTCTGTTTTGCGCAAGATTGTTGTTGGAATTGGTGTTCCGATTGACGAGCCAACGGCACGAGATATCTGGAAACAAGCACGGAATGCGGCCACGAGCGACAAGTCAACGTTTGTGCAAGTTCATGCATGTCGCTGCATAGAACAGCTCATTTATATGACGCCCTTTTTCGAGAATACCAACGACTTCGACAATCTGAAGTCTATTATGTGGAAGGTTATCGACAGCCCTTCTGCGCCAGTTCGCCATGCTGCCGCTGCCTGCCTTGGCCGGGTTCTCGTAAAGCTGCACGCAACTGAGGCGCTCATTATGACTGCGCCCAAACCAAAACCAAAAAACGCGAAACGAATGTCTAAGAAACCTGGTCCTCGACCAGGGGAGGAAGAAGAAGATGAAATGTCTGAATCCTCTGCCGCCAATGCCCCGAGGAAAGCAGACGCGCGACTGTTCTTTCTCCTCCCAGATCTTTTACGCCAACTATCTTCTCAGTATTTGAAAAGTACGACATCAAACCGAACACGTGCAGGAATTTGCATATGTTATAAATATGTTCTACGCAACCTGGGAGATAAGATTATTGAGGAACGATATGGGCAAATCGCAACCAACTTGCTCGTTGAATTATTGAATCATCCAACGGTGACATACAATCGATTTCGTCTTCTCATGACACGCAAGTTTGTGAAAACGATTCTCGAAGACACAATCGGATGTGAATTGCTACGCGAGAATAGTCAGCTTAATGCTGCCAAGTGGCTTATCAATGAGATCTTGAAGGACTACCCACAGGTGATTCAGGAACGTCGCGAACCAAGCAAATATACACTGACTAGCACTGTCAGTGCTCTGTCATCATTGATCCTATCTCTTGGCTCCGCTTTTGGCGTACATGCGGACAGTTGTCGTGATGCCTTGCTTCAGGTGCTCCCCCATCCAAGCTACACAGTTCAGATCCACACTGCGCACTGCCTGCGCAGCTTCGTACTTGCATGCCCCTATCAACTCCTGTCCTGCGTCACAATTTGCATGAATAGTCTGAACCGAGAGATCGGACAGCTTGCCACCCCACGACAGTCACCTCGTCGTTGTGTTGGCTATGCAAATGGACTATCCGCAATGCTCAGTACTTCTCGTCTCCAGCCACTCTACGGTGCGGTAGATGTCTTTGCACAAATTTTTACTCAGGCGACTGATCTGCTGAAGACCAGTGGCACTTGTGAGCTTAGGGTTGCAAGCACACAAATTCAGGTAGCATGGATTTTGATCGGAGGGTTGATGCCTTTGGGGCCGAGCTTCGTGAAAATACATCTATCCCAGCTCATGCTTCTATGGAAAAATGCGTTGCCCAAGCACCTGAGCAAGGAGAACTCCGCTCAACCAAGCACTCTGGAGACGAGCTTTCTGGCCCATGTCCGGGAATGTGCGCTAAGTGCTCTACTGGTTTTCATGGAGTTTAACAGCAAGCTTATCACTGCTGATGGTGCGAAGAGAATAGCTGGAATGTTGCAGAACACTGTAGAGTTTTTAAGCGATCTGCCGAGAGCCAAGTCCCCAGAAGATATCTCGCAACGGCTGCATCCATCTCTGCAACTGCATGACTTCATAACTATGGTTCGCCGCCGTGTTCTCCAGTGCTTTTCGAAGTTGGTGCAGGTTCACCATACTAGTCACGGTGATATCATCTCTCAATCCAACCTTCTCAGTCTAGCGATCTCCTCATTTGCAGATCCAGATGCCCAATTCCGTCCATTGGAGAGCTCGATTGCTGGCTCTACGGGTCAATTTGACGGCCTGTGGGACCTTTGTGACAACTTTGGATTCGGCGTCACCGGACTGGCTCGGGAATATATTCGAGTGGCCTCGACAGGCTCACATGGCAATGAAAACGGACCTGCTTGGTCTGCTATTGACTCCGCAGATCAAGCTGTCGATGAGGCTGTGAGTGAAAATATCTTGTATTCATTTCCAGGAAACTAACATTTCGTGTCTCAGTTGACTTTCCCTGTCTGTCAAGCCAGTGAACATGATTCCGTGCTTTTGTATAGCTTGCGTGCCGATGATGCTCTTTCTGTGGACCCGCCAACGACCGGCGTCATTAATTCTGCGATTGAGCTTTTTTCGGCTGCTGTTGCTCTCCACTCTCCAAAGATGCAAGAGAGCAGCGTTGAACAGATAGCGACCTTTTTGTTGTCCCCAAGTCTCCAGAGGAACCCTGGGCGCAAAGCAGCGCTAGTGGTCAACATCTCGGTGGCTCTCCTGCATGCTCTGAAAGTCGCAGTCAAGGAAACCAAATACGTGGCTGCGAAGCTAAGCCCATCTACGGACAAAATATTGCAGGAGCTAATCCAGGTATGTTTGTTCACTTCTCTGGTTGAAAACAATGTATTCACAACCATTAGAAATTTGTCGTCGATGTCGATCCGATCGTGCGTACCATTGGAGTGGAGGCGCTGGGACGCCTCTGCGATAGCTCTGGAAATGCCTGCACTAATTCTCAAGTCAACTGGCTTGTCGACACTATTGTCGCTAATCGAGAGCCAAATGCTCGTGCTGGCTGTGCTGCTGCCTTGGGATGTATTCATTCCCAGATTGGCGGTATGGCCGCTGGCCTGCACCTAAAGACTATAGTTGGTGTGCTCATGTCGCTTTGCAACGATCCTCATCCTGTAGTCCATTTTTGGGCTCTTGGTGGATTGGAAAGAGTGGCCAATTCGGCTGGCTTGACATTCTCGCCTTTTGCTTCCAGTGCGTTGGGAATGCTTGCCCAACTTTATAATGCCGACACTCACAATGAGGAAGCAACCGCGTTGGCTACTTCCAATATTGAGATGTCATTTCTGACGCCTGTTGTTATTAGTCGATGTGTGGATTCTCTGATCAACGTGCTTGGTCCGGATTTACAAGATGTCGCCAAAACACGCAATTTGATTCTTACCCTGCTTCGTCAATTTCAACTAGAAGAGAATCCTGCACTGGTCACTGAAAGCTCAAAATGTTTGGATCATTTTTCTCTCTACGCATCCAGCTATGTGGACTTCAATGGATATGTGAAACGTTTGCAGAAAGAACTCCGCGCGGACAATTCATTGATGCGAGACGTGGCAGTTCGCGGTCTGAGCAATTTGATGAAGAGAGATGCGTCATCTGTTGTCAACGCAGCGAGTGAAACCCTTGAGGATGATATCTGGCTTGCTTTTGACGATGCGCCAGACAGCCGGTCTTTAAAGAAACTGATTCAAGAATGGTTACAGCAGACCGCGTTGACTGAGACCGAGCTATGGATTCAACGTTGCCATAACATAATGACAAAAACACGCAATAAGGTAGAGCCACAACCCACAACGGCAGTTCAAACTACTGCGCCTGATATACCTGATGATGAAGTTGCTGGCTTTGCGTCTGCGGTTGCTGGAGAAGGACAAGCGGATGCTGCAAATGAAACCGTTTCTAGCCAAGAGCTTTTAAAATGGCAAACTCGAAATTTTGCCATGAGCTGTCTCTCTGAGCTGTTGGCGACGGTCCAAGAAGCTATATTGCCTGACCAAACCATTCCGGCTGAATTGGCTCTCCAATCCAAGGTTGGAGATATTGTGAGAATGGCATTCTCAGCATCCACAGCCAACGTTATTGAGCTGCGTGTGTGGGGCTTGAAGATCATTGATCAAGTTTTAACTATGTTTGGCAAGACCCCTGACCCTGATTTCTCAGAAGCATCTTTACTGGAGCAATACCAAGCACAAATTGGATCCGCTCTGACTCCGGCTTTTGCGGCCGACTCATCTGCGGAGTTAGCTTCCGCAGCGATCAATGTCTCTGCTACTTTCATTGCGACAGGCATCGTGACAAATGTGGATCGCATGGGTAGAATCCTTAAGCTGTTGGTTCTTGGCCTGGAAAATTTTGCTAGTAAGTGGTATTTTGCCACAAAAGCTAACATTCATTACTGACGCTCCTATTTCTCTCTAGGAAATCCCCAAACTACCGAAATCGGCGATCTTAAAGGCCTGAATTCAAATGCACGGGTAATGGTCAAACTGGCATTGTTTTCAGCGTGGGCTCGCCTGCAGGTTGCAAGCATCGAACATGAATACCTCACTCAGGTCGTCCAACCCTATCTTGCTAAGCTCACTCCATTGTGGCTATCTTCGCTTCAAGAGTATGCGCGGTTACGTTTTGAACCGGACATCTCGGGTGCCCTGGGAACAAGCACGCAAAGCAATGATTTAGATGAGGTCTACGCTGCTTTGAATCGTGAAACTTTGCTCAAGGTAAGAATACTATGTCCACGGCGTTTTGATTGTGGTACTGATCCTTTTGTCCTAGTTTTATCAAGATACCTGGCTCAATCTTGTGAATGCGATCGCTGGTCTCGTGGAAAAAGATATCGACTTTGTCTTTGATGCTCTCGATGGCAAGCTCCAACCGCCAGAAGCCACGAATGACACCGACGAAGAGAATGATCAAGAGAATGATCCAGTGAAAGAGGAGAAAAAACAACAGAATGAACTTGTCAATGATGAAGCTAAAGGAAAGGGTGACGATATCAATTACCGTGAAGAACCGGTTGCTTTCTTCTTTGTCCTGTTTGGACTTGCTTTTGAAGCATTGGTCGATCAATCGACTTCAGCATCACATCGACTGGAAATTCTCCAGGCCCTAAAAAGAATTTTGAGGCCCATCATTTCCGGCAATGCCATTTACCAAGATGCCATTTTCTCCGAGACGATGGATACTTTCGATCGACTCGTCCTCACAGAGGCTACCTCCATTCAAACCGTCATTGTTGAGATTGCCCAGAATTTATCCTTGGATCACCCCGCGGCACAAAGCGACCAAGAACGAAGTGATCATCTGTCAGATGATATTGAACAACTCTTCGAGTTGACTCGAAATATTATCCTTGTTCTTGCCGGGATGCTCCCCAACCTCCGGGAATCAACTCCTCTCGCACGTTTCCATGTCTCGTCCGATGATTCCCTGGCTCTGATCCGGCTTGCTCTCAGCTCTCTTGTCGATGTTGCGGCGGTATTTCCGTCCATTATCCGCAATGATCTCCACGCTTGTATCTTGCACATTTTCACTACGATCCTTGCCACTGGGATTTGCCAGGCTGAAGTTGTGCCTCAAGCTCTGCCTATCTTTCGACAGTTTGTCCATGGAATCACTAACTCTTCTGAGACCGCTGAGGACAGTGAGGTGGTCGCTTTCCAGATCCGTGGCTGCCTCACACGCTTCCGGACCATTCTCACGATTGCTCAGCGACGCGAATCGGATTCATCTATTTCGTGCGCGAAGAATACTCTACTTGCAATCACATTCTTGTTGACCGCGGGCGGACATGTTCTGCCTCCCCAAGATCCGCTGATCCACAAGGTTCTTGATGAATTCCTTGATTGTCTGCAAGATGTTGGCCTTTCGACCGTTGCAGCTAGCTGCTTGCGCTCAATTCTCGCCAAGCCGGGCCAACGTTATACGACCGATGATGCCATTACCCGATACTTGACTCCCCGACTCATTGCGTTCCTTGTCAGCTGCCCATCCGACATGGGCGATGTTCCAAGTGACCCCGAGAATTCTCGTACGGTGATTGCCCGCACACTTGTGGCTTGCGTCAGCAATTCAACATTTTCCGCCGCAGCGCTGCCCACTACTGTTTCGCTTGTCTTTTCCGCCCTGCTAGCACGTGCCAAACGAGAAGGGGAGTCCGTTCATAAAGAGTCCGCGGCTCTTCTTCTGGAACTTGCCAAGGCAGATCAAAACGTCTTCCGGACGTTAGTGGCGAAAATGAATGTGGATCAGAAATCCCTGTTAGAAGAGGTCCTTCGCAGTGCAGGTATTGGTGCGAATAACTCGAGGAACGGTGAAGCAGCAGACAATAGCCAACAGGCGGTACCCACCATTGCCCTGCGCATGGATTTCTAAACCAATGGTTATAATGATGGTTCGGCCGAAGGGCCGCCGCGTGGATGGCACGCGCGAATGAAAATATCATGATCTGATGTATAGGTGAAGTCTCAATGTAGAGGTTTAAATTATCTCCTGTTCTTTATAATAGATTCCAATAGACTCCTCCAAGGATCTAATAAATCTGCTTCTCTAGTTTTTTTTTAGCGTAGTTTAAATCGTTTGCCGCAATTGGAAACTCGGGGCGCGCTTATCTTATCCACATCAGGTGACGCAACTGATGCTCGCCATCAAAGCAACTTAGATCGCATTTTACGTTTTGTCTTCGTCGCTGCTCATTGAATCAAGGCGATTGCTTCTATGGCAAGGTGCTCTCCCGCCTTCACTTCCTGTCGGGCCCAGAATGCCAGCAGATAGAGGTCGCGCCTCTCGAGCGTGCACCTCATGCAGGAGACAAAAGACTCGGTGTTATGAGCCAGGTATTCCCGGGCGGGCTTGTCTACGATGCGAGCGCCTACATCAAAAATGCTCACTCATTCAGTTTGAGGAAACTGAAGAAGAACAGCAGCCGATTTCAAAGCCTGGGACCGATGTGCGGTACGTATATTTATGCCTCCATCACACTCGTCGAGTTGTGTCAATCCCCTCATAACTGACGATTGCACAATAGCCTTGAGAGATTGGAAAAAACCGTGGCTACCTTGCTAGACAGGCTGGGAGAGGGTCCCTCCAACGTGGAACATGAGTCAAGCAGACCAGAAAGCGGGCTGACAACCCCGGAAGCCAGCGACCCAGCCTTCAAGGGCACGGAAAATTCCGCGGCTCCGATCATGGTGATCCGCGATCTGGCCACTGAGACGGGAGTTAAGCCATCGCCAGATACAAAGTCCCTAGAAAGGGAACTGGACGATCTAATTGCACCAAAACTTGCCCTGACGCTCATCTCAATGTATGGCATGTCCCACCAAGAATTTTGGACCCACCAAGAGCTTTCTCAGTGACTTCTGTATAGATTCCTTGAGTACTATGGACGTTGGATTATTATCGATCCCGAGACTGATCCTGCCGCACTGCTACCCCGCGTGCGGCGATCGCCGCTCCTATTTTGTGCCTGTTGTTTGATCGCAGTCCGACATACTTCCGAGGAACTAGCTGCAAGCTTGGCTCCGAAGCTCTATGAGTGTGCGCGCACGTTTGTTTCCGGTACTCTTTTAACGGCACCGCAATCTATCGATTTTTTCCAAGCGGCACTTATCTTGTGCATGTGGTCAACGACTGTTGGGCAGGTTCCCCTCAGCATTGATAGTTGGCTTCTCAGTGGATTCGCCCTGCAGCATTCGCAATCTAGTCCGCTGTTCGCCGTAGTCACAAGTCAAGCCCAGACACCAACAAAAATGGATGAGAGGACCCTTGATCTATATTGCTTGTGGAATCATATCTGTTTGGCTCATTTACATTATTGTGTTGGGACCAGCCGGCGATCTCTGTTACAGGCGTGGCAAATCGATCGCTGCCGAGCTATCCTCGACTCCGACCATGCTATCAACTTTGAAGTACGCATGGTTGCTGAAATTCATCTTTACTGGGCAGTCTATGAAAACTTGATGAGAGAATCGGTTGATTTGCTGAAATCTTTAACATCACTACACACGTGGAGGAGAAAATGGGAGTTTGTTTTAGGTATGATGGTTCTTGACTGGTCCTTCTCACGGTTTTAACCATTGAATTTGCAGAACAACCAAGATCCCAGTTTCTCTTAATGGGCTTCCATTTTTCCAACGTGTTGCTCTACGAGCACGCATTAAAATCCAAGTCTGCCCCGGCTCAAGAATCGATTGTCTCGGAAATGATTCACCACTCCACGGCAATTGTCCATCTCGCCATGGATACAGTTGACGAGCGCACTCGCCATTTGAGCGACCACATTTACCATATGATCACGTTTGCAGCAATTACCATTTGTCGCTTACTAAACAGCTATGAAAGTCAGCTAAGCCTGACGCATAATGTGGTCGAGCTTGATTCGTTAATTTATAATCTGGTCCAGTGGCTTCATTGCATTGGTCTTCCATGCCACGCCGCTCATACGTTGGGGAACATCATTGCCAAAGTACACCAAAAACTTAGACCTCGAGTTCAAGAGACCCCATTTACGGCACCAACAGATGCAATTGTTTCAGAAGAGAACTTCACGAACTATTATTTTCCTGAGTTTTTAGGACTTGGGACCACGGCTGATGGAAACTGGGATCTGTTGCCAGATCTTGGTTTTTTCTCTCAAAGTCCAACGAATCCATGATTTCAATTTGTGGAAAGACTCTTCTTGAATCTTGAAATACCTTGTGGGCAGATCGGTTCACAAAGGCCTCTTATCGGTACCCACTCCGCTTTTCAATATAGCGGAACATGGGAAATGTGAGGCCCGAGAATATGAACGTCATCTCATGGCCAATATTCGCCCCGCCTTTGCCAATCAAGACAGCAATTGGACCAGTGTACCATGCTACTTTCATTCCTAGGGCCGCTCCCAGGAACCCAAAAACGAACGCTCCAATGGCTGCCCAACCAAAAGGTAACCCTGCCGGGTTGTTCCAGGCATCAAAGTCATACCCTTTCCATCCATGTCGAAAGATAAAATGTTCCTCCATCACAATCGTAATATGTATAACAGTCCAGTACCCTATGACACTTAGCAGAGTCTGCAAGGTGTCATCAAAGTACAGTGCAGCGCAGCATCCGATGATCACTGCAGCTATAAATCCAAATGTCACAAGCATAACCCGTGGGACACGGATGGCCCATGGACCAAGATTCTGTGCATGAAGGGCGAAAGAGTAATTATTCGGAATATTATTCTTCACCAGTATCAGTATATAATATTAAAATATCCGTCAAGTTTTTGCTGGATCAATGCTTACTGGGATTGCACTTAGCGCTGCAATAACCATGAGAAACTTGCCAAACCCACCCGCAGGCTCCAAAGCCATTTTTAGAAGGCCTCCAACGGAGGAAGACTCATATTCGACCTTCCATGCTTCATTGGTAATTGTGCCACTATACAGTGCTGCACCCAAGGATTGAACCAGCACGGTGGGCACAAAGATTCCCACGTAAGTTGCACTGAAAATCTTCCACCGTGGAGTCTTAGGGGCCATACGCACATTATAGTCTGCGGCACAGTTGACCCAGGACACGGAGAAGGAAAATATACTGGCCATGTATGCGAGGACAGCAGCTGCCTTGTTTGCCCCATCGAGTTGCTTAGGTGCTTCCTGGGTAAATGAAGATGCCCCTGTGCCAGCAGCAACGCACCAGACAACCAAAGGTGGAATCCAGAGAAAGGCGTCCAATTGATGAATCCAGGTGATCCCCAACACACATATGATCCACACCGATGTGCATATGACTATAACGCCTGCCCATGTGGGACACTTCCCATTGGACAAGGCATTCAGGACAGAAGCACCGGATATCGAATTTATTGCATTCCAGCCTGTTGTTGCAATCATTGAGAAGAAAACGACTAGCATATTTCCCCAATATCCAAACGAGTACCGCCTAGAAATATGCAGTAGAGAGGTTAGCTTGACACGCGATGATGAGATAGAAAGCCTTGTCTCTGGCCGTCTCTAGCCACGCACGAGAATGTTGTCATCCGTAGTCCTGATAAGCCAAATGTGGCTGTCCATGCTGGCAGTATATCACTCATTATATTGACGATCAATATAATCAGGAAACAATCCCAAAATCCGAGTCCAAAGTATCCTCCGAGAGCGCCAATATTGAGCGTCGCAACAGCCATGTTTGCGCTGAACCTGATCATATCAAAAAGAGAATTAGTCAATACTTCATACCAAAGATATGTCATCAAATTCAACCAACCAGAAGGTGGCAGCATTCCAGAATCTCGTGGTTCTCTCTTGCCGTTCATCATCTGTGACTCGCTCAATGCCGCTTTCTTCAATAGATAGTTTTTCGGAAAACCATTGTGAACTATACTTCACATGGCTGGAAGGTGACTGATTCTTATCAGCAGAATCAATTTGCAGGCTCATAATGAAGAAATAATAAAGCAAATAATCATTTAATTGCAGAAAAGATACCGAATATCTCCGTTTTGATTAAATTCCAACCACCTTGGCTCTGGATGTTGCCCCTTTCTATACTTCCTCGGCCCTCCACTCCCAAATATCGTTCTTTCACCAATTCCGACTCTACTCACAACGACTGATAAGCATATCTATGGTGAATCTGACGCCATCACGAGGGTCTGCTCTATATGGTTGGCTGCAGGCTTATCGTGCCGCGGCATGCCGCGGTATGCCGGTCGGCCAAGCCCTAAATACAATCTGTTCGACTCCAGTGCCTCTTTCTTGCCTTCAAGATAAAATGGCAGCTTTTTGCTCATCCTAGGTATGTCCTCCTTTGGATAAATCTTTTTCTCTGTGGGATCTCTCTTATATTGAAAATGGAACAACATACATTTCGCCGTCGAGGGCTTGGTCTACGTGGTATTGACCAGCAACAAGTGTCCCAGGGTTACGTCCTTTATTCTCCTCTCACGTCGAACACCGCCCATCTCATTTCCACCTCCGGCGATGAAGTACACCGTTGGAATCTTCCTCATCGCACTGGTCGACACTCCCGTCTTTTGCGTGACGGATCTCTGGCCTACAATGGTGTCCACCCGAACGCCCCAAAGCTATTTCCAATGTGGGCAAAATATCGCGGCGGCGTCATGATGCAGCTTGACTCTGAAGGACAAGTACTTCGACAATATTCCGATCCGTACGCTCACCATGACCAGAATCACCTCGACGACGGCACCGTTCTCTATACAACCGTTGATCCGCTCAGCTCCGATGAGGCAGCTCGTGTGCGCGGCGGGATCCCTGGCAGCGAAGCACCTGGCGATGTGATATTCGGTGACTGCATCAAGATAGTGGATCCATGGTCTGTTTCTCACACTTCTTCCTCGGCTGACTTCGATGGTAGCGGCGGCACTGGCGGGGCCAAGCTCCTCTGGTCCTGGCGCGCAATTGACCATCTCGACCCGGAGGCTTTCGCCGCTCATTCACACTATCCCAGGGAACACTGGCCACTCATCAATAGCGTCAGCTTTAGCTCGGATGGAAACATCATTGCCTCTTCACGCAATGCCTCGGCGGTATTCATCATCAGCCGTCAAACAGGGGAGGTTTTATGGCATCTCACCGCGCCGACTGTGTCACAGCAACATTGTGCAAATCAGATCAACGCGGCCGGTGATATTTTAATTCTTGACAACGGCGTTTTCAGACCCAATATCTCGGTCCCCTTTTCCAGAGCCATTGTCGTGTCTCGTGACAAGCAGGTCAAGTGGGAATACAAGGATACGTCGACGGCTGGGCTAGGTTTCTTTACACCGTTTATGGGATCGGCGCAGAAATTGGACAATGGGAGTGTTTTAATTTGTGAAGCTGCGACCGGCCGAATTTTGGAGGTCACGAGGGAGGGAAATGTGGTCTGGGAGTTTGTTGTGCCACAATTGCAGGACTATAAGGGGGTGATGGACAAAGAGGAATTGGAAGAGATCGAAAGAATTGGCTTTCCAAATCAGAGCAATGCGATTTTCCGCGCTTATAAATATCGACCAGAAGAAATACCGTGGCTGAAGTAGGTAGTATTGATGATGCAGGGAATACTGGCTATAAATCAGATCTACTTGAATTAGCACTTCGGCTGTTGCTCCTCAAAATATATTCTATACCGCGGGCAGATAGAATTTGAGTAGAACTTCAAAGTAAGATTGTTTATGTGGGGTATCAAAGGTCTATACTTTACATAACCTGTTCGGAGGTATACATAGGATTTGGACAAAAGAAATTATGGGCGGAAGGAGAGGATGAAGGCGTCGAAAACAGATAGCCAAGGTGCGATGTGCAATGGCGGATAAGACCTGACATTTTAACCAAGAGATTCCCCAAGGTGTGATTCGGGAATAGAAGGCGTGTCGGTCTGAGCTCCCACATCGTGAACAACCCGAGTTTCCTTGACTGTTTCCTTGACAACAGGCTGGTCTACCTCTTTTACCTGCTTGGGCTCAGGAGTCTTGCGTGTAGAAGCGTACTTGATGAAGACAATGATCATGACTAGTCGCACAGTTAATTATAGAATTTTCGAGGCAAGGGACGAAGTAGAACCTACAGGCACAGGTGGCAACGGTCAAAGCGGCACGCCGGGTCAAAACCCACCGCAGGCCCTCAATCTCACTCTTTCCATCACTGTTGAGAGACACAGTGATTTTGTAGTTCAATTCTTGGACCATGGTATCAATGCTCCGCTGCTGTTCTCGCGTGGACATCTTATGATCATTAAACATCCCCTTGATGTCATCCTTCATACCGGAAAGTTCCTGGGTAAGACGCTGAGAAAGAATATCCGTCTCATGCTCCAGCTGCGTCCGAGAAGCGCGTTGCCTTTGAACTTCTGAGTTGCGGGCAGTCTGTAGCGACTGTTGGAGCTCCGAGCATGCCGCCTTGAACAGATACTCTTCATTTTCGACATCGGATTTTGAAGTTAAGCTTTGCTTGGCGAAGTCGATGTTGTTTTGAAGAATGTTCCGAACGGCCTTCATGATCGTAACGGATTGTTCGTTGGTATATCCACCTTTTGAAAGATCAAGAACGAGGGAATATGTGTCGAAATGGTGTACGTAGGGCGCCGGGCTTAGATGTGGCGGCCTATTCGAAGTAAATGGTTCAGTAGCGGTCAAGCCGGTTGATGGAGAAGGCATGTGGTAGACTTCTTCGAAGGCGCTGCGGTTTGCATATGGTGGCATCTGCGACATTTCCTCCTCCACGTCTGCAGAAGAAGACGTAGATGATGAGTTGAAGTTGTCCGTAGTATCGATCTCCACAGGATGCCCCTCACTTTCGTCCGGTTCTGCGGATGCGCTATCAGTCGTGATCGAGTCAATAGTGGCCTGTTCCACCGCTGGAGATGCATCTGCTTCGGCACCATCGGCCTGCACTTCCTCTGGTGACTGTGGCAATCGGGGTAAGTCTTCCTCCACGGAAGTATCCCGCTCGGTGTTTTCGCTTTGCTCTTTCCCAATCAATGTCCCCTCTACGGGCTCTGCTGAGGAATGGTCCTTTGGCCGCGACGGAGGTGGGATATTGGGTTCAACAGCTGGTCCATATCGCCGCTGATAGGTTTCTTGGTACCGTCGTCGAGTCGTGTGAAAGCCGCTTCGGGGCGCGGCGGTCAAGCGAAGAGAGCGATACGTGGTCGACTCATACGACCGAGCAGCGCGCATCAAATTCGGACAAAGGAACGGAAGCCGAGGAGTCGCCATGGTCGAGGGTTGTGGAAGACAAAATTCCCGCCGGTGAACTCTTGAGTGACGTTGTTCCCCGCGGAAAGGGTGATTAGGTAAGTGATGTGGTCATGCACCAAAACGGATCCACTATGCATCGATCGCGGATGCTTGTTAAAGACGCATGCTGATTGGTCCAGAACTTGAGCTATTCATCGGTTTACAGGAGTCTAAGAGGATGTATTATGGGAGAAACTTCGTATGTCCCAATGTTCTAGCAGTATGCTTGAAAGTGAAATTTAAGGAGGTAAATATATTTTCACGTCTTGAATATTCCGCGGCGTTGTTTCAAATGACGGTATTTGTCATGTTGTTTTTCAACGGTCCATGGCATCTGATTAGGCAGCTCGATGGCATCACATGTTTACCTATACCCAAGTGTTTACAGTCAAAACTTGAAGCTCAATAAGCAGAACAATTTCATCAAGAGAATGATCCCCGGGAACGAACCTTTGTGGCTGTAATAAAGAGCGGCCTGGTTTTGGCCTGGTTTTGGCCTGGTTTTGGCCTGAGTCTTGCTCTTGTTTTCATGCTACGGGCTGATGATGGAGCAAATCCATATACAAAATGGTCGGTGTCTAAATCAGCATCTATCCATAATTTCATAAATTCATACCTGATACGACCTATTTTGCTACCCAAAAAATGTCTCAGACACTTTCTTTGTTTGAAGTATGTGTGCAATTTTCTGCCTGTATGTCATTTGTCTACTGGATGAGTCTTGATGCAGCGGGCCCTATTAATTACTAATTTCAATCCCAGAGCATTCTTATCTTTCATATTGTTGAACCTCTAACTATGGTGTTTCTCTCCTAGGAAAATGACCTCTTTGCTTCCATGACAGGGCCTTCTAGGCAAGGTGAATTCCGATGTCGACCCAAGACTGTGGCGTTATAAAAAGACATTGGCAAACCAGTAGGGTTTATTTGATGTCAAGCCGAGACAATCAAACAGAGTCGTTTTCTTCGGTGAATTGCAGATATTGTCCGCTGGGCAAGCAGCTACCCAAGAGGTGCGTGGCTTCTTAGATGCTCTCACTCTTTCTTCTTCCTTTCTTCTTCCTTTCTTCTTCTACCACCTTCTTCTATCTCCCCACCAAAGAATTGTTTACCTGGCACTCTGTTAAAGACGCCAGATCTTGTTTTCTTCTAAGATATCAAATTCCATTCTCTATCTCCGATTCCATCTCTCTTGCGCGCCAAATCAACGCAGTTGACGTATCTGGGGCCACATCGCATCCTAACATTGCCCGTCATGGGTGGCTCTCGGCGACCAACATTGTGTACGATCCTCCTACAGGCGACCGAGCCTGAACTCCATGAGTACAACCATGCCCTGTCTCGAATTGGTCAATACTACGTTGATTTACCTGCTGAAATGAGGGATGACACTCTGCATGAGGAAATTGTATTGCACCCGACTCGAACCCTCGCCCGTCTCCAGAAATCATTCGATATCTTGAAGACCAAAGATCTGACGGCCTCAGTTGCTGAAGGGATCTTCAAGAGTATCGTTCTTCCCCTTATCAACTCCACAGATCGTCTTTTCTCTCAGACCCAGTCAGTTCAGCTGATCGGCTCGGTCTTGCCACTCGTGGTTAATCAACCCATCCCATTTCTTCGACAAGTTGCCGATCTACTCATCGAGCACGAGCACGTGTTTGAGAATTTGGTTGCGGAGGAAATGTATGCCACTGTCATCAAGGGATGGTTACTCTCGAAAAAGACATACCTTGATCAGGATCTCATCATGAAGCTAACGGAGAGACTTGTCTCGTTATGTGACGGCTGTTCCGCCGGGCATGGAGTTGGAACCATTCTCCAAGATTGGAGGCAAGTTATGACTCTCATTTCCTCTCTCGAAAATCTCCATGCTTTCTACAAGCAGCGCAAAGCCCCGGCCATATCTATGGAGAATTTGCCGCCTCTTGAAAATATGAAAGCTCTCAGTCTCAATGATAAAAAGTCCAGCCGGGCTCAACCACTGGAGAAGAACAGCATCGAAGTTTCCACCACGATTCAAGAGAGTCTGAATCGGTTCAAGCTTCCTAAAGTGGAGTCACTTGGTACTCTGGCTCATGCTTTAGAGCGCCTCCGAAGCGAGACAGTTCTTGAGTTCATGCATACTGCACTGAAGAGTTTTCCCTGTAGAGTCTGCTTGGAGATGTTGAACGGAACTTCTATCACCATTTCAGACTCAGCAGACCTCATTCCTCAACCAACTCTCCTTACGAATCCTGCAGTCGACCTTTTCGGTAAACGTGTGGGACTTTGGAAGGTATTACTCTCTGACACTGCCATGAAAAACATCAAAGTTCTGGCTCGCGAAGGTATCGAAGAAACACATTTCACATAATTGTTTATTGCGCTGACTATTTTAGGGGACATTTCCCGCGTGACCGTGAAACTCAAAGAGATTGCAAGTGGCAAATGGCATGGGTCAGGCTTGGACAAGCCAGCAGGATCCAAGAAGCAGAGACAGAGAATGCAAATTCCAATCATGCGAGCAGTTGTATCTCGCTCTATTCAAATACTCTGGCAAATTGATGTTGGGTTCTATGATGATTCGCCTTGGCTCGAACAGCAGATTGTCAAAGGTACCACGGTTCAAGGAATCCTTTCACTAGCACGAGCTAACCTTCTGTAGTCTGGGACATTGTTGGTTCAAACAAGGAGGTATTAATTTCGTTTCCAATTTTCTGGCAGTTTTCTCATTACTTCTAGGTGGACCATGCGATCGATAATATTCTTGGTGTTCAAGACAACTACCAGGAAGAAATCATTACACGATGCCGCGAACTTCCAACAAAGCAGTCTGATGGCTATTTTCTTCCAAATCGATACGGTCTGGTAAAGAAGGGATTTTCACAGATGAAATTTATGGCCGCGACTAAAGAAGACCGAGCTTTGGTTGATATGTCGAGTAAGCTAGTTTCAATACTTAATTGGTCATGACTTCTATGCTAAACTTTATTCTCAAACCTCTAGACAAGTTTTACAATGTCACAGAGCCGTTCCTCAATTCCATTGTGAAGGCAACTGGAGATGAAGAGTTTCCATTCGAACTGTCTCCGGAGGAAATGGAAATCGTTGGGCATTTTGACACATCTAGCATGATACTGGGAAGAAGTGGCACGGGAAAAACGACTTGTCTACTTTTCAAGATCCTTGCGAAATATCGAGCGAGACAAGCAGCCCCCGATGAGAAGTGTATCCGACAGGTAGTTCCTAACACCAAACCACTCCCCACGTTATCGATTGGAAGACTAATTCAACACAGCTTCTCTTGACCCGCTCACCTCATTTGGCTTCAAAACTTCAAACCTACACAAAAAGCCTGATAGATACCCAGTCTGACACGGCAAAACCTACGAAGTCTTCGAGAAGAGAGCCTCTCGAGTCGTTTTTTGTTCTGAGTGATGATGACTTCCCGTTTGTCTGCACCTACGACGAGTTCTTGAGCTTCCTTGAGAAGACCTTTAGGTTTGTCCTATACAGTTCCGCATACAGGTGAGTAAAATTCTAATTTTTGGTAGACGAGCGGACAGGCAAGACTTTTTGGGAAGCAAATATTCCAAGAGGAATGGCGGTGGCAATGACAGTAAGCAACTGAATGGACATGCTGTCGATTTCAATGCTTTCAAAACGGAATACTGGGGATCTCTTTCCAGTATTTCTCCCTCTGGCTGCTCTGCAGAGCTTCTTTTTGCGGAGATAATGGGTGTTGTCAAAGGGTCAGGGACCTGCGCCAAAACTTTGCGATCTCTTACTCGCTCAGAGTATCTTTCCAGAAGTTCCAAGAGCTCTCCAGCATTCGCGTCCGAAACGGAGAGAGAGAAAGTATTCACAGCCTTTGAACGCTACGAAAAACTCAAGAAGCAGCGCAACCAGATTGACGAGTTGGATCGAGTGAATGCTTTATTACAAACACTTAGAGATAATCCAGCCTTATTGAAAAAGATTCGATGCTTCGAAGAAATTTATGTCGATGGTATGAAATAATTCATGGTCAAATTTATAAGGAAGTTGCTGACATTACTTCAGAGATTCAAGACCTGCGTTGTCTCGACATTGCTTTGCTCTTAAACTGTCTCCGTGATGCCCGAGGCATCCACCTTGGTAAGTGCTTTTACAAGGTGTGCTCTGTTTGATCTGCAACCATTGACTTATCTCAGCTGGTGATACCGCTCAGTGTATTTCCAAAGACTCGGCATTCCGATTCCCTGAGATTAAGGCACTGTTTTATGAGTATTACGAGATCATTGCCCAGGAATTGAACCAGCCCTTGATTGCCAAGCCCAAACAATTTATGTTGGCCAAAAACTACCGGTCCCATCAGGGTATTCTGAGCTTTGCATCATGGGTCATGCAATTGCTCTGGAATGGTAGGTCCAAAAAGAGATTAAAGGAGGCTGGTTTGTCATCTAACCCTGTCGTAATAGGCTTCCCCGAGACAATTGACAAGCTAGATCCCGAAATCGGCCAGACTGGAGGTCCTAGGCCTATCATTTTCGGTATTGGAATAACAATTTTACTGGGAAAAGGCATTGACTAATATCTTTGATTTACGCAGCTGGCTTTGACTCGTCTATCCTTTCGGCCAAGATGATCGGACTAGTCAGATTGAATGATCAAGTGGCCGACTTCGGGGCGGAGCAAGTAATCCTTGTTCGCGACGAGGAATCAAAGGACAAACTTCAGTCCCAGATAGGGGAAGTAGCTCTTGTGCTGACCATATTAGAGAGCAAAGGAATGGAGTTTGACGACGTCCTTATTTACAACTTTTTTGGTGCAAGCGGGCTCGGAAGCAGTTATCGATGCTTACATCTGCTCGCCCAGGAATCACGTACTCGGTTTGACTCTCAGAAACACGCAGTGAGTTCTGAGGTTTGCATGGAGCTTTATTCGTATGCTTACCAGAATTATGATACCTAGCCTCTCTGCTCGGAGCTCAAGGTACGTGGAATTCCGAGCATTCTCTACGGAGTATCATGCTGAGCAGATCCAAAAAGCAACTTTATGTCGCTGTAACGCGTGCACGAAAGCAGCTATGGTTCATGGAGACTGCAGAGACCAGCATTGATCCTATCCATCAAGCACTTGCAGAGGGTGGTGACAGTGAACTTGCAGAGATTGTTAGACAGAAAGATGAGAATGTGAGTTTCAGAGAATATTTGCAAAGAAATGCTACTGAAGCCACCTATAGGTAGCCGAGAAGGTAAAGGTCCTACGTGCTGGAGGCTCAGTAGACCCCGAAAGATGGCTCAAACGGGCGGCACACCTGTTGCATCAGAAAAACTTTGCAGATGTAAGAAAATTCAAACTCGCAAGTCTTTGGCTGATATTCCTAATTTTATTCAAAGGCGCTCTTTTGTTACAAGAAAGCCGACAACCCTCGGGGTATAGCAGAGTCCCAAGCCAGGTTGCACGAACAAGACGGCAGATCATGTCGGGCGGCCAAGGATGTGGAAGGATTTTCAGCATATTACGAAAAGGCAATCTCACTTTTCCTTGAAATTGACCTTATTGTCGAAGCTGTAGGCTGTCTTCAGGTGCTTGGGAAATTTGACCGCGCTGCAGGTTAGTCTTATTGCGAATGTACGCGTGACATACTAACGTAAATTATTTTTAGAGATATGGAAAAACCAAGGACAACTCCAAGAGGCAGCAACTCTGTACGAGCAAGGTGGAAATTACAGTCAGGCTTCGGAATGCTATCACCTCATTGGGGAATATGAGCAAGCGCTTGATGCCCTTCGTCGAGGAGATCAGTTTGATGAAATCATCAATTACATCAATCGGTGTGTATCATTCAAATTTATGAAGCTTTTTCTTTATTTTAAGAGGCTAAATTACTCGAAGAAATCAATCTCGTCTCAGCTCCACTGTTCAACGCCGTTACTCGCGCCTCTGCAATATTCTACTGAAACAGGGTCGAATCTCGTCTGATCTGAGGGCAGTCACCATCAACCTCCTTGGATCAGATGTGGAGAAACTATCATTTTTCAAAGAGTTCGAGATGTTCGATCAGCTGCGCTCTTTCTACGCAACAAAAGGCAGGTGGTTCGAATATTATGAATCATCGCTTGCGGTTGGGGATCTTCCTGCGGCAATGGATACTCTGCTAACGCATAAATTGATGCCGGTGGTGGACAAGAAAACTGTTGAGTCAATTCTGCATTATACTATGGCGGAACTTCTTCTTGCACATCGAGGTATCATCGAAAATCGACCCGAGCTTGCGAAAGATTTTCTGGAATCATCACGGTCTACTCCACTTGAAAAGACCGCCATGCATTGGCTGACCCTTTTTGACCTTGTCGATAAGATTCCCAACGAAATAGCTGCAGCGTCAGCCAAAACAGTCTCAGAAGGGCTTCTGAAAGACTTTTTCTGTCTCTTTGTTGGTTTTGTCACATCCTTTGCTTTTTGTTGATTTACTAATCTCTTGACTAGGTCATTTCTTACGAGATGACGGACGCTCTTCGCAGGAAGAATGTGATATATCTTCCATTTGACATACTGATGCATGCGGGGCGACTCATTCAAGACATTGAGGCTTGTAAAGATAATTCCATGGCATCCATTTTGCTTCTATGTGGGCTTTATAGTCCTCCAAAGCAGAACTCCGAGCTGGTGATACTTTCCTGGTCAGCCTTCAAGCCCGAACCGGATACAGAGGCTGTGGAGTTATCGACTGAAGAATTGCTTTGTCGAGCCAAATTCTGGATTCGAAAAAAATTCTCCGAGGCAATAGCTCTTTTTGAGAACCATTCATTTGCTATTTTCAGGAATGAATTCCCACGGCGCTGCCTTTCATTTATCATCAGAGGTACTTTGCCAACTACACCAAAACTCATCACTTTATTAAGACTTTCTAACACAACTCAGGCCGGTGTATTAAGCAACGTCAAGAAGGCTGCGATTTACTTCATGAGAGACCTGGGATTGATACCTGCCAGGCGAAATTGAATGTAGGTCATCAACATCATGTTCATCGAGAGGTACTAAGAATGGGCAGGGGATCCTCAACATTGCCGAAGTGTATTCAAGACTCTCCAATCTCTACTATCAACGCATCATGGATAAATCGTTTTCTGTGGAATTTTTGAAGCGGAGTCAGTTGCCCGTAAAAGTCCCAAACAAACATTTTTAATATTGACACTTCACAAGGGCGGCGCTGGGTCCAGATGTTGATGGACGAGGTTAGCTTCGTTAGCTCTCTTGAACAGTCCCCAATTGCAATTTCAAAGCTTCTCAATAAGCTCTTGAGTGATACCGAGTACCGTGCCACCAGATCCTGCTTTGAGGGCCTTCTGTTTCACCGCTTGACTAAGGACTGGTCCACGATTCAGATCTTCACGGGGCTTCTGGAGCAGATTCAGCTCGCGCATCTTCTTGGTACTGCTGTTATGTCTCGGTCATGATTTAGAATGAGTCTTGCTAATCGCCATTTAAATAGGTCCTGAGTGTGGCTTGCGCTATACTCGATCCCTTTTTTACACGGTCCTCTCTTGGCGTAGTCGCCATTTGGATCATCCGGATGCACTGAAAATTGCTTTTGACGGAATTCAATGTGCCTCGAATTTGCGCTGGGCTCTATTCGAAAACCGGCCAATAGATTTTGTATGGTTTAAATACTCTTCCGAGTTTGACTCTTGATGCTCATCCCTAAATAGGTTGCTGGATTTAAAGCCTTCTGTTCATGTGTCCAAAATGTCAAACCTCCATCTTTTACGTATGTGCACTCATTGATTTCAATCTTTGAGCTTGCTTCGACACAAATCGTATGGAATTTAGCTCTTTATATTTATATGATGGATACATCGCTAATAATTTTGCAGCTTTGTGTTGTCAATCCGGCCAACGCTATTGCTATTCCTATGTCTTGGGCTTTGCAATATCTGCCAAATCTTTTTTATGGACCAATTCCTCGCGACAGCACCACTGGTAATTTAGTTCGGTTATCTCATTTTGAATGTCTAAAAGTATTGGTTTCAGCAGTCTACAGTCTCGCCCAAACCCTCGAAACGGCAAACCGAGGCAACGAATTCATCCTTCAAGGCCTGGGGCGCAAGAAGATGTCTGCAACAGTACCTAAACGGCGTGTTTTCGATATGCTGACAACAATTATTCTCAATTTGTCTCATCATCCTGTTCAGCCTCGTGGCTTGACGGATATGTGGGACATTATTGGAAGGGTATAATTCTCTCACTCATTTATCCATCTATATGAACTTGAAGCGTTATAGCACACTGACTCTATTCATTAGGCTCTTGAATTTGTGAGTCCTGGATTTTCTGCTCCTGGAGGCCTTCAAGGACTCAGAGATACTATCTTGCCGACATATGCTGCCTACAATGGCAAAGACAAAATCAGTGTCATTCTCCTGGATGACAACGATAAATGCCCACCCTATCTTCGAGATTTTGTCACCCAAGTGGACCAGTCGATGAAGCTTTCTGTCATTCTGCGCCTGTCTCAGGTTGACGACAGACAGACGTCTTTGGTTATGTCCAAAATTGTGCCTGGCGTAGCTGATTATTCCAGTCATGATATCAAAACAATCGAGAGTCTCCAGTCCCGTTGGAGACGCATCGTGCGCATACTTTCAGACAGACGCCGTATGGAAGAGTCACTGGATGGACAGTTATTCCTTTCTCTTCACAACATCTGCGAATCGAAATTCGGGGCTCTTCCAGGTTCTGCTCATGTGTCCGCGAAAGAAAAAATACGAATTCGCAAACTTCTCTACACAGATGGTATCAAAATCCTTGTTGACTTGGAGGCAGCATTCGCCAACTTCCGCCATATGAATCATCAATGGAGGCAGCGGTTCGATTTTCCTTTCCTCCCAGTCAAAGAAATTGAGGAGCTCGATCAATTGAAGAAGCGCATGATGCCCATTGAGACCCGCTTGCACGAAATCGGGCACCTGTGGTCCCTCCATGGTCTCAATTCAGTCATCATTCTGATGTCATCTAAAGCCCTGGGCGAGAAGGCGCGTGAGGCTCAGAGAGTCATTTGGGCTCTCAAGAAAGATATCGAGGCCATCCAGACTGAAGTTGAGAGTATTGGTTGAGAGTTGTCTGGAAGAAAGCTACCACTTTCCATGTCATCAAAAGGTATACATGCGTTAATCATAGAAGGTGCGGCATGTGCTCTATGGTTATGTGACTGGGGTTTGACGATGCAGTGTTTACGATCTGCGAAGGTCCATGTTTGTATGTATGATTTAAAATTTGTATGAATGATCGATGTTTGAATGTGGCTAAGGCCTAAGTATATGTTGTAGAGCTCTGTAGGTGGTAAACACAAATTGAGGAGACAAACCACTCAATGGAATGCTGATAATACGCTCGTCATGATAGAAAAAATAAGATATCAAAGCACCTATGAGATAAGAATAGAGTTACCGCTCCACCAACAGTCCAAAAAGCAGCTCTGTGCGCTTCCAGTACTCCTGGGCGAATTTGTGGGCCGATTTAGCCACTTCTGGGCTCGCTTCAGCGCTTTTTTGGACACGTTCGACGAAATCAGCCAGCTGAGTTGAGTCACCCAGCATGTTCGCTAGGTAAAGTGCATCGAAAAATAATTGGATTTTCCAATCTTTGAGAGTTTGAGTCTGAGATGGAGTGTCGGTTGTCTCGATATTGGAATCTTCGTTCTCTTTAGACTCGGATTTTTTCTCCTTTGTTTCGCGATCTTCAGAGGAATCGCCATCCTTAGCGTCAGGGGCAGTTTTGTTTGGAATGACCCATGCTTCCAATGCAACTAGCGTAGAGTCAAGGGTTGACTGCAATTCTTTCTTCACTACTTCCTTCAAAACTCGTACAGTGGATGGATCCCATAGATCTGGCCCGCTCTCATCCATGGTTGCGGTCAAGCGGCGTAAGTATTTAAATGTACTGGGTGACGGTTGCAAAGGTATGGCTAGTTCAGCCTCCCATAGCGATCTACCAGGAACGAGCTTGAATCCCTTGGTCTCGGTATCCAAATTGGAGGATGGCAGGAAGGCGAGTGGGCCACTCTGCGAGATGACAGCTGTAGCAAGCAAGTTTTGCAGATCTGGAACGGCATCTTTGGAGAAGGTGAAATCTTCGGTAACCAATCCCCTGGGGATCTCCCGCCGAACCAATCTAATAGTTCGGAGCAAGAAGGTGGCTTTACCACTCGAATTAGAGGCACCGAATGCCTTTGAAGCGTCACTTATTGATATTTGCAGATTCTCGAGTGCCCCACGAATGGCAGATTTCATAGATTCTGACAGAATACGAGGGTCTTCTTCATTGAGTCGTGGTGCAATATCAATGTCTTCGTCCTCAAACTCGCCGCCCACAAGAATTTCAGTCCATTTCGAACGGCGGAGTGATTCAATAGATTCGTTGAGTTCTTGCACAGATGTGAGCCATGACTGGTATTTTTTCAATACGGCAGAGACATCTTCATCGCGGCCCAGAAGCCGATCCCCCACGGCCTGTTTGAAAATAGCAGCCCCATTCGAATAATCTGCCACGATGAGATCGGGTTCCCAAAGTGATCTAATAGATGAATGCTCGGAGGATTCCCATGCCGAAATAATGGACGAAATTTGACCCGCAACGTCATCGATTGTCTGCACTTGAGCAGCCAAAACACGTCTAAGATGGTGACTAAAGGTGTTTCGAAGACGTTCAAAAACGTCTTCGGATCGGTGAGTGATAGTCGAGCCCCAGGATGACAGCCAGAGCTCCAATGTGCGAGCGCGCAAAGAGAGAAGCGCCGAAAAGTCCTTACTTCTGGCGAGGGCCTTTTGACAACATTCGGCAAATTCCTCGAATGCCTCGAGTGACCACTTCTTGATTGAATTTACGCTCTCCGATCGGCTTATCTCACTGAGTTTGATCCAAGGAGTGAAATTCGTGACGGCAGGAGCTGCCCAACGACCGAGAATCTCGATATCCAGTTCATCCAATCCGCGAACTTCGGGATCGGAGAGAATAGGCTTGGCTTTGAGCTTGGAGAGCACATCTGAAAATTGGCGTGACCGTAGAACTTTAGATGTTTGCAGCGTGCGAATGAATAACCGAAGGGCTTTGGGGATATTCTCGCAGGATGACTCTAATAGGCTCGTAATGACATCGAGGCGCACTTGTTGGAATTGATGAATAGCGTCATCTGCCGATGACTTGGTCAACAGGCAGAAAGCTGCCAAAGACTCAATGATACTATCATCTGCGGCGCTTATCGAAGCCAAGCGCCTGTCGATTCGTTTCACAACAGTTCGACGTAGGGAGGTCAGCTGTTTGCGGAGGTCGTCAAGAAATGGCGGTGTATCTTTATATTGCGAAAGGGTTTCATGCAGCCACCTAGATACAGCCAGTATCTTTGCGACAAGAAGCAGCGAAGCCCGTTTACGTAAGAGCCGTGTGATTGTTGTAGTACATCGGTGTAGTAGGGCGAGCTGGGCTCCAAAGGCATGTTTCTCTGCGTCTATGATGTTTTAGCAATCGCCAATCGTCTCATGGTTTATTTATTTCCTACTCTTCTCCGCATCATCACTTTGAAGCCGCCGCGCATGAAGATGCTTCTTCTCCACCAGCCTTGGATTGCATCGGCGTCCAACATCAGCCAGGGTAGTCTCTGCCTCCTGGATATGCTTGTTCATTTCCACAATGGTCTCCGCAGTCCCAACAAGCTCCCTATACCGTGTACTAAAGGCATATGAATGTTAGCCTATCCACAGCAGACACAAAATGGGTGGTACTTACCCAACGAGAGCTCGGAGCTTCTCCTTATTGCTGGCAATGTCGCGGCGGAGCTCCTGCTCCACGCGACGGGCCGTGGGGATTGGGTACTGAAATGCATCTTGCCATGACTTTAGGCTGTGGGGATCTGGCGCCTCGGGGGCCATGCTGGCAACGGTGTTGAATGAGGCTTAAAGCCGCGTTGAGACCAAATCACCGAGATGGTTGATTCCCGGAGGTGCTGCGATTATGTCATCTATCGTTATCGGTGCGGGCCCCATGAGTCAAAGAGAAAAATATCCCCGCGATCCCCCTCCATCGCATTCAGTGAGATCCTTATTTGACATCCAAAATGCCGATGGCTGAAGCTGAGAATACAGCAATGGAGTCCTCGTCGCACGATGTGCCAGATCGACTGCCTTTCCCACCAGTGACCTATGCCCATATCTTGCATTGTTCCTATCATGACTGGCATCCGCGGTATGTCATTGCTTTATTTTACTATCATAACCCTGTCTCAGCCTCCAAAGTATCTGACGAAATATGATCTAGATATCGTCCACTGATTCCCAAATCCCGACTTATTCCCCTCACCTCTCCGTTCCTTTCATATCTCCGCGCCGACGGCATCGTCCTACCACCTGAAGCAGCGCCTCCAAAGGAGCTTGGAGATGATGAGCTCGACGCCTATCCAGATGATGACGAGGAAGAACCAGACCCATCCAAAGAATGGGAAGATATTCACACTAGAATCAAAGACACCATTACCGAATTGGGCGGTAAGGTTACTCCAAAGCTGAACTGGAGTGCTCCGAAGGACGCAACCTTCATGGCCGCAACAAACGACACACAATGCCAGTCCCCCAATGATATCTACCTTCTCCTTAAGAGCAGCGACTTCATCACCCATGATCTCGAACACCCCTTCGACGACTGCGAACCGGACCAGACGAATGGCGAATCTACACAACTGGCCGTGCCAGAGGTACCCTACCATCTGGTCCTCCGGCAATACGTTAACTTCAACCCATCCGTAGAATTCCGATGCTTCGTACGGAACCGCGTTCTGCTGTGCATCTGCCAGCGCGACCAGAACCATTTCGACTTCCTCTTCGGCATGCGCGACATGCTCCGTTCTCGAATTCAGTCCTTTTTCGACGAGAAGCTGCGCGACACGTTCCCCGATCCCAACTTCGTCTTTGACGTCTACATCCCTGCGCCGCATCAGCGCGTCTGGCTGATTGATATCAACCCGTGGGCACAGCGGACGGACCCGTTGCTCTTCAGCTGGCTCGAGATTCTGCGTATGAAGGATCCCATTGGGTTTGAGGATGCGGATGTGGACGGGGCCGCAGAAGGGTTTGTTCGCATTTCTCTGCGTGACGGTAGCGTTATCACCCCCGAATCCGATGATGAGGCGGAGAAGAGCTCGGTCGAGGAGCACAAGGCGATTGAGGATACTGCTGTTGGGGGCGACGACGAGCTCGCCCCCTTCTTGCCAGAATTTCGGCTCATCAAGGTAGATGATCCTGAGGCGTATTCGTTCAATACTCCCCAGTATTCGGCGCATAAGGTTCCGAAGGACGTTGTGGATGCCTCCCTGGCCGGGCCAGGTGGTATGAGCGAGTTCATGGGCAAGTGGCAGGATATTTTGAAGATGCAGGAGCAAGAAGACCGGGATGCGGGCAGTGCATCAGAGTAGAGATCCACCATCATTCCGCATTTTTTAAAATAAAAAAGGCGTTGAGTTGGTATTATTTGCTATGTGGCGTTGGAATGGCAGGTCGAACTTGGTGATTGAATATCGCGGCGAGAGTTGGTTCCCTGGTGCATTTACGGTCTAATTGCAAGGTTTTTTTTCTTCTAAAAAACGGGTTATCCATGTACAGGAGTAGATTAGACCAGTAGGAAATGTCATGATTTAGGAGTCAGCATCACAAGAAAGCTGAGTCTAACCCTTCCAGAAAGCCGTCTAAGGCCGGAGACTATATACAAGTAATCAGATTCTGGCCCACGCTTACAGCTTGTGCTTCTTCTCGCCCGACGCCAACTTGCGGAATTCCTCCTGTGGCACGCCTCCCAAGAAGCGTTCCAGTCCCATAAACGCTTCCAGCCCGTTCTGGCGATCCAAAAGCTCCCGCTCTGGCCGGCGCACCAGCTCCTTGATCTTCAGCAAGCTGGACTGGTTCAGATGCGTGCCCAGTCGGTCATCTACCTCAGCCAACACGCTCTTCAGGAACCCATCCGAATCCTCCTTGTTGCCTGATGGGGCTTGGATCACCTTGTTGACGAACCCGGCTGCCACGAGCTCGTCGCAGGTAATCCGCTTGCTCATAATGAGCGCCTCATTGGCCTTCGCGATGCCGAGGCGCTCGACAAAGGCGCGGCTAGCTCCACCTTCGGCGACGAGACCGAGTGAGGAGAAGGGAGTAAGCAAGAAGGCGTGCGGGGCGGCGTAAATGAAGTCTGCGTGGGCAACGAGGGCGGCGGAGAGGCCGACGGCGGGTCCGTTCAGAGCGACGACGAGGATTTTACTGTGGTTGTAGAAGGTGCGAGTCACGTCGACGTTATTGGCAACAAATCCCTTGACGAGCTCACGACGGACACTCGAGCTGAGGTCGCCGCTGGGTCGAGAGCTGGTCACATCGGCGCCACTGTATAATCAATCAATTAGGTCAGTCGGCACCTTCGGCTTCTGTGAATGCAGGGATTCCGTACGCGGAGAAGAACCGGCCTGTCCCGGTCAGGACAGTAATGTAGATATCCTCTCGCTGGTCAATTTCTCGAAGCCGCTCGCCGAGCAGGTAGTATAGGTCCTGGTTGAGCGCATTGAGCTTGTCGGGGCGGTTGAGCGTGACGATTGCGACACGGTCGCGGTACGAGAGGGTGATAAGCTGCTCGTTAGACATCGTGCTGAGATCTTTTTCGAGCCGGACTGGGGTTTTTTTTTTTTGCGGTGGATGGATCAATCTGAGCCCTGAGGGAGGTCTTCCAGCGCACAGAGATCATATACTGCACAATTCCGAGGCGCCCCTGTTCAACCGGGGCCCGGGGTTGTGCGGGGAGCCGAGGCCCGATTGTGTTACTTGATTTCCAGGCGACAGACCAGCCAACCAGAAGAGACCCACTTCTCTCCACTTGCACCACATGATGTCGACCTCATCTTGAAAGTCTTCTCACCTACAGTCTAGCGGGATATAGAATATAGTTTTTCCACATGATATTGTGTAAGTTTTTTCTTTGATAAGCGGGATCACCTCGAGACTCACGTCTCTCTCTCTATAGTACTCGAAGAATCTTTACGATCCCTAAAATTTATACATAAATAAACTAGATTGACGATAGATTGATCAGATGGTATTCGATCTGAAATTCCTCCTGAAGATATGGGTAAAAGAGTCGAAAGCGGCATAGTTGTCCTAATTCTTGCACAGTACAGATCAACCAAGGTTTGCAGCTGCATCGCACACCTTTTGAACTTTGTCTTCGAGTCCACTCAATATCAAGCCCGTGAAGAACACATTGATATTAGACATAGCCGTTAGCCTATGCTTAATTATGGCTCAAATGCGTACGGTTTAGACTTGTATCATACCATCTAGACTTTCAAAGCTGCTTCCACGCCCATCAACACCGAGAGAAGCACAGGAGGCTGAAAAGGAGAAACACTCAACCAATATCGCGCCAATTGTCCCAGCCGAGCAACAAGCTACCTACCATTACACATCCCACCGGCCAAATCATCGTTATTGCATTTGATGAGAGCTCAGAGTTACTTGCTTTGTGGCTATCCTTTATATTATTTCTCTCTTCAATATGCATAGAGCCGTGGCAGATCTGCTTTCTGAATATTGTGTCGGACTGTGAAATGACCGGTAGACCACAAAAAGGGTGAAAACATCAATAATTTGTGCCTATGCAGTATAATACAGTATTTTTTCTGGTTGGACATGTTGAAATATTGATCAGGATTTCCAAATGGAGGATCTGACAGCACCGGGCCGGTTGTGTGTAGACGCTTCTACCCTAGTCCCAAATTTTTGACCGTTGATTGGCCGCCAGTTTCACCATCCTGAAATATCTGATGTTACCGTATGTCACAAAGAGTTTTCATCGTTCAATCATTTCATCCATCCTCTTTTATTCGCCTTCAATGCGGTTTCTATAACTTCTATTTTCTCCATGATTTTCACCATTGGAGTTGATTGAAGGAGATGAAGTACATTGTCTGCGATAAAAATAGGCAATAGTAGAAACAAGGTGCACAGTATCGCGATCATAATTGAATGCGTCGATGAAGGACTACATGTAATGTCGGAGGATTGGCGGAAGATCAGGTGACCTTTTCTGTGGTGACTGGAAATGTTTGTGCCATTTGCGCTGTTTGCTCGGGTCGTGTTTGCAGCCCCTCCGGACAGGGCGCGGGCAAATAATCAAGCTCGTGACTGGGGCATCAGGCAATTCCAGCTCCGAGTCTTGCATCACCGGCTGATCGTCCACTGGATGCGCATATCAGATCTCGTAACGACATCGAGACAAATCCGTGCTAATATAATCCATTCATATCGTTCGCTTCTCAGCCACCGCCAGTCAAAATGATCTCCAACATCCTCCGCAAACTTCAGGGTGGAAACCTGGAAGTTTTCAAGGTAAGTCCGCTCTTCAAGCATACGGCAGCTCTTGCCTGGAATGCCTGGCCGTCGCTTCGTCATCATCGAGTTGGGAAATTCCTCAAATTCCGGAGGCTAAATAAGCTTGTCTTCTTTAGTTTGGCATGTACGTCCTCTTCCCCATCGGCTGGATGTACTACTTCGGCACCAACCTCGACGATCGCTTTAAAGTCAAGGGGTTCTGGCCATCCGAGGAGCAATCGCACAAGATTCCTTTGGACAAGGAAGAGATTGATAAGGAATTGGCGCGTATGCGCGTGGTGGAGGGTCTTCGGCGGGAGCGGGAGCAGAAACAGCGAGAGGCATTGGCGGCTCAAGCTGAAGCTCAGCAATCTCAAGCCTCCCAATAGAACAAAAAGCACTTCCTGGAGATCTGTGGGAGAAGAGAAGAGCAGGCCTTTTCAAAAACAAAATCTCATTGTGCAAGCCAAAAAAGGGGGAGGAGGTTTTTGACCGAGACCAACGGTATCTGCTGTTGCACCGAGGCGATGTCCTTGTCCGGGCATGTTCCATCCTCTGTGCAGACGGGACAAAAGAAGCGTGAGCGCTGGTGGAGCGGCAGTCGCACTTGTAAGATAGGAGATGGGAAGAGGAATGATCTATTCAACACTCTGCTCTGGGCATTCGAGGCGTTTTGGAGATGGGGATCTATTTACCGGATTATTCCAATACGACATTTGCATGTACTTTTCAGTTTAAATTTCATGTCTATATTACATTACATATTACTAGACCCCAGGGTCGTGCTCTGTAAATCCTAGCACCTAACCAGAAATCCCCCGGGGCATTATGTGCACGATATGAGAAGAATTGTCTCCTATCACCGACTCAAGAGCAGAAAACCGCCTGGGAAACACAGAAGGGTATCAATTGATCAGACTCGGCAAGATAACATCAGTGTGTCTCTCCTGCAACATCCTGTCAAGGATCAATGGGCATGGAAACAAGCATGGAACAGAGAATTCCAAGACATGGAGTGCCAATCTCGATCCTACCCGGAACAGAAGACGCCAGAATCCAAAGGGAGCAAAGCCTTAGAAAGTAGCCAAAAAAAACGCCTAAGGTGCGCCAACCGGGTTGAACAAGCCAATCAAGCAAGGCAGGGGCCATTCAATTCCACGGATGTCGACGATAAGGACAAGAAACGACATTTTTATTTTGTCAAGTCGCCATACTTGACCGCCGACCCATGGAAGAAATTTCATGCCCTTTCCAACTCCCCCAACTCCAGAGGAACTATCAACAGGTCACAATTCGGCCAGATGTTGTGTTGTCGTCGCGGCCGCGTTCTTGGCAGTCTCGTAAACCACTTCCAGGCTCTGGGTGGCGGCCTCGCCGAAGACCGAGCTCATCGAGGTCAGCCGGGAAGAGATGAAAGGACGCTCGCCGACCCAGTAGTAGTACAGATGGCCGTAGATGGCCCGAATGTGGTCTGGGAGGTAGATGTAGATACCGGTGGCGATCATGGTGATGAGAGTCAGGAGGAGGGAGTCTAGCAAGAAAAGGGCAGAGTCAGCTCAGCAGCTCGGGCCAAAACAAAGCAATGAAATAGAGGCAGACCAAACTTACTGAAGATGAACTTTTCGGTTGGGGTGAGCATATAGATAGCGAAGGTCACCTCATACTGGTAAATCTTGAGGCGCACCCAGCGCACCAAGTTGGTCAGGACCCAGAGAAGCGACATGGCTGCCTTGGCGCGAGAAAATGTGAAAGAATCGGTTTGAATATGCTCGCTTGAGGCAATCTATTTCAATCAGGCGTCCTTTATCTGCCAGTACGATCGCAGAAGCGTGTGCAAGGCAAATGGACGGGCGCTCGGAAGGGAGTGTGACAGCGACTTCGAGTTGCGTCTCCTGGATCAGACGGTGCAATACCAAGTCTCAGTAATGGCTTGGCACGGTCCGTTTGGAAAGATCCAGGCGATAAGATCAGGTTGAGGCAGTTCACTGGTCTCGCTAGGTGGAAGGTGGTCCGTCGAGGCTCGGAGTGGATGGAGGTAGGACAGCGGGTGGGCGGGCGGTGGAATTGACAGGGTCTCGAAGAATTGAACACGCAGCTATACCACCATAGTGTTGCGGGTGTTGCAGTTGTTGCAAGAGAGAAGAACCCACAAGAGACAAGGGGTGATCGACGCAGGTTCGGTGCAGCGTGAGTTGGAGATGGCCTAGTGTGGGGACGTGGGCGGTTTGATGTTCTGTTTCGCAGGAAACGAGGAAAATGAGAGAGCCAGACGCAGAAAATTGAGAATGCTCTGATAAAGCTCTGGGATAAGAATATACGATATCAAATACGGTTGTTAAGGATAGCGTGGTGAATGGAGGAAGGAAGGAGGAGAGGAGGTGTGTTTCAACACGACTACGGTTCTCAATCTGTGGAGGTCGACGTCCCCAAGGCGGGAAAAAAAATCAATTTACTGTTTCTCCCCCCCCCCCCCTCCCCCTTTTTTTGAACTTGGGGGCTTCGCCACAGACCGTGCATTTTCTGACGTCCTGACCCGGGCGGATCCCCCACTAGGTTTTGAGGCTGTGCCCGGTATCTACGGAGCAAATCTTGTCGGGGCGGTTTCAGATCTTCCTAGTCAATCAGGGTCTCTGACACGGAGACACACTATCACGGATTCCCGACCCGATGGGCCCTTGGACGCGTCCCACCGCCTGAGGCATACGTCAACCCGGCTCCTCTCGGGACAGGCATTATCACATCTAGAATCACCTCTGCTTAGTTAGTTAGTCGGCAACCCGCTAATAAATAACCTCCGTAATTGTTGAGAAGGAGAAACCACAGAATACCGCGAGCACCAATATATTTCTCGATACTTTCAGTCATGATAGTTACTCGATTCCCTTCTCGTTTGTTATGGTATCCCGGGTATACTCAGAGCCTAGCGCTGTAACACGCCAGCCAGCGTGGTAGGAGATATCCAACACTTGGAAATCTAAAAAGAACTCTATTTCACCGTCAATAAAGCATCTAAATATAGAAATGACCTGAGCAGTTGGAGGTAGACTTGCAGATATCTAGCAAGCAGTGTTTGACGGTCGGCGAATCTATATCTTCGTAGCCGATGAATACCGATGAATGATTGAGCTGTGGATACGGACATGCCAACCCTAATCAATGCACCATTGTGTCTCAAATTGGGTTGATGAGTTGCACATCAACTTATTAGAAAATGATCAGAAAGACTCCAGATCATAATCTACTCATAGTGGGCGCCTTATCATTCCAATCTTGAAGTACTGGTTCCATGGTCATTGGTTTCGAGCTGTTCGTAGGATGGCTCAAGGACACCTTGTTTTTCTAGAAGTCAGTTGACCGATCCTCTGGATCCTCTATTCCAATAACTGAGCGACTTTTGCAAACAGTAGCCCAAGAATTCATTGCACATAAAAAAGCAGGTGGTCTAAGAGAACACCGATGAAAAGATATATATCTCTACAGGGACGCGGCTGTCGATCCCATCTTCTACAGGTATGATCCCATCACACCGGTATCACCAGAGTCTCACAAAAAAGTTCCCTCCAAAGAACAATTTCTAGATGAATTAATGACAGCCAGTCGGTTTCAAGCTGCGTTGTTGTCATCTTTCTGTAAACGTAAATATACAGTAGTCCTGAGATTCTGCCAACCTTGGCAGAATTATCTTATCTTATCAGGATAGATAGGGCCTGAAGGTGCTCGCGCAAAACATCCGCCCGCCTCATCTGCCGCCAACTCAGCAATGCTGCGCTCGCGCTCATGGCCCCAGGTTCTGTCCCGGGTCTTGCGACCCAATTGCCAGGGTGTGACTTTTTTCCTCTCCTCTTCGCATAGACCGTTCACTCAGTCACCCGCTTTACCCGCTAAACCTCTCCCGCCCCGTCTGAAGATCAACGATGCCGACCTGACATTATCCTACCTCAAAGGTACCGGGCCTGGCGGCCAGAAGATCGTGCGCACGACCCAGCCTCCAAACGATCGAATCCAGATCATCTGACTGATATTGCTCTCTCAGAATAAAACGAACTCCGCAGTCCAAATCATCCACCATCCCTCCGGCGTGGTGGTCAAGTGCCAGGCCACACGGTCGCGCTCGCAGAACGAGAAGATTGCGCGCCAGCTACTGGCGGATAAAGTCGAGGCGCGGGAGAAAGGGGAACAGAGTCGAGTAGCGCTGAAGGCGGAGGCGGCGCGGAAGAAGAAAGCGAGCAAGATGAAGAAAGCTAAGCGAAAATACCGCAGTTTGGACGAGGCCAACAGGATGGGCGAGGACGAGGGAATAGACAATGATGGCATTGAGACAGAGAAAAGGGCGGTGGAAGAAGAAACAGACCCAGAACAGTCGGACAAACGCTCTTTGTAACACATGGTAGTCTTTTAGGCGTTCCAGCCGCTACGGCGGGCTGTTTGTATGAAGCATGTACAGTATTGTTCCGGTTCAGGTGTTCAGGATTGGTTGAGGGATTGTACTTTGGGAAGGCGAATGGTCTTTTCTTTTTTTTTTCTTTGGACCTAACAATAAAAAAAATTCATTGGGCATATCCTATCGAAGAGACAGCAACCAGCCCCCGGATCTAGAGATTCATAATTGCATGCGCGCCATCCCGAGGTTTCAACTGCGAGAATGACAGATTTAACATGGACTTTTTGTTTTTCTCCCCCTCTCCAATCGCTTTGCACCACTATCTCGAAAGTAAGTTCTAGCACTCTTCCTTGTGTGGCGTCAACAGCTTAGGAGATATAGCTGCCTAGCACGGTTTTGGCTTGGTCATCCAAACGTTCCTGGGCAAACTGGGAAATCCGTCCGTTGTGCTTCTTGTCCGCATCCTTTAGGTAAGAGCCAACCCAGGCCTTGAGGTCTACGCCGGTTTCTGGCCATGGGTCCTTAGGATGCGCCCGGATGGTATTGAGCGGCGTGAAGCCAACTCCGAAAGACATTTCTTCGACATCAACCTCGGCCATGATGTCGTCCTTGTGCACCACATCCGGGGGCAACTCGAGAAGCTTCAACAGGGTGTTGCAGGTGAAGCCCCAGCCCTTGGCATACCGCGTGGCGAAGGCGTCTGAGTTGGCGAGGGTCTTAGTCAAGGAGATCACAGCGGTCTTGCGGTCCAGGGGACGCGCCAGCTTCTGGGTATCCTGAAGAATGACATTAAGGTAGACAGGGGTGAAAAGGCTTTAAAGAAATTTTGATCAGCAAATATCCAGATCAACGGTTGGCATAGGGTCCCTTACTTCTGTTGCACCTTCTCCGTCACCTGCATAATGAAATCGGGACTGTATCCCTTGTCGTCATGCGCAGTGACAAAATGGTAGAAGCGGACAAATCGAATTCCCAGATTCTCGGTCTTGGAGTTCTGCAGGCGTTGCATGATAATTTGCATTATGAGAACAAAATATTGCTCCAGGGCAGTCCTGCTTGCTTTGTTAGCTTGCAGGTCAATCGAAGGCTTGGGGTCATGTCGGAACGCACGGTGGGAAGGTTGCAACAACTGTCTCTAGCAAGTCAAAAGCATAGCCCTCATTACTCTTGGTTGAGACGAGTTTCTGGAAAATGCCCAGAATAGGCTCAATCTGGTTGTTCTCGAGGATGTACTGGGAGCCTCGAGGGATGATTGAGGAAAGCAATCGGACGAGTGCCGGGATATTTCCTCTTGATTCCCACATGACAGGCATCAGAATAGGAGCGATCAGCTCCTGGTAATACGTAGGGAGGGTTGCCGAGGGGTTGGCTTCGAGAAGCGCGGCGAAAAGCTGGAATACATATGGCATGAATTCTGGGAGAGTATTGTCAGTGCTCTCGTCCTCAATTCAAAAGGGCTCAAGGTGGTAGCATACCTTGCACATCGTTCTGCAGGATTCCAGCAAATGGCGTGTAAAGAGCCTGCTCGAGCTTGTCGGGGTTGGCGGGAGCAGCATATCTAAAATTGATGAGCCTTCAGTGTGAGAACCAAAGAAGAGATGTAAAGCTTTACCGGATGAAAGCACCCATGGCCTCAAAGTGGAAGTAGTAAAACCTTGGGTTGCTGGGGTTTTGCCTGATGATGTCGGTGATAGTGATGAAGCGTTGCAAGACAACATCTGTGAAGGGAACCACGCCCTCGCGAATAACGATCAGGACACGCATGACACAGCGCATTAAGAATTCGTTTTCCTGGATTTTCTCAGGAGCAGGATCCTTTTGAATTAGCTGGAAAATGTGCTCCAGAAGGTCCTTGGCGAGTGGTGTAATTTCAGACGGGGAAATAACGGGTTGACCCTGGCCATCACTGAGGAAGAGCGCCCGCTCAACAGCAATTGCAGCATATGTGTACACAACGTAGTTGGAAGAAGCCAAATGCTTCACTAGAACAGGAAGTACTTGCTGCCATTGCTCCTTTGTAATGATGCTGCGGAAAGTGTACAAGTACTTGATCGCATCGACCTTCAAAATTGGGTGAACCCCGTCATCGGAGACGAGGTCCGCAGCCAGGTGCTGCTGGAAGAAATCCGTTATGCTGACCAGGCTGTTGGTAGCGGTGACGCCATGAGTAGAGGTGGCCACACCCTTGGCAGCGATCGCGGAATAGAGATAAGTGGCAGTATCCTTGGATTTCCAGTTTGACACAGGATCCTTGGCATACTCGGCCAGATAATGCTCAGTATACTTGAGCGTCACCTTAGTCACTGATTCTTCAAACTTCTCCGTCAGCCGGCGAAGGAAGTCCGTTGCAGCGCGCCGTCTGGTCTCGCTATCAGATCCCTCCAGATCCCGGCGAATAAACTCGATGGGTTCATCTTCAAATAGCTCCTCATCTGATTCACGCAGACTCACATTCGGCAGGATCACCTTCTCGATAATCTGGCCTAATGTCTCGTCGGCCTGGAATGCAACAGCATGTTCAGGCATGCTCGCGACCGAGGTCAGGAAATGCAGAGCTCGGCTCACCAGAATATCATATTTGGTCTCCTGGCCGATAGTGGTCAAGAAGTTCCAAGAACTCTGGATGAACTGCCCAACATGGGGCCCAAATGCATCCAGGAATTTCTGAACATAGAGAGTCAAGCCTTCGAAAATGCCAGCACGAACATACTCCAACGGGCCGGCCTCTGTATCATCATCGGTGTGCAACAATTGATTGTCGTAGGTCAGATACTTGAGCAGAATCTGGGCGATGTCGGCAATGTTATCTTCGAACATTGGGGGAAGGTCATGGCAGGAGAGGTCGTAGAACAGCTTGATCATCAAGTTGAGTTGATTGTAACCCTGTGCAAGGTTCTCCTTGTTGGTTTTATTTTGCTCAAGGTAGTTGTCCAATGTCTGAAGAATTAATGATGTTTAGCATATGGTTGATTTCAAGGTTTTTCGTCGGAAGAGACTGTGGTTGACTCACTGCAAATAGGGACAAGAACGGGGTACCGAACTTCTCTAAAACATGGTTGATCTCCTTATAAAGCTCGTTGGATTGAAAGAGCGGACGCCATCTTTTGAAAATTGAATGCGCAACCTGCAGGACACCGATGTTGACAGTAGGGTTGTCCGGGGTCAATTTCGAAACAAGGTCCTAAAGGAAGCAAGCAAAGTCAGCCAACGATTTCTCCCAAAAACACCTCAAGCAATGGCCGCTTACATCCACAAGTGTGTCCCAGCGCTCCCAGAAGTCACTGTCGGCAATCACGCTGACGGCTTCTCCCAGCTGCGTCTGGATCGCTGGAGGCATCGAAATCATCAAGTTGATCAGCTCGCGCTTGATGGTCGCAACCTCATCCAGTGGCAGCTTGTAGTTTCCATCCTCGTTGGTCCAGTTACGCCTCACAAAGTTCTTGAAGCACAAGGCGCTGGCCAGGCGAATGTGCTGAGGAGTGGCGTCCGACGCAGTGATTTGAAGGAGCTGGAGGGAGAATCCGGGTTTCTGTTCTTCCTGGCGTAAAGCATTCTCGGCTAGACCAGTCATAAGAGATGGTCAGTATATTCCGGAAATGGCTATGGGACAATGGTTGCTCACCTTCCTTGTTTTGACGGGGATCCAAGCTCGCCTGTAAGAGCGCTCCAAGAGCTTCCGCCATTTTCACCAGGACGTGGGGTATCAACAGGGAACGAGGAGTGTAGCTGGAAAAAAAGTGCAGTAGGTATCCGGGAGAGAAATAGAAATGAGGGGAAGACCCCACTGAAGAGATAGGGAAGCAAAGTGGAAAATCTGGATGAAATGGGAGCCGGAACAAAGCAGAGCTCTAACGACGGCGACAATAATAAATAGTGAGGGACCGCTTTGCTGATAATTGTACCGACAGCCCACCGCATCAACACACTAACCCTAATGGGGATTAGTGCATCACATGCTTAGTTCATGCCAAAACGAGTACTCTCATGCCTGAGGCGGCAATAGCAGAACCGAACCGTCATTTGAGCAAGAGGTTATGAATAGACAGACCCCTGGCCGAATCTTCTCTCGTTTACAGGTTGGAGACAAAATCTGACAGGCAGAAATGGTATTGAATTGAAGGAGGGGTCAAGTGATTTGTTTGAAAATATGGGTTAAATATGACTATTCCACTTGTAATATATCTCTTCTATGAATCATGCTGTTTTTGGTACGTTAAAACACAAACTCCCTGATAGAACCGTCAATAATGCTTTAAATGATAATGTTGGACACGCCATTGGTCAAATCTGCCTCCTTCTCCTGCGACAACTTCATGACCTCGTCAAAGCAACCAGCGGCAGTGGAGACAAATCCGAGGAAAGGCTTACTGGGCGCAAGCACGCGAGAGAGATACTCAGGGTGGAACTGAACACCCACGAACCACGGGTGGTCCTTCAACTCGACAATCTCCATGCGCTCTCCCTTATCGTCCTTGCCAATGAAGTGCAGGCCTGCAGCCTGCAGACGGTCAATGTAATCAGGATTGATTTCATACCGGTGACGGTGGCGCTCATCAATAGATGCACGTTCCAAACCATAAAGAGAACGGAGCTTGGACCACTCCGTATTCTCCTGGAAGAGAGTAGGGCGTGATCCCAAACGCATGGTACCGCCAAGGTTCACTTTGTCAATCTCAGGCATGTAGACCACAATCGGGTGAGGAGTCCGTTCCTCCAATTCAACAGAATCGGCACCTTCAAGACCACAAACGTTGCGAGCATACTCAATGACGGCAATCTGCATACCAAGACAGATTCCCAGGTATGGCACCTTCTTTGTGCGAGCCCATTCAGCGGCAAGCATCATTCCGTGGTGGCCACGGCTGCCAAATCCTCCAGGCACGAGCACTAAAGCACAAAATTAGACATTGCAAAAACAGATAGGGAGCCCGAAGGATACTTACCACCATCAGCAGTGGTGAGGTCATGCCAAGCCTTGTGGTATTCTTGAGGGTGCTCATCACGGGCATCATGCTCGAGATGTGAGGCATCGACCCAGATGATGTTGAGCTTCTTGCGGGAAGCCATTGCCGCATGCTCCAGAGACTTGATAACAGACAGGTAGGAATCATGAAGGGTTACATATTTGCCAACAAGTGCAATGTTGACCGAGTCAAAGGCGTGCTCCTGAGAAGTGGTCAGGGCCTTCCACTTTTTCCAAGTGCTTTGACCCTTGGCCACCTGGGTGAGATTCATATCCTGAACCTTGAGGAGGTCACCCAGAACCTGCAGATAACCCTGTTGCTCGAGAAGCAGGGGTACATGGTAGGTCGACTTGACATTGTGGACGCTCTGCACCATGTCAGGTCCATCAACCTGACAGAACATGGCGATCTTGTCAATTGTTGACCGATCCAGAGGCCGTTCACAACGGCATGCAATCAAATCTGGGCTCAGACCAGCTGAGCGGGCATCCCGGATCGCCTGCTGGGTAGGCTTGGTCTTCAACTCGTCATTAATCACGGGAACCAAGCTGACGTGCTAAAGGCAGTGAAATGTTAGTTCTCAAAGCTTCACGGAGACACTTGAAAAGACCTATCAACGTACGATTTGAACGAAGTTATTCTTGCCAGCGCGACGACGCAACTGGCGCAGAGCCTCGACGAATGGAGCACTCTCAATGTCACCGAGGGTGCCTCCGAGCTCGATAACACAGACGTCTGGTTCTTCGTGAGTGTCGTCGGCAGGAGTTCTCGCAACGCGCTCGATCCATTCCTGGATGGCATCGGTCAAATGCGGCACAATTTGCACAGTACGGCCGAGATAGTCTCCGCGTCTCTCTTTCTCGATGACGTGCTTATAGACTGGTAATCGGGGTAAGCGAGGCGGAAATATTGAGTTCATAGGCAAGTGCTGGCTTACCTTTGCCGGTTGTGATGTTGTTGTCCCGTCCCAGAGTAACTCCAAGATATCTATAGGGTAAATACAAAAATTAGCATTGGGATTCCTTTCATCCATGTGGATAAAAAACGCCAAATGACTCACCGCTCGTAGTTACCCAGATCAAGATCAGCCTCACCACCATCATCCAGCACGAACACCTCTCCGTGCTCGGTGGGAGCCATAGTTCCGGCATCAACATTCATATAAGGATCAATCTTGATGGAAGTAACCTTGGCTCCGAGGGTCTTGAGCAGCAGGCCGGTACTCGAGGCAATTACGCCCTTACCAATGCCGCTAATGACACCACCAGAGACCAGAACGTACTTCATGGTGGCTGAAATGAAAGAATGAAAATCCCGAAAATACGAGAATGTCGGATAACTTCTGACGGTGCCACCGAAAACCCCTTGAAAAATAAAATGTAGGGTGCCGTTCCTGGCTTCTGCCGGGGGGGGAAGGAGAAAAATCTACGCGAAAAACGAAGCCGAAGATTTGGTTCCCGAGGCTCACCGCCGGAATAATGCTCGATCATACCGCCTTGACCGCCTACCTGAAGCGCGTAATTTTCATCGCTTTTTCTGAAGAAAAGAGGGGTGTATGGCTGGCAGAATTTTATGGAAAGTGGGTAGGTTAGTCTCACTTTGCCTAGTTCAGGTTAATTCGTGACATTATTCGCCATACATTATTCCCCAAGGATACTTGCTACAGTGTTGCTCTTGTGTGTTTAGTAGCTCAAATTAATGAGAACTTGCCACTCTACCCTCGCACGATGTCTTCGATATATTCCTGAACTCGCACGCTCTCTTAAGATTCGGTGGACTATGCTTCGCCTGCCCTCTCAAGTCTGATGACTGCCCTTGAATGTATTAATTCAAATACTACTTCAAGTAGGTCTGGTATTTTGGAGGAATCTTTTGCATCAATCCTGGCGCCGCCTTCTCCACCATTCTCTAAACAGCAGTCCAAAACCTACGAACAAGACATGATCTTCGTCATCCGAGTAATTTTTCTCTCTCTATATATATTTCTCACCTGCAGCTTCTTCTTCTTCTTCTTCCTCCTCTTCATAATAAGTTTAAATGGCATAATGGGTCTCTTGCTCTTGGTTCTCCCGACTTCTTTGGAAGCGGTGAGCTATGTAACCATATTGTAGCATTAGGATAGATATTAAGCAGGATTCGACTGGATTTTGAAAGAGTGACAAGAAATCTGGGAGAAGTTTCAAAACATTTACATTGCTGTCTCTATAAAACCAGACCCATCAATCTTGTTCAAGTGGGGGCCGAATGGTGCCGCTCTCGGAATGATGCTGCCTCCACTAGAACTTTTTTTTCTTCGGATTTTCTGCCGCTAGTTGAGGGCGGTCAGGACGGAGGTGGACCTCTCAGGTGACTTTGGGGCGTTGGAATAACCTCATTCCTTGTGATCCTCAATCTCCTTCTACCCCTCTACTTGCACCGGCTATCAATTTGCTCCTTACACCATCTGGTTTCTTGAAATCTTGTGATCAATCCAAACCGTATTGTGGCGTCTTTTGCTGGCACAATCCCCTGTTCAGTGATCTGCAACGTTTCCCGCTTTGGTTCCGGTAGACTGATTGTACTTTTGTTACTGCTCCACTGTGCGTCGTGTCAGTCTCTGAATGTGCAGCACATTTTTTTAGAGCTGCCCTTGTGGTGAAGAGCTCTTCAAACTCTGCCTGAGCAAAGGTGAGCCCTACCTGGTGGAGCTTATGGGTGCCCTAAACCAACTCGCCTTACCCTTGGCTCAGGTGATGCAATAGCCCTTACTGACTTGGCTTTGTGACCATTTAGACAATCCCTCTCAACATTGCAATCAAACCAACTCTACCGTCATAAAGGCGGATGTCTCCCGACGATGTTCCACCCCCACCTCAACATAAATCCTCTTCCTCCAGTTTCGCAGATGTCTTCAAGACATTAGGCGTCGTTCGTCCAAAATCACATTCCCCCGTTTCTCTACCAGACAGCAGTAGTGACTCTTATTCCAACACGACCGATAGCCGAGGATCCAACCGACTTGTACTCGGACTTGAAACAATGCACCGTGGAAGCGTCGTGTCCAACTCTTCGGACACGCCCGGCGGTCCAGATTTTGATTCCTCTTTGCGAAATGTGTCACAGAAGCAAAATCTAACTCAAGCAATTGAAGAGGCCGAGTTTTTATCCAAATCTCTCCCTTGGTTCAGTCCCGAACAATCTCTTGTGCTGTGGGAAGCTGCGGAGCATTTGCTGCACCACGAGAGCTCTCTCGATGCCCGGAAAAGTGGAGCTAAGCTTTTGGAGGCAATTGCATCCCGTCAAGACCTATCTCCTTCGGCTAGAAAAATTGTCTTTGAGTCAATCGCATGTCCGACTGACCCTGAAGTGGTGGCTTCCCGCGTACAGTCATTAATTTCCCTGTCAGACCATGGCCGAAAGTTGGACTTCACCAGTTCTTCCATTCTCCATATTATTTCTTCGTGGATGCTGCCTCTCTACGGGGTGATCTCTAGTACACGTGCTAGGGCGAAGAAAGGGAAAGCAGAAAAGCCGAATGGTCTCACTCATGATGAGGTCGTTTTGGGAGACCTTTTCCAATTTGCGGTAGATTTAATCACTCTACAGCGGAAAGCTCCATCACAAGAGGAGATCGAAATGCTTCTCACCGAGAGTCTCACCATTTGCAAAAAAACGAGTGTTGCCACTGATATAAAGAACTCTTTAGCAGTTTTTGACGCGGTCATTATGTACGCAAATGTACCCGATATTAGTTTCACACCTCTCCTTGAAGTTCTCTGCAGCATCCACGCTTCTGTCAAATCGCTTTCTGGCCCAACATCTCGTGCTGTCCGCAGCCTGGCAAAGTCATCAAGACAAGAAGAGATGGTCAATACACTCCACACCTTTTTGAGAGAGTCTTGTATCGCAGACCAACTTCGGAACTTGAATGTCAACCGTGGTGCTCTTTACGTCTTCTCCGACCTTGTTCGCGCGTACGGACAGAGTGGAATGCCGAAGATTACTTTCGACAAGTTGATTGACTCGCTTGCTGCCATTGCCCATAAGGACGACGGCCGAGTTGATGCTGATATTCTAGACCTGTGTTTGAATATCTTAGAAAGTGACTATGTTCAAGTCGGCCTGGATTATGATTGGACGAAGTTTGTTGATCTTCTGCTTCTCTGTTCTCGAAGGGTCTTTAATGACTATGATGACTCGCTCGCATCTCCCACCAGCCCACAGCAGCAACATCATATCAAAAGCACCCATGATGATACAAAATCCAATATCCTTGCAAATGTGATTCGCATATCTTCGACTCTAGAATCGCTTTGGGAGCAACTCAATCGAGAACAAAAGCAGCAAGCTTTCCGTTTCTTGACAAAGAGCTACCAGCACATCGAGCCTTCCCAGGCTGAGTTGATCATCAATATGATGAGAGAAGATCGATTATGCTACCCACATGATGATTTAGCGTGGCTGCAGCATTGCACCGATCTCATCGAACGCTTCATTCAACCTCGAAAGCAGCCCTCGGATATTCGCATATTGGCATTGGATACGCTCAAAGAAGCCCTCACCGGATATGAAAGTCTTCTTTTCACCAAGCAACATGGTCTTTTGGATCGTCTCCTCGAGGACTTCTCTACTGAACATGACTTTCTCTTCCTAGAGTCTTTGGCAGCTTTCATAACAGAACCTGCTATCTATGCGTGTGATGATGGTTCTTTCAAAGATCTGGTTGACAGGATTTCGAACCCTATGAAGAAAGATCTAGTCAAAGATGAGACGCAAGTCTCTTCAAATTACGCCCCTCAACGCCGCCAATCTAGCACCTCCACAAGCGTGCTGGAGTTGTCTTTGGGAAATGTGTGTGCTGTGACCCTGGTCAAGATGATGATACGCTCCTTGAATTTCTCTGCTTCGAAATCAGTCATCATATTTGAAGCTCTGTTGCAGATTGCAAAGTCTGCAGACCGCCCAGTGGACGCCCGTCTGACTGTTTTGAAGCTTCTTTTCCGCCTTCGGTGTGACTCGTCGGGATCCATCACAATAGTCTCCATTTCAGAGAACGACTTCTTGATGAACGTTCTAGGTCGAAATGTCGATGTAGGCTCCAAGTTACAAGTATCCAGTGAAAGCCCTACTAGGGATCTTCCTCACCAAGATAGTTTACCGCCGCCAATAAGCGGGAAGTTCCCTGCAAAGGAGCTAGCGTCAACTGTACTGTCCAAATCTGGTCCCCGCGGATCTATTTCCGGCCGTGCATCCAAATTGACTCCTCCGGTTTGGACTTATTCTCAACCTCAAGTCCTACCAGAGCAACCGCCGGGGGAGTCAAGCCCTTTTGTTTTTGCTTACGCAGAAACTCAGGACGCATCGAGTGGGACTGAGTCTACTGTCATACAAACTGGCATCTTGAAAGTTAATATGTGGCTTGAGATTGTGATTTCACTGCTTCAGCGAGAAACGGATTGGGATGTCTACAGCTATGTCCTCACACACCTTGGGCCTCAGCTTGGTAACAAGGACTTGTTCAGCAACTCTATTCCTCAGATCAAGCTCCTGCGCAGCATTCTTTGCGACCAAGTCAAGAACGAAACTTTTCATGAACCCCCCGGGATGACAGGGTTGAAAAAGAGCGACGTCGCAGCTTGCATTTTCGATGCACTTTGTATGCTGGTTAGCTATCATGAATATTTTGCCAAGAGTGAAGAAGATGATCTCGTGCGAGCTTTCATGCTCGGTATTATTGGGTCTTGGGGTGCTACCTCGCGTGGGTGTATCCAGGCCCTTTCACTCTGCTGTCATGAAATTCCTCTGTCGGTGACCAAATCCCTCAACAGCATCCTAGACAAGATGTCCAAAGTGATCACTATGTCGAACATTGCTGTGCATATCCTGGAGTTCTTGGCCTTGCTTGCACGCTTGCCGGATGTTTATGTCAATTTGCGTGAGGAAGAGATTCGCACTGTGTTTGGCATCTGTATTCGATTTCTACAAACCTCCAGGGAGCAGGAACACCGACATAAAGCATCCGAGTCTCCTCTTGCGCGTGCCTCTCAGCCACCGGCAAGAGTCGGTAGCGCGCGAGACACCACTCCTAACCAGGTGGAAACAGCTGAATCCTCCTCGCAGGATGCCATGTCTAAATATATCATGACTCTAACATACCACGTGATGGTATTTTGGTATTTGTCTTTAAAACTACAGGATCGACCCAAGCATGTCAACTGGATAACTAGCAGACTCATTTTTTATGATGAACATGGGAAGGAGGTGGTAGAGGAACAGAGCCAGGTAATCATCGATTTGATGCAGCGAGTGGCGTTCTCAGACCTGGGAGAGACCATTCCGTTTGAGACTTTCCCGCCGACCCCTGAGGATGGTCCTGTCGTGAAGAAATCTTGGGTGGTTGGTCTGAGTATCGTCACTGTCGAGACCGCTGGAATATCCGGAATCACCCAAATTGCGAAACGCCAGGCATCTGGTACAACCTACTCTGTGTATCAACAGCGCACAGCTCCGGTTCTCCCACATCAGGTACCACCGACACCAGATGCTCATTTGCATTCCGACGCCACCCGCACGGCTGTTTTCCCTAGTCATATCATGCTTCAAATGACTACTACCGCCTTCCCTACCCCAACCGTAATGCAGCCCATTCCGGTTCCTGAAGACGATATCACTCGGCGAGCGATTGGCAACTTTGATCGCACCGATATTGTGGATGGCCACCGAATTGGCGTTGTCTATATCCACAATGGTCAGACTAAGGAAGCAGAAATCCTCGCTAACACTGGCGGTTCTGCAGACTATGAACATTTCTTGTCTGGACTGGGGACTAAGGTGTCTCTTCGGAACGCTCAGTTCAATACCCAGGGATTGTATGCTGATACTGACGGGGAGGCTACCTATGCCTGGCGGGATCGGGTGACCGAGATTGTGTATCATGTCGCCACGATGATGCCTACGGACTTTGATCATGATCCTGCTTGCATAAATAAGAAGCGGAACATCGGGAACAACTTTGTCACAATTGTGTTCAACCGGTCCAATTTGCCCTTCAATTTTGACACCATTCCTTCTGAGTTCAACTCCATCAACATCGTTATTACACCCTCCAGCCGCGTCGCCTATGATGAATCCGGTTCTGTCAAAGGAGAAACGGACCCAGAGAAGTTGTACTATAGCGTACAAGTCATGAGCAAACCTGGCTTCCCCGACGTTTCGCCCGCCGCAACTCCCAAGGTCGTCTCTGGCAAGAATCTGGCTTCCTTTGTCCGGATTCTAGCTCTAAATGCTTCTGTCTTCTCTCTTGTCTGGAACAACAAGGGCGGCGAGCATACGTCATCCTGGCGTACACGTCTTCGAGAGATTAAAAAGGTTCGCGAGCGTGCCCTAGCAGCACAAACTCAAGGATTCGAGATCCCGGAAGGGGCGTACCCAGGCCAACGCCGTAACACGAAGCCGAATATCTTCTCCGAGGAACTGCCTACTCGCGCTGCTCCTTCTCGGACTGACTTCGCCGCCGAATGGAATGCTGCTTCAGACACAAATGTTCTCCAGAACCTTGATTTCTCCCGTTGGAGCCGTTGAGTTTTTTTTTCCGGTCTGTCCATCACACCTGGAGAAGAAGTCTATTCAACATTCACCACTTCTTTTACCCATTTAATCCCTAAGTCTTATCATTCCTCCCCCATTCCCCTCTCATTCCCGGTATCACCTCCCTCCACCCCACAAAACAAAAAACGAAACGACAGCACCTCAATAAATGAACCCCAGTCACGATTTCATGTACATCACCTTGCTTTTATGATACAGATGCGGCATTTGTGAATACCCCCTACCGCTTCAAAAGTTTTGTGCTTTTTTTTCAGTCTTCAATCCTTGCTTTCTTTCTTCGCCCCGGTGAATACTGCAGTGTTGGATCTGCTATCCTTTTTCAAGTAGCTAGCAATGACAATGACTGATGTACGATGAAAGCGTTCTATTCCAGTGTCTATAAATCCGATCTTTATGTTGGTTCCTCACGGGACTTTGCCGACGGTTGACGTATGACGTCAATCTTCACAAGTGGAGTCTATATGCTTTGTAAGCGCTGGAGGGGCACTGGCAATCATTTTCGAGGAACGAGAGATTCAAGGAAGGGTCAAACAGGCTCAAAGCATCATAAACTCATATTTCTGAAACATAAATCCTTCGTTTGCGCAACGATGTCTGCTCCCAAAACCGTCCTTGCCACTGGCACGTCGTCGGGCCTGGTAATTTCCTATTTTTCTTGTGGGGTACCGAGTTTGGGGTCTTCTAACGTCAGCTAGGGATTCGAAGTCGTCAAGCAGCTCCTCGGGCAATCAGAGCCCTACAATTTCATTCTGGGAGTCCGAGACACTGCAAAGGCTGAAGCTGAGTTCAATGAGCTACACTATGACTCTTCAAAGCATTCAGTCTCCATTCTGCCGCTTGATCTGCTGAATCTGCGCAGCGTCCAGGTCTTTGCTCAGCAGGCTCTTGTGCAGCTTGGACAGAATCGCGTGGACTATCTCTTCCTTGGGGCTGGTATGCTCGACACTGCCAGTGGTCCGGGTCCTTATGGATCACAATGGTGCGAGGGTTACGTGGTAAATCATTTAGGTATGTTTGTTTTTCTTTTCTGACAAGGGAATTTCCTGTTAGATGGTAGCTTACGAGTGTCCAATCACCAAATAGCTCAGCATTACCTTGTTCACTTGATACGTGAAACTCTGGTGGCGTCTAAATCCCGCCTAGTGTTTGTTTCGTCAGGGGCGATTCGCAATGTCAGGAACCAAGATCCGAGTAAGTTCACTTTCATCTCCTTTCATTAACATATCCCCATAGCAATAACAGGGGTGCTTACCATCATGTCTCTTTATTAGGAACCCTTGACGTGGATCTAAAGGCCAAGTCTGGGGCGGGGTATAGAACCGTTTACAGTGGATCCAAATTTGCCCAGCTCTTGGGTGCGCACTATTGGCATCGCGAGCTCCCAGAGTGCACTGTTATCGCAGTCTCTCCTGGGCTGATTCCCAGCACCAAGCTTGCCAGTAGCTTGGGGCTATCAATGGATATGCCAGATGCGAAAACTATTCCGGAGGGTGCTGAGAACCTTCTCCGTGCTTTCACCGTGAAGGACCTTCCAGAAGATCCGGAGCAGATCTTTCTCACAAGCTGGGGTGAATGGTGGCCGACAGACGTATACGCCCTCAGTCTTGACAAGGATTTACAGACAAAATGGTGCTTGAGTAGGGATGAAATTGAAAAAGCGGAGGGCCTTGCTGGCCAAGCTTGAGATGGCATCATTGAAAAGGTTTCATATATTACTTCGCTGTGAGATAGGCGAGAAATTATGATAAAATATGCAAAGAGTCAAAAGTGCTCAATACTATCAGATCTGAGGTAGTACCTGGCTGTGTTTGTACTATTATCATGGTGTTATGTAGGTATTTTATAAAGGGCTACTTGTAGCGCAAGAGTTTATAGGCTTGTAAAAATGGGATCTAATGTAAAGCAATGCTAATCGCAATGACTTCTAACTAATATCTTAAATGGCTAGCAGGCCACGGCGGAATATGTGCGTCGCTCTCATCAAAATTCTACAGAGATGTTATTTGAAAATCAAGATCTTGAATTTTTCGGAGATTCTCATGCTTTTTAAGTCTGAAAAAAACCCTAGTTGGTCCAGCCGAAACAGATCCAAACCTCTCGGGTTCAATTAGAGGGAAGAGGCGAGGGGAAAAGACCATGCACTCAAGACATATCATCAATATCAAATCGAATGTAGTATGCGTCAGACATAACCTGAGACTGCCAAGTAGTGATTCGGGAGACGTGCTTGACACCCTGGCCGTACGCACCTAGGACAAAGCTGGCAACGATTTTGCCAACAGGCGTACCCATCAATGCGATGTACTCTGGCGAAGGATAACGCCAGAGGAGACGTTGCTCAGAGGGGAATGGCAGTCCCTTGTAAATTTGCTGCTCGACACATTTGAGTGTTTCGGTCGCGGTTCTCCTAATATCGAACACCAGGTGCTGAAGACCCCATAGCACGAAGAGCTCTTGGTAGAGCGCCTGGGCGACTATGGAGACGGGAGGGTCCATGGGAAAAAGCACTGTGGGGAGATCTTGAAAGAATATCACACCTGGCCCCAACCTGCACATCCACATTGACTGCGTGTCGCCTGGACCTCGTCGCGAGCCCTTCACGATTTCACATCGTTGGTAGACGGCAGTTCGGTCAGGACGTCCGGCTGGATAGTCAGTATCGTGGATCCACTCCTCGTAATTAAATGGGATAGTTTCTGGCTCAATATGCACTCCAAACCCCCGGTATCTCATATCTCCAAGTCTAAAAGAAGATCTAGGAATGATGCAGTCACGGGCCTCAGGGTCACTTATCCAGCGGACGTAACACTCCCCTTCCGCTTCCCAAGGAGGGTATTTATGCTTATAACATCTGGGCGTCATAGTGGGAAACTTTCGTATTACAGATATGAATCGATCAGAGCGATACGAGAATCTGGGACAAGGGCTGAGCAGCTTTGGGATGCTGCGTGAAGGTAGTTTCGGAACCCTTTAAATAAGAGAGTCAGTCCGATGCATCCTCGGGGAATAGTTATAGCATAGACAGGAACAAAAAGAATCACGAAAACAAAGGTCAATGGAAAGTTATAATGGTTTTAAGTAATGAACAAAGAGCATGAATGCTACGGAAACTTTTCGCATTGTTTATTCCATCTCAATATGGTACCTCATACTACAGCACCACGTTCGATACCTCAAACGTCTGCACCGCTCCCGTGGGGAAATACGACCAGAACTTAGTCCCGCTCATATAAGTGTCGCTATAGCTAGTGTATTGATCGCCAGATCCGACCTGCGTGTTCCAGCGAGGGACCAGGGCGCCACTGACCCCTGGCGTGCTAAAGTCTGAGAGATCAAAATTGATATACTGGGCAGCCTCCCAGTTTGCCGCCACAATGACTAGCTTCTGTGCCGTCGAGTTATACGCTGCAACGGTATAATTGCTCCCGCCATCCAGGATACGCATGCCCGGCCGGATGTGACGAGTGAATTGCGCCAGTGCAAAGTATTTCTGGCTCACGTCGCCAAGTGTTTGATCGTCGTTGCTTCCGTCGATCAGGCCCCAGCCGCCGCCATCGATGGCCTGCCAATACACCCAGGCAGTGGGATGGAGCCAGCGGAAGTCGAGGAGTAGGTTGTCCACGAGTTTCTGGCCAGTCGCATCACTCTCACCGTACTCACTGTTCCAGAGCCGCTTCCTGGCTGCAGAGGCTAGGCTGTACAGCGTGTCCCGCCGACCCCCGCCGTACTGATATCCGTGGACGTTGATGCGGTCGACCTTGCTGGTTGCCGTGCTACCGAGGTCGTTCCAGGTGGAAACCGCCAGGTCGTAAGTGTTTTCGTCGGAGGCCGAGACGAGGGTGGAGCTGAGACCCCGATTGTTCAATTCGGTGCGCAGGTTCCCAATCACGGTAGCCTGTGTACTGACGTCGAAGTGGCAGCCCTCCTGAGTCCCTGTCTCACCGGTCCACCAATCTGAGGACGGCTCATTGAAGGCCTCAACGGACTGGAAGGAAATGCCCCAGTTATTGGCGGCGTACTCTGCAATGGTGGCGAGATATACCGCATGCTGGTCATAGTTCCATGACTGCAGATTGTCGCTAGAGCCGTCGTCGGACCCGGACGGGTTGTGGTTGAGACACATCCACCACATGGGCGAGTTCGAGAAGAGCTCGAACGTGTCTGCACCGCGGGCTTTGGCCAGCGACAGCATGCTGCGCTGATTGGCATCGACACTCCAGCTCCAGCTCGACGACGATGGTGTGGAGTTGTACCAGTCCACCCAGTAGCCGTCCATCTGGCGCGAGTCAATCATATCCGGAGACACCACCATTGTGGAGCCGTTGACGGTGTTCCAGCTGCAGGCGCCGGCGTTGTAGCGGGCAATGGTGAGCCCGATACCTGGAATGCTCTGGCCATTATAGGTGGTCGATTTGGTGGAGAAGAAAATGTCCGCCAAGTCAGTTCGGGTACCAAATGCCTGAGCCCACCAGGCAAGAGACACGCCAAACCCTTCCCAAGTGCCCCAGTTCGTGGTGGAGCTAATGGTTGTCGTCAGATCAGCAGTCACGGCTGGTATTGTAGCGAGCGTGCACGCGAATCCGACAAGCCATTCACGATGCATAGTTTTCTTCATGATGTTGGTCGCGATGTGGCAGTTAGTCTCAGAAACGAGTTGAAGTCGGAGCAAAGCACATGGATCAAGCTGACTCTTGGAGGAGGCTGGTCACCAGGATGAGGACGGGTTTGAACATCTTTATATCCTCGTGCATTTTATCCGCGTCCCAGGCGAAACATCCTCGACAGCATCAGGGAGGGGGAAGCATGTGGAGATTCTGCAAATTCGCCAGCCCTTCTAGGGTTAGATGCCTTCCATCCTTTTTGCGGGGGTTCCGCAGCCCCGCAGTAGAAGATCGACGGACGTGACGCTGGGAAGAGGAGGAGGTGGGATGGACGGCCCATGACTCCCCGAACAGGTTGAGCTTCCGGGCTCCCCTGCCGATATCATGCAGCTGGAGGACAGTGGAATTAATCCAATGGTGGCACAGTCGTCGAATTTAACCGCCAATCGTTGCTAGTTGATGCATTTGAGAAGGCCGTGCTTGACCCGCACAAAATTATCCGAGGCTGTGGAGAAGTCGTAGGTTGGGCAGACAACCTTGAGGGAGACGAAGAGTCAAGCAAATGATGAAAGTCTTTGACGTGCCCATCATCCGAACGAATTGGGGCATACAAGGCGGACAATATATACGTATATCTCAACATCCATATTGCTTTTTCACCCCTCTTGGCTATGACGTTGGTGATCAGCCATTGAGTTCTGGGCTCTTCCCGATATAAAGAACAAGAAAGACTGACTTCGATGCTTCTTCTATGCCTATTTCATTGAATGACCTGGTTGGAGAGGAGGATACTACGAAGTTCGTAAAAGGAACAGCCGGGTCTTGGCACGCGTCATCAACCCTCACAACCCTAATTCTCTCTATTCGAGTCCACGCACCGGGTGCTTCTGGAACACATCAAATAGAATTTTGAATAGAAATGGCATCCTGCTATAGTGTTTGAAAAATTGTGTATTTCCCCTCAAGAATAGTATCTTGGGTTTCGTCAAATCTATGCATAAATCTATACACATGCACACTCTAGAAGACACGAATAAGACCAACAAAAGGAAAAGGGAAAAAAAGGAAAAGTAATACTGGAAACGCCATTTCGATGCAACATTTGGGACATTTTATATTTAGTCTATGAAAAGAAAGAACATAACCCAGGTTGTCTATGAATCCAGCATGGAACACCGAGGCAGGAACGGAAACATGGTGGTCCCAAGCAGGGAGGGGGAATGATATAAACACACAAAGATAGACACACCCTGCCTTAGCCCAGGGTGACCGTGTACTGCGCGCCAACAGAGCAAGAAAGGGTGTTGACATCATCCGGGTGCTGGTAAGACTCAGCGCAGTTGACGTCGCCGGGCTTGCAGGTGGCGGTGGTGCAGCTTGAGTCGCTGGGGACGGCGGAGAAGCCGTTCTTGACGAACTCGGAGGATTCATCCAGGTTGATAGACGAGAGGTCCCAGTACAGTGTCTCGCTGTCGACGGTGTACTCGAACTGGAGGACGCTGTCCTCGCTCTGGGTGGTGGAGAGCTTGATCGAGATACCGCCGCCGTTGGAGTTGGTCTGCCATTCTTCGCTGTAGGTGCCGCCGCCGGAGGAAAGAGTCTTCATGCTGCCGGGGTCGGACGAAGTGGTCCAGAGGTAGACGTCGGAGTCCATGTTGTTGACGAACTGGACGCTGCCGCTGGAAGAGTTGCCAGAGCTAGAATCGCGCACGCGGTGAGGCAGGGCGGCGGCGGTGGCAGCGAGGACGCTGGTGAGGAGAATGTTGCCGAAGATCATTTTGTATAGATATGTAAGTCTTTTGACGTAAAGACGGTCCAAAAAAAGACTGTATAGAGAATGTGGTTGGTAGTCAAAAAAGAAGGATCTCTAGATCAAAAGAGTGACAAGAGAGTGACTAGATCTGAAAGAGAGTGATCAGATCTAAACAAAGAAAAGACAAACGATAGATTGAATCAAAAGATTGTGATTGAAGAAGAAAGGAAAGAAAAAAGACCCTGCCGGCCTGGCCAGCAGCTCTACTTATCCTCGCCGGTGGAGATAGACGGAGACTGACGTTGTGGCAAAACCAAGACGTCCAAGACATGCCGAGTCGACCGAGAAGTCGAGACTCTCCGGGGTTCACCACTGGATGCGCCAATAGCTGCTCTGCATCGAGTGCAGGTGGAACCCGTTCGTCCCCGGAAGAGTATCTAGACTCCTTTGTCATCGCCGGAAATGGAAAACTCGCCAGCGTATATAGACTTTTCGAATTTTCCAGCCATTCCATGCCATTGAATGGGACAGCGAATGGTTCGTTGGGTCCCTGGGGAAGCAGCCGAAAAAACTGGAGGCATTGCATCAGCGGCGACTTGGGCTGGTGCGGCAGTTTGGCTCGGTAACAAGATCAAAGCATTATTGGGCCTCGATCTCACACATGGTGGCATTTTCAAACTTCGCCCCTGAAAGTTCTGCAGGAACAGAACCAAATAGTTGATTCTAGGGGTCTCTATATTCTCTGAGAGAGAATGGCGACAGGCCATCCATGCAGTTTGGGTTGGGTGGGTATTACCAACGATATCCACACATGGTCTCTGCTCGGCACTCCCCAGGGGCGCCAGTGTCAAGGTAAAAAGAATTATGGGCCTGAATGGCCCCCTAGCACACATGGCAAATGATTCTTTGGGGTATTCAGTGGCTGTGAGAAGCCATGTCGTGTCTCGGGAGTTCTTGTCGGTTAGTAGAAGAGAAGAAGAGGCGAGCAGGTGGCGCTGCACTATTATATCATAGTCACTTGATAGAAACTCTAGAAAATGTATCGCGCCTCTTTTGAGAGTCCTCGATATGCCAAAAAGAAACGCCAATACTTTCTATCTTTTTCAAGGATACATTACGTTTTGCCCCGCTGATCACCGTTCTTTGCCATGGGGTGGGCCCGCCACTGGAACGCCAAACGGGGGATCTCCTTCTCTTCCCGCCCCACTGTCGAGCATTCCCTCTCTTGGAGCTTAGCGAAGGTGCGGAGTCTGATATACGCGTTCATTCTCTAGAGAGATTTCAAAATTATCGAGAAATTTTTAATTTTCCACATACCGCCTCATCCGATATCGAGAACTTCACGTGGCCGTGACTGACGTATCTCGCCCAACTCACTAGTTATACAGATATGCAAGCATTACGTGATCTACATCAAACCCACAAAAATGCCATGAACAGTGAAGAATTTTTCATATCAATTATATATATTTGCAGACGAGGGGGGCAAAAGAAAAGCGACAAGAATGAATGCAGAGGTGACCGTGGTCTATCCACAGCTCATGATATATAGGGGGGAGACGTGCATCTCCCGTGTACAACGACCGCATGCCAATGGGTCGTTTCCAATTGAGGAAGGTTTCTATACAGATCTGCTCACCAACCAAAAACCTCACCAACGCTGAGCGTGCTCCAACGCACGCCCGCAACAGCAAAGACCATGAGCACAACGTCGACGACGCCCAGTACAGCCGCGCCCATCATGAATCGGGGGTTGAAGATTCGGTAGAGCATCAGGTGGCGGCGTAGGTGGCCCGCCCACATTGTGGTGGCCAGATTGATGGTCGCCAGATAGAGCATGTGGGTGCAGGCCGCCTGGACGACGTCGGAAAGCAGCTTGGTGGCGGGGTTGACGAACTTGTCTTTCGGGGAGGGCTGGGAGACGCGGTCGTGGGTTTGGAGGGGCCGCTTCCAGAGAACAGTGAGGGGAACAGCGAGGGCGGCGAGGATCTGGGCGCCGAAGGTGTTGAGGATGACGAGGAGGGGGGACCAGGGGTATTTGATGGTGGACAGCGGGATGAAGGCAGTTTCCCACTGGATGCTGCTCAGAACAGCCTGGTGACCGGTCTTGAAATAGTAGAAGGAGCCGAGGAGGCCGAGGACGATGGGGCCGATCGAAGAGTTAGTGAGGGTCAAGGCGTTTGTATCGAGAATTTCAAGGAGAGACAGGATTTGGCAGATGAGCAGGGCGATGGCGCCCTGGCCCATGGGTTTCTGCATCAAGATGATCGCAAGGGAGAAGTTGACCACAAGGAAGAAGAAGCGCGTGCCATAGATGTTTCCAAAGCCAAGAATGGTAACAGTGGTGCGCGGCTGCTGCTGTTGGCCAGCAATGATGGGAGCAGGCGGTGCATTGGGGTCCTCCGGGGGAGGTTTGCTCACGCTGATGCTGACGCACGGTTTTGAGTAGAAGAAGGCCCCGGTGCCGGCGCCGAAGGCAAGGGCGAGAACGAGCTGGGCCAAGAAAACTCGGACGGTTTTCAGGGTCTCTTTGCTCATGGGCAGCCATTCGCCGTCGTCGGCACCTTCCAGCATCCAGAACAACGAAGTGATCAACAGGCCCAGACGGAAAGCGAAACCGATCCAGAGGGTCGCGGCGCCTTCATATGATTTGGAGCCGGCGTAGAATCCGCGGATTACGGCTGGGAGAAGGAGAGTAACCAAGAAGGGAATCCCCAGTTGCCATGGAGCCGAGATGGAAGAGGTGGATGATGCATAGTAGGTAGATCGGCAGAAAGGCATCTGTTCTTCACGGCACAGACGTGAGAAAGACGCCACGCGGCCGAGAATTACAAAGAGAATGGAATGGTAGACACCCAACACACGGTCTGTAGTTGACTTCTGGCGCATAGAGGATATGCCAGCGCAAACACCGAAGGTGGTCAGGAAAAAAAGCAGGATCTCATCTTCCCAGATGGTATAGGAGTTTGATGCAAACCCAACGGATTGGGAAACAGTGAAGAAAATTGCGAGCCACCCCCACATGCCACTAGGCAAGGGTAGGGACAGATTCGCGGGCTTCTTGACCATGGCAAATAAACCGCCGGCCATGCTTCCAAATGCAGCCAGGAGGGCGGCAGATTCGACAGCGGTCATCTCAGTGAATCCAAATAGAACAAGGCCGGTTCCTCCCACAGCGCCGATGCCCGATCCAACAGCAACGAACGACAGCAACTGAGCCGTAAGCTCAGTGCGGTCCGTCTTCAACACACGAGCGTAGAGGACTAGCAATATGATCCCACTGAACAGAAGAGCAACGCCCTCGATCATGCTGGGGACATCGAAGTTTGCCCAGAGTCCGCGGCAGGTGTCTAGAGTATGGCGTTGGTATTTGCGGTAGAGATCATAGCTGGATCGGATTGCAGCAGACTTTGACATCAATCCCTTCGAAGTAGACTTCCATTCCTCCTCTGCGGCGGACCAAAGAGCGGATGATTGTTCGTCGTGACCCGCCCCATGGGCATTCGCATAGGCATGCTGATATCTATTGATCTGCGCTGAAGACAAACGGTTGACAGCGAGCAGATTTGCCCAGTCATTGCCGCTTGATCCGGCAAACGCCTCCTCGATAGGCGAGCCCAGGTTGTTGAAGGGAATTGGCATTCCAAGCAGCAATGACAGAGTGGGAACAAGATCAATCTGGGGGACGAAACGCTCGCGGGCATCCTTGGGCGGCAAGAGAGTGTCCTTGCTTGTGCGGCCAAAAATGCCCCGCTTGGAGTACATCCACAGCGCAGCCTCAACTTCATCATCCGACTCGCCACCGTGATCACCTTTGGTATCCATCCCATGATCGCCCATTACGACCAAGAGGGTGTCTTCGCCAAGAGCCGCAATAATCTGTCTGATGACACGGTCCATATCTTGCAGTTTGGCAGCCATGGCAGCGTGGTTTGGTCCATAGCGATGGCCAGCATGGTCGACGCCAAGGTAATGGCCAAAGATAACATCCCACTTGGATGCGTTTTGTGGGTGTAGTAATGGAAACAAGTGCTCGTTAACGCCGTTATCGACAGTGTGCAAATCCCAGACATTGAAAGAGTCGTATGGGTGGGTCAAGTTATCATCGAAATAGCCAGGGAACAGGGATTGCCAGGTGTCATCGCCGAGTTGAACCAAAGTCTTTCCTGCGCTGTGCAGTTGGGCCACTAGGTTGTCCTCGTCGATAGCAGTGCCGGCGAAGTTGGAGCCGGCATCAATGAAGGTGGGTAAAGTTCCCGTAGTCAATCCCTTTAGACGTTGCAGGGTTGTCGTCGGCGGATCGGCGATAAAAGGAAGCAAGAAGGCATTGGCGGGGTTATTGACAGCGGTTTCGTAGAGGACCGGGATGTTGTCATGGAATAAGTGGACTGTCTCGCTCTCGTCCTTCGGAACAAATGGAACAGTAAAATCGTATCGCAGTGCGTCAATTATGATCACAACAGCCTTGTCGAAGGATTTCTCGTGCCAGCAACCATTTCCTTGTCTGTTTCCTTGGGCAATTGATGCTGGGGGGAATCCGCAAAGGGAGGAATCTCGCAGGACGATTTGCTCTCAAGAACCATGCGCGTCAAAAGAAAACCCTTGGTGAAGAAGTAGATACCCGCAACGTGAAGAAGTCTGGAAGAGAAGATTGGTGTCGAATTAGCCTGGTGCTCTGCTCCAAACTATTCGGTTCGTTGCTTGATCCCAAAGTTCTACCGAGTTCTCCAAAACAATGGTATCAACTTACAAAATCCAGGTCAGCACACCCAACACACCAATGTGCTTGGTCTTGAAGTCCTGCTCAAGCTCCTGCGCCTTTGCCGCATCCTGTACCCTGCTCTGCTTTCCTCGGGCAGACTGCGATGCAATCATCGGGTCGGGTTGACTGTTTGGTGGGCCATCGAGGGGCGCACCGCTCCCCGCAGGCCCTTTTGAAGATCTTGACATGATTGCAAGGGGAGTATAGAGTCTTCCAAGGCCGTAAGAATATGAGACGCGGGCTGTCGAGTTATCTGGCGCAGTGTCGGCGTGCGAGGTTCACGACGCGGCGCAAAAGGTCGTATCGCCAAGAAAACAGCGAGGTTGCGGGTCGAGGGGGTAGGGAAGCTAGAATCAAGCACAAACTGAGGCAATTGACTCGCCTTTAGCTCATCGAAGGGATGGTGAGCGAGTAAGAGCCCAAAGGATGGGACTGGGTGGGCGGTTGGGAATGAACGCCCCTGTCTGTGCTCTTCTGGTGAGCGGCTTCCCTCGGGATGGGAGATCAGAAACCGAGCATGGCTTCACGAGTGATGACCGGCGTGTATATGAAAAAGAAGTGTTCTAAAAGAATGCAGTTTGTTTGAAGAACAAAAAAAAAGGCGAACCAAATTTCACTGACGTCGCGGAAGCGGCGGTTGGGGAGAGCTCGGAACGGCGCTTCTGATTGGTCGCGACGTGTGGGTGGACTACACACAGTGCGGAAGTGCCGAATCCAGAGAATCAACATTTCCGAATAATTTGCAACTTACAATTTACAACGTACAGACAATAAAGGAAAGTCACGTTATGAGGACACCAAACACCATTTACGGTTACGAAAAATGTGAACGTGTGTAAAAGAATCAAGTACAGTAAATTGCATATCTGCCTAGGAAGATAGGAGGACTAAGTACATACATTAACCAGCTGCCGGAAAGTGTACCAAGAAGGTACATGAGAATGTAAAAAGTAGGGCGGGCGACCCCGAATAGAAAATAAAAAGTATGTCGCCCGAAATGGGATGTTAGAAGAAGGAAAGCAAGGGGGAAGAAAAGATAATAACAGTCACACGGCTTTCGGACCCTAGGGACGTGGCAGGGTCGAAAGTTTCATGGAAAGACCGCAGACATAACGCCAGAAACCAAACACGCAAAGATAATCGGCAGGCCCTCGCTATACAAGATTCCAGCGTCTGTGGGTCTCCAAAGCAGGAGGCATTCGTTCCTCTCTCAAGGCTCAGAAGTAGAATCTTTCACTTCGAGAGAAAAGAGCAGTTGGCTGTTTTTGCCAACCGAGAGAAACGCAATCAGCATATGTGCAAGCCCTGCAAGCTAGGACAAGAGGGTTGGTGGTAGAGAGAAAAAATAGGTATATGAAAAGAAAGAGAGGAAAAAAAAAGGTTCGCCAGTGTGCTCGTCATGCTTTTGTAAAGTCGTGGAGAAAAAGGGTGCGAGTGGGATCGGGGCGAATTGGTCTCACGGCAGACACTCGGTCGCAGGTTGGATCACCCATCATCGCTTTAAGAGTAGTGGTTGAGCTCTCCCTTTTCCTTCAAGCCGCCCATCCGTTCAATATCCAGGGAGTGGAACCGGCCGGTGTCGGTGGTCTGGTACGGAGGCAGCTCTTCATGGCAGGGTTCGAGACCGATGCTACCAGCCTCGCTGATCCGAACAACGACCATGCGGCCGGACCGGCGCTTGCCAGACTCGTCTTCCTCCTCTGGGAACGTGATTCGGATCTCGGGAACAGGGCTGGGCGGCGGGCTATCAGAGTTGGCCATCAAAGCGCGCTTTTCATCATAGACCAAAACTGAGTCGGTCTTGTTGGCGGTGATTGTGAGCCGGCGCCGGGAGGGCGGAATCTGTCCATTGTGGACTGGGAGAACGGAATCTTGCTTGGCCTGGCGCTTGCGGCGGAGGACAAGCAGGCCGCCAACGAGGGAGAGAGCGAGGAGGATGAGTACCAAGAGAGAAATCAGAAGGTCGACCATGGCGGTCGATAGGCCAGTGTTGTTGTTGTCGTCATCGCCACGGCGGACGAAGTTGGAGAAAGTCAACATATTGTGGATCGTCGGGTGCTGACGATGGTCGAGATGGAAGGATGTGCTCAGATTGTCGGCTCGCGGGGGGAGCGACGGGTGTGATCGTCAAGAGGTTAAATTCCAAAGAGAGTGGCAGAGAGCGTGGGAAACGAAAGAAGGTCGATCAAAACGCAGGAATGGGACACTCGAAGATGAAGTCGCGGACTGGTTGTCGGGAGTTGGTTGGTTGGTCGAAAGAATGGCTTAGGCCCAAGGCTCGGGCGGTTCGAACGCTTGGGGGAGGTTGGGAAAAGAAAGAATGGATGCCGGCCAGCTGAAAGAGTGAAGCTGATACCGACAGAAAGGGGAAAAGAATGGAGGAGGATGAAGGGTTGTGGGAGGGTCTGGAGGGGGAGTTTAGAGAATGAAGGGAAAACAGGGGAAAGGAAGAAGGGAGGGAAAAAGAGGGCGGTGTCGAGCGCTTGGACAGCCTAGAACCTCTCAAGGCCGGCGCCCCGTCCACTACGACTGTCCAGGCGGACTGGCTGCTTGGCTACTCGTTTATTTTTGGGGGCTCTAAACTCTGCGCAGCCTAGCCTGGTCGCTGGGGCGGCCAACGGGTGGTTGTTTGGGGCTTACGCTTGTCCGCGACGAACCAATTGTAGCGCGGTGGTTCCTGGCCGGCGGCGGAGATGCAGCGGGCGCGTCGTGACTCGCCAATGGGAGCCACGATGGATCCACCGAACTATGCCCGTTTGTTTTGCTCTGGGGATTTTTCCCCTGACTCGATCCAGCACCACAAATCACACAGCCGAGGTGGCATGCGACCGGCGAGGGTTCGTGGCGGGTCTGACCTACCGTTCGACGGTTGTAATTCTGTAGTCTATGGGGTCCTCGAATACTGCATTCGCCCCAATACTGCAGACGAACTATAGATCCCACTAGGTATACACATCCGACTCGGTTTACATCCCCCTCGCGACGACACAACATCCCACGGCATAACAGAGACGCATAACAGAGATGTCTCAGAAAATAATCACATAGCAACCGAGTCCACCCTCCATCGTGCAGCGTCGGTTCGGCGGGAAATTAGACCCTGGTGGGTCAAGCTCATGGGGATGAGGATGGATGATGCAATGAGAATCAAAGTAAACAGGGATCTGAGTCCCGCGGCAGGGCAGGATAAGTCAACTTCAAATAACCTTGCTGAATGGCCCAGTCGCGGCGCTTAGTTCCCTCGATGATATAGGAAACTTCACGCAAATCGGGTGTCGCGTGTCTCAGGCCTGATCATCTGGCCAGTCGTACTGCAAAAAAAAAATACACAACATCCACCCTCTATAGGTCAATCTGTACCTGCAGGCCCTCCATCTCTAGGTCGCTCACTTCAAGTTGGTCAACCAGGAAACTGAATCCAAGATCGTCTCGTCATACATGCATGTGTAGAGCGCTTCATACATGTGCATGCTACACCTACTCCATGGTCTAGGGTCTTTGAAAAAAAATATAAATTCTGGTGTGCCACGGATGCCCAGGCGTGACTGCCTTGTTTTCCCATTGGGGCGGCCTTGAACCCCAGAATCAACGTACATACTACGACTATATGGTCAAGCAATTGGATAATGGCCCAGGGACTACAATAGACCTATCCTGTCTTGATTGGGTTCAGAGTCTGGTGACTGATTCTGATTTCGAATTTTCGGAAGCAGAGAACCGATTCTCAACTGGAGTCCATCGTCTTGGGAGAATGGGAGGGTGTCTCTGTAGGTAGCGACCTAGATTCCGTCTGCGTACACACGTATATATAGTATATTCATAGGACTGCCGCATATGGGGAGCACGTCCCGCTCTGTGCAACCTGCCACCCCTCACCACGTTTGTATATAAACCGATTGAGACAAAAGCAAGACAAGCCGAACACGCTGAAAACGAAGGAAACTGGTCTGGTCCACAATGAACCCCAGAGCGTATTCAACTCAACCGGTTATTCTGACTTCAAATCTCGGGCCCGTTGAAACAGACTCTCCGCGTCCATCGACAGATGAATCTACAGGCGTACTCTGGGGGTCCATCATGTGCTCCTCGCAGTGAACGTTGCTTCTGCATTCTACCGCTGCATTTTACAGCGACTCTGATATGTATATTTGATGTTCGGGAGTTGGGATCTTCCCAGTCCAAGGCGAGTATACCACCCCATAGCCCCGCTGTCTTAACGAGGGCGGTCATCGAGATGGCAATCGTGTCTGGGCGACTTGAGCCCCGAGTCTTTACCCCGAATCGCACTCTCCACACCGACCAATTAGGCATACACTCTACCATCCTTCAGAGTATTTGTCGGCCAAAAAGTGACAGTCCAGAATCGCCAACGCAACTGGGAGAGCATGTCTCCGCCGAACACTTTCGCATCCCCCACCACCAAGCAGCATGGGCCCCATTCCATGCATGATGCATTCGAATATTACCAAGCCAGCCGGGCATTTATCAAGCGGTCAACAGCGCGCCAGCAGCCACCAAATCGATACATCATTATAGGATCCATTGACTTCGCAGTCGTAAAAAAAAAAAAAAAAAAAAAAAAACACACACACACACATAAAAAGGGGAACGAACAAAATGAATTATACCCGTCGCGTCCCTGAGATCCGGGAACGCACCGGCAGCCACGATCTCCGCCGACTTGACCGACAGGAAAATAGATGCAGCTGCAGAGACGGCAGCGCGCTCTCTTTCCAGACAATCGGGTCCCTGAAGAAGGTCTATGGATAGTCCCCACTCGCCCTCCTTGTCCTCCTGCGTGCTTTGATGGGGCACTCTCCCCAGCTAGGGAAGATATTCGGGCAAAATTATCGAACCGAAAGAATCATAAAGCGGTCGCTCGATCCCCTTCCATTTCCGTCAAAGCATCGAAGCTCGACAGCGGGATGTACGGCGGATGCTCAAGCGATCCGGGGAAGATCGCAGAATTTCTGCGAGTGATGGACTGACACGGCCTTGTGCGAGGGCCGGGGGCGACAGGGATCTGGCCGGGTGGATCCCTGCTCGGCGTCTGTATGACTGCTCTGGCCCATGTCTCGGCCCTTTTTCAATCTGTCTTTTGGGAAGGGGGGTGGTTCTGATTGTTGGTTGGTGAGTCCCGAGTGACGACTTACAGTACTATAGGGTAGGATAGGAACCTGTTTAGTTAATTACCGGGGAGGGGGGGGGGGAGCGTTTACAAAATGGCGCAGTCGATGTACACTAGTATGCCCTAGGGCATCGGAGGGAATGGGTATGATGGAGATAGTCTGGCCGTAGTCATAATCATCGCGAGGAGGTGCAGGACGGTAATGAGCAGACGATATACGAAGCCCGAAGTAGGGTCTCTCGAATAGTCGCGACCGATAGGCTTCTGGTCTCCCTATTTCCGTCTCTTGGCGCTGGATGGGCTGGAGGAGGGCGGGACGACTAGAACACTTCGACCCATTCGTGCTCCATTTCTCGGCCCATTCAGTGCTCGTCAATCGATCTCCTGCAATCTCTCCCTCTGTCTGCCTGTCGGGGACTGCCGGCAGACGGATCCAAGGATCAGTGTGACGCAGAAGCAAGGGGCGAAGCGAAAAGGGAACGTCGAATCGTCTGGACTCTAGGCCCCGCGCACTGGTCGTTGACGACCGAGCACACTATTTGTGAGACTCGCAGTTGAAGTCACAATTCGGACACGCTAGTTCTTGTCTAAGTGTCATAGCTTCGTGAGCCTGGGAAAGGGAGTCGAAAGGGACGAGGAGGGGGACGCGGCGGGGAAGAGAAGAAAGACAGATCCATCTGCGCATCAGTACATCGGACATCGTACGGAACCCATCAGTACAACCTGACTGTCCCTGAAGTTCCCTCGGGACGTACGGAGAGGGTGGAGGAACCAGTGGAGGGCATTGTTCAACGACATCGTGGGAGGTCCATTACGATGTTGTCGTATGAGGTAATGCGTATCCATGTTTTGTTCTATTTCGCAGATCCGAGGGCCAGCGAGCTCTGCTTCATGGCTTTTCGGCCATTGAGTTCTCGACTGGCAGTGCGGCCAACGAGCGTGGTGCCGGGCTGGAATGGCGAACCCACCGGTAGCAAGGCGGGCGGCCCTTGGCTCCTTTGCGCAAGAATGCCTCGTTCCGCCGTCAGCCGGGTTGGACAGAAGGAGGCGCCCGTGTGGGATCGGCTGAGAAGTCAAAGAAAGGATTTGAGAGCGCCTGATGGAAGGGGGAAGGGCTATTGTTGACGATCGCGTCCACCATCTTGCTATACTTCGAACTGTGCGCAGGTCGCGTCGGGGCCGGGAAAATAGAGTCAATAGAGTTAATCGAGTTAATAGAGTAGCCGTCAAGCTTGTTTCTTGGTCTCCCTCCACTTCCTCCACTCCCTCCACTCCAGACCTTGCTCGGACAGGGTCGAGTGGATCCCGACCTCCGATCGGACAGCCCAACAAGGCACGAAGGGTCCCTGGGAATTTGATTTGTATATTTTTCTCTCCCGTTTCTTTGTGATCTCGGTGGACTGCTGGATCGATGCGACTGGCCCTCGCCTGCAGGTGCCCCGAGCCCTAGATCCGATAGACAGCTGGAATCTCTCGCCCTCACACCCACCTGCACACCCCCCGATGAGCCTATGAGTATGAGGCTGGTTGTCGGTATATAATACTTGAATACCTAGGTACTCTAGGACATAGCCGCATACCCTTACTACTTGAATACCTGAATACCTGATTACCTGATTACCGGCGCTGCTTGAATCCTCTTCCCCTCTGGCCGTAAATTGGAACGAGTGCCATTTAGGAGACTGAAATTTTGGGTCAGGATGACCGTGGTTCTTTGCGCCCAATCTGCTCGGCGGATGAAGTGAATCGCTAGGAATTGTTAGCCGTAAGAGTGACTTCAGGCTTTCACCTTCACCTGGCGGGGAGGGGATCGAAATGGGGGTTCGGGGACCAGTCAGCGCGGTTGCTTTCATGCAAGACCATGGTCGATCTGGCGGTCAGGCCGATGATGTTAGTTAGGGTTGGAGTCTGACATTGGGACTGGAAGGATGCAGTATCGGCAGATGCTGAAGAAAGATATGAAAGATATGGAGCATGGAGTAAAGGAGGAAGAGAGATAGTTGAGGTGAACGATGCCGGGCTGGTTATCAGGCCTGTGGTGAACTCGGAGAGGCTTTTATAAGCATCGAAGATCGGGCAGAATGCTCTTGTTTAAAAACAACGCTGACGGGAAGATCGAGGTCAATTCGCGATGCCATCGAAGCTTTTCGGTATCGTTTGCATGCTTTTTTTTCCCGCTTCTTTCGTGCGTTTTCTCCATTTATGCTTTTCATACTTCCCCCGTGGATGGGGCGTTTCCCAAAGAGAACCAAAGATCTCGATCGTGTCCGGCTCGGGTTCAATACGGTACTGGTATCGTCTCGTACGAAAAGGCTGCGCTGCCCACGCCCCCGGCTGGGCCTTGGCGGTACCTGCTCGCTCCCGCCAGACTGTATGGCAGGGCCAGGTTCCTCGCGGGCTCTCAACTGGGATCGACCCTGTTCGAGGCGTCATCATCGTTCAAGAAATACGGTGACCGGACGCTAAGGACACTAAGCGGCTGATCTCCTCCCAAGGCTTTCGCAGCATCATTTTTCTTCGCCCACTCTTATCTATCAATTTCCCAACTTCACCATTTCCTTTCTTTTTCCCTGTTCTCTTCTCGTGTGACGCTTCTTGTCCTCCCGTTTCTTCTTCTTCTTCCCTTTGCACCTTTTTTTCTCCTTCACCGTCCTCCTTCACTTCCTCGAACCTCCCCCTTCACTCTCTCCCCCTACTCCTTCAGGGCTACGGAACTGGACACCCCCGAAAATCCCACCTCCTGCTTCTTTCCCCCCCCATCAGCAGCCGGGCTGTCATGCTGGCGCCTTGTGTGACAGCTGAACTTCGTTAATGCCGACCCTGGTCTCGCGGCCACATTCCCATCCATCGACCCACTGAATTCAATCCGGCTTTCCTCCTTTGCGCAAATCGAGCGCGCATTCCACTATTGTACCCTGTCGGCCGCAATAGCAAAACCTCCCCTTCCTCGCCCATCCCTCCGTCACCCCTTGCGCGAATCCCATTCAGGGTCCCAAACGCTCTACCATTCTCGAGGATCGCCTCTCCACAAGGCACATGAAGACGATCGGCAAGCTGGGAGATTCCTGGAGCATGCACGGAGCACAGTAACGTCGCGACGCCTCCAATTTTCTGTCTTCCCTTCCTTCCCACACCCCCCTCCCCTCCCCCAGGGCGACCATCCCGCTACTGCGCCGCTGAGGTACCGACAAACGAAGGGGAGATTTTTTTCCCCCAGGTTGATCGCACCAATTCTTTGTTACCTTGCATCTCAGTCGGTCCTGCTGGATCTGCTTCCCGCATTTCTCATCCTGAACGGCGCTCCCTTCCATCCACCTCTCCCTCTCGCTCCAACCATCATCATCACCACACTCTCTCCCTCCTTTCTTCGCACTCCTGTATCTTCTGTACATGTCCTGGGTTCGTCGCTCCTGAGAAGAAGGAACACCGTCAAAAAAGTGCAGGGCAGATCCTTACCAAGCCTACGTGATCCCTCTTTCTCGCCGGTACGGTGATCCCCTTCTGTTCCCTCCTTTGGTGAGTCCTCCCCTCCGTCGGCTCCTGGCCTGTATGCCTTGGAGCTTACACCCTGGAGTCCAAGGTCCGGTGAACCATCTCACTAACAAGGGCTACGCCGTCGCTTCTAGTTTTATATTTCTTCGTGTACGCCCGTTCCTGGTGCCTGGTGCCCGCTGCAAATACTGGCCGATCATCGGTTCCTATCGGCTTTGTGATTTACTGTCGTCACCTCGAACTTTGCAAATAGTCACCCGTCGTTCGAGTACATATCTGATCACCCGTTCTTCATCCACCGTTTTCCTGGGATGGCTTCGACGATGGCTGCCAATGCATCCAGCGTACACAACGTGAGTGGTGGAATGGAGAATGTGGGCCGGGACTAGCGCTAATGATAGCATCGCAGGTACGATCGAACCGAGCTACCAATATGGGTTCATCTGGGATGAACAATGATCGCTCGCGTGGATCTCACGGCAATGGTGTGACCAAGGGCTTCGGTGCTGGCAAGTCCAGCTGGAATAGCAACATCTGGGGTGACTCCAACCTAGGAGGTGGGTTTGGGGATGGTATGTGATGATATTAACTTTTTCGTTTGGGGAAAACCTGTACTCATTCACCATTTTTAGACCAACACATTGGCGAGTCGGCGTTCGAAGCAAAGTCGGGCTCCGGCTCACTGCTGTCCTCATCAGAATCTGATGGTTGGGCCGGACGCCCCAATTTGCCCTGGAGCACTGTGAATACCTCGTCGTTATCGATGAACCAGAGCAGGGGCATGGCCACATCTCCCATTCAGACCCGTGCGAATGACCGAAGCGCTCCCGCCCTGAACGATGCGAGTGATGCATCCTACTTTGCTCTCCCCCGTACTACTGGCATGGGAGCCTCTGCTGGCACTGTCAGCCACCGCCCTTATCTGAACAGTGGATCGGAAGGCATCTCCCCATCGGGAGATGCTATGTCTTTCACTGGATTTTCCGGGCTTCGAAATGGCGATGGACGGCGACAGATGAGCTCCGCAGGCCTCAGCGGCAGTCCTGTAGGGACAACTTTCCCCGTAAAGTCTGGGTTCACCGGTTCTCTTGATGCCTCGCGGCAGGAAGACATGGCTGCTTCCATGGGTATGGGATCGCTTGCTTCTGGACTGCCAGATAGCATGTCTCCCCCACAAGCCCGCAGCGCTCTCTCTCACATGTCCCACAACTCCGCCTCCTACGCTGCTCAACGTCCTGCTCATTCCGCTCATCCCTCTTTCTACTCGGACAATCACAGCGTTGACAGTCGTTACGGTAACAATTCCATCGACCTCAGCGGAGGATTCAACAAATTGCAGTTGAACGACAATGGATTTGCCAACCAGGGGTCAGCACAACGTCCTCCGTTTGTTACACACGCTTCGTTTGATGGAGCTCTTCATCGTGGAAAATATCAAAACTCCGATGATGCCAACTATCAAGCTCTTGCTGCTTACACAGCTGAAGGCGCTCAAGATGTGCATCTTGCGTACCAGGCTCGGTCTCGCGGTGGAGACACTGGCTCTATCTCCCCGTCCGACTACGCTCGCATGGACAGTCCTCTATACCCTGGTATGGATGCTGCAGCCCAATATCGGAACTCCTCCGCCGGGCGTATCACTGACAATCAAGCTGTAGCCTTTGAACGTCCTCTGCGCAATTTCCAGGACCAGGACTATGTCCAGGCCCAGGGTAACACCGTCCAACGTATGCCGATGACGTCGTCTTACGACTACCAGGGCTATCAGGCTGCCCGACTGAACGCCCTCCAGGGCTTCTACCCTATGGCTCAGCTCGGCGGGCTTGGTGCGGCTGCTCTTGTGTCTCGCGCTCACCGCGAGCATGATCCTACGCAAGTTGTTCGCAGCCCACTCCTCGAAGAATTCCGTGCGAACAGCAAAGGCAACAAGCGGTATGAACTGAAGGACATTTACAACCACGTCGTGGAGTTTAGTGGGGATCAGCATGGATCGCGTTTCATCCAGCAGAAGTTGGAGACCGCCAACAGCGACGAGAAGGAGCAGGTCTTCCGGGAAATCCAGCCGAACTGCTTGCAACTGATGACTGATGTCTTCGGCAACTATGTTGTACAGAAACTCTTCGAACATGGAAATCAAACCCAGAAGAAGGTCCTTGCTAACCAGATGCGTGGTCATGTACTCGCTCTGTCGACACAAATGTACGGCTGTCGTGTCGTTCAGAAGGTTTGTACAACATACTTCCCCTGTCCCTTGATCTGGCACTAACAGGTTCCCCAGGCCCTCGAACACATTCTCACCGACCAGCAAGCTGCCATGGTTAAGGAGCTGGAGAACCATGTCCTCAAATGTGTGCGCGATCAGAATGGTAACCACGTGATCCAAAAGGCTATCGAACGAGTGCCTTCTCAATACGTGCAATTCATAATCAACGCTTTTCGGGGCCAAGTCAACAGACTTGCTGCTCACCCTTATGGTTGCCGTGTCATTCAGAGAATGTTGGAGCACTGCGAGGAAGAGGATAGAGAATCTATTCTTGCTGAACTTCACGCCTGCACTGCCAATCTCATCCCTGACCAGTTCGGTAACTATGTGATTCAGCATGTAATTGAGAATGGGGATGCAAAGGACCGTGACCGCATGATTCAGATTGTCATGTCGCAGCTCCTTGCTTACTCCAAGCACAAGTTCGCAAGCAATGTGGTCGAGAAGAGTATTGAGTTCGGCGACGAGAGCCAACGTCACCACATCATCTCTACTCTAACCTCTCCCAACGACCGAGGCGAGAGCCCTCTGCTTGGTTTGATGCGTGATCAGTATGGAAATTACGTGATCCAAAAAGTGCTTGGTCAACTGAAGGGTGCCGAGCGTGATGCTCTTATCGACCAGATCAAGCCTCTTCTGAGCCAGTTGAAGAAGTTCAGCTATGGAAAGCAGATTGTTGCGATCGAGAAGCTTATCTTCGACCCCAACTCTCCCACTACGGGTCCGCTATCCCACACCACTTCCACCACCCCCCCAAATTCTCACAAATCCTCACCGCAGCCATCTAAGCGCACTGTTCCCACCATGGAACAGCCTCGTGCCCCCTTTGTGGGCACGGCTCCCCCCACGCCACCTCCTACCGATAACCAGAGCACCATCGACGGCTCCCTCGAGTCCAAGGGTCTTGCCAAGAGCACTGTGACCTCGGTATCTAGTCCTGAGACGGGCAGCACCGGTGCCCCTGTCCCGGTCGATGGTCACTAAGGTGCTCGACCCATTCGTTGCACACACGTTCTACCACTTTGCCTACCCACATAATTTGTTCTAATGCTGATTTGAAAATCCCGATTCACTCTGCTTCTTTATCTAATATGGGGCGTATACATACCGGGGAATTACAGGTCGGATATATGAAGTTACCAACGTCACAATGTGTTTCCCCTTATTTTATTATTCATGGCTCGACGGCGCACAACAGGGGACTGGTCTCATTTTTATCTGTTCTTCTTCCTGTGTTCATCTCGAACCTGTTCATCTTTACCTTCCGTGATGTGGTTTTCCTGTTCATTTTTTTTGTTTCAGACTTACTACTGGATGGTGTTCACCCCACGCCCCCATCCTCTTTACCATTGTCAATGCTCATCTCCGCATATGGCGGTTTCATCTCGAGGATCGATCTACGTGGATTCGGCGTCTTTGTGTTGTGATTTTTTTTTTATTAACGGGGGCTTCACTGCTGCACAGAAGAGGAGAAATGGATAGGGGATCCTATATCCCCTATCCATTTCTCCAGGTATCTTCGCTTCTTTGCTCCTTCACGATCTTCGGCATATGACATGGGGAGAAACTCGGAACTGGAACTGGAACTGGAACTGGAAATACGGGCAGAGAACCATCGTCTTTATTTTATTTCTTTCTCTGTCTTCTCTTTTATCTTGTGGTTGCCTTTTACTCTCTGTTCTTGCATGGCACGGTATCTATTTTATCTCTCCCATACATCTTTATTTCAAAAGATGTTGCGCATATCGGATGTGGGGTTTGTTTGTTTCTGTGTTTCTTCCAACTTGCTTGTTCGGTATACAGCTTTCACTTGCAATGAAAAGTGTTATGCCGGGACTCCTGCGCCTGTGTTGATATTTTGCTTGTTAGTAGCTGATGTATCATCAAAATATTCGAGTACGTCCTGATACCGATACTTTTACCTCCATTTTCTCTATTTTGAGTTAGATGTACCCCAACGAGCCATCTAGCCCTAGATCTATGCCTGATCTTTGTTTAACCTCAGATGCAAAGAATCAAATTTTTAAAAAAGAGAAGTCAAACCTGCAGCTATGCAGGTTTGCGCTGCTCCAATGGTTGAGTAGTTGATTAGAGAAGAACGCTGGGGATCCTTTGACACGATGTTTTGGGCCCTCTCAAAGGGGAAGTATTGGAAATGGAGTGCAGCTTTAAATGATATCCATCCTGGAAAATACGCCACTGGCTCCTCGATATTCCAAGTCAATTTGCATGTTTGTGTCCTCGTGAAGACTTGCAATCCAACGTCTTTGATCAGCAAAGAAGTCGAACCTCAATAATTACGATCACGTGATAAGATAAGATCGCCGATCAACGTCTTAAGTCCAACCACCGCCTCCAACTTTTTCCCTTCAAGTCCAACATCTGTTCTAACAAAACTCCTCGGCGCTCTATCAGGTGCCGACTCTCCTCAAAAAGTCCCTATACTCTTCTTCCCACGCCAATTGTTGCTCTCTCGCGAAGGAATAACCACCATCAATCGGGACATAACCAAGAGGACCACCTGACTACCTTCCATCTATTTCGTCTACCTCGGACCTCTCCGCCGCCTCTGAAACAAAACGCGCACGCAAAAACCCCGTTATCATGTCCTCCAACGTCGGACTGTCCACCCCCGAGGTAGCGGTACCTCCGGCTACGTCCAGCGCAACACAGCCTTCATCAAGCCCCGCAACCAAGGCTACGGTGCGCCGTATCCCCCAGTCTCGGGCGCCAACGGCCCCGTCGATCGCGCCTTCAAGCAGCGCCTACCAGATAAGCAGATTCTGGAGCACGACCGGCGTCGCGCAATCGAGGTCAAGGTGATGGAGGAGCGGGAACGGCTAGAGGAGGAGAACGAGCGGCTAGAGGAGGAAGCCGCCAAGGGCAAGGCTACGGCTAAAGGCAAGAGCGAGGCCAAGGAAGATGGCGAGGCGGATGAAGAGGCGCGCGTGCTGAGCGAGGAAGAGATTGACGAGCGGTGCGAGGCATTGCGGCAGAAGCTGGTGAAGGAGATGGAGGAGGGACGGGAGGCACCTGGGAAGGGCGGGAAGGACAGACGTGGCTTGAAGGGATACCAAGTGCATGAGCTTGCGGAGGCAAAGATCCAAGAGAGTGAGCGATTGCGGCGGGCGTTGGGGATTCGGGAGGATCGGGAGACCGGGGAGATCAGTAGTACGCGGGGGGAGCGTCGACGGGAGAAGGAGAGGGAGGAGTAGGGGATGCCGTCTTTGACGAATTTGAATTTGAAGTGATTCTGGTGTTTAGGGGCGGTGCTTGTGGCGTTATTTCTCGTCTTTTTCTTCTTCTGTCTGTTTTGGAGAATGGGTTTGCATAGGAACTTTATCCTTTCGGACCATGGGTTGTGGCTCCGAGTGTTACTGTTCGAAGTTGTACACAGGTGTTTGATTAGGGTTACATAGGATCTTGACCAGAGAAGTCGGTATCATGATGGAAACTCGAGGCCAAAAGGCCAAAAAAATCGATTGGATATCATAATCTCATACAATTGGGAAATCTCATTTCCTACCCAGCATGCTCTCATGCCACAAACTTCTCAATAACCCATCCGTCCTTTGGATCTTTTCTCTGCACTACCTTTTTTGCCGGCAACGGCCAACCCGTGCTGCCCGCATCGCCAACAAGTGCGGGAATGACCCAGCACGCCCGGCGCTGCGGGATACCCTCTAGCAGCTCTGTCTTGCCTACGGGCTTGCCATACTCGATGAGCGGGGTGTCGTGCGCAATCGCCGCAAGCTGCAAGCCGCTCGGGGTCACCAGGGGGAACATGCGGATCTTGGGCGCCTGGTCAACGATCATGGACGCAGACGATTGCTGCAGGTGCGAGTAGATGATGTACGGCGGCATTTCCTTAGGGGTAAGCTTGGCCAGGATTGAGGTGGGATGGACGTAAACGGCGCGCTCGGCCACATCCTGCACGTTGCCTTCACGAGAGCGGAAAAGTGTGAAATATGGCACGTCGATGGCGCGGCGCGGGGCGCGGGGCATCTCCGGTGGGACGGGAGCGAGGTCAGCGCGGATGGCGACATTGTCAATGAAGCCGGCGGTGACGATCTGCTTCAGCGCTTTGATCTGCTTGGGTGAAGGCTCGGGGAGCTTGGCTTTGTAGTCGCCGAGCAGGCCGGGGTTGTTGGAGCCGACAATGTCAGACAGTTGACGACGCAGCTGGGAGGCTTCTTTGAAGGCCTTGGCGCGCAGGAACATCTGTTCGCTGAAGGCTTCGCCATCAGGAGCATAGGCATAAGCACAAATGGCTGAAAGGTACTTGAGTGCGTCAGAGGTGTCGTCGTGCTTGCTGAGGAGACGGTGGACACGGGCGTAGTCCTTGGCACGCTGTTCGCGCTGGGTGTCTTCAAGACGGTCCGCGTTGCTATAGACCTTCCTCGTATCTTCATCGCTGGAGTCGGAGTCGGAGTCGGAGGTGGCCTTATTGGGTTTAGATTGCAGGGCCGAGTTGGGATCGAGTTGGATCTCGGTAACGAAGAGATCGCCGACAGCCAGGGCAGCAACTAAGGCGATGACATAGGGCAAGCAGCCGTGTTGGTGGCCGATGTGGATCATCTTGCCGAATCGGGGGGAGAGAGGATATGTAGACAGCCGCCGGCCGATCTGAGTGACCTGCCCGTCCGTTGTAAGGGCGCCAAGGTGCTTCAGCAGCTTCTCTGCCTTGGCGAGACCTTGACGGCTTGGAGGCGTAGGGAAGGGGAAGTTGATCACGTTGTGTAAGCCCATGCTCTTCATCTGGAGAACAACCCCTTCAATGGGGGTTCGCAGGATCTCAGGGTCGGTGTAGTCGGCGAAGTCGGCCTCATAAACTGCAGAAGAATAAAGTCTGTAGCAGTGACCCGGCCCAGTTCGACCGGCTCGACCGGCTCGTTGATTTGCGCTGGCCTTGCTGATCCAACCAATTTGGAATTTCTGGACACCGGTGGATAGGTCGTATTGCTTCTCCTTAGATCGGCCACAGTCGAAGACGTACTTGATGCCGGGGATGGTGAGAGACGTCTCGGCAACGTTAGTAGCAAGAATAATGAGACGTGAATTCTCTGGCGGTGATTCAAAGACCTTCATCTGCTCTTTGGTGGGCAGCTGAGAGTATAGGGGCAAGACATGGACCCTCGTTGAGGAGTCCATGGCGTCTTCGCCAAGGTCAAAATCTTCGTCTTCTTCTGGCTCATCTAACCCAGTGATTTCCAAGTCGCTTTCATCGTCCTCTCCGGCGTTGTCCATTTCCGTCCCGCCCAATTCCAAGTCTTCTGCCTCAAGGGGTGCATCATTTGCTGAGATTTGCACCTTGGCTTGTGTTGGGTCGGCTCTTTGTGTTGGCTTGAATGCCTGCTTCAATTTCTTTGACAGAAGTCGGATCTCATTCTGACCAGTCAGGAACACAAGCATTCCACCGGGAGGAAGTTTACGGTGTCCTCGCGAGACTTTTCGGAAAGCCTCCTCAACGTAATCACGATGAGTGCGGCGAGCGAAATGAACAGTCACAGGGTATTGGCGACCTTCGGCTTGGACCAGAGGGGGAGGTCCTTGGCGGAAGAGAGCCGCATTATCCGTGAAATCGGAGATTCGAAGTGTGGCAGACATAATGACTACCTTCAATGGCTTCACCGATGGATCTTCCTCACTCATAGACTTGCGTAGGTCCACAATACGGCTGATCATTCCGATAAGAATATCGGTGTTGACACTCCGTTCGTGTGCCTCATCGATGATGAGAATCGAGTATTTGCGGAGAGCGAAATCATCTGCAATCTCTCTCAGAAGAATACCATCCGTCATAAACTTGACAGCAGTCTTCTTGGAAACGGTTGTCTCAAACCGAATCTGGTAAGAAACCTGGTCGGAGTATTGACCAAGTTCCTGGGCGACACGGTTCGCCATACTCACAGCGGCGACTCGACGGGGCTGAGTGACGCCAATAAGGCCAGGATTGGGACTGTCTGGATGACCGAATCCGGCCTCAAATAAGAATTGAGGAAGCTGTGTGGTTTTTCCACTACCAGTAGCACCCCAAATAATCACTGTGGAGTTGTTGTAGATTGCCTCCATGATTTTCTGCTCTTCACCCACGACCGGAAGACCGAGGCGCACATTTTGGATTTCCTCCGAGCGGTCGACAGAAACACTGAAAGCCTTGCGATACGGGTTGCCCGTGGTCACTTGGAGTTCTTGAGGAAGAGGGTCTTCCATATCAACTGTATTCCTGGGTTCCTTTCGAGGCGGCGCAAATGCTTGTTGCTGCTGATCATGAATTACTGGCCCTTCGGTTGGCTTGAAACCCACGGCTTCATTAATCTGTTGGACAGCCCAAGATTTGAAAGCTGACTGTCTAGGCTTAATGCGGCGAGAGGCGTCTCCATGCTCTTCATCCGATTCGTCTTCATCCGAGTCTTCCTCTTCATCCGAGTCTTCCTCTTCATCCGAGTCTTCCTCTTCATCCGAGGAGCCTTCAGACTGCCGAGAGGAGTCTTCAGAATTGTCATCTCCCGAGTCACCACTAGCTTTGACATTAGACTTATCGGAATCATTTTCTTCGTCATTTTGCTCGGACTCCTCATTGTCAGATCCAAATCCCTCCCACGAAGGTTCTTGTACAGGCGTAGGTGCCGGCTTGGTAGCACGCTTTCGCTTCTTGATTATCGGAAACCCATCCGGTCCAATCTCGAGAGGCCGCTTCAGTCCACTTCCGGTCGGTGCCAGGATAATCTCAGGTTTCGGGGCTGGTTCGGTTTCGATTGTCTTGAAATCGACATCAGAATCATCAGACTCGTCTTCGGGTTGATCATGAACGTAGGATTTGGGTACTGGAGCACCAGAGGGTAAGAATTCATCCGTTTGTCGTTTCCGCTTCCCTCCTAAGTCTCGAGATGTCTGCAAAGATGATGTGTCGACTTTTGATTCGGCTAGTTTCTTAAGAAGCTCGATGTTCTCTTCTTTCTTGAGTTTGTTTTCCTGTATGAAGTCAGAATTACTCCCTATGGTGACTGAACATATCATACGTACAATATACTTATCCAGGCGCTTCTGCTTTTTTGAAGAGACGTTGGAATGTTGTTCACGAAGCTCCTCTCTTAACTTTTGTCTCCGGGCTTCTTTTTCATCTTTGGAGACGGGCGCAAGCTCCGCAATATTGGTGTCCACCGGCGCAGTAGATTGTTGGAGCCTATGTTTCTGCTTCCGCTGGCGCGGAGTGAACTTAGGCATCTTGACAGATTCCAAGTCAATGCGATAGACAAATTTCAAAGAATTCGTACTATGTTGCTGCTACTTGCATTCGCGGGAAAAAAATCGAGGATGCTCAATAGGCGGTGTGTTTGTGCCATTTTTTAGTTGTGGGGAACCACTGACCGCCTCCATAGCCTGCCAAGCATCAACATCTCCACATCCTCGCATTGTGAAATGAGCCTTGAACTTTCCAACTGGCAATCATGGCTATTCTGGAAAATGCGTTACAAGAATCAATGAATTTGCCGTATCCTGCCACCACAAATCAGGTGGCAGGAATGGTAAATGGGGTTCTCACGGATGTCATGGTCATGAACTTCAGTGACAGAATTATGGTGACAATATCACAACAAGGCCGTCTGGCACACTGGGTTTGTGTTAATAGCATCTCAATAATGAGCTACTTCTGACAATATCTAGCTCCATGTGCCTCTTGGAAATGAAAACCCTGGGACCGATGGCATGCACACTTTCGCAGCAGGTGGAGAAAACAACCTTCTGCCCCTCAGTGGCTTGACAGCAACGTCTCTCCTCGGTGGATATGCCTCTGGTCAGGATACAGTTGGCCAACTGCTCGCTTGCCAGATTGCAACTGCCATTGCGACAAGAAGCCCCGCTGAAAAACGATTGCTTGTTGTCGGCCTAGGGTTGGGCAACACAGGATCCGATCGAGATTCGTTCTTTTCCATTATTGACCTTGTGTTGCAATGCATCTAATCCAGACCCAATTGGTGAACATATCTTCATGGGGATGTGCTTTGCCTTATTGACAAATGGAATGTGCATCGTCCAGCCGCAGACTAGAAGAGGATAGCCGGCGGATCAGGGTTACCCTTGATATTATTTGATTTCTTTTGACTGGAAAGGTACACGATGAACTCTGTTCTCGATGATTGCATCTTTTCCCACAATCCGATGATCTTACAACTCTAGATCTGTGGCGAAGCCTCTGAACGGGCTACATAATTGTGGTGCAGCGCTGTGAGTGAAGAAGTAGGAAGAGTGTGTGCAGCAATTTTCGTCTTCTGAACCACTTGCGACTTATAGGCCACTATCTTGCTTTCTGCTGATCTTTGAAATCTTTCACTCCACAACTTTCAGAACAAGGATGATGACTTATTTGGGGACAAGTGGAGAATATTTTTTTCAAACGTGAAGGCTGGACAGTCTGTGAATGATGTCATTTTATTCTGTAAAATAGAGCTGACCCTCTCGAATAACCAATTGACACGAAAATGACTGTTCCCAACTCATATGGTATTCATTTATGAGCAGACATGGTGGCTTATATACTGGACATTTGGACTGAGCCTGCTCGCTGGACTCGATCTCCGATCTAGGCAATCAGGTAGTACTAACAGGAGTGCATTGGTATATTGGTTACGTAGGTTCATTTGGACTCTATCAATGTTAATTGAAATAAGCCAAGGAACTATTTAAACTTCACACAGGCGATGAGCTTCACTCAACTTAAAGCACCGTTCCAGATGCCCGAGTCTTAACTAGTCAGGTGCCCTTGCCCCCAGTGAAACCTGGCATCCCTACTTGCGGAGGCAGCAGAGCAGGCATGGGCCCTCCATTTGGAGCATTGAGCCCACCCAGGCCAGCAGCCGGCAACCCCGCAGGAGGTAGTGGCCCACCTCCTGGAGGCACTTTCTTGATACCGCCTGGCATTGCCAATGCTGGTAATGGTGGCCCCCCAAGTGCCTGCTCGACTGTCATATAAAACGGCGGATTTCGATTAGCCGAAGCCGTCCGTGGAACATACCAGTTGAATCCAGTATATCTGTCAAAAATAAAGGTGCGATTGTTGCCATCGGGCCCTGTTCCGGTGTAAAGTTTATGCCTCATCCATGGCCCGTTAAGTCTTGCAAGGCTGGAAGTTGAAAAAACTTCTCCAGGTTTAATAGTACACTGTATAGTATCCCAAGGGAGGCTTGGATCTTCCAGTCGGTTCCCGTCATCGTCACACATTGTCACCTCCATCGCGTGGACATACGCACAATCAGTCGCCCCATTCGCCAAGTACGATACCGTGACACCCATCACTGGGGGACCGGGAAGAAACACCCCAGTTCCATGGAAATGGAATAGTTGGAGTATATTTATATTCCCTTCAAAAATCTTCATAATCGAAGATCCAGTATCGTCCAGAAAGTTGAAATGCATCGGATTATCAGAGCCAGGTAAGCGAAGAGTAAGTTTCACCTAAAATAACCCAAACCAAGGCGGGGCATGCATTGTTAGGAGGCAGATCACATGAAGCTTCTACTTGAGATGTATCTCGTTTATGAACAGAAGGCGTGGTACGGAAACTTGGCAGGTTGCCCTTGATGGCCTCATACTTAAGGGCTCAGGAGTATAACCCTAAACAAATATAGTCAGAACAGTAAAGATTGCAGTTATATCAATGAAAGGAATCTTATATTAGTGTTTAACATACGCCTTCAATCCAGAATCCCTTATGGCCTTGGTGTTCGTGGTTAAGGTCTTTGTATTCGTCCCATCTAAATGGCCTTGGCTCAGCCAACTTGTGGCCATTTGACCAATAAGTTACTAGCCCTCTGGTCCACTTTAGGTTGCCCGAACGATATGCTTGAATGATGGCAAGAACATTTGGAAGTAACTCCAATTTATCTTGCTGTTCTTCTAGCCATTCTCGAATTGTTTGTAATTGCTCTAGTCGTTGAACAGTCTCCCAGCCTAACCCTGGATACTGTTCCATTAAGGCACTATGTAATAAAATGAGATTCCATGATAATTACAGGTAATTTGCCACATCCGGAACGTACTCTTTTCTGCTTTTTTCCTTTATGAATTCTTTTAGCTTTTGTTCAAAAAGCTCTGGGAAGATATTTTGAGCAATTCTCGAGTGACATCTTTCAATTTGTGCTTCTGTTTCACTAGTCCATTTATATATTTATATCAATGCCATGCAATCTAATTTTCCATTACATCTATACATACTGGTCAAAAAGGTCAGGCTCATCGATACTCCAGTCTGGAAGTAACTGCGATGGGTCTGTCATGGGCCTTGAGGCTTGGGGCCATATTTTCTTTGCGGGTCGAGGCGGTGGAGGAGCCTCCCACTTGTCGACATAGGAAACATCCAAAGGCAGCAGGGGGGTTCTGGCCATTGAAAACCCTGAACCTGCTCACTTTGTTCCCTCCAACAGTCCATCTCTGCAATAAGACTGGTCGAGAAGACTTAAAGGATACGACGCGAAGGAATAGTTTCTCAGAAGTTTAAGGGAAAAATCATTCCGTTTCAAAAGATGTGAATGAAAAAACTAGAGAAACTTGAGCTTAGAGAGCCAGATCCCAGGTTCAAATATGCGAACCGCCTCGCAGTAATGCAACTAATCATTGCAGCAAGCAATAATTCAAAAACATCAAGGACAAAGAGAATCTGGGCCCAAGTTCTGGAACTACCTTTGTAGGTATCGCATGGAAGAGCTCAAAAAGATCTCATTAGATCCCACCAATTCCAATTTCTCCACTGTGGGATAGGATAAAGATATTTAAATTCGATATTCACTACACAAATGTTAATAGAGAGTATCAAAGTAGGCAAAATCCTCTAAACTTCTTCTCTTTGACGGATCGCACCAGTGATTTAAGTTTATGGCTCGCTATTTCTTTCGGGAAATTTGTCCGTTTCCTTTCATCTGTCAACTAGTTGAGAAGCCGAGCAGATGTCATCTCTTTTTTAGGTTGATCTGAGTGACCGATTTTCTCAAGAAAGCGATAAAGATTTCGGTCGCTTTGCCTTGCATATATACTTTCAGCCAAAATATTTTCTTTCAAAAAATTTACGACGAGATGAAGAGTTGCCGGCATCGGCCACATTATTGAAAATTACGGCTTTCAAGTCTGACCCTCTTCGCGGTGAAAATTCAGAATCAAGTTCATGATAGCCAAATTGCCGGCCATATATAGGCTCTACAAGGTTTTAATCTACAAGACAATACTACTTCAATTGGATTTAGGTGCGGGGTATTCGTGGGTACTGTATGGATGCAGCACCAAATTGTATGCAAGAATATCTGGGGTCAATTAACAACACGCAGGGGATGAGAGGGTCGGCAAGGGTACCCTCACTGCTTTATTATTCGGCTTCAAATACAAGAGGTTCACTCGGTACGAGACACATGAACCATCAAGCAAACCCAACTCTCTTTCAACCTCCATCGCTTGCGTTTGAATCACCTCGTACATAAGGCCTGAGGCATGTATGTAATCACGTGATAACAAACACCGTTTGAGGATACACATGCGTGGTCTAGCCTCATTTCATCAACTGACAGCAATACAGGACCTCAAGTATCCAAAAAGACTGAGGCATCTTTGAATCAATGCTCTCACTTTGTATTTGTACTGGCTGAGACCATCTCCGTTCATAACCGACCTTGGTTCCTGAGGTGAGGTTTTGTAACGCGAATCCCTAACTTCTCAACATAACTACACAACTCTCGTTTGAGCCAAATCATCCTTTTCCATTTCATCTCCGTTTTGTCTCTCAGAAGGTCCTATCAAAAACATAAGTCAAGATGGATCCAGAAATCATGGAACGTTTTATGCTGGATGCAGCTATCGCTGCCTCACTACAGGAAAGCCAAACACCAGAACCGCTTCCGCCGCCTCAACCCTCCGAGAGCTTGAATTCTGTGAAAAAGAGCTCACCTCTTTCTGATCAATCATTACAGCCAAAACCAATATCCAGCAATGTCGTTGATCTAACAAAGGACTCCAGTGACGACTCTGACGTCGAGGAGGTCTTCCCGAAATCGAAATCTGTGATAGGCTCTGACACCGATAATGAGCCCGATGGCAGTGGATCTGATGAGGACCTCAAGAGAGCCATTGAAATGTCTCTTGAGGGGGTGCACCGAGGAGAAAAAGGCCCCAAAGCTCAAAAACCGCTCGCGAGTTCCAAGGCCTCAGACTCTGTCGCCTCTGTACCAAGTCAGGGACTCAGTGGTCTGGATCGCAAGAAGATGGAGGAAGAGCGACTCGCCCGCCTAGCGAAGCGTAAGGCGGACAGCAATTCGCCTCGTCAATCACCTGCGAAGGTTCTCAAAACTGCCGGTCACAAACCCGATCCATCAAGTCAGGGTACTTTGTCCCAGGTAGCCCCTCAAATTGGTGTCTGCAATCAACCCGCTGCCAACGCTCAGAACGTGAAGGTCCAACCTACAGTACAGCCTGGGGTGCAGTATCCGTTGGGGGCTATCAAGAAGACTCGGCTTGCCAACAAGGCTCGCGTGGGTAATGATATCACTTTCGAGGAGGTGATTCAACAGGAAGATCTGAAGCTTGCTGTGCTCAGCTCTTTCATGTGGGATGTTGAGTGGCTCTATCCGAAATTTGACCCGACACGAACCAGACTTCTTCTGGTAATTGGAGCCAAGGAACAATCGGAGGTAAGAGCTCTAGTTTTCATTTTAGGAAGAAACGTTTCACTCATATCTCTACAGCGTGACAATCGCACAAAAGAAGTCGAGGGGATACCCAATATTCGTCTCTGTTTTCCACCTATGGCGGCACAAGTCAACTGTATGCATTCAAAGTTGATGCTACTTTTCCACTCCGAATACCTTCGTATTGTGGTCCCTACTGCAAATCTTACTCGGTTTGACTGGGGGGAGCAGGGCTTGATGGAGAATGCAAGTTTCATTTTCCCTTCTTACTCGGTTTCGACCACTAATATCCCTTATTAGACTGTTTTTCTCATCGATCTGCCGAAGAAGTCTCCCGGAACTAGTGAATCTAGACCAGCATTCAAAGATGAGCTGGTGTATTTTCTGAAGGCCAGTAATTTGAATGTGAACATCATTGCGAAACTGGACAGCTTTGATTTTAACATGACTTCTCGATATGCGTTCGTGTACAGTGTGTGAGTGGTCGACTTCTCAATCACGTAAATCAGTTTTCCATTTGACTAACAGCTTTATAGAGGTGGCACCAATGATGGTGATTCCTGGAAAAGGAATGGATACCCTGGGCTTGGCCGCGCCGTGGCCAGAATGGGTCTCGAGTCATCAGAGCCACTCGAAATAGACTACGTGGTATTCAACAATATTGACTTAGCAATGGCCCCGAAAAGGAGAATCTGACTTTATACAGACTTCTTCCGTTGGTTCTCTGAATGACGATTTTCTTCGAGCGATGTATTTGGCCGCTAAAGGTTTGTTTGCTCTTACCCAAGATGTCGTAAGTGAAATTGCTAATCCATTTCAGGCGATGATGGTTCAATGGAGTACACTTTACGAACGACCAAGACCTCATCAACACAAACAAATGATGAGCGGAGGAAAATGATGCTCCGCAATGGAGAGGAATGGCACGACCGTTTCCGTGTTTACTTTCCATCGGACCAGACTGTTCGTGCTGCCCACGCCAGGCCCGCGGACACTGCCGGAACAATTTGCTTTCAGCCACAATGGTGGCATGGGTCAAAATTTCCTCGTCGCGTGCTCAAGGATTGTGAGAGCGAGAGGGGTGTGTTGATGCATAATAAGGTTGGTCTTGTACGTCCATTCTCAAGAACCTCGATTCACTGATATAAAAAAGCTTATGTTCGTCCGACCCTCTCACTCAATACCGCTGCGGGGAACAAATATCGAGTGTCAGGGATGGGCGTATGTTGGAAGTGCAAATCTCTCGGAGAGTGCCTGGTAAGCCTTTTCCTTTTCTTCTCCCAAAAGTTTTATCTGTCTCTTTATCGATATCAGACTGCCAAATCTAACATGTGAAAAGGGGTCGCCTTGTCAAGGGCCGTGGTCCCGGTGGCCAAATGAAGCTTAATTGCCGTAACTGGGAATGCGGCGTGGTCGTGCCTGTAACAAAGCTCTGCGATAGCTCGCTGTCTACTACCAGCTCAGAGACACTCGAAGAAATCACGGAAAGAGCTACCCTCCACGACACTTTTCGCGACACTATCCCTGTTCCCATGAAACTCCCTACATCCGACCTTACCGAGAGCCGTGCTCCGTGGTTTTATTCAACTCCAGCATTTTCATGATGTTTTGAATGTGCGCACTGGGCCTTCCTGCGATATCTTTTCAAGGCCGTGATAGAGTTGTGCTATGCAACCTGTTTCTTTTGAATGGATACTTCAAGTATAGGAATGGGTGGAATCCGGAATTTACACTCAAATACAGTCTCACTGAGTGCATTGCATGGAGATGGAGTAGGAAAACATGGTCAAGTAATGCAAGAATGAATATCTGTCCACTTTTCTTGATGAGAAGCATCTTTTTTATTCCAGTACTCCGTATGAGGGTGGGGGTTTGTCATTGAAGACACATAGGGCAGTTTATCTTCTGAGAGAATAAGACTGGATCATTACATTTGATACTCTACAAAGCTAGAAACAGGGTTCCAGTTCTAGGGCTACCTCTGTATCTAGTTTCATTAATTTATAGATTTCACTATTGGGTCCACATTAGGAAGGGAAAGTGATATGTCAAGAGCAAAAAAAAAGTTCGTTCGATGTCAATGGCATTCCGAAAGAGATGTATGTAAATAAGAATATAAAAAGCAAAAAATCCAAGATAAAATCTAAGATGCAGTTAGAGACGCCCGAGGTATACGGAAACGAGAGACGCAGCGCGAATCCGCTCAAACACTCACCAGATCAAATCGCATTTGAAGAAACTTTTCATGAGTGTGCAGGCCGGTGAAAGAAGTGACAATTCGGGCAATTCGCTTGGTGCCACGGTCATACGTGCCCAAGATGAAGTACGCGACAACCTTGCCAATTCGGGTTCCCAGCAAAGCCTTGTACCCGTGCGAGTCGTAGTCCCAGGCCATCTGGCAGTAGTGACGTTGCCCGGTAGTCCTATTTATAGGATAGAACTCATCTAGAACAAATCGCAAGGTCTCCTCGTGCTTAATTTGGCATACAAAGATATGCCGTAGAGTCAGTATGCTGCAGTCACGCTGATACAGCGTCTTGATGATTTCCGAAACATGAGGGAAGCGGCAGTTGCGCGTACGGAAGATATCCTCGATCCAAAGGACGCGGGGGGCTGCTCGGATGGTGACGATGCAAACAATCCTCTGGGTTTGCCGATTAGTCCAGTGGATCGAGTTCACAGCATGCGTTGTGTCTCTGACATTGGGCCGGATCTCGCAGGGTAGGCCAAGTTTCAGTGCCTCCTTGGTGAGCTCGATGGGTGGCCCGTCGCGGGAAGTGTTAAGCTTCCAGCCGCCGCTTCGAAGGATGTTTCCAATCAAGATGGTGGATTTCTGGATAGGGCATGGCCCGAAGGAACCGCTGTCGTCGGGGCTGTCGAGCCATCCTTGAATTCGATGTCCCCTAAAATGAAAGTTGATAGGGAGAATGTATTCCCGAGTAGGGTCCAGACTGGAAGTCATCCTCGGAAGTTGGGACATTTGGTGCCCAGAACCGGGATGGAGAAGGACTTACTGGGGTTCTTCCGACGCAAAGTGATACTGAGCTTTCTTGACGATATTCATACAATGATGAATCGGGATACTTGCTATACGACTGAAAGACTCAGGGCCAGTATTTATATTTTTTTTGGGCAGAGAACAAAGATTGGATGGATAATGATTTTTTATAAACAATCAATTGTTGCAGGAACAAAGAGCATATGGATCGATTTAACAAAGATCGCCTTACCAAGTATGAAATAAGGATAATCAATAATAGTCACGGGGAAGCGCGGGGAATCTGAAATCGGTAATAATGTATAGAAAATTTCAAAAATATTTCATATATTGGTATTGAATAGACCGAGCATGTATTTAGGGTGTTTGAAGCCAAAGCACCATCTATTTCTAAACATTTTCTTGAAGAGAAAAAAAAGAGATACAAAGAAAGACAGCTTTTTAAAAGCAGAAAGACCATGACATACCACGCGTCATATCGGACACATACGCTCCATGTAAATGCACATTCGATAGATCATAGATCTGATCAAAAAGAGATAACCAAGAGAATATCAAAAGAAAAGGGGACAAGGATTGTCCAAAGGAGATGAAAAAGGAATTAATAGGTAAAAAAGAATCCAGGAGGTGATACAAACATCCAAGGGTGATGGTAAAGGGAAAGACCAGCGACTGCTTTTTACTGCTCGGTCTTCTTCTCCTTGCCCTTGAATAGGCCCTTGACGCCCTCAATCAACATACCACCCAGGCCAAACACATACCCGAGCCCGAAGCTCCAGCCACGGACACGGACAGTGTAAATGAAGAAGTAGACAAGCATCCAGTTGATGATCACAAAGGCCAAGAAGATACCGAAGCAACGCCACTTGTCCCCATCATGCACGTTCAGGTTCTGCATGTACTCCGAGCCATTCTTGTACGGGCAGTACTGGCAGTTCTCGGTAGCATTGGGGTTGACGAGCTTGCCAGCCTTCGCGATCTCCGAGACGAAGCTGCCCGCGTACGCAGCACAGGTCTTACCAGGAGGTGGGTTGAAGTGTGTTGCTTCCTGGGAGGCGCATTCGATCTCCACGGAGGGCAGGATGGCCGAGAGCACACCGCGCAACCACCAAGTCACCGGGTTGACGTAGTACATCCAGTACTTCCAGAAGACGGGATAATCGGCGTATGGACGAACAATACCGTTGAACAGGTTGACCATGACGAAGAAGAAAGGGAGTACATTAGAAATGACGGTGAATGAGGGAGCGAAGGCGCAGATCCACTGGCCCCACGAGGCCTGGAACAGGAAGAACAGCATGGACATCAGGAAGACGTAGCCGGCGGAGGACGAGTCAGTTGGCAGGCCGACAGGGTAGTACCATAGCAGCCAGTAGACGAGGCCGGTGACAATGGCGGCGGGGATCTCGCAGACAACATTGGCGGTGCAGAACGCCACCCAGCCATAGATACGACTCGGGTACTCGCGTGCTTCCCAGAGGGCGCGGTTGATGTAGAACTTGGGCACAACAGAGTTCAAGACGATTGGCGGGATCAGAATAATCAGGAAGACAGAGAACATACGGTCCTGCATGGAGGCGACGGTGTTTGGGAGCATCCAGAAAGTGAAACCGTTGAAGATACCAATGATCACGCTGACGAACAACTTGCCGTAGTAGTAGGATGGGTCACGCCAGTACTGTAGGAAGAGTCGCCTCGTGAGAAGCTCGATCTGGACAGGCGTCGGAGCTGCGAACTCGTACTGGGGGCCGCCGTGCTCCTCAATGGGTACCTTGCTACGCTCGGTCTTGATCCGCGAAATCTCCTCCAGCATCTCGCGGTTCTCATTGGAGTTGCGCCACTCCTCATTCCAGTCAATTTGTTTTCCGTTGCGCTGGGTCGCCTTGGCGGCAGTCTCGAGAATAAACTCAGCGACGTTCTTGGAGGGTGGGCAAACGAAACCACGGTCGCCAAAGTATTTGATCACGGCAGCGCCGTCATTGCCAACAGGTCCAAAGTAAAAGGTATTACCACCGGGGTTCAGAGCCAGAATCATATCGAACTGCTGGATTAGCATGGAAGAAGGCTGGTGGATAGTGCAGACAATCGCTTGGCCGGCCCGGGACAACTTCCTCAAGAAACGAACGATCGAGAATGCGGCTTGGCTGTCAAGACCACTGGTGGGTTCGTCAAGGAACAAAAGGAGACTAGGCTTTGCAGCCAATTCCACACCAATAGTGACTCGCTTCTTCTGCTCGACATTGAGAGAGCCAATGATGGCATCCTGGATATCTTCCAGCTCCAAAAGGTCAATGATGCGATCCACGTAGTCGATCTTCTCCTGTCGTGGAGTACTACGGTCCTGGCGGAGAATGGCAGAGAATTCGAAAGCCTCGCGAATGGTAGAGGTGTTGTCATGTAGATCCATCTGTTCACAGAAACCGGTACCACGTTGGAAGTCGGCCCCCAGAGGGTGGCCATCGACAAGCATATCACCCTTAACAACACCCATCTTCTGGCGCTGGGCAAGAGTGTTGAGCAGGGTGGTTTTACCAGCTCCCGATGCACCCATCAGAGCAATCATAACACCAGGCTTGGCAAATCCATTGACATTGTTCAGAAGCTTGCGGGTTCCGTTGCCATAAGGAACAGTGTACTCCACGTCAGTCCAAGTAAAGCATCGCTCGCTGGAGGAAAGACGGCCGAAATCCTCGTTAGAGGAAGACGGCGCCTCACCACGAGCGAGAGCAGCGCTGTCTGTCGAATCAGTAACCTTCTCCTCATCATTGTCCTTTCCATTCTGCTGAGTGGCCTGCTTAGAGCGCTTGGACTTCTTGAAGACTAGAGCGCCCCCCGCCCCCGCCAACGAAAGAAAGGAATTCCGCTGCCCAGATGGTCACCAGGATATACAACACAGTGAAAGCAATGACCACACCGAAGTTGCGCCACATATGGTGTCGAGTGAACTCAAAGTTTGCCTGCAAATACTGACTGCCAGGGACTGATGTCTGGTCCAGGGAGGAGCCGGTCAAGGCACATCCTTGGTATCCAGTAACGGCATCGGGTCCTTGAGGAATAAGCTGGGATGGCGCACACTCCATGACACGGTCAGCAAACTCATTGCCCAAGACCGCTTCATAGCTGTACGCAATAGGGTTGACATAGAAGAGCCATCCGAACCAGATCGAATCGTGAACCAGAGTCTGTTTGGGAATCACATAACCAACATATAGAATGAGTAGGTTGAGTGCAATTCCAGCAAACCGCACCGCATCGTCAATCGTCGGCGAGAGAGCGGCGAACATTCGGTACATCGACGTAATGCAGAAAGTGGTGGTGTAGACAAACAGGAAGTAGATGAAGAACTTGGAAGCTGTGACATCCAAGCCAGCCATGAAATAAACAATGATTGTAAATGGAACCACCATACAGAAAATAGATGGGAAGTCCACAACAACACGGGCGATCGAGACAGCAGACGGGCGGTAGAAGGCATAGTCCTTGTGACGTGCGACAATGCCTCTGCCGGTGACAGCAGGCATCAGCTCAGTCAATTGCAGCCAACCAAGGAAAAGAATCGAGAAGAAAAGGGCACCGCTGCGCGAGAAAGCACCGCTAGTATCCAGGGATTCACCGTAGAACAAAGACGAGACGATCAACCCGTTAGAGATGATGATGAAGTATTTGGTGTATAGCGACGTCTTATCACCCCAAAGTAGCCAGAACTCGCGCTTGACACAGGCCATAACTTGGCGCACGAGCGAGACAGTGTAGGGCGACTTCTTGGAGACAGTCTTACTCTTGGACTGGGCAACACTCGTCTCAAAGCGGCGGGTGTCTTCCTGCTCGGTATCTTGAAGACGCTTCTCGTAGCTGAAGACGTCCTCTGAGATACGCTTATAGGCCTGACTGCTCTTGAACACTTGTTCAAGCTCCTCAGCGGTCTTGGGAGTCGACGCTTCGCGACCAGGCTGGAATTGGCGTGCGTTGGGGTCACAAAGTGAAGTGAGGAAGTCCGCGGTTGTCGATTGCTCCGAGCAGTAGAAACCAAGATCAATAAAGTACTGACGGGCCTCAGTTGCAGGTCCCTGGTAAAGCATACGGCCTTGGTCAATGACCATCACTTTGTCCATCAGCTCGTAGATGCTCTCTCCGGCCTGGTACAAAGTGACTAGGGTAGTGCGCTTGCTCACGTCAGTCATAATTCGCAGGGATTTAGCATAGTCGAGGGCTGTGCTAGCATCCAGACCCCGGGTGGAGTTATCCCAGCAGACCACGGTCGACTTGGTGGCCAGAGTCTCTGCGATACTAACTCGCTTGCGCTCGCCACCAGACACACCACGCACATACTCGTTCCCAACGAGAGTGTTCTTCGTGTGACTGATACCGAACATCTTCAGGAGCGCATCGATGATGATGGGAATGCTCTCCCGATCATGCTTGCGGGTCTTGTTCGTGAGCGAGAACTTCAGCGTCTGCCAGACCGTGAGGGACGGGAAATGCTGGTCGTCCTCCGGGTTGTAATTGACTTCGCCACGGAAGTGTCGGTTCTGGTCCTCGGCTGACAGGCCACCATAGCTAACTTCACCCTCAACTCCGGCAAAGGCAGCCCGGTCATTCGCAATGGCTTTCAGGAACGTCGTACATCCGGCACCGGGACGGCCTAGCACGAGCATCATCTCACCCTCCCGGACCGCACCCGTAAAGTCGTGAATCAAATCGCGGATGGGCGGTTTCTTACCAAATCGTGCTTGCGGCACAAACCGGCAGATAACATTGTACAGATCAGGACCGAAGGTGCCGACGACCGCATGAGGCAAGGTACGCACAAAGGACGCACCAGTCTCCACACCCTTGACAGTCAAGTTCTTAAAGACGACGCCGATTTTCTTCGCGGGCTCGCCGGCCGTGGTCCGGCGCTCCAAGTGGCCACCCATCAGGAACTCGCCCAAATCGAAACCGCTTTCAACTTCAGTGTCGGATTCGTCCTCGGCCTGGGTCTTTTCTTCATCCCGGCGGCTGGTGCGCGACTTGAGGCGGCGCACACTCTTGGCTGTCGTGGAACGAGTGCGATGCAAGCTGAGGCGGGTCAATTCGCGACGCATATCCTCGAGATCCTCCATGGCGCCGCGGCGAGAGACGGGCTCCCCGGCCTTCTGCTCGCCCCAGCGGCCCTCAATACTGTCCTGGGAAGTAGCAGTCGACGAGCTGGTCGAGACGGGATTCATCGGGGCTTCGGTCTGATTGATGATTTCCTCGGCGTCCTGGGTTGCGGATTCATCGGCCGCCGCATGGCTGGCTTCCTCGAGGGCATGGTGGTGGGCATGGTGGTTGGATGTCTCCGAGGTATAGTTGGCGATACCCTCCGTGGTGGTGGTATAGCTCGAATGCGTGGTGGACTGGATTGTATGGGTGTTGGATTGCTGCATGGAAGAGGAATGCTGCTCCTGCTCCTGCTCCTGCTGCTCTGCCGTGCGATGGTTGTGGGCGTCCATCTCGCCAAGGATTGCGTTGCGTCTACTCGCCGGCCTCAATGGAAAGATATTGGGAGTGATATTGGGGGTGTCGGGAAGTATATACAGAATCGAATCGAATCACACAATGCGCAGATTGGCGCGAGAGGGAGAAAAAGGGGAAGGAAAAAGAAAGGAGGGGAGAATGGGGAAGGAAAGGAAAGTAAACGAGGTCGACGAGCCCACCAACGGTTCCAATACAACGCGGTGGGCAACTTTTAAGCATTTAAACCCATTTAGACCTCCGATGCAAACGCCCTTAACTCCGGCCCCATTTGGATTTGTCAGGCAGATCCAGGGTCATCCATCCTTATCATCTCTCATGGTATTCGCAAATCCAAGGCTCCTCAGTGGGGCGAGGGCGAGGGCAAGAGAGAAAAGAAAGAAAAAAAATTCCCACGAGGAAGCTCTGGTGGATCCCATGAGTCAAGGTGATTCAACCAGAACCATCCTAACGGACGTAAGCCATCGAAGAGGCCCGAGCGGGTCAATCCCGCAGCAGAGTTTTCCGAGGAACCGGAGATAGCGAGCGTTTAACCGGTCAGCATCAATGTTATGATTGGCCCTGCCTGAATGAGAAGGATCCCACGGACTTTGGCAGTCTTGACGGATTCGAGATCGCGATGACGTTTCCGGAATATTGAATTCCTGCCGGCTCTCTCCACTTTGGACTGCGCGCGATAGAAACTATCGCCCACTTTATTTTGGCGTCTGGCATGCTCTCGGGCTCCAGCGTTTAGTAAGCAGCTACCACGGGGCACGAGTCTGAATAATCGCCCGGGGAGAGCATCGGCATACGTTGCATCGGGGCTACATAGGAGTCCGACGCTCTCATAGGCTCTGGCCAAGACCAGGGAGAGGAATATATATCCCGCTGCGGAATGAGTGGAGCCTGCAAGCGGATGACTGGGAACTCGTATACTTGTGGGCTGAGTAATGTGGCCCCCGTTTCGGGTGGCCCGGGCGCCGGCCACTGATTCAGGCTTCCTCGGCGACTTTTCTGCACGGTACGGACAGGATCTCCCCGATCACATCACGGCCCGGCATCTCAACACGTCGCTCGATCTCGAGCCTGATTATTAATTACCTCATCACCGCGCTAAGCAGCCGAGTTAATTACAGAGCTTAAGTATTGCCTGGTTAATCTGAACTTTTAATCCAGTCAGCAATGCCTCGCTGTGATGAGCCCTGGAGCGTGGCAGTCCATTAAATATCTAGGGATATGACGAACAATGGGTGGATCTAGATCGAACAGCACTACACCGAAAGACAGGGCCTGCCGGGGTTGTCCCTTTCAACTGCCGAACTGGTCGGGCAGCCCACGCACCCACATGTATTGGGGCCAGGATCCCCGAAGTGAGCCAACCATGAACAGGGCAAATGAGGTCGCTTCACACCCATTCGTAGCAGGTTCGTATTGCGTGTAGGCGAGATAGATCACAATCGCTGTTGCACCTGCCTCAAGAGCGCTTACCAGACGGTCTTGCATATGCATGAACGGCATAAGCCGGCGGATGTAACCGAAAGACAGAGTAAATAGCAAGAACACGACGCCCAAGAAATGCCGATCAATAATCTTACCAGACAATCCGAACCATTATCCTTTCCCCACCACCTTCAATGTATTGGACTTGGACAAAAAGATCGTCTGCGTACGGAGTGCACTCCCCAGAATAATGTTTCAGGTGTATGATCATAAATAACTCCCTCTTGCTACACCACGGAACAAAATCCCCAATCGCAGTACATACATACTCTAGTGGCCCCACTCCTAGCATCGTATGTCCCTAGGGGTCCCTGAACAATCTCACCTTCCTCCCTATTCTTTCTTGGCGATACACGTCCTCTTGCATTCTCTCTATGGTTGGTTACTTTCACCGCATGTTTTGGTCATCTTGGCCCCAGCCAAGATGATGACCCCAATCAAATTCAGCATCAGAGTTGCACCTAGGGGCGGAAACCCGTGAACATGTACTGAGATTCTCTCCAGCTATGAAGATTAAACGAGAAAGCCGTATAAATAAGAAATTGGCATGCTTGCACTCTGTTACCGCACTTGATATAGAAAAAACGCACTACAATCCAAAAATAGGCATATACTGCTTACGCCCGGTTGTGTGCAGGCTTAGCTGTAGCCTACGCAAGCCGCTTCTGCACCTGATGTTCGATGAGAACTTTCACTGTGTGGTCCTGGTAGTGAGGGACATCCGAGTCAATTCTGTGATTAGGTTCATCCTAATCGGGCGTGGGCGGCTCGCCGCTCTATCCAGCCCTATCCAGGGCAATCCGAGCGGATATTTACCTACATGATTATTCATTATTGGAACTCAGCGCATACATCAAAAAGTATCTTCATTTAACTCTAGAGTACCCTAGCTGTTATCCTCTAGCTTCCGTCCCCGCCGTTTCCCCCTCACGTCTTCAACTGAGCCTCTCCCGGCCGCGGCGACGCCAGTACCACCTATCACCAGCCCAGTTGCCCTCACGTCCCCAACTGAGCCATCCCCTACTAGCCCAACATCTCCCCTCACTTTGCCGCCCCCTCCCACAATTACCCCCCCTCGAAGGTGATGAGGGGGCCCGAGAAGCGGTACGGAACAGCGAGCGCAGCATGGGCACTTATTACACAGCATCAAGACTGACTGCTTTTTTTCATATTTCTCTTCCCGCATCGAGACGATGCTTTTCCAGACCTAACGATATGTGACCCTCCAAGCTGGGCACATAACCCTAGTGCACCTTCTTAGCTAGTTCAGAGCGTAACCAATAAGATCACCTTTACATCTCTGGACTCTGTCACACTAGCTATACGTAATGTGAGCTATCTCTCTATATTATTTTCTATCTCTTGCTCGGATATCTAATTATTATGACTTAATCTTCTTTTCGAACAATTCAGGCTCTATATTATACTAGATATTCAAGTACAAAGTAGTATTTAGAGGATTTGGGCATAGTAGTAGATACTATTATTACCCCTACGACTGATCATTCGATACTGTAGCTAAAGATTCTAAGTAGGTTGATATATATTATAGCGCAAGTGGTATCAAGAAGCTGGGTTCTTGGGAGATGTAAAGATGGAGTTCATTCTTTATGAGGGAATAATGATAAGCTAAGAGGGTGACGATATCGTCATGTGGTAACAGTAAGTAGTGCCAAGAGTTTGATTTATAGCTTTAGCTAGTGAACTAGGGCGCTCTACGGCAAGCCTGAGAATGCAGGTAGGATAAGATAGGTCGGCGAACAGACCAACAAACTACCACACACTATAATAGAGGAAGCCTCCTAAAAAGAGAAAGTAGAAGCAGATGAAGCGAAGAGAGTATGAAAGTTAATTCTCTCTCTATCGGAGATACGAAGCTATATCCTGTAAAGACTATGTGCTAGGATAGATACCCTCTAATCAGAGATCTCTCTAGTTTTAGCTATTTCCCCACTACACTAGTTAAGCTCAATTGACCTATGCCTTACCCGACTCTGACCTACGCCTCATCTGATTCTTATATACGTATACGCCTTGCCTGACTTTTATCTATACCTTACCTAACTCTTACCCTGAATATACGTAATAGAATTACTTCTATCACCTCCAGTTACGCGATTCTAAAATAGTGCTTATATATTTCTTGCCTAGAATATATTACTATATGGTGATGTAGTAGGATACGGTATCGGCTAGGAAAGCTGGGATCCAATGGAACGAGATGCTCAATCTGATGATGTCTTAGATGACTTAACTATCGATGTGTGTAGGCGGGGGAATGTTGAATATCCTCTGCTTCGCTGTCTAGCACGTTACGGCGCTGTATTCCGAGTCTACCCGGGATACCATACAAACGTGTAGTAAATCGAGTATCCTTGTAAGAATCTGACGCACACAAGGAGAAGTGGGTCTTAGCGGTAAGATGCAGTCTCCCATCTCGACACTATACTATAGATGGGTATATAAATGATAGTATTATTCGAGGATATCAGTCTATCTCGATCGAGATTAGCCTAAACTCTTATGCTTAAAGGGTCTCTCAGAGAGGAAGCAGATGCTGCTTCAGCGAAAGAGGTGTAAAGGTTGATTCTCCTCCTATCGGAGATGCAAAGCTATATTCTGTAAAGACTGTGTACTAGAAAAGATATCCTCGATCTATACACGCTCTTTCCCTATGCACTTAGGTATTTACTAATATACGGGTTCCCTCGGAGTTTTCTACCTTCAGTTCCCCTCCGCCTGGTATATCTTGCTTGTTGAAAGAGTAAGGTTACCCTTGATTCTCTGGAGATAGTCTTTGCGCTAACTGATCAACAATTCCTTACGGCGGCGGCGAGTACAACCTGGGTGATCGCCACCTGGCGTGCTGCCCGGGCCCTAGGTCGGTGGTGGCAGGCCGCCCGCGCACCGTCTCTCGACGCTGCGCTTGCCGATCTCCTTTGGGGCATTGACAAGGCAAAGCGGGCAGAGGAGGTTGCTAAACTTCCTCCCCTAAATCGCCTTCAGGTCAAAGTGCCTGATCCGCATTTGCCTGTTGAGATGGGAGCAGAGGTTTGATAAAAGGTGAGTGAGCCCTCCCCTCTCGTTATGTTAATTGTATATAGATCCGAGAAGAGGATTCTAGCGAGGTGTTTTGTTCTGGACTTTTGGTAATTTCCCACGCCCCCCTATCGTTGGCTAATGATATTCTTAGGTACTACGACTATACTCGGCGAAGGGGAATTTTTCTTATCATTCAGGTAAGTCATTCCCCTTCCCTATTTACTAACGTCTCTTAGGTCGAGGTCTCGGATACAAAGGCTTCTGGGACTGGAGGTAAACCAATAAAGCTGTATCTGCGCTAGTGCGGGGGTCGCCGACGACGGGTCGCGCGTCACGAAGGTTTATCATATAGGGATAGTGCTTGGTGATATGTGGCTTGGTATTCCTTTTTCATTTGCAGCAGCACCATACGGACTCATCTGATTACGGTATCCGCTGTCAAGATCGTTCCAAG